ATCGCTCTCAACAGCAAACTACTCTACCCAAGTCTCCAAGACTCCAAAACACTTCAACAGTCTTTTAACTTCTCAACTTTCTTTCTTTCTTTTTCTTTCTTTACTTACTTTACTTGTACTTTGGGTAGTTATTTAGAGTAGTATAACTTTGCTAGAATAAATAGAGACCTTTACCACCCTAAGTACGTACTAGCTGCCGTCTTGATCGCTCCATTTCCACCATTTTCGACCTCGAGTGGGGCGACCCCGGACCGTTGTAGCCAATGAGAGCTCGTAAAATGGCCGATCAAGCTCATGATCGTACCGGCATAAGAGCTAGATTCTTAGTCGAAGCACTCTCTTTTTACTTTGTTAGATAGTTCCTTTTTGTATTCATTTAGAGTGGTATAACTTTGCCAGAATAAATAGAGACCTTTACCACCCTACCCTCCTTCACTCCTCCAGCAAAGTAACACACGTCCAATGTCACAATAGCCACAACAGTTCCGATCTAACTACTTCTCTCTTTGCCTTCTTTGTACAATATAGACAATCGTATAGTAGTAATTCATCAAGTAGAGCCGAGCCTTAGCAGAAAAATCCCTCTGGTCCACCAGCGCTATGGATAGCTCTTCCCACACAGCCAAACTTGAAGAAGAATGGGAGGTTAAAATGCATCAGATAATCGGCCTGATAGTCTCCAATGTTCTGGTTGGAGCCATCCCGCTTGTGATCATGGTTCGTGCCAAAGGCTCTGTCCGTCAATGGCCCACAGCCCTTAATTTCCTGCCAGAGTCTAGCACCATTGTCGTTGACAAAATCCTTGGTCCAAAGTTCAAAGTGAACGAACCCGAAGCCTGGAGTTCTTTCACAGGATGCTGCTGGCCGAGGGTCTCGGTACGGGTTAATCGTTTCAACACTGTTAGCGTCAACGTTCCTACAACATTGCCCATCGATAATATTGCCTCCCTCGTCATACAGGCATCCATCTTGGCGGAAGATGACCTTGGCATAGTTTCGCGGCCAGTGTGCCTCTAGTACACAACCAGGCTTACCCACTCGGTTATACTTCTGGGACGAGTCATATTTTGCCAGGATTAAAGCGCGGCTGGTTGGGCCCTGGTCGGCATTCACATCTGCAGGAGTATATAAGTTAGCCTATTCATGCTATAGTACATATCCATGTAAACTTACGGTAAGACGATTCATAAACGGCTGATACACGTCCCGCATTGGCATTGCAACGCGGACTACTGTTAATCCAGATGCAGCCTGAATCCACAAACTAGGGGTCGACGTTAGATAGGAAACAAGCCCGACTTTTGTTCGTCCACACAGAAACATACCACTGTGGTGCCTCCCGGGTTCTGTGGAGGGTCTTGCCGGGGGGGTGGCCGAGGAAGAGCCAACGGGCCACTCTTGCACGGACAGCCGAAGAAGTTTTTGCTACAACGAAAATCATTGTCAAAATACGATCCTTCGCAGCCGGCCGCTCTACAGTCGCGAGTCGGTCCGCATGTAGACTAATTCATTTTTTGTCAGCAGGCTAGTCATAATATACCAGGAATTGTTGATGTGCTGCATAAAGTATCCAACCTGGTTAACTCAACTTACAGCAACTGGACGGCAGACACATCCTGCAAAATTTCCACGGCATCGAGCCACATTGGAATTTGCGTCGAAGCTACCATTGCAGCCGTTTGCGTCGCAACTCTGCGGCAAACCACAGGTATTCTATAATAGATATGACAGTTAGTATATACCCTATATTCGTGGTGAATAGTTAACTCGAGCATTTCTTACCCTTGAAGGGATACATTTACACCCTCTAAAGTTTCCCTGACAACGTGCAACGCCCTTATTATCGTAGCCTCCGTTGCAGCCATTGTTATCGCAACTCTGCAGACTACCACATGTTGCGTCTGTTGCCTGGCATTTGCATCCCTTGAAGAAGTTTGTGCAAGTTGGGAGCACATCCAAGCCAAGGAATCTACCGTCGCAGTGATTCAAATCACAACTGGCAGGATTGCCACACGTCTGAGGATCCGCTTTACACTCACAACCCTCAAAGTTATCACTACAAGTCGCCTTGCCGGTGGAGAGACTGAACCGACCATTACAGTCATTCTGACTACAGTCTCCTGCTGGTCCGCAAGTATCGGGTTGTGCAATACAGTCGCAACCTTGAAAGTTGCCTGTGCACTTGGCAAACTTGACATTGCCAAGGCCATTGAACGACCCATTGCAACCATTTTGAGTACATGATCCACGGGGTCCGCAGGTACCAGGTGTAGATTGACACTCGCATCCTTTGAAGTTGCCTGTGCATTTGGCATACTTGACATTACCTAGGCCGTTAAATGAGCCTAGACAGCCGTTCTGATCACAAGAATGACGAGGGCCGCACGTGTTTGCAGTTGGTAGACACTGGCAGCCCTTGAAGTTGCCTGTGCACTGAGGATAGTCAATATTGCCTAGGCCATTGAATGAGCCTGCACATCCGTTCTGATCACAGGATTGAAGAGGACCACAGGTGTCCTTTTCCGGCAGACATTCGCAGCCGAGAAAATTTCCTGTGCACTTGGGATACGCAACGTTGCCTAATCCATTGAACGACCCGTCACAATTATTGGCATTGCAAGAATGACGAGCGCCACATGTGTCTTTTGTCACTTGACAGCGACATCCTTTCTTGGTACCAGCAGTGCATACAGGATATTTTGCAACTCCTGAAAAGGCACCCTTGCAACCATCAGCGTCACAGCTGCCAACCGGGTCACATATAGTACCTGTAGGCGTTGGCATAGCACGATATGTGATGGGAGCATATAGGCTAGAGATAACATCGATGGGACCAATGCCGGGGTTCGAGATGGTAGACGTAGGGGGAGCTTGGCAGACATGGGAACTAACGCAGTCTCGGTAGGCTGTGTAGAGAAGAACCGCGAATGCTTGTCCTTCTGGGGATGCCGCAGGAGAGGGATTGTGGCTATGCCAATCATAGGGATTTGCCGCCGGAGCAAAGACACCGTCGGGCCCTTGTTTTATTTTCATGGTGTTCCGGATAGTATTGGCCCAATCCACATAGGACTTTCCAAACATTCCTGCATCATATTAGAGAAAACAGTTCGCGGTGTTACTCTAGATATACATACCAGGGTCATTCACAGCCATTCTATATGCAACAGCAGACAGTAGAGCGGTGCCAGAGACTTCACCAAAGTAGCTTCTATCACCAAGATAGTTCCTTAGAAGACCATTGTCTGTTCCTGAACGCATAGCGCCATCCAGTATTTCCTTGATCCAACTTTTGAGCTGGCTGGCTTGTGACTGCAGCACAGTGGAAGACGCAGGCCACTTTTGTAATGTGTGAAGAACACGCGTCATACCCCAAGCCGCCCAGCCATTGCCCGAGGACCAAAGTCCAAGATCTTGGGACTGTGGACCAACGATGTGACGCCAATTGAGGTTGTTGTTAGCCTTGAGAATATCTCGGTGAAGACCGCATTGGCGGACTGTTTCACGCATCAAATTGACATCATTTCTCTGCACGGCCATATAAGCCACTGTTTTAAACCATGTTAGCAGTTGTTTGTGCTTCTGGGTTAGGTACTTACAAAAGGGAAACGACATGGCCATATTGTCCGCCCAGAGCTCTGCAACATCTGGTCGATGGGAGATTGCACCATTGGAGTACTTGGGTGCATCATTGAGAATATAGTTGGCTTGCCGATCCGAGGCATCCAAGTATGCCTTATCCGACTGTCCTAGGAGGAGAGCAGAGACACCAAGAGATGCTGGATCGCCCACAGCAGAGTTTCCGACCAAGACCTGTGAGTTGGTATTGATGAATTGTTTTGCATACCCAAGCGCAAGCGAGCTAGGGTTTGCTTGGGGTATCTTCCCCCCCGGGAAAGGATTGTCGCTATATACAGACAGCTCGGGATTGTAAAGCTCAAGAAGCGCTTGTGCAGCTGTCCCCCATTCCCATGACTGACCAGACTTTTGAACCATCACCTGGGCTGCTCTGTAGGCATTGAATCCTGCGGGCACATTTTGGGTAGACCCAAGAGCCACTAACTGACCCAGGGCATAGTAAACGCCGATATGCATTGTTGCTGTATGAAAGAAGGGTAGAAAGCCTGTCGGCAACAGTGAAAATCGAGCTGTCTTTTTAATAATTACAGTAGAAATCGCCGCTCTTTTGATAGAAAAGAATTAAAGAGGGATGCAGGTGAATATACCTTGCGTAAGATATGATGGGTCGTTTCAATGGTTTCTTTCTATTTCCCTTGGCTCCTCACTTTTGATTTCAAATCATTTTTTTTTGTCGTTTTCAACGCCGTCTCGGCATCTTCCGACCAACTCTCAAGGTCTTTAACTAGCTGTAAGACGAGCAAACATCTTCAAGTGCACAATGCAGAACGCGTCGTCATAGAGTTGTGGCAACATAGCCACTACGCCACGGCTGGGACCTTATCATTAACGTAACGTTACATGCTCGTCTTTATCGCTGGTTTTATAAAAGGTCCGGCTTTTGATGTTTCTTAGTAGTTTTACTCAGGTGTCATACCCGTTAGCGCGGTGTCATACCTGGTGGAGTAGCAATACGCTTAAGTTTAAGCTTAATTCTACATCATTTTCCTTAGCCGCGCCACCACCAAACCCCCACCTCGGAAGCATTAGTTATTTTAACCGGCTTATGGCTTAAGTTAGAACTCTCTAAGGAATAGTTATCTTTGGACTTTATAGCTAAATAAACATACCCCATAGTGTGTCTATAAGAGGTATACCAAGAGTTCCTGACAAATTCTAATCTTATTGGGATGTATAGCCTACAACCAACTATAGGCGGCGTTCATTTCTCATTCTTCCGGAACTTTTGAAAACGCCTTTTTTTTGTTTTCAGAAGTTTTAGTGGCTTAAGCCTTAAATATTACGTGCTCAGGAACGACGGGTTCCTCCCCCTCGTCTTATTGTCGGCTAGTCAGTCAGATAGAAACATGTTTCCAGTATAAAATATAAATGAGGTGACTTGATAGAGGCTATTATTTTAAAAGTTGGGCTATCTCCTCTTATTACTATGACTGCTTCTCTCCAGACTTATAAGCTAAGTAAGTTAGTTAGGAGGTAGTCTAACTATCTTTATTCTCAAATCTCACTCTAAATCCTCCTAACTAATCAAATCAGCGAAAGTACCTTGTTTACTTTAATAATGCGGATTGATGCATCTGTGTCGCTGCTGGCTGCACTTTGCTCCGCAGCACTAGCAATTGCTAATACGGCCTCGCTCTCTAGCCGTGGCATTTCAAAAGACCCGTCATGCCCAGACGACTGGTTTTGCGAGCAGAAAGGCTGTGACCTGACCTGCGCAGCTGGAGATATTTGCATTTCTTTTGAAGGAACTGCAGTATGTGCTCCAGCTGACAAGAAGTGGTGTTCTTTCAATCCCAATACTTTTGAAGCAGTACAGTGTGGTACTGATGGAGTTTGCTGGTAAGTATATATACTCCCCTCCTGTTTTGTGACGCTCAAGCATTGCTAACACTTCCCCTAGCCACGGCAATTGTTACAAGCCTGGTACTGCATGCTGCGATGATAGTACCATCCACTGTACTATTGGTAACCTGTGTCTCGCTCGCCCTAGTGGTGACAGCTGCAGAGCAGGAACATCCACTAGTACTCGAGTATCTCGATCATCAACCTCTGCCCCCCCTATTCAGCAACCTCAGCCAACATTTACAAGTAGGCGTACTACTGTGCTATCCACACCAGTCGTGACAACAAAGGCATCGTCAGTAACATCTTCGGCACAAACGTCAGCGAGGTCAACCACAACTACTACTACTGCTGCAGCAAAGCCTACTATCTTGCAGCAAGTCGGCGACTTTCGCTACGCAGGGTGCCTTGCTGATGGGGCTACGCCCGTGCTGGTTGTTGATCACACCTCTAATCCTAGCCAGAACGGCATGACTGCTGAGAAGTGTGTTGATCTAGCGCTACGAAAAGGCTTACGTTATGCCGGCGTTGAGTCTGGTTCGGAGTGCTTTCTAGGAAACACCCTTCATGGCTCTGATAAGAAGCCAGACGGTGATTGTAACAAAGTCTGCGCAGGTGCACCAACTGAGTACTGTGGTCAGGCCGACAGGCTTCAAGTTTATGAGAACCGGAAATGGAGCGATCCGACTCTGGACGAGTTAACTAATGCACTGACCGTTTACAACAGGACTTTGTTCCAATTGTATCAGCTCAACAACCAATACCAAAGCCTCATTCAACGGTGGGCAGATGCGCAAAAGGGTGGTAAAAAACGAGCATCGTTCTTTTCTAAGAGAGCCCCAACAATTACGGTTACAGAGCTGCGTAGGGGTCTAGCCGATATTCAAAGACAATACCCTACTCATCGCCAAGCACTTGGTTCGTTTTCAATAGAGAAATCTTAACGATGCTATTACTAACTATACCAATAGCTCAGGCATCCACAGAAGGAGGTAGATTGTTTCTACGTGGGGCGAGCTTGGATGTTGTGCGAACTGGAAACCCATTTGTAGATCCCCCAAATTTACAAAGGGCGCAGAACGCTTTTGACATTCCTCTCCAACCACTTGAGCGAGTTCAATCGGCGATAGAGGCCGATATACAGTCCATTGATTCAACACCTTCCACTACACCACTTCTCGATACTGCCGGCGACTTGGCTATCGTCGGAGCTGCTGTAGGTGTTTTATATTTTGATAGGTACTGGAAGTATTGGCTAACTGGATTTATAGGGAACTGCTATTGGCATCTTGGCGGGGTCGACCTTGGAAAAAATCGCACTTGGCCAGGGCGTTTGTAAGTGAAGCTATTGTCATTCCCATCCACTACACGTTTGGCTGCTGACTCGGGAATCTTTCTTTCCTCTTTATTTTAGTTGCCCTTCTTGCTCTTGTATTTTTGTCTCTGCATCCATCGACGACACCAGGCAATCCAACGACCACACCCTTACTACCACCGTCAGCGACTACAACAATCACCTCTTCTACGTCGTCTGCTGCCCCTTCTGCTACCCCATACTTCCTCGTTGCAGCAAATGGTGTTTCGAGTGGTCAATTCAAAGCATTTACAGAGGAATTAAATGAAAAAGTTGAAACCAAAGTCATCAACAATCTCTTCGGTATTGCGCGGGTGGTAGATTTGACTGCCAGCCAACTCAAACGAGCCAGGGAGAGCCGGTTCGTGTTTTCGGCAACTCTTAACAATAACGCACGGGTGCCAGATTCAACAACATTTAAGCAAAGCAACACATCGAATGTCTTGCAAGCGTCAAAGCTGAGCAAGCGGGCTGACCCTCAGAGAGGAACGGCCCTTCCCGGTAGCTATTCCAAGCCAATAAAACTTCATGGCCACAGTGGAAACCCTCCCTATAGCCTTGCTCATCTGCAGTCCCTCTCTAGGGCATGGTTTCCACAGGGCATTGACAATCGATACCAATACAACTATGAAGCTGATCCGGGCGCTGGTACGTTCATATACATCACAGAGCCAGCCGATTTCACCCATCCAGAGTTTGCCCAGGTCCGTCAGGAACGAATCACTATTAAGAGCCCGACTAGCGACCCAGCTAAGCTTGATAGGGTTCATGGAACAGCGGTTGCCTCAATGGCATCCGGATATAGGCTTGGAGTTGCCGCGTCAGCAACACTTATATCTGTTGACATGTCGTTTGAAGAAGCCGATATGTTTGAGGCTCTCTTCGAGGTATACGAAGATATTGTACGCAAAGACAGACAGGGAAAGGCTGTTGTTAACATGTCTTGGGGAATGCAAGGTGACCCTGACTCTAAAAGTTGTCTTCCCGAGTTTTGGCTTGCTAAAGTAATTAAGCAATTACATGAGGAAGGTGTTGTCGTGGCCGTCTCGGGCGGCAATAACGGGGAGGATCCCGTCGATCCAACGTTCGCGACACATGCTCCTCGGTGTTATGCCACTTTTATGGACGATCTGATAGTGGTTGGTTCTGTTGATATAACTGGCAAGAGGTCTGCATTTTCGGGCAAGTGCGACGCTGCCAATACCACGCCAAACTGTATGACTGCATATGCTGTTGGTGAAAACGTTCTTGCAGCAGATTCCACCACCAGAAGGAGGACTTTTGTTAGTGGCACAAGCTTCGCAACATCTATCATCTCAGGTTTAGCCGCATACCTGTTAACTCACCCTAGCGGTGCTATTCATCAAAGGATTTTTGGTTTTGGAACAGACAAAATAGCTGAAGGAGTTCGTGAGGTTATTGAAGAATGGAGTTGGAGCCGCATGCCAACTGGTGGTGTCGACTGGCCTAATGTGGCCTGGAATGGTGTCGTTGAATAGATAGGCTGGACACTCTATCTTTGGGTTCCATGATTGTTACTTTGAATTTTATTATTTCTTGTTTTCATTCTCAGGGTGCAGCTTTAGATTGTCCCAAAGTAGTAGAACCGTTGTGGTGTAAGTGGCCAAGAGTAGTAACAAAAGGGTGGTAAGCAACTACTATGTAACTGATTGATTGATTTTAGATTTGATTTGGATTTGGATTTGGATTTCATAGTCTTTCCCAGTCGCCATTATTCGTGCAGCTATGCGGCGTACAACTATCTACCTTCATCATCTATTGCTTCAGAGAAAGCTACTCCCTGCCAGAGATTCGACCTTTGTTTGTAGCTCCGATGATATATCTTCGTATCTAGCTCTGATGATGGTTCCATGTCTATGAACTTGTCAGGCCCTTCCCGGCCCTCCTCGCCTCCTGTAAGATGAGGTATACACTCGTCCACCTTGCGCTGGTTGCGCTATTGAAGTACCGTGGACGGGACTGTTTTGAATTAACTTAGCAGTCCTGTCCTGAAGATCATCCTGGCTGCTTTGACTATCATTGTCGAGTTACTAAGGATATGCTTGATGTCAGCGCATGGAGGTTTGCCTGCCCACATTTGTTCTCGTTCTTCTGTCCAGTTTCTGCATTCGAGCAGAATATGGCGCATGGTCTGGCGGCTGAGGTCACATTCACACTTGTTAGTTTCTGCTCTGTTAATTGAGTTCAAATATTCCTGAAGCCCGATTTTGGCTGTCTGCATTTGGGTGATCACGGAGCTCAATACTCTGTGGATTCCTGAATGGAGTGTTAGGCTTTCTTTACTCGGCTGCACACCTAGGGTTGTAAAGGGCTCTACCATGTTTGGATGCCACCCATTCTGACTTCTACTCGGCCCGCATTGCTCTGCGGACGATCGCCTTTGTGGTCGCTATTAAGATGCGCAGGGCGTCTGGTTCTGGCGGTGCCTCATGTATTCCGGTACGTGAGTTGAACCCGGCAGCCGCCTTCGCAGCTTGGTCCGCTGCCTCATTCCCGAGTACGCCCTGATGGGCTGCGATCCATGAGAATTTGATTTGCCATCCAAGCTAGCGAAGAGAATCTAGCTTTCGAATCGCTTCTATCAGAATTTGTTGTCCAGAGGGGCATTTCGGGTTCTGCATCGCCCGTAGCGTAGCTTGGTTGTCGGTAAATATAGTGCTATTGCCGGCTCTAACGCCTGCCTGGTGTAAGTCTTCGACTAGCATTAGTGCTAATACCAAACCTTTCAGCTCCGCAGCGTACACGGTCGAAGTGCTGGCTGTCCCCATATACTCGGTCCTTTTCTTGTTGATGCCTGCAGCTGGTAACTCAAGGGCAATTGCAGCTGCGCCTACATGTCCGTTGATGCCGCTTGATTTGATGTATTTTCCGTCTATAATAGCCTGCAGTGGCATGGAGACGTGCTGGTCAACAGTGCCTTTACTAAGTAGAATTTCCTCGCGATTTTCTCGAGAAAGAGTTCACGAAACTTCGATGGTCGCTCCCGAGTAGGTATGAGGATTATGTCACGTAGCTGTCTAGGTAGTACGAGAAAAGTTCGCTAAACGTGATGCTATTGTTGACTGTTCTATATATGAGATAGAAAAAAGACAACAAACTTGAAGGAGGACAAATCCCTTTCCTCCTTCCACAGTTCACTTCTCTATTTATATACAAGGTTGTTGTGGTTCTGCCAGCTGGCGGCTTTCCTTTGCCAGCTGGCAAACACTTGTTGTTGAAACTTCTCTATTTGCCAGCTAGTAAGCGAACACTTTGCGTAGCAACTATTTCGACATCGTGACTGTCGTGAGCGTTGTGACCGACAGACCACGGAGCGATCCAGCAAGTCGTCACAGATTACCTAATTTGTTATGGTCGCGATGTTGTGGGGTCTTTCCTTCACGCGTCCTCAGGAGAACTCTTCTCTCCACCACTAGTAAGTTGCAGCATCCGCTATCGACATTCGGTCCGTATCTCGTCGTCGGGAAGTCCGGGGGTTTTGGTCTATTTAGTATATACTATTTAGGTTGTGCTCAAGTGGGTGAAACAAAGGAAAGTAAATGATTGGTTGGTGAAATGAAGTGAAGATTTTGTCGGGATTGCATCGCCGCTCGCTCTGGTACAGCGAGTGGTGAACGCATCCCTTGTCGGTGCACGTTTGGCAAAATTTGCGCCTGTCCGTTCAGTACAGGCAGGCGTCAGTTTTGTCGACAGTCATACTATACGCCCTTGGCTATATGGCGCGCCGTTATTTCCGTCTTTCATACTATTGCCCGCCGCGGGCAACAGTGTTAGAAGAAGTATTCCGCAATACGCGCGAAGCGCTTGTGGTCGGTGGTGAGCGCATCATTAATGCGATAGGATGGTACGCGGAGCCAAATTGGGACCCTTCTACATTGGGAGATGTGCTTGGTGTCTTTCGTTTTGCTGCAGGCACAGTTCGGCTAGTATTCGGTGTGGTTAAACCTCTCGTGGTACTCTGCAAAGTCGCCGTGGCCTGTGCGGGCCGCGAGAAGATGTGCGAGTAGCCATCGAGGGAGACTTAATTCGGGGTTAGGCTTGAGGGAGAATTTGATGCCAAGGTGCTTATACGTGCTGCTAGCATTCTTGCTCCACCAGTCTCGTGCGGCTTGGGAAGCCATGATCGTGCCAGCTGCGAATGTAGGCGTCTGTTGGCTCGAAGTAGTCGGTGCCGCTGCACCCAAGCTTCGCCAGCTCGTCGGCTCGCTCGTTCCCTGGTATCCCCATATGCCCAGGAACCCAACGGAAGGAGACCTTGTCTGTGGCCATCTTTCGGATAGCCTCGATGGTCTTGATTGGGGTCTTGGCCGGTCTGCCAGCAAGGGTCTTGAGTACGGAAGTGTTATCCAGGTATACCGTGGCACTCCTGCCATTGCTTCGGCGGAGGGCTGAACGGAGGCCGCGGAGCACGCCCTCCGCTTCAGCGTCATAGACTTCAGCGTGTAGCAGGTTGCCGTGCGTGTGGAATATCTCAGTTCCGTCGAGGTATCCTACTGCGCCGCAGCCTGTGTTGCCATTGTCGTCTTGCGAACCGTCTGGGGAGACGGTGATTCCGTTGTATCCAGCGAGCCACGTCTCAAAACTTTTCGTGGCTTGTTCTTTTGTTTCTGGTGTGATATGCACTCGGAGCCTTTTTGGTTCTGGTGGCTAGAGAGCTGTGTGTTTCCGCCACGGGGTTATTGCAGAGGTATGGTGGAGTCTCGTGTGCCTTTGGCGAGGCTGACACCAACGGCCTCGTTGCACGAGCTGGTGTTGTTTGTCCAGAGTGCGCAAGCGTGCGGCAGTGCGTTGCTGTATCCCGTAGAGGATATATTAGATGGGCGGTATGGATGCTTCGCGCCGATTTTATGATTTTATGATTTTATGATTGATTTTATTGATTGATTGATTTTGTTTGTTTGTAGGGTTGTTTGTTTGTATATTAACGTCTATATAGCGCTACAGAGTAGCATAAGACGTGTAGAGGAGGGGCTAACACATACAGCAGTTCCACAGGCCAACGAACCACCGCACGTGTGTCGCGACGCCAATGCCTTCGGGTCCACCCCGTTGGTCTCCGCGTCCTGTCCTGCCTCCTCCCTCAACCACAGTTTCACGCCCGAAGGCCATCGTTTTCTAACTCCTTACCCGACGCGGGATCCAGAGAAGGCTCTAGGTGCCCCTATTGACTTCTGGCTTCTTAATTGGGGGCCAGTGCACCCTGTGAGTAGTGGGTGTCTTTCCCAAGCAAATTTTGTCTATCTAGGTAAGGGAATGGCTGGGCGCCAATAAGGGAAAGTATGGACAAAAGAAAGCTCATTGGGGAGGTGTTGATGAGCGCAACACTGCCGAGCGGTTGAGTGGAGGTATTACTACCTATGTGTGCAGATTCTATTGAAGTACACGTCCGCGATTCGACAGAACACCTTGTACTGCGAGCCGAGAAAGCGACCGATAGACTTCGATACATCGGGTGCAAGCCAAGCTCGAAAGCCTAGAGGGACCTTTCAGCAGTAGAACCTTAGAGCATATGTATTTGGGTCTGCCTGTGGAATATTGCCGCCTGGGAAAGCGTTTCTACTATAGACTGACAATTCGGGATTGTACAGCTCTAGCAGAGCATCAGTGGCTGTACCCCATTCCCAAAACTTCCCAGACTTGGTGACCATAAACCCATGTCTTGACTATGAGCACCGTCCCTCTAGAGAAGTATATGCCAGGGAAAGAAGAAATCTCTAGGCGGGAACGGTCACGGCACGTCTAAGACCCACCTCAAAATCATTAGACCTATGTCATACCAGCTTCCTAATCAAGCCTCTCGATCCGTACCTACGTGGGCTAGAGACATAGAATAGATACATATACTAACCGGCAAATTGACCAGTAAGAATGTGTCATTCCTTTTGTGCCAAGCATCTGATAGTTGACTCGAGAGTGGAAAATGCCGCGCCTAGAGGACGAGGCGGGACTACCCTGCGTCTGTGCTAGTTCCCATACTCCCTGTAGAATATGAACTTTAGTCTTGTGGCTGAGGCCCACAAGTACCAAGTGGACCGTCGAATTTATGCTTATAATACCCAATTGCTATTGGCCGTTAGTCCGAGTAGAGGCCAAAAAGGGAAACATGGTGATAATACATCCATATACACCAGGTCATGTCATGTTACTTCTGGGAGTGACATTGCAATAACATAGGCTTTCGGATAGATTAATACTATTCTCAGCAATACAGAAAGGCAGAAATCAACTACCGGTTTATGGATGATATACACACACGCACAAGCCACATTCCCCACCTACAACCAACATTTCTTGTAGTTTGGTGAGTCTCGGCCTCAAGCCGACTTGGTACCTCAAGTAGAGGGAACTCCTGCTATCTATGGAACGACTCTAGACCTCTTGCTTCAAATGGGGGGACCCCACAACTCGTCCTATATCCCCTTTATCCATAATTAGGGTTATAGTATATAAGATCCCCCCTTGGTGCTAGCTGCAACGCTCGTGTTTCCATATTCGACAACATTAAGACTATTTCGTGGGATCAGCAAGGTCCCAACTTCTTCACCTCATGGTTTCTAAAAACTCCCTCCTTGGGACACTTTTCTTGGTTGCGTCCCTCTGCAACGCTGCTACGCCGGATTTCCGTATCATGAAAGCCCGAAGTGGTGTGCAGGTGAGACAGTCAACCTCGGATCCGTCTTGTCCAGCCAATTTCGTGTGCAAGACCACCCAGTGCCCTGGCAATGTGCTATGCTCCTCGGGTGAGGACTGTATTAATGTTGACGGTACTCTGGCGTGTGTCGACAGCAAAGCCAAGGTGTGCGCTTTGAACCCTGATACCCTAGAAGCCGTGCTTTGTCCCGAGGGTAAGGGTGTTTGTTGGTAAGTCATCATGATGTGGTGTCTGATTTGGCTGTCTTTATACTCTCTAGCTAACGTAATTCTCAGCCATGGGAACTGCTATACGGATGAGGCCGTCTGCTGTGACTTCCCCAATGTCAAGTGTGCCGTCGGGGAGCTGTGTGCGAATGTGTGTCAGCCAGGTCAGGTATGCGGCCGTAGTGGCTGTGAAGGCGGCCATGCTTCATCGTCGACATCCCATCTGATCGGTCCTACGTCTTCGAACAATGTCCGAAGCCCGAGCTCTAGTAAAGTCCTTGTGCCAACGAGTTTGCAGTCCAAGTCCCTGGCTGTACCTCCAACAACCACGTCGTCTGCTACTTCTGCCCCGATCAGCGGTCCCACACAAGTCCCATCTACCAACGGCTTCAAACTGAAGGGCTGCTTTATTGACAAGTCGAATGATCGCGTGTTAAAGGATGGTACAAAGAAGGATTCCCTCATGACAGTTGAAAAATGCACTGAGTCGGCAGAGGACTGGCGTTATGCCGGTCTAGAGTCTGGCAGGTAAGATTTCTCCTATGTGTACCGGATGATGTACTGTCCAGGCTGTTTCGCTATTCTATGCTAATCTCCGACCATTAATCGCTCTAGTCAATGCTTCTGGGGCAATGTCCAATTCAACGATCAGATCTCTGATGCCAATGATTGCAACATCGCCTGCGGCGGAGCGAAGTCGGAAGCTTGCGGTGGCGAGAACCGAATCTTGCTCTATGAAAACCCAGACTATGTTGACCCAACCAATGCTATCTATGTTCGCGACTTGAAAGATTGGAGAGAGGAGCTGGACAAGATGCGAGGCTTAATTACCGAGTTTTATAAACTTGTCATTATATACGTTGGGCAGAGCCATGACGAGCCTGGCAAGCGAACTGCTAAACGGGCACCTCCAGGCAGTCTTCTAACGCAGATTATGAATGCCCGCAACGCAGTCAGTTCTGCACGCCCGGTACTCTGTATGTAATCTTCATCCCCGGGTATTATGATGTAACGAGCTAACGGTCAAACATAGCTTCTGCAAGCAACCTGGTGCTCAGGGCTGCTGGTAGAGCTAGGGCAGCTCGAGTGGTACGTATTGAAGAGAGGCCTTTTGAAAACCTCGAGCATAGAATTTGCAAAGCTGATTCTCCGAACACAGATTGATGGGAACGAATATATTGAATTGACCAGCATATGTACGCCATTTCTTGCTACAGCCAGTCCGGCGAGGCTCTTCCTAAAAGTGAAGAGAAGACTTCGTCGATCAGATCTGCTAACTTCCCACAGCCAGTCGCACCGCCTCAGCAGCCGAAGCAGTATCGGCAGTTGATGTAAGCAGCCCTGCCACCATCAGAACCGCTTCCAGAGTTGCCACGCAAGCAGTGAGTTGTACAATGACTTAATAGTGAGCTGGCTGCAATAGCTAATTCCATTGAACTAGATTACCGTGTTTGGAGCCTCTGAAATTGTTATTGCAGGCGTCGTCACTCTGCAAGCTGTTGGAATTTGTACGTCTACGTTTGTATATCTCACATTCAGATACTTTTCTCTAACGACTTGGTGTATTTGGCGGATAGTTTTCACTCTGTTTCAGTTCATCGCCCGCCATGAAAATGATGGCAATCCTGTCCCGACCAGCACTTCGATAATGCCTTCGGGGACGCCGACAATGCCTTCCGGGACGCCTACAACTACAAGTAGTTCGAAGCCATCACCAACTGGAGTGGCTAGAACGCGTATCGTCACCTTCACTGAGGACATGACATCTGCTCAGTTTTATGCGACCATAGCTGCTTTGGTCTTAGCTGGAAATGAAATCACCGACTTAATTTCCCTTGATAAGCCGGTATTTTATGGGTTTTTAGGAAACCTCTATGACTTGGATACTTTACTTCTATCCAAACATCCGTTGATTGCTGGCCTCGGCCTCAACGGCATGGGACGCATCGACGACCTAGACTTGCGCACGCCAGGACCAAACACGGGGGCTGGCCAAGCCAACGAGTCTGTATCTACCTCATCAAAGCAGACCAGAGGTCGTGTCACAGATCAAGCTGTAAACAGTGAAGCAAATTCATTGGCCAATAGCTCCATTCTTCTAGGCCGGGATCTCCAGCCAGTCAATGCAATTGAGGAGACCGTGCGGTACAAAGACAAAGCTACTGGGGCCTGGAGGGTTTTGGATCAGGAACCGTTTGCTCTGCAGTGGCTCGGCAGTTTGTGGGCACAAAATGCTCTAACGGGTAACTGTAAGTGCCCCTTTTCATCCCAATCATCTTCTTCACATTACTCAATATATAACTAACTATTCTGCTGCAGATGTCGGCTACAGCCACGCCCTTATTGATAAACAATTAACAAAGCGCGTTCCCGTGTATGTTATGGACACTGGTGTTGATCGGGATCACGAGGTAAGTGCAATGTTCGCCAGCTAGGATATACTACGGCCGAAAAAAAATGCACGATGGGTGTATTCTGGTGTTAATGCATTCCAGGATTTCAAGGGTCCCAATCCTCAAGCTTTCAATTTCCACATCGATGTCACAGAACCCAATGGGAATGGAGATGACGTATTCGGCCATGGTACTGCGATGGCTGGCTGTGTTGCCGGCAACATTGGTGGAACCTATAAGTTCGCTGAACTCGTTCCTGTTAAGGTGGGGTTGAACGATGGGACTCTACCAGCATGGAATGCTATAAAGGGCATAGCGCAGATACTGGCGCGACAACAGGCCATTGGCAATCCAGGGAGCGTTGTTTCCATGTCCTTTAGCTTCACGACATCAGCACTGCGCGACGTCTTCATCCAGGTTGGGTACGAGCCTTTTCTTCCCCTGTTGCAGAGGTTACCGCGCCACAATGTCGTCATTGTTATGTCGGCTGGAAATCTTCCCAATGAGCCCATCGGAGCTAAAGTGCCGCAAATATTTGGTGGTATGTCAACTCCCTTGATAATAGTTGGGTCAACGGATGCGAACGGCCATCGGTCGCAATTTTCGAGCTATATTGACGAGAAGCATCGCGGACTTCTATCTCTTTATGTTATAGGTGAGGCAATAGTCGAACCAAATTCTGGAGGTGGCTATTCTCGCAGGTCAGGAACCTCACCTGCCGCCGCCATGGTAGCGGGCATGGCTGCCAGGCTTATTGCAGCCAACGTTGCACCAGCAGCGATCAAGTCCCAACTTATACGTGAAGGGATTCAGCTCAAAGGAAATGACTGGGATTTCGACGACGGATTTCCTGTCGCCCGTGGAGGCATAAAGAACCAGGTTCCTTGTTCAGATCCTGTGCTACCCCCTCTTGCAACTCCCACGTACACAGTTTACCAAGAGGGAAGTAATGTTGTGCTGGACATCACTGCGAACTTCGCCTCACCTGGAGCTGCGACATCTACTTGCTATGACGTTGTTTTTCATACTCCAGCGATATTGCCTACAGTCACGAGTGCCGCAACTTAGTTATCTATTTGTTGTAGAGCTAAATCTGTGATCGGAGAGTAGGGTCGACTTGAGCTGAAGTAGTAGCAGTCGCTAGTCTTCACAGGTAGACTTTTAAGCTTTACTTGTCGTGTGAATTATGAAATTCCTCTATTTATTTGTTTTTGATATACCACATTACACACTTCCAATCGCTATATGTCAAGTTCTATCTAGTGTATATAAACTTAATTGTCGCCTTGAGCTACAAAATCTCGCTTTATATTGTCTCGTAGGGTGGTAAAGGTCAGAGAGTCCTCCACCTCTCTTTTAGATAGCACATCTTCAAAGGGGATATGCTGGCTAGAGGAATTGCTTTCGAGGTCGAATTCAATATCCTCGTCTGCACTTCGGGTAGCAAGCTTTGCGGTTAGGAGTGCTTGGGCCTTCTCCTCATCAGTCGTATATACCAGGTTGTTAATCTATAGGGGAGGAGGTTCGAAGCGCGCCTTTGGCTTAACCCAACTTGTTATCTTAAAGATATCACTCTTATCTTTGATCCCCCCGAGGAAATCTTGGAAGCCCTTCTTTCTGGCCTTCTTAATCGCCCTTTGTAAGTCTCGTCTTGCTGTTTGCACTTCTAGGCCTGTTGGGTTCCTAGAAGCGATCTTGATAGCGGGGAGAGTGTCATGTGCTTCTTTACAGCCACCGTCCCACCAGGGTTTAAATTTCGGCCGTCGACCCGTTGCCTGACGGCCTGCTGTTCTTATTGCGAGGTCTAGAATCCCTGTTAGGTCTCTAGCCAGTTGTTCAGCCCCCTGGACGCAGTCAATGGTTGTAGGAAGTGCTATAGCTGAGGCTTGGACTAGCTCTGCAAAGCGATTATATTCTTCTTCTGTAGACAGCCGAAATTTCTTTGTGCTTGCTGGAGGGGAAGGGGCGTATGGGATCTCGACTGAGATGGTATGATGTAGAGCTCCCACGGTAAGATGCTCTTCCATAGTCGCTGTTGAGCCTGGGACGTTCGAGAAGGTCAGGTCAATCGTCGAGGTAGTCCATTACAAGCTAGTACCCATAGTAGTAGGGGAGTTGATCTTAGTTAGCAAAGCGAGATCATTAGTTTCTATCCATTCTGAGATACGGTGCCCGTCATGTGTGGCGGGTTTTGTTGTCTGCCACATCGGGTGGGTGGTATTAAAGTCTCCTGCAACTAGTGTATCTAGTGGGGGTGTCCAGGAAAGCAGTGTATCAAGTCCAGTGGATCCTTGATTATAAAAGTTAATTGCTGTAAGTCCATTGACCTTGACCCCGATTATATCGCGATAGCTAAAGTTATAGGCTTGGGTTGCGCTTATATGTGGTGAAATCCGTATATATGTCATTACTCTAGGACAAGTACTGCGAGAGTCCCAGGTATTAATAGGTGAGAAGCACCTATAAGCGGGGTGCTGCTACGTACGGCAGGTATGTCGTTTAGGGTTAAAAGATGTATATAGTTCTTGGATAAGGATAACCTCGTAGCCTGATGTGTTGCTAGGTGTAGGGCGAGGTCATGGCTAGACTGGCTCTTGTCGATATTCGCTTGGAATACTCGTAGTCCCCTAAGGCGATATATTATCTACGTAATTTCTACAAAAGCTAAATTTGGCCTTGTAGATGTAGATGACAAGTACTGTAGCTTGATTGATTGATTGATTTTATTTACGTCTATCTGGCGCTCTAGGGTAGCATAAGACGTGTGGCCGATTGGTAATATGAGACGAAGATCGGGATCCCGCGTAGGCGGCGCCAGCCGCCATGAAACGTGACGACGCCGAGCCGAGGGCCCACCCCTTGGGATTCCTTTGCTCCACGTCTCCTCCTTAAACAAACCACAGTAACACGATAATTTTCCAACTCCTTACCCGACGCGGGATCTAGAGAGGGCTCTAGGAGCCCCTATTGACTTCTGGCTTCTTAATTGGGGGCCAGTGCACCCTGTGGTTAGTGGGTGTCTTTCCCAAGCAAATTTTGTCTATCTAGGTAAGGGAATGGCTGGCGGGCCAACAAGGGGAAGTATGGACAAAAGAAAGCTCATTGGGGAGGTGTTGATGAGCGCAACACTGCCGAGCGGTTGAGTGGAGGTATTACTACCTATGTGTGCAGATTCTATTGAAGTACACGTCCGCGATTCGACAGAACACCTTGAACTGCGAGCCGAGAAAGCGACCGATAGACTTCGATGCATCGGGTGCGAGCCGAGCTCGAAAGCCTAGAGGGACCTTTCGGCAGTAGAACAAGTGTGTTGGAGTCTTCTCGTGGCCGCATGGGCACTCCAGTGTAGCGTCGTCGTGATGGAAGCGCTGATGGTACGCGGCGAAGTCGCCGTGGTGAGACCGTGCAGCGAGGAGATGTCGGAGTTGTCGTCGGGGGATATCGAGTTCTGGGAGACAAGTACTGTAGCGTACTAAGGCCGTGAGGGTCTCGGGTAGCTCTCGACCAGGGATCCATGTAAGTCATATAAGAGGCTACTCCAGCCAGCTAGAATAGCCCCTTTTCGACCTCGTCTTCTTCATCTTCGGATACTCGTAGTAGTCGCTCAGCTAGTTGTCAATATACTCAGTTGAGACTAACGATCAACTCGATCAGTGATCGCTTCGATCATGGGTGTCACGTGATCCGACTGTGCTGCCTTCTTAGGTTATAACGGAGGGGCGGCCCATCGACGAGGCCCCTCGTCCCTGATTGACCTGTAACAATGGTGTTGGTATGCCTGGGATGGGTTGGTCGCTCGACATTTTACGACAAGCTTTTTGCAGGCAGACGGCTGTTATCGACTTGTATGTGCAAGAACTAGACTATAAATACTCATTCATTAATTTACATAGTCTTATTCAGGTTATACTGTTGATTTTTAAGGACGTAGCCGCACAGTTATGTATAGTAAAAGAGAGAGATGAGACGATGCTTCTGTGTATAGGTAAATATAGTAGTTGGTCGACTGAGGTAGTTTAGTATAAAGTAAAGAACTCCATTCGGTATAGATAATAGCTTAGCCTTGATGGTACGGGCCGTCATATTCTGAGGGCGACAATTCTTGGCTGCCATCCACGCCGTCAATCCATCCACGCGCCTCGCATATGCAGTTGATACTCAAGTTATTTGCACCATTAATGTACCAGTGTTCATTTTTTTTTTTTTGCTTTCCAATAGTTAGCATATAGATCTTTGTTTTCATAAAGACAGCGAAGTGGCGTATTCCCCAGATCGCAGGTGGTTGTGCAATATGCCTATGATAGCGCTGGTGGTAGTTATCGATAGCGGCACGACAAACACCAGCACCCGCTGTTGTCGCCGAAGCTTCCCAATTCCAACCCTTCACATCTGATTGCACACGACATCGGCGCACGGCGGCATCGAGCTCAAAACCCGTCGCAATGTCTGCCATTTACAATTTAGAGCCGCAGCCGACGGCATCGGCAATCATACACACGACATTAGGCGAGATCATGGTGGAGCTTTTTGCTAAGCAGACGCCGCTCACCTGTCGCAACTTTTTGCAGCTCAGTCTCGACGGCTACTACGACGGCACCGTCTTCCACCGCCTCGTCCCCAACTTTATTCTGCAGGGAGGCGATCCGACAGGCACAGGAAACGGCGGCGAATCTATATACGATGGTGGCGCCTTCAGTGGCGATCTCGACCCGTGGCCCATGGACCTGCGAACAGGCCAAAACGCCGGTCCCACGGGCATCAACTTTGCCGACGAATTCCATTCACGATTGAAGTTCAATCGCCGAGGTCTCTTGGCCATGGCAAACGAGAGTAAACCGAATACCAATGGCAGCCAGTTCTTCTTTACGCTGGACAAGACGGAGGAGCTGACGGGTCGCAACACGTTATTTGGCCGCGTCGCTGGCGACACCATCTACAACCTGGCCAAGATTGGAGAATCCGAGGTTGCAGAGGGTACAGAGCGGCCACTCTACGCTGTGAAAATCGAGAGAATCGAAATTCTGGTCAACCCGTTTGAAGACATGAAGAAGCGAACGCGAACAGCAACACATACAACTACGAAACCGGCCGAGAAGGAAAAGAAGAAGAAGCGCAAAGCAGGCGGCAAACAATTACTAAGCTTTGGAGACGATGAAGGAGAAGAGCAGGAAATTTCATTACCTAAAAAGCCCAAGTTTGATACTAGGCTTATTGCCGATGAAGAGCCAGAGGAACCAGTAACGAAACCCAAGTCATCGAAACCAAAAGCAAAGTCGAAAAAGATTACAATAGAAAGAGATGATGAGAATGGCGCTGAGCCAATAAAGGCGTCAGAGGCTGTAGAACAAAGGAAACCCACAGCTGCCCGCCATGACGATGACGACGACGACATGGACGATGTCCCAGAGCCACCCAAGAAGACAGCATTGGAGCTTGCCAATGAAGAAATGGCTGCTATTAAAGCGTCAATGAGACGAGAAGTCCACCCTGGAGCAGATGTCGTCGAAAAGAAGAAGTCGGCGTTAGAAAACATGATCCCAGAAACCTCAGTGCGAGGCGCAAGAAAGCGACGACCCGGTGGCAACACTGCAACAGCAGCCAATGATGCCAGCACGCTCAAGTTCTTGGCGCAATTCCAGTCCAAGCTGGGCAAGGCTGTACCTGAGAAAGAAACAGCAGAGCTTCTGGACAAGTCAGAACAAGGCGCGTCGGACCAAAAGGCAGCAGATGACGAAGAAGCGGAGCAGTGCGATTTGCACTTTATTGTTGGCTGCCAAAGTTGCACATCATGGGACAAGCAGGAAAAAGAAGAGAGCGATGACGAGGGCTGGATGGGCCATAAGCTATCCTTTGCTGCCGACAGGCTCGGCAAGGACCTGAACAATCGCAGAAAGGCGGAGGAGGAGCTCGTCGTTATCGACCCGAGAGCCAAGGAACGCTCGTTTAAAGACAAGCGTGCCGGGCGAGACGGCCGGTCAGGAGACTCGGGAGGCAGAGCGTGGGATCAGCGACGGGATATGGCGCGGAATGCGCAAATGGCCAAGTCGGCGTCGCTTGCTGGCCGTGGTGCAAAGTAGGTAACAGTTGCACTATATAATAAAACATATTACACAATGAAGAGAACACTATACTGTCCAAGTCGAAATAGTTTATCATTTTTGAGCCCGGTAATGCTGCGAGTTTGGATCCAAGAGGTTGCTAGCCTCACCGCCAACGCCAGCAACTGAAACAGCCCTATCAGTGGTGGACTCGTTCAGGGGCCTCGCGTACGACACAAGCATAAATGCTAGTGAGTCATGCCGAGTATATGGAATCATTTGATAAGTTACCCTTTTAAGCACCGACGTAAGGCTGTGGCTTGTAGCTCGGATAGCCGCTCCGAGGTACCAATCTTGAGCATGTCGGATACAACAGACTAGGGAGCGCTCAATCAGAGAGTTTAAAAAAAGTATATAAAGGCAGTGTTGATAGCTCTAAAGTTTGTCGTAAATTGCCCTTTACCTGCCAGTTATTTCTCTATATTTATAACTCCCTCATCAACAACATGAAGACCACGGCTGCTCTCTCTCCTTTGGCCCCCATGGCGGCTGCCACGGTCATGTTCACCAGTAACACCACTATGACCGAAGTAGCCGCAGACATTGACACTTGCTTCTTTAATAAAAGCTGGTCGGACGGCGCCAAGACGGTTAACTGCGGCCTGGCTGATATCGACTGCATCTGCACAAAACAGCAGAAGGCCTATCTAGAGTATTTAGACACCTTAAAGCCAAAAAAGGCAGAGGAAGATATCTCTGTTGCAATGGGAGGGTGCGTGAGCCTCAAATGCCATAGCTATTATATTACGTACATTTATCCCCTGACTCATCTTCTCTCCTGAAGCCTCCCCTGAAGAACGAGGTGGACGGATAGTTGAAAGAAGGGCTTGTCACGATCTGTGCTTTTGCTAACTTGTTGGACGGAAAGCACAAATCAACGCTGACGTAGGGTCTCTTTGCTTTGTCTGGGCGCAAAATCATCCAACGGAGGACGACAAGAAAAAAGCAATTGAGATCATCAGTGATAAGATCAGTGGCAAGGATACTAGGGCGGTAAGAAGGATGGCAGCGGTAGCACTGGAAGCACAGAAAGCACTGGAGGTTCAGAGGGCTCCGGAAGCAAGGACGATAGCAAGAATTTTGGCTCTACTGCTGCGGGTAGCCTTGGTCTTGCAGTTATGGCAGCTGCTATGCTGTTGTAGAGTGACCTGGATACTAGCTTGGTTATTACACAGCAGAGACCTGAAAGCCGCTAGCTTATCACTGGTTGGAACTTGCGGCTAGTGGTTGTAAAGTTGTTCACTTCAAAAGTAGTATTGCCGTGAAATATACCTACCATTTTCTTTTGTACCACTCCAGTTAGTTCACAATCACCAAGACACAAAAGGGGAGAGAGCATTGTTTGTCACTGATGCAGATTTCGGCGTTAAGATCTGGATCACGTGATGGAGATTCGCGGTGCCAGCCTTACCACCCACCGCTTTCATTGGCCTAGGCCAGGCTCCACTTCTTTTGCTGCCTATCGGATGCGGACTGGCTGCCGGACAATTTTCAGTTTGAGACAAACAAATCACCACTTGCGCATCTGCCTGGCCCTTTTGTTCTCTCTTTTTTTTTTCCACGCCACGTTTGCATTCTCACGCCGCCCACGAGTGCTGCATTTCCTGCCAGTGCATACAAGCGACCGACGACTTTGCTCCGGAATTCCGAGCTTTGATTAATTCGAAAGGCGCGTCTCTCCTTTGCTTCTTTGCTCCGACGACGACCCAACGCGACAAAGGCGGAGCTTGTGGTTGCATCACACCCAGCGACTTGTGATCACCACGGCTACCTGCTTCCGACCGTGTTGGAACAATACCCCAGCCGCCGCTTATACAATTGTGTGGGCGTACACTTGCTCGTTTGCACAGCCCGTTCAGCTGTTCCACGCGCGCCGCGCCTGAGCTCACCGATAGCCACGTAGCTAGCTCTCGACAGCAACAACACCAGCAGCATACTGAATACAGCACAATAGGGCTTAGACTGTGCCAATCCTACCTACTTCGACTCTATTCAATCCTGTTCCAAACGACAGCATCGACGTGACACTGCCGGACAGCGTTTTTTTACTTTTCTGGGTCTTTGCGATATCCCCACATCTCGACGTCACCATGTCGTCTAGAAAAAGAGCTGCGCCCGGCGCGAATCCCACAGCAGCAGCAGCAGCAGCCGCTCAACAGAGAATGCAACAAAACTACATGACCGATAACTCTGCCGCCGACGCTATGGGTCGGTGGAACGCTACACCCGACGACCCCGCCAACTTCCTCGACGACAGCAACTTCTATCCCCTGATGCAGCAACAGCAGCAGCAACAGGCATATACACAGCCCATGGCAACACCGTCAAACACACTGACTCGTCGCCAAATGAACAATGCCCTGGTGCCTGCGAGACCGACATTTGAAGCGCCTACAGACCCATGGAGTGGATTCGACGTCGACAGCGCCCTGGTGGCACAGCCAGTCCCAACCGCCACAGAAGAGGCACCAGAGCCCGACAGTATTGAAAAGCTGGAAGAGATGGCACAAAAGGCGAAGAAGGAAGCGCAGACAAAGCGCAAGTCTATCCCGCCGTTTGTTCAAAAGCTGAGCAGGTAAGTGGTTATTTGAGAGAGTGTTACCAGCATGAACGCTAACATTGTCCTAGTTTCCTGGAAGAGCGCAAAAACGAAGACTTGATCCGCTGGTCTGATAATGGCGACTCATTCATTGTTCTCGACGAAGACGAATTCGCAAAGACGCTCATCCCCGAGCTGTTCAAACATAACAAGTACGCATCCTTTGTCAGACAACTCAACATGTACGGCTTCCACAAGTGCGTCGGCCTTTCCGACAACTCGATGCGAGCGAGCGAGCGCAAAAACAAGAGCCCCAGTGAATATGCCAACCCGTACTTTCGCCGCGGCCACCCCAACCTGCTGTGGCTCATCAACAAGCCCAAGAGCGATCCCAAGCCCGGCACCGGCAAGGCAGCGAAAGCCACCGATGCTGACAACAGCGATGACGAAGGCGGTAATGAGGACGGCACATCCCACCATGCGACGGTTGGAGCGCTACCTGCGTCACGCGCGTTGCCGTCGTCCGAGGGCAGCACAGCTCCCATCCAGAAGAAGGAGATTGGTGTGATTCGCGAAGAGCTGCGTAAGGTACGGGAGCAGCAGAAGCTCATTCTCGGCGCAATCAACAGAATCCAGCAAAACAACAACGACCTCTACAACCAAGCCATGATGTTCCAGAACCAGCACGACCGCCACCAAAACTCCATCAACGCCATCCTTAACTTCTTGGCCAACGTGTTCCGCAAGACACTAGAGGACCAGAGCAGTAACCAAAACGTCAACGACATCATCTCGAGCCTCATGTCGAACCAAGCCGGTGCCGGTGGCCACGGCAGCGTCGTGGATCTAGGCGACTTTTTCCAGTCGCAAATGGACCACTCGGGCGCCATGGGCGGGCCGCCAAAGCGAGCTAGAGGACTCCTCCCACCTATTCCAGGCCAGACAGCCCAGTCGTCACGGACAGCATCGGTGTCGACACCGTACCAGGGATCGCATGCCCAGATGGGCCATGTCACCGAGCTCAACGAGGCTTCGCCGTCCGAGTCCCCATCGCTGCGCCAAGAACTCGAAGCTAACCCTCAGGAGCGCATGATGAAGATTATCAACGACCACAACAACGCCAATTCCTCACCCATGGATCTGCCCAAGGTGGAGGAGCTTGTCGCCAACACACCCAACACCCTCAGCAACGACCAGCGCAGCCAGCTCGTCAACTTTATGGCTGGCCAGGCCAACTCACCGTCGTCAACATCTACACCGGCCAGTGCGACTCCCTCGACACAAACCCGATCGCGGACGTCGGCATCTGCACAAGGCTCCGGTTCTGCTGCGACTACTGCTCCCAACGGTGCCGCAGCGTCTACTGGGAATTCATCTACCAGCGCAGCTCCTCCGTCTCTGTCACCCATCATGCGCTCACCGCAGATGGTCGTACCATCTTTAAGCCAGATTAGCGCCAACCAAGAAGAACTCGCCAGGCTGCAGCAGCTGCAAAGCGAGCAGGACGCCAAGATTAACGAGCTCGGCTCCCTGCTGGGCCCGCTGAGTCCGTCGGGCCGCATCCCGGGGCTCGACGACCCCGACACGTACTTTAACCAGTCGGGCGTCGACGACTTTGACCAGCTCTTCAACAGCGACGCCTTTGTCAACGACCCGGCCTTTCTGAATACCGACGACTTTAGTTTCCCTGGCGATGCTACCGACAAGCCGCAGGAAGATAAGGATACGCCTGGGTCGACAGGCACCGAGGAGATTCAGCGCGATGATTTAGCGGACACGAGCGGCCCCGAGACTCGCGGTTCTAAACGCCAGCGTACCACCTAAACCCTATTCAAACACACTCAGTCCATGTCTGAGTGTAGACATAGGCAGTGTTGCAGAACAAATAAGGGGGACATTTCAGCATTGGAGCATAGTTGCAGTAGTTTGATTCTGGTTCGTGTTGTTTTGGAGTGCGTACAGAAAAGGATCATTTTGGGTGTGTGTTTTCATCTGCTTTTTTGTGTTCTGCAAGCTCCAGCATATACATTTTAAACTGCTTGAATGGGTACAAAATGGAGAAAGGGGCGGGTGAAAGTGCATTGAAAAGATTTTAAAAAGGGAGGCAGTTTGGCGTCAACAGGCGTGGCGGAAACGGAACTGGATTTGGGATTGTTTTATATATTTTTGGAAGCTACTGTTGCCAAGGGTATTTGGTATTCTAGGTACATATTCTCTATTCATATGGTGGTGCTGTAGTACAAGCACTCTTCTCATCATGGTCTCTGGCTTCTTTTGTCGCTCGTGGCGGTTTTCTATATACATTTTCCATGGAGACATGTGTGTTCCACCGCAAAATCTGTGTGACATGGGTGTCGTAGCAGTAATTGCATTCGCAGCAAGGGCCGTACCGGTAGTCGCAGTAGCTCGGTATAGCGTGGCGGGCGGCATGGCATATAGATGCATCGATGCGGTTTGGGCCCAGACTACATTGTCGGGGAGAATGGCATCGCGGCGTGTAGATGACCTCATTCGTTAGCCAACTGCTAACCGGCTGCAGTGGCAGGTTGTTGATGGAAGCTCGGCGGGTGTATTGTGGCGTGGTAGACTTTCATTCCAAGGGTGCTTCAGCTGGCAAGCGGATTGGCGTGGACAGTGACAGACTCAATTTTAAAGGGAGGCTTGGGACGGCTCTTCTTGTCGACGTCGACCTTTTCCATCTTGGCCAGCGTCCCGAGGCTGTCGTCGCCAATGACCTTGCCAAAGACGGTATTGAGTCCGTCGAGATGGGCAGCCTTGGCAAAAGTAATGAAGAACTGTGAGCCGTTTGTTCCCGGTCCCTTGTTTGCCATGGAGACTACGCCGCGCTCGGCATGGCGCAGAGCTGGCCGGATCTCGTCTTCAAAGGCACCGCCCCAGATAGAGCGGCCGCCCTTGGGATTGTCGGGTGTCGGTTCGGCCGGGCCGCCGGTCTGGACCATGAAGCTGGGGATGAGGCGGTGAAAGGGCGATCCATCGTAGTAGCCCGATGCGCAAAGGGCGAGGAAGTTCTAGACAGAGAAACGTGTGGTTAGCATGTTGGCTTGTGAGAGGCGAGAGGGGTAGCGCACTTCGGCGGTCTTGGGGACGCTTTCGCAAAAGACTTCGATTTTCACGTCGCCCAGAGACGTGTGTAGCGTGACGGACATGGCTGTTGATTGGAAACAGCAGCAGCAGTGGCAGGGGTTGAGGAGTTGGTGGACGGGGGATTGGTTGGCGAAGCGGAGGCGACACGGAGAAAAAGTTGGTTATGCAGCTTGGTTGGGTGGCGCGTGCTGGGCTTGCTTCCGTGGTGGGTAGAGCTCCAGCGCACGGCGGAGTCGCGGGGCCGAAAGCGGGCGAGGCCAGCGCTGTCCGAGGGGGTTGACCGCCGGGGGGACAGAAAGGATGAGGGGAGGGGTTACAGTGGAAGCGGTGCAAGTGTCTGAGCGTTGAAAAGGCTGCGGTTTGGCTTTCAGGGGTGGTTGTGCAGAAAGCAGTTTAGCGCTGGTGAGCTGGCCGTTACAGGGAGGTTTGGTGCACGATGTTGGGACGGTTTGAATCCAAAATTAGCAACTTGACATGAGATTGTATGTAGTGTGTGTTGTAGGACAGGGTATAGAGGTGGAATGGGGATGAGAGGAGCAGGAGGTTGGCCAAGAGAAGAGCAGATGGTTCTTTTCTGCTTTTTATTTTTTAACTGCTTGTGGCTATTCTTTTGCTCCTACCTTTAATTGGCCCGCCACAGTTTCTATAGCGTGGGACTTTGATACGTTGTGTTGGGAGCGCAAACTAGGCTGAGCTAGGCTGTAACAGGGCATGTTGTGCGTGCGTGCATGCAAATGGAGCTAAACTGCTCAAGGCAGACTGGCCACAAGAAAAGCAAGGATACTATGTTTGCATTGTATTTAAGCCAAGGGCTGTTAATTTTAATGACATTGAAATTAGATTGTCATGGTATTTTTGGAAGTGAGGGATGTGGGTGGATGGATATGGGTGTCTGTTGGTGGCTGTCGTAGTAACAGTAATAGTATCAAACGCTTAGTAGCCACCTTGCAGGTACCCTTTGCCTACAAATGCCTATTCTCAGTACTCCTATTAATCATAGTAGTAGATGTTTATTGTAGAATCAACCGAGCGTCGGGGATTGGCCGGCGTAGAACCCCTGGGAATGGGATGCTCTTTGCTGCAGGATCGGTGCAGGGTACCTCGAGGCGGAGCTCATTGCGTAGGGCGGCAACAGTAGCAGTCGGACGTTCCATAGACACCGGTTCTATGCTTCCCATTCATGACCGGTAATTGTGCTTCTATGTTTCAGCCATTTTCTATACACCCATAATACTGCAACTTTTACTCTTTTTTATTTTCAAAGGCTTGTGCGGCCGATAAAATTCCCGTTGCCCCGATGCCTGGTGCTGCAGAGGCTTCGTCGACAAAACGCCACCTCCAGACACCACCCTGGCCAAGCCGCTCTCAGTGGCTCGCTAAGCGCCGTGCCTTGCGCGCCTGGTACCTGTTTGCTGTATGTTTTGGGCTTGCTTGCGCACGTACGCTGCGGCCGAAACGGCGATCCGAGGCCAGTTGCGGTGGCCAATTGCGCTTAAGGAGCTGCGAAGAGAGTTTTTAAAATATTTTGTTGAATGCACCTTTGCTGTGTGTGTGTGTGTGTATCCTCTGTTTGCAAGCAAGCGCAGCAGTATAGAGTTGACCTGTGTTTATCCAACTTAGAGTGTACCGTAACTGAGTTGTTGCTCTGGCAGGCAAAGCTGTTTAGCGTACTGTGCACTGTGCAGTGACTTGCTCAGCCCAATTGTTGGCGCTAAAACAGCTGTAGGTACAGTACAGTACAGCGCTCACTGGCACGCACCAAACCCACTGGCCCTGCTGTTGTTCACACCCACGCAAGTCACCACCAGCCCAGCGCAACCCACCGAACCCAACCCACAGCACAGCACCGCAGCACCACACCCTGCTAAAACGCGGTTGGACCCGTTGTGCGCACGCTTCACTCACTTCCATCCTTGTTCTGCTCTTCTTCTTCTCTTTCCATCACCACCACCACCACTGCCTATCTCGACATTTACATTTCCTCGTCTTCTTTTTTCCCCCGACCCATTGTCATCATCCTTTTTCTTCTTCTCTCCTCTCTTCGACACACTCCATCACCCTTACCTCCTCCGCCCTCCTCCTCCGCCGCCGACGCCGATCACGCACACTACCACAACAACAGCTTGCTCCTCCAACCAACACTCAACCCGACTACCCCACCCCTCCAGAGCAACCACCACCCATCGCAGCCTGGTCCAGCGAACAACCGCACACGCAACCACCAACCAAACCCTACGGCGCTGGCCCGCATCGTCGGTTTACTCATTCCCAGATTCTCTCCTCTTGGCGACGCCGCTTGCGCCCAACATCCTCTAAAATTCCGGGATTTGCAGCGCCAAGTCAACCATTCCTGCATCGCATCGCACAGCTCCGCCGTTGCTCTCCCTCCGCTACTACCGCCCACCCATCCGCTTCGCCTCTCTCGTCCTGCGCCTCTCCAGGCGACCGTCCTTAGTCGCTCGTTTCGATAGTTACATGAAGCTCCTGGCGAGCCGCTGCCAACTTTCACCACCCTCGTTTCCGCAGCGCCGAGTTGCGCTTGAAGCCCTGGCGGCTGCCTCCATGCAAACATGGCCACAGTGGCCGCCAACGTTCGGGTCTCGGGCCCTCCCAATAGCAATTTCCTCGTAGGATATCCTGGCATCTCGGCCACCTTGGTAAGTCTCGTCACCGCCTATAATCCTGGCATTCTCCGCTATGCCTGTCGTCTATTGCCAGCTAACCGAAGTCCGCTCTTGGAACGAAACAGCCCCGTGTCGAAGGTAAAGTCGAGATCCGTCCAGGCCAGGGCTTTTCCATGCCCGTCCCCATCTCTCTCGTCCGCATATGCCTTCAGCGCAGAGAATCAATACATCCCGATGCCGACAACCTCGCCAAGCGCCACCTCGGTGCTGCCCGTCGCGAAACAACAGATGTGGTTGGCAAGGAACTCCTCCTCTTCCGCTGCTCCACCGGCAAAGAGGCAGAGAGTGTCATCGCCATGGATCTGCCCTTTGTAATATTTATTCCTTTTGGCCGCGGCGGCGAAGAGTCTACGCGTCGCATTCCGTCCGCTTCCCTTCAGATTGGCAACCGAACCGTCGAAACCTTTTACGAAATCGTCGTCATCGTCCAGCAGGGCCATAGCAACCAGTTCAAGTACACCTTTCCCATGCCTCTTCAGCGTTACGACACTCTCTCCACCTTTGGCATGTACAATAAACCCGAAACAAAGCTCGCCACTAGCGATAACATTGTCCATCTCGGCGTCAACTTGCCGCGCTGGAGCTACGGCCCCGGTGACCCGATAGCGGTTTATGTCAAGGTCTCACCGAATCTCGACTGGATGAGCAAAGCCAAAAAAGTCACCATTGATAAGATTACACTACAAATCGAAGAGGAAATCACCTTTAACCCCGACGGCGATGAGCCCACCAAGAAAATAAACAAGCTCGCCAAGCAGGCTCAGTCCGTCAAGGCCAAGCTGCCCGAAGCCGGCTATGCCACCAACATGGGCCTGGTGTTCCCCGCAAAGGACCTCCGCGACTCGGATGGCATTGTCAAGCGAGGAAAAGCGGCGTTTCCCATGTACGAGCTGGCCTCATTTACAACACAGTCCTCACTCTACAAGATTGAGTTCTTTCTCAACATAAAGGTATCGTTTTCGCCCAACACTGATCTGTGTTATCCAATGTGTATCATGAAATCTAACCTGTATCATCTTATTTGTAGCTACAATTAAGCGGTGCGCGCGATATCAGCCTTCGTCAACGAATTGTCATATGCCCAATGGACCAGCAAGGATGCAAAGAGGAAATGGAGGCCATTGAGCAAGCCGCCAAGGATGCTGCCAAGGTCGACGCCTCCAATCCCATGCTTCCAGCGCGCACCATTATCCTTGCCAATGACCGCGACTCGTTGCGTGCCTTGGGCTTGTGCATGGTTGGTGGCCAAAAGAAGCCGTTTATCGAATAACGAGCAACAACTGCTGCAGCAGCATCAACATCAGCATTAGCACCAGCAGCAACTTCTGGATCGATAGCAGCGATAGCAGCATCACAAGAAAACAACATTTTCTTTTCGAGATATTTTCATTCTAATTATGGCAGCGGGGCGCATCAAGGAAAGGACGGCGCCGCATTTGGAATCACTGGGAATCAGCATGGAGCAAAAGGCGTTATATATTTGTCTGCACATTTGTCTGTTTTTTTCTACCGTTGGTTGGACGCCGGTAAAGCGGAATGACCGCTTTCTTGTCACATCACGATATACATGTACACTCATTTCGGCATAGGTCATCGGGCGTGTCATAATATGTGCATTTTCTATTCACCAATTAAAAAACTACTTTCTACACAGAATCATTCATGTTATGTTCATGAACCCTCAAGAACGATAGCACCATAGAAGGTGTTCAGCGGGTGTTGACATGCTATGGGGCGAACCAGTTCTAACCCTTGATGCCCTGGACCAAGCTGTCACCGAGCGCGGAAATCGAAGACTCAAAGTCGGTAAAGCTCTTTGCGTTCCACTTGGCCCCGTTAGCTCCAGGGACGGCCTTGCTGCCCTTGAACGCAATGTAGAGGACGTCGTTGGCATCGTGAGCAGCGTCGCCGTTGACAGCTCGGCCATAGCAGGCTTGGCCGAGGGACAGAGAGGCTTCGCCAACCAGAGGAGGCCCGTCATCGCCGTTGGTATCGGCCCAGACACCGTAGAACATCTTGTCGCCGCACACGACAGCGACAACCGACAGAGGATCGACGCCGTACTTGCGCGGGTCAAATGTGACATAACCGCTCTTGGAGCCGTCGTTGCCTAGCACGACATACGAGTGGATGTAGGCATCAACGTCGTCAATGCCCTTGTTGTAGCCCTTGACGATGCTCTTCCATGTTGTCTGCGACTGTGTATCGCCTGAGCTGGCGCAGTCGCCGTTGCCCTTGCTTTGGTGGCCGTCACAGTCAATGTCCATGTTGACCAGGTTGCCATGAGTGCCCTGGAGGTAGATGATGCCATCTGACTCTAGATGGTCACCACAATACGCAAAGTCTATGTTGTTGCATTCTGTTAGCTCAGTCTGCTAGGGAAATTGTTGACTTTTAAACACAGAGACATACCCTTGGAGTCCTTTTCCTGGCTGTAGAAGCCACCCTTGAGAATGTTGCTGCAAGTGCCCTTGGCCCGGATAGACTTGTACAGGCTCTTGATGTTGGCTGGCACGTCACGCGCGAGCGCATCGGTGGCCAGCAGGCCAGTGACAATGGCGGGGATCAGAGCGTATCTCATGATGATGATGATAGGTAAACGAGTTCTTTATGGAATTGCGGGGTGTCTATTGCCAGAACTGTTGAGATCCTGGGGAACAAAGTCACCCTTATATAGCTCGTTGCTCTAGCTCATATAGACTAGATACTGTTAGTATGGGCATTAGCTCTAGACCGTCTTACATGGGGTAGCCTCTTCAGGAAGCTCCATGTAACGTTGGAATACAGGACGAAGCGATGCGATGATGGCACCTCGGTATTCATTTACAGACACTAGCGGCAAGATCCATGGCCAATGCGAAGCAATACGGTCATCTAATTCGCTTGTTCGGTACATGAAGCTTATGCGGAGGGGCTTTGTGTTGCATGGCAGTGTACAGTACAGCTGCATGCGTTGGTAGCGACGGTGATGTTTGGTTGGTGGAAATTGGCAGTTCCGGCCGATGCACGTGGGCCATACCCAATCGTCAATGCCGACGGTTCCCCAGAGTCTGGGGTATGGTAGCCACGATTATTGGGCCAGCTGAGATTTTTCGTTATATTTGAAACGTTTACTTTTAATAGACGTGGGGGCGTTGGGGGGTTTTGCTCGCTAAGTTAGTTGCTGGCTAGTTCCGTGGGGTGGATCGGGAAGGGGTGGCCTGTTACGGCAACCACACTCAGGACAATGTTGCTGTGTTATAAAATAAACAAGCTTTTTTTAGTCTTCTACTTCATATCGGTCGCACAGTATAGAAAGCTCTTCAATTAGCCATGACTCGTGTTGGCAGGATGGTGATGTGATCAAGAAGCTTTCCCCTGTTGAGATGGAGTTATTTCTACAGTTCCCGAATAGTTTCAATAAAGGTAACTTCGACGCTATTAGTTTTGAGGTATCCTTACGTCGTGCAACGTTTATTATTTTTAATTTTCATCGTTGACGAAAATAGAATGCATCAGTAAGCGACTTAGTAACACAAGTGTGCAAAATTCTTCGTACGATGGTCAGGCTTCGTATAGATGCAGAGATACACAGCCACAGTCCGCAAGGCTGAGATGTGATACCCGTGGCTTCGTGAGTCATTCGGGCAAGGCGATGCAAGACCCTATACGAATATATAAATGCATATATATATTGTTCAAACGTATCATATCAAAGATGAACTGTCAACTAACCAACTATTTTTAATTCTTTAAACCAGCAAGACTACCCATCCATGGATGAGCTCCACGACAATTTGCGTGCTGCTTTCGCAGACAATTTCGAAATCAAAGCAGACTCAGCAAGTGGTTGGTTGTACAGAGACTTTAAGAAAAAGTACGCGGGAATGGCCAAGGGTCAAGGACTACTACGTGTGTCTCCCAAAACTACAAAGTGCAACTGGGCATCCAAGTTTCTGGCATATTCTTCAGCACTGAAGACACGGGTTCAAGACACAGCAGAGACGCAACTGGCACAATACCAACATGCCCCAGCCGCGTCTGCCAAGCTCTTTCCAGACTCTGTCTTGAATCATGAGAATTTGATGGCAGAGCATTTAAGACTCCACGACAATCAGCCCCTTACCGAAGAGATGCAACATAACGGCTTTTGGCTCGCGGCAGGAAATAGAAAAGAGCGTGCAAGAGCGACGCGGGCTTTGTTGGAACGCCAACAGCTTCCATCACTCCTACAAATCGCCAACACGCGGCGCACAGCGATCAGGGATGCATCTTCTATCCCTTATCTATCTGGGTATTGGAGTGATCCATCAGACTGCGGGTGGTTTCCCCTGGCCGACGACATTATCCAAATTACCATATTTGTGATTATTCTGAGCGCATTCAAAGACGAACTTATCATCGATGAATCCTATGTGGAATTGGAAGAATATGGTGCCTATCATGACGATGAAACATCCATGCAACGCTTCATGGCTCTCAATTATAATGCGATTCGCACCGCTAAAGGCCGCACTGTTCTTCTAGCCCGGTGTGTCATGACTATGGTACATCTCACGGCGACCAACTCCGCCTGCGGTCTTCCGCCAATTGACTGGCAGACTAAGATCAATGACACAATCTTGATGTTCATTAAATTTGGATCTTGGGATCAAATAGAGGATGAACGTTATGGACAGAAGTTCTTTGCCAAGATGTCTCTCGAGCCTCTCTATGTAACATGGCCGATCCCTGCTGAGGCTGAACGAAGCGAAATGAACAATCAACGCTGTACCCAGCTTCTAAACAGGTTTGCGAATGCTAAACCCCGAGACCCTCTATATTTGAGACCGCGAAAGGATCAAAAATTACGCAACCATGACGACAACTATTCGGAGACAGAAGACCTCGCAATCCTAGAGAGGGAAGAGGCTGCATATGGGTCGAAACGCAGTTTAAAGTACCAGGCACGACATCTCAAGACGTAGCGACAAACACGAAACATCCCTGTAATAATATAATAGTTACATATTTGTATAAACACAATAAACCTCTCTATTAAATTGTCAAAGTAGACCTAACGCCGAGCATTCTGTTAGAGAAGTGCAGTGACATGGGGGCTAGCTGTCCGAGATGCATAGCCACCCCGGAGTCTGATCCACAAGGCAGACTACAAGGTGACTCACGCCTATCAGGTATAATAATAAGAGTAGCTAAGTCGCCTCTAACAAGACTTATAATTACAACAAAAACGAGAGATACAGAAGCTGCAGTTTGAATATTCTCAAAATGGAGTGCTTCAAAGACGAACTCTCTGCCGTATTCCAACACAGTTTTGAGGTTAGGGTCTCGCATACCAATAGACAGGACCAATGGTATAAACGGCGCCTCCAAAGCTGGAAAACGACGACAAAGAACCAAGGGCCATTGATTCTGAGCCCAACAGCATCCAAATCAGAATGGGCACCAAAGGTCCTTAACTGCACATCGCGTTTTGCAAAGCACATCCGGTCATCAGCAGCAGACGAGCTCGCACAGCCCCGCGACCAGTCGCTACCAACAAAGCTATTCCCAGATACTGTATTTCAAGGCCAATCTCTGATGGCAGAGGTGCGAGAAGGACATACCAGCCTACCACTTACACCTCTAGCACCTTCCATGCAACGTATTGACTTTTGGCTCGCGGACAAGAACAATGGCGAGCGCGCTAGAGCGACAAAAGCATTACTACAACTTGGAATGCTTTCACCTCTGTTGAAGATTACCGCAAAGCGATCTTCCAAGATGAAAGAAGCTGCATTCATTAGACACAGACTATTGAGATGCGAAGATTGGCATGATGACGGCTGGCTCGCGATAGCCGATGATGTTGCGCAAGTGGCCGTTTTTATCGTTGCCATGGCTGCATACCCAGAAGCGCTGGCCAAAAACAAGGCTTATGTTGATTGGATACCCCTTGGAAAATTTATTTCAAATGAAACGCCCGTGGAACGATTTATGGCGCTCCATAGCCACAGAGCAGACGACGGCAGTGGTATGAATCAATTGCTAGACCAATGTGTGACAACCATGGTGCACGTCACAGCTCTCGGCACCGCGTCTGGACTTGATGCTATTGATTGGGAAACAAAGCTAAATGAAGCAGTCTTACTATTTATTGGCTTCGAGTCTTGGAACCGCGAGAGACATGGACAGGGCTATCTAGGGTCCAACCTCAACAAGCCGCGGCACGCCAGCTGGTTGACTCAAGGTGTCGATGACGGAGATGACATCGTGGCCAGCTCTGACGATAACGTGGTGAGGGGACCTGTGAAGCCTCGTGATCCGTTACATTTGCGACCTGAAAAGGCCAAGCCCCTGGATGATGAGAGTGCGGGCGCGAGCGATTCAGACAAAGACGAACTGAGCATTATGGAAACAAAGGAGGCGGATTATGGAAAGAAACGAAGCACAAAATACCAAACGCGACAGAACAAGCGACGGATGCCCTAGTTGGCCGTATGACGGATCATAGCATAGTGAAGCGAATGAAAGAGAATAAGAGAGCATTTATTGATGTACAGTAAACTCGTAAATCTAGAGTCTCAGCAATCTTTCAAAGATGCTGACCCATGCCGCTAATTTGAGCCTGCCAGCAGGCGTCTGCAATTGCAAGTGAAGAGAGATGGGGCCAGTCACTTATTCGACGGCGTTGAAGGCGAGAAGGTTAGGAGAGCCGCTACGGGGGTCCTTGATCTTGTCCTTGAGCGCAGCCGACTGGATCTTCTTGCAGAGTTCCTGGCCCTTACCACCATCCTTGGCAGCGAAATAGGCAGCGAGGCCGGCAATGTGGGGGGCCGCCATAGATGTGCCAGACATCTGGGTCTAATGTAGAAAAGAATTGTGGTTAGCAAGAGATCACATGTTTTAGGCTGGAATTATAGATGTAAAATGACTTACGCTACCACCACCAGACTTGGTAGAGGTAATGCCACTACCAGGAGCAAAGATTTCGAGGGTAGAACCCCAGTTTGAGAAGCTCGACTTTCCGTCAGAAGAATCTGTCGAACCGACAGTGCAGATGTCATCAGCACCAGCAGGAGAATAGTTGGCTGCGTCCTTGTTATCGTTGCCGGCCGCTACCGCAACAAAGATACCCTCCTTGGAGAGAGCAGTGATGGCATCGTCGACAGACTTCTGCTTGGGCCCGCCGAGCGAGAAGTTGGTCATGACGCCCTTGGGGCACTTCTGGTTCTTGGAGTCGCTGGCGACGTACTCGATACCCGAGATGATACCGGACCACGAACCACTGCCGTTGTCACCGAGGACCTTGATACCGAACAGCTGAGTCTTCTTGGCAACGCCGTATGTCTTGCTGCCTACTGTGCCAGCACAGTGAGTGCCGTGACCGTGCTTGTCGCCATCAGGGCTGTTAGTGAAGTTCTTGACAATCTTTGCGCGACCGTCAAAGTCGGCGTGGCTACCGTCAATGCCGGTGTCGAGAATGTATGAGCAAGTGCCTTCTCCAGCACTGGAGTCATACTTGTAGTCTTTGGCACCAGGCTCCTTGGAAGACAGGCGCGCAATGCCCCATGTAGCACCACTCTGGGTGACAATTTCCTGGCCAGAAGGGTCTTGGTTCATGGATTCAGGGAGAACCGTTGCCCTGGCCATGGCATCTTGCTCAATGAAGTCAACATCAGGGTGGTTGCGGATGAGGTCCAGTGTGTCGGCGTCCATCTTGGCGGCAAAGCCCTGGATTAGAGCACCATACTTGGCAATAGGCTCATCTTTGAGCATGCCCATGGCGCTGTCCATCGCTGACAGAGCACTTCCATCCTTGAAACGGACAATGTATTGATCTGCAATGCCATCAAAGGCAGCCATTGTGAGAGCAGCAGGCTCATTGCGCTTAGAGGGGGCCGCAAGGACGGCGGGGAGAAGGGCGAGAAGAACAGACAGACGCATTTTGTAGGTGATTGTAAGGAGTATGATTTGTGAGTTATTATTTAAAGCTTTCAAAGAGCAGAAGACCCGAGATGTTGTGATGGAGTAGTCTTGAGATGGTTGGTTCTGAGGATGAGGAGGAATGAGAACTGTAATTCAAGCTGGGAGCCATCTTGATATTTGTATTTGCGTTCGTGATGATGGTGCTGATGTTGGTTATCAAATTCTAAACACATACGTCTCAGTATAACCCGCAGCTCTGCTTGCAAAAGGCATCGGCTTGTTCTATTCTTGCGCGAAGCTCTCCGGGGGTTTACGTCCACGACCAGGTAAGTCAGACAACCGGCTAACGAGAACACTCGGCAGACGAGAGTATAGATTCTGTCTGAGCACAAGTATGCAGATGGCCAGGTTGGCGCCTAGTAGCGTTACGTTTGCTTGCCGTGTGGTGCAGGGATCCCACTGGGCTGCTTTGTTTTGTGCCTCGACACCCTTGGGGTTCACCACAATTTTTCAGAAATTTGGGTTGGTGAGTATATAATTCATAAAAATTGGGAGCATCTGCCCCTTGTTGAATATTCCACGCTATCGATATAATCGATAGTGGCGAACCTGCTTGTTTCTTGCACGACAGCTGCCCGAGACCAGCGCCCGAGACCAGACACCAGTCGTTCGCGGCAGTTCGCCACAGGCTCTCCAATGGCATCGGCAGAAATGACAGCTAGTCTCTCGTAATCTATTTGTAGCACTGAGACAAACTAGCAAACAGGTTTACTATGCGCCTGTGAGGCCCCTATGGTGAGGCTACGTAAAAATGCGACGCTGTTACCACCACCATTGGGTACCTGTGTCTCGGCATGAGAGCTGTTGAATATGTTGAATATGTGGCCATCCAGTCACATCCCTAGAAATTTCGACCCCAAAACAAGTAAAACAATTTTTAAATCGCGATCAAAGACGGTGTTGGGCAATGTTCCGGGTCTCTGTGTCTGCCGGGCCTTGGGGGTGCTCGGAGAACGAATAGCATCGACAAAAACACCACGTCAGAACAGCACTGAGTTACTATCTGTTGTTGTTGACTGCTGCGAGATGTATATCTTCTAGTATGGCTGTGCGAAGTCCTCTGCTCAGTATCCGTTTACACCGGCATTCCAGAAGAAATCTGACCCCAAGAACTGATCAATATCGAAGCTCCAAGAACTGCCGAGATCTTGTTCCAAGTTGCCCAACCCATCAAGGACATGCTGAGGCACCGTTGGCTGTGTTAGAACTTCATCACCACCATCAGCAGGGCAGGCCTTCAGGATGTCACTGAGTGCCGATGCGAAAACTTCCTTTCCGCGCTGATGCAAAAGGACCAATGATCGTGCAGTTTTCAGAGCTTCCTGCGTCGCTGTTGTGTTGTACACTTGTGAAATATCCTTGAGGCACTGCATGGCGTCTCGTAGCTGAGAGATGGATGATACGGTGTCGATTGCCAATAGCACGCATACAATCTGAAACGGAACATAGGCCATATGATGCCACGGAGCACCCGCAACCATGATATCTCTGGCTGCTTGAATGCCCTTGGACGTGATGACGAGAACTTGCTGCAAAACAGGTTCCACCAAAGGGACTTCCATAAAACGCAGGCGCCGACAGAGGCAAAGGGCCAGGTTGCACTGACACAAAATAGAAGATGGTAGCGTATGGACACCATCAAGCACAGTAAAGAGCGCATGTTCCAAGTCTGTGACACTGGGATTGCGAGCAGGATCCAGCTCAGTTGTAAATGGCAGTAGCTCCATCAGCTCACGCGTGCAGTCACCTTCGCGAACCGCTGGCATTGTCATTGGTAGGTTCGGTAGCGCCACCCGAGTCAAACCCATGTCAAAGCACATCCATATGTTGAGATGTTGCGCTACGCACACAATGCGACGCCTCTGCTCAATATCAATATCGTGGCGGAGACCGGATAGATGTGATTCGCTAGAATCCTCAAAGTGTAGACCAGCTGCGTCTATCATGTGCATAACTGCACAACTGGCCATCCACGCTGGATAATGGGTGCCCGCGAGCCGCAAGTAGACAACGCGCAAAAGCATAGCCGTAATGGCAGTGGCCGATGGAATTTCAAGCACTACTCGATCTAGCAGAACTCGAGCAGACTCCACCAAGTTAGATTCGACCTGGCTTGGCTCAACTTGTGAAAACAGGCAACCGAGCGCTGCGACACCACAAAGAATGGCGTCCTGTAGCGGGCCAACCACACCGACAGACCAGCGCGCCTCAATTGATCGAGAAAGTTCTGCGTGGTCAATAAAACCGTAGGTTGGATCCAATTTCTCCAAGTACGCAGCAGTGACAAGCTGCATTTGGGCTTGGGACAATATGTCTGTAATGGGCAGCGCGACGCCGCCATACTTTGCCTGTCGTGAGCCGAGGAAAGCGTTCCATGCAAATGTATTCTTTCGGGGATTTCGTTTCGGGTCCAAGCGTTTCGATAGATCCCGGAAGAAGGTCGTGCTTGAGTTTGCTTCGAGAGATCGAGTCTGTAGGTCGCCTGGATGTGGCAAAGCTGCGTCGTCGGGTGACGCGTGCGTGGGGTGATGGACTTGGCGTGATGGACTGCGACGTGCCTCTTTGCGCGGTTTCATAATCTTATAGCGGCATTCGTACTCAAAGCGCACGCATGTGCCGCACGGGTCAGCACCGTCACATCTGCGCTTGAGATCGCGACATGTCTGGCACGCTTGGCGAGATCGCTTGCGGCCCTGCACAGGGATTGGAGGCGGAGACATGGTTGCGTGGTGGGTGAGGTTTATCAATTAATAAATTATAATATCATTACAAGTGTCAAGGATACGGGTTCCTTATCAGTTATTTGATAGAATTGAGTTGCAGAGGAGACAGCAGGAGTCCTCTCTTGTCAAGTGGAGCGCAAGCCGTTGGCGCGCGCCGTGTGGCTTTTCCGATAGCAGTTGAGGTTGACTGACACTTGATTACTTCTTTCAACAACACTACCAAAACCTAGCTTTATCATGAACAACCAAATCATAGCACGCATATCTATTTGTTCTTGAAAAATGAGAATCGTACATATTACTCTTATCCCTCAACGAAATTATTCGTTTAATTTGCCGCCAGCCTTTGCACACCGCGTCGAGACTTGCATGATTTGCCACTCTGCGGGTGCTCGTTTGTGACAACAGTGTCTCCTAGGATCACACTGAAAAAGCCTGTCTCGAGCTCAAAGATGTCACATTTTGCATTCGAAATTTTATTCCTGTAATGTGACTTGAAAATTATGATATAGCTAAATAAAGTCGGTAGTTCGAAAGGTTGCCGGCTGCGAAAAAGTCTGTGTTCAAGCCCAATAGAGTTATGAAAACCTTCAAAGGCAAATTGAATCAGAGTTGAATGCAATTATCTCTAATATTTCCAACAGGTATATGAAGCTAGTTATGCGTAGTTTGCTCAGATATTCTTCCCTACTCTCAATATCGACGACATTTGTTCTCTCTTTTCAAAAGAATCCAGTCTTCATACAAATTGATTACTGCCAACTAATCCCATTGGTTACCGCCACAAAGCTACAATAAACCAGTTAAAACTATACGCATACCTACATCATTATGGGTAGCTGCTTAAGTTGCTGCTGTGGCCGCGACAAGGTCAAAGATGCTGATTTAAGGCAATACAAGTACAAGCCACATCGACCCCTTGGACCAACCATCTACAGGGGTGGGGAAGACTACAGCAACGGCGCGCCCCTTCCACCCCATCTGTGGCGCCATGGTCATAAGCAGGAACTCAGTGACATTGGAGAGGGTGAACAATGAAGACCAGCTTCAATCTATGCATATCACGGCACTATTCGACACACACACCAAAATAATCTACAATTTAAATCGTTGAAAAGAGGGCATAGGGGTTGAAACTGCAGTATTGGTACATAAGTATACATGTATTGTTCGTATCAGATGCCTGTATAAGAGTTTAATAAAAGTTCAGATGATTTTGCTTACTAAAGTATCTAAATGCATTAAAATATTGTAAAAACGTCCATTAAAGTTCCAATAGTACCTCGGGAACCTTTCCAAATATTGCCCTCTTATATACCAGTATTTTTCTTCAACCAATCACGAAGCTCACTGTTTAAGAGGCTGGCAAATGCGTCAGGTTTACCTTGCTTAGCGCATGGGTCACCCCAAGACACTGCACCGGCTAGCTTGCCTTCAATGGTTAGTGGACCACCAGAGTCACCCATACAAGCGCCTTTGCCACCTTCACCAGCGGCGCATATCATGCGGTCGGTAACCGAATGGTTACTGTGTGCCTTTTTGCAGGTCGCATGGTCTACAGCAGGGACACGAACCTGCAGCAGCCGGTCTGACAAGGGTGAGTTGGCACCTGTTCTGCCCCAGCCTGTGATGGAAACAGTTGATCCAGCTTTCCACTCGCCACTGTAAATGGGAATGGCTTTCACAGTAGCGCTGAAAGTAAAGTCTTGTGCCATCTCGATGTAGGCAAGATCATAGTCGAGCGTGTTTCGGCTGTATTTTGGGTGTTGAACTGCCTTGACAATCTTATATGGGGTGCCCTTGGATGCCATCGAGTCGCCGACAGCAACCTCGAAGCTACCACCTCCAATGCAGTGAGAAGCAGTCACGACATGACGAGGGCCGATAATGGAACCACCGCAAAAATGGCCGCGGCCTGATCTCAGGCTAACCTGCCATGGGTGATCCTCAATCTTAGCAGGGTCTCCGCCAACAATGTCGTTTTCTTCAGTAGTTGGTCGCGCCAGTGTGGGCAGCGCACAAGCCAAGGCAACGACAAAATATTTCATTGGAAAGACGCGACGAAGGAAGAACGCTTAAGCCGCTGAAAATTGAAGAAATACAGGGGTAGAGCCTAAGTAGTTATATTATCACTCTTATTAATAGATTTTATGATTATTTCTATTTTTGTTTTAGCCATTATTCAAATGTCTCTTAGGTTGTTTGTGGTGGACACAAAATATTTATAAGATGTACTTACAAGAAAGCCGCTTAGCATTGGTAAAATCTCAAGGTACAAAATAAAAGGAGACCTAAATCTGAAGAAACTTAAGTAAATATTGATTACGGTTCCGATAAAGTATGGAGAAATATCTTGAATTTATCTTCTGCTGGTCTTCTACAGGCTAGTCGTCTGTTCCCTAGCACCGAAGAGCACTGAACAAAGCTCGACCGTCTGGAAATTCTGCCATATAAGCCTGGCGCATGGACTTCATCAAGTCACAGGTGGTGTATACATTGTTATCCGTGAGATGGAAATACACACTCACATCCTTGGTACCATCGTCATTAAAACGAGTCACTGATCACCTGGTGTTGAACGTGCTGATGCTAGGGGATTTGTAGAATAGCACCAGCTACCCTAGAATAAAATAGGACCGGTAGCTGGGTTTTAATGACGAGTATGTGTGGCGCAATCGAGTAGACTCCCTCGTCAATTCAGGCTGATAATTGGCCGAAAGTAGAAGCGACTTATACGAAGCTGAAAATTATCGCGTTAAGTGCTACGCAGCGAAAAGGCTCAGCTACTGTTGAGAATCAGGTTGTGGCTGTTGCCGACGCCCTGTAGAGGGACAGGCAGCAAAAGGTATTCAATAGCTGTATACAGAAGCACATTGGATCGAAGCCTTAGTAAGAGGTCCCAACCCACATGATATTAAGAAGAGGAGTCATTTTGTTCAATAAACCAAAGAGGGGTCCTACTTGAGATCTATCTTCCCCCGTGGCCTTGTTCCTTGGTCAACTTTGCCCTTAAGCCTGGGTTCGTCACGCTAATAGCATTCCCCTCGCTAAGCCTAAACACAAACTCATCCACTGGCAAGCTAGCATAGCGCATTTTATCAATCTGGAACCACATGCTGCATGCTTCACTCGGTCGTCGAATCGTGTCCCCTCCAACATGGTGCTTCCGCTCCACAGCCAGCCTCCACCTATCTCCGTCACCTACAGGATACAAGCGAGCTTCGATATCCATCGTCTTGGCGCCTTTGTTCGCTGCAAGAATATTCAGTACAGACTTGCCATTGTTGACCCACGATACCACATGTAGGCCTGGGCCGCTGTCCACGACAAGTTCAAGGCTCGACGTGTCGCTAGCTGTACAGTTCAGTCCATCGCACTGTCCTGTATATTTCCCTGCGTATGTCTCCTTTGCTTGTACCCTAGCAAGGGAATCTAAGGCGGGGACAGCAATCGATGTCACGGCGTCTAGTAGGTCAAATGCTGCGTCGTCGCCATCGTCGCCACTCACGTTGATAGCGCCCCCGATATTAAATTCCGGTATAAGCACAAGATAGGATGCATATCCGGGAAGGCTTCCTGACTTGGTGTAGATATCTACCGGACGATTATCAGGCGTCAGGTGCGAAAGACGGAAGATTTCCCAGGGTGCGCCGACTCCCATTGTGTACGAGCCGGCGAACCGCGACGGCCGCATCCATTCTCTTGTGTTGGCCGGCGAGAGGAGGATGTGGTTGAGGATAGCACGAACAAATTTCAGCAACTCGTTGGGCGTAGAATAGAGCCCAGCCGTCCTTTTCATGTTAGTAGTTTGCCACAGTATGCCTCCCGAGAACGTACGCGTTGAAGTTACCAATGTCAAAGTCCCAGAAAACTCCACCAGGCCCCGTCGGGATGATGCCACGAGACCGAATTGGGGCGTTGAATCCCGTGGTAGGCATGTCCAGCGGAGTTGTGATACTGTCGCGGAGCAGCTGCGCAAAAGGTTTGCCAGTAATATTTTCCATTGCCATGCCTAGAAGCGTAAAAGCTTGATCTGAGTAACCTGCTTTATCTCCTGGAAGCCAGGATAACCTGTTCTGGAGCAGATTCTCAAAGAACGCTGCTTCGTTAGCGTTTCTTGTTATTAAAAGAAGCACAACTTACTAGCGCGGCTACAAGTCTTCATGCCAACGGCGTCACATGACGGGATGCTCTTGTTGTCCGGGATAGGGAATCCGGCTTCTATCAACTGTTGTCCTTGTGCATTATAGAGATCAAAGGCGTACCCTTTTTTGTTAGTATTTGAGTAAACTACAAGAACGTATGCTTACCGTCTCGGGGCATACCGGCTGACTGGTCGGTCAACATGCGCAGCGTCACATCAGCGTAGTCTTTGGACCCCTGCAGCTCGGGAATGTATTTCGTGACAGGTGTATCTAAGCTGTAGGGTGCGTGTAGCAGGAGTGTAAGGGCGTTGAAGACCTTGGTGATACTCATGATCCGGTAAGTAGTGTCTGAATCAACCTTGGCCACACCGCCCTCACCTCGAACAGGCGCAGTATAATGGTGCTCGAAGATTGTGTCATTGAGGGATGTGATAGCAACCGAGAAGGAATTTGTCGATGTGTTCCATGATGAGGTTTTGCTTGTTAGCAGTGCGTTTAGTCTGTCATGTAAACCAGCAGAGTCTGGCAAAGACGCTAGCGATGGTGGCGGTAGAAGTGGCCCAGTTGGTGGACAGTGTGCTGCCAAGACTGGCTGCAGGAGTAGCAACAAGTTCAAATACTTCATCTTTGTAAAATTCGACTTTGATTGATATTGTATTTACTTGCAGTTTATTCTGGCTTTTATGCCTTCAGCATACCATAGCTTACGACATGAAGACGTAATCGCTAAGGCTTCGCCACTGACATGCTTGGAGGGCGCATTCAGCTTGACTGAGGATACGGCGCAGATGTTCTGACGACGGTGCACATTCTTGGACAATGCTCCTCAAATAGCGGCGAGTTAAACGAAATACGAATATTGGATCACGGTAGATCCCTTCAAAGGGGCACAAGGCAAACTCCCAAATCTCTTGAACCTCATTTGGCATTCCTTGCTTGTGGTGGCTAGGTTTCCATCTGCGAAACAGTGCAACAGGACGTCTAATTTTGAGATGAAAACAAAAAATAAAAGAAAGGAAGAGAAGGCATGACATGAAATATGTTTATAGTGGGCTGTTACAGTTTAGTAAATCACTGCGAAACCATCCTGCCAGCACTCATCCCACGCCTTCTTCCCCGAAGCCCAAAATCTTACGAGCCGCTCTTTAATCATCAGGGAATGGTTGATCAACGGGTCCATTGCTATGTTGTCGAGAAAAGTGCAGATTCTGCGCTGTTGCACGGCAGAGCCTGTGGCCATTGCATAGCCGACGACCGCCAGCGGCCAGTTCAGACTGACCCTGCACTTCCTGTTTGCCCATATCGAATCGATCAGGGTGCACAGGTTGTCACGCTTCTTGTCAATGAGCAGTTGCAGTGGCATCATCGTCGGCAGCGTATCCGTAGGGAGAGTGGCAAGTGCGTACAGCGCGACGCTCTCCTTAAATATCTGGGCAAGGCGCCGCGTCTCCAGCACGTCTGGGATCGGGTATGACTCGGTCCACGTCTCAGGTACAAATGCTTCGATGCGCCTGAAAACGGCCATAATTTCTGCGTCTAGGCTCCTGCCAGTAATGGTGGCCGCAGCAATCCTCTGGCGCAACTCTGTGACAGCCAGAATTTCTTGCAAGAGTGTAGAGGGGCAGGGAAGCCCGGGATGACAGTTACTTGAAACGACAGACAGAATTTCGGCTCTGGAAAAGCGTGATATGCCCGCGAGGTGTGTTTTTGGCGGACTGACAGTTTCGGACATTATGACTTCGCTGTTATCGGGGGGCTTCGGTCAGCAAAACACCGTGCATTGTCTGTAGAAGGGATGGACCTACAACATCAGGTCATGCGTATTGGTCGCATAACGTGTTGACAAGGTCCCGAGCAGATTGGTAAAGTACATCCTTAAAAGCTGCAGGTAAGCCTCGCTATGGGATCGCCACGTATGAGACTGCAACACTATCTGAACACCAACGCGGCGCATTAGCTTTAGTATCAACATACAGACCATATTAAACGAACCTCGACCTGTCTTAGCGAGTTAATGTTTTCAAGTATTGTAAAGTCGGGACCAGAGTCTTCCGCTGCTAGTGCGTGGTTAATTGATTCAATCGCGCCGTTGATGTGGCGGTATAGTCGATTCCAGATGTGGCTATTGCTGGGATTCCTGCAAGGCTTGATTCTGTTGCCGTTCTGGACAGACGCAATAGCCACTCTCAGAGCCAACGTGCATGCGATAAGACCATCCATTTTAGCAGGTGATTTCGGGTCGGTTGAGTATCCGATCGACGTGGCGTTTGGTATGAGTTGGGTTTTCATCAGATACGGCTGGATAACTGATCTGACTAGTGTCGCACTGTTAGCAACCAGAAAGCGTCTGGTTCGTGTCGCGAGCATTCTTGCTTACTGAATTGTCGGCTCTCGACAAAATGCCACTCCTTCGGAAGCACTTCTTTCAACATAACATATTGGGAAATCTGTATTAGCCCATCCCTTGATATGCTACCGCTGCTTGGCAAACATTCCGCTCCCTGGAGGGATACTGTCGGGATGTTGTGGCTGACTGGTGGTGATGGGGTGCAACCAGCATACAGCGACCCTATGCACGGTAACTGCAGCAAACCACACCTCTTACATATCGGTTTGGTCTCATCGCATTTCACCTTGCGACGCCTGAGATGTTAGCGTGATTGAGCCGACAGATCGACAGTCGTGCGTTGCCCGAATGCTAGAGAAACTGGCTGCTTACCGGCATGTCATGCAGCCTAACTTTCCTTTGGGGACCCGCCGCGACTGCTTTCGGTTGAGGGTCGTCTCCTGGTCAGTGGACATTTTAAACTATTAGCAATTTATGTACCAAGTAATTTAGTGCAGGTGCAAGAAAACTGCATTTACTAAAATATTGTCCACGTTGCGTAATATGATCATCGTGGGGATGGGATGGGGAAGACTAGTCCAAATCGGGGGCTCTCAGCTTTTGGCATCACTACCGAATTGCCGAATGCATTTACGACCCTCCCAATATTAATACACTGGGTAAGAGTCAAGAGCCGAGATAGGAACAAGATATCGGTACGAACTAGCCAGGACCGTTACATGGAATGGATTTTGGCCTGCCAAATGCATGATTAAGACTGAAGGATAATACCCCAGCTTTGGTACAACCACAATGTCTTGACCAATTGGAAGCACCCGGAAGCGACAGGTGGGGTAGCCGACCCACGATCACTATCATTTGACAAGTTTTGCATGCCCTTAGTTCTCTCCCAGTGCTAATACTGTGGTCCGATTTTCCGGTGGCGCGGCAGATGCAGCTCTGCTGTGTACATCTCCAGGTATTACTGCACAATTCCCAAGTTGCCGTTTGCTGTGGTAATTAGAGGGTAGGTAAACATTCACATTGAGTGCATTTCTCGCCAGGCTAAAAGTTCCACAATTATTAGTATACATGATACTAGCTACCATTGAATATATCAGCGGAGTACTGGACTTGCGTGTACACAGGGGAAACAACCAAGCTCGCACTCAATTGGGGGGGCAAGGCTTCTCGCGGCATCTACATTCAGGACATTTCTGGCCGGGCTCGAAGTATCACCACTGTTAGTATTATAGCGACTAGCTGTCCGTGGATTTGAGGGCAATATGATGACGCTGGCATCCTACCTGGCCACTGCTGACGACATTCCTGCTGTTATATCTTCTTCATATAGCGCCCCAGAGAGTATACTAACTCAGAAATATTCGGAGCGCACTTGCAACGATTTCATGAAGGCTGGTGCGCGCGGCGTCACGATCCTGTTTAGCTCTGGCGACCAGGGCGTAGGCGGGACATGCCGAGGCAACAGGTTTGAAAGCCAACTTTCCAGCCTCATGTAGCTATGTTGTTGCTGTCGGAGGCTCTACATAGGTTAGTGGAACTACTGAGGTTGCCTCAAGAGCCTTCCATTCTGGCGGCGGCTTCTCTGATATCTTCAACACCCCAGAATATCAGAAGGCCGATGTCGAAGCCTACCTGCGTAACCACGTACCTGCCTCATACGATGGAAAGTTTGACAAGACTGGGCGTGCTTACCCCGACATTGCACTCATGGCGGAACGAATTCCTTGTATTGGTCCTACGCCAAGCCGCAATAACTCGTATCCAACCCAGCCCGACGTCGTCCTCGGCACGTCCGCATCCTCTCCCATAGTGGCCGGCCTTCTGTCCCAGATGAATGATTATCGCGCCACATTGAAACTGCCTATGCTTGGCTTTATCAACCCTCGTCTATATAATGACCCCAAAGTCCACGCGGCTCTCAACGATATCACATCTGGCCGCAACCGGGGTTGTGGCACGAATGGATTTTCTGCTGAGAAGGGCTGGGATCCTGTTACAGGTCTCGGTTCTTTGAACTTTGCTAAACTGCGTGCCGCGCTTAGCACGTAAGTGAAATAAAGACACTCTTAAAAGTAGTAGATATGAATAGATTAAAACCTAGGATAGTAAAATAAACAGTGAGTTTTTCAATGCCAAATAGACTACACTGGATTGTGAAGTTATGCCAGTGATCCCAAGGGGTCCCATGGTGGCAACACTGTTGGCGACTGACGCAACACGGTCGTGATGTTATCTTCCAAGACACTTTGGTCAATTACGGCCTGAAAGACGAATTCCTCCATCCATTTATCCGTCATCATAAACCAGCCCTGGTTCGCTGAGTCTTTGCCATGACTGTTTTCTACCCTCCATCGAACTGGCCGGCCGGAGCATTCTGATAGATGGACGCCGGTTAAGACCATGGCGTGTGACATTTTGGACTCGCCCATCAACAACCGCTCCTTCTTATTCATGGACATAAGGCTCGTCCCGATTGTCGCCTCGTAGTTGAAGCGGTCAATGTCCAGGATTCCAGCCTGCTTGTCACGAAATTTGCCAAAATCACAGCCAAAGAAGACTGGGCGGCCTGCTTTGATCATCTTGATGCAGGCCTCCTTCAAGGTATGCATCTCGACATTGACATAGGCGACGTCGCGACCGCCCAAGACATTCCCATTGCCTATCATGTCTATAATGACAAGGACGGTGGCACGGTTGACGTTGTTGGGCAAGGCGTTCTCACTGAAAATGGCCACATGACCTACTCGCGCGACGGTCGATGGTTACTGTCGGACACATATCCAGATGCCCAGACCAACATTCGCCACCTTTTTCTATGGGACACCAAGCGCGAGATCCGTATCGACATCGGCGCCTTCCGTACGGATCCTGATCTGGGCAAAGAAAATCGCTGCGACCTACACCCACGCTGGTCGCGCGACGGAAATGGGGTATGCATCGACTCGATCCATCAAGGGCCACGTGGATTGTACCTGGTGGATGTTTCTAGCATTGTCAACGCAGGATAACCCTATATCTTGACTCTTGGTACAATTTGGCATCTGTTTATAGTATCTAGATCCTAGCCTATTCCAGGTCTGTCTGCCCAATAACAATAGTATTTTCGGACTAGTTATTGGTATAAAAACTATGAAGAATAGCACCAACATACCAAAAACTTGCTCGTTTTCGGCCTTGTCGGGCATCCGCTAGCCAATCCGGCCGATCGTACGATGGCTTTCGGATATCGACTACATGAAATAGGGAAGCGATTTGAACGCTCTGGCATTATCAACCAACTGTATTAGGAAGGAAGGTTATATTCTAGTCACATATCACAAGGATACATGAAGATTGTTTCCAACCTTGTAATAGGTATAACTGATAGATGTCGTAAACTAGGGTGGGCTAAGCCACATACTACAGTCTGTTAAAGTCGAATCACAGTGCCTGGGACATGTGTTTGCAGAGCTGGCTATACATAGACTTGAGCCAGACTTGCCATTCGTAAATTCGCAAGTGCAGCAAACAGACGAAGAAGTTAAACTTGAGAGACTCTTTAAAATAGTCCATGCGCTACTTCTCACGTCCATTGTAAAACTTGACAGTAATTAACTGTCAGTGTAAGGACGCGCTCAAGAGCAGCAACCATCACAGACATATCCCTAAAGCACTCATGGTTAGTCAATTCTAGCAACGTGATAGTGGCAACGTACCACACCAATTACCACGGAACCATGGCAACAACCTTTGGGACAGTAAAGGCCCCGGCCCTCGATAATGCCATCATTTTCACCACCAACCGTGTCAAGGCGTGTGACAGCGGCAATGCTGAGAGCAGCAAAAAATAGACTTGCAAAAAGCTTCATTTTAGAGTGATTTCGAGTCTAGGAGATGCCGTCTGAGATTTGATAAGACCTGAAGCAAGCAGCTAAATGATTCAATAATATGTGTGTAAACTGGTGATTCTAAATGTAGAATGCAATATGGGTTAAGTTGACTCTTAAAACACTCTTTTGGTTTACACAAATTCCACTTAGTCAGAGGCATATCTATCCACTACTACTCATACAATCTACGTTTTAGAAGATATTAGAAGAAGCTACATTCTAATATTGTCGTAAGCCATTACTTCAAATTACCCAATTTTATTTGCCATATCTTTTCCAATCGCTCATCCTTTTACAACGAGGGAATCTTTTACGTAGTTTCTTGTCCAACAGAGCATGTGACCATTAGCTGTAAACATATGCATTTGAGAGCGGTCACGAAAGACTGAGTAAGCTAGGTGAGCTTAGGGCAAAAAGACTTTTTTCTTTTCATTAAAGAGCCTAAATAATTCCAACTATATACATAATTATCTCGAAACATGGTCGTGGCAGATTATACCGGCAGGCCTTCATCGGCGGCTTCGTCGCGCTCCAACCTCTCCAGACCTCGACCAACAGCGCCGTATACGCGAATAGGCACAGAAACATCAAAACTTTCGCAGGCCAGATTCTCGACAGCCACGAGAACCAGACCACCCTTTTCGTCCTGCGATAGCTGTTCAAGGAGCGGGTAGGAGGGCTTTGCGTTGTCGAGATCGGTGCCTGGCTGCGCTGGTACGACAAATTCGACGCGGATTTTCCAGTCGAAGCTGACGCTGCTCGTCACGAATTCGGGTGTGGCATTGATGGGTATCGTGGGGGTAAACACCACTCGTCTCGAATACATGGTCACCTCGGAGGAAGCAGCATACACTTTGCGTGTGACTCTCTGGATACTCGACTCGGATCGAATGGCCAGCGACGGGTCAACCTTCTCTGACGTCTCCAGTGTCGCATGCACCGCAAAGCAAGGAATCTCGGCTTTGGCAAAGTCAATGACCATGGTGACGACTTCACCCAGGCGGTAAGCTGGTCGAGGGAGCATGACAACGCCGACACGCTGTCCATTGCGAGCAATCTCAAAGCGATTTTGGCTTTGGCCCTCGCTAGCCAGATTGCTTCTCATAACAGCGAAATGAATAGCCTCCTTGGCCGACGTTACTTCCTCAAATGCAGACGGTCGACGAGTGCCTGGTACTGAGGAGGGCGACAAAAGGTTGCCTGCGCGGTCCTCCTTTTGTTGTGCAATAAGCTCGTCTACATAGCGCATAAAGTCGTTCATGGTGGCCGGCTTGGTCTTGTCGATTTCGCTTCTCTGGTACTTGTGGCCCTTGCTGATGGCTGCAACAGTTGCCTCATCGCGGAGTAAGATGTAGGGGCTCATCAAGTCGTGGCCCAGAATATCACCGCGACTATTGACGCTGCCAAGGACCCGGAAGGGAACTTCTACGGATCGAACCTGCTGCTCTTTTGCTCCGCCAGCCCGCTGCGTACCAATAATTAAGCTGTATGATATCTTCATGACCTTGCCTTTGTGAGTTGGAGGCAATCCACGTGGTAAGCGAAAAGTATATTCATAAGATCGGCTTTGTCCCGGAGCAAGCTGCAAGTCGACAAAGAGAATAGACTGCGGTGTGCTCAGCAGCGGCACCGACTTGGAGTTTGCTGCACCTCGGAGCTCCTTGATAGAGCTGAGTTCGTTACTGCCTAGCAGATCGCCAAGAGAGTTACTGATACTTCCCCAGCCAAAGCTTTTCAGAATGCCACTTTCTCGTTTGCCAGACTCTAGGCCTATAACACCACCACCTTTGCCACCCACCACCGCCTTCTTCTTGACTTGGTCGAACTGGCCAAGGCTGACAAGAGAGCCATCTAAAGTGAACGATCCCTGGATTTGTGCGTAGCCCATCATTAACGACTCTGGAGCTCTGGACTTGGGCGGCACGACAGATGCTCGTCGCAGGTGGGCTGGTCGACTGTTGCGGGCCGTGTTTGGTTGGGCAACGTATTCAGAGGCCAAGGTTTCTGTGGAATTGTTGCTCATGGCGTAGAATTCACCGCTGCTTCTTGGAGTGCCTCCAGGAAGACCAGAACTCGAGAGAATACGCGCGACAGGGGCAGAGCGTTCGTGAGGGTTCTGGCGGATCGCCAAGCCTAAAGCGTCATCGGGTCGAAGTGTCGGGCTCAGCAAGGATTGTGGTGTTTGCGATTGTGCTGGTCTTTCATTGGGAGATGCCACTGCGGCTGGGAAACGGAATTCGGGTATAGAGCTCGGGGATGCACGCGGCGAGCGGCGACGGTTCGGTAGAACTCCCGGGCCACCACCCGGTGGGCGAGCAAAGTTGTCTGATGAGTTGGTAGAGTTGTGGAGAGGCGAGCTAGTGTGTCGTGGGCCAAAGATTCCTAGGTGTACAGTTAGCATTACACTGTTTGGTGAGTTTGGGTCAGTTGTGGCTCAAACCTAATGCGGATGTAGTGGTTCCAAAGGCTTGCGGCGAAATCTGTAGACTGGAAGCGCGGTTATGTCCACGCTTAGGCACATAAGAGCTGGAGGAGTTTTCCAGTCGAGTGACATGATCGTCCACGCCGCCCGCGGACCCAATTGATACAATGGAAAGCGATCGTTTGTGGCTGTGACTCGGGCGGCCGCCGGGGGTACCGTCGGGACCACTGCCCTGTGGCCACTGGACGGGGACAGATCTGTTCTGCGAGCTTGTAGAAGGAATGCTCAGCGATAGAGCTGATCGTCGATGACCTCTGTTGGACATAGGTGGATGCGACGGCGTGTTGAGGCTGCCTGTGCCTCGTGTTCTGTTGGCTCTGGGTGTGCCGCCCAGATTACTCGCGGTGTTCTTTCTATCGTGCGTCGGTTGGGTAGCGGGCTCGGCATCCTGGGCGACGTTTTTGAATGTGATTGTGCATTTCACGTCTTCGCCTGCAAAGACAGTCTGGTCTCGCCAATGGACGAGGACACGGATGCTGCTGTTGCTTTGCGATTCGGCGACCATGACGGATGGCGTACGCGCCCCCTTTGCGGGTGGGCGATGCTATGGTGAGGAGAGGGCCGGCTATTGGCGCGGCGTTTGGAGCATATTCGGGGGTTGCTCTAAACTCGATTGATGGTTTTATGTTGTTTTTATTTCGGCGCAGCGTGTCAGCCGGCGTTGTGGAGGATGGACTAGCGATGGTGAATGTGGTGGGCGATGGAGGAGGGGAGCTGTCGCTCAATGACACCTGTGATGCCAGGTGGTTGGAGCTTCTCCACATAAGTTGCGGCAAAGTGAGCCACTGTCAACATCCACAACACAACTTGCATTTCTAGATTGAACTGAGGGCAACGTATCAATATCGTTGATGGAAGTGAGTAATCATTTCGCCGTTGGTTATCGATGTGGAATATGCAACTGGCCGCTGTCAGATGCAGAGGAGGATCCAGTCTACCTGCGTACGTATATTTGCTCCGAGGTTATATCTTTGGGTCTAATATTCTTGGAATACAGTTGTGGGAAACAGTGATTCAACAGGTTTCGTCAAACACCTTGGTCCATTTTATTACCCTCCTCTTAACTATCATCGTAACCTAAACGGGAGCGTGTATCTATGTCGAACACCAGACTGCAGCGACTGTACTGAGTCCTCGGAAGCGGTGGCGGTGCACAACGACTGTTTCGGCTCAATTCCAAAACTAACCACCGTCTATACTATAGACCATTTATGGATTACAATTTCTTGGCGGTCACCATGGCGCCAAGCGCCGTACTTTCAACTGGAAGACATGACACCAAAGCCGGACTTTGCTGCTCTCGACAAGCTTGGCATACCATTAATAAGACGGCTCCCTCCTGAGATTGTTCATATTATCTACAAATATTCACAAACTAGTGACTTCTGGCGATACTGTGATATGTTCAGTCTGGGTCGAAGCTTGGTTCCTTTGTCGAAGCCACCTTTCTCTGTGCCTCTCGGCGACATCTCTACTTGGACCCGAGGGGGTCAAGTTGAGCGTATCACAGACCAAGGCTTACCAATTATTCGATTGACTATTGATTCATGGGGGCTCAAGAAAATAGAAAGCCTCTCAAGCTACCCGAAATTCAAAAACTGGCGTACAGATCATTTGAGATATGTCGTGACAGATCGCAGCAAGGTTAATGGCATCCTTGCACATTGTCTTGTAAGCAACTATCTCCAATTCTGCAACCCAAACTTACATAATATATAGGGCGGGATAATGCGACTACAATTTCCCAAGATGCCGTATCCGGGCTTTCAAACATGGGATACCCCGACCCCTCCAAACATGGAGGAATGTGCCCTTTTCGCATGGTATATGACTGAACAGACACAGTTCAGAGTGATTGATTTAGACCAAGTATTTGGTCTAACTTTCTTTTGCCATGAAGGCAATCTTTATGATATCCATGTTCACACGAAGATGTCGCCTTGCGCAAAACCAACCTATCACAAATTATCCGGCCGCCGTCAATTGAATGTTGTTTGGGTGTATGTCCCCATATCCAAGACAGATTCCATTACCGTGATGGGACAAAGAGTTTTAAAGCGCGAGAACAGCATTCCATCTCGTATCTGTGTACTCGTAAGTAACTTGCATGTGACGAATATATGACCAAAACGCTCATTTGGCTAGTTACGACTACGGCTTGCTGGCGACATATTTGTCGCTCTTTCTGCCGCCGATTATAACGGAGATTTGCGGTTCAGTCAAACAAATCCACAGAATTTTATTTATAGCGTACCAGATTCGCGGGCGTTATCAGTCTTTGGAGTATTTACACCGGAACCAGAGCTTGTGGCATCTGTAAAGGCCTTTCACTATCCAATCAGAGATGATCCGCCAATCGACCGTGCTTACTTCGCCGCAGCTCCCTTAAGCCACATAGACGATTTAAAAGTCTTTCATGACGCAGAGACTGGCTCTTGCGTGGGTATATTATTGAGATACAACAACGGCGCTGAACGTTGTGTGGGACAATGCCGACTCGGTGTGGACAACGTTCAATACTTTGAGAGGCCTAATCGAATCTGTCTTCGGAAAATAGAGTCTGACTTCGACACCGATGATCCAGATGAATTCGATACAGTACCCCCAACCCAGAATGCCCTGGTTTCAGCTGCGTGTAATGCAGATCATGATCATGCTGAGCCTGGATGGGCATGTCTACCTATGCGAGGGGAGCTGCAATGCTGGTTCTCCTGCGAAGAGACCGATGTCCGTGTGATGGTGGATTAGCTTGACCTCTTTTTCCACTTACTCGTATACAAACACCGGGATTGATATTCTTCGCACCTCCCACGAGTGTACCTAAGAATCTTTGTACTTTATGTCCAACGCTGTACTAGCATATCATCTACAGATGGCAGTTGTCGAAAGCTCTCTGCCCAATCAAGAGCAGGCAGCCTCGGGCGGCGCTGTTCCGTTTGACCGTTGGCTGGGCGCTAATGCCGGGCAGTAGGGTCCCTGGCGTCCCATAATCCCCCAATGCGGGATGCGTATGTGTGTGCAATATTCGTGGTGGGCGGGCATGGTGGCGGCGCCGGACAAGAGCAGACAGTGCAGGTGTGCGTGCTGCGTGTGAAATATTGGCAGGGAAGACAGCGAATAAGCTGCAGGCAAAAGGCTAAAGAGGAGGATAGAAGGAACCGAAAAGAAACTAAAGGCGCTATGCCAACACTAGCGCCGCGGGGTGGCAGATGCAGGTGGCGATGTGGTGGGTTTGAGGAGCAGAGTTGCTGCTGCAGGTGGCGAGCGGGGTACGTGTGTGGTCTGAAGTATACCGTGTGGCCAGGAGCGTTACTTTCTGTGCCTAGGTTGTGAAGAGCATAATTAGTGGGTAAAACCATGTAAGCATAATTTGCTTCTATCATGTTGCCATAAAATTGGCATTGAAGCTGTGAATATGATCATTTGGCAATGAGAGCGGCAAAGGGAGCGCTATCGCATGGTTGCTTGCTTGCTAGTTGGCCGTATTTGGATGCAGGCCCGGCCCATGTGGCAGGGAATCTAGACCTAGAACGGGCTTGGTCAACGGAGGATTGGGCTTGGTGAAAGGAGAATGATGGACGACGGGAATTGGCACTGGCGTAAAGGTGGTGGTGGCTGTAGTGGTTGGTGGCGGGGGGTGTGTGTGCATGGAGGACGGCTGTATGGAGAAGGATGAAATGAATGGATGGATAGATGGATGGACAGATGGAAGGCGGGATTGGTTGGATGGGGGCAAGGCTGTGGCGACTACGAAGTGTCTGGCAGTTAGAAGAAAAAGAAGAGAGAAAATAATAAATAATAGTAAAAAGGAACTGTCATTACGACAAGACAATGTTTGCCTTTTGATAGTAGCGTGATGATGATGTTTATACCAGTTTCCCCGCAACCTACTATGCTTTGATACGGGGAAGCTCTGCTGTATAGAAAGCATATACTCTGGTGTTGGAATTATTGATTCGCAGAATCGAGTAGGTTCTGCTTCGTTTCTGTTTTATCTTTTCTTTACCACGCAGGGGTACATTCGCCACGAATGGCAGGCAAAATCGAGAGTTCGGCTTAAGCATTCGCTGACAATTACTTGCTGCGTGCGTGCGTGCCCGTTGGGGCGGCAAATCAAGGTTCGAGGCCAGCAAATCTGCGGAGCCTGCCCGCAATTGTGGGGTAAAATCGCCTGGAAGCAGCAGTGGTAGCGAAAGGAAATCCCCGTTCCAGCGGCGTTAGGCGTTAATGGTGCTTCAAGGTGGGCTGGGTTCGGGGGATCTCTCTGCCGCTCCTGCTGCTCCTGTCTCAGTTGCTGTTCGTGCTGCTGGGTGGTTCTGTTGCGGTTGTTATCAGTACCAGTCTTTTTTATTCTTTTATTTCTTCATCGTTTGTCTTTTCGCTGGTTGGCTCGTATGTACCTGTCGGGTTGTACCTGTCGGGGTCATCAACAAGAAAGAAGGTTAGCTGTCCATAGTGGGGGCGGGGATGGGTTAGTGGTGGTGTTGCCTAGGAACAGAGACTAGAACAGGAACAACGGTATCATGTCCGACGAGACAAAAGAAAGAAAAGAGAAAGAGTGAAATGGAACCATTGAAAATGGCCAATCTTTAAAAGGGTTATAAAACATTCCCTTTTTGCCCCGTTCTGATGCCGCAGCACGTCGGTGAGGTGGCGGCGTAGCTGGTCGACGGCGTGCAGTACACAAAGCGTTTTAGCTCCAGTGGGGCCCAGCCAGCCAGAACCCCGCCCACCCAGGTACAGCTCTTTTGTAGAGGTGAGGGTACCCCGCAGGAACTTTTTTTTTAGCTGCTGCTGTTGCTGTTGTTACTGCTGTGGGCACCACTGCCGCTGCTCCGGCCCACGTTTGCGAAACTTTTGATCCCGACGGAAGCTGGACAACATGGTGCCAGGGGCCGTTCCAGCTTTGGTGGGCGGCCGGGCAGTCAGCAATGCGGAGCTCAGAGAGTGAACGGGATTGAGGGAAGAAATCATCGAGTATGTTTGTCTGAGTAGAATTGCGTTTTCCGGAATAAAAAAAGGAACAGGCTATTTGTGTTGGACTAGATCGGGCGAGGTGATGCGTGCTGGTGATGGGCTACTGTCATGTAGCGGATCGGCTATATGCTAGATGCAGTATCCTATCCCATGAATTGAAACCCCCTCCGCGACGTCATGGCCGCCACCTGGACTAGTACTACTAGCAACACTGCCTGTACGAAGCCATAACTGTAGCGCTCATTGCTAGCTGTAGCTGTCCAAAGTGTGCACAAAGGGTATTGACCCATCTGCTTTGCTACCGCCGCCCTCTCTTCGCCAGGTAATTCGCTATTGTTTTCAATCATGCCACAAAGCCTTCCTATGGTTCCTTGTGTTTCCATCAGAGTACATATAAAAATATGCAGCTGGGCCGTCAAGATCCATTATGCAGCTACCGTACTGCAGCAGCCATATCGCTCTTCTACAGCAACCGGTAGCTGTTACCGCGCTGCGGCCCCACTGGCCGTGTTTTGTTCTACGGGAGACAGCAAGGTTCCTTGTAGTGAGTGAGAAGGGTATTACATTGAGTAAATTACCCATCAAAAGGTAAACAACTGTCGAGATAAACGACATAAGAATAAAAGTAGAAGAAATAGGAAGAAATGAAATAGATACGACAGCAGCTGTCACCTCATCACGGCAGACCGGGCGGAACCGCGCAAACGGACAACAGGACGGACGGATGACATCGCCCCCCCCCCGGGATAGCTACTTGCTGGAGACACGGAAGCATGGATGGGATTGGAAATGCATCGGGCCAATACAACTCCACCACCTTCATCGGCTGTACCGTAGTGCTGCTGCTGCAGGTAACTGGCTGCAGGTAGCCTAGCTGGCTGGCGATGGCTTAGGCTTTTCGGGGGTTACCCCACTACTCGCATAGCATCGCTGCTCGCTACAGCGAAGAAAATTGACCCGCTGTGGGAAGAGGAGGGGTTGTGAAGTGAAGGCCTGCAGCTTCCCTCCTCCCCCCACTCCATTGCTTTCGTTGCCTCCCCTCCAATGGCCCGGCCACCACTCCCGCCAGCCAAGCACAATGTCCCATCGGCTTTCTGTTGGGCACGTCTTTTTTGCTTTGGTTGCTTGTCTTTTCTGTCTTTCTCCATTCATCCACACCCCCTCTTCCCCCCCTCCCTTCTTTTTTTTGTGGGATACTATATATACCAGAGTGGACCAGCTGCTCTACTTCCCCAGCTTTCTCCTTCTACCTCTCTGTCTTTTTGTATTCTCTTCCTCTTTTTTCATATCCTCTACCAAAAAAACACAGTTGTATCAGGACAGCTTCTTGTTTCTTGATTGTAATTCCCTACTTCTTATATACCCGTGGAAAGTTTACGTCCCATTTCCACCATCATCATGGCTACCATCACCGCCGACCTCACCACCCCCGCCACCGGCGCCTACAAGCAGCCCATTGGTCTGTAAGTGACAGCTTTTGATTACCATTGCTTTCTTTCTTTCTCTGTTTCTCTCTCTCCTGATCCTTCCACGGAATCAAAACCAGTGCCCTTCTTAAAGTTGGCCTGTATCCCCCTCACTCTGTTCCTCGCTATATTGTCACTATCTGTGGCAGATTGATTCAACTAACTAACACTTCTTTCTCTACACAGCTTCATCAACAACGAATGGGTTGAGGGTGTCGACAAGCAAAAGTTTGAAGTCGTCAACCCCGCCACCGAAGAGGTCATCACCTCTGTCTGCGAGGCCACCGAAAAGGACGTCGACATTGCCGTCGCCGCTGCCCGCAAGGCCTTTGACTCGGAATGGCGCACCACTCCCCCCGCCACCCGCGCCAAGCTCCTCAACAAGCTCGCCGACATTGCTGAGCAAAACATTGACCTCCTCGCTGCCGTCGAATCTCTCGACAACGGCAAGTCCATCACCATGGCCAAGGGCGATGTTGGTGCCGTGGTTGCCTGCATCCGCTACTACGCCGGCTGGGCCGACAAGATTGAGGGCAAGACCATTGACATTGACCCCGAGATGCTCACCTACACCCGCCGCGAACCCCTCGGTGTCTGCGGTCAGATCATCCCCTGGAACTTCCCTCTTCTCATGCTTGCCTGGAAGATTGGCCCTGCCCTGGCCACTGGTAACGTCATTGTCATGAAGACTGCTGAGCAGACCCCTCTCTCTGCCCTCGTCTTTGCCCAGTACGTCAAGGAGGCTGGCTTCCCCGCCGGTGTCTTCAACCTGCTCTCTGGTTTCGGCAAGACTGCCGGTGCCGCCATTGCCTCCCACATGGACGTCGACAAGGTCGCCTTCACTGGTTCCACCGTTGTCGGCCGTGCCATCATGAAGGCCGCCGCCGCCTCCAACTTGAAGAAGGTTACTCTCGAGCTTGGTGGCAAGTCCCCCAACATTGTCTTCAGCGATGCCGACATTGATCAAGCCATCTCTTGGGTCAACTTTGGCATCTACTTCAACCACGGCCAGTGCTGCTGCGCCGGTACCCGTATCTTTGTCCAGGAGAACATCTACGACAAGTTCCTCGAGGCCTTCAAGGCCCGTGCCCTCAAGAACAAGGTCGGCGACCCCTTCGAGGCCGACACTTTCCAGGGTCCCCAGGTCTCCAAGCTCCAGTACGACCGCATCATGGGCTACATCCAGTCTGGTAAGGACGAGGGCGCCACTGTCGAGATTGGTGGCGAGCGCCACGGCGACAAGGGTTACTTCATCCAGCCTACCATCTTCTCCAATGTCCGCCCTGACATGAAGATCATGCAGGAGGAGATCTTTGGCCCCGTCTGCGCCATCTCCAAGTTCAAGGACGAGGCTGAGGCCATCAAGCTCGGCAACGACACCTCGTACGGTCTCGCCGCCGCCGTCCACACCAGCAACATCAACACCGCCATCCGCGTCTCCAACGCCCTCCGTGCCGGTACCGTCTGGGTCAACTGCTACAACTGGCTCCACACCGCCCTTCCCTTTGGTGGCTTCAAGGAGTCTGGTATCGGCCGTGAGCTCGGCGAGGCTGCCCTTGCCAACTACACCGAGACCAAGTCGGTTGCCATCCGCACTGGTGGCCCCCTCTTTGGTTAAACAGTTTCTTGCAAGGCTACAGCTTCGGCCGCTGCAGTATGCAAACTGAACCACAAACAAAGTAAAATGACAATACAACAAAAAAAAGAAAAACGCAAATGACAATAGTCAGCGACTTGGCTGTTGTTGGTAGTTGTCCCTTCTGCGCAAGGTATCTCTACTTGTGTGCCTTTTATATATTGAGCTTTATGCGTCTATGTAGTAATGAAATGAGAATGGATTTAAACCACGCTGTTATTGTCTCCTCCACTCCACTGTGTTTATATTGTCGTAGTAGAACCACGAGTTTTGCCAGAATGAGAATGGCGTCTTTTTTTTTCTTTTTTTTATGTAATTGTTAGTTTGATCTTAATAAGACATGATAATGCTATGTGCAAGCAAGCATGAAAACAAACAAGCATCTGCTTGCAAAGGAATACCCTACTAGTTGGTATCGTTCTAATAATACAATTTGTCCCTCTTCCACCCCCTCCTCATCCTCCTTTGCCGTCATGAAATAGAATAAAAAAACGCGATGCCAACACCGATAACAAACACCAAAAACTTTTTGTTGCACAGAAACAGGCCATATAAAAACTCCGCCACATGTGAATGAATGATTTGCCATATTCCCCTCCTCTTCTTAAACTTCGCTCACATCTGCGTCTTCAGATTTCGTCAACTCATACTCTTTCAACCAAGCTCCCAGCTCTCACCCCACAGCTCATTCAGATTAATACCCAGCAACTCGAGACTCGGATCGAGATTAAACGGCTGCGTCTGGTCATTGCTCATCAGCCACGCGGCGGACGCGGGATCCAATGGTGCCGACGGAATGGCCGGGGCAAACGCAAACGCCGTCGACGGCCCTCCCTTGGCAACGCGGTCTGCCACGTCGAGGGGCAAACTAGGTCCCGATACGCCCGCGGGCATGACGGCCAGCGGTACATGGCTAATAGCGCCATGCTGTTGCTGTTGGTTTTGCTGGTTTTGCTGGTTGGCAAGCATGCGGTGGTGGAGGTTGACAAAGCGCTCTGCGGAGCTCGACTTGGCCGTCTCGGCGTCCTTGGTGCCCAGATGGGCCTCGAGCAGGCCGAGGGCGGCGCACATGATGGAGTATCCCCAGGGCTCGTTGTTGCCGCAGCGCAGCAGCCGGTCTTCTTTCATGGCGATGCACTTTTCAATCAGCTTGAGCGTGTGGTGGGAGTTGATCATGATCATGTTGGTTGAGCCGCGGGGTTGTAGCATGGTGACGCTGCATAGGTTGATGGCGGTGGTGAGGGCGTCTTCGCGCAGGAAGTTTAGGGATCGGATGCCCTGTTCGTAGAGTTTGTCGTGGAGGAGCACGATGTCGCGTGCGGCGTTGTAGTAGATAATCTCCGAGTACTGGTACTTGGAGTTTTGCTTGCGGAGTTTCAGGTACGGCTGGTGCAGCGGGATAATGTACTGCCGCAGTTGTACGTGCAGAAGTGTATACGCCACCATGGGGTTCTTCTTGGTGGTTGGGTCGACGTTGGTGTCCCACGACGGTAGTGCGTCGATTTCCTGCGTCAGGTCGTTGGTGTAGCGAATTACTTGGTCGTAGTCAATCTCGGATGTTGGGCCGGTCAGCAGCCGGCTCAGCTCTAGACGTAGTGGAAGACTCTGGCGCGAGAGGTTCTGGAAGGACGAAAATGTGTACTCCTTGGGCGGCTTGGATGCCGGGACGGTGGTGGTAGTCTCGGCAAAGTCCTCGTCGTCGAGGTTGCGCGGCGGGTTCACGTCGTAGTGTAGCTGGCTGAGCAGCGACGGCAGGCCGTGGTCAAAGGACGCCTGCATGTCGAACTCTTGAATGGTGGTCCAGATGCGGCGGCGCATCTCTTGGTTGTAGATGGTGATCTTGTTGGCCATGTGGCTGGGCTCGCGGTGCAGACCAACCGCAATGCCGTCCTGGACGAGAGCGCCAGAGTTGGTCCAGAAGCGCTTCTTCTTGAATGTGTTGACACGCTTGGCCAGGTACTGCATGCACGCAATCTGGTAGTGGATGAGCCGGCGGTGCTTCTGGCTCTGCTTCGACTGCCACTCGTCGACAGTGCGAATCCACTTCTCGGCCCAGTGTCGCGCATTGGACATCATGCCGATAAACTTCATGTTGTCGTATGTGTGCACGCAGCTGGCCACGGCAAGCATCGACAGGATGAGTGTTGTAAAGGCTGCATAGCGGTTGGTGCTCGACGGCTTCCAGTAGTCTTCGTACTCCTTTCTAAACGTGGGGATGTGCACAATGCGGTGAATCTGTTCAAATTGGCTGAGATAGACCTCCACAAGCGCATCCGCCTCCTCTTTGGGCGGCAATAGCGCCTCGAGGGCTGGGTCGCGCTGATCAAAGAGAATCTCGCGCTCTTCCTGGCGCCGCTTACGGTCCTTTCTATCATGAATAATGACGGGTCGCAGCCACTCGTCGGCCGTCTCTCGCAGGAACGGGCAGAGACCCGTCAGTTCAACAAAGGCCATGCTAGCATTATGCGGGCCAAAGTATCGTGTGCGGAAGCCCTTGCCGCGGAAGAACCGGAGCTCGACTTTTTCGTCGGATGCATTGGTCGCGGCAATGACTTCTTGGACTTCGGGGCGAATGACGTCTCCATCGGCGGCATTCTCTTCCTTTTGCGTAGCCGGTGAGCTAGTGGCGGCCACGGTGCTTCCGTCAAACGAGATGGCGCCGGGCCGTGTGATGAGGGTTTTGAGCTGCGCAAGCTCGAGCTCGAGACGGCGGATGCGATCCTGGTCCTGGCGAGCAAGCTCCGAGTCGCGACTATGCAGGCCGTCGATGCCGAAGCGGCGGGAGTCGAGCTGAGCAAACTGCGGCGGGACGCCAGCGGCCGCGTTGACGACCTCGCCGCTGCGTGATTCGTAGCTGCAGCGTTCGGGCGTGCCGCTCTTGATGCAGCGCTCGCAGGGGAAGCCGCGGTCGCAGGAGAGTTTGCGGCGACGGCACTCGAGGCAGCTGAGGCGGACTCGCTGGCGCTTGCGGGCTGGGGCGTTGTCGCCGTCGTTGTCGTGGTGGTCGCCTGAGCCAGCGTCGGACTCGGGGCTTCGACTTCGAGTGCTCATGATGATGGTATGGTTTTAAATAGTGATTTGGTTTGGCCGTCGGTTCGGTCGGGGTTACGACGCTGCGTCGGAGAGTGAAACAACCATGAAGTGGTGGCCGGGGGGAAGCGGGGGAAAAGCAGTGACAGGAAAAACCACTTGGCTTGTCAAGTTATCAATCAGATCTGATAAAGAATATCGGTGCTAAGGGCCAAAAAAAACCGCCGTGAGCAGCGTTGGTGATAATTCCGAGGATAAGTCCGAGGGGGAAGTTTGGTGGGAAAAGTGCAAGTTTTGGTGCGAGCGAGCGCTGAGTCATGGGTGGGCCGCCAAGGTGACGTCTGCAACGGCCTCGGTCTCCGAGAGGGGGATTCAGCAGGTTACGACGCCAGCTTGCTGCTGAGAAGGGCTTTAGTGGGAAAAAAAAAAAGACAGAAAAAAGGAAAAAGGAGGCTCTGCCGGCTATACAATTGGAGGGGTCCATGCAAGCAAAGAAGATCCCCCGGCTGGCGGCGGCACGGCCATTCTATATATGTCTGCACCCACAACAGCTAAGCCTTGGGCCTTGGGCTCGCGCTTCGGCCTTTAACGCCTTGTGGACGGCGAACATTGCGTCGACGCATTCGTAATAATTTCAAAGTTGGCCGATAGTAAAAGGTAATTAGTCGTGCTAGTATGCAGTAGTTGTTTCAAATAATCTCCTCTATAGATTGCATTTACGGGGCATCTTGATTGGTTTGAGAAGGTGGTCAAGGGATTGACCCTCAGCGATGTTAGCCGATGTAAGTGAAGCGATGTAAGATCGGTGGGAACTAGTAATCCCCGAGGTAGGCAGCAATACAACATGAATCGTAGAGAAAAAAGAAGACAAATCGTTTTTAAAAGAGATCTGCGTTACGTAAATCTATTCAACTTTATCCTGAATGTTATTTTATTCTTCGCTTAATCGGCGATTCCATTGGCCTCTGGCGATTACCCTATATGTCATAAATCAAAAGAAAGCTTCAGGCACGCTCCTTCAAGAGCACGCCTGCAAGCTAATTAGTTCACTATTTAATCAATCGACAACAAATTTAAAGTAAAGATCAAAAAATTAAGCCAAGATCAAACCCAAATCATCTCGAGTGGAAAAGGGCAAAAAGAAGATGTGAGCCCCGTCCCGGGTTCGAACCGGGGATTTTGGAAGGATGTATCATGTGATCAAAATCCAACGTCATGACCACTAGACTAACAGGGCTAGATGTCAACGATCCGACTAATATTTCATTATTAACCTATCGCGATGATTGAAAACACCATTATTATCTCTACCGTCTCCCAACGTAGTAAATCCGACAAGTCCGATATTTAAACAATATTCAATTTACAATCTCTTTGAAATAATTATTATAAATAATCCATCGACTTTGAAGATTCCTGAAATCGACTATTGTTAGCTTCATTGTTCACTAAAATCGCTAAAGGATCCTTTATATTATCGATAACATAGTGATATAGCTCCATGGGCCCTCCACGCAGCCGCGCAGGCTCCGCGGCAGGAGCGCTGAGCCAATCGGTCTTTTCGCCAACAAAACGAGCCTCCCAGGGGAACTCCCCGAAGAAGGCACGGGCGCGCACCGAAGCCGCAACAGACCCGACGAAGGAAAAGGTTCTTTCCTATATATCTACCCTTAAAACGAAACTGCTCCGGTTGGTAGGAGACGCCAATAAGCCCGAAGCGGTGGACGCTATCGACACCTTCGCCAGGGACATAACCAGTTCCCTCGACTGTCACCCCCTACACGGGGCCACGGCGAGCCCGACCTTTACCCGGGATGTCATCCGGGAGGTCGTTAAGGAAACCCTCCTCCAGTCCAAATCCCAACCGACCTGGGCCCAGGTCGCCTCCACTACCAAGCCATCTACTATCGACAAGACCAACGCTAAAGCCCCAAATAAAGCCGAACCTTATGAAGTCACCGTCCGCGTTGCGAACTGCCCGGAGGCGATCCGGGGCCGGTCCAGCCACGATACTATCCAGCGCGCAAACTCAGTGCTTCGAAACAACACGGCAATAGCTGCCCGAACCCTCCCTTCCGGCGACGTACGCCTCACTTTTGCGGCCGCAGCTGCTAGCTCCCAGATCGACGAGGCTTGGCTACTACACGTGTTCGGCACGGGAGCGACTCGGCTCCGAACGGAACACGCAGTCATTGTAAGAGGCGTGCCGCCCGCGGTCATCAATCCCGATTTCGATATCCACGGCGCAGCAGCGCAGAACGGCATTTCCTTCCAAAGAGCGACCCCCGCCCGGGCCCGGCCCGGAGCTACCAAGCGCAGTTTCATCCTGTATGTGACAGACATAGAGACCGCTAATAAGCTCTGCGACCGAGGCTTTGGTATCGACGGCCAGCTCTTCGACTGCGAGCCCTACACAGCTGCGGCCCGGCCCCTCCAGTGCTATAACTGCTTCCAGTTCGGCCACCAATCTCGCCAGTGCGCCAAACCTGCGATCTGCGGCTCTTGCTCTGGGGACCACCACGGCTTCGTCGAGGGCACGAAGCGGTCTCTTCCCTGCCCCTCCACGGCACTGAAGTGCCCGAATTGTAATAAGGACCACTCGGCTTGGGCACGATCCTGTCGTATCGCTGATCGGGAATGGGAGCGAGCGCGTGCCGCCTACAGCACGCGCCCGCGCCGGTTCCAGGATGCACCCGTAGCTACTATACCGCCACCACCACCACCAACTGTTATCTATACACACCCAGACGACACGCCGGGCCCGGACCGCAAGCGACAACGTGGTCGACCACGCAAATCCCTTCCCCCCCAGACCAACAAGATCAACTTTTGCCCGGATATCCCCAACCCGCTGTTCGGGACCTCCCAGGCCCCGGGCGGCTCCCAGAAGAATCCTATGGCGCCTCCCCCAAAGCCAGCAGCCACCCCAAGCCCGACGACCGACATAACCATGCCCGACCAACTAGATGCTTAGTATTCTTAGCTGGAATACACAGAACAGCCCAGCCAACATTGATATCTCTCTCCACTGCCCCGAGGCCTTCGACATCGTCGCTCTCCAGGAGCCGACCCGGACCAGTCACGTCCCCGCGTCGGCCTTGTTGAACTACCACGTCGTTTTCACTGATAATGGCACGGCCACATATATACACAAACGCCACCCTACACACTCTTGGAGCTCGTCCTCCACAGCATTTTCTACCACCATCCACTTCGGCTCTGTCTCGGTCACTAATGTGTATCGATCCGGAGCTATCCCTGTCCTCGATATAGTCACCCTCTTCAATAATCTCCCTACTAACACCCCACATGTCGTTGTCGGTGACTTCAACACTCACCACCCGAGCTGGGACTTCTTCGGCCGCGAAACCCAGGACTCTTCGGACCTCATCGCGGCCGCAGGACGGGCCCGACTCGTACTAGTCACACCACCTGGTATCTTCACCTGGGAACCGCCAGGGGACCGCCACAGCTCCTCGCGCCCCAGTACCATCGACCTAGTTTGGGCCTCCCCTTCACTGCAGCCCCGACATATACCCGCGCCACGGGACCTCCACGGTTCCGACCATATACCCCAGCTAACACATATCCAACACACATATACACCCTCACCAGCCCCTACCCGGCGCTGGCGCGAGGCTGACCCGGACGCCGTACGCGCCCTGGGGGCCACTCTTATAACAACACCCGAAAACCTAACAGACTCAGCCGCGATCGACCGAGCCTTAACCGACCTCCATAACCAACTTAACGAAATCGCCTCAGCCACGGTCCCGAGCCGCACCCCGGGCTCTACAGCACAACCGCCTTGGTGGTCTAGCGTCGTCTACGACGCTGTCATCTCGGCTCGGCGAGCTCGTCGGCACCGGCACGATGGAGACGCGGCTAAGGAACGGTACCGTGACGCTGTACGCGACCGCAACCGGGCCATACGACAGGCGAAGACAGCAGCCTGGCGCCGGTTCGTCGACGAGCTATCACACGGGTCCTCGGCGCTGTGGCGGTTGGCCGAATGGGGTGCTAAACCCCCGGACGCTAAATACCAGTCCCGAGCAGTACCGCCGCTAGACCGCGACGGAACCTCCCCGGCGACGTCCATCGAGGAGAAAGCAGCAGTATTCGCCGCGAAGTTCTTCCCCCCTGCTCCTAACCTCCCGCCCTCGGGCCCCTGGCGGGGCCCACGTTGTGCGCTCGAAGGTCTCGCTGACCCTATCGATGATGATGAAGTGCGTGCTACTCTTAATCGGTGTCGGTCGTGGAACGCCGCGGGCCCGGATGGAATCCCTTACGGCTTCTTGAAAGCGTGCGGCGACCCATTAGTGGCCACCCTGTCTGTTATTTTCAACGCCTGCCTCCAAGGTGGATACTATCCATACCGGTACCGGGCCGGAGCCACTGTTGTTATCCCCAAACCCGGCCGGTCTCCAGCCGCTCTCCGTACCGCTGGCGGATGGCGACCGATTACTCTCCTTAATACGATAGGCAAGCTCCTCGAGAAGATCATGGCCGACCGGCTCGCCTCCGCGGCAGAGGTGGCTGGTGCCCTCCCAGAGGGCCAGATGGGGAACCGGCGCGGGCGCGGCACGGAGTCAGCCGCCTTTCTACTTAAAGAACTTATACAGACTGCATGGGGCCGCGCTCTAGCGATCTCGCTGATGCAGCTAGACATAGCAGGTGCCTTCGACGCCATGCCACACGAGTGCCTCCTTGGGATCCTCGTCCACCTCGGAGCCGACCCGGCCGCGCTTAACCTTATCGGCTCCTTCCTCGATAATCGCTCTACGTATCTTATTATCGACGGGGTCTCTACGGGTCCGTTCCGACTCCGATGCGGGAGCCCCCAGGGGTCCCCTATCTCGCCTATCCTCTTCATTATCTATATCTCAACCTTATATCACCATCTATCTAATATCCCTGGTATCCAACTTATCGGGTTCTCCGATGACAGTAATATCGTCGCTATTGCTCCCACACACGCAGGCGTCGTCCGCTTACTGGAGGAAGCCTGGACTCGCTGCGCGTCCTGGGCGGACGCGCACGGCGCTACTTTCGCAGCAGCCAAAACAACTATCACCCACTTCACTCGCGCTCACTCCCCTCTTACTACCAGTGTCCGACTCGGCCCTGTATTGCAGCCACCTACAGAGACAGCGCGCTTCCTCGGGTTCTACTTCCATCGGAAGCTTACGTGGGAACACCACGCACGCGAAGCCAAGGCCCGCGCTGCCCGAGCCGCCGGGGCTCTGAGCGGCACCGGCCGGATGGCGTGGGGAACCCGGCTCGAGAAGGCTCGCCTTATCTACACAATGGTCCACCGCTCTATCCTTACATATGGGTCAGTGCTCTTCCACAAACCTGGGGATATCCCCCTAGGGCCGGCACGTACCATGAGTAGTACCCAGCACGATATGCTCCGACTCCTAGCCGGGGCCTTCCGGGCTACGCCAGCGCACCACCTAGAAGCTGAGCTTCAAATCCCGCCCCTCCATCTATACATGACCTACCGCAGCGAACGCTCCCTTGCGCGGTTCAAGAATAACGGGACTCTTGCGAGGGTCCGCGCCGCGTCTGCCGCGGTGGCGGGCCTCCAGCGGCTCCCTTGTCGCCAGCGCTACCGTCGCCCCCTCGAGGACTACCACCGTCAGTATAGTCGCGATCTTCTCGGGGCCGGGCCGGCCCCCGATCGTAAAACCCTCTCCAAGCACCTGAACGAGCGCTGGCAGCAGCACTGGCTGCACCAGGAGTCCGCACGGCTCTCCCGCTGGAGCAGCGCACAAGGCCACCGACCGTCGAACTGCTCAGAGCTCCCACCTCGGCTCCGCACTGGCCGCCTGCCGGCGCCCTACCGGGGCGGGAACACCCCAAAACACATCTCCTCCTTGGTGCTGCAGATGAGAACTGGAAAGATTGGCCTAAACGACTTCCTATTCAGCCGGCGTGTACCCGACCTGGTATCGCCTCTGTGCCGCTGTGGATCCGGGCGGGAGACCGTGTTCCATATGATCTTACACTGCGAACTCTACGACCGCCCGTCGCTGTCGACTGAGGCGGCTGTTCGCCGAGCTCTCGACGAACCCGACGAGGCCGCGCGACTAGCGCGATGGCTACTAGACACAGGCCGAATCGGCTACCTCACGGCAGCGCACCGGACCCACGATGGCCGACCTGGACAAGCAACAACTAACTGATATCACTATTTCCTTATTCGTTCTTTATAGTTTTGTTTACCTGTATATTTACTTCTCCTGCTGTATTACTAACCTTTGTCTCCTACTATCCGGTCCAGCGTCATCTCCGGCCTGAACCCTCCACGACACCGGCATGGACCTACCGCGGCCAACCCAAATATAGGGTTTTTCTTTGTTTTTCCCCTATAATATATATAGCTAGAGCTAGATAAGCTAGATAGCTTCCATTAGCCTAATAATAATAATAATAATTTAGTTGTGTTTTTATACTTTTAGTACTTGATATGGATATTTTGCGGAACATTAATCAATTTGAAGCATGTTAATCCCCTTTATAGCCTAGAGCCATTACCCCTACTGTAGGAGTTGCCTTATCCATATCACCAGAGAAATGCTACAATAGAGTATTAAATACATGCACTACATACAATTAATACAATGTACGTTCATTAAAAATTAAAGATATATATATAAACCCATATTATATAGCAAACGGTAGCAAAACTGCCGTCATCACCGGTCCTACCCTGCAAGGCGCATTCGTTTATTTTTTTTGTTGGGACCCCCTCTCTCCCCTCGGCAGAGCCATGTCCCGGGTGGCCCGCCTATGCCCTTTTTGGCAGACAAGCATGGCAATTTACAACATTGCGATGATGGGCTAGTGGCGAGGGATTGTCTTTTACCAGTGTTTTACATGGACGAGACACTTGATTAAAATACTGTGAAAAGGCTTACGAGGATAGGTAGACAATCACACAAATTTCACAAGCTGCAAACACTACAACCCAACCGCCTAAACACAAAAGCTCTCACCTCATCTCTCGAGTCGTCATCGACACAACCACATTTCCCGATCCCCAGTCTTATCAGCCCGCAGAGCCCATCCTACCCGCCACCTACGCATCTCGATTGCTCCGCTAAGTATTCGCCCACACCCATCGAGCTTCCAATGCGGCCACGCCCAGAGCCGAGCTGCTCGATTGGCGGGCCAGAAGCTATTGGTGGCCCCGAAGCTAGCCTTCCCGGAGACAATAGGGACCGTAGCCCATTCTTGTTTCATACTTAATATGCGCCATTGCACCGTTCCCGCTCGCTCAAGTGCCGTAAGCTTGCGCAACTTTTGTGTTTCTTGTGCCAGGACCAATACCATCTCTTGTTTTCCCTCGATACAACATTCATCACACAGCAACACACGTTTACCACAGACATCACCAACCACATACTCACTTGACAATGTCTGGACGATGGGCTGGTCCGACGCTGCCGCCTGTCCTCGCGTGGCCCGTTTCTAAGGGCGCCGAGCTTGTGCGCGAGGCCGTTGGAGGTGTGACTTGGGGACCGATGTTGGCTGTAGCCAAGCCGACCATTCTTGCTGCGTTATCCAAGATTGAAAAAGGCACACTGTTGCTAGTGGACGAACCTGCCGAGACTCGACATGTCTTTGGACAGAAGCTCTCTGGTAAGCTTGAAAGCGTGGATATGGATGAGCCCGTCCTTCGCTCGGCTACCACTGTCCCAAGAGTAGAGATCGTTGTCAAGAACGATGCTTTCTGGATGCGTCTGTTTCTGTTTGCCGACATGGGCTTTTCCGAGGCTTACATGCTGGGCGACTTTACGTGCGAGGATCTCACATCCTTCTTCCAGGTAAAATTAAATCTGCGTCAAACTTGGGGCCCAAGTGTAGCTTACTGACCATGGAACACAGCTATTCATTATCAACCGTGATCAAATGGGCAACGGCGAGACATGGATCTCAAGTCTATCATCCGCCATATCCAGCGTCGCCAGATCAACAAACACACTTTCCAACGCACTTCTCAATATTTCAGCTCACTACGATATTAGCAACGACATGTTTGCCGCATTTCTATCACCTGATATGACGTACTCCTGCGCTATCTGGGACAAAGAGCCGACTGTGGAGGCTGTCACCGAGACACTAGAACGAGCGCAATACCGCAAGCTTCACAGATTCATTGATGGCGCCAAGATCAAATCCACAGATCACGTCTTGGAAATTGGCACTGGATGGGGATCGTTTGCTATGGAAGCTGTCAGACGCACAGGATGCCGGGTGACTAGCTTAACGCTGTCCAAAGAGCAAAAGGCTCTTGCTGAAGAGCGCATTGCCGCAGCTGGATTTGCTGATAAGATTGAAGTTAAGCTTATGGATTACCGTGCGCTAGAAGTTTCGGAGCCTTTTGATAAAATCGTCTCCATTGAAATGCTCGAGGCCGTTGGTAAGGAGTACTTGGCGACATACTTCAAAGCGATTAACCGCCTTCTCAAGCCCGACGGAGGTATTGCCATGTTTCAATGCATTACCATGCCCGAGGGTCGCAGTGAGGCATACGCAAAGACTGAAGAGTAAACCCCAACGTTCATACTTTGAGAAAAATATCAGGCTGACAACGATTTAGCTTTATTAACCACTACATCTTCCCTGGCGGCTACCTTCCGTCGATTACAGAACTGCTGAACCATATTAGCCGCGAGTCTAAGGGAACTCTGATTATCGAAAACGTCGAAAACATTGGCGGCCATTACTCGAAAACGCTGCGTCTATGGAAGGAAGAATTCTTGCGCAATTTTGAGTCTCACATCAAACCTGCTCTGCTTGAGCAACATGATGACATGACAGAAGAAGGCGTCGATGTTTTCCGCCGTAAGTGGGAGGTAAGTCTGAACCCATAAACATGCGAGAATCATTAATACACGTTGCTGACCGGACTAGTACTACTTTACATACTGCGAGGCTGGTTTTGTGACCAAAACTCTCGGCGACGTTGTCATCACCGTGGGAAGAGAGGGCAGCTTAGAGCTGATGGAAGGAATCCCGTTGTAAATCAACAGCTGGAAATGATATAATTGGGTGGTCTATTAACATGCCTTTGAGCTAATGTACAAGTTTATGTTTTTGGTATCATGATATCATCGTCAAATGTACAGCGCTGCTACTTTCTCTTCTTCTTGGACTTCTTGATCGTCATCATCTTGGATGGTGCTGGAGCATATCGATTCGCATTGTCAACATCAAAGGCCGATTTATGTTTGCGGAAGAGCAGCATTGTGACTCGAGCGTCTTCTATACTCGAGTGAGCACCGCTTTGGATTTCAACATTCAGAAGCTCCTGCGCAAGCACGCGCAGCGCGGGCTTTCTGCCGTTGCCTAGTTTCTTAAACGAATGATGCTTTGAAGTATCGCGAATATCCTTGCCGGGATGACTGAGCATGAGAGCAGTCAAATCGTGCTTGACATCATGACCAATGAGGATTCGTCCTTTGAGAATGTCGGCGACATCCTGTTGTACTTCTGAAAATTCCCTTGCAAATCGCATCTCCTTTATCGAGATACCACTGATAGCCGTTCTCCAGTCTGTGACACGCTCCTTTGGGCGAACATATGAGTCGTATATCTGGGTTCCGTGGAAGTCGACTAAGCTTGCTCGGGCGAGCACGGATTCGTAGCCACCAGGACCAACCCCGACCATTTCGCAGTCAATGGCAACGTATTTTCCAATTTCAACACCCTTTGTTACACCGTGATTTACTTTGTCTTTCCCGGCGTTTGTAATCATTGAGTTGTCTTTAGAGCCTAGGTCGTATGCTTCGGCAAGCGATTCTGCAGATATACCATTATCTGCAGCCCATGATGCAAGCGATGGTGCTTTTCCATAGGTTCTATCCTCTTTTGGAGGTGCACTTTGCACACCTCCCATTTTATGAGACTTTTTAGGATTTAATTTGGCAGGTTTTGGTGCTGTGGTCGTCCTTGGTTTTTTGGTCTGGCGCTGCTCTTTCGAGTCTGCATGGCGTTTGAGATTTGGAGTAGTCTGGGATTTTAGCTGGGCTTGAAGCTGCTTCCAGTTAGAAGAAAGGCCGGCCATTTTATAAATTCATTTTACATGGACGTAAATAAAAAATACATGGCTGTTAAAATTTATCATGTAAAAGAAATGTTTCCCAGCGAACAAACGTTCAATGTAGGTTGGTAAAATGCGTATAGGCAGGCATATTACCCTAGCGGGGCTCGATAAGGCGCGGCGGGTGGCTCACCGCCCACCGATAGAGCCCGCATGTGCGCGCAACTTCCATCTTTTTCTGCCGACCTTCTGCAACCACCCACATTCACCAACCGCCACCACCAGTCGCGCGACAGCATCTTTCATCAACTGCACACAACGCAAAGCGATTTTTCATCATGGCAACCGGCGGCGCTCACGGTGAGGCCACCGTTGGCAAAGATGTGCCCCGACAAAAAAGTATGGCGACTCCCGATACCGTCAAGACCGGCTGCATCGTCTGGGTTGAGAAGGACGGACAGCCTCGACGCGCCGAAGTCCTCAGTATCAAGGAGACAAAGAGCGGAAAGCAATTCTACTGCAACTTCGATAGTTTCAACAAGCGACTTGACGAGTGGGTGCCGCTAAAGAGACTCGACTTCACCAAGGAAGTCGAATGGCCAATCCCCGAAAAAGACAAGCCCAAGGAAACCAAGAAGAAGGTTCCCAGTGGCCCGACCAAGAAGCAGCCCCCCAAGAAGGGACAGAAGCGCCCCGGAAAGCGTGAGCAGTCCGTCAATTCCGAGGCTACAACGCCGCACCCATGGACCGAGTTCGTGGAGTCGCAAGACGGACACAAGGCGGCGTCTACAGCCGACGCCGATTCGCAGGCACCGGACAGCGCAGGCCCAACAACAGCAGCAGGTACACCGGCTCCTGGAGATGAGATGGATGTCGACGATGCGGATAAGGCAGAGGAGTTTAGTCGCGAGGACGAAATCGAAAAGCTACGAACGTCTGGATCGATGACACAGAACCCTGGCGAGATTGCTCGTATCAGAAATATTTCCAAGGTCCAGTTTGGCAAGAATGATCTCTTCCCATGGTACTTTTCACCATACCCTGAAGAGTTTACCCAAGAAGACGTCATCTTTATTTGCGAGTTTTGCCTTAGTTACTATGGCGACGAGTTCTCCTTCACTCGTCACCGACACAAGTGCACGCTGCAGCATCCTCCCGGCAACGAAATCTACCGAGACGACTACGTTTCCTTCTTTGAGATTGACGGCCGCAGACAGCGCACATGGTGCCGCAATCTGTGCTTGATCTCCAAGATGTTTCTGGATCACAAGACTCTCTACTATGATGTTGACCCGTTTCTGTTCTACGTCATGGCGACAAGAACTGAGAAGGGTTTCCATACCGTTGGATACTTTTCCAAGGAGAAGGAATGCGCAGAAGGATACAACGTTGCTTGTATTCTGACACTGCCACAATACCAAAGAAAGGGATACGGTCGACTTTTGATTCAGTTCTCGTACGAGCTATCCAAGATTGAGGGCAAGCTTGGCTCGCCAGAAAAGCCGCTGTCGGATTTGGGACTGCTGAGTTATCGTCAGTACTGGTCCGAGAACATTCTGGATCTCTTGATTAGTGCCAACGAGCGTGGCGACAAGGTCACCATTGAAGCCATCTCGTCTGCGCTGGCAATGACCACCCAGGATGTGGAACACACGCTGCAGGCCATGAAGATGCAGGTCTACCACAAGAGTGACCACAAGATTGTTATTCCTGACAAGCTCATCAAGCAGCGTGAGGCTCAGAAACTTAAGGCAAAGAGGACGCTTGACGCAGAAAAGGTGCAATGGAAGCCTCCCGTCTTTTCCGCAGCTAGCAGAACTTGGGGATGGTAAACCTACCAAAGGAGCACTATTTTCGTATAACATTATATATCTGTGGGTGCATATTGGAGCATGGATTCTTTATGATTAGCAACGGGCCGGAGTTTATTTGCAGAGCAAAACAGGTGCAATGTATACTAGATACCCTTTTATTGTTTTAGGCGCTAAAAATGCCACATTATCTTTATGAACAACGTCCAAACGAGAATAACCATGTCTTATGCTTTCCAGCCTCCTAGGAACCACTTGTCGACGATTCGCTTGGTTCCTTTTGGTTGGTTTCTGGGGACCATGTGCCCAGCATTGTCAACGGTGACGAGTGTGAGACGGCCATCCTTGGTTGCCTTCCACTGCCCAGTAATTGACTCTACGTCCTTTGGAAGGGCACTCCACTTGGCTGTCTGGAACATAGTTTGTTGGCTCCAGCTCATTTCGTTGTAGGCACTAATGATGGACGGTGTATTGACAAGAGCGTCCGAGTTTCCATTTATGGCAAGGATCGAAATATATTTGCCAGTGGATGGAAGTGGCGTGTCGAGGACGTGGCTAATGGCCTGTGTTTGGGGTGTAAAGAAGGATCCATTGGTGACGTAGGCTTTGAAGATGTCCATGTTAGACTCCGCGAATTGGGTATCTGTTGACACTCCAAGTGCCTTTTTTACCATTTCGCGGTTCAAGTATTTGGCAATGTCTCCTTGGCCCTTTTCTTCACAGGAGTCAGGGCTTGGGGGGCAGTTGAGTCGAACTAGGAACTAGTGTGTTAATAATGGTTGGCAGAGTATTTAGTCGTGATTTGAGCACTTACTGTCGTAGTAGTTGCGAGTACCATCGGCCACAAGAGTAGCATAGTAGATGTCAATATTGTCATGGCAATAATTCGCGGCGTCAGAGCAATCTGTCTGCGAGAGGCTCTTGTTGCAAATGGCACGGCGCTTGGTGCATTCTGGTAGCGCACTCTTCATGAAATCACAGTCTGTCTTGTTAATAATACCCTTACCAATGGAATTATCCTGGCAGAACATGTCCACCTCGCCAATTACTTCGCCACTAAAGTCGAACCCTCCATTGACGAGGACAAGGGACTGGATATTTCCTCTAAAAGCTGACGGTGATTTGGCATTTTGTGCATCAATGATGTATTTCAGGTATACTGGTCCGTAGTGACCACCATATGACTCCGCCGCAATATGCATAGGAACTCTTGACTTTTCCGGAAACATTTTGGAGAAGAAGGTGTTGAGAAAGTATTGAAAGTCGGCTGCACCGTCGAGATCAGATTCGGGCATGGGACTACCAGAGCGATATGTCGAGAAGCCAACACCTGCTGGCTGATCGAGGAAAAGGACGGAGGCATTGTTGTTCCATGACCATTCGTTAATATATGTTTTATCAGAGGTAGAGTCGAGGCTACAGGCGCCGATTTCGTTGAACAGTCCAAACATCGAAGACGAGCCAGGCCCTCCGTTGAGCCAGACGATGACTGGGTCCTTTGAGGGATCATTTCTGCTTTCAAAGAACCAGTAGAATAATCTCCTGTCTATGGAGACGTCTACAGTGCCTGTCCATTGCTTCTCGCCGCGAGTAGCGCAGAGGGTGTTGTCTTGGGCTGTGCGTGTAAATTTTCCGGGTATGTACTGCTCTGAGAATGATGATACGGAGGCTTTTTGATGAGTAACGATAGTATCTTTTTCATTACGGATGTTTTCAAAGTCGGGAATTAACTGTTTTGCATGGGTTGTGACGCAGAGCGCTGCTACAGCAAGGGCTGAAGCGACGTGCATTGTGTATAAGGCTATTAGTGGTTGTTGTATAAGAAGCTTGTTGTTGTATGTAAATGCCAAAAGAGAGATGAGAAGAAGAAAGAGATGCCATGGAAGATCTATTTTGTTTTGATTTCGGTTGAGTTAATAAAAAAAAGAATGTTACAGAAATAGAAATAGGAAAGAGACGAAGCGCGTGCTCCAGCAGAGGCAGGCGTCGAGGGCGCGAGTCAAGGGTGACGAAGTTGTGAATCAAAGCACATTCCAGCGGCCACATGGGCAGCTGGGCTAATTCATTAGGGCGGGACGGGATTGTCTTGGTGTGATTTAGCTGGCCATGTTTCGGGTGACTTTTACACTTTTAGCCAGAGCTGTGGAAAAATGGTGGTGTATGTGGAGGAAAATGAGCTGTTGCAGTTACAAGGCAGCGACACTTGTAGGCGCAGGTTACAGTGCTCTTCTTGGCGCTACAGCGCTCCAACTGTTTGCCCGCCAGCGTCCCCGCCACATGGCGGGGACGATCTCTCTCCATCGGGCGTACCTGTGCTGTACGAACTGTAGCGTCGCATCCACCAGCTCCAACGGGTTCCTGCGCTAAACTACTGCTCCAACAGAGCCACCTATTTCCATAGCACTACTGGTGCAGCTGCACAACGTCGCTTTCTTCTCCAAACATCGCCACTGCGAGTCTGCTCGACCATCGTGCAAACCACCACCAGCAGCATTTATTTCGCAATACACAACGTATAAATAATCACCCATCGCTCAGAGCACATCTTTCAACTATGGCTCCGAGTCTCTCGGCTCTCGCAGCCGTTGTCTTGCTGGCCAATCTCGTTGCCGCGGGCGTCAAGGATCACCAGCTTCCCCTCTCTGATTTTGGCGCCGCGTGCCCAGACTACACCAAATATGCGACATATCCACAGTACGATCCTCTTTGTCAAAATACATACCTGCCTTCTATAGTGTAATAGCGCCAAGACTGACCCTTTTTCTTAGCGCCCCATTCAGTGAAGGAAAGCTCAAGCTTCCGTTTCAGCGCCCCGATCCACGATGCAGAACCTTTACTTCAGACTCTATCGAAAAGGTTATCAAAGATGTTACCGAGCGAATGGCAGATCCTGACTTGGCCAGGCTGTTTGAGAACGCCTTCCCATCGACTACTGATACAACAGTAAAGTTCCATACCAAGGGCAGCAAAGACGCCGGCTTCATGGCGACTGGTGATTCTAGCTATGACCAAGGCGCATGGGAAGGACCACAAACCTTTGTCATTACCGGAGATATCATTGCAGAATGGCTGCGCGACTCGACAAACCAGCTTCGCCCCTACCAGGCATTGGCCAAGAACGATCCCGCCATCTTCGACCTGATTCACGGCGCCATTAGCACGCAGGCCGAATATGTCATCAAGTCGCCGTACTGTAACGCCTTCCAGCCGCCTCCCATTAGCGATCTCCCCACAACATCAAACGGCCAAAACGATAGAGTGCATCCCATGTACGAACCAAGCTTCGTCTTTGAGTGCAAGTATGAGCTTGATTCCTTGGCCCATTTCCTCGCCTTGGGCAACGACTTTTACGAACACACCGGGTCGACCAAATTTGCCAATGAACGATGGATGCTTGCTCTCGAGACGCTGCTCGAAGTGTTGTATGAGCAGTCCATGCCGACCTTTCACCCAGAAAATGGCCGTCTGTTGCGCAATGAGTACAGCTTCCAGCGCTGGACCGACTTGGGTACTGAAACGCTCAATCTACAGGGTGTTGGCAATCCTCTAAACAGCGGCACTGGGCTGGTCAGATCGGCGTTCCGACCGAGCGACGACGCTACCATCTTGGGCTTCTTCATTCCAGCCAATGCGATGATCTCTGTCGAATTGGGTAGAACGGCCAAGATGCTACTTAAGATGGGCAATACTAAAATGGCATCCGACATTGAGAAATGGAGCAAGACTATTCGACAAGGTGTCCTGGAGCATGGTGTTGTACACCACAAAAAGTATGGCGACGTCTTTGCGTTTGAAGTTGACGGCTACGGCTCCAACATTATCATGGATGACGCCAACTACCCGTCTCTTCTGGCACTGCCTGTTATGGGATTTTGCTCGGCAGATGACCCAATCTACAAAAACACGCGCAAGATGCTGCTCGAGAAGCAGGGTAACCCATACTACTTGACTGGTTCCGAATTTAAGGGCATCGGCGGGCCTCATATTGGTTTGCAGAATGCTTGGCCAATGAGTTTGCTCATCCAGGCGCAGACATCGGACAATGATAAGGAAATTTTGGAGTGTCTTGACCTTGTGCTCAAGTCGTCTAAGCGCGGCTTGATTCACGAGAGTATTCATGTTGAGCGCTCATCCATGTACACCCGCAGCTGGTTCGCTTGGGCCAATGAAGTCTTTGCAATGACAATTCTTGATTTGGCCAAGAGAAAACCCAAGCTGATTTTCAAAAAGGGTACCGGCACCTACGAGATTTGAGGCTGAATTGAAACGCTGGCGAGGCTTGCGAATAGATTTGTTATTACTAGTACTATACCTTCCCTCTTGCATATAGTTGGGCTCACGACGTTTTATGAATAGACTGCATTTTATATCCCGACACAGAAAACCACAAAACAAACCACAGTTAAATGAATTAATATATTTTCAATACAAATTAATAAGCTCCTTTTCCACCTAACTGGCAACAACCCCAGTCGTATGTCAAAGCCGTTGTTCCCCGCATAATCCATCACCCCCACGTATCCGGAGCTTGATCGGACGACCAACGGCACTGCAACCCCGCCACGGCATTGCGTCTTTACATTTCTCCAAAAGCCCCAGCTCCAACAAAACCACCCCTCTTCTTTTCTTTCCTCTTGAATCATCGACCATATGCCATAAATACGAAGCAAACTTTGCCATTGAATGCAAAACTCCCTCCTACGACCCACATTCATCACCTTTCGTAGTCTTGCTGCACAACCGTTCCGCATGTCGTCTACCACCACGTCCAATATGCTAGTATCCCGAAAACCAATCAACTTCCTGCGCGGCTGGCCAGCTCCTGAGCTGCTCCCCGCGCAGCTCCTCTCGTCAGCCTGCCAGCGCGTCCTCAGCAACCAGGCCGAGTACACCGAATACCTAGAGTACGGCGCCGACGAAGGCCTGACCCGTCTGCGCAGCGGGCTTGCGAAATGGCTCGGTGCGCACTACAAGGTCAAGCCAGACCTGGAGCGTATCTGTATCACAGGCGGCGCTAGCCAGAATCTAGCATGTATTCTCCAAAGCTTTAGCGACGTCAACTTCACCCGCGCCGTCTGGATCGTTGCACCCTGCTATCATCTTGCATCGCCTATCTTCGAAGATGCTGGCTTCGCGGGCCGCTTAAAGGCTGTGCCCGAGGACGAGGAAGGGATCGATCTTGCTGTGTTCGAAGAGAAGCTGAAGCGTTTTGAAGAGGAGGATCAGCAGGGGCATCAGGAAAAACCCTTTAAGTGCTTTGGCACAGATAGGAAGCTGTATCGACACTTGATATACTGCGTGCCCACGTGCTCTAACCCCTCGGGCAAGACCATGTCGCTGCGCAGACGAGAGGCGCTGGTTAAGCTTGCGAGGAAGTATGATGCGCTTATTATTTCGGATGATGTGTACGATTTCCTCCAGTGGCCGCTACAGGGCCCAGTGTCTGCTGAGCGGCTGCCGTCGATGAGCATGCCGCGCATATGCGATATTGATCTGGCGATGGGAAACTCGGAAAATGATCCCCTTGGATTCGGCCACGCTGTGAGCAACGGCTCGTTTAGTAAAATCTCGGGTCCTGGCGTGCGCACCGGCTGGGCGGAAGCGTCGCCTGCGTTTATAACTGGTCTTGCGCATACTGCGGCAACAAGGTCGGGCGGTGCGCCGAGCCAGCTGTGCGCATCGATGCTTGCAGAGCTCGTGGAGACTGGGAAGCTGCAGGAGTATATTGAAGAGACGCTGCGTCCTGCTATGCAGCGCCGACACAGGCTGCTTATAGATGCAGTGCGCACGCATCTGGCGCCACTGGGTGTCTCTACGAGGGCTTCAAGCATGGAAGGATCGGAGAGCTTTGGCGGATATTTTGTCTGGCTGGACTTTCCGAAAGAGTTTTCTGCTGATCTGATTGCTAGTGTCGCCAAGGAGGAGGATAACCTTATCTTGGGCTACGGTAATATGTTTGTCGTCAAGGGCGATGAGAGTGGTGCGCGATTCAATCACAGCATCAGGCTGTGCTTTGCCTGGGAGGCAGAAGAAGATCTAGTTGATGGAGTCAAGAGGCTGGGGCTGTTGATTTCGCGCATGCGAAAGAATAAGGAGCATTATCTGAAGCTTGCAGAGGCTGGTGCACTGGCAGACATGAGTAAGGATGTTTAAAGTATCACGTTCGGGGAGTGTGCCATTGTAGATTAGGAATATAAAATGCTTTTGTTTTTTATTGTCGCTATGCGATGGTTAGTTTTTTGACTTTCTATTTCTTGCCAAAGAAGGACATGATGCTGCCTTGGCTGCCCTTGGATGAGGCGGGTGGCCTTTTGCTCTTGGGAGCTGATGAAGCTGGTGTAGATGTTGGTGCTGCTGCCTTTTTAGCTGGCGCTTCGTCTTCGGAGAAGGACTCCCAGCCTTCCTCTTGGATTGTCACTGTTAAAGAAGGTTAGTTGCAGTGCATAAATCTAAAGCGATACAATAAACTTACCCATGTAGCCTTGGTCGTCGAGGATGCGCTTCTTCTTCATCACACGGCGCTTGCCACGACGGCGTCCATCGCCAGTGCTGGACACTACTTCTTGAGGCTCTTTTTCTTCTTTCACAGGAGCAGCAGGTTCCGCCTCGGGCTCAGGCTCCGGTTCCTCCATCTCTTCATCCTCATCCTCCTTTTCCTCCTCCTCGTCTTCATCTTCTTCCATCATACGTCGTAATTCGTCTTCGCGGTTCTTGCGAGCTTGTCTTGACACCTCGATTTCGGCGTCCGATTTCTTGTTGGCAGGGACCGGCATATCTTCATCATCTGCCTCTCCGTCGTCACTGAGAGCCATTGACATATCCTCCTTCTTTACAGGCTTAGGTTTGGGAGGCTTAGCAGCCGCCTTGGCGAAGGACTGCATGATACCGCCCGCAGCTTTCTTTGGGGCCACTGCAGGCTTCGATGACTGGGATGGAGCTGCTTCTTTAGGCTGTGACGGCGCAGGCTCTGTTTTGACTTTTGTAGCGACGGGAGCGGTCGATTTTGGAGCTTCTGTTTTGATGGGCTTCGCAGGCGCTGCTGCAGGAGTAGGAGGAGGAGGGGCGTTCTTTCGGGTGCGTTTGCGAAGGTGAGGATTGACGATACCGCCATACTTCTTTGCCTGTGCTGCAGCGTCGTCCAGCGCGGGGTACTCAGACATCGACTGGGCAACATCAGACAACATGGTCAAGTCTTTCTGCGGTTGCGGCGATAAGCTGTAGACGTGAAGCGATGTGACGTCTGCGTATTCAGACAGGGTGTCCTGGAGCTTGTCTTCGGCAACAAGTGTCATGGTTGTGCAGGGCACGGCATCTGTCAGGTAATCTTGTTCAGGCGCAGAGCTCATCATTTCGACATCGCCGTCTGCCTCGGCCTTGATGGCGGGCTTGGAACCGTAAACGAGGTACGTTGCGTGGACTGAAGCGGGCTTCAGATCATTTTGATATTTGTGAAAGTCGTAGAGCATTCTATAGCAGGCTTAGTTTGTCAAGGACAAGAATAGATAGTGAGGATTGGAAGTAGGTACTCTTTCGCTGTGTTAACGTGAACATCAAGGGCACGGCTAAGCAGTCGATATGTAATCTATTGTCATTGTTAGATATTGCGACGAACTATATGCCGGCACGCACAGCTTGGGACTTACAGGCCGTTCTTCGCTCAGCAAGCGTTCCGCCAGAAACTTTGTGTGTTCCTCCATTGTTGTCAATTGCGACTCTCGTCCCAGAAACCCCGTATAAATAAGAACAAATTGGCAACAAGAATTGGTTTAGTTGCTGTATTCAGCAGAAGATGGAGGAGCTTCAGTGGACGCGTTCTGCCACTCAACGCGCCTTCACGTGATTCGGCGCTGGAAACCACTTAACCAGATGGCTACAGGGCGGCCTGTTCCAGCGTGCGGAGCGGCTGCTACAGCGAGCGATGACGCTAACGGCGCCCACTGCGGAGCACTGTTCCAACGCGCCCAGTCGCGTGCTTTCTATTAGCACAACCAAATTATTCACGACTCTGCCTGCGCTAGCTGACAAGATCACCAAGAAATCGGCGACGCATTCACTTTTAGCGCTCATGAATCACTTCACCTGCTTCCAAACCGTCCGAATTCTCTAAACACCTTCACAGATGCCCGCCGACGATGTCGCCGATTCCACGGATTGGCTTGCGACGCCGCTCGCTGGTCTAGCCGCCGTCGAAGCCGCTCTGCGCTGCCAAGTGTGCAAAGACTTTTACAAGACACCGATGCTTACGACATGCTCGCATACCTTTTGCTCGATATGTATTCGAAGGGCTCTCTCCGGTGATGGCAAGTGCCCGCTGTGCCGTGCTCCCGATCAGGAACTCAAGCTGCGAAGCAACTGGTCCATGGAGGAGAGTGTCGATGCATTCACCAAGGCAAGGGCTGCTGCGCTTGAGTTTGCCCGCAATGCAAATACCCGTAGCAAATCACCAAAACGAAAGGCAGAGGCTGCCGAGATTGAAGCGGACGCCCCAACAGACAGCAAGCGACCTAGAATGTCGGCCAGACTAAGCAGCCGCACAGGACCTCCGCCGCCGCATGTCGAAGTAGTCGAAGACTCCAATGACGAAGCCGAAGAAACAGGGTCTGAAGATGAATACACGCCAGAAATCAGTAAGTCTTCATCTCAGCAACCAATCCCAATCATACTGTTGCTCACCATATCCCTTAGACGATGGTCTCGTACCATGTCCCACATGTAACAAGCGCATGAAGGATTGGCAAGTCTTTGCGCATCTCGATTCTTGCACTGGCCTCTCTATCGATCCTGTACAACCCACTGAAGCACCAAAACCAACTAGTCAGCTGCAACGGGCACCACGAACCCTCGACCGACTCCCCGCCCTCAACTACTCCATGTTTAAAGAGCAGGCACTGCGTAAGAAACTCGGCGATCTCGGCATCCTGAACCAGGGTCCTCGGCAGCTCCTCGAGCGCCGTCACAAGGAATGGATCACAATCTGGAACGCAAACTGCGACGCCGCACAGCCTCGCAAGCGCTCCCAGCTGCTCCATGACCTAGATACCTGGGAGCGGACACAGGGAGGAAAGGCGCCTACGACAAGTAAGGCGATTCAAAACGCCATGGCGATCAAGGACAAGGACTTTGACGGCGCCGCGTGGGCGAGCAAGCACGACGATTCGTTCAAGGACCTCATTGCGAATGCAAGAAAGAGCCGTCTCGAGGCTAAGAAGAAGGCAGACGAGGCTAAAGCCGAAGAGGAGGCAAAGGCACAGCAAAATGCAGAGTCACAAAAGGGGAACATAGCTACAGAGTCTTTACAGAATGGAGATGTGTCTATGGAAGAAGTGGTGCCCCCAACGACTGGCCCCTCAGAAGTTCAACTTCTACAATAACGTGGAATTTGCATATGGTTTTCACAACGGCGTTATGGAGTTATTATTCGGTTCACAAAAGAAAGAACCTGATTTGATATTTGGGATAGTGTGTTACTTTGGGATGCTGCATTATACATATGGAGACGAAAGGTGATGAACTAGGCGTATATATAAAAGGCAAATTGGATTACCAAACATGCTTGGCCGCTTCGGCCATGCATTATCAACAAGTATATGTGTTTATGCAAAGGGATAATAAAAAATCCTTGTGAAATGGTTATGAACCAAGAGAGAGAGCTGCAATGCCCGTTTCTGACGTGGGCGATTTTTCCCGCTCGCCTCTGTTCACCTCGGACGGTACGCTGGGCAGCTTGTCCAGCTTGTGCTGCGCAAGAGCTGCTTCTCGGGCCTCTTGCTTCTCCTTGGCCTCCTTCTCCAGCTCGGCGAGCTCGTCGTCGATCTCGGTTTCGTCGATGGGCGGGCCGACAGATTCCGAAAGGATGTTGGCCAGCTCATCCGTATCCGACATGCGCTCCCTCAGCTCGTCCATGACGCTGTCGATCTTGTCCACGCCGCCGACCTGTGCGTTGAGTGTCTTGAGCACGCCAGTCGAGGATTCCATAACCTTGACGAGCTGCACATTGTCGGCTGCTTGCTCGATTTTCGCAGATACCTCTTCCAGCTGGTTAAGCGTGGCGTAGCGCTGCGTTAACGATGCTTCGGCCTGCTTCTTTGCCTTTAAGGATGCCAATGCCTTGACTCTGTTCTTCTTGGCCACTGCGGATTTCGCCTCGTGCTCCAGCTCGTCTACACGGGCACTGAGAATTTCTGTCTGATGCTTCAGCTTCTCGGTAAGTTCGTTCAGGGAAGCGATGGATGCTTCTTCATCTGTAATGCCCTTTGTGTCTGTAGTGTCCGGGACTTTGATGACCTGTCCGTCGTACTCGATGATTTTCTTGTCTCGCGACATATATTGCAGCAGGATATCCATGTCGCTGACTGTCAGGTGTTGACCGGCCATAAGCTCCGGAGAAAACAACTTGTAAAACTGTGCTTTTGTGAATACTCGTTCCGCTTTGGACGACCTTGATGACATGTAGTCTTCGAAGGATTTTGTCGCTGCCTGAACGTTGTCAACAAGGACGTATTGACCTTTGGGAACAGCGTCATCTCCTTGAGATCCAGACAGACCAATCTGCCGAAGACCCCAGCCCATAACAGCCCATGGTACAGATCCCCATGTGCTCTGGAATACGTTGCTCTGCGCGTGCAGAAATGTGTTTACGGGGAACAACTTCTTTGCCGTGATGGACTCGTTAATCACGGCACCGAGGGCCATGGGTTGGCCATATTGCCGACTTGACAGCGAACGGCGGAGTGTTTCATCTGTAGTGACTGATAAGATGCTGGGGCGAGCATCCGAGGCGGATAAGAGGCCCTGGGACGCCAGTAGGGAGAGTCCTTTGCTCCATGCTGCAACGTTGGCTTGGTATGCGTCCGGATTCAGCTTCGCTTGTGACCGGAAGTCGGCGTACAGGGCAGGTAGACGAGCTCTATTCAACAGAAAAGAAACATGTTAACAGTCAAATCAACGTATGGGCGACTCGGCTGTAGCTTTACCTTCGAAAGTCTGCATCATGGACGGCGAGGTATTCCGCCAAGTCGCCCATGGCTCCGGTGTCTTATGCCGTAGTTGTTCACTGGCAATCAGGGAATACTGGTGGTATAACTAGCTTTGTAGCTCTTCAGAAATATGCTCAGCCGCTAAATTTATCACGGAACACTGCGGCTAGGGCCTATGACGAGACGGTGGGAAAAAGTTGAGGTGTTGTCGACATGTGGAGCGGCCATTGGTGCCGTGGTGCAGATTGGCGGGCTGTTTTGGCGGTCGTTGGCGCGCCAGGCTGAACTGCGCTAACAAACATGGGCAGCACTGCAAGGTCAGATGACGTCTTCCCGTACAAAGAGAAAACAATGGCGCACGAATGATTGGCTATAAAAATCAAGACACTCGCTGATGTTTGCTTCCAAAGACATCATGTAATTAATTCATTCACCTCTAACCTAGCACCACGCTGCTCAGGTTTAGGACCTATATATGCTGTCTATGTACGGTGGGATGTATTACTTTTGAAACTTAGCAGACATCCTCTATTAATCATTCCGACATGCCGTTCTTCTTCCCATCAAAAAAGTTGCTCTAAACAATCCGCGCTCTTTAATCAAATCCCTCTTGCGCCGAGGCTTGCTCCGGCGCATCTTGACGGTCCTCACCATGCAGTGGTGCCGTCTCCAGTCCACCCCGGCTGACGCTTGCTCGTCTGGCGTGGAGATCAGTGAGCGCTTCGCTTTCTTCTTCAATCTCATCCTGACCGTCATTGTCACCGGCATCCGCGCCACCATCATTGTACATGTCGAGTCTGTCGGTAAGTTCTCTCTGCAAGGCATCAATCATGCTCTGAGCATGGCTGAATCGACCAATATCCTCCGTGTACTCTGTCGATTGGTATATATCTTGAGCATGTTGCAGGCATCTATACGCCGGGATATATTTGGCTTGCTGCAACCATGTTTCCGCAGCAAGAACAGACCATGCAGCAGACTTGCGTCTACGGCTACCCCAGCTCCAGCTGCCGACGCCTGTCTTTGATCCGTAGGATATAGCTAGGCGCTCCTTGACAAGGGCATCTCCAACAGAGCCAACCATCTTTGAGTCGAGTAGCCGCAAACCCCATCGACCGGCGTCGTCAATGTTGGAGCCCCCTCGGAGCTTCAGTAGCTCCAGGCCAAGCAGTAAACTGCGCAATGCACCGTAAGGCGAACTGCATCGTGTGTTGTAAGAATAATATGCGGACTCTAGCATTGGGTCGATTGTCTCGGCTCGTGTCTTCGAAGTTAGATTTTGTGGTGTGAGCAGCAGACTGAGTGCCGCCATCTCGTTTGCTGCGGCGTGGTATTTCCAAGCCTTGGACTCGCTAAAGTCAGACCGTAATAAGTCGTACGTTGAATACGCGAGTTTCCAATCGCGCAACATAAATGCAAAGTCTGCAAGCTTGCGCATGACAGACTCGGGAGCTGCAGCGTAATAGAATCCAGCAGGGTCATATCCGTCTTTGGTAGCTGCAGCTCCGCCTGAGCGACTGGAGCTCGAGCCAAAGCCAGTCCACCTCTTCGATAAGCTCATGAACTTGCCAGTAAGACCACGACGGCGAGAAGCAACTTGGTCATTCCAAACCGTCATGTGGCGCTCCATTGTTGGAACGATGGATTGTGTAACCATTTCTCTCACAAATGTGCGAATAGCTGTTGCATCAGATTCAAATATGTAATGAGAATGCGCTTCAAACTCTGCATCGTTTTCACTATTCGTGATATCCTCCATTTCTTCTGAAGCTGTCATCCAGTCACTTCGTGGTAGAGGAATGTTGTCATCATCAGTTTCTGCTGCTTGCGTGCTTCGAAGCCGTAATAAATGGCAGTGTAGACCGAGGTGTCGCTTCATTTGCTCGAATAAACTCATAGACCTTGTGATGTCGCCGTTTTCCTCATCGTGGACTAGTACATAGTAGCGTAGATATTCACTATCAACCCAAGGCGGAAGCTTTTTATCGCCCTGGTTCGTTTCGGCATATAATCGTCGTAATTCTTCAATGGGGTTTTCGTTTCGCGAGCTGATGGCAACTACACATGCCACTGGGTGTGCGAATGTTTCGTGAGCAGTAATCGGGAAGCCGGATAGAAGTCTTCGAAGGTATAATGCATAGTAGGGGCTCGCAGCTACAGATTCTACAGAGTGGCGTCGTGTATGGTCGTGAAATGTAGTGTTTTGCATGGTGCCTTCAGCGTAGGAAAGATGGCGCTCTACTAGTGTTTCGACGGCGTCCAGCACTTTTCGATCTTCTTTTGCATTTGCTTTGGCCTCACTTTGGGGCAGTTGCATTTGTCCAGACCTTTTCGGGTCTGGATGCTCAATATTGTGCCCAAATCTTGTAAAGCGGAGAGCAAAGTCCTCTGAGACACGGCCAACGCCGTTGCTATCCCTGACAGTGACTTTCCCCTGTACACGCTCTCCAAATGGTCTTAGTAGCTCCCAGAGACCATCCTTGAAACCCTTGCCGTGTAGGAGCTCTTCTGTGTCCTCGGAGGCGTAGACTGCAACATGCGGTACGAACGCCTTCAAGATAAGACTTAGCGGCTCGCCCGGGTTGTCGCCTGCATCTTCAGGAAGTGAATGGCCCTGTCCACCGTCAAAAACAGCGCTGGCAAGCATGCGGGACGGAGATCGGCCGGCGGGTGACATAGATCTCGATCCAGGGGGAGAGAGTGTCGAGGCATAGAGGGATGCGACGGAGGGGTTGGATGCTCTGATGGGAAGCGGCGAATGTATTCTCGGTGACTTGAGCCCGTCCGCCGCCGAGGCTGCTCTTGTTTTCGGAAGGCTGATGGCCGGCGGGGTATTCGAGGAGGGCGAGGAGGGAACATCGTCTTGATTGGGCTGCGGCATCTTGTCGGCGCCCATGGTCGTCGGCTCGGCCTAGATGATTCGGTGTGCAAGATTCATGTGGTGCGGGAAAGCGATGAGATGGCCGAGATGTGCTGGCCGGAGTAGTGGAACGTTATCGTAAGACTTAAAACTGCCCGCACCGCATGTTGGGAAAGTTCGTCTCTAGAATGCGTACGCTGGTGGATGTGTTGGGTTGGGATCGTCTGACAGGCCTAGTGGCGGTGGTGAGCTTGCTGAGGGGAGAGTCCCGCATTCTTGTAACGGGGTCTGGCAGCTGGCGGAAGCTGTCTACCAGCTGCGAATATGCGCTGTATTGGGGCTAAAGTTCCTATACTGAGACAAGTAATGTTGAGTTGTGCAATTTCTTCATTACATCATTTTTCATTTTGCAGGCTAACATTGTAGGTATTAGTTGTTTGTCTCCTACGTTGAACCTTCTATAACGAGCAGACGTGGGTACTGTAGCTGTCCCGCTCAAATTTACAGTGGGCTCTACTGCGTCAACGTCGAGAAAATCCGCCCTCCATCCAACCACATTCTTTCCACGCGACAGTCACCAAACACCGACATCTTCGCGCTCGACATGCCTGGAGACCTCACAAATTATTTAGCGGAACGCTACTTGGTAGCTGACCCAAAGCCCTCAAAGAAACGCAAGCGCAAGCAAGCCGGTGCCTCAAATGGACTGCTCATCACCGACGATGACGACACAGCATGGGGACAATCGAAGTCTCGACAAGATGACGACGCCGACGACGGCCCTATCACAGTTTCTGGTACATCGTCAGAGTTCAGAAAAGCCAAGAAGAGCGCCTGGAAATCCGTAGCAGGCACTACCAAATCACGGACGGACGAAAGCGATGCAGCGGACGCCATTATTTCTGCCGCCGCCGCAGAGGCTGCCGCGTCCAGAGACGCAGACGACGAGATGCCCGTCATTGAAGAAAATATAAACGCCATCAAGATGAGCGACGGTACACATGCCGGATTACAATCGGCCGCCGCTGTATCGGCGCAATTGAAACGAAGGCAACAAGAAGAACGCGACGAGTTTGAGCGACACCGCAAAACGCACAAGGAACAAGAAACCGTATACCGAGACGCCACTGGTCGAAGAATAGATGTCTCTATGCGTAGAGCAGAAGCGCGCCGAGCAGCTGCCGAAGCAGAAGAGAAGGAGAGACAGGCTAAAGAGGCCCTCAAGGGTGATGTACAACTTGAAGAGGCTAGGAAGCGTAGAGAGCAACTGGATGACGCTAAGCTCATGTCGTTCGCGCGCAAGGCAGACGACGAGGAAATCAACAATGAGATGAAGGAGGAGCAACGTTGGAACGACCCCATGATGCAATTCATGAGCGAGAAGCAAGTTGCAGACACAAAGAAGGGCTCGAAACGAAAACCCGTATATGCTGGCGCCGCGGCGCCAAACAGGTACGGTATCAAGCCGGGATACAGATGGGACGGCGTCGATAGAGGCAACGGCTTCGAGGCACAACGATTTAAGGCTCTAAACCGGCGAGAGATGAACAAGGGACTGAGCTACGAGTGGCAAATGGACGAATGAAACTTCTTTTTTATTGTTAATTGGAATACGCTAGATACCCAAATGGAAACGAGGCCCTGTATTATATAATAGACCAGCTTGGAGGCTCTGTAATTCAAATGCTGTACGCCTCTCTGGCGCTGAAGTCTTTCACTTACACCTCTTCTCCCTTCTAATTAATACACTGCGCGATGAGGCCATCTAGGCAGCATCCTTCTTCTTGCGCAGCTTCTTGTTGGGACCCATCTCACACAGCTGGGTGACAAGCTTGATCCAGTCCTTCTTGGGCATCTGGCCAGGGCCTTCGCCAAGGCGGGCCTTGAAAGGCTTGATAAGCTCTCCGATTTCGATACCCTCTGGCGGGATTCTATCCAAAATTTCCTTGGGTTCAATAGGTGCTGATTGTGAGCCAGACGGAGGCACAGGGCTTCCAGCGCGTGAGGCTGTCGGAGTGCCGCGGTTGCTGTTGACAATCTTGATCTTCCTCTTGCGCACAGCGCCGTCAGACATTTCAGCAGCAGTAGTCTCGCCATCGCTACCGGATCCTGCACCGCTGACCTTGGGACGCCGGGCAGCTTGGCCCATTGGGGTGCCGGCGCGGCTGCCTGTGCTGGAGGCCGCCTTCTTCATCTTCTTCCTTGATGATTCATTGCCGCTCGACTCTGAAAGGGCCGGTGAGCCAGCTCTCTTGAGAGACTTGCCAGGCTTGACATCGTGTCTTTGCTTGCCTTGGGGTGTTGTGGAACCCTTGGAGCTAGCAGACTTATTGCCGTTCTTGTCACCATCCTGGTCCTTCTTGTCTTGGTCTTTCTTGTCCTCATCCTTCTCTGCATCGTCATCGTCAGAGCTATCATCGTCGGACGAGCTGGACCATGGGTTATCTTCGGAGTTGTCACTCTCGTATTGATCCTCGCGGTCACGCTTGATGAGCGCCTTCTTCGTGGCCTTGCCAAAGCGCTGACGCTCAAGTTCCTCCCTTAGCTGCTCATGCAGATCCTTGTCGACTTCCTGCTCGTCACCATCACCGAATAAGTTTGCGCCGAGCTGCTCCCGACGAATGCGGTCTTTCGATTCCTTGGTATCTTCGTCCTCGTTCTTTTCAAAAGTTGGTGTCTCATCATCATCTTGGAACTCGTCGCCCGAAATATCGAGTTCGTCGTGCTCCATTTTTTCAGCTCTTGATGCGGCCTTGAACGTGTCGCTTTCTGTTTTGATCATCTGGCCGTGGCCAGAGAGCATGCGCCGGGTTGCCTCCAACTCGGCCTGACCAGAGCGCTTTTCTTCATCCTTCATAACCCATCGACCGGCATCAACCTTTCGGCCCATGAGCTCCTCAGCCTGGTCTATGGTCATGGCCTGGAACGGGGGCTTCGAATTGAACTTGTACCACTTCTCCAACGGGATCATGCGGAAGACAGCATTATCAATCATAAACGCGACGGTGGCTTCCGATAGCGCAGCAACGTAGGTACCAACCCAGACGTTCTTACCATCCACATCCTCGAGATGCCATGGGAGCGCTTCTTCGTATCGGAGATCTGACTCCTTTTTAGCTGCTGATGTCCTAGGGCCTCTGTTGAAGACCGTCTTCTCCTCCTTTTGCTTCTTGGGGCGCTTGGGAACAGCGTCCTTTGCAACAGGGGCAATCTTGGCCTGGTCTACTGCCCTCTGAGCCTCCTTCTCCGCCTTGATCCTCTCAATACGTTCTTTTTCTTGATCGTCAGGCATGGGTCGATCAGGTTGCTCGACCTTAACTGTTCGACCTGGCGGAGGCTGCCTAGCATCTCGGCGGTGTAACGTGACAGGGCGAGTGAATTCGTCTTGATCGGTTGGGTCAATAGGGGGATCATCGGCGCGCGGCGCTGCGAGCTTCATCAAGTGGTACCGTATTCCGTCTAGCAACGCCTTTTTTGTCGTCATGATCGGGATGTCTTTGAATTCATACTGCGGCGGGGGTTCCGACCAACCACCATATTGCCTACGAAGCTCATCCAGGCTCGGTTTCGCTCCAGCTTGTGATGATGAGGATGCTGCTGAGCCAACTGGCTTCATGGGCAGCTTGCCACCTTTGCGCGAAACCAACGGATTGGGTCTTGGCTTCTTGCGCAGCGGGCGCAGCGGGTTCGTCTTGGCTCGTGGGGTATTGCCATTAGGAGGACCGGGCGGGTTGGAGTTCATTATTGCGGCGCAAAAGATACAAGTTGAATTTGGAGTCCAGGAGAGCTGCCGCCTCGATTGCGCCCGTCACGGCGAAATGCGACGCGTTTTGGGCGGGAGCACGCGAGGGCCGATTGAGCAAGAGTTGGCCAGCAAGAAGCGCTGTATTTGCTGAAATTAGATGCTACTACTCAATACGCAGCGGTTCGTTGGCATGCAGCTGCTGGATAATGTCGGAAGCCGCGAGTTGTGAAGGTGATGATGATGACCAAGGGACGACGGTTCGGCGGAGTCGTGACGCCCTGAGCAGACTACTGCACCTGTGATCAGGCCCCAGCGAGCGTTCCGTTAGCCGTGGTTCAGCCTGGGGACCACCTGGCACAGTTGGCGCAGCTGGCGCAACTGGGGGCACCTGTGTGTGGCCAATCAACGCACCTGGTAGCAGCTCCAGCCCCCCACTACAGCTTTTGCAGGGTGATGCTAGAAGCTAAACCTAAAACTAGACAAGGCCTCTGAACAGATGCAAACGCTTGCAGGCTAAAAAAAAACGAGACGAAAGGACAGGACATCGCATAGACACTGCCTCGATGCAAGCCGAGTCAAGTCGCCTATCCAATACGACAAACATAATTCTGATCACTTCACAATTCCTTCTACGCCTGCTCTAAACGCCACCAGAGCTTGCAGCGTCTCACTCGCAGCCGAACCCAGCACGTACAGGCGACGTCACAACCCTGCTCGCATCATCAAACACCATCCCTTGGCAAACGCCATCAACAAGCCTGCCCATTGTCCGATATAAGGCATCGAAAATCCCTGCGATCAGACAACTTTATAAGCTATCATCGCCCTTCGCTGCCATATCGCCAGCCTTTGATGCCCTAGCTCGATCCAACCTCTACTCTGCCCCGCGATCCCAATTTGACTGACAGAGATGTCTGCTTAAAGAGACACGGTCTGCTAGAACAAAATTTCGTCAATAAAAGCCATGCAACATCAAGATCACCATGGCTATCGTGGCAACGATGATTCCTTGCCAGGACTCGAAGGTCATCTTCGCAACTTGATCTTAACCAATACCCCTCCCGGTCCCCAACATCATCAGCACCAAGGTCAGCCTGTAGGGGAACATGTTGGCCACCGCCTACCTCCCGGATTCGAACACTCTCAAGCGCGATCAAGGAACGCAGAGCCAGCATTTCCTACCGATCCGCGTGCCTCAATTGCTGACGATGCCAATTCGTCATCGCCCAGAGGCGGACGTCGGCGCCTTAACCAGGCACAACGACGACAGATGAGCTCTCAATTATCGATATCTATTGACCCTAATGCGCCACAATATCAGAACGATGAGACGCAGACTTTACAACACCAGCAGGAACGCTACCACCAACCCCAACACAACTATCAGCGTCATCAGCATCATGCCTCCCACCCAAGTGGAGGCAACTCATCGTGGCGTGGTCATAACCAATCTGAGAGCCGTGACTGGAACGATGGTCAGTATGGTCAAAGTCCACGAAACCACGGTTTTCATAGACCACAAAGCCAAAATCAACGTGACCATCAATTCTCGTCGCCTGGGCATCACTCTCACAGAGGCGGGCGTGGTGGAAACAATTCATATCAAGGGAGATATCAGCGTCAAAGCTTTACACAAGAGGAAATTATGGGACAGGCCTCGCTCTTGGAACGCCTTTGCTTTGAGGCTGTCTCTAACTCGGAAATCGAAAGACCAGAAATCGCAGAAAAAGAGGCTTTCCGTCGCCGAGTGGAAGCCATCTGCCGCGAGGTTATTACACAGTACGAGCTTGAACAAGGGCCTGAGCCCGACTTTCATCCTGCGACTGTAGAGTTGCAGTGCTTTGGAAGTTTAGCCTCTGGCTTTGCTACAAAGGCTTCTGACATGGATCTTGGCCTGATCTCACCCTTTTCCAAGCTCCAGCCTGATGATACAGCGTCGCCAATTCCTCGCCGTCTCGAAAAGGCTTTGTTGGATGCTGGATTTGGTGCAAGGCTGCTAAGCCGAACTCGTGTGCCTATTATCAAGCTCTGTGAGACACCCCCAGAAGCTCTTCTGCAGAATTTGAGGGCAGAGAGAGCGAAATGGGACAAAGGCATTGTTGAAGAAACTGCGGATCCCGAAGATGAAGGCGATGAAGAACCTGCCCTAGATGCTCAGCCTAGTGCTGATGTGCAGGACAGTGATGCTCGCCCTACTTCTAGCACTGCTGATGATACACCTACTCCGGAGAACTACTTTGAAATCCCTGGGGAAGATGGTAAAATGCACAAGTTCCACCTGCGTCAGCTGTCCAAGCATACGCTACAAGCTTACTATGGATTGGCCAAACGCGTCTTGCGTAAAGCAGGCGGCCGTGATGCCACCATGTCAAACTACAAAGAATTCACTGGTCTTGACTGGGAAATCTTGACGGGTGTTTCTATTGCCTTTGCGAACGGACTTTCGGATACCAAGTTGAAACAATCTGTACAAGACGCAATGGAGCTCAGCTCAGAGCTTGGATTCAAATCACTATTCGGCATCTTGTCTCTAGTGGAGGGCCAACAAGTCATTGAGCTTGTTAAAGAGTCCAAACTCCGCCAACTTCTCCTTTCTGAGGGATCACCTTTGGAAAGAACTGTTAGAACATGGCTCGATCTACGACCACGCGGAGGTACACCTGCTGACTGCATGACTTATGCTAAGGACCTGCAAGTCATCTTAGAACGGTTGAAGAAGGTATCAGCGGTTCAGCTGTTAATGCTCGAGCAGGCAGCGAACGAAAGTCCTCTTCAGTACTACAATAGAGCTGCAGGCTTTCTACGTGGCACTGATGCCAACCAAGTCTTGGATCTGGACGAACTATCGTCGGAGGCTGTCACGAGATACATCGCCGGAATTTATCATGAACATGTTCGCACTGAAATACAAGATGCATACGCCAAATCCAACAACAGTCTTACACTGGAAGCTATTGGTCACCAACATATGGCCCTGCAACTTGCTCTTGAATTTGAGAAAGCTCTGGAGAGCAAGGCGTACGACGAGGCTGTTGTGCCTAGCATTCGACAGTACATTGGTCTTTTGAGATCCTGCATCTCTTCATCAACAGAGTCGAGAAATATCGTTCCAACCTCTGAGGAGGAGATTCTTCTAATCCAAAGGATCAAGTTGCTGCCAGACCCCCATAAGTTGGCCCTGAATCACCACAAAGACAAGTACCAAGACGCCCTGGAGTTCCCTAGCATTGGTGCTGGCACACAGTCTGATATCAACTTCGCTGCACACCTTGCCTTGCAAAACACCCTTCTTCTGCGCTGTTATTCGCACTCTGACCCTCGTGTTCGACCAATGGTGCTCTTCATCAAACATTGGGCCAAAGCCCGTGGCATCAACTCCGGCTACCGCGGCACCCTCAGCAGCTACGGCTATGTGCTCATGGTACTACACTACCTTGTTAACGTGGTGCAGCCATTTGTATGCCCCAACCTGCAGCAAGTTGCGCCACCAGGAGCTGTTCCAGGTGCTCCAAACTTCCCTGAGGCAATCATGCTCAAGGGCTACAAAGTCCACTTCTGGAGGAACGAAAACGAAATCTTGCACCTAGCTATGAATCGACAGCTTAACGGCAACGGACAGAGCATCGGACAGCTTCTGAGAGGCTTTTTCGAGTACTATGCTCAGAGTGGTATGATGAGCACTGTTCCTGGCAAGGGTTTTGACTGGGGACGAGATGTTTTGAGTCTGCGAACCATAGGTGGTCTACTTTCTAAGCAAGAAAAGGGCTGGACTGGGGCTAAGACTGTGTATCAAGCTCAAGAGACGCACGAAGGGGCTCCTTCGCAGAATGCGCCAGCACAGCCTCAAGATACCCCTAAGACTGTTCCTGCGGCGCCGGCGCCTAAGACTCCAGAGGTGAAAGAGGTGCGCCTCCGTTATCTCTTCGCCATTGAAGACCCGTTTGAGCTTGACCACAATGTAGCGCGCACAGTGACGCATAATGGCATTGTATCTGTTCGTGACGAGTTCCGCCGCGCCTGGCGCATTATCCAGGCAGCTGGCCAAGGGCTCTCACACGATGATCTTTTACAAGATGTTAATGAGTTGGAAAATACAGTGAACCAGTTTGAGCAGCTGATTGATGAGATTCATGGTTTGAATAGGATGTAGGTTAGGCCACGAAGGAATTGTTAGACGATTTGAAGAGTTTTGCATTAAATCATTACCATTACTATTACTGTGTTAATTTTGAGTCGTTTAATAATGCGTCAAACGGATTTGCAGACTTGAACTTGGGTTCAGGCTTGTGATCTGCTTTTGGTTTCTTTCGCGATGCACTTTTGTCGCTAGTATTACCGGAGCGCTTTGCATGTTGAGGATTCGTTTCCTCGGCTTCGACTAGACTCATCTGCCGAAGCCGTTTGAATATTCCCTTATCAATGGCCTTACTTAGAAAGTCGATGGCAGAAGTCGCATCTGGATATGACGTAAGAGGTGGAACTCCATTGAGCAATTTTTCGAAGTTTCCAAAGTGTACGTCGAGTTGAGGCTTGATAGATGATTTGCAGGATTGGAAAATCTGGTGGAGGATTCTCAATGAATATAGCCCAGCATGTAGCTGTGCAATCAAATGAACCAAATCCCAAGATATCCGTGACGATAACCGCAGTTGCTTTTGTCTATGAGCTTTTAGAACATGCAGCGCATGGCTGTATTTTCCCTGCGTTATACCTGACTGAATGTCTAAAATTAAACAGAAAGATAACCAAAACAGCTGGGTATCGGAGCCTGCAAAGCCCTGAAGCTTGGTCGAGATACTCAGCATGTCAGAAGCCGTCGTTCTCATCGCCGACTGATCTAGTATGTCGACTTGTCGACCTTTCTGAGCGGCGCTCTGTACTCGACGGTATTCATAAACACACAGAGGTATCCCCTTTCCTGTGTTTGAAACAAAACTGTAAGCAAGTTGCCGAATGGGTGTTGATGGCTCCCATGCAGTTCCTCTTTCGCTGCTCTCCATAAGAACAGGCAGAAATATGGCTGGTTCGATATCGTCCAGTCTATCCGGAACCACAAGCTGTAGCATCACCTCGGATGTTCGAGGGTCCATATGGCGAAACTGAAACTGGTTTTCGACTTTCAATAGCAGTGTGTCCATGCTGTTGTTATAGACGTACTGCTGTTTGAAACGTGTGTAGTCGGGCAAATCAATAGGTGGAGATTTGCATGCACGAACAAGAGCATCCATGTTATAATTCTTGTCTCTAAGACGTTCATATGCTAGTCTCGTCGGGGCTATGGGAATCTCCAAACCCAAGCGCTCACAAATCGCTGTTGGGGTGAAAACCGCAGCTTGAAGGGTACCGTCGTGTTTGGTAATGTCACGAAACAGGGCCACCGCCCCGGACTGTAAGTCATGAGCCAAGAGGTCCGAGTCTGACGAAAATATGATAGCTCCGCTTTCTGTGGCATGCTTTGCGCAATACATATCGGCTTCACCAGGTACCAGCTTGACAATATCGCGATATCGTTTGCAGGATCGAATAGCATCCATTATAGCCGGAACAATGAAGGCCGGGGTTATGGACACCATGGATTCAGCTTTACCAATTTTGAATAAATCCATTGCATCTTGGACGTGGTCTTGCAAAACATAATCTTTCCAGCAGCCTTGAGGATTGCTGGTATGGAAGATGACCTGTTGCGAAGTGGTTTTGCCATGCCTCGACATTCGTACAGGAAGCTTCTCCTTAGGTAGGAATCCATCAAAATAGATTGCTTCTCTTTTGAAAAGGTTAGAAGAATGCCCTACAGTATGAATCGTGGGATACCTCAGAATCTCACTTACATTGATATGCCGTGCTGCTGAAGCTCATCCAGCCATGCGATGGCAGTCTGGGCCAGCTGCTTGTATCCCGGTTGTACGATGCCGTTTAGGCGACAAACGTATAAGATATGATAAGCGAAGGAAGGCCCATCGATAATGGCCTTGGAATTATCAAGGGATTTATGAGTGGCGTATGGCTCCAGCGTGCCAATGAGATGCGGGATACCCATGCTAGGCGGCTGGGGTCTGTAGTTCAAGGGAAAAAACGAAAAGAGAATAGGCGTTTGTAGCTGTAGATTCCATTTCCGGGGAAATATTGTTGTGTGATTGCTTTAGTCAATTTATTTCTAGAGCCATTGTTTCAAAGTTGCTTTGCGAGTCTCTCGCTGTTGATGATGTTTGGTCACACAAATTATTCACATGGTTTGCTTGGTGCCTTTTCTGTGCATGGGCGTGGGGGGCGGCCCGCAATCGGTCAAAAGCGGGCGTTGGGCTGAAATGAGTTTGCACTGTGACAAAGTCTGCTAACAGGGGGGGGTTCAGCAGTGTGGACTCCTACTGCTTCCCCTACACCTCTTCTAAAGAGCACAGTGCGAAACTACTATTCGCACCAAGACCCGGTCTAGCAAGTGGGAACGGGCAGAAAAAGCTTCACCCAATTTTTTTTCCCACTTCCGCTTCTTCCTCTTCTTCTTCTTCTTCTGCAGCATGCAACTGTCTTTCATGTTCCGGCACGTGGCGTGAGCTTGACGATGCGCAACACTTTGATTTTTGCAGGAAACTCATGCCCGGTTCTCACATCGCAAATATGTGAGAACCTGGGCATGACTGCTGCGAAAGCCGAGCTCACACAGTTCTCCAATGTAAGCTTCGAGCACGAGTCCCTCCTGCAGAAGCTGGGCTAATCAAACCCAAAACAGGGCGAAACAAGTGTCAGAATCTTGACAAGTGTACGAGAGAAGGATGTTTTTGTGGTCCAATCAGGTAGCCCGACCATCAATGACTCCATCATGGAGCTTCTCATTATGATTTCTGCCTGCAAAGGTGGTTCTGCAAACAAGATCACAGGTTCGCTTCTCTTGTTCTCCTGGCTTACCTGGAATTCCATCTAACTAGATGCCCAGCTGTCCTCCCATACTTCCCATACAGTCGACAATCGAAAAAGAAGTCGCATAGGGGTGCGATTACGGCTCGAATGTTGGCCAACTTGCTCGATGTTGCTGGCGTTAGGCACGTCATTACTGTCGACTTGCATGCGTCACAGATGCAGGGCTTCTTCAGATGCCCTGTCGACAACCTGCACGCCGAGCCTCTGATTGCCAGATGGATTCGCCGCAATGTGCCCAACTGGCGTGAAGCTGTTGTTGTTTCCAAGAATGCTGGCGGCACCAAGCGTGTAACATCGCTTGCCGACGCTCTCAAGCTGAACTTTGGTATGGTTACAACAGACAGAAAGCGTGGCGGTAGCATGGGCACCAGTATGATTCTCAACAACCTTGCTGGTGCTGAGCGCGAGCCCGCTCTCGAAAACCCACCTGAGAAGCTCCAGCCCCCTAAGGAGGAGCGCGAGGCAAATCTCATCACTGTGCCTGGCATTCCTCCCCAACGCCGTGTGCCTATTGCCGATTCTCTTGGCTCTCCTACAAGAAAGGCAAGCGTGGCAAAGCCCTCATCTGTCGAGTCCTACGCGACCCCTTCAGGCAGCGTCCACGAAGCCGAGGAGGCTGACTATGATGACCGTCGCGCGGATGAAGTCACGCGGGCTCGTCTAATCCACGGTCATCTTGTTGAAGATGACTTCCCGTCACCTCGTTCTCCCTCGGAGAGCACAGCAGATGAAGATCCTATGATGATGTCTCACCAGTCATCATTCTTCTCGCCTGAGAAGCATCTCCTCGGTGGCAGTGGTGAGCCCGACGCCGACTCGGATGAGGAAGAAAACGTCTTCCACAACCCCAAAGCTCCCGAGCATATGATCACCCTGGTTGGCGACGTCAAAAACAGAACCGTCTTCATTGTCGACGACATGATTGATAAGCCTGGCTCTTGGATCGCCGCTGCCGAAACCGTTGTCAAGCGTGGCAAGGCCAAGAAGGTCTACTGCATTGGTACGCACGGTGTCTTTGGAGGTGACTGCTTGGAGAAGCTGCAAGCCTGCGAGTGCATCGACACAATCGTGGTGACCAACAGTTTCCCCATCAGCCAGGACCGAGTCAAGAACATTTCGAAGCTCGTTATTCTTGACGTCTCCATCTTGCTGTCGGAAGCCATCCGCCGCAATCACTACGGAGAGTCCATCTCTCCTCTCTACCAGCATACCGAATAAGGGGACGGTTCCTCAACTCCCATCGGTTCTTTGTTACTATTTATGTGGTCAGCAGCTCTCCAACATTGCACTGGCTATGCATGTATTTGATTGATATTTGTTTTTTTTATGAGCGAGGAGTTTGGTTCAGGTAAATTGACGACACGATATTACTAACGTGCTCTACGAATGGGAGAATTGCATCAGTTAGATGGTTCAATGAATTTTGATATCCTTTTTTCCTCTTTGTGAGTTCCCTTCCAACAATCGACCTTGGTTACTCTCGGTCTCGTGCTTTGCTTCCCCGGCGGTGCTGTCCTTGTGGCAGCAAGGGTCCGATTCACCTCAGAATGGATCCTTAACGGAACGTCGGCAGATTATATTCCATCGTCCTTAGAAGGCCCCCTATTCTGGCTTCACGGCCATACCTTCGGGTACGTGGATAGGGGGCAAGAGAACTTCTCGAACATTTCATCATCTCGTAAATATAGTTTGTGACCTTTTGTAGAGTTTTATATACTGCAATACACTTAGTTCTTTCTACATTGCTGTCTATATGCTGTTCGCCTTTTGTGCTAGATTCAAACACCCTTGCGGTGAACACCAGTAGCAGAGACCTGGTGGTTGTGGAAGATGAGGGTGTCTGCAATGACGACGTTTTGGCGACGGGTGGCAGTGAAGACGATGACTTCGGCAATGTCATCAGGTGTGAGAGGCTCAACACCGCTGTTGAACTGTTAGCAATACATGTCTATTTGTGCTGTAGCTCATGCACTTACGCATAGACGGCGTCAGCCTTGGCCTTGTCACCACCGAAGCGGACAATGGAGAATTCCTAGATGCAGATACCAACTTTAGTAATTGAAACTCTCCTTGTTCATTCAATAGCAGTCCAACATACAGTCTCAACTTGTCCAGGGTCAATCTCGATAACACGGATCTTGGTCTCAATCAGCTCACGGCGCAAACTCTCTGTGAAGGCGCGGACAGCAGCCTTGGTAGCACAGTAGATGGAGCCGCCGGGGTACGCTTCACGGGCAGCAATAGAGCCCAAGTTGATGATATCACCAGAGCCACCATCAGCACGAGCCTTAAAGATGGGCAGGATGGCCTGTGTCATGTTGATGAGGCCAGTGACGTTGGTAGCAAACATTTGGTCGACATCCGCTTCGTCGATTTCGGGAGCGCGAGCAACGCCCTTAACCATACCACTACCGAGACAGCATTAGCAAAAAAGGACTCCGACTAAAGGGAGACAAGTGAAACTTACGCATTGTTGAGCAGGATGTGAATGTCGCGCCACTCCTCGGGCAGGTTTCCAACAAATGAGCGCACCTCGTCGGGCTTGCTAATGTCGAGCTTGACAGTCAGAACCTTGACACCATCGCCAACCTCCTTCTGGATATCGGCAGCGACCTCCTTAAGAGTATCCTCACGGCGAGCCGTCAAGATAAGACGGAGGTCCTTGGGTGACGTTCTGGCGAACTCGAGGGCGGCAGAGCGGCCAATGCCGGCTGAAGCACCGGTGATCAGGATGGTCTTGCCAGCGAGACGCTGGGCTGCTGCGGAGGCCATTGTTCGGACGGTCGAGGGGCTGAAGCGGAATGTAGAGGTTTGAAAGGCGTTGACGACGGATTGGCTTCTCAGGATACGCTGAGAAGCTGTTGAGAGGAAGCGAAGGCGGGAGAATTGGCGAAGGGCGACGGTGGCGGGACGGAGGTGCATGGACACACAGGGGCGGTGATCGACTGCGATTCGGATGTAAAATTCGTGATTAGCTTTAAATTGCTTTCGCACGAGCAGCACAGGATGTGAATGTAGATGTAAGAAAAGGGGAAAAAAATCCAGACTGGTGGGAGGTGGTAGCAGCTTCGGCATTAGTGCGTGGGGGTTTGGAGAAACGGAGCTTTCCCCGCGTGCTCGGCCTCATGGCGTCAGCGATCGGCTTTATTTTCTCATTACATACACAAGTTTACGAACACGGTGCAATAAACAGAGACACAACAACACAGATTTCTTTTATTCCCATAAACGGCATACAATGTACACAAACAACAACACATATTTCCTTTAATGCCCCATCGGGTCATCAACGAACGTATCATATATCTCATCAGGATCAGCAGGGTCACTATTCCACGCGCCAAGATTGAGTTCAGGACCCTTGCTGTCGTCTGCCTTTGCTCCTTCGTCATAATCATCGCCAGCGCCTGGCCACGACTTTCCTGCGCGCTCCGTGCCCCAGAACTCATAGGACTCGAGGCCGGGGCAATCCCATACATAAAATTCCCGTTTATATTTGTACCTGGCAGACTTGGTGAAGTCTATCATACCCGCGACAACATTGTCCAGATAACACCATGGTCCTGAGGACTCAAAGGAGACCATGGCATCCCCCCAGCCCTGATGCCCGACGTATTTGAATTGCCAGCCTTCAATTGGGCAGACGTACTTGTCCATATGCTCACGTAGATCCTCGCCGTCTTTTCCAAACCAAGTGCCTCCCATGTCAAATGAAAGGGCGCTGTGTGATCGGCACCGTAGCCATAGCCAGTTGCGTCTGGCGTATTCCGCCTCACTCAGTCGCTTTCCAAACAGCTCTCGTGTCTCTTTCATGATCCACGCTTCTCGCTCTGCCTTGAGGGAGATTGGCCCGTGCTGTTTTGATGTTGTAGAGTTATGCATGGAACCGTTTGTTGCCGGCTCGTGTGGATAATCAGCTTGTTCCGTGACAGCATATGATGGCAAGATCCCGTATGTTTCGTTGGTAGATGAACATCGTCCTAGGCTAACCGAGGCAACCAGAGTATATGCAAGAATTTTCTTGATACAGACCATCTTGTTTAAAAATACAGGCATCTTTGTGTGATAGATTTGATTCTTGAATGAAAATCAGTTTGTCGACAAGCACCACGGGCTCAGCTCATTTTAACTGTCAGGAAACAAGGTTTCAACTGCAAAATTAACACCCAGAATTTGTCTGCGAGAATGCACTGTAAAATAAAATTGATTCTAGTGCTCTTGGCCAGGGTAAAGTCTACCAAACAAGCATCAAATAAAGCAAAACTTAAAAGCGAGAAAAAAAACCTAACAAAGCTAGCCGCCTGGTTCATAATGTCATGGTTATTGCAAAATTCCGTTCTATCCAATCACCAGCATAAGGGTATCCGAATCTCATATAATCGACGCAACTCTGTCCTGTATTGATCTTCTCCATTCTTGATTGGATCGGCAAATGGCGTCGTACAATCGTTCACTGTTGATTTGCCGTCTTACGCTAACCCGTGAGTCATCTCCATCGCTTCCGTACGCCTCAGCTTCTCTTGATGAGCCAACATACGACGCTGCTCCAGCATGTCTTGACGAACACGTCGGTATCCCATCAATGTAACAAGCATAGAAGCACCCGCAATAGCCGTTGCAATAATCATGCCCTTATGGAAAGCCTCGGTGTAGGCCAGTCGTACTTCGGGTGATGTGACGTCCATGATGCTGGTCTTCATGCTGCTCCCAACTGCCTTCGCATTGTCGCGGCCAGCATTGCTTAGATGCTTCCTAAGTTCTTCTCTCAAAAGCACAGTAGACGCTGAAATTCCCAAGCTGCCTCCAAGAATTCTCATTTGTGCTAAAATGCCGTGCGCCGCAGCTGAATCATCGTTAGCACACTTCCTTCCTAGGCACGATCTTGTAAATACTCACCCGAGTTAAAGAGCGGAGCCTCGACAGTTACGAGCATAGTTGCAGCAGAGGTGGAAAGACCGAATCCAAGGCCGCAAAAGGTTAAAAAGCCCAGCGCTTTTGGGTCATCCTCAGAACCACCCACAAGGGTCAATAATCCGCAACCAATTGTCATCAAGGATGCTCCAGTAGCAAGTGTTTCAAAGAGGTAATTCTTTGTGGAATTCAACTTGCCACCAACAGCGCTTCCAATAGCCGTTGTTCCCAGCATGGGCAAGAGCATCAATCCCGACAAGAGAGCGCTCTTCTCACTAACCACCTGGGCTCTCGTTGGAAATGAGAACACAATTAGCAAGAACGGGAATCCTAGAAGAAGGGTTGAAAGAGATCCTGCAGCATAGTATCGATTCGAAAATAATTGAAGGGGGAAGGCAGGAGCAATAGTTTGCCCCCACGAACTCGACTGCAACACCGCTCCCCAACCGACGACAAATGTCCAACAGAGGCATCCCACAACGATGGGTGCAATAAAGGTTGCACTGCTCCAAATGCTGGAACTAGATTCTCCGGCATTTTGAAAAGCAAAGACAACTAAAATGGCAGCTGCCATTACTAGTATTGTCCCGACAAAGTCGAACTTCCTCCATGAATGTCTTGTAGAACCGGTGCCTTTCTTAGATGGCCAACTAAAGATGAATATGGCGAGGGAGACAAAACCAATTGGCCCACTTAGTCATAGTTAGCAGAGTCCTGTGTGTAAATCACATTATAACGTACTTGATCCAAAAGATCCATCGCCAGTTGGCATATTGTGTCAATATACCACCCAGGACTGGGCCAAAGACACCGGATCCAGCAATCACCATACCAATGAGCGCTCCTACATGCTGCATCATATGGTCTGGGCATGCTTCAGGTAAAATAATCATGGTCAGCGAGTAGAGACCTAGTCCGATTAATTCCTAAACTCGAAATAGGAAGGCTATATGCGCAACTTACCCGATCCTCCCAGTCCTTGGAGACTGCGGAAAGCGATGAGTTGCGTGAGGTTCTTAGCAAAGCCACAAGCAAGCGAAAAAGCGAAAAATAGAATGTAGGCAACAATGAAGGCGTCTCGTCTACCAACAACGTCAGAGGCTCTTGCAAAGGCAACAGCACACCCAAGATATGCCAAGGTGTAAGCCAGTGCAACCCAGTTGATGGAGGAGAGCGAATCCAGATCGGTTCCAATGGTATACAAACTCGTTGCAACGATAGAAGAGTCTATCATAGAAAGAAATAGGCCGAGGCAGATTCTTTTCACCTGTTAGATTTGACGCATAGAAGTGTTTGCATAGCTCTTACTTACCCGACGCTCAATACCCAGAACCGCTTTGGTGAGAGAGGCTGTCTGGCATTGTCACCAGTTGCCGCATTATCGTTACTGGGGTTCATAGGTGGATTTCCTATGGCGGCAGAATCTTTTGTAGCCATTGTGCCGGCAACTAAGTCCCTTATGCCTGAAACAGGGAAAAGAATGGGGGACGGTAAGCGAGTGAGTGTATCGGGCTGTCTGACAGCAGAAATCTGCGCAACGACTGTCGATGCAGAGGGGGAGCGTACAGGGCGATGGTGCCAGTCTATAATGTGTTTCCAACACACCAGGTAACCGACCACGTGGGACAACAACAGGGCTATTGGTGAAGAAGGGGTGAAGCAGGGACGAACCTTCCACAGCTATTCACCTCGTCTGTTTAGCAGCAAATTCTCAACGGTCAGTGAGCTTTTTGGAAATATGCAAGGCACGGGGCAAACAATTGGCTTTGTCCTTGCCGTCCGTGGCGTTGGCTTTATATGAGGGGTCTTGTATTGTAGTCTTTCTTATTTTGGAAACTTTGAAGAAAGTGACGGAAGCAAGAGAAAAGACAACAGCTTTGTAACAACCAGACGAGGAACGGGGCGCCAGAATACGGCAGCTGTTCTTCAATGGCAATAGGAAAGGAAGTTACGGCGGCCACCTGGCAACCAGCTGGCAGCAGTCGAGTGACGACGTAGTGAGGTAAGTTGTATGTGGGTGCAAACTTAAAAATCGCCTATGCCGGAGAGGCTCGGAATACGCGAGCGTAATTAATATAAAGAAAACAAAGAGGGGAATAAGCATCGTGGCGGCGGTATCCGGACGGGATAATCGTAACTGGCCGAGCTAGCGATAAAACTTGGACCGAATAGTTCTGCAAGCCCCCTCTTTGGGACACAATCCGAGCATTGTCTGTTCAGCCGCAGCTACTATGAAATTGCATACAAACGGCGGCGCCAGTCTGACTAACTTTAATCATCCGCATTTCTGGTGTATCTAGAGACGGAGGCACCGCACGTAGTTCTGTAAGAGTTGCTGTGGAGAAAGATCTCACATTCATGATGGATTCCATATTTCGCACGCTGCTACCTTGCTCAGACATGCTGGTCGAGGGCGTAGAGGTGACGTGACGCTGCATACCGCACGGGGGCCTGGTGACCTGATCTTGCTTGAAGTACAAAGACCTTCTACTTGTGTAGCCTAGATGGGCTGCCAGAGTTGCTCAGTATCGCGACTTGGGACGAAGCTTCGGGTACACGACATTGTGTCGACTGGAGGGCGACCTAATGGTGCATTTTGCCTCACAGAAACAAGGAAAGCCGGGTATCTCCGTTGAGAGCAGACTTGTAACAGAGATGAAATTCCAAGTTCTAGATTCGGCCAAGCATAGATAACTTTTTCGTTTCTTGTTTTTATATGCAGAGCATGAACAGTGTAACGAGTTGGCAAATGGGTAGAGCTCAGAGCGAAGTCTTGGGTGTGGGGTTGTGTCATTGGCGGGGGATTCTCTCCACAGCCAGGCGCGCACAGGCTAGGCAGAACCAGCACCTCCTCACCCTCACTTTCATCAATGAAGAACAATCAAGAGTTGCATTAGAGTGCGGATAGCCTTTTCTTCCAGAATCATCAATAACGTTCACTAGCCCAAGGCTGTCTACAGCGTTATCTCTTCAGCTGGACGCTTGTCACGTTTCCATCGCCAAATACTCTGCGTGCACGATTGCTCCAGACAGAAGTATCGCCACGCCCAAAACTCTTATACAAACTGCTATCTACGGAAGATCCGATAACGGATTTTCAAATTGATGGCTGACAAAATGGACCAAGGAGAGTTTGGGCCGTCGGACAAGGAAAAGAAATACGATCGCCAGCTCCGACTATGGGCTGCGTCCGGACAAGCGGCTCTAGAATCGGCACATCTCCTGCTAGTTAACTCTGGTGCTGGTACCGTTGGCGTTGAAACGCTTAAAAATCTAGTACTCCCTGGTATCGGTCAATTCACCATTGCCGACGATGCCGTTGTCAACACGGCAGACCTGGGTGTCAATTTCTTTCTAGATGAGTCAAGCTTGGGTACATCAAGAGCGCGGGCGTGTACAGACTTTCTGCTCGAACTCAACCCGGAAGTTAAAGGAAACTCATTTTCTGGCTCAGAAGTAAGTTGACAATATCGTACTACGTCATCCAGCAACCTAACGCAATGTAAGCAGAAAGGTAGTGCTTTGAACGAAGCCTTGTCCCAGGGCCACAGATATACAGCGATCCTCTATACTTTGCCACTGGCACCGGAAGCCATAGAGCAAGTCCAATCATACAGTCAGGAACATTGTGTACCATTGATAGCCATCCATTGTGTTGGGTACTATGCCTATTTCCGCGTCGGCCTTCCTGGGCCATTCCCGGTAGTTGACACACATCCGGAGCAAACCGCCACCGAGGATTTACGCCTGTTAACACCATGGCCTGAACTTTCCGAGTTCGCCGCTTCAATGACAAGCGACATCGATAACCTCGATGCTCATAAGCATGGACATATACCGCTGGTTGTCATCTTGCTCCATTATATTGAGCTCTGGAAGCAGCAGCATGATGGTAACCCACCCACAAAATACGCAGATAAAATTGCATTCCGCAAGGCAATCGTAGATGCTATGCGTAAAGACAACGCTGAAGGAGGAGAAGAGAATTTTGAAGAGGCTGCCGCTGCGGTTATGAAACATGTCGTTGAGCCCCAGTTGCCACCATCTCTGCGAGAAATCTTCGAGTTTGACCACAGCAAGGTTGGTGCCATGCATTCTTCCCTCGCAACAGTGCTAACAGAAAATCAGGATACCCTGAACAAGAGCTTTTGGATCATTAGTGATGCTCTGAAAGCCTTTTACCAGACCAACCATCGGCTGCCTGTGTCAGGCGGATTGCCAGATATGAAGGCTGAATCGAATGTATACATTCAGCTCCAAAACATTTACAAGACCAAGGCTAGACAAGATGCAGCAGAGATTCTGCAAGCTGTCCAGAAAGTCCCTGGTGGTGAAGCCATTACAAAGGAGGAAGTAGACTTATTCTGCGCCAATGCTCGGTTTGCAAAATTGATCAATGCCAATGCTAACGCCGTTCAACTTGGCCTAGAAGTCGGTATGTCAACTGCCCCATCCCATAACAAGCCCAAGTGATACACCTAACACCTAAAATAGAGCGCCAGCTTGGAAATGATGAAATAGCGGCCGTCGCTGGTCCAGAGATGCCTCTCTCGCTGTTACCGATATACTTGGCTCTAAATGCAACTTCCCATCAGACCACAGCGAGCGCCACTGAGATTCAGAATTTCGTCCTCAATAAGGCTGAGGGATACAAAGATAATGAGCGTGCGATGAAGATTGCAGAAGAAGTTGCTCGGTCGGCAGGGGGCGAGCTGCACAATATATCTGCAGCCGTAGGAGGAATGGTCGCGCAAGAGCTCATCAAAGTCATCACACGACAGTATATTGCGATTGATAACACTTGCATCTACGATGGTATCGAGAGCAGATGCCAAATCCTACGCCTTTAGTGGCTTTACAAACTACTCAGATTAGAAGTACACATTAGATCAAAAAGTTATCGAGAATGGCGGCCTACGGAATGTGCACTACCCATACGGCTGCAGTTCTTAGCCCTGGCAGCTGGCATGACCGTCGCCATTGCCACCTCAAGCACAATACAAATTCATCATAGGCGCGACTGCAACTTTTACAACAAACCCAAGTGTCCAACAGTCTTGGTGTCAAATTGCACCGCATGATGGATCACACGCTATCCTGCAATAATCTGAAGTGTCGAAAGGAGCTCAGGACCGCAGCGCTCGTCACTACTTGTAGGTAGGCTACCGCAGTGAAACGCAGCAATCATTTAGACTATTAACAAGCTCTCTAGCCATATATACTGTATGCACTGCGCTGAGCAGCTTGGGCTAGCTAGTTCGGATTTGCACAAGAGAAGCTCATGCCCTGCCTGTGGAACACAACTATCACACCCCGAGGATGCGGTCGCCACGAACCTTAGGCCTTCAGAAGAATACAAGACTAGCATTCTTAGTGGATTCTCTCCCAGTACGATTATGGAATGCGCTGGTAGAGCCCTTAGCTTTTGGGCTTATCAAACTATCCAAGACAATTATTATCAACAGCACCTGTACAAGACACTTTCAGAGAAGTACAGCAACCTGCATAGCCATCATAATCAGAAGATCAAGGACGCTGAGCTGATCGTGGAGAAGTTAAAACGGCAAATAGCTTGTAAATTGATACAACCCATTGTTGAGCAAATTCGCTAACACATAGAGTAGCGTTAGAACACGAGCACGGAACTTTACGACAAAAGAATGACGAGCTTGCTCAGGCATACAAGGAGAAGAGCCAAAGACTCCTGCATACACAAGGCCTATACGACCGATTGAAGCGTATGGCTGAACTGGGGAATCTCAAGCGCGCTGCTACAGACGCGGTTGACCATGCGCTCTCAACAGGTCCAGCCAATCAATTTCATCACCAGAGTCACGTATCATCGCCAGATCGAAGTGTGCTTCTCCCGCCTAATGTGCAAGGCTATGTCCACGGTGCGAGAGCAGCTGTGCCACAACAAGGCTCCTTTCCATCGGGTGGCCGCGTCTCATCAGGGTACTGGCCGTGGCGAAATTCCGCGGCATCTGGCTTTAATGTTGATGTGAATACACCACTGGATGTATCGCCCCATTTTCAGCATACTGAATCAAAAGAGAATATGTCACGCAATAGTTTTGGTTCCGACCGAAGACCGCTCGGCACTTTGGGCCTTGCAGGGGGTGTGAAGATTAGCTCTCCAAGTGGATTATATGACACCGGTGGCGGCGTTGGACGATAACGGTTGCCCGATATAGCAAAACTATGTCGTCAGCCTGGTTCAAATGAATTACTATGCGCGACTAGACTATAGTGATATAATAAGGATATTATTGACATATTTTAAGCCGCCTGCAATTTTGCCATGAGCTCTGGAGAAGTAGGCATAGGGTAGGCCTGGTCAGATTGTCAGCCACCAAACGGGCGACGAAAATGTGACGCTGGTGTAGCATTAGCACGAAACAAGGCTGCTGCCAGTGCTGTAAGCGTCTTATTCGGCCTAATTTTAGTAAAATTAACGAGATCCAGCACAACGAGATGCTGTCGGGAGATTACAGCGGATGAGTTCAAGAGCACACGCTGTGATAGACATTCCGACTCGCGTAGTCTCACTGTATTATGGCGATAGATAGAAGGGTTCACACCCAAAATTTATCCAATGCATACAAAGTACCACTGCACCCAAATCGAGACAGCCTCGACATTACGAGACGCCATGCAAGTCGGGCCACTCAAGTGCTTGTGTGGCGTGTCAACGTGCAGCTAACACGAACACCCAGAGGCACTAAAAGCCCACCAGGCAGCGCTAGAACGAATAGGGGGTTGCCCCCCACCACGCCTCAAAACAGGACGCGGCTAGTACGCTTTTAGCCAGCTGGCGCAATCGTGGCTCCTTTACGTACGCTGCGCCCGCCATGGCCGTTATCTTAAACTTTTTGTCATCGCTTGCTTTTCTTGCCTTGCCCACGGCGTTTTTCTACCGCGCACTCGTGTAATTATTCCTTCGTTTTGCTAGCATAGCATCGCTTATGCACCGCCCTCGCTTCGTTCTATTCTGATTAAACCGCACCTCAACAACCGCTCGCTCTTGCAACGCATCGCCAAGGGCTTCAATTGCGACTTTGCGGACAGCTTTGCCTGAATACGTCAACGCGGCTCTCGGTACATTCTACCGGCCACACAGCACACACGACTACCATAACATACGAACCAAAAGTATCGCTATAGATGCTGTCACGATGGGAAAACACTGTAAGCAACACCAGGCGACACCAGCTAGGGCCTCAGTCCTGCAGCGACGTACGTGGCGACCTCATTTACTAAGCTGGGAATACCCTCACAGCACAATATGGCGTCATATTAGACGCAGGATCGTCTGGAACTCGAGTATACGTCTATAAATGGAAAATTTCGAGCGAGCCAACCGCAAAACACCGACTTCCTAAACTCAAGCTCGCCAAAAACAAGAAAATCCACCCAGGTGTTTCGACATTTGCCGACGATGTACACGCTGTAGGACCCGATCATTTGAAAGCGCTCATGGATACCGCCTTGAAAGAGGTACCGAAATCCAAGGTTGCAGAAACACCCGTCTACTTGATGGCAACGGCCGGCGTCCGACTTCTCGAACCGATGAAGCAAAAGGAGCTTCTTGCTTCCATCTGCGACTACCTACAAAAGAATACCGGATTCCAGCTGCCTGACTGCAATGCCCATGTCCAAGTTATTCCTGGAGAGACAGAAGGCCTCTATGGCTGGATTGCTGCCAACTACTTGCTAGGCGGTTTCGACAACCCAGAGAAGCACCCTCATGGCAAAGAGCATCATACATACGGATTTTTGGATATGGGAGGTGCATCCGCCCAGATTGCATTCGCCCCCAACTCGACAGAATCTAAGACACACTGGGATGACCTCAAGATTGTGCGTCTGCGTGACCTCGATGGTACACCGCTCGAGTATAAAGTCTTTACGTCCACATGGCTGGGCTATGGCGCAAACCAAGCGCGCGATCGCTATGTTGAGGAATTGCTCAAGGCCTATGATGGCGACGGGGTTGATATGCCAGACCCATGTCTTCCTGTTGGCTTGAGAGTAACAACGACGGGCGACATCCTTAAAGATAACGACAAGTCGGATAAAAAGGTGCTGATCGGAACAGGAAAATTTGACGAATGCATGTCGAAGACGTTTCCTCTTTTGGGAAAAGATAAGCCATGTGCCGATGCACCTTGTCTGCTAAACGGCCAGCATGCTCCCGCTATCGATTTTGACATCAACCATTTCGTTGGAGTCTCCGAATATTGGCATACGACCCACGGTGTCTTTGGAAAAGAGGATGTTGCATATGATCTTGCCAAATACCAGAAGACTGTTAAAGAATTCTGCACCCGGGAGTGGTCATCTATCGCTGGCGATATTAGATCCCGAAAAACGGACGACGAGAAGCTGGACGAGGCCCGACAAGCCTGTTTCAAGGCGTCTTGGCTTATAAACATGCTGCACCAGGGAATTGGCATCCCCCAAAACCCTGAAGAGCATTTATTGAAGCCGGGAGCCGATGTCTCGAAGGATATTATTGAGGATCTTAAGGAACAAGGTCTTCTTAACCCCTTCAAACCTGTCGACAAGATTGACGATGTGGAAGTTAGCTGGACGCTCGGCAAAATGGTTTTATATGCTGCTGGTCAAATTCCTCCTAGAGGCGACGAATCGCCCGTTGGATTCGGCAGCAACAGCAAGCTTGACGACTTTGAGCACGCTGGATCAACGCCTCTTAAGCTTGTTGTGGGAGGAGACGACGACGATGATGATGATGCACACGGAGTCAAGCCAGCAAAGAGTTCCGCGCTGGGCCTTATTTTCTTCATTATTATAATTGCAGCTGTGGCATATTGGCTGCGGAAACCGGAGCGACGACGAAAGCTGTTTGCCAACATTCGCCGACGCAGAAAGGCTGAGGGTGGACGCCGCGGCGTCAGAACAGTATCATTTTTCAACAGAATTGTTGGACGCAACACACCCACCTATGAAAGAGTGCTCGAAGAAGGCGATGCGGCTGAGTTTGAGCTTGGTGGTATGGACTCTGACGAGAACGATCATTCTGATGGTACGGAAGGCTCACCTCCTGGTCGACGCTCTGGCATCACCACCCCAAAGTTTGCCATTGGAAGCACAGAAGATTTGAGGCCACCGCCACCCATGGATCGCAATGGACTCGTCCTGCGCACTGAGAGCCGTGAGCACCTTGCGCCCAATGTGCAGATGCTGAATGCAGGCAGACGCAGCAGAACAGGCAGCCCAACTCGGAGGGCAAGCCCGTTGACAGCGGTCATGTAAAGAGCTTATGATTATGACTTGGCGTTTGGGAAGCACTCCTGTCCTGACAAGATCTGGACCTTATGTTCAAATTGGTTTATTAGCTTTGTATATAATGTAGAAACCGTATAGCTTCTAATAATAGGGTATCGAAGATGCAGAGGTACGCTACCAACAGCGGCGCCTAGCTTCTAATTCACTTTCAAAGTATTTTTTTTTTTTTGGATTCACCTTGCGATCTCAATGTTGCATGTAAATGGTGTAATAGCATCAGTCTGATTGCTTTTCCAAAAAGCTAGGGTCTGCCCGTACTCGAGATTCGAACTTGCGCCACCACTCTTCAAACGCCTTGAGAGGCACGACTTCCATGCCGCCAGGGCCCGTGCTTCCGCTGAAACCGGCTAAGAAGTTGAAGGCGTTTTGTATAATCCGCTGAGCCAGGACTGCTGTCGAAGGCTGCGATGACGAGCTGCCACCAGAGCTAGCCTTGTTTGCTGCCAATTGCTGCAGCTGTTGGCCGACGGCATCTTCACCCTCGACTGAGACGCCAATCACCAAGCCGCCAGCGTTTCCGGCGGCGCTTGACCCGACTTTGAACATGGCACTCTCCTTACCTGGGCCAATGGCACCAAGGAATTTGAAGTTTGCTTGCGCTTGCGCTGTTGCTACATCGTTCGCGGTCGCGAGATATATCGACGCGGCAGTATTCGGAGGGAGTGTGACGCCGGGGAGGAGGAAGACGACAATGTGATCGAAGCGCTTCTCAACGGGCAGGGCGTAGAGAAACGAGGTGGGCGCCGGGTTTGCGCTGGGTTCCGTGATGGCTGGAAGACCCGCAGGTATCAGGCCAAAGAGCGGTGAAGCCATTGATGCTGCTGTTGTTTCGAAGAAGAAAATAAAAGGTGAAGGTGAAGTGAAGAGCGCGTTGCTGCGGGCGGTGGTTTCACTTGCTGCTGAGAGCGCGGGGTCGTGAGAAAAAACACAGTACAAGGCGTTTGCAGCTGTGTGAAGCTGAGAGCGGCGCAGTTAAATATACTGTATCAATGGTTTATAAATGAATAGTAGAAGAGCAGTTGTACAGGTTAATAAATATAAAAGCGCCTTCTTAAACAGAAATGGACGCCGCGAAGATGTCTGGAAGCAAGCTGAAGCCGCACCGAAGGTGGTGGTTCGCGGCAGAAGCCTGTGGATGAGTGCATGCATGCAAACGCCGCGCCGCCGCAGTGAACCCCACCCACCACTGCCCCGCCAAAACGAGCTACTGGGAAAGCTGGGCTGCATCGTGCTGTATTCGGAGGTGCGCTGCCCGCAAGGCTTGACCGGTTCTTCAATCACGATTGGCTTTACTTAGCCCTTTCCTTTTTTGCTAGTAGACGGACGAAAAATAATCATTGTTTGCTACCGGGCCAATTTTGTTTGCTTTCCAACCCCAGCTTTCTATTTCCACATTTGCACGGCACCAATTTAGCATATAAGCAAACCAATCCAAACAATTCAGCGCAAACACAATGAAGACCAATCTGGACTTGGTCAATGACACAGATGGGTACGTTGGTTTGCCTGGCACCATGCACTGTATTGTGGTATACTAACCTCTTCTCTGCAGATTCCCGTACGGTGATATCGCCAATGTACAAGTCCTCGGTCAGAACATCTACACGCTTCTTTGGGAAGATGAGCAGGGCGCATACCCCGTTGGCTATGTGCTGGATCGCGTGATACAGGAGTTTGTCAAAGTTCCTGCCGCCGTTATCGGTGACATTGATGTCGATCACGAGCAGAGGACGCTCAAGATGCTGCGTTTGCCAACTGAGGCAGAGCGCACAGAGCGCCTTGGCAAGGTCGCAGGCTATTTTCGCGAGAACAACGTTTTCAAATTGCTCAAGGGCTGGCGCGATGAGCTGTGGCCCGTCTTTGGACGCAATGGCGAGCTTCTGTTCAGCATGGAGCGTGCAGCCATGGGCTTGATTGGCACAATGCGGTACGGCGTGCATATGACGGCCTATGTGCAAGACCCCGCTGCACCACACGGCATAAAGGTCTGGGTACCTGTCCGCGCAGCCGACAAGTCGACGTTCCCGGGCATGCTGGACAACACTGTTGCTGGAGGGCTCATGACGGGTGAAGATGAGTTTGAGTGCATGGTCAGAGAGGCGGACGAGGAAGCTAGTCTGCCAGAGGACGTTGTCCGCGCGCGAGCCAAGCGTGTCGGCACCGTTACCTATCTGTTCATCACAGATGACAAGAATTGCGGCGAAGCTGGCTTTGTTTACCCGGAGTGCGAGTGGGTGTACGATTTGCTGCTGCCAGCCGATGTCATCCCGCAGCCCAAAGACGGCGAGGTTGCTGAGTTTCGCCTTGACGACGTAGACCAAGTCAAGAGGGACCTCAAGGCCGGGAACTTCAAGACGAATTGTGCTGTCGTTATGCTCGACTTCTTCATTCGCCACGGAATAATAAAGGCAGAAGAAGAGCCCGACTTTGAGCTTGTGAAGCAGCGAATGCATCGTGATATTCTGTTCCCCGGCCCGCACCGAGAGGAGTGGCGCGCTGCATAGTGGCAGTAGCTAACTACGGACGAGTTGCGACAAAAGAAAAAAGAGCTTAGCTAACGGTTTGGGGTAAAAGAATGATTCTATTTTTGCAAAGGAAAGGAAATGGCTTCCCTTTAAGGGGGATATAATAAATATTTACATAGCAAAGACGCCGGAACCATCAACCGCGCGCCTTTCTTAGTCGTCAAAACCAAGACCAATTTCTCTCGCTTCTTCTTTTCTTGTTTTGGTATACCCAAGTGCGTCCATTATTTGCTGTCTGTCATGATATCATTGCTTATTTTTTGATTAATAAATACACGTTGTCGACTCGCAGGGGGGTCAGCTTCTTGATAGGTCCCTGGAGAGACATGAGAAGACCGCCGTAGGAGATGTAGGCGTTACTGTAGAACAAAGATGGTTAGAGTTGCCAAAGATGTGACTCGCATGTCCTGTGATACTCACATTGTTGTGCCGTCAAATGTCTCCTCAAACTTGTAAATCTTTCCGTAGCAAACGTAGTCGTAGAGATCGGCGAGCGTGGCGGGAGCATCACCAGCCTTGCCGACATCTCGCCAGCCCTTGTTGTCCTCCTCTTTTGTGCCATCGGGAGAGAGCGTCGTGCTAAGCATAACGTGGAGTGTGTCGGAGGTGAAGCAAGGGAAGAGCTCAATGTTGATGTCGAGGACCATTATCGTCTGCGAGTCGCTCGATGTGCAAGAGATGCGGGCAACGCGATCATACTTGGACTGATCGTAGTCGGTGACCGTAAAGGTCTCCTCGAAAAGGGTAGCGTCGCCTCCTCCAGACATTTTTATGGTATTTGGCGATGTCTTTATGAAGTGTCCGGTCGGTAAATGAGGTTGTGTGGCGTGAATTGGAGAAAATGCAGGTTGGTCGTCGAGTAGGCTCATGGAGCTTGGTGTTGTCGCCGGAAAAAAAATGCCAGCCGTTATCGCGGGGTGGGTATCTCGCTACGTGCATATTTCAACAACCTCGAAGCAGCGTATTGCTTGAGGATTCACATGCACAGCTATTTCTATTCACAAGAAAATTTAATTACACAGAAGCTTTCTTGGATTTTTCATTTCGTTCATTTTCGACTTCTTTAATCCAACTCTCGCCTGCATTTATACAAGATTCGCCGCTTTGCTAGGGAATATCAACGCATCCACTCAAAACTTTTTCGCACTCGCTCGAACACTTGCTTGCTGCCAAACCACAGCTAAAATGTCGTTTCGGAAACGAGGAGTCGTGATTGGGACTCCCAAGCCTGCTCAAGGCGCTCCTGTCAAGGCCGTCATCCCTAATGGCGCGAGACCTTCGCCTCTTGACGGCAGGCTCACAACCTCAACTGGCACGTCTTCGCTCGACCAGCTTCTCGCCGGCCACTCTGGAATGCCGCTTGGTACAACCTTACTTATTGAAGAGAACGGCACTACCGATTTTGGTGGCACCCTTATTCGCTACTTTGCTGCTGAAGGACTGGTTCAAGGTCATGCAGTGCATGTTCTTGGCTGTGACGACTCTTGGCGGCGAGAACTCCCAGGATTGGGAAGTGCTGGAAACGAGAAAACCACGAAGAATGAGTCGGCCTCTGATAGTAAGATGAAGATTGCCTGGAGATATGAAACACTGGGCAACCGTTCCGTACCAAACCGAGGTATATATACAACCATGTTTACCGCTTCTAGACTACCTGCTAACTCGACCTACAGATCAGCCGCTACCCTCGACAGCTGCCGAAGACAGTCAGGCTTTCTGTCACACATTCAACTTATCGAAACGATTGGAAGCTAAGGATATTAAAGGACAGCTTTCTGGTTACCCAGTGGGCCCTTTTATGGGACAGGCAAGCTCATCGCCGTTCAAGATGTTTGTAGCCAAGCTTTCTGCATCATTAGAGACGACGCCGCCATCGACTGTCCACCGCGTGGCAATCCCGAATCTCCTCTCACCCACTGTCTATACGTCTCTAGCCTGCCACCCACAGGAAGTCTTACAGCTACTACATGCACTACGAGGACTCTCTAGACGATTTGCAACAAAGCTTGTCATTATGATCACTTTACCAGTCTCGCTATACCCGCGTGCCGCCGGCTTAACCAGATGGATAGAGCTCCTCAACGACGGTGTGCTGGAGCTAGTCCCTCTGCAACAACGACCTCACCTGGAGAAAGACCCCAAGAAGGAAGACAAAGCACAAGGAATGCTTAAAGTTCACAGCTTGCCCATATTCCACGAAAAAGGTGGCGGCATGGATGAGAGCTGGAGACGAGAGGACCTTTCCTTCAAGCTCAGTGCCTCGAGCGGCCTGATTATTACGCCGTACAGCTTGCCGCCGATCGAGGACGAGGACCCTAAGCCTTCGGCAGAGAAGAAAAAACAAGAAGAAGCGAAAAAGTCGCTTGAATTTTAATTCCAGACGGGGTCTTCTTCGCCGTCTTCACCGTGTACTGCTTAATTGCATATTGTTCGGCGCTGGCCCATGGTGGGTCGACATGACGGACTACAAATTTTCAAGCACCCAACAAGGCCCCAAAGGCTCTCTTTTTGCATCAACTGCGCTCCAAATAATTTTTTGTAGCGCAACGCTGCACAGGGTAAGTGATTATCAATTTTGCTTTTCCAAAATTTCCCTGGCATTTAAATGATTATGACTTTGAAAATCTGTCAATCCACTGAATCACTGTGATGACACCTTTCATTAATTACGAAGACGACTTATGATTCCTTACGAGGAGCAATGCCTTTGAATTTACGGAAAAGCAAACCGCACTGCTCCTTTTGATTTCAAGCTAACTCTTGCTTCAAGTAGACTCTATGGCTGCCCTGGAGGCGCCCTTTCCCGTGCGAATTGCCAAAATTGCAGGCCGATTCCTGGTATTCGAGCCCGAGGCCGTGGCATCGCTGCGACGACAAGTAAACCTCAACGGCGTCCTTGTCGGAACTGCTCCGCAGCAGCCGACGCAAAATATCTTTCTTGGTTTGCCTATTGAGCTTCGTCCAGAGGAAGTCAATGCCCTAGTGCAACAAGATGCAGCCTATGTTGTAGATGATACCGCCGCCCACAAAGCCACTCTCCGAAGCTTCGAAGATCCTGCAGTTCGACAGGCCTATGTCGAGTCGCTTCGTGAGCAACGGCTGGCTGCGCAGCTAGCGTTGAACGAACGTCAAGCTCAGAAGTCAGCCGAGGTGGCCGAGCTGATGAAGAAGTCTAAGAAGAAGACAAAGGCAGGAAAGCCTGAAAAGGTGGCTGAAGCGGAGTCTCCTGCTACGCCGCGACCATCGGCTGTGGATAATCCCCCGAGTATCTCAGAGAAGCAGCTGAGCGTCACTCTCACATCAAGTAGCAGTCTAATCTCCCAAACAACTTCCCAGGAGCACATAGACACAGAAGTCAAGCAAGGACCTCTGTGTCAGCACCTCCAGACCAACGGATACCACATGACCCCAGGCTTGAGATTTGGTTCCAATTACAGCGTCTACCCTGGCGATCCCCTGAGATTCCATGCCCATTTCATGGCCAACGAATATCGCTGGGATGAAGAAGTCCCTGTTTTGGATCTTGTTGGAGGTGGCAGACTAGCTACTGCTGTAAAAAAGGCATTCCTTGTTGGTGGCGAGCAGCCTGCCACAGACACTGAGCCAGCTGCTGTACGGACGTTCAGCATCGAATGGGCCGCCATGTAATATTTTGTTCTACGACTTTACGAGATACCCCAGCCTTGCACATAAGGACAATTAGCATAAATGCATATGAAATAATGTACATTATTAACCATGACTACTGTTATCTGCTCTCTCCCTCGCATAAACAAACGTAGTACTGTCATCACTATAATGATGCATCGCATTAACACAAACCATCTCAACCTCGTTAAATCAAGGTACATATATACGGCTGAAGCTGAGGACGTCTCGGCGGCAGCATACGCATTTGTCAAAGTTGTTCATAGCAAGAGATACTCGGCAATCGTCACAGAGACTCAGACAGCGGCATGGCCAGACGATGATTGCGCGGGAGGCGCTTTGACAAACCACACATTGGGGGCTCTGATCATCTTCAATGGCTGATGACGAGCCAGGCAAATCTTCTCGCGCACTGGCATTAGCTTGGGCATCCTGACGTCTTTCGAGAAGCAGGAGTTCAAGAAGCTTCTCCTCCTCGTCCGGCGTAAGTTTCACTTGTCTAGGACCAGGGCTGGCCATGGACTGTCGGCGCCGTGCAGGGCTTGTAAGCACGCGTGTACGGCGCAGCTGCTCAAGACGTCGGAAGTTTGCTCTCGTCATGATTTTATCACTCTGGAAGTGTGCTGCAAGAGTGGCTGCTTCTTCTCTCTCTTCCTTTGTTGAGGGGCGCAAAAGCTTTGCTAGCGCATTGGTATCCATGGGGCTGTCTGCAACTGGTGTATTCTCTCTCGAGAACCGTTGCGAGTGTTGTGTTGGTGTGCGTTGGCCAGAGGCCTCAGACTCCCATCCAGCTTCATCGTCAGTGGTCTCATAGCCAGTTGTAGTAGACATGGATACGAAGCTAGTGGTATCCCAAAGATCATCAGTGGGTTCAGGGACGTAGTCTCCGCTAGTGTCACCAGAACCCCATGGTCCGCCTTCTTTGAAGTATCTCCAAACATCCGCTTGGTAATGCTCTTCATCTGGATACTGGTTGGCGCGTCGGATTTCGGCACCAACGTCAATGCCTTCAATCGATTCCATTAATCTGGCCTCACTCGCTTGGTTTAAGCGTCGACGACTGCTTAGCGTAGCTGCATATTTGGACTCTTCCTCAGCAGCAGATGGTTTGGGGTGACGAGCAAGCCAAAGAAGCCAACCAGGCTGCGATCTAATCCGAACAAGCTTTAACATGCCTAGTGTGACTAGTGCACCAACTTTGAGGACAAGGCGGGCTATGCGAGCTAGGAAGTCGACTGCCATGACCCATCGGGAGCTTCGTTCAGTTGTTCCGACCCCCATACGAAGGTTTCGCTCATGGCGGCTCTTAGGCACCTTTTGCGCAGCTCGCTCTCTTGCATATCCATTCGGGGCTGGGGTTGCGCCAGGCTTAACTGGTATAAGACCAATAGCACCAATTTCGTCAAAACGGGAGTTGGCAACACCAGGTCCAATCCATTGCTTCTGAAGTTCTTCCGCTTCTTGATATCTGGCTTCTTCGAGCCATGTGTGGCGCTTGAGGTTGACTCCGCGGTCCTCATTCAAGTAAACAGCTTCGCTAGCCATGCTAATCGCAGCGAAGCCAGTCCTAAGCAGAGCCGTGTAGAAATCCATATCTCTAGTTATGCGGACTTCTGAAAGGGAAACATTGGCCTGCATGTTCTCATGGGCGTACCAGATGCGTTGCCTGAAGCTCATGCCTGCTCGTTCCTCATTAGGTGGCGGTGATGCAAATGCGGAAAGTAGAAGAGCGAGCCCGTAGATAAACAAACAAAGGGCAATACCCAAAAGTACAAGGACATGGGGTACGAAGCCGATGATACAGACTGTCGGAAACCGCAGAAGCCCTTGAGTGGTCGGATCTTCGAGATCAAAAACAAAAGCGCTCCAGACAATGCTAGACATGAAGCATACACCCCAAAATCCAGTGTTAAGTAGTCGGTATTTTGACTGCAGGTCAAACACTCCAAGAACGTGACTGCTAATGTGTGTCATTGTGGAGAGGAATGCGATGAGTAGTACTTCTGGAGCCGTGTTGACTCTCCTCAAAACCATTGATTTCGTGAAACTGCTAGCAACGCCAGATACAGTTGTGGCACTAGCAGCTTTACTGGGCGACGCAAAAGTAACATGGCTAATTTGGTTGTTCACAGTGGCATCGGCTTCAGCAAATGCCAGCGACTGCTCGAACAAGGTCATACCGGTTTCGGTTGCGAGTGGGCGGCCCTGCACAGCACAGGCAACAGTTTCGATGAAATGGCTTAAACAAAAAGATCCAAACAGAGGCCACAACGCTGAAAGGGAGCCACGCAAGCTCACTGGTTCTGCGGAGGATGGATTTGGTACCATACCGACTGAAATACAGGACCCTTCATCCGAGGCACCGGCTAGGAGTATGGAGCTGATTGTGTTGAGGACGTGATTGCTGTTTGCAAACATAAGATCCGAGGTCTTTGTAGCATTTCCCCATCGCAGTTGTGAAAAGTCCGGTGAGGTCTGGCACTGTATTGATTGCAGGAGTCGTCTCGCATCCGCCACCAGCAAGATGATGGGAAGGATACGTAGAATCAAACGTAGTTTCCAGCGTAGCCTCAGTCGACGCCTTGTAGCAGCAAATATTTGGGTTCTGTTGAGGACGATAGCCATGACGATGCAGGATAGCGCCCATCGGCTTGTAGCGTAGCTAAAGACGCTGCCGAGGCCGCGGGCACCATCCAGCGTCAAGCGCGACGCGTGGGATAGGGGACCGCCAACCGTGGATTCGGAGGCCGGGCCACCATCAGCATATGTATCGGAATCGGTCGTAGTGAATCGTAAGAGATCCATGGCGTTGTTGGCCTGGTCGTGCAGTGAGTCGGTTAAGGGGAGATAGGATCCCAGCTTTCTAAACATGCCTCGTCCGGCTGCCCCAATCTCCTCGAGAGACGGAGCGTGGCGAGTCATATTGGTTGCCCAAGCGGTGAAGTTGGACCACGCTGTCGGGTTGGAGATGTCGTTGCCCAACGGCAGATGCGGGATGGTCGGGGCTGCCATGGTGAATGAGGTTGTCCCAAGTGGACGCGACGAATATTATTCACGGCGAAAAGGCGTCGCCCGGGGCCTCGTAAGATGAGTTATATAAGCATCGGCTGGGTTGGTGATGGTAGAAAACAAAAAAGAGCCGATGATGAACGCGGGGGTGACGGAAGAAGGTTGATGAAACAGCGTTTCGGCAGCGAATGCGACGGCGTGTCTCTGCAACAGTGACGCCGTTCCCGTACTGTGGTTTTAGTTGGAGGTGGAGAAGAAGCCGCGGTAGTGTTGAAGAGTAGGCACTGTACAGCCGGCGGCTTGTTATGGCGTGACGGCTGATAAAAGTATAATTGGTATGGTTGCAGTGCTATTACTTGTGTTTAATAATTTCTGTATGTATAAAAAAAATCATGGTAAATGAAATAGATTGGGATGGTTCTATGCCGGTTATTTAAATCTAAACGATAAAAGAAATGAAAATACGATTTTGTTAACGCCTAAAATGCCTTGCTCTGGAGGGCCTCGTTACCCAACGCCGCCACCGAAGATACTGAACAAATAATCCAATAATACTAGACACCGACTGTACACTGAAATTGCAGCAGAAGTGTTGCCAAATAAAAAAGAAAGGCTGCATGCTATGATACGCAGTCAGCATAACATGTTCCGTCGTGACACATCACGCGACAACCAGGTTAGGCATTTAGAGCCTCTGCGAGAGAAGCTGTTATAGCCTGACAAGTTCCTTTGCTCGCATGGACAGCCCTAGCGACCAATTCTCTCTGCGAATTGCCATCGCCTGCTGGTAGAAGACCTTTACACCATATGTTGGTGATCTCGTCCCGAGCAGGAAGGTAGGCAACACAACAGGCCGCAAGGATTGTATCATGTTCTGAAGGAACGGGATCAAGGACCATCCTTTGATCTCCATTCGCTTCGTCTGTAACAAGCGCAGAAACTCCACCGGCGACAATATCCACACAGTCAATTCCAGCATCAGCAATGGCTGCCGAAGCAACAGTGATGCAGCCGCTGAGGACATTCATCATCTCCCAGTCTTCAATGCCCTGATCCTGGGCTGCTTGGCGAGTCAGTTCGCCTTCAATTATGGTGACGACGACGTCAACACCACTTTTAGGCCATCTATCAGCAATCAGAGCTCCGCGAAGCGCAGTCTCCAGGTGTGTGCTTAAATCGCGTTCAGTAGAGTCTCGCAGGTAGCCACGTCGCTGACGGGTAGCAAACGGTGCATATTTAACATGTGTAGAAAGGACCATATGAGGTGAAAACGGGGCTGAGCGAGGCAGAGAGCGTGGTCCATGGACTGTGCAGGTAAGCTTCATGCCTGATGCTGTTGCGCCTTCTTTGGGCTCAAATTCAAGGTATGCAGACCCGGATGCTGATGGGGTGACACCTGTTTTCAAATCTGACACACAATTATTAGTAAGGAGCTCTGCAAACAATAGGCATCATATAGAAAATCTCACAGAATGCGCGAACGCCGTTTGCTGTTCTCTTGCGAGTGGGTGGTGTAAATTGGTCGTCATCGTAGACAGGTGGTAGTGTAGTGCCTCCAGGGCCGTTGACTCTTCTTCTATCGGTCATCTTGATATTATAATATTTTGTATTTTTGTGTTTTCTGAAAGTAACAAAGCTGTCAACCCAGTTTTGGACAATATCAAGGTGTACCAGGTATTGCAGCTACAAGGTTGCTGGAATATGTTGTTAGCGGGGCAGCAACCGCAAAGAGATTTCTGTGGCATGCACTTATCCGGCATTGAGCGAGTCTCCACACCCGCCATCTCTTGGAGTCAAATTTCTTCACACTGATTTTCACCGAGCTTCCTTCTTTACAGTGCAAGAATTTTTTCTTGACCGATCCGCCCAGCTGTTCTTGAAGCCTTCTTGTAATGTGTATGGCACATTAAAAGATGCAAGCATATCCTTGGAAATGCTAAATGGAATTCATTGCTGCGGTGGATTGAGACAGTCGTAAGGTAAGCTTTCAACCTACTCCAATCACTACCGGAAGACCGCTTGGTTCTTCTGATGATTCTTCACACCACTGTTCCCGCGACAACCTGAGCGTCTGAACAAACATGCACTACCATCTGACCGAATCCAATCTTCCATACAATTTGCACATCCAATCGCTTGATTTGACAGCAGAATTGGTTGCTAACGAAGAATAGTATTAGCTTCATTAGCTGGAAGGCTGGTTTTCACCTTTGCCGTGTCTGTATATGGTAAGCTCATCTCTCTACATCCCTCCCCTTAGCCTATTGGGCCAATCATTCTTGTCTGTCCGTGATGAGAAACCTTTTCATTCAGTTCTGCTACTGATTAGCACTGATGACACCTAATATACCATACCAAGATCTCTGATACCAGACAATGACTGCCCTTTTGCTACATCTGCACAATATCTTCGTATTAGATCTTGTTCAAAGCTAACAATTGGCAATAGTATTTGTAACGATGTTAGACCAACAACAATAATGGCAGTCGAGTCCTTCAGATGGTAGGTACCCATTCTTCATATATCATGGCATGGCACGATGATGAAAAACAAGTTCTATCCATTCTCCTATCTCCTCCCGGCCGAGTCGTTCTCTCGCACTCGAGTGTGTCTTCGGGCACGCGATGTTGAGTTGTGGAGTTGCCCTTCGCGGGGTTGTAATTCTACTTTTGTGCCTGGCTTTTTGCTCAGCTCGTTTTGAGTTGGGTATTAGGTTGGGCCGGTTGGGACGAATGAGTAAAACGGCTTGTCTGAGCCTCGTCTCTTTACACTGAATATCATGATACATTTGATTGTACATTGGCTAATTCGTAGAACAGTAAGCCTGCCCTGTGGCATCCACCAACTACACCAATGTGTAACTGTAGAACAAGAGCAATGCTCCATTCGACATGGCTTTCGATTTGCCGCAATGTCGCCTATATGAATTCTCTATAGTGTATCTGTGTAGCTTTGCATAATGAGAATCATGATCAAAACTGCGTCGTGTCTGAAATTTTAAACGTGTTGCGCCACTTTGTCCAGCCGCCAAGGAAGGCTATCGTATTAACCCAGCCTTAGCTGCTGATAAGAGCCGACAGTGCGCTAGTCCAACTCTTCAGCGCATAGTGTACGAGTTCAGGGGTAAAAAAAAAAGTGCCAGCGCAGTTTGGATCCTTGGTCCCCACCAGAAGCCAGGTGTCCATTGACCCCTCCACCAAGCACCAATCAGTGCGAAAAGCCGCCGCTGGCTCCTGACTAAGAAGGGAAAGGCGCGATCCCTTTTCCAAAAAGTGACACGGCTTGACCTCTTTGCCTCGAGCAATCACCATCCGACCCTGGCGAGCGGTGCGAATAATTCCCAGTGGCCGAGCCTGTTAGCAGCTTCTATTTCAATAGTCGAATTTCTACGAGCACGCTTTTGATTCATTCTCCGACAGGCGACGAAAGGCGGACTGCCCATCTAAGCACTAGGCTCGACGAACCGAACGCATAAAGGGGGACACATAATTGCTCTGTTTGACGGTTCGAGCCATCGTCTTCAAGATGATGCCCAAACACCATGCTGGCGGTTTCGCCAATGGATACCCGCGAAAGGACACATTCGATCTCTCGCCTCATCGGTACGATTGCGCGCGCCCAGGAGGCTTTTACATTGATGCCCCCTTGGATACTAACCAGTTGTCAGGTTTCAACCTCGCACTTCCGCACCCGCTTCCCGACGACGCAGAAAGATGTTTGTTAGAATTGGAGCTATCGCTGCAGTTTTGATTGTTGTATCTATCTGGTTGTGGCCTACGAGTCCCATCGCATCCATCTTTTCGCTGGGCTTGTTGTCAGCTGCAGGCGACCTCGACCTTGAAACTGTCCGATACTACGATTTGACAACCGTGCAGGGCACTGCCCGCGGATGGGAACGCGAAGAGCGCATCCTCATGTGCGTTCCTCTTAGAGATGCAGAGGGCCATTTGCCTATGTTCTTCTCGCATCTTCGAAACTTCACCTACCCTCACAAGCTTATCGACCTCGCATTCCTCGTTTCCGATTCCAAGGATAACACACTGAGCACCTTGACCCAGATGCTGGAGGAAATCCAGGCATCGGAGGACCCCGGACAACCGTACGGTGAAATTTCCATCATTGAGAAAGATTTTGGCCAAAAGGTGAAGCAGGATTTCGAGAGCAGACACGGTTTCGCTGCTCAGGCTCCTCGCAGAAAGCTTATGGCTCAAGCCAGAAACTGGCTCCTTAGTGCTGCTCTTCGCCCGTATCACTCATGGGTCTACTGGCGTGATGTCGACGTGGAGACCGCTCCCTTCACCATTCTCGAAGATTTGATGCGTCATAACAAAGACGTCATTGTTCCTAACGTCTGGCGACCCCTCCCTGATTGGCTCGGCGGTGCTCAACCGTACGATCTTAACTCTTGGCAAGAGTCCGAAACCGCACTGCAGCTTGCCGATACACTAGATGAGGATGCAGTCATTGTTGAAGGCTATGCCGAGTATGCCACTTGGCGCCCTCATTTGGCCTACCTTCGTGATCCCTACGGAGACCCTGATATGGAGATGGAAATTGATGGTGTTGGTGGTGTTAGTATTTTGGCCAAGGCCAAGGTCTTCCGTTCTGGCGTCCACTTCCCGGCTTTCAGTTTTGAGAAGCACGCTGAAACAGAAGGCTTCGGCAAGGTAAGCATGGTGATCTCTTTTGATGAAAGAGCATGTTTTGCTAACGATAAGAACAGATGGCCAAGAGAATGCAGTACTCAGTTGTCGGTCTTCCTCACTACACCATTTGGCATTTGTACGAGCCTAGTGTCGAGGATCTGAAGCACATGGAGGTGAGTAATATGCAGCGCTCAAGGACGTCAAATAGGCAATTATCTAACAGACGAATTAGGAAATGGAGAAGGAAAAGCAAGCGAAGGAGGCTGAAGAGAAGGCCAAGCTTGCCAAACAAAAGAAGCTCGAGGAATCCTTCAGTGACACCAAACCTGAATGGGAGAAGGATAAGGCCAAGATTGCAAAGCAGCAAGCTGGTGGCCAAGGTGCTGCGGCTAAGGCTGCCGGTGTTGGCAAGGAAGCATAGAACATGATTATGCCGCTGGCGGTGTTGGACGCATAAAAGGACAAAAATCTGGGTTTTGCATTTTGTTTGGCTTCTACAAGTTTTCTACTGGCTGTTTGGGAAGACTGTTGTCTCAATCATTTTAATTTCTTATAAGTTATTCGTTTCTATTTTGTATTATAGCACACGACGGGAGGCAGCCATACACTTACTTGTGCGGGGGTCAGCTAGGCATATTTGCTTCTGGCGGCGTTTAGACGTATTCCAATGTTTTTACGATGTTAGTTTGTGTTGTAATCAATTTTTTATCAAAAAATAACGAAATGAAATCAATAGGCTGTCCTTGCTTGTGATATCCCGATGGAGCCTACCACTAACCAGCAGCTGTGCCTACAGTAAATTTACAGTAGCGTTGCTAACACGTAGCGCTAACCCAGGCAGCCTCAGCGCCCCGCCCCAACCAATCAGTGGCACACCTTGGCCGCTCCACCGCCCAGAGGTCACTGAAGCGAACAGGCTGGCGAACCGTCAACCACTGAGCACGCCTGTCATATTCTTCACCAGCCATTGCGGTCGCCAACCTCTAAAGCTAGGCAATCGTCTGCATTTTCGCAGCATCTCAAGCTACCGGCTGCTTTTTCGAATTCCCCCGATTCGTCTTACTCCTGCGCATCACAACCGGCAACGGCGTAGCCCCCCCTCGAACAGGACACCACCCCTAACGACGAAGCATGACCGGCCATGGTCGACAGCCCTTCACAATGGACTCGCACATGCAGACCAGCTCAATAGCTTCAGCTAACATGCGTTACGAGACCCCTCGCATGCAGTACCGAAACCGTCCCGTAACGGTTGCCGTCGATCCCATCTCCCTCGTCATCTCCGAGTGCATCTCCATCACGTCGGCTATCCAGAAGCACGCCCGCTCCCCAAACACATCCGTGTCGGCCATCCTTGGCGGAAACCCCAACTCTATCGACCTTGGCGCCTCCAATTCGCTGTCGAAAACAAGAATAAAGGGCCAGTCGGCAAGAAACAGCAGCGATGGCTCTGATCCCACCTCCAACAACCGCTGGGGTCTGCGGGGTCAAAAGGGCAAAAGCATGCAGGATAACCCCATGATCTCTGGGTTCTCGCAGCTTCGTCATGATCTTTCTGGTGTTAAAGGTGAGTGAACACAAAACTAAGGGAAGTACTGGGCCTAACATTGTCAAAGATATCCGCAAATTCGACGCGCCGTCCCTTCTCGATCCCTTCCTCTTCGTCATCCAAGCCAAGGGCACCGCTGCTCCGATAACAATTCTAGCTCTGGGCGCCTTGCGCAAGTTCTTGGCCTATGGTTTCGTTTGCGATGAATCTCCTAGATTCCCTCTGGCCATGCAATCTCTTGCAAGTGCCGTCACGCACTGCCAGTTTGATGTCAGCGACGCTGCGCAGGGAGAGGTTGTCTTGTTGATGATTCTCAACCTCATGGAGGACATGATGTCTGGTCCAGGAGGAGACATTTTGAGCGATGAAAGCGTCTGCGATATGATGGGCCGCGGCTTGGCCATTTGCTCACAACCCCGCTTCTCACCTGTCCTTCGCCGAACAGCTGAGGCTGCCATGGTCCGAATGTGCCAAATTATCTTTGAAGATGTCAAGCATCTGGAAGAAGAGGCTACTAGCGACGGGGCAAACCTAGACCGTGCAAATGAAGACGCCACACAGGTGCACATGGAGGCGATCAGCCCCGAAGCTGCAAAGGGCAAGGACTCTACTGATGAAGAAACCCCTGATGGGAAAGAGGAGAAAGAGTCTGCGGATGATGAGAAGTCCGACTCCAAGACTGAAGAGGACGAAAAATCCGCAAGTGATGATTCTGATGAGACAGATTCGGTCGATCTTCGACCCTACTCGCTACCCTCTGTCAGAGAGCTTTTCCGCGTTCTGGTCAACTTTCTGGACCCGAACGACCGCCACCACACCGATACTATGCGAGTTATGGCTCTTCGTATCATCCACGTTGCGTTTGAGGTTGCTGGTCCCTTCATCGCCAGACACCCTGCTCTAGCATCCATTGCTGAGGATAAGCTGTGCTCATATTTGTTCCAGCTGGTTCGATCAGACAACATGGCCGTTTTACAGGAGGCCCTAATTGTTGCTGGTACCATGTTGGCCACATGCAGAGGCGTTCTGAAGCTTCAGCAAGAGCTCTTCCTGTCTTATCTTGTTGGCTGCCTGCACCCATCTGTCCCCATTCCCCGAGAGGCTGGTATTGATCCTTCACTCTACTTGGGCATCCCCGAGACACCCAAGCTAGTGAAGCCACCTCCTTCGCAAGCGAACAGCGGTGGTAACACGCCTGTGCCTATCAAAGAAAGACAGAAGCTAGGCATGGAGGGTGGCGCACGTAAACCGGAGGCTCGTCAGGCCATGGTGGAAAGCATTGGTGTCTTGTCTCGTATGCCCACTTTCGTGGCTGAGCTCTTCATCAACTACGATTGTGACCCTGATAGAGCTGATTTGTGTGAAGACATGATTGGACTCTTGTCCCGAAACGCACTCCCCGATTCTGCCACATGGAGCACCACAAGTGTCCCTCCTCTGTGTTTGGATGCGCTGCTGCGCTACATCCAATTCCTTGCTGAGAGATTGGTTGAAGAGCCTGTCACAGAGAACTATCCCGATGCTGCAGAACTGCGCGAGAAGCGCAGCCGCAAAAAGGTCATCATTAAGGGAACTGCCAAGTTTAACGAAAAGCCTAAGACCGGCCTCGGCTATCTGGAGGCCAATGGCATTCTAAAGAACGCCAGCGATCCTGAGGAGGTTGCCAAGTTCCTGATGGGTACAACACGTATTTCCAAGGCCGTACTGGGCGACTTCATATCGAAGTCCGGTAATGACGCGATTCTCAAAGCCTTCATGAACGGCTTTGATTTCTCAGGCAAGAGAGTTGATGATGCACTAAGACTTCTTCTTGAGACATTCCGCCTTCCCGGTGAAGCACCGTTGATTGCTTCGATCGTCGAATGTTTCGCGGAACGATACTGCAGCGGCGACAAGCCTGATGAAGTTGCCAACCAAGACTCTGTCTTCATTCTTAGCTACGCCATCATCATCCTCAACACCGATCAACATAATAAAAACGTCAAGGGCATGAAGCGCATGACATTTGAAGACTTTTCTCGAAACCTAAGAGGGCAAAACGATGGAAAGGACTTTTCTGTGGATTTCCTCAAGGAGATCTTCGAGTCCATCAAATCCAACGAAATCATCTTACCCGACGAGCACGACAACCAGCACGGCTTCGACTATGCCTGGAGAGAAATGCTTACCAAGACAGACTCTGCAGGACCTCTGGTCCTCTGCAACACAAACATCTATGATGCCGACATGTTCGCCGTCACCTGGAGACCCATTGTGTCTACCCTCTCATACGTATTCATGTCCGCTTCCGATGATGCCGTCTTCGCCAGAATCGTCACCGGCTTTGATGAGTGTGCTAGAATCGCTACAAAGTACAACAACTCCGAGGCTCTCGACCAAATCGTCTACTGCCTCAGCTACATCACAACCTTGGCTGGCGACGCTACATTCAACACGGCCCTCAACACTGAGGTCCAGGCCGGCGATGGCAGCGTCATGGTCAGTGAGCTGGCCGTAAAGCTTGGCCGAGACTTCCGCGCTCAGCTAGCCACCCTCGTCCTCTTCCGCGTTGTCACTGGTAGCGAGCATTTGATCAAGAAGAGCTGGAAACACGTCAGCCGTATCTGGATCAACCTGTTTGCAAACTCTCTCGCCACTCAGTTTGCGGGACCGGGTATCCCTGTGCTCGAGCTGCCCCCCATCCCTCTGCAGTCGCCCTCGCAGGTGATTGATAGAGATGCCCGCGCCGCAGAGACAGGTTTCTTCTCCGCCTTTACCTCTTACATCTCTAGCTACGCTGCCGATGACCCTCCCGAGCCCTCAGATGAAGAGCTCGAGAGCACTCTGTGCACCATTGACTGCATCAACTCTTGCCATCTCGATGCCGTCTTTGCCAACGTTGCGTAAGTATACCATGCCACAAATCAAGTCTTTCTAGACCATAACACTGACTTCATATAGCAAACTTCCCACACCCGTCGCTGCTCTTCTAGTTGAAGCTCTGCTTGATCAGCTGCCTGAGGATGACAACACCACCATCATCAGCGTTAAGCAAGAAGGTGTTCCCACCGCCAGCTCCAACACCACCCAAGCGACCAAGTACGACCCATCAGTCGCCTATATCCTGGAGTTCTGCACAATAATGGCAACGAGAGATTCGGAGTCGATCGAAGCCATGGCCAAGCCTGTCTTCGACCGCCTTCACGGCTTGCTCAAGGATGCTACCAAGTGGCACGCCATCACCGTCGCTCGCACCACATACTACGCCATGAACATTCTCAAGGCTGGTTACGACTACGACGTCGTTGATGAAGTCTACCTGCTGCACACAATCTCCAGTTTACCCCAGGATATCCTAGCCAAGACATCGAGCACAATCCTCTCTGGCTTGGCCGTATGCACTGGTGAGCCTGGCCCGCTGCGTAGCAAGCTCATGATGTCCCCCGACTTCTGGGCTACTCTGCGCTTGCTAGCCACCAACCCCGACTCCGCCGCCTCAGTCTTCGAAATCCTCGAAAAGGGTGCTGCCGGAACACCATCCGCCATCACGGCAGACAACTTCGTTTCCACAGTCGGCCTGCTCGACCAGTTCGCTACAGCAGCCAACCCCAAGCCCGCCGCTCCTGTCAGCGAAGAGGATCGCCGCCGATCCGAGCAGCCACGCAAGGACGTCAAGGCCGACCGCGCCACTATTGACAGAGCATGCAAGGCGATCAATACACTGCACAAGCTCACCAGCCTTGTTCCCCAGTTGATGCAGCAGACACGCTTAGAAACAAACGAGGCATGGGCTGCCTACTGGCTGCCCATCTTCCAGTCGCTGACCGCCCAGTGCACCAACAAGTGCAGAGAAGTCCGCCAGCTCGCCTTCTCCGCGCTCCAGCGATCACTGCTGTCGTCTGACCTTGTTAGCAACGATCCCCAGGAATGGATCGCCATCTTCAGCAAGGTTCTCTTCCCGCTTATCTTGCGCTTGCTGAAGCCTGAAGTCTATTCCTCCGACCGCGAAGGCATGAGTGAGATGCGCATACAGTCGGCGTCGTTGCTCTGCAAGGTATACTTGCAGTACCTTGTCTTGCTCTCTGAGTGGGATGGTATGCTGGACCTGTGGATCAAGATTATTGAAATCATGGACCGCCTGATGAACAGCGGCCAAGGCGATAGCCTGGAAGAGGCTGTCCGCGAAAACCTTAAGAATGTCATTCTCTTCATGTCGAGTAGCAACATTCTGGTTCCACCATCAGAGGACGCGTCAAAGGAGAAGTTCTGGGACGAGACTTGGGGCCGTGTCGACCGCTTCTTGCCGGACTTGCGATCGGACATCATGCCCCCTGCAGAGGACTCACCAGTTGAAGAGGAAACGCCCAAGGACACAGCTGCAGAAGGCCAGTCTGGTAAGGATGAAGAGACAGAAGCAAAGGAATCGAGTAAAGTGGTGGAAAAGGCCGACAACGTGGCTGAAGAAGAGTAAACATGCATCAAAAAGAATCTTAGACTTGGCTATGGGTAGATGTTGGTTGGTCTTATTTGGTTTTATAGACACTGTGGTCCTGCTACCGTAGTTATGCAGTACTGAAAACAATTGTATAATTTATGTTCTATCCGTCTGATAATACAGTATTTTCATCATTGAAACTCAATATTCATTTAGAATCTAAACGAGTGGCTTGTCCTCTGGACGTCTTTCAATATTAGGTTCAATACTGAGGCATTCCATCAAACGCCGGCTCAAAGGCATATATCCGTACAATCACGTCTTTTTATGAGCTCATTTCCGGGTGTCGACGAACGGTATGCTTCAAACATGATCGAACCATACGTCTAGCCTCATATACCCATCGTCTCACTCGACTTGAACGTCGCCCGGTGCGTATAGAGACACTTCTAGCCGTCGTCATCATTTCTTCGCCGGCGGCAACATCTCGCGATTGGGGCAGGAAGCCTCCCCCTCTTAGAGCTTCGTCGTCCTCCTAAGTCGGCTGCACAAGCTTCGCTGCTGCAGGTGCTGCCATTCCCGTAAATCGGAGTTTGAAGGAAGACAGCTTCTGGCGAAGTCGGTGCTTTGCCGCCAAATCAAAGTCGGATTTCATGCTCTTTAATTCTCCACTGGAGCCAATTCTTCTGGAAGTTGTGTCTTGCTTTTTAGGTGAGGGGGGGTAAGATAGATTAAACTGGTCCAACGACTGCAAAGACTCTCGTCTTGCATTCTCGTCCTCGATCACGTCCAAGCTGGTCTTCCTGTAGAGCGCCGGCTTACAAGTAGATGTGTTGCCATTGGACTGATCCATCCATTTCGCGTCAGGTGCCAAATCCGCCAAAGAGTTGCAGTTTTTCAGCCGACTGCTCTTTGAGTTGCCATTATAGCGCTTGTTTTTTCCTTGGCCAAGCTGGGTGCGAGATATCTTCAATCTCAACTTTTGCCTTGGTTGCTGGGCATCTGCGTGTTCGCCGACTTGCTCCCGGGGACTACCAGGGTCCAATGACGATACTGAGCCGTTAATGCGAAGTTTCAGTTTCAAATGAGCTCCATCCTCTGCAGAATGCGTCTCGTCATCAGCTTCACGTAAGGCCGGAATAGTTGAGCTACTAGCATTCAAGAGCGGCAGTGGTGGTAAATCCTTCATTAAGCTGTTACATTTTGGAGCCTCCGTTTCCTTTTTCTGAGGAGACAGGGGCTTTGGAGTCATAGATATAGTTTCGTCGTCTGTTAGTTGAAGGTCAACAGTGGACTTATCACTACTAAACCCAACTGTACTTGCGCAGAGGGCTGCACGGTTTCGTCGGTGTCGTTTTTGATATACATTGCCTTCCAGTGCAATTCGGTCTAAAATTTCCAAGTGATTGGAGGACTTTGGTTTCGTAGATACGACCTCGTCCTCATCGTCGGTGTGAGTGAAGGGTGACTTGGCTAGGCGGTCAAAAGACGAGAGCAGTGCAGTGAACTCGGCCAAGGCTGGGTCAAGTGTCCATTTTGAAGTCTGGGAGCTAGTACGAGAGACATTGGCATGCAATTTGTCGCAAACTTGTGTTTTGAGAGCCGAATCGAAACTATTTGCAGCACGTTTTAAAGAACGTCGCGCTGCTGGTTCTGTCAAGCTAGACGGGCCAACTGTGGCAAACAGCTTGTCATGCAGGTTTTCAAAGCAGCCTTGAGCATTCCCTGGAGTGTTTCTCGTCTTAGAAACTCGTATCGTATCGTTTCCTGTGTTCCCATGTTCCACATTTGCTATAGCCTCTGTAATCACCTTTTCGATATCGTGGAGGCAGTCGTCATCATCATCCATAAAAGAATCATCTGCAGAATCTCGACATTTTTCATAGCTAAGGTCATTGTATGACCCTTCTTTTGCGCCTGAATCGTATTTGCGTAGCGATTTATTGAATTCACTCATGGACCCATCGCTGTCTGCCCGTAGCAATCTCGATTGACTGATGCTACTGGCCCGCGTAGGTATCGGACATATAGGGCTCTCGCTGTTAGGATTGACGTTGCACGTTTTGTATATGTTTTCTTTATAATCGAAGTAACTTTCGCGGTATCGATTTTGAGAGTCGTAGAGGCTGGATGAGGCAGACGGACGCCTATACATGTCTACAATAGATGTCAAACTTGCCGATCGCGTACTTTGGTCTGTCGAACTTCTGTTTTTCCAGTTCCACTGCCTGCTATTGGGATCCGTAGCTAAGTCGGTTCTTCTCAAACGTGCCGGAGCAGTACCGTAGTTGTTTACAGAGGCAGCTCGTGTGAGAAGAGGCCTTGGGCTCTGCCCAATATCCTGCTGCAGCGATATTGGTGGTGGTTGTCTTGGAAGATATTTGGACCTTGGCGTGCTGTACTTTCCTGTATACTTTGGTCTTATTAGAACACGATCCCCCGTTGTCCAATGGAGAAGCATCCCAACATACCTGACTAGAATGACGTGTCTGTGGATAAAAGGTAGCGTGCTCTGCTTCATATGAACCAGGATATGGACGAGCACCAAACCGTCCTGGTTGACTTGTATAGGCATTTGAATAATCCAGAGAAGCATTTAATGTGTTTAAATGTCTGGTTTGATAACTTTCCCTGATCCTGTACTTCGATTCGGCCTCAGTCGCCACTGGTAGGGCGGCGCTCCACTGTTGGGCTGGTAGACAGTTCGCTTTGTCTGAGTTGTAGATAGAAATAGGTCCGTTCCCATACAGAGATATAATCTCAGATGTTGTGTCTCGATAATATTTATGTTGCGAGGTGTACCAGTCAGCGTCACTTCCCCTAGTTGAAGCATCGTCGCCATCCTTGCGGTCCACACAACGCCTATTAGACAGAGCAAAGTTGTGACCATTCCAAGTCGGCTTTGGCTTCTTATGTGAGAAAGACATACTTCTACTGTCATCTACACTTTGGTTTGTGTTCAAGTCCACATTTGCTGGTGATTGGTCGGGATACTGCCGCTCTTGTGGAGAGACTTGCCAACCAGAAGGCGATCGTGTGAAGCCGCTGTATGTTCTATGAGATGCTGGTATTAAACTATTTTGTCTTGGCCGTGGTATTTGGCTTCTCATAGCCGTGATACGACAGCTTCAACAGAAGAAAGCAGATGATGTGTATGATATGAAGCCGATAACGATGGTCACAGTGCGGTGGCCAGGCTGGGCACGATCGAGATGTCACAACTTTGAGTCAAAAAGAGACGAAGGGACTGGAGAATCCAATACTGGAGAATCCAATTGCACGTCGAAAAGTTGCAGCTTAGGACAGATGCGCCAGCATTCAGTCAGTCACACATGGTTTGGGTGAAATCTGCCTCCTGTTCTGGCTACGCGAGACCAATTTCTGTGACAGCTGGCTGGCGAGAATGGTTCTAGTGGGGGAAGGAGCGCTCTGGTAGGCGAACACAATTCCTTGGGGAGGTAGTGACAGAACACTTCTCGTTGGCTCGTCAGTACACAGTAACAGAGCAAGTCGCATGCTGAACACATTGTAACAGGAAGTAATTGGGAGGAACAGGCGACTAACTTGACAACGCCAAGTCAACTCGATCACCAAAAACCGTTTGCTTCTGCCCAATCGGGACAAGTATGGGGACCAAATAATACATGCAGCGTGATTGGCGCAAGTTGAGCCGAAGAACCGGCCCTGAGCATGTGTTGCAGAACGCCATAGAAAATCACCAAACAGGACACCGGCGCTGGCCCGATCGCCAGTGATGCTGCTAGCGACAAAACAACAGCATAGTCCTAAGTTGCCTACAAGGGTGCGGTAGAGTACATTATACGAAGTACCCGCGTCACCGTGATGCGCAGCCCTATTGGTACAGTGCACCACGACACACGTAGTGTACAAGTACTGGAGTGTGTCCGTGGCGCACCGCTAGTACCGTGCTATTGGGCGCGCGGCGCCGGTAGAGGCGGATGGAGGGGCGAGGTCACCTGCACAGTGCTGTGGCCGGCAGCGTACCAATGCTAAAAAAATACAGAGCAACGCAATAAGATCGCCACCGAAAGCACCAACGTGACCATCCCAAAGCAGACCAAGGACATGACTTGCGTGGACGACTCGTCGCTTTAGGCGTCAGCGGTCGCTTTTTTCTTGGAACAATGGTTTATATTTCCTTTTTATGCCATTCTGCCGAGCATTGTGGCTGTTTAGCTGTGTTTGGCCACATTGTAGAGTGCATCTGTGCCAGCTGCAGGAGATGCACAGATGCTGCACGACATTCAAAACACTGTCAGCAAAAAGCATTCAAACACAGCGCTTGTCTTCTGACCGGCCGAACAAACAATGCCGCAGTGATGACTCTGGCCGATCCACTGGGCGGTGGGCAGAAAAAAGGGGTCCTTACTCTTTTGCTACATGTAGTGGATCACCTCACCGTTTCGGGCGTGTCACTACTCTGCAGCGGGCCTGTGGCGGACATCCAGCGCCGCTCGCCTGCCCAAATTAGCACTGGAGCGGCTCCGCACCACCTTTTGCAGCCAATTTACCGTGCTGCTCTTGGGCGGTCTGGGCTCCATTCCAGGGGTTCCGCCAGTGGAGTCGCGCCGCTGGAAAGCAGGTCCCCGCCCGCTCTCCACGGCGAAAATTGGTACACAAGAGTACCCTGTACCACAGTCACTGTACTTTGTACCTGGCCATCCCCCCTTCTGGGGTAATGTCTATTCCCGCCGCCGCCGGTAGCTGCGCAAAACTATTGACTTAGTCCGTGTGCCCGCCAACCTGTGACTCCAACTGTTTTGTCTTTTTACATCCTGCAACACAACAGACGCTTCCTCTCCTCTGCTCCGAGTTTTGCTTTGCTACAAGAACAGGAACACAGACGCATCTGCCGACTTGCTCGCCCATACAGATCTCATACTACGACACAACGCCACTGCATAACTTGCACATCTGCCTACTAGATCTTCCACCATACATAGCAACCATGCCTTCAAAACCCGATTTCCAAATCGCCATGCCGGCACGATCTTCTTCAGACTTCCAGAGACCAGCCTCGCTGCCCAGAACACCCAAGTTCCACGAAGACTTCGATGCGCCCTTCTCAGAAGCCATTGCCAACGCCCCTGCTACCACGCCGCCCTACGAGACCTCTTCGTCGCCTGTCCAGACCCCCGACCAGTGGATGGGAGATGCTGCTTGGCCATCAGACATGCGCCGTCGCTCCGGTGTCAACGACAAGCTCCGCGACTGGGCTAGAAAGTCCATCATCATGGTCCGTGGCGGCTCCGACTCTAGCTCTGAGGACGGCGAGCGCCCGACAACATCCAAGAGCTCTACCAAGTCAACGTGAACGTCTATTCTATGATCTACGATACACATGTGCGGCATCTTGCACATAACATTTACATGCGCACGTGCCGCAAAGACTACATACGAGACATGACTTGGAGATAATACTTGCTTTTTATGGAGTACACGAAACAATGGCAGGTGGTAGCTTCTTTTCTGCTTCCTTTTTAATGTGGCGTTTTCTGGAGAGAAACAATGTACCCAGGCGGGGTTGTTTCTTTTAATTCTATATCTTTTTTTACACTTTGTCGATTCTTTTTGTATATAGACATGTATATAGACGCAACCTTGCATAGGTGCTGTGGATTACCACATGAAGTGCTATGATACAGGGCTTCCCCCTAATGCGAAACCTTCTTTCAAAAGACGCCGCCGCCTAGAATAAAGAGCCTTTGTTCTTCCTTTTTGGCCCACTGTACAACCTTATTTGCTCCTTGTGCCAGTGTCGCCCGTGAAATGTTGGGTCCTCCGACACAGTAGAGTTCAAAAATGGGTGTCAGCCAAGCTAGCGCGGTCGCGTCTTCATTGACTGTATGCAGAATCTTGAGGTGTGTATGCTTGGCGTGTGCCGCCGCGTGAAGCTCATGGTACAGCGTCATCAACCTGCGCCTCTCGACGACACCTGAAAACGTCGGGTCCAGCGATGACATGCAAAACTGCACATTCGCCTTGGACTTGTAGAGAAAGTGGCCGAGCTGGTGGCCGCCTGTGATGAGCCCCGTCGTTGGCCGCCCAGCCTTGACGGCCGCCTTGATCACGCCTAGGCTACCTGTCTTGGCCAACTGCTGCGCCACGTCGTCTCTCATCTTCTTCAGTTCAAAGAAGCTTTCTTTGTCTGCGCTGATGAGAATCATGGCGATTTGCTCTTCGATGCCGCCATGACTCTCGGCAGGCTGCTCCGCCTCACCGTCGTCAAAGAAGCTGACGTACATGTACAGGTAGCCCTGGTTGTTAAAGGCTGGGAGGCAAAGCGGTACCCAGTTCTCGCCGCCTCCGGCCTTGATGCCGTCCGATTCAAACAGCATGTTAAAAATAAGTTGCAGGTCGCTAGGGTGCAGGGAGTGCCGGCGCGGCCGGATCACGCTAACCAAGCGTCCGCCGGCGACAATCAACCCGTACAGCAGCTTCTCCGCGCGCAGTTTCAGGAATATGTTATTAATAGCATGTCGTTGCGATTTGCGCAGCCTTAAGCACTCGAGCGATCCCAATAAGGCAGTTGCCGATCCCTTGGTGAAGTTGTCAGCCAGTGACGAGAGCAGCGTCTCAGTGCCTTGCAGCGGCGTGCGCAAGTCAGTTGATGGGCGATGAACAAAGATTTTGGTTAATGTAGGTAACGTAAGTGTCGATAGAATTTGCATATACAGCGCCTCTAGCTGCGCTCGCAACTGAGAGTCGCTTTCTCCGAGACGGCTAACAGCGACAAAGTACAGCGGCCCTTGCGTAGCGATGACGAATCTAGTATCGCCCGCTGTGAAAGCTTGTAGTGGGTTCTTGGAGCTTTCATAAAATGATATAATAGTTTGCACCACTCCTATGGATGCGTTGATGAGCATCAGGTCGCCGTGCCGGCTCCAGATGGGCTTTCCGGCGGAAGATAGAATCATATAATGTTTCATTTTCGACTTCCACGCTGCCAGGCGCGCCTGTTCGCTGATACCACCGTCTGTTTCAGAGGGAATCGCCTCGAACTCCTTTTCAAACTCGAAAAACTTATCGCCAGGGCTAATTTTGGTTCTATCAAACGGTGGGATTGTGGATGACTGCGACTGCAGCAAATTCCACGCCAGACTCCGCCTGCCTGTCTCTGAGGCAAACAGACTAGCAATATCTCTGGCTGGCCGCATAGTTGGAGCCAAGCTGGCAATGCTCGCACCATCGTCTACATCGCTGCCCGAGATGCTCGTTTTTCGACTTGGCGACGCATAGCCGCTACCAATAGGTGTCGAAGCACCGCGCGATCCGGGCGTGCTGAAGGTGCCTCTTGAGCCGTCCGGGAAGGACAGTGTCTGAATATCGAGTTGTGTAACGGCCGTTGTCGCATGCGACTGCAGCGTCCCAGGCTCCCTGGAGCTGTTCTGGGATGGTCTAGGAGGGAGCGGTGGCCGTTGCCCATCGTGTTCGGCGTCTGAGGGGGAAGCCATTGTTGTCGAGTCGTGCGATGTGGCCGCGTTTCATCGTGTGGGATGCATTGAGGGGAGAAGTGAGAGACGGATGACGATGTGGTGCTGTTCAAAAGCTATTGCATAATTCGGGATGTTTGCTTTCGTTTCGTTTAAATTTTGACTGCACAATCAAGAATTATATCCCCTACAAGCAAAATTCAAATAAAAAATCACAATCCTCCTGCCCGTGCTGCAGGTGTCGAAGTAGAGTTGTGGTCACTGGAAGCTGTCGACCGCACCTTTTGGAGGGGCTGCTGCCAGCTCCGCCAGAACGCCGCCCCCACTTGGGCAGCCAACTGACGCAACACATACGCGCCACAACGGCTTCTGGTAAAGCTGGCTTCCGCAACCACCACCACAGCTATCGTCTTTCATCGCGTGATCTTCTCGGCCGAATTATTTACGGACAGCTTGCGTCCTTGAGTAGAACAGAGGCATAATCAATCACCAGATGCAGCTCTGCTTGCCCATGCGTCGCCCGTCCTAGCATCATGGCTCTCGAACCGGGCTCCGGCGCTATGTCTGGATCTCCTGAGAGCTCCGGCCGCGATTCACCTATTCCCCGGCAGTGGAGAAATCAGCTGGGCGGTGGTACGCTTTGATAGCACTATTATTACTGTCACAAGAATGTCGTTAACGTATTAGCAGGCGATGTTTCCCCAGTCAAGGACAAAGGTCTACGTCGATATGCACAAGGCGTAGACAAAGTATTGACCCTCTTTGAAACAACGCTGGAAGAATGGGCTGATTATATCTCTTTTCTCAACAAAGTCCTTCGAGTACGTCACAGAATACTATACGAAATCCACAATAAGACTACCCCAAACAGCTAACACTCTTGTGCTACAGGCGCTCCGAGCTCGACCAGGAAACTGTACCATAATTCCGTCAAAAGCCACCGTCGCAAAGCGTTTGTCGCAATGTCTCGACCCGAACCTGCCTTCCGGCGTCCATCAAAAGGCCCTCGAAGTTTACAACTATATATTTGAAGTTATTGGAAAGGATGGTCTGTCGCGAGATCTCCCCTTATACCTACCCGGCCTTGCACCGACTCTCTCGTTTGCTTCGCTATCCGTTCGCTCCCCATTCCTCGAACTTCTCGAAACCCATTTCACACATATTGACGCCCGGTCCTTACGCCCCGCAATGCGATCTATAATATTGGCTCTATTGCCTGGCCTCGAAGATGAATCTAGTGAGGATTTTGACCGCACACTCCACTTGGTAGCCAAGTTCAAAGCTGCTATCAGGCCTGCGGAGAGCAAAGAGCTGACTGATCACCATTCGACTGGCGACGACTTCTTCTGGCAATGCTTTTTCTTGGCCACCATTACGAGTCACAGTCGCAGAGCTGGTGCACTTGCCTATCTTGTTCGCTTTCTACCTGTACTTGGGTCCGCGCCAAAGGGTGACGGCAGCAAGAGTACAGCTCAAGAAATAGATCCGGCACTGATGACTATTGTAACATCTCCTGAGCCTGGTCTATTAGTACGATGTTTTGCAAGCGGTCTAGCCGACGAGCAGCTGCTCATTCAAAGAGGCTTCCTGGATCTGCTCGTTTCCCATCTTCCTCTCAATTCGAGCGTGCTACAGAAGCAAGTTAAATCTGGTGACATTGAATTGCTTCTCAAGGCTGCTACCGGCGTAGTCATTAGGAGAGATATGAGTCTCAACCGCCGTCTCTGGGCTTGGCTTCTTGGACCAGAGCCCACGGGACCGGACGGAGACCCCATTACTGATATGGCTACGCTTCCTTCTGACCAGCAGCAGATGTATCTTGCCGCTCGAACAAACTTCTTCGAAGAATATGGCATGTCTGCTCTCGTCAAAGCTCTTCTCGATATGATCAGAGAGACAGAAGCCAGTGATTCCGTCGAGCGAGCTCGTCCTTATCGAATTTGCCTCTCACTTATGGATAGATGGGAGATTGGTGGACTTGTTGTACCTGAAATATTCCTCCCCGTCATCAAAAGTGTCAAGGGCTTTAAATCTAGTGCTGCAACTGCTGCTGAGTTCAAGGAAGTTCTTCGTAGTGCTAGTGTCTTCTTTGATGGTATTGAAAGTGGTCTCATATACAGTGAGCTTGTTAGCTTGTTGGCACAAGCCATTGGTCCTGGCCCCGCGACTACAGAGGAGCGACTGGAAAAGCTATCTCTTATTGACTTTGTCATCTCCAATTTCAACGTCCGCGAGGAAGAAATGGTAACTATCCATGCACCGTTGACTTGTTTGGCGGCACTATACATGCTTGAAGATTCAAAAGGCCGAAAGTTTTCACCTACCGCAAATGACATTAGTCTGATAAACAAAGTTCTATCAATCGTCACCTCACTTTTGGATCTAATTCCCGAGCGAGCCTTTCCTGCCATCTCAAAAGGGTCCGAAGAACGGCACAAGGACTCCGACTTCTCGAAGTCATTATCCAATGTCGAGCTCCTCAAACGCATCCGAAACTTTTATGTCAATGAACAAGGAAATCTTGATACAGCCTCAGCACCTTTCACGAAGACTCAAACTGGCCAACTTTTGTTGGACAGAGCAGCGAAAAGCATGGTTGAGCTGTCAGATGGCTCGAATTCTACCATCGACGTCACGTACAGGGTCAAAATATTACTTCTTGTTGTAATGAAGGTTGATTCTACATACAACCTCGATACTGCCGCATTACTTGGTCACATGCAGACTGTTCTGAAATCATCAGGCTCTCTGCAATTTAGTGACTATTCTTCATTACTGCTCCTAGCTGTGCAGCTGCACTATGCCGAAAGAATCACCCTGGATGAACTTGCAGAGCTGACAGCACCTCTTGTGAATCATGCTTGGTCATATCTGTCAGTATCAGAACCAAAATACCATGTCGAGACTGTTAAATCCCTTTGGCAGTTGCAGACGGCTCTAACAGCTGAACGTCGAGACATCGAGGCCGCGCTCTCAACTATAATCGTGAGGCAGACGACAGCTGGAACTTCTGACATTGGTCGGGTGTTTAGCATTTTATGGTCTCACACGCTCCAGGACAACCAACCTGAAAGACGCGGCTCAAAGGGACAACTCTCAGATCTAAGGACCAGCCCACGACTATCGGGTGCCGAGAGCTACCCCATTATGCTCTCGCAACCACTCTTCTTAATTTTGGACACCCTGTTTGATGAGAGAACAACTCAATACATGACCGTCAAAGCATGGCTTAGCACGATGATTGGTATCGATAGGTAACTCTTCTTCCCCCTTTCTTGATATATTTTAATATGCTAATGGCAACTAGACTATACCTCCTGGTTGCCACGAAATTGGACCAGCTATCATTCTTTTCGATTCCACTAGAATTTGGAAAGGACAAAGAGCTTGTGGCGGTTCCAAAGCAATTCACTGATGATGATGATGTGGATCTTGGCCTTTACTACCTGCGGGCGTTGAACCAGGTTTTACAATGTACCAGGGATACTTCCTGGGGAGTTCTTGCGGCGAAGTACCTGGCATATAATGGCCGTCGTTTGCATATTAGTAGCGGTGGCGAAGACGACTCAATTCCTTTACAGGAATACTTTGCACGTGTATGCATCACTTGCATCACTTGCACCGCATCACCGGACGCTGATGAACACCTACAACATTCTGTCTCTCAGCTACAACGATATGCTCTCATAGTGCTTCACCAATTCCTGCGAAGCAGATGGGCTCCCACGCTTGCTAAACTGAGTCTTGAGAACGTCCTTGTCGATGCACTATGGAAGTCTCTCAGTGGGCAAGATTCTTACATGCAGATTCTTCTTCTAGATGCTGTTCATGACAGCCTTCATCTGCAAGAGCTAGCCGTTCCTGAACCACCTACATCGCCGACTGCAGACAGAAGCCGTCAGAGTCTGGAGCGTCCGCGGGCTCGCCAGCCATCTGCTGCTGCACCGGATGTACGCTTTTCCTTACAGCTACCGGCCCAGCTTCTCAAATGTCTGCAAGCTGGCCTCAGCGCTCCAAGCAGTCAAGCGGTCCTTGATAGCTGGGTAGTTTTCTTGGGCGAATGCCTTCCGATGTACTCGAGCTCCATCTTTCAGATCCTAATCCCTCTGGTTGAGAGTCTGTGTAAGCAAATCACCAATACATTCTCCAATCTTGCAACAACCTTCCAAACTAGCAATGCTCCGCTAGGCACTGGCACAGAGGCTCCCGAATCGACCCTCATTTACCTCTTAAATGGACTCGAGCAGGTCTTGGCAAGAGCCCACGATCAACTCGTGGCGGATGAGGCACGAGCAGAATTGGCCAAGGGGCCTGACCAACCTCAGTCGTTGTTCGGTAGCATGGTCTCGGGCGTGTTTCAATCAGATACGCCACAGAGTCGCAGTGCCACAGCGAATGACAGACTGACAGTTCATTTGGCATTCCAAGATGCTGTGAGAATATGCTACAAAATATGGTCATGGGGTCAAGGAGATGAAGCAGCAAGGCAGGATACAGCCTCTGCGGCGTCCTTCAACTACACCTCTCTCCGAATGAGAAACCGCGCTCGCCGCCTCCTGGAGCACCTCTTTGCGACAGAGACCCTTGAATGTCTAGAAATTGTCATTGATATATGGCATAATTCAGAAACAGAAGCCGAATGGTCGCTCTGTTTCGACTTCTTGGCCGCCCTCGATGCGGCACGACCTAGACAAACAGTGCCATCCCTCTTCAACTCTATATACAGCCGCACTAATCCAACAGCACTTGACCCGTCTAGGCAGTCAGCCATGACGGTGTCTTTGGCAGATACAGAGCTTGCAGCATTCTTGGTTCAATATGCTAGAAGACTAGACGACGACGCCATGGACGAGATTTGGGCCGACTGCATCACGTTTTTGAAAGATATCCTAGCCAACCCCCTTCCTCACCGGCAAATCCTACCTTCTCTTCTAGAGTTTGCCGTTATTCTTGGGGAAAAGGTAGATAATACCAACTTTGGCGACCAGCGTAAAATGCGCCGCGAGCTAGGCGATCTCTTCCTCCGCCTCGTTGCCGCCATGTTTACGACCCGGCCAATGACCTTCACAGAGCAGAGTATGAGCGAGAAGTCGGCAACAATCAAAGGGCCTACTGCGGGATCAGACGACACAATTGGTATCCTTGCCTCTGTAGTGCCTAATCTGCACAAGGTTGTGCCTGAACATGACCGAACGCTTTCCGCGGCCAGCACAATCTCTACAAATGTAATCGGACCAATGCTCAAGTCCAAGAGCTTCCCCGACTCGGTATCCCGCAGCGCCATGCGTCTCATGCATGAACTAGCGAAGCTACAAAACAACCAGAAGTCGTGGAAGAAGGATGTGGGAGACGCCTTCAACGACAACCGATTCTTCGGCATGAACCTCACTCTGGTTTCCAACGACTGGCTACCGCTGCTCAAGCAATGGTTCTTTGCAGACAAGGAAAAGATGCCCGAGATTGTCTCGCGCATTGCTGCACCCACAACAGCAGGTATCGTCTTTGGCGTGGGAGCCACATCAGCGCGCCTTGAAGCAGACCGCAAGACACAGCTCAACTTGCGCCGCATCGCAACGCTCATCCTCGCCGGCACGGAGGATGCCTTTGTAATGGACCTTCCCGTCATCTTTGGCAAGCTGGTTGAGCTTTTGTCGGCAACCAACACATCCTCGCCATCTTCGACCACCCGCGCCGATATTTACATGGTGGTGCGTGCTCTGGTTCTTCGCATGAACCCTGTGCATCTGTCCATGCTCTGGCCGGTTATCAATTCCGAGATCCACGCAGCCATCTCTTCTGTCATTGCGCCCGACAACAGCGCCGCAGCGGACACATACGCCATTGCATCCATTTTCCAGGCCTGCAAGCTGCTCGATCTTCTCATCTGCCTCGCGCCCGACGACTTCCAGCTGCACGAGTGGCTCTTCATCACCGACAATATCGACGCCATTTACCGCTCGTCGTCTACGCAACCAGTCGCTCTAGCTGATGAGATTTCAGAGGATCTTGGCAGTGCAGCCTATGCCGCTACTGCCGGAGGACATGAGGACATTGGCAATGTCAGCGCGCTCAGCGGTGGTTCGCGAAGGCGTCTGCTTCTGGGACCCGGCGGCATCGGGGACAATGTGACCTTTGAGCGCAAGGACGAACTGGTGGCCAAGGTGCTGCGGCCGTTCTTTGGGCAGCTGAGCATCTTTGCATTTGAGAGTGTGTATGCCATGGGAGCACCAGATACGGAGGCATATGTGCAGAGTTTGCTTCGGGATCTGTTTGACGAAAAGACTATGGTCAAGGCCTTGTAGATACTCTTTAATCAAAAAAGAAAAGACGCAATATATACTAGACAAAAGATTACGCCATAGAATCATAAAAAAAGATAACAATAGTCATTCATGTCTTCTCTTTTCTCGACGGTGGTGGTTGTCATAAACTACTACTACATCATGTCCCGCAACTCCAATATACATTATGAACAAAAGAAATCAGTCAACGCTCGCTTTCCCCACACTCCAATTAACTCCTCTCTCTTTCTTTTTTTCTTATTTTCCAGCTCATTGCTGAATGGGATTACCACCATCATCTACTTCAAAGACAACAGCACCGCCTACAGACGGTCCCATTACTCTAGCAATAATGCTCTCAAACGCAGACCTCTCAATGGCAGCACCAAACACAACACAGCGTACGACACCACGGAACTCGCGCTTAAGATTCTCCAGCAGGGCCTGGTCAAAGAGGCGTTCGATAGGGTATCGCACAGCCAGCTCGAACCACGCCTGGACTGGGGCGATCTCGTCCGTGCCCGGGTTAAGCGACTGCGCGAGACCGTGCAGCGACTCGAGGCTGACAGGCGATGCTTGCCATTGCAGTGTCGGGTTGGTTCGGAAGCGGCTGGTAAAGGCTTTTCGGTCTTTGTAGACAGACTCGGGTGCGCTGGCCATGAAGTATGAGGACGCCATGAGCGTGTGGCCCTTTTCTTCTTCGGTTTGTTCGTTGTGGTGGTGGCAGTCGCCGGGCCAGAAATGGTCCCAACAGCAGTGTTCGAGGCTGCATAGTGTTAGAGTGTATACATGATAATAGCAGCGGGCTAAACCTACGCTAAGATGAAGTTGATAGCCTGGAGTTCTTGGCTCGGGGTGAGTTGGATACGGCCGGCAAGCCAGCCTTCGCTCGAGGTGGAGGGTGAAGCGGCGCCGACTGAGTATGGGCTGATGCTAAAGATGGGCGTGCCCATAGTCTTATTACTGCTAAGAGTGACGGTCATGTCATACTCGCTGCTCAGAGATTCGAGGGCGTATGGGTGGAAGTTGGGCGTGTAGGAGCTTAGGTCCGACTGTGCGGATGGTGTGAGAGCGCCAGACTCGGCGACTTGAGAGGTCGAGCCGGCCGTAGTCAAGCCTGGTGTGGAGGAGCCGTTTCGAATGAGGGCGTTTCGGATCAAGTCATTTTCGGCCTTGAGCGTATCCGAGTCCCGCTGGATCTGGGTGACCATCTCACGCAGCTGGGAGATGTCGAGTTCGAGCTGTTTGACATAGTTTGCTTTTCGCTGGCGATGTTCGATCTGGGCCTTTCTGACCTGGGCACGTCGGGCTTGTGCTTTCTCCTTGGCCGCCTGGGCTGTGCTATCTGTGGCTGCGTACATTTCAGTTCTTCTGTTCAAGGCATGTCTGGCAATGGCCTGCGAGTCTGGAGACCGGCTCCGTCTTCGCGATAAGAACGGCATATGTGTATCTGTGTGTGTATATGATGTGTGACGTGACGGGTGAATAGATTGTTGATAGTGGAAGAAAATCAACAGCAGTCAACAAAAGGCAAAATAGGAGGAAGAGTAGAGTAGAAGAGAAAGAAAAGCAGATGCGGTGATGTGTCGATGACGGGAAGGGCATGGCACACACGCCCAATATACCCGACTATCCACGGCGACGAGGTCCCCGCAAGGTCAGGCGCGCGCGCGGTAGAAATATGGAATTATGATGCATGGCAAATAGCGGCGGCATCTAGCAGCGGCGGCGGCGATTGATATTTGGCATTGCGCTAGCAGCCAGCAGCCAAAGGTTATCGGGGGGCGCGGGAGGGAAGCGGGCATCAGCAAGCAACAGACAGTGATTTGTCATTGCTGGTCTCGCGTAATGGCGAGCCTGCCAGCAAAAGCAAGAACCAAAGCTGACTTGCTATTCATCGGGCTTGCAACGATGGAGATAAGAGAGAAGAGGGAAAAAAATATGGGTGGAGGAAATAAAGCAAGACATCAATCAATCAATACTCACAGGAGCTTATCTCATCATCGCTCGACTTCGCCGCTCGCTTCTTCTTACTGTCCGTCTTGGCCGCCTTTTGCTTCTGCTGCTCTTCCTTTTGCTGCTGCTTTGTCTTTTTGAGAAAGGAAAGGAAGCTGGGCTTTTCAATGGCATCGCCAGAGGCCAATGCGCTGGAGCTGCTGCTTGCCATGACGCGATGGGTGATGTTGGGCGTGATTGTCGTAGTGTAATTACTGTCTCTTGGTCTGCAAAAGCAGGTTATCGCATGCGACTGTGGTGTAGTGCGTGCAGATCGAGATTCACAAGCGTCCTTTTTAGAACCAAAGCCCTGGACGGCAGCCGGAGCAGCAAACTGGAATCGCAATGTTCCGGTTTGGCGGTGATTTTGGCGTGATTTGAGAACGTTGCGTCTCGCAATGCCTGTGACGGCTCACTAAAGACCGTGCTCTTACAGTACGGCAGCTGCCCCCGCCTTGCCGTCCAGTGGCTGCCTCCCTGAAGCAGGTGTTGCGGGTCCGCTGGCGTAGCGAATGGCTGGTTGGAGAAGAAAGCGGGGAGCTGCCATTTGGAATACTGCACGATTTGGAATACAGTGTGCTTCTAGCTGCAACGTTATTGGACCGTGGGCTAGTTTTTTTTTTTCGACCCCCCAAGTCTGAAGGATAGCTGCCGTGCGCCAGATGAATCAGAAAAACCGATTGTCTGTGCTCGTTGGTTGTATCTGTAGAATGTCACTGGAATTTTGTCATCGTTACTTTTTTTCGATATTCCATTCCTTCTCTGATTTGTCTTCAAAAACTCCGTGATCGCGCCGTCAGGTTCCCCATACGCTGTTGTTTGCCCGTGTCGGCCGACGTGCCGTACCAGCTATCAGCTACCTGCAACTTCACCGACCCTTGACACAAAATACATTCACAAGTACACAGTTCGGATTCGTATTTGCAATTCAAATTCCATTTTCTTTTCCTCGTTACAGAGACAGACGCATATCTCATCATACAGCTGAAAAAAGAGTAAACGCCTCGCTAAAATGCTAACAAAAATCTGCCCGGTCCGGAGTTTCTATATCTCCTACGTCAGGACATGTCCACCAAAATGTCAACCCAAAATTAAAAACGAAAATGCAATGCAGTTCAATGTCAATGCAAGGGTATATGCACACCACACGCGCACGGGGTCTCTGGCCTCTCAGTCATAGTCATCTCCGTCGCTATCGGTCGCCGTGCCTTCATCAAGCTCGTCGTCGTTATCATCGTCGTCTGCGATATCACTATCATCGTCCTCTTCCGTGTTCAGACCAGGAACGCGCTGCCATGACAGATATTCGTTGCTAATCCATCTCTTGCTCACTGGTAGCTGGTATGGGTCAAACGGAAAGTACGGATCAAGCTGGTGGTATGTTTCGTCGTGCTGGTCGAAACCAGCATCTCGCAGTGCACCACCCGTAGAGTAAGTCGATGTAATGTACTGAGTGAGACGGATACGCTTGTTGTTCTCGAGCAGTGGGAATACGTAGACAAAGTTGAGCTTGTGTGCCAGTGTCGCAAATTCCTCCACAATGCCTGGCGCGCAAACCTTGAGAGGGTTGAGCTTGCCAAAGATCTGAACAGAGAGGTCCTTGCGCGAGTTTCCAAGCCACTCAATGTCCTGGCCAATAAACGAAGCCGGGTCTTCTGGATCCACCATATCTGGTACCGAGTCGACCAAATCTCGCCAGCGGAAGCAAAAGATGTAGAGGGCAGCTTGCATCAGACTGTAGTAAATGTGGAATCGGCTCAGGTCAGGTCCGCGGCAGATGGGCTCGTACTTTCTGCGGTACTGTTCAATGTGAAGCAGCAATAATTGAAAAATAGTGCGAACCAAAGACTTGGGCACACCAGCTCCACGGGCGACGAAACTAGCCAGGTAGGCCGCTGCAGCCTGCTTGAGGACGTTGGGAGTGTTGCTTTGGAAAGCCGTTGCGATCAACTGTCCGCAAAATGCGTCTGTTAGGCGCTCATGCTTTTGGGCGAAATGGAATGCCAAAAACTGGGTATGACGGGACCGGTAAGTAGGCAAAACCAGGTGGTCAAACTCGCGCAGGATGGTTGTAAATGCGTCAAACGCACGGTCGGATCCAGGGTTGTGAAAGTATGGCGTGTAAAACTCGAAGAGCGTGTCAAGCACGGCATCCATCTTCTCGACATTCTCCTTGACCGTCTTAATTCTCGATGCCTCGACATCGAGGTCCAGGTCGTCGCTATCAACCGACTCGTCATCATCATCTTCGAGCATGTCGCCTTCCCAGTCTCTCGACTCACGGGTTTGCTCTTGCAAGCTAAACATAACAGCAGCCGTAATATCATCATCGAGGTCTTCCAGATCAAGCTGCATTTGAGCATCAATCTTGACCACGCGGTTCATGATAATGTCTAAAATCTCCTCCTTGAGATCAGGAGCATAGTCCTTGATGCGGAGCATGTTGTTAATGTAAGCCATGTGGATTTGCATCGAGTCGTCGGGGAAGGGGAATTTGGCGGATAAAAGGCTTTCCAATACCGATATGGCAGAGGGAAACATTTGGAGAATATATCGGAGTGCTGTGTGCAGCCTTTCGCGCATCACATCGCGGCTAACTTCGGGGAAATCAGCAACGCCCCAAGAGGGCTGCCGTGTGTATTGGAACTTTGAAACCATCATGTCAAGGACGGTGCCCAGGTACGAGCCTTGAGCACTGACAAGAGCTGCAAGAAAGTTCATAAAGACCTTGGCGAAGGCTTCATCACGCCCCAGCCAGCGGCACTGCAACACATGGCGGACGAGGCCGTTGCACTCCTTGCTCTTGAGCATCGAGACGCAGCCCGTCAAAGCGACAACATATGCTTGAAGCTCATGATGCTTGTTTTCATCTATATCCATATCCGCAGGAGCATATGCATCCTTATCGTCGGAGAAGAGCTCCTTAATAGTGTCGTACTGGCCGTCGTTACCGTGGAGGTGGTCCTCAACGGCCGTGCGAACCTCTAATTTAATTTCGTCCATTGTGCGTCGTCCGAGCTCGTATGTAACGTTTTTTATATCGTCAAAGAGGACTTTTCGTCTTTTCGTCGGGCTTGAAGGTGGTTCAGTTGGCTCTTCAGCGTCGTCATGCTGAAATTTTCTGCGACCGAGAACAGAGGCTGTCTTGAGGATCGACTTGACGGGAGTGGCAGTCGAGCCCTTAATGGGAGTGCCAGGTAACGCTCTGGCAGCGGTAGCAATCGATGGCATAGGTTAAAATGGGTGTGTGATCCTGATTGTGGTTCTTTTCGAGAGCAGCGGAGGTCTCCGGGTGACCATCCACAGCACAATCACAACAAACAACGGGGTAGCAGCCTCAGTAGCAGCAGAGCATAGTAATGTTTATCAGGAGACGTTAACCAAGGCTGTCCATTTATTAATTTGGTCTCTTGGATGATTGACAGCCGAGGGATAGGAGGGGGAAAGGATTAAAGCGTGGGCGGGTTGTTGTTGAAAGGTGAAACCACAAAGCGAGGTTGTGTGCTAGGCAGCGGTGACCGTATGAACCTGGGCGGCTAGTAGAGTTTTTGCCTGCCCGCCCCAGCTTTTGCCTGGCAAGTTTTTTTTCGCTGCGCCCAGAAAAAAAAAAGCAAAAAGTGGGGGAACGCACGTGCCTGGGCCACTGCTTTGGTGATAGCTCTCGCTTCAGGCGCTCACCTCCACAGCGTGGATCTCGCTGCGATCTTAGCTAGCGTCGCCTAAAGTGCGTGAATCGGGGCAGAAGAAGTGGCTAATACGGTTTACAAGGTAAGTTATCAAGTATTGAATTGTAAACCAGTATTTTATTTAATTGAGTGTGAAAATTACTTACAAGCCATATTGGTAAAGGGGTTTGATATCCGCACCGTCCAGCAGTCACGTGGAGATCACCACAAGCCCGCCACCATCGACTCGCCATCTTGAACCATCCTACGTCATGTTCTATACCATAATCTTAAACCAGTACATGTCTTTTCTATTCACTCTGTTCGCATACATGACAGATTAGCATTGTTCATGTTCTTTTTTTGTCTATTTCTCTTGATTTAAATATCAAAGCCCAGTTACCGTAGCACATCATCGACGTATACCTCCATCGACGCCGTCGCCAGCAGGTTTGTCGTGTTCAGCCCATCAAGGGCATCCGTCTCATTGTCTCCAAAGCAAGAATGTTGTCTCTCTGCTCAAAATCCCTTTCAAGTGGCGCTCTATCCCATGCGCTGCAGATTACTCCTCAATAGCAATCCATCATCAACTGCGCTCAGCGCGGTGGAGGAAGCGCAGGTCACCCATCCCCCTTTGGCATCTAGTAGTTTTCGGCATTGCTCGAGCCATTTCCATGCGAGTTATATATGTAGTTGGGGTCGGTGCTGCTGCCCTCAGCAGCGGCTGAGCCTTCAGCGAATTCGGAGGAACCCTGGGCTCCGTCGACCTTTTCACCAGGAATGATGTTATTACCCCAGGCGTTTCCTTCTAGTGCACGGTCACGATTTGTCTGGTTTTGTTGCTGAAATAGTGTTAGTCTTGAGTACCCATGTGTGATAGTCAACCCTTAGCACTTACATCACGGTACTTGGAGAGGTACACCTTCAAGGCTTCGGCGTAGTTTTCAAAGCCCAGAGACGTCATAGCAAAGAGAATGTCTTCGCCGTTAACAGTCTTTCGCTTCTCTTGTTGACACTTTTCGGAAGCTATGATATCTGTTAGACAAGACGGTTCCAGTAGCATCCTTCCAGAACGAACCTTCACTAGTGATGAACGAGATGAACTCGCTGACGCATTCCTGCATGCACTCTTTGGCCTCCTTGGCAATCTTGGCATTGTCCGGCAAAGCATTCTTCATGATTCGGGCCACTGGAGCAAAATTTCTAATGTTAGCGTCAATTTCTTTCGGCATTGCGTCGCAGTCACCCTAGACCAAGCTGTCACAAATGCAGAACAAATGCACTGTCAAGTCGAGGAGCAAAGGGTAGGTTTTATCCGTGTCGTAGAGAATGGTGGTTTAGAGTACCACATACCGTTAGCGATGGGTAACCATCGATCTTGTTCCTTCACGCCTTCGAAATCGAGGCTGATCTGGCCCTCCTGGTCGTGGTCTTCATCGCCAGGCGACTGGCCCTGTTCGACTTCCTTGGGCGGCGATTGAGCGGGCTCCGACATATCTGGATACTTGCAGCGGTTGCTAGCGTTTCGTGGCTTGGTTTATTTCGTTTGATACAAGCAACTCCGGGACGTGTAAGTGTCGGTCGACTTGTAGAGTGGTAGATGTTGATTGAACCGGGGGCAGTTGAACAATCTGTATCAAGTAGATCATATGTCAGCAGCTTGTTCTGCAGAAGCTTGTACAAAGTTGTAATTCGGATGCACGAGGAGCATGGATATTCGCAAATAAATAGATGCATCCACCAACAGCGAATCGTATCGGAAGCTGTGCCGTGAACCGCGCTTGCGGGGTCGTGCGCTGCGAAGCCAGGCCAGGTTTCGTCCTGTTCCAACAGCAAAACGTCACTTGCGTCAAGCATCCATCGATATTTGTTGACAATTTGATTGCCGTCCTCGTAGAAAGATATGCGTAACACTCACCAGACGTGGTGCGCGTCAATTGCGACTGGGCAGTGCGGTTACACTGTGATGCGGCGATTACTTCGGCAAGGTCGATGGCGGAGGTTATGCAAGCTCTGCGCTGCGCCCGTCGTAAATTGCTTGTTCCAAGTGAAGAGCCTTTCGCGAATGTATCGGGTTGTGTCGAGGTGCACGAGAAAATCGAAAGCCGTGAATGGATGTTGAGCGCGAATGATGGAAGAGGCTGCGCATCGGGAGCCGACAGACGTTTGGAAACAACAAACAGCTAGGTTACGTTGGCTACTTCAAGGATACAATATTTACTGTGTGGTGTGTGCTGTTACATATGTACCTATGAAGTACCGGTTTTCGATAAACCCGCAGGGTCTAAGCTGGGCCGCATTAGGTTCTTCGTGACTGTTCCAGACATGATTGCGATTCACAAGCTAAAGACTCACAACATAATAATTTCCGCCAAAAGTGCGATTTAAGGTGATTGGGAGGCAATTTAACCCAAATATAGCAACAAATACACAGCATATTGGCTCCAACACCCTTTTGCGAAGAAAAATGTTTTGCCAAAGATCACAGTTGTATGCTACCCGGTATAGAGGAGTTACGTTAAAACGATATCGACCATACAGGAGGTTATAGAATCAGCTTTTCAAATTTCTTGAAATATTTTTTCATGTAGTGATTTGATCTTCTGTTAGTCTAAGTCTATAAATATGTTGGGAATCGAAGTCGTAGTTGCTCTATCGCAATGTAGCCTCTACGCTTCCACACGACCTTTTAAGCGAGCGTCAAAACCACAATTAATTAAACAGTATCACAGAGAGACGAACGGGTAGGGTATATCACGCCTTGGCTTTAAACTTTTTGTTTTTTTTTCAGGGTCGAAACTACTGCTGCACAACTTGGACGTTGTTCTTTTTCTGTCTTTGGCGTTAGCAAACTGCAATCAAGGCGGTATTAAGAAGCGAAATTGCCCTTGTCTTACCTTCCACTTGTCTAAATCGTCTTGTTTTGTCTTGTATTGCTTCACCAGGTCATCCAGGACCTTCTTCAGGCCGTCTTGGTTGGTCTTGAGTGCGGGCACAACCTCCTTCACTGTTCGCTCGACCAGGACACCATTGATAAGGCGGAAGCATTTCCGATCTTCTGAAAGGGGCTCTAATGTCTCTAGCACCAGCCTGGAATCGGTGTAATTAGCTTCATATGTTCCAAACATCACGCACCACGCTGAACAGTGTCTACTGCCCCTCGCGGCAGCGGTTCACCACGCCAGCAGCGAGCCAGCGCAAGGTGATACGTACTTGTGTTCTTCGGCCTCCTGTTCGATATCACCGATCTTTTGCGCTAATGTCTGGAGCGTGTTTTTGTAATTTGTGTACTGCGATTGGAGATCTAGGAGGGGCAATTAGCAAAAGTCGCGAGCAAAAGCAGAGCTTGATGAGAGGTCAGACATACCCTGCTGCTTTCTCGCAGGTGCCTGCGCTGTGTCCGCCATTGTGAATAAAATTTAAAGCTACGAGCCTCTGTCGCAAAGGATTGTAGCTGGCCGAGTTGGTCGGTTAATGCAAATGTTCCTTCTGATTCGGAGGGGCTACGGCTGTGTGAGGCCGGGCTAGCGCTACCACGCTTCAGTGACCCACATAGCTCTGCGGTTCGAAGCCAAGCAGGAAACCAACCAAGAACATACTATTTCATGGTATCAATTATCAAAATATACAGGCCACTATTTACTTCTCAATCCATGGATATTAAACGTGATTAATTATATCACATGAGCTGTTAATATCTTGAAGTATAGACTGAACAAACTGGCATATTTTGCCGATCGACCGCGTTTCTAGCAATCACTGCTTCATTGTGTATCCCATGGAAGATGCAATACGACCAAGTATTGATAGCTTTAAACGGACATATGAGAGAGGATACCAGACTTGGAGCTTTCTCTGGGAGAGTGTTGCGGCAGAGACAAGTTTACGACTGGACTACTTTGGCGATTTCTGTTCAGCAATAACAAACCAGCCCTACTTTCCCAGAGATCTTCCTGTCAATAAAGCATTTTCCACCACAGTTATTGTAAATGAGAAATCTTCTTGGAAGACCTCAGAAGGTGCTTGCGACCTTCCATCATTCCAAGAAGATGTGACTCTACAGGTCGCGTCAAATCGCATCACTACTATCACCTTCAAGGATTCGCATCAGTCGAATATAATCGCCAATTATATCGACGAAGAGAGTAACCACATTCCTATACTTACTCTTGCCTGGGCTTATATACTATCAGCACGGTGGGCTGAACTCATACCCGGAGCCAGTATTAGATATACCGGTGATACCAATCTATCGATTCCCATCGATGAGGATCGTTGTGACAGTGAATCTCTTGCGGTACCGATGGGAGATTTGAGTGCAGATGCTGCTAGATGGTGGAAAGCGATTCTTTCCCCAGGTAGCGGATGGTACGCCTCAATTTTGAACAACTATGGTTCCCCTCTCCACGCACCATGGTCTGTCGTAACCCAAGCTGCCCCAAAATTCAGTATTTCTACGAGTATGAAGCAACGCACAGATATAACTGACTATATCCCTGCACCCTCTGACGTTGCTGCTCGATATATAGTAGACTATTGCTCCCTGCATCAAATCACACATAACAGTCAAGCAGCTCTGGCTGCTGCGTTGCTAATACCGTTGGTGAAATCTGACGGTAGACCGATCGAGCTACCCATGCCTCGGTTGTTGACGAATACCGTGCATGAACCCCAATTTAACAAATCAAATCTATCTAAAGTTATCGACCACTCCTATATGGACCGGCTTCTTACATTAAGTTGCAACTCACAGGGTGTCAGAGCACTTCTAAACAGTATATTTTCGACCCTGAAGTAGCCTGTAATGATTGTGGAGCTTGGATCCAAGGCACATTCGCCTTCTTTGACTCAGAAAATGCCACTGATCCCCGTCTACGGCTTCACACGCTGATGGAGAGAGATCGGGGACTAGCGGGTCTCTGGCTTGGAGCATCTATTACAGGTACTGCAGCTCGACGAATGCAAGAAGCTCCAGCAGCCTGGTGGAAAGCTGATCTCAGTGCTGCTGCCTGGACTAGCTCCTATGTATCATTTATTCCAGATCCTGTTTCGAAATCTGTTACCGATACCAAAGATATATCGAGAACAGATGAGTGTCGCTTGATGTATCTTTCTCATGAACCGAGATACTCTCTCCTTTTCCCCTTTGCCCCATTCGGTTGTACGGCTCTAGAAGATACTAACTTAGAAGTTCGTCAACATGCAGAATGTCCAGCAATCCACCACCTCCGATACGATGGATTTAGTTGGAACTGTGATAATGGTAGGAAGCACAAGCAAAGCGTTTCGAGTACGGCAGCTATAGCAGCCCGGTCGAAAGCTGGCCTTCCTTTTGGGTGGAGCGGTGGCACTGAAGTTAATTACGATCCTATCGACTTTGAAGATGATGTATCCGAAGCAATAACTAGGAACATGTTTGATTGGCTTCGAGGTACCGATGGCTTCCCTGTGGCAGAGCGTGCGATTCGGCAGCGTGAATGGATCGACAACCTGGATTCTGACGATGATAGTCCAATAGGCCCAATAGAGGGCGACGCCAAAACAACACTGGGAACGAATCTTCGCAGTTGGTTCTGGGGTATATCAGATACTAGAGCTAATTCGTTTTAGTACTAATAAGGCTCTTTACTTACTACTCTATAAGCCTATAGAGGAAGACTGGAGAAAATTACTCAAAAATATAGCGTTTTAGGTGAATTAGTATCGTGTAAAGCTTTTACAATATTTTATATATGTGTTCTGTTGCAGTGGCATTGCTGAGTTGAACAAGTGCAGTTGGGTTAGTGGTGTTCGGTGGATATATTCTGCCCGAGTGGCGCTATAGTGGCAGCGCATATCTTTTTTTCTGGCGGGTCGCCCCAGGCCATTGGACTCTGCATCTACCATCATCCAAAATGCATCCTCATCTACACACAAAGAACGCCATTGGTAGGACTATACATGTGCTCAAATCAATTTGGTCCGCTAACATGGAATCTATAGCGTGCGAAGAAATCATTGCGGCCCTTGAGGCATGCCACAACCAAGGCTTCATGCACAAGGCGACTGGCGGCTGCAATGACATTAAGGAGAAGGTCAACCAATGCCTGCGCGCCGAGCGAACGAAAATCCAATCCGAAAACAGAGCGAAAGCCAAGGAAAGGCGTGATAGAATCAAGCGCCAGCAAGAGGAGGCCGGTTTCTGAACATCTCCGACCAAAGCCTGCGACGGGACGTCACGCCATGAGACAATCGAGCGAGGCCGTCCGAAGGCATGTACAATACAAAATGCATTTAGTCTACGAAATACTCTGGAGTTTAGGATTTGATTTGGATAGCAACGGTTAGTATTATTATATGGGAATCGGCCACTGGTGCGATCTTGAAGCGTTGGTATTGCGCAGAAACGTCCCTAGTTCTATTTGCTGGGGAATATATTACACTCTAAACTCATGAAATTATTGTTTACAGCTGGTTCTTGTAGGCCTTGCCATAAGTGAACATGCCAAAGGTCGAAATAATGCTGAGAACAATAGGCACGGGCTTCTTGAGGCGGATGGCGCGGGGAATCGCAGAGCCACCAAGGACAATAGATGCCAACAAGCTGAGCTCTACACCGTAAGGCTCGCGGTTCTGGATTCTGTAACCTCCAATACCGTCTGTTGCAATGTTTTGGTTAGCACATTCTGTAGCAAATAGGGAGAAACGGATAGGTCGGCAGGATAGCTTACAGAGGATACCGACGGCTGAGCCGGCAATAATAGAGGGAAGAGACTTGGTGCGGGCATATCCCATGATACCGCCGCCGGCAGTAAGAGTCGCAAGGACATAGGAAATAGTATCGAGGTTGGCAGACTGTGCCGATGAGACCATGATGTCAGCGCGTATTCAAGCAAGAGCACCAGCGCGCCGTACGGGTATGGGCTGCTGCCGGTAGACCACTTACCATGGTGACGGTGATGAATTCGTAGAATGTGTCAAATTTCAATTGATGTCAAATTTAGAACCGGGCGATTTGCTGGCTTTTATTTGCCGAGCAGCTTGTTTGGTTAAAGCGGCAGAGCTGCTTGGGGCGATGGGTGCGGCGGTGGGGGTGACCTTCGTCTAGCCGGCCCCAGATCAGAACAGGCGCAGGGAAACCAGCCAATGACAGGCTGCCAATCCGTTGGAGCCTTCGTGTCCGCTCCAGAGAGACGCTTCCCTTGCGCAACCTGGCGAATCTCCTGAACATCATTCAGCACAATTCAACCACCACAATCGCCATTTAGCAAACAATTGTTCTCGACACAATACACAATGGCGCCCAAGAAGAATGCTCGCGAATCCACGCCGTCGGCTGCCGCATCGCCCGTCACCAAGGCCTCGCCCGTCGTCAAGTCCGCGCCCGTCTCCCCGAAACCCAGCGCTGGCGCTGCCTCCTGGGACGTTGTCCTCCAGAACATTTACAACCATTACATCAACGAGACTACACAGCGCACGAAGCTCATTGATGCCTTCCTGGTCTTCCTTGTTACCGTCGGCGCCCTTCAGTTCCTCTACTGCGTTCTTGCAGGCAACTATGTACGTCTTCAGAGAGACTGCAGAGACATCTGGTTTACTAACAGCTCAAATATAGCCTTTCAACGCTTTCCTTTCCGGCTTCTCTGCTACAGTAGGACAGTTTGTTCTTGCTGGTAAGTATCCTGGATACTGCTGTCTCGTCCAAAGCTAATCTGAACATCTAGTCTCCCTCCGCGTACAAACCAACGATACCAAGTCCGAGTTCCCATCTGTCTCCCCGGAAAGGTACGCATTACGACCCATATCCCGACGCTAACTTCCATTTCAGAGCCTAATCTAACCGTTTCTTACAGAGCCTTTGCCGATTTCGTCGTCTGCAGTCTTATCCTGCACGTCTTCTGCATCAACTTCATCAACTAGATGGCAAAACTTGGGGAGCAATACAGGGCCTTGTACAATATAAAAATACTACTGACTGACTATGGGACAAGTCAAATAGACACTGAAAATAAAGTAAAATTAAAAATATGTATGAACAATCTACCAAGAACTCCGCGTGATATACATTGGTCACAACTACGATGACGTTTCGCCAGCCTTGGGAGGACCCTTAGGAGGAGGTGCAACTCCGTTGGCAGGACTCTGTGTCTGGGGGACATGGTCCAGTTCGCGACTCTTGGCCTCTTCTTCCTTGAAATAATCATCCATGAGGTTGTTGTTTTTAGGCACAGTGCGGTCCTTCTTTTTGCCTCCCTTGGGGGGACCATCCGCCACGACGACGCCAGAGTTCACCATCTGCGCTGGAACGACGTAGCTACTTTCTGTGGATAGCATCCCGCTGTCTTCCGGTGCATTAAGGATGAATTCAGTCTTCTCGTTCATGGCGCCATCAAACATCGTCTCTCCTGGGGCATTGACTGGTTCGCTCAGCGGCGCAGGTAGTCTATGAAGAGCACCGTAACCGAGTGTGCAGCCAATGGCACCTTGGCCTCCCCATCCGCGGCTGGGAGTTATTGTAATCTCTCTTGTTACATCTTGTTCGTTGTTGTATACGTATAATCTCAGCGGTCGGCCGATGTAGTCTTCGACGATTTCGCCCAGAGCTCCCTCACCACGGAGGGTCCCTTCAGGGCTTCCGATAATGTAGTCGCTATAGGGGAGAAGACCGCCTAGGTCAGCTGGCGAGTTGGCTGGGACGTCAAGCACATGCCAGATGTTTGTAGCAACGGAGATTGGAGCGTATTGTAGCGATAAGCCAAGGGATGCTGTGTCGGCGGGTACTGGGACGTGCATTTCTCGTGTGCGTTGGCCCTGATGCGAGGTTAGAAACTACCGGTGCAGTTGATCCATGGCTATTAGCTTACCTTTGCGTTCCATAATCCAAGCGATACGCTGCCGCCAGCGCAGTTTCTGATTTCCATTGCGAACAAGCTAGGGTCCGGGTTCTCCTGTTTGGCCAGTTAGCACCGCCGCACCAGAGAGCGATTCTGGGGCTTCATACGATAGGTCTGCCATTGATTCCAACGATAAAGTCAAACCAGGGCTCAATTGGTAACTGTAAGGTTGTATTTCGTAGTACTTGGAAGCCAAACGATCCTTGTTCTTGGTTTCGTTGCGGGGTGTCGCCGTCGAGACGGGACATGAAGCGGTTGAGCGCGTTGAACATTGCGGCGGTATGTTCGTACGGACGGTATTTATTGTTGTTAAATATTAATCTATATGACCGTCTTTTGGTATTTGCAGCTTGTTGGCCAATCTTTGGTGATTGCTCGTGGCGTGGTCGTCGACAAGTCCAAGCTGGGAACAGGCCAGCAAGCTGTCTCCAAGATCCCGTGGCGGCGCGCCAAGCTCCACAGTTGACGTTCTCTGCATCAACACCGCCAAACGCAGGCTCTGCATCAGAAGGCAGCCGCCAGCAATATCGATATTAGAGATGTACAAAATACTCTGAAAATATTCCAACCTACTTTATTTAACGTTTGTTTGAAAGAACCTCCGGCAGAGGGCAAATCATAAGCCAAAATGGAACCAGCACCGAGGTTGGAGCTCACTGATGCCTGCCATCACTATGAAGGCCGCCACGAAGTTCCATGGGACATTCAAAAGTACGTTAAATGGGATCATGGACGAATAAGAGGTACGCTACTCACATCATCAAAGGTACTTTTCACAGCGATACTCTATATTTTCCATGTACGACGAAGGAGTGTACATGACCGACGACGCTTGGTTTGGCGTAACGCCAGAACCAATTGCCGTGTAAGTATATATCCACATACTATAAGAGAGAAATCAAGTTAACGACAGACGTAGTACAATTGCGACAGAGCTTATTGATACCCCAAAAAGATTCAAAGTCTTGATCGATCTGTTTGCAGGCGCTGGCGGCAACTCCATATCCTTCGCAATGAGCGAACGATGGGATCGGGTAATTGCTATTGAGAAAGATGCCGCGACGTTAGCGTGTGCTCAAAATAACGCTGCAGTGTACGGAGTCGACCCGTCCAGCATCACATGGGTTCATGGGGATAGTTTCGAGTTTCTGGACAAGGTGTTCAACAACCAGGACGAGCTACACGAGGACTTGAGAGTTAATCTCGATGAGACAATGCTATTTGCTAGCCCTCCATGGGGCGGTCCGGGTTATTCCACTGATAAGATATTTGATTTGACGCAGATGCAGCCGTACAACTTGGAACAGCTACATGGCGCATACAAAGAGCTCGACCACCTACTTTTCCTACCGAGGACTAGCGATTTGCGTCAGCTGGCGAAGCTGGCACCGCCTGGAGAAAAGGTAGAAGTCGTACAATACTGCATGGAGGGTGCCAGCAAAGCACTTGGTGCTTATATTCCAGGTCTGCGGAATAAGGCCAAGGCATGAATTGGTCAGGCCGCCGACGACCAGCATCACTGCCCGCCGATGTATAGTCGAAGGACCCTTATCAACATATAATGATTAACGTGTATCAAATATATATCCTCATGATTGTTTTAAGCTACTATTGTCTGTATTTGCTGTAAGTGACGTCGGTGCTCAGAGTCCCACTTAAGAGGGGTGTCGTCCATTTTGTTTGGCCAAGAGTAGTTCTTGATCTTGCGACCACACTTTAACCACTCCAAGTCGAAGAATTGAGACGGCCTCTGTGTTCCACATTTATAATTCATTATAATGGGAGCAAAAGATAAGAAAAAGGGCACCGAAGCCAAAAAGGCTCGCAAGGTAAGCTTCCCCCGCCAGCAAATCGCACTCAACTACGTCAGCGGGGTAGCAAATAGCTAATGGGAAAAAATTGTCCAACAGGCTGAAAAGGCAGCAAAGCAAGCCAGCAAGGGCGAGAAAAAGGCCAAAACAAAGACAGCCAAGATCGAGGGCAGTGACGCCGAAGATGTCGACCTGGACGAAGTGCTAGAGGAATATCGCCGTCAGCAGGAACAGTTCCTCAAGGTGACAGAGACGGTCTGCGAAACTATCCCTCGACCAAGAGCTTCTTCGGCCTTTATTGCCTCCCCGACAGATACAAATAACCTTCTTCTCTTTGGAGGCGAATACTTTAACGGCTCGCTCGCCCAGTTCTTTAACGACTTGCTCATCTACAACATTTCTCGTGACGAGTGGCGAAGCGTCACGTCTCCCAACGCACCATTGCCTAGATCCGGCCACGCATGGACGAGAGCTTCCAACCCGAACCATGTATATCTCTTTGGTGGCGAGTTCTCATCCCCTAAGCAAGGTACCTTCCACCATTACTCAGACTTTTGGAGACTGGAACCTGCGACTCGTGAATGGACCAAGATTGAAGTCAAGGGCAAGGACAAGAGCCCGTCGGCAAGAAGTGGACACCGAATGACATACTGGAAACAATACATTATCCTGTTCGGCGGATTCCAGGATACTTCTAACCAGACAAAGTATCTTGCTGATCTTTGGATCTTTGACACTGTCAACTTTGTGTGGCATTCACCTGCGTTGCCCCCAGCACAGCTAAAGCCAGACGCTCGCTCTTCTTTTACCTTTTTGCCGACTGAGGATGGCGCCGTTCTCTACGGTGGATACTCCAGAGTCAAGACAACAGTAACCCTGAAGAAGAAGGCCTCGAAAGGACAATCAAGTGCTGGTCAGAAAAATGTTCTTATTCCCAAGGTCCATGAGGACTCTTTCTTTCTCAAACTCGTTCAGCCGGCATCGGATGCAGGCCCCAACACACCACCATCGGTCCGATGGGAGAAGCGAAAGAAGCCTGCTAATACACCAGCACCAACACGTGCCGGAGCTACCATGACCTGGCACAAGGGTCGTGGCATTCTCTTTGGTGGCGTTCACGACGTTGAGCAGAGCGAAGAGGGAATGGAGAGTGAGTTCTTCAACCAAATGTTTGCTTGGAATATCGAGCGAAACAGATTCATGCCCTTGCCTCTGCGCAAGGCCCGCCAGCAGCAGAAGAGGGCACCTGCTGAACAGCGTGTAAATCGCCGTGCACGTGGCCAAGCAAACGAGGAAGAGCTTCTGCGACAGCTTGCTGCTCTAGAGACGGGAGCCTCACTGGACGATCTAGACGGCATTGAGCTAGAAAAGAAAGAGGAAGAGGCTGAAGATGCCGAACCAGTTCGCGAGATGCCTGTTACTATGGAGATGCCTCACATGCGCTTCAATGCGCAGCTTGCTGTCCAAAACGATGTGTTGTACATTTACGGTGGCACGTATGAAAAGTCTGACCGAGAGTTTACGTTTGATGACTTGTATGCCATTGACCTCGTGAAGCTCGATGGCTGCAAGGAAATCTTTAACAAGCCTGTCGAGGACTGGGTGGTATGTATTGTGGTTTACGAAATTACTTATCTGATACTAATAAGCTCTGTAGGAATCCGAGGATGAAGACGATGATGAGGACGACGAATACGACGATGAAGACGACGACGATGATGATGATGAGGACGAGGACGAAGAAGACGACCGGCCTCAGAAATTCACTCCTAGCAAACGTGGAAAGAAACAAGAGGATTCTGCGGATGCCTCTGCTGAAGCCGCCGCGGCGCCTGTTGTGGAAGAAGAGGAAACCGAGGCGAGCGAGACTGTTGATGACGGTCTGCCTCATCCTAGAGTATGTTTAACGCACAAATCATCTATCATTCCATTTTTACTAATCGTTTCGATTAGCCTTTTGAATCTCGTCGCGACTTCTTTGTTCGCACGTCTTCTGAGTGGCAGGAGATTCTCATGACGAACCTGCGCTGGAAGAACATCCAGCCAGAGACGCTGACCGTAAAGGAAATCAAGACCAAGGCGTTTGAACTGAGTGAAGAGAAGTGGTGGGACTGCCGCGAGGAGATCACGGCCTTGGAAGAGGAGCAAGAGGCTGCTGGTATCCAAGAGGTTGTCAGCCTGGCTGAGCGAGGCGATGCCGGCGCTGGAGGAGCCAGGAGACGCTAGAGAAGCACTATATATCCATAAATTTATGCATAGCAAACTGGTTCAACTTCTTTGGATTTCACCGATCTGTCTGTCTCTATTCTCGTCATCATCATGATCTTCGTCGTAACTGTCGTTCTAATCCCTCCCCAGCTCTACCTAATACATGAATCGTCTACCCTTTCTGTAACACCACAAACTCCTCAATATAACCACCAAACGCCATCGCTACACCCCAACTGTACAAAATAATCAACCAATCACTTCAACGGTTCCTCTACGACGCCTGTAGGTGACCACCCAGCCTTCTTGCCCCTCATCCAGAGCACTGCATCCGCTGCCTTGCCAATCAGTCACGCAGGAGACTTGGCCATGGGAGGGTACTCTTTGCCGCCGCTCTCAAACTTGGGCTCACAGGAGCAGCGGTCATTGGCAGCAACAGAGTCCATTACTGAGGGCACATGGCTGCCGCATCCCCACCAGGTGGTTTTCTCTATCAGCGGAGGTTAGCATCGACAGAAACGGAGAATTGGGTTGGAGATGTGTGTATGTCATACTGCAAGTATCGCAAGTAGCCTTTCTACACATTTCTACTGTGTTTTGAAGCGCGTGGTCTGGATCTTAGAAAGTGTATAAGGATGATATGAATCAATGGGAGAGTGTAGAATGCAAGTGGCGAGATGCAAGAAACGTCAAAAACGTCAAGCGGAGTCGAGCGGAGTTACCCACTCGCCGTTGCTACAAACGCTAATAAACCAACTACACGATATATTGTAAATACTTTCTCAATTTAGCATTTGAAGTTGTTATATATATTATGTGTTCTATGCATATTTAGTGTGTATATATGATGGCAGAATTAAAAAAAAAGGAAAAAATCTCCAAAAACGTGTGTGGTGTAATGTATTCCCAATCTTGTGCTCAAGTACACCATAGCATGCAGACTTGTCGTCGACAAAATACACATGGCATCATTATTTACGCATATTTCTTCCCCAGATTATTGTCGCTTGCTAATCTCGCTCTCGGCAATGGCACGAATCAAGTTACGCGCCACTTCGCGGCCGCGCTCGACCGAAGTTTCGGACGCATCGGCGGGCACATGCAGGAAGACGACCTTGCGGGGGCGGTTCTGCTTAAGAAGCAGCGCTTGGCTGGAGTAGTAGATGAAGTCGCAGAGGTAGTGGCCGGCGTCTTCGGAGATGCGGAGATCGAAGTCCATCTAAGTCACAGTCTGTTAGCACACAAACGTCCATGTATCACGCGGCGACAGAATATACCGGGCTGTTGCCCTGCCATCTCATGTGAATATCCTCAATATCGAGCTCGGACAAGAGCTCGTCAGGAAGCCCGTGCCAGATCCAATTCTCATCGAGCTTGCCCTCGGTCTCATCCTTTAGGAGCAGGCCATCGACATCCTTCTTGTCGTATCCGGTGCGGTGGGCTCTGCGCTCAATTTTATACTGGAGCTCGGGTCCAGCCATGCCAATGTGAATAGCCGCGTCAATCTTGTGGCCCATGTACTCGTTGCCGTCCCAGAACTTGGGCGTCAGACTGCGTACGTTATCGTAGCCAACATGGATGGCCTCGGGGTGGACAAGAATGCGCACGGGAGGCAGGTCGACGGCGAATCGCGATTTGGGCACCTTGGCAGACACGGTGGGGAGATACTCGGGAAGACCCTTTGCAATCTCCCACGATGGATTGACGGGATACTGCTCGCGGAATGGCTGATGATGATGTCAGCGCACAGTTTGGGGTTTGAGGCGGCCGCAGGTACTTACGCCAAAGCCCGTGACGAGGATGGTGAATTCCTCCTTGTTATCTGTTTGTGAGCCCATGTTTGGCGAAAATGGAGATTGATTTGTTTGTGTTTGGTATATATTGGAAATGTTGGAGAGAAAGAATGGAGGCTTGGGGGAAACGTGGGGAATTTTGGAGGGGTTCTGGAGAGGGGAGCGGCGGCGCAAGACCGCCTGCGTGCCCAATCGCGGGGCACTAACAAGACCCACCACCGCCCAAGGCATGTATTGTCTTCTGCCACCTGTGTAGACACTCCCTCTATTTTTATTTATTTTTGCTCTCTAACGACAAGGTCTCCGGGGAAAATACTTAGGGAGATTGTCAATGATGGATTATACTTTGCATCTACAGGCCATTCCACTGGGCACACATCTACAAGCAAGGGAAAATGGAGAATCCCAAAACTGACAAGAAAGTGAACTGAAGTGTGGTATGAATGTATTACAAGCTCCATATTAAAACACAACTTGCTGTGTGCATTTGTTAATCAACCTACGAGGCAAAGGCTATCTTCACTCCATTTTAGCATTTATCACGAAGACAAAACCGTACTATTTGTCTAATCATAAGCTCGCTTGGGTAGAGAAGGTGGCAGTCTCGTCGGGACCACTCTCTCGCTTCACCAACAAACATCTGCAAATAACATGGCACAATTTCTTTCAGCATTAGCACCGCTTGAGCTCCTTATTGAGATACTAGAATTGAGCGAGACACCAGCTGACGTACTCAACTCTGCTCTCACCTGTCGGCGCATGCGAGATGCTTGGAGCACAGGACAGGCTGGGCTTCGAGTAACCTGGACGCTGCTCCAACGCGATATTCTGGCTGCTGAGCTAGCCCTGATCACCGTCAGCACTAGCTCTCTTATTACTATATGAGTGCTGCTAACATTGCCCATGGTAATAGGTCCGTGCCAGCAAGCTTACAGCTGGCGAGCTGGCAAATCGCCAACTCTCACACACCAAAGTTCCGCTATCCGAATTGGGCAGCGACTCTCGCGGGCCTAATGGATCGGAGCTGAAGGCTGTGCGCCGTCTACACACCTTAGTTGTCTCCTTCGAAACTCGATTCTACAGAAATAGCTACTTTTACCATGGGTCCGACAGTCAAACAAACAACCCACCGGAAGCTGCTGAATTCAAGGATCAATGGACATGTAGCTTGCACCGTGGCCTATATCGCAGCTTCATTGTATCTGTCAATCTATTGAGCGTCTACTTTGAACCGTATTTAGCTACTGCGGCAAGCACTGAACCAGAGATACAGCAGTTGGGCGACGTCGACGCGCCATCGGAGGCCCAGTGGGCATTTCTGCGTCGGTTTGCTCCCTATAATCACAAATTGGATGCAGACGCGGATCATGCGGCGTTTGGGCGACTGGCCGATACCGAGCTGCGAGCTCATATGAAACAGATCTTTGATCTTACTATGGGTCGCGCTAAGAGTTGCGATGGTAGACGCAGACTTCATCTGGAATGTGAAGATGAAGACGAGCTTGCGCTGGAGACAGGGCCATGTCCCGTACAGCTGAGCGGATACAGCCATGCAGACGCCCATAGCGTTGCTTTGGAAGTTATGCAAATGCTTTGGGCTTCTGGTAACAAGAAAACTAGGCTTTTGTTTGATCATGAGGATCCAGACACGGAGTTGTCCGTTGGTTCCAATGGTAGCTTTACACCAGGGCTATGCAAGGAAGAAAACATACCATGCAATGATGACGCAGTCAGCATTGGCCTTGCTGCAACGTACTGGCCGAGGCTATGAAAACACTCGGCGCTCTGAGGACGAAAATATTCACCCACTTCCATTCGCGTATAAGTCCTTTTACATCCGTTATTGTTTGATGAATATGGCAGTAGTGACTTTGACAATTGGGATGCATTTCTCAGAAACCTCAGCATCTTTGCCTCGGACGAGGTTCCAGACCGCAACCCCTATTATCCCGGTGGAGGCAAATTTGACTTGGCTGGCTTTCTTGATGGTGCGGATTTGCTTGTGGATTCTGGGCCACTTCGAGCTCAACTCGCTCAGCTTGATGAGATCAGCGATTCTGATTTAGACTAGAGGAAAACGAGAACAGATAGATATAACAAGTCTTATATCGTAAAATTCTAAATATTCCACTAAGTTATACAAAGCATAAATACTTGCTTATTCTAATCTATAATAAGTAAGCAAAAGTTACAAGTAAACTCGCTTTTCTAGTCAATATTTCAAGTATTCTTTTAATAAGTTTTTCTATTAATATTTGTAGAATATTAACTTATATATAATATAAATACTTTATATGTAAGTTATTGAGTTTTTAGATAACTATTACACGTAAAGTTTATGTAAATATATATTTGGAATGCGTTTGTTGAAATATGGACTACTTGTAACTTTGCCTACCTATCGTATCTCTAGAAGTCTCTTTATAAGTGTTGTCACGACTACTATGAAAGACAACCAACAGTCAACAAGCAAACAAGGCGATTACAAATGCCCAAAAATAAATTACACTCTACTTCTACAGCAGTCTCTAATATTACAAATTATTTCCACCGTATTTATTTCCTTCTCGCTAACTACTCCGCCACACGGCGCCGGCCACCGGCGACCATTCCCACTCTGGAAGCCCCGCGTCCGGAGCGGAGCTGGCCAAAGCGGAGTGGCCGCCTCCAGCCCACGTTGGCGTTGGCGTTTGACCCATCCTCAGCTCCGAATCCTTTTTTTATTGTTGTGTTGATAATCAACCATTCAGACTGTTTCGTTTCGATCGACGTCTTTCTTTCTTCTTCTTTCTTTCTTTGTTATAAAATAGAGCACATCACCCCGTCGGTATCCGTCGTCTTGCATCGCCATTTCACGCCTTGATATAACCACCAGCTTCAGCGCCCTTCACATCACATTACAACACCGGTAACCATGGGTTCGCAACCAGACTACACACATCCTCCGCAGCAAGTCTCCTTTGACGGATTCCTCTTCGACATGGACGGCACCATTATCGATTCTACGCCTGCCATTGTCAAGCACTGGCACAAGTAATAGCCTCCCCGCGCCGCCTCTTCCACTCAACACACCCACTAATAACGTCATAGAATCGGCAATGAAATCGGTGTTCCGGCCGAAACCATCCTCAAGACCTCTCATGGTCGCCGAAGTGTCGATGTCCTCAAGATTCTCGCCCCCGAAAAGGCAAACTGGGAGTGTTCGTCCCTCGTACCTCGTCGCTTGAGGCCGTTCTTAATTACTAACTCTTCCGCATTTAGACGTTTGCCGCTTAGAAGGCGAAATCCCAATCCTATATGGCGACGATGCTACAGAAATCCCCGGTGCCCGCTGTCTTCTCGACGCACTGATTGAAAAGTCTAGCCCCTGGGCCATTGTCACATCCGGCACAAAGCCCCTCGTTACAGGCTGGCTCAACGTGCTCAAGCTCGCCAAACCAGAACACCTCGTCACTGCGGAGTCCGTTGAGAATGGCAAGCCGGATCCTACTTGCTACATCATGGGTCTGGAGAAGCTCGGTCTTACAGACAAAGCTGCCGATGTACTTGTTCTCGAAGACAGCCCAGCTGGTATCAGAGCAGGCAAGGCAGCTGGCTGCAAAGTCATTGGCCTTGTCACAAGTCACACTGTTGAGCAGGTCGTAGAAGCTGGCCCTGATTGGGTAGTTAAGGACCTCGATTCAGTCAAGGTCATTGCTGCCGAAGGTGGCAAGACAACGTTGGAGATTAGCAACGCCCTGCGCGTATAAAGCGGGAACGGCATCTTTCCTATTCTTTGTTTTTCAGTTTGTTCTTAAAGCTACAGGTTGCACAACAGCATATCATAGATCATACATATTAAGAGGGTAGGGCAACCATGGCCCTCCCACACGCTTCAATAGACTCACTTAGCGTACTAACAAAGGGTTGGTGTCATGTGGTGTTTGAAGGTGTATCGCACCATCCTTTTTTTCTGCATATTAATTTCCGACTTTTGCTCCTTTAGTATCCCTTGCACCGTCTCCATCGTAAACAAATCTTTGCTGCGAAACGCCATCGATCCTTGATGGTCTTCAACGCGTCTGTCATCCCTGCTCTCCCTTGCGCCGGCCAGCCCTAGATATCCTCTCCCTCGACAACCAGCAAAGCCGCTCAACAAGATTACCATTAACCTCATGTGACGTCCTACATTGACACTAAAATCAGATTTAGCGTCTCCCTAAGGCTAATTCGTTGTTCGTTGTCGTGTTCATCTGAAACAGCAGCGCAGCCTGAGATCAGCAGCTCGGACGATGCAGCTCTTTAATGACGCGTTCTTTCGCTGGTAGGACCGCGTAACGATGGAAATTAATTCTATCTTCAAGCGCTAGATCAGCTCTATGTTCAGCTGGAGCCTCCCTGGTTGTTCTGTCGACCAGTTTCTATTCCCACACCTTCGTTGACAAGGGTAATCGTGCGTGCATGATGCTGCCGAACTTGTCCAGCCGACGTCACACGACTTGTAAGAACCACCGGTGTAGTTGTCCGATTGTGGACTCTATACAGTCCATACACAGTAGGCAGAGAATCTGCGTGTACCTCTCCTTCCAGATGGTCCTGTGCCCACTCGTTCCCGCTGTAGTACCGTGTTATACAACGTGCCAATCTCCGACGATGTGCAGCGGGACAAGGTAATCATTTATCCTTGGGTGCAGAATTTCACCGTAAACAGAATTAAAGGACGAGCAAAGCTTAAAGTATACTTATCAACTATTAATTTTCTTATTTTTACAATATTAATACCGCTCGTGTTATTACTTTATTTATATAAGCTCATAGACACTAGCGCTGATATATTGTTAACTTATACAAGTTCAATACTCTAGAAGGCCTAATCTCTGTTTGCTCGTTCAGTTGTAACAACACTGACAATGCCTGGTAAATGTAGGTTTCTAGACTATATAAACAGCAGTCTTCTATATAATTGGCGACAAATTGTTAGAGCTGATGTTTTCAACACACGTGCTGTAGATAGTAACTGTATTACAGTAATTCAAAGCTTAGATTGAGAAAACAAACGAGAGTATATATTGAGAAATAAAATAAAAAAGTATAGAATCTTAACTCGTATCTATTAATACACTGAGTGTAAATATGTATCCTCATATAATCTATCCAACGCTGCCGTGGTTCGTTAGGCAAATTCGTCGTCTGCCTCCTCGATGCTGTCCTTAATCCGCCCTAGCAGCGTCACCTTCCACTTGTCGAGTTTGTTGATCTGGTCGAACTGGAACAGTTCATCTGCAAACTGCTCCTGGCTCTTAGCTTCTACTCCCTCGCTGAGATCCACCAGCAGCAAATACTCGCGCTGTGTGCTGACTTGAGTGTCCATCGCCGTGTACTTTGTTAAAGCGCGCTGCATTGCTACCGAATCAGCTGTTGCTAGATTGCAGATACCTGCCTTGAGGAGGTAATCCTTGACATTGTAGCGCATCAAGTTGTTGTTGTTGACCGAGATCTGAGCGACCCTTTCGTAGTTCTCGACGGCTCGATAGTAGTCGCCCTCGATTGCCGCAGCGTCAGCAACCTTGACCCACAGCTTGTTGGCCAGTCTGTACTCTTCTATTAATGACCAAATCAATCCGTTGACTTACGCGCTTGCGCCGTCACCTTTATACCAGTTGGCAGCATCTTGGTAAGCCTCCGGAGCGGCCTTGTTGTCGCCACTCTCCTCACTATACTTCTACGTTTGTTGGTCGTTGATGCAGACCAGCAACGGCCCAAGCTAGAGAACGGTACGTTTTTCATTTCCATGGTTGCCCGAGCCTAGGAAGTTGTGACGCCACGACAACCCGTTACGTCAAACGCCTGAAGAGCCTCACAAGCTTCATTCTGTAGCGGATGCCTGGTACTAAGGTAACCAGACATTGTTTTAACGTTCGAGTTCTGTGCGCATAGGTCTGCTGATACGTATAATTTGTTAGAAAGCGCCTGTTACATCTGGTAAGGTTCCCTGATAAGTGTGATTTACATTGTCTGTTCGGCACTCCTGCTAATAGACTCTACCATGAGCTCTGTTACCTCCCATGTCTTGTCGCGCTCCGGTAGCCAAATGATTATGCAGACAAAGATAACCTCAAGGCCACGTTTTAGAGCTGGCTATGCTTCATTGGTGTATGGCATGGAGTCGTCATAATTGTTATGTAGCCACTATGGACGATTCAGGACCGGTCGAATAAGATATTAGGGAGGAGACAATCTTCGGAGACGTTCTTGGGAGAATTGTATGACGAGGGTATCTAGCAGGATACTATAAGCAGCCGAAACGCGCAAAGTAAACGTAGAATCCGAGGAAGATAGCTGCAAGAAATTCTTCAATAGGAATCAAGAAATCACATTGTGATTAATGTCAAGCCAGCCAGATAGGGATAATCATCTTGACTGTCCGCTGTTCTCTCTGTCGTGCCGGGCTCACTCCCTGTGCACGGTGACAGTATGTGGGCGTTATGCATTCCCCCTTATTTTGACTTTCCCTCAGTGTTGTTCTAGCCTCCAAAAGAAACACATGTTACATAGTAGCTGGTCAATCGTGCAACTGGGCTTGCTGCACGTTCCAATATAACAGCGGGTGAACCCGCGCAAGGGGGCTCCAAAAGACTCCCTGAGCGGCCCTCGCAGACAACTTCCATAAGGGCTACTTTCTGTAAGCGGTAATGGCGAACGCCGTCAATGGATCTCTCCCGAATTGGGCACTGCATGTAATGCGTAAGAGGCTCGCCCCATTTCTAATCCGTGGCACAAAGTGGTTGCGAGGCTTTATCTCGAGAGCTCGGTGTGCTCTCCGACGCTACCACCAACATCTCCGGTTGTCTTAATCAGTGAACACACAAATTCAACTTGGTTAGTGGAGTGCCCATGCCATGAAGTCCAACAGTTATCGTTGGCCGTGGTTGTCTGCTATTATCCAGGCGAGCAAAACAGGCTAATGCTTCGTATTTTCCACACCAATCAAGCAGGCCCTTGTTCTTTGACTACGTAGTAGCCGACTAATCAGAAAACCAGACGATTGAAAGACAAAAGCGGAGCTGGACGACCAGTCGCAGGCAGCCGTCAGCGATGAATTGACTCGCGCAAAAGGGCTAAACAGCAACGGTTGTAGAGCGCCAGTTCCGCTGCCTTGGGGGGCATATTCCGCGGCCTCCTATGGCGGAGCGCGTCGTGACAACCAGAGTAAAAAACCAGCGATCCAAGACAGTGGTTCTAGGCCAAAGGAACCGTGACCCCCCAGGCAGCCGTCAAAACCCAGGACAACGCAGCGAATGCTTGTCCTTCTGAGATGCTGCAGTACAGCCGTGCATTGCCTACAGCAGATCTCAGTGTCTGCTCTGTTCGCTTGTTGGCGACATTTGATTCGCTGTGTAAAGGCTGTGGCTTGCAAGCCCAGCTTCGTTCCGCCCCTGTCGTTGGTGACTTCTTGCACGAAAAGCATGCAAAGGGGTGGCTTTTTATTACCGGACTGCTTTACACCGAACTGGGCGCTTTGAGAAAGTAAATAAACTGAGGTGATAGATACAAGTTTTTTGAACTTTGCGCTACAGGCTCATATACACGACTTTGCTCCAGCTGTACTGTTGACGACAAACTCCGTCTAGCTGTTGATTTAGGCAGAGGTGCCTTATATGGGCACGGGGTTACACGCTATATCCACGTTAAGTCGTTGTCGAGTCGGCTGCTGTTTTTTGGCTGGCAGCGTGAGATTGGTGGCTTAAGAATTTGTCTGTTGGAGTCCCAATTTAGACTGCTTCTCTCAAGTATTTGTCAACCCCCAGGATTGGAGAGATGTGACCAGATAAAGCCGCACCTATGTCGGAAGGTACCCGAGTGAACGTTTGCGATTTTTGGCCCCCAACCACCCACCTAAAGCCCCTGGCTTCCAGCATTTCAGGTGGGAACACGCGCTAAGGATTTCCACCCAACACAAGTAGAAAGTGTCTCTGAGGCTGGGTTAACCATGAAGCCACCAGCGGGCCGCTCTACGCAATGACCACTGAACTCTGCATTTTACTGGACGAGGGTGCCAGTGCCGAGGTCGCAGCACCTAGAGAGAAACACAGAAAGGTTAGCGGACCTCGCTATCCTTGGGCGTGGCCGCCCAATATTCCAGCTCTGGTTGGTTAGAAGTCCAAATTAAAGATACAATATTCAAATCGCTCTTGCCGTGGAGTCTCACCTTGTCCCATGTTCCAGGCTCTGAAAAGTTGTAGCTCGAACGATGTTTGGAAACAAGGTAAACCCTTTACGACGCACTGGTACACAGTACTGGAGTAGGTGATGTCGCCCACACGCTCCACACGTTTTGCCCCTGCACCTTAGCACGCTTGCAGGGCATCGAACATCCCCTTGCGATGTACGAAATACGTACATGCACACCTTACAACATCGGTGCAGCTCCGGGCATGCTGTAATCCAGGACTCCGTTGACACTAAGCTCTGGACTAGTCGGAGAATATCCAAGGGTTGCCTGGCGCCACGGAAGACGTGGATTTCGCCGCACCGTGGCCGACAACAGCCTCTTAGTCAAGCACCAGGCCAGCCGCCTTGTACACCCGTCATGTACCAAGCATGCGTAACGATTGTGGGTTTGTTAGCATTGGCTGTAGCGTCCCAGTCGGTAGTTGGGCGGCATGGAACTCCTCCAATCCCTTGGTTCTACCGATGTGTAGGCTTTGGAAGCGCTATGGCTCTAGTTGTAAGGGACCTGCGGTAGCCGCAGAGGGGCAAACAGCTATCGAAGTGTGCGCTGCATCAATTTTAGTGGGCAGCTGGCAGCCCACCACAATGCAACATACTCGTAGCGCCATGCAGAAGCCATGCAGAAGCTCGGAGGGTGTCCCAAATGAGGCTAGCGTCTTCCGGTGCTTTGGTACTGCAACTGCCTTACCTGACAGCGTCCCACGACTGCCCAGTGGAGAGGTCGGCAGCGACCGGATCTACGCCCTCACCACTTCGAAAGGCTCTTGAAATGCGCGCTAGGGACACGACGGTAGGCCCCGTGGAGACGTCGGGGCCACGCCTGTAGCATGTAGGGGCATGACATGCGTCTGCTTTGCGCCACGGCATCTGGGTCTTGAGCAGGACAAAAAGAAAGTTCGGTGCAGGACGAAACGAGCTGTCGCTGTGGCTGAATTAGACCCAGCACCAACAGCCCAAAACATGTCACTAACACCACGACACACCACGACACACCACACACGAGCTTCACTTCCCACATGGCTGCCACAGGTGGCGTTTGGGCGGAAGTACTGCCCGATGCCTTCTCGTTGCTTTTTCTTCCATTCTATTGATGGCGCAACGGGGGAAACGGGCGTTGTCACATTGCGGAAACTCAAATAGAAGCGAAGAAGAAGAAAATACCCGTCTATTATCGGACGTGGCTGACACTTTTGCATGGCTCGCCACACAGATGCAAGGCGGGAGGGTGTTTAGGGCTTTGATTGTGCGTACTGAATGAGCTGAGAGCCTTGTAGCCACCTTGACATGTAGTTTTTCAGGTAGTTTCCTTTTTCCCGGTACGCCATATGTGCTATAACTATGTCGTTTCATGCGTTTACCCAGCTTGTCATCTTTGATAACTCGCTCGAGGTTGACGCACACGTTGTAGTTGTGGTCGGTATGCCCTTGGTCTGCTTACAAGTCATTCCAGATGCGCCCAGCTCCTTGTCGAGGGGCGTGTGAACAGCCGTCGTTGGCGCCCGTTTTCGGCGTGGTCCACCTTTCTTGGGGTGGAGGCTACTGGCGCTGGCACCATATTGCCGACTTGATTACTTTCTCAAAAACACACCTTGACCGTCCCACTGCACAGTGACATGCACGATATAAAAGTGAAGGTGGAACAATCACTCCTGCTATACCGTATTCGGTTTGATGTCATGAATCATCGTTGTGCCTTATAGGAGCTCTCTGTCCCACCAGAATGGTCCAGCTGCCTGCAGAACGCCTGCAACGGCCAACCCAAGATGCTGTTAATCCCTTAAATCGCTGTCATTGGGATGGATCCGAGCTAGGAAGCATCCCGTTTACTTTAGGGCTTTATTGTAAATTGTCCACTATATGATTGACGTGCATTCGTAAAGTAGCATAGGCTTGATGGATGCCTTCAGTAAACACGCTTGACATCGACGAGTCGTTGTCCTGCAATGCGACGGCCCTGCTCATGGCACCACTAGTGGCCTCATTCCAAGGATGTGACTTGTACATCCAGTGTCGTTGTACTTACAACAGCCAGCTGGCTAACCACTAGTAAAGTTTTGGCGAATCTTAATCACCTTTTGATTTGAAAGAGAACCTTCTTCTTTTGTCTTAGGGCCGAAAGTGTCTTGGGATCCTGAACCTGTGACAAGGTAACCCCCAACGCGCATTGCGTTGGGACTTGGGTGATAACTCATAGCCTTCTAGTGAAATCCAATAGTAGCGATGATCGTCGCCAAAGTTGTTTGCCAGCTGTCGCCTGACAGGGTTACCAAGGTGAAGTCAATGCATCAACGGCAGTTTGCGAGTCCTAAGACGAGCGAGTTACCCGGTCCATAGAAGGCGCATGCGGTGGTCCCGCTTCAAAGATGCGCTGTTTACTCTCCAAGATCCGGGCGGAATGCTTAGCACGCCATCGTGGAACTTGTATTGGGCCAAGATTGCGAGGGCACAAGCTTAGCGCGCGCTGCATTCGATGCTTGGCTGCCGTTGGGAGTGAGAGAGTGGTGGGGAGAGCTTCTTGGTGTCCAAGATGATCAGGAGAACTATCTCCCTCTGGATTGGTAGCTGGGGTTAAAACATCAAGCTTGGTGTGATTGCAAGCGGAATACTCCGTGCCATGCTTGGCTGGTTGGGCAGTGTAGAAGCATCTTCTGAGTGAGCCGAAAATCGATGGCTCGATGCCGCGCTGACGCGAGACAAATATTGACCATCCGCTGTATTCTATAGATGCTACGTAGGTCAACAAGCTTTTCGTCTTTGTTTTGAATCCAGGTGGGAGAGGGCGGGTTTGCAGCCTTGTGCCGGGTGATGGGAGGTTGGTCACAGAGCAAGTTGTATGGCAGTTGGTTAGTCGGCAATTGGACCTGGCCCAGACCGTCCTCACTAGCAGGAATTTGGTTGCCTAAGACTATTTTGTAGGGGGCGTGCGTGGGTCCAGATGGCGCTAAGATCAGATTGGGCTTGTTCTTTCACCTTACTTTTTGTTCTAGCCTCCTTCTGGTCGCATCCCCAGCATCGGATCTTTCCGGGCGTCTTACCAGCCAGGACTGGAGAGAGTCGCTGCTGAGTGTTTGACTTTTACCTGCGCACCGGCCTTACCAAACAAGGAAAAGCACGAAAATTGAGCTGGAGTTTCCCGTAGTCTTGAGAGCGGGAAGTTGAAATTTATATTTGCGCTAGGCTGATTTCATTTTGTTGATCCGCTGTCGCCTAACCCAAAAGGATTGACAGTTAGGAAGGATTGGAGTCAGATCTCTTGCCGAATGGTATTTGAAATAGGGTAGTGCTAGCGGACAGCCTCGTTGACTCGGGCTGAGGATGCTTTCGTGATACGGCGAATCACAGTCGACCCCCGCTGCTGCTTTTTTTTGTAGGTGGCTTGGGCAAATTATCTCGCAAGCCACGTCGTGGCACCATGTGCAGAATTACAACTGAAACAGGCAATGTCGGTGGAAGCGCGGACGGTGTGGTGCAGGATCCCTAGGCTTGTCTTGCGTGAGAGCACCCCGAACTTTGGCGAGAGGGTTGGTCGCCTGATGCGGGCGTGGGCGGCAGCGTACAGAGTGCACAGATGGTGCTGTAAGATTAACGGAGACACAGATGACGGCGTGCAATGAGGCATTCTGCCCTAAGCCAATACTCCTTGAAAGGGTGGGAAGCCAATACACGGTTCGTCGGGAGATGCCCAGCGAGCACGTCAATAGCAAGAGAAACTAGATTTGGCCCGTCAATGTGGTTTGACGCTGCGGGGGGTGTTGATCATGGCTGCCACGCTGCACACTAACTGGGACAAGCGCAGACGGGACGGAAAGTTCCTGCCAATCGGTACAGCGGTTGTCTTGCGCGCCCACCAACCATCCCACTGGGAAGCAAGCAGCCTACCACAATTCCAGCGATCGAAGGCAGCCTGGTGGCATGGGCAGACAAATGCCGGTCGTCGACGCATGCGCGCATGGCATTATTGAGACTAACAAGAGACAGGGGCATGTTTTGCGAGAGAAATGCTAATACAGCGTTTCTACAGCCCCTAGACTGAGCGTGGTGAACCCGGCGCCAACCCATTGGACTTAGACACCCGAGCTCTGCAATGTTCCTCTGTAGCACAATAGCCTTGGGTTATTCGTCGAGCGAAGTTAACTAGCCTGTGGCATTTGGCATGACGGAATCACTGAAAAGTCATAAAACACGAAATGAATAAATGCTAAGCGCACCACATTTAATGGCGGTTAAAAGTGCTTTGAAAACCTGGGTTAAGAAAGCGTTGGGAAAGTATGCCTCTGGCTCACATTGTTCCTCGCATACTTGTGGTTGATTTGCATAATAAGGTCAATTGACCCACGCTTTGCAGTTGGCCGTGTGCTAAGCAGGGGTCTCAAGGTGGACAAAGACAGAATTCCCCATATCTTTCCAAAACGGTCATGTCCTCCGATGCTGCGACGTCGGGCAGGGTCGCACTGGACAGGCGGACAGGGACCGCCTACGGTTGGATTCGTCTGGAGCTTTGGCGCCCGTGGTAGCACCGCAAGTTAGGGCCCGACTGGAGCGGAACGCCTGCGTTAGCTTCCTCCAGCAGTCTGGATGACGAGGGTATGTGCTAGCGAGGTAAGGCGCCGACGTTGCACACCACGGCGGTGGTTCTTGTCGGCATTTGGATTTTTGTCAAAAGCAAGCCAGATGAGACGGGTCGAAAATAGCTCACAGGCCCCCAAGGAATCCTCCAAAGATGCGCCATGTCGCAGAGGAATTGTGTTTCTAGAACGACCCTGGTGGGAGATGGCTTAAGCATCATTAGCGAGAACAAGCAAAACAGTATGCCTGCCAAAAGCAAAATGTAACAGTCTCCATGGCGCTGAAGCCAAACACAAAAGGAAAACCGTTCACGGCAGTCACGTCACAGGTGGCTGCAATGCCACGCTCTGAGCACGCGGCGGCAAGCGAGGCGGGAAATGAACAAAACCACTTGAACGGTGGATGCAGCAACTGAGCAGCTCGGCCAGAGGAGCCCAGGTGCTGGCCAACCGTTCGATGGAAGATGGGGGCGACTTGCGATGCTGATGGAGAAGAGAAAAGCGTGGCGGAAGCCGAGCCCCGCTTAGCCTCATGCACGTCCTAGGCGGAAACGGTGTCCAATGACAGCGCCCGTAGTATCTCCTATTGACCCTGTTGGAGAGGTTAGTGGCGTGGGGTGCCTGTTGTTCCTACTGGTTGCTGCACTGGCCGTCACCACGTAGAGAACTCGAGTCGTGCCGTCGATGGCTTCGTTGCTGATAGAAACGCGCCCCCCTCTTTCTAAGTTTGGTGCAGGCTGCTTGGTGCGGGAGTTGACACACACCCCTCGGTGGTGGGGAGGTGCTGTATCTCGGTCACAGATGGCAAGATAATAGCTTTCAAAGCAGTAAGCCAGTTCTGTAGTCAGAGAATATCACCGTTGGGGATAAGCGTGGTGTTGAGGAAGAAACTAGAGGGCGAAAAAAAACGTGGCAGTGGTGGTGGGTGGTGGTGGTGCTAACGCAAGAAATCTCAGCTGGGCGGGCAAGGCGGGCGGACGTTTGAGCTGTCCTTGCGCCTTGTAGGTCCCCCGACATGCACGCTAAAGAAAAGCGTGGCAGCCCAAAAAACAGAAGTTGGCCGTCGAACACTCAAACTGCCCATACTTAGCGTCTAATAGGCTATCTACTGTACCGACCAGCACTGCACTGAAGCAGCTTATACTTGGGATGTAGACAAAGAGTCTCTATCTCTGCCTCTATCTTTGAAGATAGCTCTTCATATTTGTATAGCTTATACTTCTTCGTCGTCTTCACCATCTTCACCACCAGGAGGTGCAACAGCTCGGCAAATAAAACGAAACCTCACTCATAACCGGCCATCGACTCCTCGTAACTTTCCGCCCTTGCCCAATAGCCGTACCAATGCCTTTCACTTGGACGGCCCATTTTCTCGCTTCCAGCGCCCTTGTTGGTTGGTTGGTGGTCGTTGAGCTAGCTTAGCGCTCTTTCAGGTAGCCTTCCCCCCCTGCACCCTCCTGCCGCGCCCCAAGTACCACCGAAGAAAAACCACGGCGGACGAGCCAGAACGGTAAGTCCCCCATGCAAATTTCCCACCACCCACCGGAATCCCTAGCATCTCTGTCGTGCAGAACAAGCGCCACTGCACCCTCACCTACCTGTGGTCCCAGCGAGCCTAGAATCTCTCGATTCGGTCCCAGCATCGATTTTTTTCATGCCTCTTTCGGCCCATGATTATTATTTACAAATCGTTTTTTTTAGCAGCACTCATCCGCATACGCCACAACATGATCTCTCATTAAACTCGACATCCGAGCAAAGGAATTTGGCTCCAATAGTGCTCCCTCATTCAGGGCTTTTGCATAAGATGGATATGGACAAATATAGGCTTCAAGTAGCAGCCCTAGCGAGAGCGTCCCTGAGTTCGTCACGAAATCCTCCCTCGGCCAGCTTAGCGTCTTTGGTGTCCGAGGACCAGGCCACGCAGATGTCCGCGCCCGCAACGCGCGTTGGTTCGTGTTTTACAAGGTGAACGTGGGCCAAGAGTCGCTCCAAGGCCACCATCGTCAGCGCCAAAGGAGAGACTGGCATCATCCCCCTAGAGAGAGCCAGTTACTTGCTGGAGAAAGTATGGCTGCCGTGGGCACAGAGGCATCTCCACCGCAGTTAGCTCGCCCCTCTCGCCGGAACTGCTCCTTTGGTGGGAGGAGCCAACAGCAAGGGAGGCCAAGTAGTCGTAGCAGCACAGAGTCGGCCAACGCTTAGCGCCACTGCGGCAGCATCTGGCTGTGGGCTCGCGTTCGAGACACCCACAAGGGAAACAAAGCTTTGTCCTCCCACGCCCCTCCCACGTCGGGGCCACCTTTTGGCAGGTTTCCACCCCCTTGTACAGAGTAACCCTGGGAGTGGGCATCGTGTGGCCTATGCCTCGGGGCGTGGCCCATTTGTTTGCTGGGCTAGGACAACTCGCAGCAAGTACCGACAACGCAGGAGCACCGCCGGCCAAGCACCGCCGGTGGTGCCCACTGTCTAGCTGATCTCCGTTAGACGGTTTGGCTTCTCTATCTGCTTCCCTAGCCCAGGGACTCCTCCTTGGGCGTGTCCCGCGGCCAGGGGTCAGGCTTCTTCCGGCTACCCCGGCTCCATGATGGCAACCTGCACGCGCCATCTTGTCGCCCACGATGACCGGGGGGCAGTAGGTGGGTTGATGCCAATGCCGGCCTAATACAGAATACACTGTCTTGCCCTTCCTTTATCTCCTTGAACGCCCCTCTCACCTCTTCGTCCCGAGATACAGCTTTCCTTCTCTTCAAGAGATCTTCCCCCTTCGTCAATCTCGTCCTACGAGGGCAGTCTACAGCTTTGCCTTTTTGTCTCACCTACTTTCTCCTACCATCTTCACCCTCTCTCACCTCTCGTCACTTCTTCATCCGCCTTTAAATATCCCCCGCCGCCACCTTGGTTTCTTCACCCACCTGGCTTTTGATACTCGTCCACCCACCAACGTGTATCAACTTTATATATCTTCCAACTTCGTCATTCATTTCTTGGGCTTTTAATATACAAACGCGGGTCTTATCCATTTGTCGTCGTCGACGCATCTCAATACCCACTCACTCACACAGCCATACTCTTTTGCATCGCAGCTCGTATATATCTTCAGCCTTCAATCACACAATGAGCTCCTTCACTCAATCACAGTGGCCTGCCTGGGGCTATGCCAGTGTCACCGACAACTACGGTGGCGCTTATTCACAGGTTCCCAACTATCCTGCGTACTTGGCGGAGTCCATGGACGCTTACCAGGCCCATCATGGCAGCCTTTTGAACCACCAAATGTCCCGCACCACCGAGTCCAAGCCCAGACTTTCCAAGGAGGAAGTCGAGGTTCTCGAGGCCGAGTTCCAGAAGAACCACAAGCCTAACAGCAGCATCAAGAAGGCACTTGCTGAGTCTATGAGAGTCGACAACGCTCGCATTAACGTAATTACTACCCCCGTCCCCCATGCTGGTGCTTCCGCATCTTGTATTCAAACCACTAACATGCTACTGCAGAACTGGTTCCAAAACAGAAGAGCCAGAGAGAAGAAGGAAAAGAACATCCGCGAGTACGAAGCCAGGCAAAAGCGTGAAAAGGAACAGGCCGAAGCCAACGGTACCTCGCTCTCTGACAACCGCAAGCGCGATTTGGTTGCATCCAGCGCACCCTTCCCTGAACCTCGCAAGGTTATTCAGGATTCCTCCGCCTCATCGCCCAACAGCACCAGTGATGATGTCTCAGACGCCGTCGAAATTGCCAAGTCCGAGTCTGTCGAGACTACACCGGATCTTCTCTGTGACACCACCTTCCGCAAAACCAGCCGCCACGACGATGACCTGAGCGACCACTCGCCGTCCGAGGTTGCCGATTACTTGTCCATGTCTGACGCGAGCGGCGATCTGCCCTACAGCGACTCGGAAGGCTATGCTTCTCTCCAAAACAGAACACCTGATCAGCTCTTTGCGGAATACCAGACCATGATGGTTCAGAATGGTGGTCTTAAGTCTGGCGAGTTCTTTTCGTCGCCCATGTTCCTCAACGGCCACGCCCACCTGGACATGGTCAGCCCTACCTCGGACTCCCAGCTCAAGTCCCCCCCCTCTATTGACATTGCTAGCCGTCGCAACCGTCGCCCAACCCCGCTCTCAATCAACAGCGCCCGTGCTTGCGCTTCCAATGGTCCGCGAACCGCTATTGACATTAGCAAGATGGCCGACAAGGCTAGCTTTATGCGCCGTACATCTTCTGGTTCTGGCTCATGCCGTGTTACCAAGAACGTGGCTACTCCTCGCAACATGTACACGCTCAACCGAACCCCCAGCTCAAGCGGCCAGTCTAGCTCGACGGCTCCTCCTACTCCTGATACCCCTCTTGTTGCTGGCAACCCTCTGACTGGAGAGATTGCCATGCCTACTGCTCTGTCCTTGGACGCAAAGTTCATGGTCAACTCCTTTGTCAACCAAGATCCCACGCTGACAACGCCCCCCACCACCCCTGGCATTGTTGACGGCCTGTTCCAGATGGGTTCAGCCTACGGCATGCCCATCAGCGAAGATTGCATCGTTGGCATGGGCATTGGACACCTGCCTAACAGCTTCCAGATGGTTACAGGAGCGCCTTCATATGTTGCTGGCAGCAGCAGCAGCCGCAACACATCTCCCACTGAGCCGGTCATGTACGGTTCCCAGATGGGATCTGCCTATTACGGCATATATGGCAACAATGCTTAACTCAACTCTGAGCAAGACTTGGTTGCAAGACGTTTTTAGTGGCCTGTTATACTGGTCCCTTGTTCTTTGGCGTCAGCACGTTCCAGCCAGCGAATGATTTCTACCTGCACAAATTTGCACACTTTTGTTTTTTTCTTCACTCTGCCTCATAATTTCAGAGGAGATGTGTATCAACATGGAGATGGATCGACAATTTAATGCGGTACTGCTGGATTTATGTTATCTGTAGGCACAGCCCTGCATTTTTCTTCTTTTTTTCTTTCCCATTTCTTGTTCTTATTACTTTTTTTTAGTCCTGTATGGCGCTTGGGAGTTTATACATACAACTTGGGAGGGAAGGCCTTCATACCCGGATGATAGGGTCTGCATTTTACTTAGGATATCTGGCGCGAAGTGTTATTTACAATTTTTCTTGTCTATTTGGTCACTGCATTCAATTTCTTGAAAAGTATATTTTTAAGGAGGGAAGGACGGGGATGTTGCCGCGCTGTTGACGGACTCCTTTGAGCGAATACGAAGAGAGGAGGGCAGGCGGTGGTGTGGAGGATACTAGTAGCATAGCCTAGCTTTTTGAGCCCCAAAAATACAAGATATGCATACATACATTCTACGTCCAGCAGACCATTGTGACATAGAGACTCAAGACAGGGTGGTGTAGCCCGGTTGGTAACTCCCTCACCACTATTCAACCTGGTGACCTGGTGTGGTAGTGGCTCGGACTTGGTCCATGTTGCGAGAAGGCGGCCAGCCACGCGCCCACCTGGATGTTACAGCCGTCCCATTGTGCACTGTTGGTGATGATGCTAAGGCGCTAAAGGCCGAAACGGGTCAACCTTGCATAACCTGACACGGTGGCATAGCTCCTTGTGCATACATGCACGCTTGAAGCCGCCTGTAAGTGGTCGGGTGAGAACGAAGGGCGGGGGCACGGACGGAGAAGCTGTTGGCGGTGGTGGGGATAGGAGGGGGGGCATGAAGAAGTAGCCTCCCCGCGTAAAAAGGGCATGTATACGCGGGCGGTTCAATAGGCTGTTGTTGTTGTTTGTGCAAAGCCGTCGCAGAATAGCAAGGCAACTATGGGACAAGCGAGACAGCAACGAGAGTTGGCTGAAGAGGATGAAGCAGAGAGAGACAGGGGGATAGAGATGACATGGCCAGGCCAGGTCTACACTCGGTGTCAGATAAAGAGACAAAACCCGTTCAACGGCCGTTGCTAACTTTGTCAGCGGTGACTTGCATAGAGACTGTAGGTACTGTACTACTGCAGACGATGGGCCGCTGCGCGTAATGTGGTTCTGCAGCAGCTAATTACAGCAGCGGGAACCACAAGAAGAGGGAAGTCTATCGGTTCTCTAATTTGCGGCCTTTTTCTAGTTTCTGTCATATTCTGCTTCGACGGGGGTGTTGGTTGTTGTTTGCTTAACTGCCCGCTCGCCCACTCGCTCACTCCCTGCCGATGCTGCAGCGGTGCGGCGGGCGCTACCAGCCAACAGCAGCAGTAAACAGGCAACGCCCACCGAATCATAGTGCAGCGCAGTGCAGTGCGGCGGCGGATGCGGGCTTGCTTTGCTTGCTGGCTGGCTGGCTGGCTGGCTGGCGTTGCGGTGGCCAGACGGAAATGAGCCCAGCTAGCAAACCAACCACAGCTGCCGCCCAGCGACTGCACTCAACAAAAGTAGGGGGGCGTGCGTAGAAAAGCAAAAGCCGAAGTTGTTCGTTCTCCGCTGGGCACCACGCTTTTTCTCCTTTCTTTAGCCCACCCGCTCGCGAATACTGTAGAGACTTACAAAATATAGAAGCGCGGCCTTCTCTGTTGATCCTGCACGCTCTGAACCGTTCATCCGATCGCATCGTTCTATTTGGCTTCCATTTGCGCTTCCCAGTACCTGGACCGACTGTGTTTTGCGCTCATCGCCACGTGTGGTGGCTGGGGTGTAAGCCAGGCCTTGCTCTCCAGAGGGCTCTCTTAAGCGCAATCTCATCGAGACTGTGCTTTGCTTTGGCTGGCAGGGGGGGTGTGCGGGTTGGTTGAGCCACAGCAGGGCCCTGGATGGGGGGGGCAGACAGGCCCTGAGGCAAGAACACCGCTGTGGATGGGAGTGCGCCACAGCCACCGAATACCCACAACTTTTAGCGGTACAGTGCTCAAGTCGCCTGTATGCGTTGCACCGGGCGGGCAGTGAGTGGGTGCTTGCTGTTGAAGATCGCTTGTGCACAAACAAACACAGAGACGGGTCGTGCCGTCGTGATGTGCGGTGGCATTCGCCTGACGATTGCAGTAAATGATCTGCAGGTGAATGATGTCTTTATCGGTTACCGGATGCATTATAATGCGATGTATTATAGTGCCTTTTTTACTGTCAATCTGTTTTAATGGGCTTTTCTTTTTGTTTGCTTGTTTTTCTTGCAGTTCGCTTGTCAGGCTTGCAGCAAGCAAGCAAGCAACACGACCCCCATTTGGCATCGGCTCTCGCCCATGTTTTTTTCCTTTCTTAGGTGCTTGCTGCGGCCATCGCTTCTGCCCAACTGGGGTGTCTGCTCCGAACAAAAAAAAGCTGACTCCGTCATCTACCGCGGCTCGGTCGACTTTCTTACTTTGTCATCGTCCACGCATCATCCCGGCCTTCGTTTACAATGTCCATTGTCAGAAGTAGTGAGCCGGTCGCTACGAATAATTTTTTTTTCTCTTCGCCCGTGCCGTGTCTCACTTCGGCTCTCGTCCGTGTTCTTGTTCGACCCGACACCATCCCGCGCGCAGAAGAGCGGCCGGCGAAGGCGACCAATTTGAGAGAGCAGGGCTCCTTTTTTTGGTCGCTGCCTAGGCATAAATTGCCTTGCCCAGGCTAATGCATGCCCTGCTCTGCTCTGCACTTTATTCTCGGCTGTCAAATGTATCGTCCGGTGTTTATTCTCCGTAGTGCAAGCCTTATTTGCAGGGACACAAAGGGCTCGACTTTGTGCCCTGGGCCTGGTAGCACAAAGTTATTATTCCGGTTGAGCCTCGACTTCGTCTCGGTGAGCCCGGTCTGGGGTTTGTTTACCTTGACCTTGGGCCGGCAGTTCTCCAGACCAGCGCATTGCTGAGTTGACACCAAGACAAGGCATGGGGAAAATTTAAATTCCCATGGTCGGCCTCACCTTGCCCCATGGCTCTCGCTAACAAGGCACAGCATAGCCCTATCTCAGCGGAGAGTTGACAACACCTGGGTCGTTAACACGCACGACACCAGGAGGGTGTACGACAATCTCGAATGGAGCTAGTGCAAAGTTCCGAGCTTCCAGGTTTAAGCTGCTAAATGACAGGCCGGAGGCTACGTGTGAATGTTACAAGGCTACGCGGGGTGTCTTGATGGCTCTGAACGGGCTAGGTCTGGGCTGCCTAGGTATTGTGCTAAATTGTAGTGACAACTCTAGGGTGTTCTATTCTGATATGTACCATGTTATCAACACTTAGGTCGAATGCTAGCAGTCAACGCTGCTTAAAACAGGCCCCATTCAGTGTTTTGCGTGCCGCCACTGGCACTGCACTTAAAGACGCCCTTGGCCCCGACCTTACCGTCGGACCTACAGAACCTTGGACTCGCAGATGATATCAATGACGTCTTGCTTGGTGACCTTGAACCAAATGTTGCTGGTGCCGGAGCCGTAGACGAGGAGCTTACACTCGCCGTACTTGAGGATGGTGCGCTGGACGCGCATAATTGTAGTGTAGTCGCCGTCGGTGCCTTCAATATTGCAGATGAGCTGCCCACAGTCGCTGAAGGGAGGCGAAGCCGACAACGGCGGACGCAAAGTTCTTGACCATCTCTTTGCCCTTTTCAGGGGCAAAATCGATGAACTGGCCGACAACTGGACTACCGTGAGATGTGAAATAACGTACATTTCTTGAAGAGCTTCCGGTAGTGAGTGGTAATAAAGATGAACTCTTCGGGGAGCTTATTCTTGTTAGTATAGTTATTTCTCTCTCCAGGACCACTAGCAAGAATAACAGGGATACTAAGAGTCTATTAAAACACGTTAATCTCGGCAAGCAACAAATATCTTGGGTATAGACCACTTATAGCTGGATATTCCTAGCCAATATCGACATCATCAAGGTCGTTATTCTTTACAGTAACGGAAGGTATTAGCACGTCTTGGTGATAGTAGAAAAGTCCAGCCGCCAAAGGAGATAGCCTTCTTAACATCGAGTAGCCACTCATTCCACCCCGCGTCTTCTTATTGAAGTCTTCAGAACAGACCAGAGCAGGGCAATGTCTGCCGAATCAGTCTCCTTCTCCCTCTCGTGCCATACCGGCTGTAAGGTCTCGATTGGGAAGTTATTGAAGAAATATAATGAGAACACGTGCATGCTGTAATCTACTCTCTATACACATGCCCCCGTTCCTTTGTATTTTCTGCGCAGTTTTCGTACCGTTGATTCGTAGATGGCCCAGGTTGGATGTGAAGTCGGTAAGTAAGCAAGGCTGCGTGGACGCATCCACATCCGCCGCTAAACGCCAGCCCCTCCAGCTCCTGGATCCTCCCAATGCCGCTGTGGCGTGTAGGCGGTTGCCTAGCGTTTATAAAACGTTGCCTCCTTCTTGCGCTTTAATTCTTTTTTAACTTTTTGTTCGTTTCGTTTTTTTGTTGGGTTTCCTGTTTCTCACTCGACCGCTACGTAGGAGGGCTCGTCTCATCCCTCCCCCTCTGCCTTCACGGGCTGCCCTTCGTCACCCAACACTGGACAAGCAAACAATGTCTGCAGCCTCCAGTTCGTTTCAATCCGGCCCGTTTGGGGTACTGCAGGAGATTGTCTAGCACGCATCGTTCCTCCAAGATGTCCTCTCCTTTGGCCTCATCTGCAAGCACGCCCACCAGGCCTGGCTGGCCCAAAACGCCTGCCTCCGCGCGGCCTGGAACGTCCTAGCACGTGGCCTGCCTGCGGCCGAGCACGCCCTAGTTGCGGTAGGTTTCAGATACGCACAAGAACTATCTTTGCTTCATCCTTGTTGACCCAACCTAGCATCGCGCGAGTGAGATAGCGGCGGCAGCGGAGCAAGCTCAACGACCAGTTCGGCTGATAGCCACTTTAGACAGTGCCCGACAAACACCAAACGCTTCGGAGCTCGTTGGAGTACAGCAGATGCATCGACTGGCTCTTGCTATAGATGCGGCATTTCAAAATTCACAACATGCCGTCCCTGGTGACTACGACGGCAACAATGCTCCAGAAGAGCTGGACCGAATGGGTGACTGGCGGGTGGGCGTGCACGCCGCCATCTACCGCAGCTTCACCATAGGCGCCGCACTGTCAGGCGTGTACGGCGAGGCATACGCAAAAAGCAGATGCGACACCAGAAATTGCGGTATATCAGGGAATTCCTACGGCGCAGAGTAGGGAGCGGCGCACCAGCGTGCTAAACTCGTTTGCCGTTCTGCGAGACTCCATGACCGAGGAGGAAGAGGACGCAGCCTTTGGACCGCACGCTGACTGGCTGCTGCACGACCTGCGCTCGGATCAAACTACCGTATCCATGATGGAAGCGCGGTTTGCTACGGGCTCTGGCCGGGCGCGTAGCTGCCTCGCACGCCAGGCGGCCTCGGATGCTGGATGCCCGGCGCAGCTTACGGCCGGAGGCACCCACGCAGAGGCCCACGCCGTAGCTTTACAGCTTCTTCGCCTCTTATGGGTTTCTCGGCACATCATGGACATGCTCGGCAGAGATGCCGCAGAGGATCCGACCTGCCATCAGCATCTGCAGGCGGTCCCTGTTAGGAATGTTTTCCTTTATGGCGTTTTTCAGTCTCGCATTGCATATCTTCCCAAGCCCTACTGTGAGCCTAGTTTCCTTCATTGTAGCTTTGCAGCCCTGCCAGCCGTATGGCCCAAGTGGCCTCACCGGCAGGGACGTTTTCCCACCGTTCTTGCAAGCTCGGTTCTTTGTTTACTTTTTGCGCAAGCACATGAAACTCGCCTTCCATCCGCAATTCTTTCAGACCAATTTCATGGTCATGTGGATTGACAATGACTGGGACGCCTTTCACCAGTCCCTTCTCATCTTTTCCTTGGATGACGTTGAAGGACGAGAGAAGTATTATCCGGACTGTGCTGCTAGCCAGCAGTTTCCAGACGACGGCTTTCTAGATGGTGTAGACTTGCTAGTCAGCTCAGACAAGCTCCAAGAGATTGCAGTGTCTAGCTCAGAAACTTTTCCGAATATGGGCTAGCTTACAAGAGACATTTCTTTTCTCTATTCACGCGCATATCTACCCAATAACCTGCATGTCCGTTGCTTCTTTACCACCGATATCATTATGCATCCACATTGCGTTCAAGGCTGCAAGGTTAGAGAACCGGCAAAAGGGAGGGGGACAACGAAAGCATAGTCGATATGATGCTTCATAGGGCCTACGGTGCCTTTGTTAGTGCTCTCTCGTTCTCCAGCTGCGGTACAGTGCTGGCTCACGGCCAAAAGTCGTAGTGAGCGACGACAACGGCGGCGAGGCGTGGGAGGTGTTCCAACAGTCGTGGTTCTCAATGGGTGTCCTTGTTTCAGACTATGTATATTCTAGTGCCCTTTGGAAATGTAAACTACCAAAAGTATATGCTCAAAGCAGCCAGCATGACCGCATAAGCTGCTGCGCTGGTTCGTGCCTGTGCTGCTACGCTCTTGGGACAGCTGATGAGAGGTTTCCGTTGGATACACTCTATGCTATTCAGCGTATCGTTAATGCTTTTCGCCTTTTCTGGAGTGAGCATTCCATCGCACGGGCGGCCTGTGGGAGATGGAACCGCGAACGAAGGGCACGAAGAATATTCACCAAAATGTTGGAAAAACCTGGGATAGTCAAGGTAGGAGTCGATTCCTAACGGATAGCTCTCCAACTTGTTGCAGTTCTCCTTGGTGCTAGTAATGTCCATTTCCTTGCCATACTTGCTGATGGTAAAGAAAATTCCACGTCCCTCTTGGTAGTATCCTTCGTGGAAACCGTTACGAACTGTGTCAAAGTCATCGAGACGGTTGTTGTAGAAGTCAGGGTCTGTGGTATTTGTGCGGTTCTTATGATCAACATAGAAGAAGGCTGCATACTTGCCCTCGGCGAGTGTCAAGTTTCGAACGCTGCCGTAGAGGTAGTGCGTCGACTGGTTCTTGGGCACGTCTCTGAGATCGAAATTCTCGGACAAGACGCCACGCACGCCTTCCAGGAACACCGCGTATCGGATTTGGGGCTGTAGGTGAGACAAGATGTCGGGTCTCTGGATAGCAAGAATACACGGCATCATGCCCCGTGGAGAGTATGTCTCGTTGCGAGGGAAGATGAGGTCGACTTCTGTCGTGTCGATGGCGCCGGCGATGCGCAGCACGAAGCAGCACACGATGAGCACCGCGGTGCGAATAGAGGCGCCAAACATTTTGTTTCCTTCTCTTTAACCAAAAGTGGTTGTTTAACTCTGATTTTGGCTCAGTGATGGGGGAAAACAGGAATAGCTGCGTTTTCGGAAAGGCGCAGATGTAAATGAGGAGAGGAAGAAGGCAGAGCTGTTTGGAGCAACAACACGCTCTTCTTGCTAATAGCCGGAACCTTTTGTGGGGAGTATTTGATAGCGGCTACGAGCAGTCCGATGACAAAATTGGCAAATGAACAAGGCAACTAATTGTTTGTAAATGGCAATGGCCGCGATGTAAACGAGACGGCAAAAACAAAGAGCGGGAATAGAAGCGAAGTAACAATTCGGTTGGGCATCGTAGCCCTGTTCAGCGACCACAAGAGGAAAAACTTACATCTCCACATAATAAATCGCCACCCGTCTGATTGATATTCCAAGGAACACGATTCTTTGCGGTCTTGGGAATTGGTTGTGTGGAGAAGTAAAATCTCTGGTGTATTTCCTGATTAGACCTTGCGGAACTAACTGACACGGGTCCTGTCGCATTGTTCACTTTGGCGTTATTTCCGCTGATCGGCGTAACGCCCCCAGATTGATCTATTTAATTATTTTGCTAACTAGGAAGGCGTTTCGAGCGGCGCAGGAACAATTTAAATTTCGATTTAATATAGGAAAGAATACCCGGTATGGTGATTAATTATTCTCTTCAAAAGCTAAGTAGTAGTCAATAATAAGTAGATATTTTGGGCTAAATAACTGCACCCTCCAGTCTAATGATTGTTAGAACCAGCTCTTAGTATAAGTCTGTCTCTTTACAATCTAAGCCAAGGGCCATAAGAAAATGCAACATGCGTAGCCGTAATCCATGCTGCCGTGTAGCGGTAACTATACCACGCGGAAGACCTTTGGCATAGCGCATGAGCGCTTGAAGTGTGCCCACGTTGTTGGCTACAGCTGCTTGTATCATGGCATCGTAGATCCAGGTCTTGTTCTTCAAGATATCCGGATTGTGTGCCATGAACAGGTCTACTCGTTTCCGCGTTGTAGGTTTGTCTGATCTACAGATTGTCTGGAGCACTGAGAGTGGTAGCCGATCACCGGCCTTGACATGACTAGTAATGTCGAGAAGATATCTGCTGATAACACCACTGTCAGACTTGTCGGGGACAGTGAAGCCCATGTCCTCTTCCATAGCGCCCACATCAGCGCCGTTTTCAATCAAGCAGCATATCATCTCTTCGGCATGACTATGCCTCTTTCGAAGCTCCAAACATGCATATTCAAGAACGGAATGGCCAAAGTGCCGTTTATTGATATCTAGCCCCTGCGTGAGAAGTAGCTGTAGTATCTTGACGTCGTCGGCGGCATACTTGGCATTAGGATAGCGGTTGCGGCAGTGAGCATGCAGCATGTAGTCATTCATTAGGGACTCTGACATGTAATCTTCATCCCCGTGGGCACCAGTCATTGGTTGCAGTCCTATTGTCGGTGTTGGCTTTTCATTAAAGTCTGGCTGCAGCACTCCGTCATCCACGAGGCGACGTACTAGTGCATAATTGTGCTGTTCGCAGGCAGCAAGGAGGTATAGTCTATGGGGCCGGTATACACAGATGCCGTGCTGTTCGAGCAATTCCATACACCCGGGCTGACATAGCATCCGCAACCCGATTCCCGATAGCCAGTACCCAGTGTTTTTTGGGTACCACCTTTCAAGATCAGCAAAGACCTGAGTAGTATCGGCACCAGCTTTGAGTAGATGCTCGAGAATCACCACTAGCGAAGATCTGCTCTGACAATACATGATTGTTTCTGCAATTATGCTTCGTCGACTCTCCACGGTTCTAGGTAGACCAGTGATTGATGGTCCACGACGTATCAGCATCTCTACACAATTGGCATAACCCTTATGAATGACGTTGTAGAGTATTTCTACAAAAGTCTCCGCAAGGTGATCTGATTGTAGATCCAAGCCCTCCTTATCGTCCAGTAACGACTCGGCCCAAGTGGCGTCACCCCAGGAGAGAGCACATTGGAGCAATCTGAGTTGGTCGACCTCTGGATTTCGCACCGTCTCGTCCTCTAAGGATATAGCCAGCTCGAGGAGCTCTCTATCCCGAATACAGATGGCAACATCGGTTAGTGTAGTGGGGCGTCTACGTTTACCAAGGTCGTCTATCCAGTATCGAAAGGTCACATGAATGCCTTCGATGTCGCGAAACTCGGACCACTTGTTGTCTGTCTGGACATTGGCACAGATTGCACCGTTTTCGACAGCCCTTTGTACGCAATCTATTAGATAGCGGCGGAAGCGACCAGTTGAATCACACATGTAGCTGGAATCAGCCTCCTTGCCGTGCGTCCAGTAATAGAGACAGCGACACATGTCTTGGCGGTCATCCTTGTACGCAAGATTGTGAAGCTCTCGGCCATTTTCTCCTTTCAAATCGAGTTCAGAAGCATATAAAGCCAGGATATCCTGTAGTTGTGATAGGTGCCCACCGACAATCGCCAACTTGGCCCGCGTCAGTGGCGAGAAGCAGCCATTTGAGCGTACTTCTGCATGATTGCCTTGCACAGCTCGAAAATAGGGCCTGTCTACACAATACATCGCATATCCAAGTGGTGTTGCATGAAACGAATTGAGGTTGGCCGCGAGGGCATTGCCGTCAACCATGGTCATGTCGGCGCCAGCCTGAAGCAATAGCTCAACAAGAGCTGCCATCTCCGCCGGGATAATGATACGTTTAGCCAGCGGTCGGGGTGCCCTTATCGCCGGAAGGCGTGAAGAGAACTCTGGCCATGTGCTAAACTGCAGCTTTCGTATCGAATTGTGTGGCGTTGGGTTGCTCTGTTCATTGACAGATGTGCCAGCAGCTAGAGCCTTTTGCGCGACGGCTATCGATGCGTTTTCGGCAGCCCAATAAATGCTACGCGAGAAGTAAGGTTTAGAGTCTATTAAATAGAGTATAGGGTCAAAGACGGCGTAGAATGTTCGGTTGGCGGCAGACAGGTGGGCAATGTCCTCCAGAAATAGGCAGGAGGCGATGTCTATGAGAATTTCACGCGGTAGCTGATCCAGCGTCGTGCCTGTTCTGAGTCCACCTTGCATCATAGAGATGTTTGACTTTGTTGCATGAAGATGAATACATGCGCAAGTAGGTGTGCAGATTTAAAGTGTCGTCGGAATTTTTGGATCTCCTTGCAAGGTGGAATCAGGCTACGTCCGCCAACAGTAGGTAAGCCAACGTTACAGGTAAACTCGTTTATCGTCAATATTTCAAATATTCTTTAATAAATATTATAAAATTACATTTTCTATCAATCTTTTTAGAATATCATGCGTGATTGTAAATACTTCACATTTATCGAGTATATAGATGTGTATTACATTACTTGTAGCTTTTGCTTACCCACCGTAGGCACCAAGCGTGTTTCTACCCCTCGGCCTTGTGCCGCCACTTCATGCTGCTATCGTTTACAATAAACATTGGCAGACGCTGCTTTTTACTTGGTTCGTTGCAAGTGTATTATTTGTCGTCTTTTTTTTTATTAGTTGCACACATGATACAAAGCTGTTCACGATATGTCACACGAATGAATCCACAATGCAAATATAGACGGTGTGGTTGCGAGCGGTAGCTTAGAGGCAGATGCTGAAGAAAACATTGGCAAAATAAACAGGGCTGCTGTGTTTTTTAACAAATAATTACTCTACAAATAATTCGTTTTCATATTCTTCTTTTTTTACTCTCTTTTTTCAGCATGACTTGTGACCGTTAAATGGCTGCTGCCCACCACCCCACACCGCGGCTGCGCGTGCCGCGTCTCGCCTTGTCTTGCACTGCTACCCATTGTACACTGGGATTGTTTTCTTTTCTTTTCTTTTCTCGCCCGCCACAGGAAAGTCCCGCTTCCCTATACGACAAAAGCCACCGCTCTAGTTATACACAGCATATCCATACGCGAATGTCTTCCATATAATATTGTCCATGTCGTCCGTCTTCGTCGACGGAGATGCGGATCTAGACGCGTCGCGTCCTCGATCCGGCATCTTGACGCCCAGCTCCGACACCAGCCTGAACCGAAAGGACGGAATCAGCTCGCCGGCAACAAGCAAGCGACGTGGAGATGCTGGTGCGGCAATGGAGGTGCTGCTCAAGCCGTCCATTGCGGTCAAGGTCCGTCGTCACACCACCCACGTCAACAATCATATACTAACATTCGATATCACAGCCACACCCGCATACTCTGCAAACTCCCCCGAGAACTCTATCACCACTTATGCTACTTCCTCGTCAACATTTACCACTCGCCTCTCTCGACTTTGACCCGTCAAACTTTGAACTTCCTACGAGCCGATTCTACGAAGCACACATCAAGATCCTCGATCTCGAAAGCCGACTCGGGCCATCCAGAAGCGTTTTGCTGGCCAGGATTGAACCGAGAGGCGCTGTGTACGCCGTTGAACGACAAACCGACGGGTTATATGTAGTATGCAAACTCGGATCATGGGTACAGCTGGAAACCCTTGCCGAAAATGCCACAACCATCTGCCACGACCGCGTATTCCCTGTGAAGCTGGAGGCTACAACTAGCCAAAATGATGATGCTGCAATTATTACGCCTCAGATGCACCACAAGCAAAAGCAGAAGCGGGCGGCTATTGAGGCTATCCAGTCTCTCGTTCGCAAGCGCGCCAAGTCGCAGGTTGATGTGACCATGGCGGACAGGAGTAACTCGCCTGAAGCTGTCACTATTGGTGACCCAGCCCAAGAATCACCACCACAGCCAATCGTTTCAGTGGAACACACGGAAGCGTCAACACCGAATATGAAATACCCAAGCATGGCCCATGATAACCTACCTGTTCCAAGCCCTGCCCAGGAGCAGTCGTCCCAAGATTTGGCCACGAGCATCTTCAATACCATTAGGACCCAGTACTTTGAAGCATTATACAAATCCAAGGTCAGTACCTGTTTGAATACTATTCAGATATATACTAACATGATGATAGGGATCTCTTGCCTACTTCGCCAAAGGGCCGCTGTCTAGAGCACGATCGGCATTCCATTTAGACCTGGAGGCGAATCTGGACATGTCCGACTTGATCGAATTCCTTAAAGGCCTCCTCCTTACAACGGTCCAAATAGATAAAAAGTACCGCGAAACTGCTCCAGAGATTATTGCCAAGCTTGGTAAAACAATCGAAAGCTCCGATGAGGCACGAAGAAAGAGACGCAAGGCCAAGAAGCAAAGGCTGGGCAAAGATGCCCTCTACCCTCTGGAAGATGACAGTATTCGCAACTGGTGGGCTGTGAATAAGCCAGAGCTAAAAGAAGATAGCACCGGATTTCCTCCAGGACAGATCAAGTCACACTTGTCCATTCTACGCACACGAGAAACCCAACTACAGATGATTCTAATCCTCGAAATCCTCGCCCTGACACCGCTCAAGACCACCGATGATGTTGGTGATAGTAGCTTGCCTACCCTTCCAGGTGCAGTGGATATAAATGAGGAGCAAAACCTGCCCACTCCACAGCCGAAAAAGCGAAATAAGCATAACCTGCCGGTTCTAGTTGATGTTCATGCTGATCGGTTAACAATTTGGCAATCCACTGCGACGGATGAGCTGGCCTTCTTGGAGGATTCACAGGCAAATATTATCACATCTGGCCCAGATGTCCAACAGAAGGCATCGAATGAACCTCTCAAGGACTTTTGTATCGATGTCATTGTTCCCTTGTAAGTTGCAGCGCATCACACGATATTGACAGTTGATTTCTAACTTAACGCTAGTTTCTCAGCACGTCTCCCAGAGCTGTGTGATTCAATCAACCGCAAGCTTGGAGGCCCCGTCATCGTATCGCCAATGCATGCAAAGTCTAGCAAGAGGTCATCTAGCAAGCGAGATCAAAAACCAGGCTCTGCTACTAAACGCCCAGCCCCTCAAAATGCCCAAAGAACGCTTCAGCGAGCTCTGTCAACTGATCAACACCACCGACGAAGTGTTTCACGCGGTCCGGGCAGTGCCATTGCGCTGATGCGTTCTGCTACGTCTGCCACAGTCCCAGGTCTCAAACGAGAGGGTAGCGAACCTCTAGGACCTAGGTCGTTGTCAAAGAGCAGTCTAGAAGGCTCTCAAGCTAAACGCAGTGGTTTATCCCGCAGTAACAGCGTAATTGGTTCGGCTGATGACGCAAAGGCAAAGAAGAAGGCCCTTGTAGACGCGCAGCTACGTGATGCTATTTCAGGACTTCGAAAGCCAAACCGCGATATGGTTAGCAAGAACCTCGAAGAGGCAGCAGAACACCGCCATGCAACCGGCTTGGCTAAGAGTAAGTTCATCCATTGTATTACTTTTGTTTCTCAGTCACTTGTACTGACGCCTTTTTAGAAGCAAAGAAGATTCAGCGCAGCTCGTCCACTGTTCAAGTCAAGGCCACGCCAATGAATAATCGCTTCCGTGACGTCTTCAACTTGAAGGCAGAGAGTATTGCCGATACACCTATGCGCAGCCTCGAAGAAGCCATCCCGCCATCCAGCATTGGTCCCTATGTTCCATCAACGGCTGCGAGAAACCCATTTAAGAATTCTGCGATGCTTAGTACCTCACCGTCAGGCCCGCCTGACATTGTGGGAAGCACACCCACGAAACCCCCTGCGTCGGCATCTTCGTTCCTTCGAAGGCCAAGCAACGAGGGTCCATTTATTCCGCCTTCACCGCTGTTCAAGACATCTAAAAGAGAGAGTATGGGCGACGCGCCGCGCTCAAATGGGGACGAAAATGTCGGCGGAGCAGCTATCTTATTCGCCACTCCAGCAAAGAAGTCGGCGCCTAGGCCAGGAGTGATCCCAGAGAGCCCAATGCCGCAGGTGCAGGAGGAGAAGCGATCCATCTACCAGGAGCTGGGATGGGATGATGATTTGGACGATCTTTTATGATGATATCAATGATACGATTCGCATTTCTTGATAGTGCCCTGTTTTGAAAACTGCGATGGCACTACTATATGCATGGGTTGGCGCATAAACATTGTTTTTTGTTTCACTGTTTGGGAACGGAATTGTTGGACTCGATTGTATTGGTTTACAGTGCACAAGCAGCTGTCAAAGGCGTTTAGACAATAACGACGATATGTTTAGTCTCATCATGTCATGATCCAATATATTAACGGAATTTTCTAAAGATAACAAGTACTTTCTATGCTGGTGCTGGCTCTATTATGGTAACTGGCAAGTCTTGGATCTCGACATGCTCCTGAGACGCAATATCGACAACTCGGATTGCCTCCATTTCAGCAATGCCGGGTCTCAAGGCCAAGAATTGAAGCTCTACAGCGTGGCAGGCACCAGGGCCCAAGGGACCGATGCGGGTGTCTGCGCTGAGAGAAATGATGTCGGCTCCCTCAACAAGAGCGTTCTTCTGCATCGCGTGCACCACATTTTCGTCAATTGCTGCATCAGCTACTTCTTTTTCGCCCTGCCGTCTGGTTGCCGTTGATGGCGGACGCACAGGACGAGCCTCGTGTCTGCGACGCTTGGGTACCGGAACGAGGGCGAGCTTCCGGGGCGGTCGCGTACTCTTTTCTGATGCCCGATTAAGTATATAGACTGTCCAGGAGAACACGTCTCCTGTATAGATGGTTTCTGTTGGTGCTGAGAAGGACATGGTGATGCCTAGGTCGGGAATGACGGCTTCGGCACGCGCGGCGGATGCTTCCAGGCCAGGGAGAGCGTCTGGCTGTGTAACCGACGGCGACTTCAGTGGCGTAACGACGCTCTGTGAGCTAGAGAGAGAGAGTTGCGCTGGGCGATGCGAGCGATGGAGGCCAGTATCGAGGGGCGTTCTGGGTGTTGGGTTGTTGGGGTTGGAGAAGTCCAAGATGGCGGACCACTTCATGTTGATTCGTGGCGTGCACACGCCGGGGTTGACAAGGGCAGATGCTGAGACAACTATATCTAGCGAACCACTGTTATCTTTGGGTGCGACATCTAGTTTCTGCTGTTTTATTTCGTAGAGAAGAGTAATGTGGTCATGGGCGACGCAACTGAGAGGGAGCTTCAGTGCGACATCGTCACTCAGACACTCTACCACGCCTGTAGCCGTAGAGAGACTGATTTCGTCAAGAATAACCTCGCAGTCAAAATCTGGGGTAAAGTCAAACTCTAGCTGGCCGATTATTGTGGAAGTAGGTGGTGATGTTTGTGGCTTAGTGAAGCGTATGCGGGAATGGACAATAGCATGCACGGGAAGTTGCAGCTGGGGTAGAACACGGAGTCTGGCTGCGACATCTTGGCCGCGTGTGACGGGAGCAACTCGCGATACTCGTAGTGCAGAAAGCTTGGGTTGGATCCCTTGTAGCAGAGGGTCACCGCCAAAGGATTCAAGCAGGTTGATGCTGGAAGGCTGGCCACTGGTCAGGTAGCCTGATCTGGTTGAATGCATTGTGTCTGCGGCAATGACGGGCTTGAGAGCAGCTGATGCAGAGAAAATGACGGATGGTCGTTGAAGGCGCATGCGAGGTCTGATTAGGTGGACTGGGAGTTTCCATACGGCGTAGATCTTTTGTGTGCTGTCGGGCTCTATAGAGCTATCCCCGCTGTCGCTGATGATGTATGGATCTGCGGTGTCTGTTACGGTGCCGGCATAGATGAGTTCTGAAGACGGCGCGTCTCGGGATTGGATTTGGCCATTGACAACGTGGGCTTCCAAGTTAATAATGAGTCTCTTGAGGTGTGTCTTGAGAGCGTCTTGGTCCATGGACGGAGCCTCCAGAACGATGAGGACATCGGTAGATTCATCTGTGAGGTTGTTAGCATTACGGCGCATGTAGAAGCAGAAAGTAGTCAGCATACCGAAAAATAGAGAATCCCTTGTTTCTATCGATTCAATGGATCCTTTTTCTCGGACAAGCTCTCTGAAAGCGTCGTCCAGTGTGAGGTTGGTGTCTGCAGGGACAAGGTAGGTGAGAGCAGCTTGGTCCGCAAAGGAGGTGGCGCCCTCGGCTGGTTCTTCGGGAGGCTGTACAGAAGCAGCCATGTTTATTAGCAAGTTTGAATGCTTGCCATGCGAATTTCCCGATATTTTCTTGCTTTGCTTGCTGCAGAGAACGAAGCTCTCCTGTCGCTGGCTTTGGTTGATGTAGCTTAACCTGTCCCCTAAAGCCCCGCGCCGCGCCGCCCACTGTAGCTACAGGCGGGTCCCCCTTCCGACTTAGCAGCACACGACGGTTTGGCATGCAGGTGGCCCGTGCGTCTCAAAAGAAATGTTCACTGCCAATCTGGCTGGCGCTGGCATCCACCAAAGGTGTTTGCTGGCGGTTTTGCAAACATCGCCGTTGCCTTGCTGCATTGTCCATCTACTAAACCAGTGTCAAAAGACACCAGCTAGGCAATCAAATCGCAGCTCTCCCTTTCAAATCGTTCGCAATGAGCGGCGCCCCGGGACAGTTCGGCGCGCAGGCGTCGTGGCAGGAACACCACACTCCCGACGGCCGAGCCTATTATTATAATGCTACTACAAAAGTCACGCAGTGGACGAAGCCAGAAGAGATGATGGCACCTGAAGAGGTATGATATATTGTATGGCTGCTTGTGTTGAGTGCGTCCACTAACGGTTGATGTTTACAGAAAGCACTTGCTTCCCAGCCCTGGAAGGAGTACACTGCCGAAGGCGGCCGAAAGTACTGGTACAACACCGAAACGAAGCAAAGTTCTTGGGAAATGCCCGAGGCATTCAAGAAGGCGTCCAATGCCTCTACGCCGGTGCCTACTGCTGCTCCATTCGCGCAGCCTGCGGCGCAAGGCGGCTACGATTCTGGCCGAGACGGTGGCCGCGATGGTGGCAGAGATGGCCGCGACGGACGTGACGGGCGCGATTATCGAGATTCTCGTGATAATAGAGACTACCGCGATGACCGAGACAACCGCGACAGATACCACGCCGAAGCCCGCCCCCAAGCGTTCGTCCCCTCGACCAACGACCCCGAATATGCGACAGCTGAGGAAGCGGAACAAGCCTTTGCCAAGCTGCTGCGCCGCAGTGGTGTCCAGTCGGATTGGACATGGACTGACACTGTTCGAGCTGTCGCCAGAGACCCCCAATTCCGAGCTATTCGCGATGCCAAGGACCGACGAGCGGCTTTTGAAAAGTACTGCCAGGACATGGTAGCGCAAGACAAGGAGCGCGCTGAGGAGCGCTTGACGAAGCTGAGGGCGGACTTCGAGACAATGCTTAAGCGCCACCCTGAAATCACTCATTATACGAGATGGAAGACAGCCCGGCCCATGATTGAGGGCGAGACCATTTTCCGATCGACTAATAACGAAAATGAGCGTAGACAAGTCTTTGAGGAGTATATTGAGACGCTCAGAAAAGCACATGAAGAACGAAAGGCGAGTGTCCACAAGAGTGCCATGGATGGCTTGATTGACCTGCTACCCAGGCTGAACTTGGAAGCGTACACTCGGTGGTCGGATGCTCAGGACCTTATTTCCTCCACCGCTCCCTTTCAGAGCGAAGAGAAGTATCGCGCATTGACGCAATTTGATATCCTCACCGCATTCCAGAACCACATGAAATCCTTGGAAAGAGCCTTTAATGACGCCAAGCAGGACGAGAAGAACCAAAAGTTCCGCAAGGAGCGCATGGCCAGAGATGCCTTCAAGTCTCTTCTGACTTCCCTCCGAAAGGAGGGTAGGGTCAAGGCTGGTACCACATGGACTCAAGTTTATCCGCTGATCCAGGGAGACGATAGATACAAGAGCCTTGCCGGTAATGGCGGTTCAACTGCCCAGGAACTGTTCTGGGACGTGGTAGAAGAGGAGGAGCGTGGCCTACGTGGGCCAAGAAATGACGTCCTTGACGTTCTCCAAGTAAGTCTGCCGCTTTTGATGCTTCTTAACTTCAAACTAACACTATACAGGATAAACGGTTCGAGATCACTCCCTCCAGCCAGCTGGAAGAATTCCTCTCCGTCATGAAGGATGATCGTCGCACTGCTAACATTGACATGGATATTCTCAAACTTCTTTTTGAACGAGTACGTTTGCCCCAGCATTATGTTTGATGTGTGCATTTTACTAATAGATCACAGTTGCGTGATAAGCGGCCAGCCAGACGCGACGACGACCGTCAGTCCGAACGCCAACAGCGTCGTGCCGTCGACGATTTGCGAGCTTTCCTTAAGCGTGTCGAGCCTCCAATCACGGCAGCCGATACATATGACAAGGTACGACCTAGACTACTCAAAGCAGAAGAATTTGAGGCAGTCGCCTCGGAAGACGCACGCCGCTCAGCCTTTGAGAGGCATGTACGCCGACTGCGAGACAAAGATGAAGGTGATCGCCCCTATCGCCGCGAGGACCGTATGTCAGTCGATCGCGAGGCGCCACGCCGTGAGCGAGACCGTTCTAGAGGTGAGAGATCTCATCGCGGCGGCCGCTCATCTCGTCGCAGTCGCAGCCCAGAACAGGATCCCTACGAGGCCGATAGACGCCGCGCCATTGCTGAGCGCGAGCGCAACCATCGCAAGACAACCATGGCAGAGAACATGCTATATGAGCGCGAACGCCGACCCTCGCCTCCTCGTCGCGACCGTGAGCGTGACCGAGACTATGACCGCCCACCGCGTTCTCGACGAGACGATGAGTTGCCGTACGACCGCGACCAGCGCCGTCGTCGTCCTGAACGCGGAGGCCCCCAGGAAGAGCTTCCCTACGGTGACGACCGACCAGCTTCTGGATCGCGTCGCCGCCGGCCCGAAGGCGAAGACGACTACAACAGAAAGAACTCTCGAGACTCCAAGGTATGTTAAAATTCCCATCTACTTGCAGTATGTATACGTTAAGCTAACATGGTTGATTAATAGCGTCCGAGAAAAGACCGATCACCTGAGCGCACGCCTGCTCGTGATGCTCCCCCTCCAGAAAAAGCGGCATCACCGTCAGCTTCCAAGGATATTATGAGTGGCAGTGAAGAAGGTGAGATTGAAGAATGATTGTTACACATTTGTGAACCCTTGTTCCCTTCACTACTTCACTCAAGCTTCTTATCTATATGATCCAGGACTGTGCCGAACGGCAATACACCATCCATTTACCCTGGCAAGTATACTATGTAATTTGGTCGTGTATGTTTCCTTTTCCTGGTAGCATATCCTGTTTTGGAGTCATCAGCATGATTGCTATTTGCCACTGCCTGTATAGAAATTTGAATTATAATTTAATACATGCGATTAAGCCGACTTGCCTACCTGTGTCCATAAACAGATGCATATACATACATTCACACATATCTCACAGGTCTATTGTAGTGAGAACACGATTGCATAATCTTGAACTAGCTTTTTATTGAGATAGCATAAAGTTTATTGACAAAACATCATAAAAATAGGTTTGCTTTTTTTAAACAAAAAACGAAGATCGTTTCCCGCGAGGCTAGGAAACATGAGACGGCAGTCATCGTTAGCTTGATCCATTGTCCCTCAATCTGCAGAGCCGTGGTTTACCAGATAAGATAAACCTGACGGACATTATGTTCTGCAGGACCAGACAACAGGTGATAGACTGCCGTCGCCGTGGCTAATCGTCTGGATCGTTATCCTCGCTGGCGCAGCATTCATCTAAGCCTAGTCCATTTTCCTCTCCAGCGCCACTTTTAAGTTGTGATCCCTTGCTCATTCCTGGTGGTGGAGTGAAGCAAGTGTGATCAGGGCGACCATTATCCTTGTAGTTGCCCTTTTCAAGCACTCTTGTCGGGGCCATCCTCCAAGAAGAAGTAGTTGCCTCCGAGCTTCTGCTCCTGGTCGAGCTGAGAGTCCTTCTTGTTGATACGAGGACGGTAGTTGGTGGGGTCACGACGGAAAGTAACGTCAAGGTTCTTCAAGAAGGCGTTGCAGCCGGTGAGGAGAGACTCGGGCTTGTTGGCGTGAGCATCGATACCAGGCTTGCCGTCAAAGACAATGACACGATCAGCAAGGTAGGTAGCCATGATGAAATCGTGTTCGACGACAAAGGCGGTCTTCTTGTTGTGCATGATGAAGCGCTTGATGACACGAGAGGCGATAATACGCTGCTCGGAATCGAGGTAGGCAGAAGGCTCGTCGATGAGGTAGATATCAGCAGGCATACCGAGAGAAAGAACAATGGCAACACGCTGCAATTCACCACCGGACAAGTTCTTGACCTCCTGGTCAATGAAGTCGTCGAGCTTCAGAGGCTTAACAACATCAGTCTGGAACTGGGGAGACAGGAAAGCGGGCTTGATCTTCTTGAAGAAAAGCTGGCGGACAGTGCCGTCGAACTTGGGGGTAATGGTCTGGGGCTTCATGCTAATCTTCATCTCGGGGACACCAGCCTTGCTGTCGGGCTTGAGAACACCAGCCAAGAGACGGCAGAAGGTGGTCTTGCCAGTACCGTTCTCGCCCATCATGACAATGATTTCAGAGTCGGTGAAGTCACCAGCATCGATGCGGAGACGGAAGTTGCCCAGGGTCTTCTCCATCTTGGGGTACTTGAAGGCACGCGAGCGGTCAATAGCCAGCTCGTCAGTAACTTCAGCGATGCGGAAAGTGAGCGATTCCTCACGGAAACGCAAGTTCTCAGTGGGGATGTGACCATCCAAGAAGATGTTGATACCTTCACGAACAGAGTAAGGCAGAGTAACAACACCATAGATGGCGGGCTTTCCGTACAAGACGCAGATGTAGTCGGAGAGGTAGTCAAGGACGGACAAATCGTGCTCGACGACGAGGACGTAGTCATCATCGCGGAGCAGAGATCGAATGATTTGAGCGGCACTCAGACGCTGCTTAACATCGAGGTAAGATGAAGGCTCGTCAAACATGTAGACATCGGCCTTTTGCACACAGACGGTACCAATGGCGAAACGCTGAAGCTCACCACCGGAAAGGAGGGTGATGTCACGATCCATAATGTGGTTGAGCTCAAGGATATCGGCGACACTGTCCATGTTCTTGAGAGTGTCACGGCTAGAGATCAAGGCTCGGACACTCTTCTCCGGGCCACGGACAGCCTTGGGAATCTGGTCTACGTATTGAGGCTTGACGACGGCCTTGAGATCGTCTTCAAGAAGCTTGGTAAAGTAGTCTAGATGGATTGGTCAGCGACATATGTTTGGGTATACATGTAGGCATAATGGTGGCTTACTCTGCAATTCAGAACCACGGAAGTACTTGATGACATCTTCCCAGTCAGGGGGGTTATCGTATCGGCCCAAGTTGGGCTTGAGCTTGCCGCTGAGAATCTTCAGGGCGGTACTCTTGCCAATACCGTTGGTTCCGACAAGACCGAGAACCTGACCAGGGCGAGGCATGGGGAGACGGTGAAGCTTGAAGCTGTTGGGGCCATATCGGTGAGTGACCTGGCTCTCGAGGTTGGTGGGCAAGTTGATAATAGTGATGGCGTCAAAAGGGCATTTCTTGGGGCAGATACCACAACCGATGCAAAGGGACTCGGAGATGAAGGCGAGGCGGGAATCAGGAGCGACTTCGATACAGAGCTTGCCACTTCGAACAACAGGGCAAGATTTCTTGCATTCTTGTCGGCACTTGCGAGGACGGCACTATTTTTTGCGGGAAAATGTTAGTATTTTGTTATAGATGGCGGGGTAGTTTCGCATCGCGGGGCGGAAGGGGATGGCACGAACTTTGTCATCGTTGACGATGGCAATACTAAAGAAAGAAGGAAAAAAATACGTTAGAAAGAGGTTCTTTGTATAATCATTTAGAATAGACAGCTTGAATAGCTTCGAAAGCTGATTTGTGCTGCGGGCGCATCGACATACCGAGTGAGCTTGTCCGACATGGTGGGCGATGGTGGGGTTGCAAATTTTCAAGATGCGTGTGTTTTTTTTGGTGTGGCGCGTGATGAAGCAGCCAAGTCGAAACAGAAGACAAAAAAGAAGAAGAAAATCCCGGAGAGAATCGAAGCAGGTCTCGAAACGCTGTGGCGGGTGGGATGACAAGGAGAAGCTCGTGGAGCGGCGCCGTTGAGGGGAAGAGAGAGAAAAGAAATGGTTTTAGTTGCAAAGCCAGGGCCAGTGGGTGGGTTGGTGGCCGGTGGTGTGTGGTGGAGGTGGTCATCAAATTTTCTGGCCCTGTGAATCGCTGAGCTGGCATAGGCGGAGCAGGTACCTTTTTGCGCCATTTTGTATGGTGTAGGGACTTGGCGGAGCCTTGGGCACCAAGCACTGCGGGTTTAGAGGGAGGACGTAGACGCGTAGGGTAGGTGAGCTGTGTTGGCAGAAAAAGTTAATTTAAAGAAAAAAAAAAGGCAACACAAAAAATATCATGTTAATCTATCATAGTCTGTACAGCCTACTTCCATACAACCGTGCTGTCATTGAATACCGTGCGGTGTTTTGGTTAAATGTATCTCTTACATACGGTGTACTCTGGCAAACAAGTACAATGCAGACTATCTGCAGGCTGGCACTAGCGCCATTGTCAACCACCGGTCGTCTTCCTTCTTCTGGCTCAAGCAATGACCAGCAACCAACTGGTAGCTGCATAAAATAGTCAATATTTTCTAAAAAGAGTACCAAAATACACCTTACCATATTTGTCCTAGTATGATGCTCAACCAACATAGTCAACGCGGGGACACGGGATCCTTCGGCGACTTGTGTACGTATAAATGGCACGGCCCAACCGCCGTGTAGACTTGCTGACCCTTGGTAATAACATCAGACGAATATACTGTTAAAAATGTTTGCAAAACTAAACATCTCTGTTTTCATTACCTTGCTTGCCGCAACTTTGGCTGCGGCTGTACCCGTTCCCGAGGCCACCAAGGATGACTGCCCTTGCTGTGGCATCCCGCCCAACGGCTCTTCCTGCATGCCCCCTTAGATGAAGTACGGTGAGTACTCTGATGCATTGCAGATCCTTGGAACAGTTGATGGCTAATATAAGTAGTTGTAGGTGGCTGCTATTCCACATTCGACAAGAGTGATCTATTGGAAGACGGATGGTGGCCAACGGGGCGCACATAAATTTCTTGTAATTCTATTCAAACATTGACTCACGGAGTTTACAATAATCAAATAAGAAACTTATACTCTCTATGTATACGTATCGATAACTGAGTGTATCATTAACATAGGTAGGCGGATCGAAAGAGTTGCCAGCGCACCTTGCAGCTACTGCTCCGACGCCCAGCAGGAACTGTAGATTTTTTGCAGCCAAGAAACTATTCCGCCAATCTGTTGCCATTAGCATGCGACTCTGCAATTACCAAAACAAAACTCCCTAAAAGAAGTTTCAGCGCGCGGCATTGCCCATCTACAACACGACAGTTCCCATCGAAGGCAGGGTCGCCAAGGTTTGGTCCTACCACGTGACCACAATCTGCCGCCAGTGGGCCCTGCACTCCGTTTGCTGTGAGGAAAGCTGTGGTAGTGGCCCGGCTCAGGCCAAAGTCAGCCCAGCCGCGCCTGTCTTTTTCGGCGCTGGTGCCCCGTAACCTCCAATTCTTTCTGCTCTCTGCCAGTGCCTTTTTTGTGACATAGACGGCCGCCTCCTTCAACCACGCCGTCGTCCGCTTCTCCGTGACGAGCCCCGTTTTGAATTGCACTTTTGCTTTGAGAAACATTTTTCAATGCGTATGGAGCGATAAGGGAACATTTATTCATGATTTGTAAGTCCCGTTTGCCGTCACTGCTTGCTGCTAGCCCTCGACTTCCGCCGCGAGATGGTCCCCAAGAAGATCCGATTTCGACCCGAGCCATAGCCGTCGCATACATCTATTTTCTCGATGTTTTTAGATGGTAGATTATATTTGTATGCATCGAAATAGCTCGCAGCAATCGCCGTTTCACCCAAGCGTCTCTCCTGGCTCAGAATTCTCGCCACCAAACCCCAATTTGCCGCAGGCCTCGTCCTCATCCCAGCCATCCCCCAGGCTTCTTGTATGCCATTAGATTGATTGTTCTATCAAGTATATATGGTTTTGACGCCTTAGCAAACTATTCAATGACCCCATCGCACCCAGAAGCCAAATCATCGCTAGCAGCACGCAGTCTTGCGCGAGAAAATTCTGTCCATGCTGACCAAATCATCACTACATAGGCAGTTTCCGTCGACCGATATCGCAGACATGTCTAGCCCTGCTCTAGGGAGTCCTATCAATGGACATGTAATAAAGGACGATGACGTTGCGTCTACCGACCTCCCTGAGCGACACCGAAATGGCAGCGACGCGCAAAATGGCGTTGACGATGCCGTGCGACCTCCATCGCCGTCGGCCATGTCGGATACCATCGAAGATGCGCCGAATCACGCAGACGAGGATAATATGGTAGAAGATGATGCCTACAGTGATGAAGACGCGTCCCATGATGCAGACTACGAGATGCACGAAAGCCCGCAGTCGCACCATGATGACCACGACGAGATCCTCCCAGACCGAGCCAGTTCGACAGACTCCAACCGAGCTTCTAAGCGCAAAGCCCCGGCTGAAGAGGATGATTTTATACGCGCAAACCCAGAGCTATATGGATTGCGTAGAAGTGTAGGACCACAATCAATGTGTGAGGTTGCGTTGAATCACTCTGCTGACGTTTCAATTGTAGCGCCGCCCCCGAGAGCAACCAAAGATTGTAGGCATCAATAAGCCATGCTGTTCCGGAAACTTTTAGTTCTAACCACTCGAATAGGTCGAATCGGAATCAGAATCCGATGTTGCCCCAACAAACCGTCGACAACCAAAGCGCCGCCGCGTAGACGACTCACATACATGTTCGCTATTGTCTTGACCCGACAGTCTTGATCTTGTTATACTAACTCTGCTTGCTAGCGTCGAAACGTGGAACCCCTGTCTTCCAAATGTCAACTAACGATTCCGAATCCGATAGCGATGTGTACGGAGGTGCTCGCGCTAAGCAACAGCTGAAAAAGGCTCGCCAGAAGCTTGAATCGCAACCGTCTCTCGCATTTGCAGAGAAGCGATGGTCTAGCAGACGAGCCGCCCAGGTCCAGCAAGGCGCTTACGAAGAGACCGATGGCGATGAAGACGAAGAGGACGCAGAAATTGTTCAAGACTATTATGTGGCTGACTACGTCGACGACTCCCCCTACGTTGAGAAAGTTATCAAGCACCGCATCCGCCAAGGCTTCGAGCTTGCGTACGACTCTAGCCGCTACGACTTCGAATATTTTGTCAAATGGGAAGGCAAATCCAACATGCACGACACATGGGAAACCATTGAATCGTTGCGAAACGTTCGTGGCTTTCGCAAAGTCGAGAACTATTTCCGTAAGTTCGTTGAATACGAGCTTGACATCCGATTTGGTGAAGATGTTGCCCCAGAAATCAAAGAACAATTCTTCTTGGATCGTGAGAGAGACGACGAAGCGTTCGAAGACTTCACCAAGGTCGAACGCGTCGTCGCCGTCAGAGATGGTGACGAAGGCGATGAATACTATGTCAAGTGGAAGGGATTGACTTACGAAGAGTGTACTTGGGAGACTGCTGCAAATATCAGCACTGACTTCCAAGACCAGATTGATCAATACCTTGACCGGGCGTCCCGCTCGTGGCAATCTGATCGCAAAGAATCCAATCTGGCAACTCGATCGCGCATGACCAAGCTTGAAACCCAGCCAGACTACATCAAATTCGGAGAGCTCCGCCAATTTCAGCTTAGAGGTTTGAACTTCTTGAGCTTGAACTGGTGCCGCGGAAACAACGTTATTCTTGCTGATGAAATGGGTCTTGGCAAGACGGTTCAAACCGTGTCTTTCCTGAGCTGGCTGAAAAACGACCGACGCCAGGAGGGCCCATCGCTCGTCGTAGCACCGCTTAGTGTTATCCCTGCTTGGTGTGATACCTTTAACAACTGGTCCCCAGATATCAACTATGTCGTCTATCTCGGACCGGAAGATGCACGAAACACCATTCGACAGCATGAGCTGCTCATTGATGGTAACCCGAAGAAACCCAAGTTCAACGTTTTGGTTACTTCTTACGAATTCATTCTTCAAGATTGGCAATTCTTGCAGTCAATAAAGTGGCAAGTTCTTGCCGTTGACGAAGCCCATCGTCTCAAGAACAAGGAATCTCAACTATACGCTAGACTGGTAGCGTTTGGGGTCCCTTGCAAGGTCTTGATCACGGGTACACCAATCCAGAACAATCTTGCAGAACTATCAGCGCTGCTCGACTTTTTGAACCCCGGCAAGGTCAACATTGATGAAGATTTAGATTCTTTGTCTGCCGTGGATGCGCAAGAGAAGCTCCAAGACCTCCATACCGCTATCGCGCCGTATATTCTTCGACGAACCAAAGAGACTGTCGAGTCCGATTTGCCGCCGAAGACAGAGAAGATTATTCGCGTTGAGCTGTCTGATGTGCAGCTCGACTACTATAAAAACATTCTCACGAGAAATTACGCTGCCCTTACGGATGCTAATTCGGGTCACAAAAACTCGCTGCTGAACATCATGATGGAACTGAAGAAGATCAGTAACCACCCATACATGTTCCCTGGAGCAGAGGAGCGCGTGCTAGCCGGCAGTACTCGTCGCGAAGACCAAATTAAAGGTCTCATTACCAGCAGTGGTAAAATGATGCTCCTTGATCAGCTGTTGACAAAAATGAAGAAAGACGGCCACAGAGTGCTTATCTTCAGTCAGATGGTGAAGATGCTCGACATCCTAGGTGACTACCTGTCGATGCGCGGCTATAAATTCCAAAGACTTGATGGTACCATTGCTGCCGGCCCGCGACGCATGGCCATCAACCATTTCAACGCTGAAGATAGTGAAGACTTTTGCTTCCTGCTCTCTACCCGTGCTGGTGGTCTTGGTATCAATCTGATGACAGCCGACACTGTCGTCATTTTTGATTCAGACTGGAATCCCCAAGCCGACTTGCAAGCCATGGCAAGAGCTCATCGTATTGGTCAGAAGAAGCCTGTCAACATTTATCGACTAGTTTCAAAAGAAACTGTCGAAGAAGAAGTGCTGGAACGTGCCCGTAACAAGCTCTTGCTCGAATACTTGACTATTCAAGCTGGCGTAACTGATGACGGCAAGGCGGCATTCAGGGAGGAATTCAACAAGAAGGGAATCAAGGTTGATGGCCCGTCTTCCTCGGAGGACATCCAAATGGTGCTAAAGATGCGTTCGTCCAAGATGTTTGAACAGAGCGGAAACCAAGAACGCCTGGAGCAGCTTGATATTGACTCTATCCTGGAGAATGCCGAAATCACAAAGACAAAGGTTGATGACAAGATTAACCTTAGCAGTGGTGGTATTGATTGGGATAATTTCATGCAAATCACGGATGTTAAAGTGGACGATATCAATCTCGACTGGGATCAGATCATTCCAGCCGAAAAGATTGCTGAGATCAAGTTGGAAGAAGAGAAGCGTCAACACGACGATTATCTTGCAAAGGTCGCTGCCGAGAGTGCACCCCGACGCGCGGCTGTTAAAAGCCGAAACAGGGAGACGGAGCGAGCCGATCGACTTAAGAAGCGCCAGCGTGAGCAACAGTTGGAAGAAGAAGAACAACGGGCTCTTGCGGCAGACCCGCGCCGTCCGCTCAACGACAAGGAGCAGCGTAACCTCATCAAAGCTTACTTCCGCTACGGATCTATGGATGATCGCACAGAGGATATTATCCGTGAAGCCAGGCTCGGGGAGCGCGACGCTGATTTTGTCAAGGAAGTCTTGGGTGACTTCATCAAAGCTGCACAAGAAGCTGTTGATGAAAATACCAAGAGGCTTGCTGACGAAGAGTCGAAGATGGGCAAGACGCTGACCAAGAAGGACAAGAAGGCAGTTTTGATTGATTTCGGAGAACTTAAGAAGGTCAACGCTGAAACCGCCATTGAACGACCCAAGCAGCTCAAACTGTTGAGAAAGGCAATCACTTCATGCGCTGACTGGAAAACGTTCCGTCTTGCCGAGGCCACGAAAGCAGCTAGTTATAGTTGTCCCTGGGGCGCTAAAGAGGATGCGATGCTTCTTGTTGGCATTGACCGACACGGTTTTGGTGCCTGGGTTCAAATCCGCGACGATGCTGACCTGGAAATGCAAGATAAATTGTTCTTGGAAGAACACCGCGTTGGCAAGAAAGAGGAGCGCAGTAAAGGCAACGACAAGCTGAAGGCCCCTGGTGCTGTTCATCTGGTGCGTCGAACAGAGTACCTACTCTCTGTGCTCCAAGCAAAGCATTCTCCAGACCGACAAAAAGCGCTAGATGGCCATCATCGTGTGAAGAAACAGTCCGTCAACGGCCGCGGCAGCGCTGCAGCCTCTCCATCAAGCCATGGCCCTAAGCGGCCACGCGAGCGCGAGCGCGAAACGTCCCATAGCTACACGGACGATCGCGGAACCCCTCGTCCTGACTTTAAGCGCAAGCATGCCCCCCGGGATGACGACAGCCGTCGGTCATCTAAACATGGCGACGAGAGAGACCGTCACGATAAACACCGACGTGATGACGAAAGACGCAGTGACAAGCATCGGCACCGTGACGAGCGCCACCGCGACGATCGTCGAGACGATAGATATCGCGATGATCGACACCGGGATGATAGACATCGTGACGACCGTCACCGTGAAGACCGTCATCGAGACGACCGCCACCGTGAAGATAGACATCGTGATGATCGCCACCGGGATGAGAGGCATCGCGACGATAGACACCGAGATGAGCGAAGGCGAGATGAACACAGGGGAGATCGTGATACGGCACACAGGGCTGATCGACAACCTGATGAGCGCCGTACGAAAGCATTACGCCGCCTGGATGAGCTTCGCCGCATTGGTGACAACAAGGATCAACGTGATCAAGACAACGACGCGATGATTTGGTACTTGTTGAAGCCTGTGCGAGACAACTTTGAGCGAATCCTATCGACTACCAAAGACAACGTCAAATCTAGTAAAGAGCGAGCGTCAATCTTTGGAGTTGAGCTGGTTGTGATTGGTACATTTTTGGACGAAAGACTACCTGTGACGGCATCCGACGAAGGGCTCAAGGCGAACTTTTGGGACTTCTTAGCCGCGCTGTGGCCAGTAGACGATACGAGCAAGACGGTGACTGGCTCGCGATTGAGCAATATGTATAGGACACTACATGGACGCAAGAAGGATGTGTCATCGACACCCACCAAAACCAATGGGGCTTGAAATGGACAAGCCTAGATTGGAGTAGACGATTCAAGAATTCTGAAAGTTGTACTGGATTTGACTCTCGCATTGCGAAGACGAGCATTTTACAGCATTTGTCGGGCGTTTGGTACAAAGGATGGCATTTGTATGGCTTCACACCTGTTTTTTGTTTTTGGAAGTGGGGAAGAGGAGAGGAGCAGATGTAGTATGGCAGCTTGCGCACCCAGGTTCGAAGCATTTCCAACTGCAATGAAGAGAAAAGATTTACAGAAAGGTGGCAGATGAAAGAGGCGAGCCACGTTTGCCGATGCACAGCGGGGGAATAACGCGTCTAGGAGCAGCGGAGCAGGCCATGTGTACATTTATACCGTTTGTTATTGTATGTTGGTTGCTTGATTTTCTTTGCCTTGATTTTCCATTTCGCTTTGTTTCTACTTCAGCAACCATCATATCGACAGCATTAGCGTAATTAGAAGGCAAACTGAGAGTCGAGATCAGCAATGCCACAACTGAGTAAAATACTGATGGAAAATTTGAATTATAAACTTTCATTTCGATAAATAGATGGCTATTCATCTCGTGTGCCATGTAATTTTAACATGGTATCTGTGGCAACTAATGCTCGTCGTGATGGCGGAAGCATGGCTGAGAGTAGCCAATGCAGCCACCATTCAATGCGAGTGTTTGTCGCCTAGAATTGAGCAGCACAAGCTTATTGTTTTAGCGCATTAACGCAAACTATGGCGGTTTAAATTTAGGCGCAACCCACCCGTGCATTCCACGCTACAGAGCAGCGCCCGGTGACCACGTTGCGGACGTCCACGCTTCCGAAGCCTAACGGAGCTTCGACACCGGCGGTCTCGGGGCCGAGCTGATGGGGGCGCTCTCAACAGCTCCACTTCCGGCGCATTACCACGTCCGGCGATTACGCAGGGACCAAATCAACCGCCAGCTGCCAACCGCCAGGTGCGAGCCAACTGCAAACTGCCGACTGCCGCCCACGCCACGCTCCCAACGCAAACCCTATTTTGCCTGCGCAGGAAACGCACGCTTCTCATCCTACAGCTTTCAATGCGCATCGTCTGCCACCACTCAGTCATAGCTACCTTCGCGAAACAATGCCCAACGGCCCGTTCGCCGTAGAGCGATCGGTCGCTGAGCTCGCCGTCGTGAGGGCGGTACAGCTTGTCAAGCACGACCAAGGCCGCAACGCCCAAGACATACCAAACCGAAATGGAAACCCAGTCGCCACAAGCAGCTTCGTCTCACAGGCGCTGATAGTCGCTGCTATCAAAGAAATGTTCCCGAACGACCGTTTCGTTTGCCAGGAAGACTCCTCGCTCCTTCGCACCAACCCCGCCATCAACAAGTTTGTCTATAAACGCACCTCGAGCATCAAGATGGAGGGCATGGTGCCGGGCAAGTTCATGGATGCACCAAAGTCCCCCGAGGAACTGCATGAACTACTTGACCGTGGCAAGGGCGGCACCGAGCGCACTGGCCGGTTCTGGGTCGTCGACCCCATCGATGGCACATTCTCATACCTCGTTGGCGAACAGTGGGCTATAGCTGTCTGTCTTGTCGTAGATGGAGTTGAGGTGGTCTCTGCGGTGGCTTGCCCAAACCTCAAGATCGTCAACGGCCGCATCTCCGAGACAAACGTTGATGTACACGGAATGGGTCTCTTGTTTTCCGCAGAGAAAGGGTTTGGTGCTGGCATGAGGACTCTTGACACATTGTCTGCCATTCTGCCTACAAGAAAAAAGCTCAACCCTGTTGCTGCATCTGCTGATCCCAAGCATCCCGTTATTGTTGCAAGCACATACTCTCATATTCTGCAGCTTGATGTGACGGAAGAGACGGCAGACAGGCTCAGCATTCAGTACCCCAACATTAATATCTGGTCCTCGCATGTGCGGTATATCGCTCTTGTCATTGGTGGAGGTGACTTCTTCCTCAGAGTACCTCTGCAACAAGGCTATAAACCATATATATGGGACCATGCCGGCTCCCACCTAATATTTACGGAACTAGGCGGCATTGTGACCGACTTGGATGGCAAACGACTCGACTTTTCCTGCGGCAGGTATTTAGCAAAGAACCGAGGCATGGTTGCTGCCCGAGCGGAAGTCTTTGATAGGGTATTCCATGCCGTTAAGAGGACAATAGCAGAGGCTACCCGTCCGCACCGTGGAGAGTCCTACTATGTGCCCTATAACGACCCGATGGACCGCAATCCTTTGGTCAACAATTATGGCAAAAAAGAAAAACCCAAGCCTCCTGCTGAGACTCCAATGGAGAGAATTGTGAGATTAGCCAAGGAAACTGAACATTCAATACCTGGTCTCCCAATGGGTGCCTCGCGTTTCACCCCGGAGCAGAGAGCGGCGCTTGAGCCTACTCTCTTTGGCGCAGCCGGAGACGGAGATGTGTACGATGACGAGTCAGATGAAGAGGAAGATGAAGACGAGTCGATATCACGAGCCAGTACTGAGACTGTGAGACCGTCGCCCTCGATATATGGCGAGCCAACTATTGAATTAAGAGATGGGGCTACTGGTTCCCATGAAACTTCCGACAAGACAATGCCCACGACTACTGGCGATAGTGTCATAACAGACAAAGCAACAAATAACGACGGAGCGAGCACCAAGGCAACAGAAGATAAAACTGGAGATAACAAAAGGGTAACGGGTGAATCTAAAGATGATAATGCCACGGCCAGTGAGGTTATGAAATCTCAGGGTAATGTCGGTGAAGCTGATTCTCACGACGAGGCTGTCAAGCGGACGGAATCTGATGAGCCATCTACCGCTGACGGACCGGTTGCTTCACAAGTTCCTATTAAGAAAGTGGAGCTTGGAGATGCGTCCAGCAGTGCAGATGTATCAACACCTGACAAAGCTCCTGAACAGAAGGAGCCCCAGGTGGATAACCAAGACGATGTCACCGCACTGATTTCAGAAGCTGAAGCAACAAACGCTCCTACTATTGCTAAGGTTAAGATTCCTATTCATGCCAAGTCCGACGATCCTGCTGCTGAAAGTGATCCTTTGCCAAAGACTCATTAAACCATGAAGACAGATGAGCCAGCAGTTGCGGAAAAGATTGTCCAACCAGAGGTCAAGATAACAGGTGATCAGCATGAAGCTAAGAATAAAGCTCCAGAAGCGCCTGAGCAGGATACGCCTCTGGTAAAGTCGACTCACGACGCTACCAATACTAGCAATCCTGCAAAAGCTGGAGAGCGTGTTGATGCCGCCCAGACTGCCAGTGCTGATGATGCTGGCGTAGTTGCAGAAGTTGTAGAGGCCACAGAGACTACCGATACCGATGATACTACTAAAGCCAAGGTTGATGAATCTACCTAAAGCTACATTAAACAAGAGGCATACTTCCTAGGTGCACATATATATCACTGCTTTTCTCATTGGTGGCTGGGAGGATTGATTATACTTTATATTTGTCTTTTCAAGTTTGTACATAAAAAAGCCTTCATGTTAATATAGTCTTACATCAAACTGCTTCGGCCGCCAATTTCCATGCTCGGCTGGCCGTCCTTCATCTGCCCATTTCGTCCTGCTACAAACTCGTGATATATACGCTGCAATCGTGTCTTTTCATCCTTGCTGATACTGGCTCTTGTGTTCTCCAGGGCCTTCATGACGTGTTTCCATTCAATAACGACCTCACGCTCCTCAGCAACTGGTTTGCTGTTAGAATCAGATGAGCCTGGTGCCTTATGCGCCTGCTTCTCGTTACGGCGGGCAGCCTTGATCTGATTGAGCTTGGACATAATGGCATTTTGCTCCACCAGCGCTGCAGACTTGCTCTTTGGAACCGCAGGGGTTGCCTGCTGGCTCTCATCTCCGTATGGGAATTGAACGAAGCTCGTTGCTGAGCCCCTTCCAGTGTTACGGGCTGACTTAGTTTGAGATGTAGTGCCGCCACTGACACCCAAAACATCGTGAATGGCCTCGAGCTGCGAGTTGGAAACCAAACCCTGCAGATCGGCACCAGAGAAGCCTTCTGTTTGTTGAGCAACAGCCTGTAGGCCATCACCTTCTGCCAACTCTGGAGACAAACGAACTTTCTGGAACAGAGCTCTTAGGATGTCAGCTCGGTCCTCAGTAGAAGGCATGTCGCAGAGTAGCGACTTGTCTAGACGACCGGGACGAAGAAGAGCTGGATCGATCAAATCGGGACGAGACGTGGCAGCTAGAACGTATACGCCGGAAAGACCTTCAGCACCATCCATCTGCGTCAGCAGCTGGTTAACCACGCGGTCAGTAACACCAGTGGAATCGTGGCCTCTCTTGGGTGCAATGGAGTCAAACTCATCAAAGAAGAGTACGCAGGGGCGGGCAGCTTGGGCGCGGTCAAACAAATCTCTGACACTCTTCTCAGAAGCACCAATGTATTTGTTGAGAATCTCGGGTCCCTTAACGCTGATGAAGTTCAAACCACATTCGCCAGCAACAGCACTAGCAAGGAGCGTCTTACCACATCCTGGAAAACCATAGAGCAAGAGACCAGAACGGAGGCGCAGTGGGCATTGAGAGAAGATAGGGGCATATTTTGTCGGGTACTGAAGAGTTTCAAGCAGCACTTTGCGAGTTTCTTGAAGACCACCGATAGACTTGAAGGTCGTCGTGGAGCTCTGAAGCGAGACGTTGCGTAGCGAGGCTGGCGTGAAGCCCTTGAGCGCAGCATCAAAGTCTGCGCGACAAAGATGAACGGTGCGGATCTTATTGTCAGAGGGAGACTCGGAGATGGAACGGATAATTGCCTCGTTCCTAGCACGGGAAATCAGAACTGTCAAGTCGCCAGGCATGTAGCCGTCCGTCTGGCCAGCAAGGTCGAGGAAGTCTAAGTCGCGGTCAAGCACAAAGCCGACTGACTTGTTGTTTGATTGATCTTGTTCTTCAGCTCCGGCAGCGCCGTGTAGCCAGTCGCCATCCTCGTCTGCAGCGCTACCATCCGCAGTTCGCGGACGGCTAAGGCTTTCTGAAGCGTCGTCATCTTTGTCGGCAACAGCGTCAACATGTGCAATTGATTCCATCACCTTTCGTCGAGCTTCCTTATCAGGTGCTTTTAGTTCAACAATTTCCCTAGCCACGTGGCCGCTGACGACAACGTTGTTGACTGATTCCTTGCCTTCTGCAGTTCCTAGCAAGACGATACCGCTGTTATTGGAGCAATGCTGTCTGACAATGGAACGGATAGCCTCGCTAACTTGGCGACTGCGGCCGTTGTCATTGCCAACCTGAAGTTCGGTTTCCACTGGGCAGAGCTTGTCGAGATCATCCAAGATGACCAGTGCTCGCCCACCTAGTCTGGCACCCCAGCTTGCAGACATAAATATGCGGTCCAGGGTTTCTTTGATTGTTGATACTCGAGTCTCATCGTTGACCAACTTTCGGCAGGAAAAGTAGATGGTATGGAAAAGGTTTTCTGAACGGAGCTTCTGTGCTAGATGCTTCGCGACTGAAGTCTTTCCAGAACCCATTGTTCCCGTAAGGAGAACGTTTGAAAGGTGGGATAGATTAGACTGCACGGTTTCGAGAATCTTGTCGATGCCAACCAATAGGGCGTCGTTCGTAGGCAACAGGTCGAAAATATCGGTGTCTGCGATCCAGGATGGTCTGGGCATAGGAGGCTGAAATTCGATAGGGATCTTGGAGTCGGCAGAGGGTAACCACAGAGTAGTTTCTTTGCTTTGTTCGGAGGATTTGAAGTCTGCATTGTACTCAAACTTAACAATACCACCTTCCCAGCCCTGAGGAGCATCGAGTCCGTCAAACACGCCAACCACAATTCCGTCAGTAAGGGGACCCTGCAGAAGGCCCGGTGCCTCCTTCGTGCCAGCATATATGTGTTTGAAGCGCTTTGCTGATTCCTCCTTCTCAGCTTTCGTTTCACTTCCAAATCGGAGGCCCTCGTTAGGCTTGCTGCTGGCTGCAAAGGGGAAGACTTTGATGTGAGAAACCTGGCTGCGTGATACCTGTTGAGTGACACTAGCTGCTTGGAGCTTCACAACACCTCCTACTATATCGACGCATCCAAGCGCGGCGCAGAGAGCCGCGGATAACGCAGCAGTTTGGCCATTGGGGGGATCATCCCATGGAAGCAGGCGAGCAACAACCTTGGAGGTCGCGATTGTTGGTGCAGGGGCAGCACCATCTTCAGCCTGTGGCTTCTGGAGTCCCGCAGGTTTGATTACATCGACGACAACAAAATTGACACCTCTGAACTCATTTGAGAGCAAGCGGTCGCGGTCAACCCAGACAGCCAAGTCTTGAGCAGATGATTCTTGGTCAAACCACTCAATACAGGATTCTCGATTGACAGCCCTGAGGAAAAGTGTAGGTTTCGGCTCGTCCCGGGGTCGCCTCTTGGCTGTGCTATTAGTACTACGCTTCGATTTGGATGTGCTGGCCACACTTCGGTGATCGCTACCACCTTGCGCCGTTTTGGTTCGTGTCTTTGGTGCCACAATGACTTCAGCATTGGGCGACAGTTTAGCGAATGCGATGTCGGTTGCTGGAGTAGGGTCGAGTGAAACAACTCGGATGTTTGCCGTCGATGTAGGCGAAAGGTGCAGCGTCAACGGATGAGTAGGCACAGGCTTGTCGCCACCTCCCGTGTATGCTGGATTCGGCAGCGCTCGGATCTGCGACTGTAAGTTGAGCTCCAAGAAGGTTGCATGAAGCTCAATAATCTCCCAATCCTCGGGTGTGAGAGGTTCAATGTTAATTGTGTGGGCGATTGGTGGATCGACGTGGACTGTCGCCATAACCTTTTGGCCATCATGGAGACCGAGTGTTGAGGCGAGAGTGGCGTCAATCTCTACTAATTGAAGCTCCTGATCACGGGAAGACATGCGATTAGAAGAGTCTCGGCCCATTGGCGCATTGGCACGTCTCTTGCTTGGCATACCGGTCCAGCCGACAAAGACAGAGTGCTGCTGTGACGATGTCTGGACAGCCGAGGCTGGCGCCTTGTAGCTCAATTCGACAATGACATTTTGTGCAGGCTAGGGATTTGTTAGAGAATACGGGCGTACAGAACTGAGCTTGCTACCAAACGGAAGCAAGCATGCGACATGGTACGTACGGTATTGACGTTGACGAGAAGCGAGACGAGCGTGGCGGGGAGGTTGACAAGCGAGTTCTTTAGATGAACAATCGACAGCTCAGCAGCTGTAGACTGCCCATTATTTCGTGGAGCCATGGCGTACAGCGCATTCAGACGCTTCCTTTGACTGGTCTTTCTGCGGAGGGGAGAATGAGGAGCAGGATGCAGAAGCTTGTGCCGAGACGGTTTCAAGACGCCGTGCCTGCTCTCTCCACATATTCCGACTTCCGGCAGCTGGCCGAGGTTGCTCGCACGTGTAGTGGGCCAACCCACGGCAGGAGCTACCTGGGGAAGAAAAACTGAGCCACAGGTGGCTCATGCAAGTTTAATGGGCTGTGGCTTGCCCAACGCGAACAACGCGAAAATACGCGTCCGTTTCTGCGCGCCCGACCCCTGCACAAGCTGCCGCACCGCTGGCGCCCTTCTCCCAGCCCCCCGCCAACCAGCTAATTCTACTGCATTCCTTTACTTCATACGCACCACGACAACCAGAGTCAACTGCTTTGCGAATTGCTGCCAAGGTTCCGCAACTCTGTTTCTGGCACCGACCGTCATTACGGGAGAATTTTTCTTATCATTTCTTCTTCTGAGCTTCATTTGATTCGCATCGATTCAACCACCTTGCGGTCGATAGCTCACCATGGCGCTTCGCACGATTAAACTCGATATTAATTACGAGGGCCAGCAGAGTACGTGAATTGGTCTCCATTAGAAGCGTGGACGTGTTTTTTTCCTTGCTAACAACAATGCTACAGAGGCTTTCGAGGCGTTCTTCAAAACCTTCAAGGCAACCCCCGAGCAGGCACTGACCAGCGCAATTGGCAGCATTTCCATTGACGAAGACGGCCTGAGCGATGAATATGACTTCATGGACGAGGATGACGAGACGGGCGAGCGCCGCCGTCAGGCAAAGCAGCAAGGACCCCAATACAAGTACAAGCAAAAGCTCCAAGATCTCGCCGATCGCAAAACCGACGAAATCACTGTCGACCTAGACGATGTCGCTGCCTGGGAAGAGCAAGTCGGCGACGAAGGTCTACACCTTCTGGACTCAGTCATGCTAAACACCAAGCACTACGTTGATGTCGTCTCCAAGGCTGTCGATAACGCCATGCCTGCGCCTAGCTCCGATGTCAGGTAGGGCTGCGAAGCTTAACTACCTCCCTGCACAAGTGTTAACATAAACTATAGCTTCAAAGACGACGTTCTCGATGTTCTGATGGCTCGTAGACAAGCCCGCAACCAGGAGCTGGAAGCAGCCGCCGAGAGAGATCCCACGCTTGCCGACGACCAGTTCCCTGCCGAACTTACGCGCCGATACACACTCTCCTTCAAGCCACCAACCAACACAGAAAACAGTGCTTCAAAGCCGATGGCTGTTCGCCACGTCCGTGGCGAGAACCTCGGCCACCTTATTACTGTTCGCTCCATCGTCACTCGTGTTTCTGATGTCAAGCCCATCGTCCAAGTCAGCGCATACACTTGCGACCGCTGCGGTTGTGAAATCTTCCAGCCCGTCACTGACAAGCAGTATGGTCCATTGACGATGTGTCCCTCCGAGGACTGCAAGCAGAATCAGTCCAAGGGACAGCTCAACCCCTCCACCAGAGCATCCAAGTTCCTCCCTTTCCAAGAGGTCAAGGTCCAGGAAATGGCTGAGCAGGTCCCTATTGGTCAGATCCCTCGCTCACTGACCGTTCTATGCCACGGCAGTCTCGTCCGCCAGGTCAACCCTGGTGACGTTGTCGATATCTCGGGTGTTTTCCTACCCACACCGTACACTGGCTTTCAGGCTATGAAGGCTGGGCTCCTCACGGATACGTACTTGGAGGCACACTACATTCGCCAGCACAAGAAGGCTTACAGCGAGATGATTATCGATCCTCTTCTCGTTCGCCGTATTGATAAATACAGACAGAGCGGACAGGTATACGAGCTGTTGGCCAAGTCTATTGCCCCCGAAATCTTCGGCCACCTGGATGTCAAGAAGGCCCTCCTGCTCCTCCTTATTGGTGGTGTTACCAAGGAGATGGGTGACGGTATGAAGATCCGTGGTGATATCAACATTTGCATGATGGGTGACCCTGGTGTTGCCAAGTCGCAGTTGCTCAAGTATATTTCCAAGGTCGCCCCTCGTGGTGTCTACACCTCTGGCCGAGGTAGCAGTGGTGTCGGTTTGACCGCCGCCGTCATGCGTGACCCTGTGACCGATGAGATGGTTCTCGAAGGTGGTGCACTGGTCCTTGCTGATAACGGTATCTGCTGTATCGATGAATTTGACAAGATGGACGACAACGATCGTACTGCCATTCACGAAGTCATGGAACAGCAAACCATTTCCATCTCCAAGGCTGGCATTTCCACCACTCTCAACGCCAGAACGTCCATCCTTGCTGCTGCTAACCCTGTCTACGGTCGCTACAACCCTCGTCTCTCTCCCGTAGAGAACATCAACCTACCCGCAGCCCTGCTCTCTCGTTTCGATATCATGTTCTTGTTGCTCGACACACCGTCTCGCGACTCGGATGAGCAGCTCGCCAAGCACGTTGCTTACGTCCACATGCACAACCGCCACCCAGACATTGGCACAGACAACGTTGTCTTCAGCCCCCACGAGGTTCGCTCGTACGTTGCTCAAGCTAGAACATTCCGCCCCGTTGTTCCTGAGTCTGTTTCCGAATACATGATTCGAACATACGTGCGTCTTCGAGACCAGCAGCAGCGCGCCGAAAAGAAGGGCAAGCAGTTCACTCACACAACGCCTCGTACTCTTCTTGGTGTTGTTCGTCTGGCACAGGCTTTGGCCCGTCTCCGCTTCAGCAATGAGGTTACGCAAGACGATGTTGACGAGGCTCTCCGCCTGATCGAGGCCAGCAAGGAGAGCTTGAACTACGAGGTTGGAAACGGTCGCCGTGGCCTCAACCCCAGCAGCAAGATCTACAACATGGTCAAGGCCCTGGCTGATTCCGGTGCTTGCCGTGCTGACGACGTCGAAGACGACGAACTTGGCATTGAGCTCAACATGAGAAAGGTCAGGGAGAGAGTTCTTGCCAAGGGTTTCACAGAAGACCAGTGGCTTAACGCATTGGACGAGTACACCACTCTTGACGTGTGGCAAACTGCTGGCAATGGTACCAGACTGGTCTTTGTTACTGCTGGTAACGAGGAGGGCATGGATGATTAGAAAAAATAAACTTCATCGCATGATTCGCATTGCTTAGGGAGGGGCTGTGGCGTTTTTGGACATGATTGAACTCTGGGATCGGGAATGATTGTTGTAACACTTTGCTGGTCTTATCTATGTTTCTCTTTTCTTTTTTCTTTTTTCTATGTTTCTGCTAATACAACATTGAATGAATAATGTCATTTCTTCATCACACATCTCCAAGTAGAAAGGGAACAATCTTTGTAAGGGAAAAAAGCGATTGTATTCCGAGTTCAGATAATGTTACGGGGATATAATACAGGTTTCTTTTAGGGCTACAAGATAGTGAAGCCACCTAGTTTTTACATGTGCATTGTCCTCAATGCAGCTCTCTCCAGCTCGCCGACATTACCGTGTCCAGCGAGACTCCATTTCTCCTTGACCAAGTTTGACGTAATAGCGCTACGAAGGAGGCCGCTGGCACCCCAGTACTCCATCAATGTTGTGGTCTCGGGGACAGACATGCCCTCAATACGCATAACATGGACGTTCTTGAGCGACTCATACACACGTTCGTCGTATTTGCGCTCGTATGGGTCGGGTGTCGGGATTTCATCCTTCTTGCCAGCTTGTCCGGCTTCCAGTTGAGCAAGGACGAGCTCTTGGGAAGGGTGGCGGTGGTTGTTGTTACCAGAGGTGGCCGCGATGATAGCACCACCATTGGGAAGCTTGGTTTTGCCAGCGAGGGCATCAACGAACATGCGGACAACGACAAGGTCGTGGGCGTGAACAGGCTCGAACTCGGGGCTGCGGTAGTCGCTCATCATGTTGATGTGTGAAACACCGTCGAGGCAGAACAAGACGGGTGGGCGACCGGGAAGAGTCAATTCCTTCCAGAGGGCTTGAAGAGATGGCCAAGCGGCATCACCTTCCTTGGCGTTGACAATGAGATCTGCCAAACTAGCACCCTCCTTCAGATTTCCAACAAATGAGGACTTTTCCTGAACTGGCAGGCTAGAAAGGACCTTCTTGTTGGCCTTGAGGATGTTCTGGAGCAGCTTGATAATATATACAGGCTGAGAGTATTGCATCGGCTGTGAGTCGGGGATCGGGCTGTATTCGGTGTTGCCGTTGGTGAGATCCTGGCCTATATATATCTGTTAGTTTGCTTTGCTACAGTCAACATGGGTTGGGATCGTATACGCACCCTCAGGTATGCTGACGACGACCCATTCGTTCAGGAGCGCATGGCTCATTGCCTGCAGCATGGCAAGACTCTTGCCTGATAGACGACTGCCAGTCAATACAATCTTGGCGGCCTTCTTGGAGGCTTTGGAGTCCTCTAATTGTTGAATAAGCTTCGCTGTCTCTTCGCGAACAAGAACATGGGGGGCGCGGAATAGATTCCAGGCCTGTGTAGTCTTGAACGCCTCCAAGGCTCGCAATTGGTCCACCACAGCATCAGAAAGTCCAAACACTTTGCCAATGTTCTCCTTTTGTGACATTGTCGTGCTTTCCAGCTTCTCGAGACCCTCGACAGGCAACGCGCTATTGTTGCTCAGCTGGATTCTCTTGCGGAAGGCCTTGCGCTCTCCGGGGTTGGGCTTTTTCACCGGGGCAGCGGTAGCCTTCTTCTTGTAGTTCTTCTTGACCTTTCTCGGAAGATCTCTTCGGCTCTTGACTGATGGAGCAGCGGAGGCGGCGGCGGCTCGAGTGGTTGAGAAGGGGGCGGCGGCGACAAAGATGGGCTGGATGCGCGGCGCCATGGGAATCGTCGGGCGTAGGAGCACCCTTAGAGAATTGACGGTGGCCATTATAATAGTCGACACAATTGATGTGTCTGATTAGCCGCAGGGAATTGGATTGGGTGGTTGTCGACTCAGGGGGCGCCGGCGGATCAAGGCAGCCAGCGGCGTTGGTGCTCTGGGATGAAAATCACGACCGTGGATTATTTTGCCAGTACTGCTCTCGTGACGGTTTACAGGGGCTGCTTTAGTGAGTGCCACAGGCACTGCGCAGCTGGTCGCCAGCGGGCGCCGGAAAATTTGTTGACCCTAGATCCGGCCAGCCCAGCTTTCCTTATCGACAAACGGAAAAAAAGTTTAGAGCGACTAGCCATCTCTGTTATAACCAAGCACAAAGGCAGACATTCTCCATTGCTTGCCAACAACGGACTAAAATATACCATACGAACTCTTTCCAGCAGACATTTAAATATAGACTGGATATTACTGCCCAGAATGTCTCTCCCCACCACCCCCAAGCTGCCTGTGGCTGTTGAAAAGCCTACAGCCTACACCTTCGATCTCGGCCACCTTATGGCTGAGGACCCCAACAGCATTAGTCTCGACAAGTCCGATCTCGAGCAGTCTCTTGCCGAAGTTGCCCGCGATGGTGCCCAAGTTCTGATCAACCAGCTTCTCACAACCTGCGCCCTTACTTCCACAACCGACGGCGTCCTGCTGACGCTGCCCCAGCCTACAACTCGCCTCCCCCGCGAGAAGCCTATTCCTCAGGTCAAGCCTCCTACCAAGTGGGAGCGCTTCGCTGCCAAGAAGGGTATCAAGGCCAAGACAAGAGAGGCTCGCCGCAACCTTGCCTACGACGAGACCACTGGAGAATGGACACGCAAGTGGGGATACAAGGGCCTCAACAAGAAGGGTGAGGATGCTCCCATCATGGAGGTCGACATGGAGGCCGAGAGAACACGCAAGGAGGGAACCAGCATTCGTGGAGACGGCCGCAGAGAACGCAAGGAGAAGATCAAGCGCAACGAGCGCAAGATGCGCAAGAACCAGCGCGATGCTGCAGAGTCTCGCAAGTAATTGGTGGGCAAGGGCTGAAAGAAAAGTTTGTTTGCTTGTATATGGACTGCAGTATCGTGCACGGTATATCGTGGCATTGGCGTTAAGGGCTACGGCGTTTTTATAAAAATAGTCTGGGATTATTTACTTGAATACAAAAAGGGTTCTCAAACAATCTCCTAGTAATCCATACCCGCAGTGCTGGTTGCAGCGCAAACGTGATGCTAGTAAAACTTTTAATCATCATATTTTGCTTATAATAAGCCGTCTGGCCACGACGACTCTGTCATCGTGCCGCGAGAGCAACAATAGCGTTCTATATACTGAAGGATGTGCAAACATCACCGAGTCTGCGCTGATCTATATCCTATCAATCGCCCGGTAAACCTGACATACTCACTGGCACCATCTCAGAAGTCATTGCTGTCTGTCTAATTCGTACCAGATTGGCGAAGTGTTGACTTCCCTGCGACAGTCTTGAGAGGCGCACAAGAAACAGCATAGTATATCAACTTGACAGTATTAGACTGCAAGGTGACTAACAAAGGGAACAGGAGGGTAAAACAATAAAATCAAACGGAAGAGGGGGTATACCAAACAGCATTGTTGCTTTGGATCCGTAGAAATAAGGGTAAAAATGATGCAGTGGAGGCGTTGTCAATGCAAGGTAGGCGCCACGCCACTACAGTAATGTTTGAGAAGAAGGGGGCGTAGGGTCGAGTCATAATCGTGGGTATGAGGGTTTGTTTGGAGTGTCTCAAAAGCCTAGAGGGGACAGTGGCTTAATGGGCGACAGCGGTCGCAGCTCTGGGGGAGTTCCAGCTCGTTCGTTATTGGACTGGTTTTTGTGATTGTCCATACTCATTCCAGCCGATGCGGCGACTTCGTCGGGCTTGGCATTCTGCGGAACTCGCTGAGCTGATACGCTTCTTTGTGATGATGTCTCGTGCCCGGCACTGGCAGATCCGTCAACGCTTGGTGCTTCTCGTGCGTCGGCAAGACCTCGAGGCGGCGGTTGGTCGAAGAGCTTATATTCTTCTTCAATATACTGTGCTTCGTTCTTGCACCCTTTCCAGCAGTTCCTCCAGTCACAAACCAGAAACTTGAAACAGAATGCGTCAATCTTCATGCAGGGTTGGAAACAAATGCAAAGGTTACGGAAGTCCATTTTGTTCTTTTCCGAATGAGCCAACAGAAGACTTAAATGGCAAGTAATGGCGAAGAGAAGGTAATAATTGAAAGGTGAAAGGTTCGAAAGTTCGTCGATAAGCATTTGCGGAACTTCTTCTGCACCGGCGCACTCTCTTGCAATTCGCTCTTGGGCATCTTTAGGGAAAAGTTCGTCGGGCAGTTCTCGTAGCCAAGCTTTAAGCATGGAGCCAATGATGTTGATGTCGTAGAGGTCTTCGGCTTCGAAAAGATTCACGTCGTGAACTGTAAACCCTGTTAGCTATGTTGGCATCATCGGAGTCGTGTGCAAGTCTTCTTACGCTCGTCAAACTTTCGCTGCCACTTCTTGATCTGGGGGCCACTGCCTGGAACACGGTATAAACCTTCGACGTCGGTGCCCTTGTAGTTCAAATAATCAATGGCCCGCCACGGGAAGGCCGGCATCCAGAACTCCGTCTTATCTCTAGAACTTTCCAGCCGTTTTGAAATACGCGTCTTGCGCGTCTGCTCAACTAGTGGTAAATTGATGACCTTGATCTCGTAGTGTTCATCGTCGATCGCAGACTCCTTTTCTGTGGTACTTCCGCTTCGCGAGTTCTTGCCAAATAGTCCACGCCCAAACATTCCGGCAGCCCTTGTCGATGAATCACGTAATCCACTGAAGAATGTTGATGCACCATTTTCTTTGTATGATGAAGACTGCATGCGCTCCTTTGTACTACTTGCGTCTCGAGACACCGCCCGGTCCTCTGATCGGTTGCGCGAGGCTGAACTCATCATGTCCCGAAATGCGCGATCCTGCTGTTGTATAGGGGCGGTTCGCAAGGGAGCACTATTCTCGTACGAGATGGGTATGCTCGGGGTAGCTGGAACAGTGGTAGGCAATGGTCGAGCCTGCTCGGCCTCCCTATCGCGTGTTGACTTTGTACGTCCCAGACGACCAAAGGACTTTGTTTTCGGTTTCTTTGGTATAGCGAACCCAGAAGCGTCCTGTTCACCGGCCGATGACAGCGATAGTTCGGAACGGGATGAGAAGGGTAGGCTGGGCGGCTGAAAATCGGGTTCGGATGCTGGAGTGTCTGAGTCGATTAGCAAGCGTATCACAAAAGCCTGTTGTCTGCCAACAGAGAGGGGGGTGACCGAGACACGGTGCGGTGCGAGCCAGATCAGAGCATACTTACCGAGTGGCAATACAGAGTCAGATTCGGGCCCGTCTCTCGACCTAAGCTGGTCCGCTGTGACAGGAATAGGAGCGGGCGTTGACTCCTGGAAAACGGCTTTGTTCCCTTTGCCAAAGCTGAAGAAGCCGCTGCGAGAGGGGCGTCGCAAACCTGTCGGGTTTTGGGTTGCCTTGTTCAGAGGAAGGCTTGGAGAAGATTCGAAGGGCGGCGGGGGAGGAGGATAGGAGTAGGCAGACGGTTCAAGCGCAGTTTGTGGATATTGGCGATCAAGAAAATCTGCGGGCTGGCGTGGCGATGTCCCTGTGTGCGGCCGGACTAACGAGGAGCTAGTCGGCAGTGGTGCTGAGCGCTGCGGGAAATGCGAGCCGGTGTCTAGCGAGAGAGCGGCAAGTGATGCGGAGGCTGAGGTTTGCAAGGTATCGTTGTTGTTTGCCGCGACCTGTTCGGCCAGATTTAGAGGCTGTGGTGTAGGTTTGCGTCCCATAGCTGCGCGACCAGGAACCAGAAAAGACCCTTGGCCCTTGGCCGTACTGTATGCTGCAGAGGCCAACCAAGACCGCGGAGTCGATCAAGCGCGAGCGCCAGTTAGGGGCCTGCCGTGCTAGTTTTTCCTGGTCTGCTTAGCCCACAGCCGACGGACCCCGAACGTAGGCGGTGGGGTAACTTAGGGGGTCAGCGTCTGCAACAAGGTTGGGGCGTCAATGCGGTGCGCGAAAGTCAAAGGCGTTGGGTGTAGCGGTGGAAAGCTTGACTGGTGATGATGATGAGGAGGAGGAGGAGGACGTTTTGTCGTGCGCAAGATGAGCCGTACGAGAAAAGGCTGGCAGCTGCCCCAACGGTACCAAGCACCACCGGGTACGTACTATGTCGAGAGCGAGCGCAGGGATGCGGACGGTACTAGTAGCGTTTTGGCGGGGAATGAGACGAGGAGAATGTGTCTGTGGCCAAAGGGCGGCGGTGTATGGTTGAGCGGGCGATGTGCGGTACCAGGTGCTAGCGTGAGGCGGAGAGGAGCTGAAGGAGTGTTGGTGCTGTAATAAGCGAGCGAGACGTGTATTGTTTCTTCAATGATGGTGTTGGGCATAGAGTTGATGGCCTCTGCTTTGCTCCTTGATGGGATCCAATAGCGCCTTGGTATCCTGGCGTACAGGTATTTGGATGTGCACGTTTTTAAATTTGACACGGATTGGCGGGGGGAGAGGGCTCAAAGCGGGCAGGTGTGTTGCGTTGGCAGTGGTAATAGCGAGGGTGGAATTCTCCTGGGCATGCCAGGTACAGCGTCAGCTGCAGGAGAGAAAAAAAAGAGAAAAAGAAAAACCCAGGGGTTCTATTAGAGGGCTTAAAGAAAATGGAAAGGACAGGAAAGAAGAAAAAGCAACCAAGACAGTGTGTCGATATGGGCTGCGAGGCGGAAAAAGAAACGAGGACAGGAACAGGTGGCCGGCACGAGACCAGCAAGCGCAGAGGTGTGAATGCGGGCACCAGGGCGCCCAGAAAGGGGAGGACGGCAATTGGCCCTTTTAGAGCAATCCGAACAGGTTTCTTCGCTGCTACCAAGCTGCGCTGCTAGTGCAATATTCTACTTCGTTGTTCTCACACTCAATCTTAACTCAGTCATCACTAACTTAGTCCCTTTTAGACAGCTTTTTGCTTCGGCGTGGCCCCCCGGAATGCCATCCAGCTCCAAGCGCTGGCCCAGCGCCACTATCTGAAACGGCTGTGTAGTAGAGCCCCGCTGTACGATGGCAGACCAAGCGCTGAAGCTACGTGACCTCCAGGGGCATTGGGCCAAGGAACAGGGGGGTCGCCTGTAGCGCAAGGTACCGCCAGCCTTGAAAGCTGCGCCGAACAGCTGATGCATGGATTGACCGGCTTACATGATCCCAACTGCGCAAGCCATGTTGTTCTTGGGCTGAAAGCGCCGCATAGACTGATGCTTGCTGACGGCAAAAAATGGAGACTTTGGCCAGTCTCGATTGCGTTGATCGCCGTCGCCTGTGCCTTTGGCGGGCCATCTTAGACGGCGGCTTTGTTCACGAGTGTCAGCAGCACATCGAGCTTAGTTTCTTGGCCACCATCGCAATCTTTATGCGCAACAACCACACAGGCAGAGCATAGCATTTGCGACAGCCCTTGCGTCGGATATTGGCACGCCGCCACGGGTTTAACAGGTCTTCTTTACTAATAGTTACGCTGCATTGCTGCTGTACCACCTGTGCAGGCGCATGGTGGTTGGTGCCCTGCGCTGCCTCTTTCGGCCAAAATTACATAATACAATGGCGAAGCTCCAACAGTAGCCACCACACAGAGCCCACCGTTTACCGGAAAGCATCACCCGATCAAGATATACTTATCCAACGAGACGTCATGTCAGGTACCGTTCTTGATACTCAGTTGGGCGATCTGTCGCTAGACACGACAGCTCATGTTAAATACATACAAAGTTTGAATACAAAGCAAGATGACTTGGACTATTGGTTGACCGAACATCTGCGCTTGAACGGCGTCTATTGGGGCTTAAATGCTCTGCATCTTATGGGACACCCGGATGCTCTGCCTCGTCAGGATACCATCGATTTTGTCCTCTCTTGCCAGCATGAAAATGGCGGGTTTGGGGCGGCTCCTGGTCACGATGCGCACATGTTGTCCACTGTGAGTGCGGTACAGATTCTAGTCATGGTGGATGCACTTGGCGATCTAGAGGAACGAGGCAAGGGAAAAGGCAAAGCCCAGGTAGCAAGTTGTAAGTTATCTCCTGGTTCAATGCAAAACTATTCGGCCGCCCTTACTCCGTGGCGGCTGATATAAGCAATCCTTGCTAACGCTACCGCCTAGTTATTGCCAATCTTCAAAACCGAGAAACCGGCAGTTTTTTCGGAGACGAATGGGGTGAGCAGGACACAAGATTCATGTGCGGAGCTCTTATCGCTCTTTCATTATTAGGTCTGATGGATATGATCGACGTAGAGAAGGCTGTCTCTCACGTCATGGAATGCGCCAACTTTGATGGCGGCTTTGGTGCCAAGCCTAGCGCAGAATCTCACGGCGCTCAGATTTATACTTGTGTTGCCCCATTATCGATAGCTGGGCGTTTGGATTTGTTGGATATTGAAAGATTGGGAAGATGGTTAAGCGAACGACAACTACCCTGTGGTGGATTTAATGGTCGTCCAGAGAAGAAGGAAGACGTATGTTATAGTTGGTTTGTTCTTGCCAGCCTAAACATCATTGGCAAAACACACTGGATTGATACCCCAGCTCTGGCAAAGTTCATTCTAGGTTGCCAGGATTCTACTACTGGAGGCATATCAGACCGACCCGAAGACTTACCGGATGTATGGCATACGTGTTTTGGAATTGCAGGACTGAGTCTACTTGGGCTACCTACCCTGGAAGCTGTTGACCCCGTTTACTGCATGCCAAAAGCAACAGTTGACAAAGCACTAAACAGATAGAAATACAAATAGTCAATGAGTCTTTCTTATTTGACATCTCGTATTCGCAATGTTGCTTCGGTCTCGAAGCATCCACTGCTGCCACCTGTGCCAGCTGGTGTTGACACTGCACCAGCTTTTTTGGTGACGCAGCATTTCCCCAAAGAGATCAGCCAGCTGCCAGGTGATGATCCATTAAAGCAAAGACAAATGAGGATTTTATTGGGAAGTTTTACGCGAAGGGTTATTCATTTACTGAGGCAGGCGCGACTTGAGCTTTGAATACCTCGCTTCCAGACCATAATCTTTTCCACGTCTGGCTCCTTCTTGATGACTGTTGCCGTCGATCTTGTTTTACGCATTCCTAAAGACTTTCCCCATTGTTTCTTTCTTGTTCAAATTTCTGGTTCTTGAGGTTTGCAGGCTTCCTTTGGGCTTCCTTTGCGACACCGGCCCCAGAAGCCTGGCCACCACACACCACCCGTTCTTGCTGCCGCTAGTGTCGATCGATAAAGTTTTTGCACAATATCAATTTGCTTCATTGTGCCGATGTAAGTTTTATTTGAAGATTTGATAACACCCGCGGTGATGATGTCTTGCAGCTAACTGAGGAAGCGACGATGGAATCCTTTATAAAACAATCGATCGATAGAACTATCCCATTGCTCTGCTGTGTCTGCCCGAAGGCACCTCACTTCTCGGATGTGTCGCATTTGCTTACCCATATTGCTTCAAAAGGTCATCTACATCACGAGACCCAGATGAAGCTACGATCGCATCAAGATCTCACGGCTGCCATGGCTCTCCAGAAGTATGATCAATGGTATATTCGAAACAATATTGAAGATCTACTTGTACAAAGAATGAAGGCCAAACAGACCAAGGAGGCAGCAAGACAGAGACGAAAACGAAAATTACACACTTACAACCCTTTTGCTTTACCTAATGTCTTGGTCCGTCACGTTGCTTACTTGATCTAGATAGAAACTGACGTACTAGCTAGCAGACCACAGACGATCCAAACCAAATTCCAACAAGCAGCATCAAGGTAGAAGGAGACAAGTGCGATAATCGCCCATCTATATATCCAGATCCAGTAGCCTCGGACAATGACTTCGACAATTCAGAGTTCTATCAGCAGAGTGAGGTGTCAAAACTCAAGGGTCAATATTGGCCAGGTATGGGTAAAATGGACTTGGCTAATGAGGACATGAAACGCACCCGTAACCAACGAAAACCGAAATCTTCTGTCGATCGTATGAAAAGGACCTCGGAAAGCATAGCGCCTACGCAAGTTGTGTTGAACCTCGATTTTGAAGTAGAGGTTGTCAAAGGAGTGTACGATCCATCTTCTCCAGTACCTATCGACGAGGAGATGGTGAGTAAATTGTAAAATTTACTGCTTGACTAGATTAATAACGTCATCTTAGGCCCCCGTTTTGAAAGTCAGTCGACCACGGAGGAAGAAGACCAAACCCCTCCAAGAGCTTTCCTCCAATGTACCAACCGCCGCCAAGAGACGAAAGTCAAAGGACGACCCATCCCGGGTGATAGGCGACGAGCCCGGTAGCATATTATTCGACGAAAGTTTATTTTACAAGTCGAAAAGCCCCATAGACCCCTTTATCACAGCTCAACACACACAATTTCACAACGAAAATGTTGATTTTGGTACGTAACAAATCAAGGGTCTAGGATTTCACTAACATATCTAGGTGTTTACCATGCACGACAATATTCAAGTCCATCGATGAGCCATTCACTGTAATTTACTCTAATTGAATTTTGACTGTCTGCTAACATGGTCGATAGATATCCATATGGAGACACACTGTCTGTTTCCGATTTTAACTTGATATCCCACCCACCTTCATTCAGTCATTCTACTTCAAGCTTAGCAGCGCCTGCATCCTCTGATACACTGAGGGAAAAGACCCCCCGTATTGGCAACCATTACCTTAGCCAAGACAGTCAAGAGTATTTAGGTATGTTGAGACTTGTATGTGGGATTGAATTCTCAACGGCTAACAGCGACCAAGGACAATCCTATCTTCAATCCAATTCTCCTTACCATCTTTCCTCAAAAAATCGTACATATGCTACCATGGATCCGCTGCATCGCCCAGACATGCTAAATCCTTGTTTGACGTCGAATCAGTACAGAACTACGGCTTTTCAGTCGCGAAACAGTCCAGGAGACTTCCTGGCACCGCCGCCTGAACAAGACTCGCCCTTTCTCGGAGCCACTTCAAATAACCCATTGTACATATCCCACAGTCAACGGTATCGCCATCAGATTTCGAATCACCTAGATAGTACTCATCAACTATTTGCACCATCCATATTCGGCTCACTTAGCAGATCACACTGCTCTGATGATGTATTTGGCAAGAGCGAAGAGGAATACTCTCCAACTCCAAGGGAATCGAAGAGAAAGACGGAGTTGCGGCCACCTACTGAAATAAAAGAGGAGTCGGAATTGACTGGAAATCCGTGGGCCGATAATGAAATGGGTGTGGATTGTGGTATACTGGATGGTTCAAAAATTGACATTAACAAAGAGGACGCAGTTGTCTCTTGATGTTCAATGTCCTGGATAAGACCGTCGTAAGTTTAATGTCTATTTGCAGAGAGAAATACCCATTCTCAGACGAAACGGATGTCAGTGTGTTACATACCGGACCGGTTATATTTGTTTGATGCATGGCGTACAGGTCACAACGCATAGAATCGAGACTAGATCTCATATCATTCGGTATATATTCATTTCTCTGCGTGGGTATTATATAGAGTAACTAATTCGAGATGCTTTTCGGTATGTTCTATACCTGGGTTTCAATTACAAATGTTCAATGCTAGATATCAAATGGTCAAGTTGGTCGCCACCAGTCTTCAAGACTTGGCTCAGAAGGTGGCATGTGCCTTGCAAGCGACGAACTCCCAAGTCTTGTTCAAGTTCCTGGGATTTTGCTGCAGCAAGATCAATGACTTTACGCGGAATATTTGCGAGGCGTGCAACGTTTAGACCGTAGGAACGATGGGCAACGCCACTTTCTACCTCGTACAGAAATGTAATAACCTCCTCTCCTGATTCATTGGTATCGGCTGTAAACTTCATGTGGACGTTGGTGAGCCCAGGTAGTGAGTCTGCCATACGAGCAAGGCTCTGGTAATGTGTAATAAACAAAGTTAAGCACTTTGTCTCAGTCACAACATGATGAAGGACAGCCTGTGCAATTGCGGCACCATCGTGGGTGCTAGTCCCTCTGCCAAGCTCGTCCAAGATGACCAAACTGCGAGGTGTAGCAGACCGCAGAATACGAGCAGTCTCCGATACTTCCACCATGAAGGTCGATTCGCCAGCAAATAAATTGTCGTTGGCACCTGTACGAGTAAAGATGGCGTCGCATAGTGTCAGAGTTAGAGAGTCGGCCGGGACAAAGGAACCAATTTGAGCGAGGAGGACGATGAGGGAGAGAGCACGAACAAAAGACGACTTGCCACCCATGTTTGGTCCAGTAATCAGGTGGGCAAGCGGAGAGGGATGGGCGAGGGTTGTGCTAAAGGGAATATAGCCGCTATCCAGTGTCTGTTCGGCGATGGGATGACGGCCTTGCGATATGGAAATGCTCGGCGCAGCGTCGGTTGGGAGAAAGGTTGGCTTGGAGTAGCCTGACATTGCGGCGACCCTTGACAGACTGAGGAGACAGTCTAGCGTTGCTAAAGACGAAACTGCGTCGCGGAGGGGCTGGTAGTGTGTGGAAATCTCAATTAAGAGGTCCTTGAAAGCCTTGTCACAGGCGGCGGCAAGGGCTTCGCGGTGCTGATCGCGCTCGGCAATGAGACGCATGACTTCGGGTGTGTGGAAGCGCGACACGGCCTTTGTGCCGGATATCTTGCTCCAAGATGCAGGGACATTCTTCACCTCGTGGTTGGATACTTCGATAAGGTAGTCGATACCAGAGACTGTTTTGTATTCGACGCCCTTGCGCCTGATCTTCTCGGCTGCCACTGCGCGATGTAAGTCGAGCTCGTGGTCAACATGGACGATGCCCAGCTGGTGATCTTGAATGTCGTCTGTCTGGAATTCTTCGCGGAAGAAGGAGTACTTGTCGTCCTTTTTGGCGGCGCCGAGGTTGATACGCTCAAGGTAGGAGATGACAAGGTCGAGAATATTGGGGAGTGCATAGATGGCTTCGACGATGGTGAGTGAGTCGAAAGGGACGTCGGCAGGTGATTTGATGTTTGTGTAGTGACTGGCAATCTTTTGAAGCGTCTGTAGGACGGAAAGGAGTTCGGGGCGTGTGCATTTGCCATAGTAGATTCTGATGAGGCTGCGCTCGAGGTCTGCCTTGGTTGTGGCGAGCAGACGTTCCAGGTTGTCCACTGCGGCTGTGGACTGCTTGTCGTGGAGTTCTTGGACCGCAGCAACGCGTTTTTCCAGCTGGTCCCTATCGAGAAGCGGTCTACCAACCCATTTGCGCAGCAGGCGTTGGCCGAAGCGAGTCTGTGTCTTGTCGATAGCCCAGAACAAACTACCACGTTCAGAATGGTCCGTGGCGTTGCGGTATACCTCGAGACTCTCTAGTGTGGTGCCGTTGAGGAGCATGTGGGAGCGTGTGGTAAAGTTTTCAAAGTATTTTGTTAGGTCGAGGACATGTTCGAGCCCGTATTCGGTGAGGTGTTGAATCATGGTAGAGAGGCAGATGGTGACGGCCTCGGGGAGTTTGAGAACCTTGTCGAGGAACTCGGCGCTTTGATCTTTCGGGGTCGAGTTCTTCACTTTGTCGGCATAAAACTGGGTGACGTGCGAGTACGCCTCTGCAGGGGCCGTAACGCTCTTTGGTACTCGTTCAACGCGGCTTCTATCGCCAAACACATTTGTGCTGCTGCCTGAAAGATGTTGCACGAGCTTGTCTGTCGCCTTGGACAGGTCACCAACTATAAGAAACTCACAGGGTGAGATGTGCAGAAGGCGTGTTTCGATTTCGCTTCGCATAAAACCGTCTTCAAATGTGTCATATATAATATCGCCAGTTGCAGGTTGTACGGCCAGGATGCCAACATCGACCTTTTCGTCCGTTCCCGCACCCTTGGTGCTCGACTCTGTCATGCAGAGGAGGTAGCCTCCTGACGGCGAGCTGGCTTGCGGCTGCTGCTCGAGGTCTCCATTTTCGTCAATATATGTGCCTTTTGTATATAAGTTGGTAAGCTTGCGAACAAATGGCGTGTTTCGATTATCGCCAACTTTCTTGAGTGCGGCCGTCTCAATCTGTCGGACAACGCCTACTTTGTGGCCTGCAGCAACTAGTCGGCGCGCGTGGACAGGCAGACGATGAACCGGGATACTGGCCGATGCGAATCGGTCGAGGTGCGCTTCGGAAGGATGCTCGTCAAAGCGCATCTTGCCGGGTATACAGACAATGCTCAGCTCCTTGGCGGCTATGCGAGCGTCCTCTCCAAAGAACTTGAACTTGTAGCCCACTTCGACAATGAGTACGGTATCCATGTGTTTCCGCTTAATGTCGAGAAATTGAATCTCCATTGGTGTCAGTTTGCCTGTCTTGGCGCCCTTTTTCTTTGTTTTTGCCGGTGCCGGCTCATCCTCGTCATCGTCTTCGCCAGCTGCTTCGTCGTCTTCGGTCGTCTTGTTATCCGTAAACTTGGACCGCCAGCTCATGGCATCGGGGTGGCCAAGTTTCTTGACAAACTTTGTGTGTAGTTCCGCATTGCGCTTGCGCACTGCTTCATCATCTTCAGAGGCCTCGCCAGCTGTCTTTGATTCATCGTATCGAAAGCGTTCCGCCGGTGACGAGGTGTACGATTGAGGTACGGGATCTGGGTTTGTGTTTTCGTCCACTTCTACGCTTTTAGCTTTTTTGACTGTCCTCTCAGGCAATTGGTTTCCTCTGTCATCGTCTTCGGCTAAGGATCGTTTCCGTGTGGTTGATATTGATTCACGCTGCAGGGGCGATGACGGAGCTGCCTGTGGTGCGACAGCAGATGCTGGCTTTGGAGAGAAGAAGGATGTTAGCGATTTTTGCTTCTTCTCGGATCCTGGCTTCGTTGCAGGGGCCATTTTATCTGATTTATCTCGAGAGCTTGTTGAGTTGGTGATGGACAGGCCTGCGTCGACGCGAACGAATGACGTCCTTGGAGTCGCGTGTTGGACAAACGTTCACGCGTTGAGAGGTCGGCGGCGGACCCACCGTGTCCGGGCCGGCATTGGGGCACTGGGGGAGGCGTATGCAACGGCGCTTGGGGGGATAGAGGTTTGGGAGGAAATATGGGCGATTTGAAGTAAATAAGAAGGGGCTATATATTTTGTAGTTTCTCTTTTCTTTTTCTGCTATTATTTCGTCAAGTCTGTTGGAGGTAGAACCAGTGATGGGTTGGGTTCGCCACAAATGCAGTGACCATAATAGGTGCATGATAGCCGAGATACGTCATGAGTAATCTCCTAGATCCCGAGTGGCTTGCCTAAGCTACCCTGCCTGAACAAAGAAATACCGAAATATGTAGCCTGATATGCAGACTGGCGGCAACATGCGGAGCTACACTTTGTAGGCCTGTGTTGGAGTGACAAACGTGTTGATGCACGACAGGTGGCTTGCTGCAGATGGTAAAATACGCCAAGATGAGCAAATCCGCTTTCAGTGGAGACCGGCATCTAGTCAGGTCACTGGTCTTTTCGTTTTTGGACAATAAAGAAACGAATCAGGTCGGGTAGCCCAACTGAGGTGCTTCTTCTGCTACTTTGTGCTGTATGTGACGAGCCGTAAAAAAAGGGTCGGCGCTTACAGACTGGCCATTCACAGGCCGTCGTGACCGGAGGTGGGCGCTTACAGCCTTTGTGCTGAGCCAATGATACAGCAGTGTTTGTGCCTCTAGCTGGGTCGGCCCACTGTTTCCGATGCTAGCGCTGTTCCAGGGGCGGGCCAGCAAAGGTTACTGCACTATCAGTGGCCTGCCTGTGCTCCAGGTCCCCCTGTAAGTTGTATGAGGGAGCACTAGAAAGAGAAAGTGTGCTGTACCTGTTTGGCACCTGCTTTCTTTGCCGCCCAGGTTTTAGCAGCTTCCCACACAGCCCCCAGCATTAGCTTTGCCCCCCTCCTCTCCCGCAAACGCTGCCTGCTGCCAGCGCCCCCAAACACAAGTACGGTGGCTGTTGCTGCAGAAAAGTTTCGCTGCCGCCCGCCATTCTGCCCCTCCTCGCTGTCCCGCCTTCGCAGCTCTCGGCTCTTTTCCTCCTCGCTCCTCGCACGCGTCCTTTTTTTTCTTCTCGTTTCTTCTTTCTCGACAGCTTTTCCCTCTTCTGTTTGAAATCAGCTCGTCTGCATCTTCACTTCACCGCGGACAAAGAATCTCTTTGCGCTTGCAGCGTGCTTTTCTTTATTGCTTCACCTGTTTCAGCGGAGCTCACATACCCCAACTTTTGAGCTTCGGCCTAGCTGCACCAAGCCGGCCTGTTTTCGCGGCCCGTTTTGGAGAAAGCCTATTCTACACAAACTTTGCTTTTATCGCGATCCAGAGCAACGTCTGTCGCATTCTCTCGATATCCTTTATCAATCGATCGCCTTGCTGGTTCACGACGGTCTCTTGCGCAAGCGCCGGCAACGCACAGTGAGCCGAGACACTACTTCTCGCCCGCTGCTTGGATCTGGTCTCTCGACAGGATTCTCTGCGCGGGTTGAATAAACCAGCTATAAGCTTATAGCTACAAAACTACGCAAATTATACGTCCACTGGGTTGGCACCGTCAAGATGCAGACCAGCCGTGGCATTCCCGACCAGGAAATGTTCCTGAGCAAACCCTCACCAAGCGGCGGTGACAGCCCGACGGTTGAGCCTTTGCGAATCTTCAAACCAAAGAGTCCTGTGCCCAGCTCGCGCACATCTTCGGCATCCCAGGATAAACCTGCCTTCCCTCTTCCCCCAGGCGCATCCAGCTCTGCTGCGCCGCTTCCATTCCCAGACGATGACGATGTCCGCAGGCCTACTCCTCCCAAGCCCTACGGCTCGGCCTACAACGACATGAGCCCGCGAATCGATACAAGCCCCATTGAAAAGAAACCAGGGCTTGCTGAGCGCCGCGGAGCTCCTCCCAAGGTCATCAGCTCTCCAACAAGCCCCGATTCTGACCACGGGCTCTTCGCCAGACCACTCAACGGCCAACCCCGCCCAGCTCCTGCCAACGCCAGCTATCCCTCGCATCAGCAAACTTACTATCCCCCTCCAGGAGCTAGTGCTGCTAATATGGCAGCTCCGCAAGCTCAAAGAGTCGACCATCTGAACCCGCCCGACTCTGGTGTCAACCGCTTCCCTTCCACGGCGTCCACCTCAACAACAAAGGCCAGCCGCGGCTCGCCTCCTCCACCAGAGACGCCGATTGTCGAGCCTGGAGTTCAGCCGGGTAGTGGCATTGAGGCTCGGTATGCTGCTTCAGGCATTTCGGGAACGGCTACACTGACAGCACTGCAAGCACAGCAGGCGCAGAGCGCCGCAGCATCTCAAAGATTGGCACAGTACGGCAACCAACGACCTCCTCAGCGACCTTGGACTCCGACTGAAAGCCCCGATCAAGCACCTTCTGGACCACCAACAGTCTACCAGGGCTCGAATCCCGTTTCAGAATCGCAACAGCAGTCGGCAGGTGGTCCTCCACCCGTGGAGATGCCAGCTACAAGTGTTTCAAGCCAAAATCAGCCTGCGCTCCAAGTGAGTGTGCTTGAACAAGATTTCCAACGAATGAACACAAGCTCTCCACCTCCAGCATACTCGAGTGTTAACCCAGGCGGAAATTCGTCATATCCAAACGAAAAACGACGACCTCAGCAAAACGGCCGGGCTGGCGTGCAGCCTACCGCACAACCTCAGCAGCAGCAGCAGCAGCAACAACAACAACCACAGCAACAGGCCGCTTCCGCGGTTGCTCCCACTGCTATAGACCCCAAGAAGCAGTCGTCGGCCGCGAGCGCTGCTCTCCAACATCCTGGACATCCTGCATTCGCCAACGATCCTCGGCCGCAGTCCAGTGCACAGGCAGCACAAGCAGCTAGTCCACCCAACATTGGAGCTGGCCCGGCCTCTCCCCCGCCTCTTCCTGAGGGATGGATTGCGCACCTGGATCAGAACTCTGGACAATATTATTATATCCATCTCGCTACACAAGCTACCCAGTGGGAATTCCCCAAGGGCCCCAACCCAATCTCTCATGAGCAGGCACCGCTCTCCCCTACAGCCTCTACCTACGGAAACCCTTTGCTCTCTCCTGTCTTCGGCAAGCAGCCTATGGCATCACCAATGTTTGTTCCCCACACGCCAGGATATGCTGAGAGCATCATGAGCGTAGCGGCTTCACAAACACCGAGCGCGCTCGGCTTCTCTGGCCCTCCACCAACTGCCGGAGTCGAGATGTACAGTGTGCAGCCAACTAACGGTGTTTACTTTGGTCCTTATCTTCGCTACGCGAACATGGATCTCGAAAAGGGCATTTGGCACGGAAGCATTCTCATTGTAACCGAAGCTCCTCAACCTCCTACGATCCATATCCACCTGAGTGTCGATCTCTCCCCGAACCCTCGTCAGCTTACCCCACATGCAATCTACACACATCAAAAGTGGACGTTTTATAAGTACGATCTTGATCTGCAAATGGGTGAAGGTGGCACCGAGCGCTGGACGTATGCCGTGACGTCTCACCTTGGTTGCACACGTTATGAGTTCGTTGTTGCCGGCCGTCATGAAACTGGATGGCGCTTTATTGCCCATTCAGGCAACGATTTTGCCGCTAGCACATCTCAGAATGATCGTGCTAAGCTTGGCGGTGTCGGATTTATGTGGAAGGACGTGCTGCAAAAGAATGTTGACTGTGGAGGATTCCATGTTCAGCTTGGACTTGGAGACCAAATCTATGGTGACCGACTGTGGAAGGAGGTTCCACTGCTTAAGCAATGGCTTGCAATGAGCGGACGCGAGAATAAGAAGAATGTCCAATGGACTGCTCGACATGAAGAGGATGTTTCTCACGCCTACTTCCACTACTACACAAGCCACTTTGACCAACCGTTTTTGAGAGAAGCGTTTGCCCAGATTCCACACGTCTTGCAGATTGACGACCACGACATGTAAGTGAAGGTTTATTGTCATCTAAACAAACGGAAACTAATATTTTGACAGCTTTGACGGCTACGGCTCTTACCCTGACTATATGCAGTCTTCATCCATGTTCAAGAATATCGGCCGAATTGCAACAGAAATGTATCTGCTCTTCCAGCATCACACTACCGTCGATATCATGAGAAATGTCAGCACAGACCAGGACATCTTTACAATCACTGGAACTGGATGGCATTTTGTCAAATACCTTGGACCAGCCGTGGTGGTGGCAGGTACCGATTGTCGCTCTGAGAGAACACAGTCAAGAGTCATGGCTGGCCCAACTTACCAGGGCATATTCCCCAAGATTGCTACTTTGCCTCCAAGCGTCCAGCACGTCCTATGGATGGTTGCCGTACCTCTTATTTACCCTCGATTGGAAGCTGTGGAGAGCATTGCCAACACTGTCGCCGCGGGTAAGAAGGCTGTCAACACAACGTACAACATCCTGGGCAAAGTTACAAGCTCTGTCGCTGGCGTTGTGGGAGGCAAAGAAGTTGTGGCCCAAGGTTTCTCGCAGGTTAAGAAGGCCGTTGGTAAGAGCGGTTTGATGGGCAACGTTTTGAACCAATTTGGTGAATTGGATATTCAAGAGGTTCTCAAGGACCTGTGGACACATGATACAAAGGACTTGGAGCGTACGTACTTTATTCGAACCCTGCAAGGTATTGCTCACCAAAAGGGCATTCGCATGACATTCTTGTCTGGTGGTAAGTCACAGAAACAAGTACAAGACTCCAAACCAACTAACACTTTTGAATTAGATGTAAACGCTGCCGGTGCCGGTCTCGTCCACGATCCTAGCCATCCTGGCGACCATAAGACCATGTACCAATTGATTGCCTCGCCAATCGTCGCGGCTCCCCAAGGTGGCTATGTTCTTAAGCTACTTCACAACCAGAAGACGCTCTATCTCCCTCAAAACGGACACAAGTCTAATCACGAAGTGTCCGACACAAAGGAGGATATGATGGAAATTTTCCACACCGATGCCAGCGGTGCGATCCGCGAGCTGAAGAAACTCATGGGCCGCCGCAACTATGCCGCATTCATTGCCTACGACCAAGAAGCCATGGCCAACCAGAACCAGCCGCCATTCAGCCCGAACCCAAGCATCAGCAGCTCACAACAGCAAGGCTTGTCCAAGCTGAGCCTTGCCGTTGACTTTGTAGTCCAAGGTGACGGTGCCTTTGCTACGACAACTAAGTACGGCCCAGTCATTATCCCTCATCTCGAGTACGGACGATAAATGCTCCCCGCTCTTTCTTTGGATACCCTTTTTTGAGGAGTTTGCATTGAATTTTGGCTTTCTTTCTCTTATATACTAGTTAATATGTAGCAACATGTCGATACATGATTGCTGCGAATAGTGGTTGGCTATGATTTTCTCGTTTTCGGCGGGGGCATATTTGGTAGATGATTATTTTATTTTCCTTTCTAGTTTTTTTTATTTAAAACAAATGTACATGTTGAAACTTTTTCTTTCATCATAAATGTATCGCATATGCTTTTGCTTACAGCTCAAAGAGCTCCTTGATGATGCGCATGGTATCAGCAGGGCCGTCGACAGCGTGGCCAATGGTTCGGGAGTCGGTGTAGATTTCGTAGTCGTTGCCGCCAGGGTTGGTCTTGTCACCGAAGAAGTGGATGTTCTTGTACTCGATGCCGCCGTTCTTGGCATCTTCCTCAAGGTGGCGAAGGCAGTAGGTCTTGTCCCAGCCGGTAGGGAAGACGTCGAAGGAGATCTGGCCGCCAATAGAGAAGCTATTCAGAATTGGTTAGCAGCTGCTTTTTTGTTTGTGAAGCACGTTATTTCCAACGCAGTATATCGTAAAATACTCACGTCAAGCCAAGGTGGCCAAACTTCTCGCGCAGGACAGAAACAAAGGTCTCGCGAACCTTGGCGGTCTTGTCGTAGGCCTCGAAGGCGTGACGCTCCTCGTTGCTAGCGTTACGGCCGACAGGGCTGATGTTGACCATGCCGTTGCGGAACTCGATAAAGGTACCGCGCTTGACGGGGATGTCGAGATCGGCAATGTAGTGCAGGCAGAAGTTGGCAAACTCCTTCCACTTGTCCTCGCCGATCCACTTGATGAAGCTGTTGGAGGGGAGCTCCTGGCCGAGCTTGAAGGCAGTCAGGCCGTTCTCGGAGAAGCAGTAGTCGAAGAGGGTGGTGACGGGGACGCCGGCGGGCTGGCCGAGCTGCTCCTCCTGCTTGACGAGGTTGGAGCCGCCGACGAAACCGATTGTGCACTTTTGACGGAGCTGGCTGAGAAGGGCAAGCATCTCGGGGGAGGCAGGCTACAAAGGCAAACCTGTGTTAGCATGGATACGGGGAGAGTTGCTTCACGGCCTCGATTGGGCAAGACTCTTGATATTGACAATTCAATCCAAAAACTACTGGATTGAAAGCCAGGCTGTGCCAGTGGCATTGGAGAGTTTGCAACTTACGCGGCGGGCGGGGGTCAGTGTCTCGTCGACATCGAAGAGGCAAATGGTGTCCTTGAGAGGACGGGCGTCCAGAGGAGGGTATGTGGGAGCAGCAGACATTGTGATGCGGGTGATATGTGTGTGTGTGTTTGGCGGTGGTTTGTGAGGAATTGGTGATGAAGAGAGAGAAGGAAGAAGAAGAGGCCAAGATTTAGAAAAGGAGCAAGCAGCTTTGACGGCGGGTGTTCAAAGTGACGGTCTGCAATGGGGCCACGGGGACCAACGGGCTCTGGCGAATGGAGGGGCAATGGGCTGCAGCTGCGGGGGTTGCGTTTTGCTGCAGGAAAAAAAAAAAGAGATACGAGCAGCGAGCGGTCAGGGCAGCGAGCAACAATGGGCGGGCGGCGCTGTGTGTGTGGGCTGGCTTCGCCGCGGAGCAGAGGGGTTAGCGGGGCCTTCTACTTGCTGTAGTGCTACCGTTTGGGGAAGCAAAAGTTACAGGTAAACTCGTTTTTGGCCAATCTTTCAAATATTCTTTGATATAAGTTATATATTGTAATATTGCCGTTTTTATCATCTTTGTAGAATATTATGTATGGCATAAATGTCTTATAAGTATCGAGCTTTTAGACGACTATGAACTTGTACATAAAGTTTGTGTAAATATATATTTGGAACTGTGTTTGTTGAAATATGGACTACTTGTAGCTTTTGTTTACCTACTGTAGCGAGCCGTGTTTCTTCACAGCATTTAAAAACTTCTAGCTAGAAACACTACCGGACAAATGATCAACCATCCATTACAAGTATCGAATCAGATCTAGCTATGGCTTTCCAGTTTATCTAAATTAACTTCTAGCAGCACCACTACTATACACAGAATACATCAGAAATGCCGTTCCTTCATCGCAAAGCTGCTGTAGTACTTTGGCCGGCCTCTCCCAAAGTGTCTAATCTACCACGAACGCGTTTGGCCATCATACTCTGCCTTTTCTCTTGCTAATTCCACCAGGCGCAGACTCTTGGCTGCTTCAATCCAGGTTTCCTCGTCGTTCAACACCTCGGCTACTGTTTTGCCGCTACTATCTTTAACATTTACATCGACGCCGCTAGCAATCAGCACCTGTTTAATATCGTGTAGCAGCACAGTCGCCATCGGCCAGTTGTCAGGATGATTAAAAGGGCCCTTAAGCACATGGTAGCAGACAGGGCGGACCATGGCATGATGAAGACAAGTCTTGCCGTTGTTGTCTGTGAGAGCAACGTCCACGCCCAGGCCAAGCAGCCATTTCACTCTCTCCACATTGTATGTTTTTAACAGCGTGCATCAGCGGCGTCAGGCTATTCTTGTCTCCAGCATTGAGTTGCTGCAAATTAAAAGCGTCCATAGCTACCTTTTTCAAGGCTGCAGGATACGGACCTTCTTGCTTCCCGAAGTGAGTCTCTCTTCCACAGTAGAAGTACTCGTATCCTAACATACCCTCGCCCAGGTAGTGTGAGGCCAGGCACCCGTCTTCGTCGTATATGGCTATATCTGCGCCAAGCTCAACAAGAACATGAATCAGCTCCACCATATTAAGATGGCATGCGTAGTGAAGGGCTGTTCTGCCATACTCGTCTTGCGCATTAACGTCCAACGCCCTATTAACAAGGACCTGCGCTGTCTCGCGGCACGCATCTGTATACGATTGACCTCGAAGTTCGTAGTCTTTTGCCCAAGGGGATGACTGTGATGTTATAGAGCCTCTCATGGATAACCAGTGAAGAGGCGTCCGCTCTTTATTGGACACCAAGAGCCTGGCTCGTTTATCCATGAGAGCACAGACTGCTGGAGAGTTACAGTAATATGCTGCAATGTGCATATAGCTTCCTTGCTCGCCCGGCAACATCCATTTCTCGAGCTTCAGACAATACTTCCCAATATTGTTAAAAGGCTTCACTATTTCTTCCATATCCCTGGGCTGCATGAGAGCCTCTATGATGTTGCCTCCAACCCACGAGCATGCAGTGGTTAAAGCTAAGGTTCTCAAGTCAGACACAGGCCCTGAACTCGCGCCACGCTCGACTAGCTTTAAAATAAAGGCTTCTCTTTGAGCAATGTCCATTCGAAAGTGTCCAACAGTACCCCACTCAATAGCACGGAATAGAAGCATAACGAGATATGTCTCCTCGAGGGAGGCTTGAGCTTCGTAGGGTACAATGCATCAGCAGATGGCACAAAACCACGACCATCCGATATATCCCAAAACTTCTGAGATGCATACCTTGCTACCTGCTCAAGGATGTCTCGCAAGTTTCTTTCGCTCCAAATACCATTGCTGATTCTGTCATCAAGTAGAACGTTAAATGTCTTGGGGGCGTCGTTTCGGATAGCATGTATGAGTCCACCACACTCTTCACGCTCCCCGTCTAGTAATCCCCGATACCCTCCCCGCTGTTCAACAGTCTTTGTGTAGTCGGTGGTTGCTCTGGCGCGAATCAGAAGCTTCACAATCTCGGGTGAGTCTTGAATAGCCGTCATCTTCCCTAGACATCTGTGTTGCCAATTGTCTCATAGAAAGAAATTGTCCCATAGAAAGAGCTCGCTTTGCAAAGCCACTTGGGAAAATGTCGCGCCTGCATCAACCATTGCTTCAACAATAGCTATGCTTGTCACTGTTGCTGGCCCTGGCGGGAGTTTCTTGACGTACCCATCCGCACCTGCACGCAGGTCTGCCTTGTATTTGGCTTGGAGACGCTCTATAGTGGCAGCATAGTAGAGAAGCGGCTGCTCGTCAAGCATCATCTCCTGAGCCATATAAACATCGTCAGAAGCTGGCTGTTTCTCCCACTGATGCTCTATCTGCTTTGACAACACAAACGTGTTTTCAAGGCCAGGCTGTTCCTTTAAAAGGCGCACCACAGTATCGACATCTTGGCTGTATATCGCCTGTATGATCTCTGGCGAGGCGAACGTTTGCTTTATCTGGGGCTTAGTCGAGTTTGACATAATAAGATAGAAATTCGAACTGCTGGGCCAGTTGTACTGTTGAGTCAGTGGTGCAAACAGAGGTTACCTTTACCTTGGCGTGGCGAGGTTCATGGCGATACGCCACTCTGACCATTTGTATTGGTCTCGGCGAGCCTTTCTTGGACTTGGATCCATACATAACACAATCAGATCAATAGACCATGTGGCGCTGAGCGGTGAGCTTTGGGTCATCAGTTTAAAGATTCAAAAAGCATATAAATATTGTGGTATACTAAAGTGCAAATCACGCTGGCTGATACAAATTCAATCCCAACTCCAACTCCAACAACCACAAGTATATACAAAAGTTAAGAGCGGCAGGATGCTTCCTCAAAGTCAGAGTCTAATCCATGCCCTTCCAGACGCCCGTGACTTCAATCACGACATTAACAATCGTGGTGATAGTCCAAATGGCAATTAGTGCCCATCCAATCTTGCGGCCCAGGATCCATTTGTTCATGGGCACAGCAATCAGGAGGCCAACTAGAATAACAAGTAACGTGATGGACGAAATGATGAGTGTGCCGCCCACCTTGATCGGGTATGGGCCGTACCTGTACTCGCGGTGCGGGTGCTTCCTTTGTTTAGCGTTGACATCCTGCACCATCATCACCACGCCTCCAATACCAATGCCCAGCAGAATGTTGAGCAGCGGTCCTCCAAAGCATGCAGCCCTATGTCAAAAGTTAGCTATATTATACAGCAATGGGGAAAGAAAAAAACTCACAGTGCCATAACAGGGTACCCAAGACGGGCTACTGTGATATTGGCCACCAAATCTCCAATACTGTTGCCTGCCGCAAAGATTGTCAGGCCCAGTAACGCCTCAGATATATCGAGAACCACGCCAAACGTCTTAAGAACGCCAACCACCTCGCCTGCAACGGTGGAAATCCATGCAATGCTAATTATGAATCCCAAAAAGCACATCAGCGCGTGGTATTTGGGTCGTACATGCGGACTGGTAGTAAGAAGAAGCACCGCCAGTAGGATGAGAGATCCCACCAATGAGCAGAGCATCATGCGCAGCAGAGCCTTGCGCGGATGAATCAAATCATCGGCCATATTAGCCCAGAGGATAAACACTGCAAATAAAGGCCCAGTAAATAGCTGCATGCACACCAACCAGCGATTCCAATCGCCCGTGTCGGCATGGTCATCGCTCGATGGCGGGCTGCTCGATGCAGCTTTGGCCAGATGATTGGGTACAGCCTCCCTGTTCTCAACAGAAGCTATCAAGGTCTCCTCACCTTCCAAAGCAACTGCTTGTGTTGCACTCCCCAGCATTGGTGTATTAGAAGATGAACGCGGGTGCACGGCGATGACAGTTTCCGCTGATGAATCGTCGTCTTCCTTGGCTTCTACTTCTACCACTGGAAGGGTACTGACCAACAAGAAGATGCTCGGTACAGAAATAGTGCTAATGAACTTGTCCCAGTACGACTTTTCACTCCAGTTTTGAAGCGTAGGGAACAACGTCGCCAGAAGAACATGCGGCGGGGGCAAGATAGCATATGGCCACCAATAAATTGGTCGTGCCGACGGCAAGTCAACCGGTATTGAGCGATCATCTCTGCGCGCAGACCGCACGGATATGGGAAAGGACGATGTTCGGTCGTGAATAGAGTGTGGTGTCAAGGCATTTGGGGATTCTGTGTAAGCGGGGAACTCGGCGAGCTCAGACGACAAGTCAGTGCAGCTGCTGCATCGGCTAGGTGTATCCAGATAGAGAGTCGGTCGGCCATTGCTTGCTGGCTGAGAGTTCATCGCGGGGGGTGGCAAGTTTAGAAGCGGTGGCCCCAGGCTCGCGCTTAAAGGATTCGTAGCCGATACCTGGTGCGCTTCAGCGGGACCATGTTGCGTCGCGCCATAGTTGTCAGGGCTTAATGTGTCTGCTGGTGCAGAAGTAGACACTTGGTGAACGCAACTAGAGTGTGCTCGCAACCTTCCATGATGGGGATGATGATGCTCATGCCCAATGACTGAAAGGGCATCACTGCGGCTTGCGTCGGCCGCTGGGGTTGTTAGTCGGCGTGCCCTGTGAGTTAGATGATTCTCAGAACGGCTGCGTCCAGGGACGTTGATCGCACCAAGCGGGAGGTTACTCTCGCGTTGCAACTGTGCCAAAGCAGATCGAAATTCCAAAACACCGACCAAACTCGGGCGGATTGGGGTGATCGTTGTTGCCCGTCTTCCACCTCGACGAAGAACTCTCATACCGCGGGAGACCTCAGCAGCCACAATTCGGTCGTGGTCGGTATTCGAGTCGGTTCTATCCAACTCTGGATCTGCCTGCAACAATTCGCTGCCATCGATTTCTATTCTCGGGCCATTTTCCAATGTGGAAAGGTCGCTCTGGTGGGTGGTCTGACGCGACGAGGAGTTTTCGTCGTCGGGTTCATCGCGGTATGGTGCACCAGCCAATTCGTCTGTCGCGCGGCTAGCAAACGTGCCATAGTAGTGACTCCTCGATTCGCCTTCTCGTCGGCGTCGTTCTCTGTTACGTCGGGAGTAATAGTGAGAGCCAACAACGACTACTACGTAAACTGCGTAGTAGCCAATCATGACCCAACACTCCCAAAAATATAACTTTCCGTCAAGCAGAAATGCCGTTGTAAAGATGACTGCAATAATAAAGAAACAGATATCACGAACATACGAGTTGCGGGATACTTTGAATTCTCGCACCAGTGACATGGACCCCGCGACAATGGCGGTGATGAAGCATGCCGCACCCAGCAGTTCGCCCACGGCCATACTCGCACTGTTGGAGCCCATGGCAGCAAACGTGCTGAATACGTCAGGAGATCCATTGCCAAAGGCTAAAAACGTAACGCCCGCCAAAGATTCGCTTAGGCCCAAAATCGTGGCTATAGTGCTCAGGTTGATACTGAAGAAATCGCTCGCGGCAATGCCAATAGTTGTGAAAAGCAGTCCAAGCCAAACAGTCAGGATAGCAAACGCCACGGGCTGTGCATTGCCAAGATAGCAGTAGTATAATTCAAGGTACGGGAGAAGGCCGGCGTCTTCGTCTAGACAGTGTTCGCGGATAAATGCACACTGGTCCTTGGCAAGGTTGACATCGCGGCATTCGTAGGTTGCGCTTCGCGGGGCAAGCAGATTGGCCTCGACAGAGCCTCGGGTCCGGTGTGATATGAAGGAATAGGCTGCGAGCGTTGAAATAACAAGAAGCGTGGCACAAAGCGGTCGAGACCGAAGACGGCTGCCTCTCAGCGACGGCGATTGCATGGTGACGACTCTTGATGCATTGCCGGCCAAACTGGATCGTGGTGTAAATGTACCGTGGAGTACCGGAAGCCGAGACAGTATGGGAATGATTGAAACAATAGAGAAGAGACGTATGCCGACAAAGAAAAATAAAAATGAAAGTAAAAGAAAAGGAGGATATAGAAGAGGGGTACGCGAGATATTCTTATCACCGACGCCGCAGAGGTCACAAAAAAAACGATGACGAATGGAAATGGGTAAATCATGAGCTCGATGCTGCCGCGCTTCTCCAATTAAATCTGCCCGCATTCACCCTCCCCCAGTTAACGTTAGCCGCTGTTTCCCACCCAAAACCTAATGCAAGCCAGCGTCACGTGGCTGTGTTGGGGAGCCGCAAGTGCTCGAGCCTCGCCTAAACCAGCCTAGGCCCAGAGGCAGCCCACAAGCCACACCTTGAGCCATGCCAGCAGCCAAACGGTAAAACAAGGCCCGCCCAGCACTATGGCGCCCCCACCACGCGCCACAGCGACCACCAGCCAATTGTGTACGTTGAATCGGGTACTTTGTTTACTTTGTTGCACGCCAGTCCGCTGACAAGGAGACGCGATCCAAGGGCAGCGCAGCTCACCACCAGGAGCTTGAACACTGCATCACGAATATCTGCAACGAAATCAAGCAAAACACACAGAGATAGCATCGCTTGTTCGTCTTTTTTTAATCCTCTCGCCACCATGCCTCGGGTTGCCCAGATGCCCCGGCCAGCAGGCAGCCGGTCGACTTCTGGGTCTGTTCCAAATAGATCCTCCACGTACGCCATCACCAACAGAAAATCGCGTCAAATATCCTCTGTGGTACTAATTTTTGCCCTTTTGTTTGCTTTTTAACAGATCGCTACCTCTCAATTCACTCAACGACGATGCCCAGGAACGAGGAAAGCGCATCCACTCACGAAAGGCGCTTCACGAAAAACAAATCAACCAGATCAAGGCGGCCGCTGTCGGTACACCTCGCAAGAGCAGCTTACGACTTGATGACATTGAAAATGCTTCCCCAGCTTCTGGCGCTGTGACACCGCGCGTCTCCAGAGGATTAGAGGACGATATCGTTATCGGAGGTGTCAACAACGGCACCCCCGTTAAGCGCGTGCCCATCTTGGCCAACTTTGAAGAATGGATGAAGATGGCTACCGACAACAAGATCAACGCTACCAACTCCTGGAACTTTGCCCTCATCGATTACTTCCACGATATGTCTCTGCTCAAGGAAGGCGACGGCGTCAACTTCCAGAAGGCCAGTTGCACATTGGACGGCTGTGTCAAGATTTACACCAACAGAGTCGACAGTGTCGCCACAGAGACTGGCAAGCTGCTGAGTGGTCTGGCAGATAGTAACAGCAAGAAGAAGGGCGAGGAAGGTGAAGAGGGTGAAGAGAGCGATGAGGAGCTGGATGAGGATGGCAACGTCAAGAAGAAGACCAAGAAGAAGACACAACGCTCATCGGAGGCTACTCTGGCCCCGTCGTTTGCCTCATTACAGCTCAAGAAGTTTGAGCTCGAGTTCACCGTGGATCCTCTCTTCAAGAAGGCATCTGCCGATTTCGATGAAGGTGGTGCCAAAGGTCTCTTGCTCAATCATCTCATGATTGACTCACAAGGCCGTATCGTGTTCGACAGCAGCGACGATTCCGATGAAACAGCACTTCAGACAAAGGAAGACGCAGAAGATGCCCTCGACGACGACGACGAAGAGGGCATTGACGAAGCTACACAGATGCAGCTGCAGGGCGAAGCTACCCAAACACTCGACACACAAGCTGAAGAGGAGACCGACGTGGAGATTGATCTCGTGTCTCTCGGCCGCCGCTATTTCCCCGATTTGAGTCGCCTAGATGAGTTTGATGTTTGCCCCTCGCTCAAGAACTTTGATCTCGGCGACCCCTCTGGCTCCATGGATATCCCATTCCTCAAGGCGCCGGAAGACTGGAAGCAGGAGCAGGGTATGGGCGGCTTCGGCGACAACTCTGGTATGCTTTTCGACGAGGATGCCCCCGCAGGCTTTGACGATGACGACCTTGGTCTCGGCAGCTTCGACATTGGCGGCGATGTTGCCTTTGGTGAAGGTGGTGAGGCTTGGGCCCGCGACGCTGCCCTGGAAGGCCACATGCGCACATATGATGGCCCCATGGACGAGGACGATGCCGACGGCGACGACTTTGACGACAACGGCGAGTTCGTTGTGTCCGTAACCAACTCCAAGAACTCAGACAAGATGCACCAAGACATTCTCTCCTTCTTCGACCAAGCCCTCCAGAAGAACTGGTCGAGCGCCGAACACTGGAGAATCCGCAAGGTCAAGGATGTCAACAAGCCTGCATCGGAAACCAAAAAGCGCAAGGAGAAGGAGCCCTTTGAGATCGACTTTAGCTCCCCTCTCAGCCCAAGCGTCATGGACCTCTTCGCAGCACAGGCTACAAGCAACTCAACCATCAGTCTCGCCAAGAAGGACTGGAAGTCCAAGTCACGGAACCTGCTTCCCGACGACAAGCACTTCAGCTCCAAGTCGCTGCTGAGCCTCTTCCTCAAGCCCAAGGCCCGTTTGATTCAGCGCAGCACCGGTTTCGGGGCCCGTCGCGGCTTCAACTTTGGTGCCCAGCAGGAGAGCCAGCCAGCGGGCGAGCTGGACGAGGCCTTCTGGGCCCAACAGAAGGCCCCTGAAGAGACAGAGCTCCCCGGCGGCGACTACGACGCCAACTTCTTCCAAGACGACGCGCTGCCATTTGCCGGTGGCGATGACGACGATGACGATGACGACCTGGAGTTTGCCGACGCGCAGGAACATCTGGGCAGTGCCGACGGCGGCATGACAGAGGCCATGGGCGGCGTGACAGCCATGTTTGGTCCCGATACACTAGCGAACCCAATGGGTGCGTTTGGCGATACCCTTGTCGCAGCCACGCGAAGAGTACGCCCCGAGTACGTCCAGTACGCACGTGTCTCGAAAAAGGTCGATGTGCGCCGTCTCAAGGAAGAAATCTGGAAGGGCATGGGCCTGGAGAAGCTGCAGCCGCCAGCTACTCCTGCAGCTCCAACAGCAGAACCAAATGGTGCTGTACCTGGATTAGAGGACATGTCGTTTGAGAAGCCCCTCAAGTTTACGGAGGTTATGAACGGCCTCAAGTCGGTGTATCCCAAGCCTGCTATGAAGGACATCTCCACATCATTCTGCTTCATCTCGCTGCTGCATCTTGCCAACGAGAAGGGCCTAGTTATTAACAAGACGGAAGGACTGGCCGAACTGGACATTCGCAAGGACTGGACTGCGCTGGATGTAGTGGGTGAGGCGTAGAAAATGGGCACTGACTATATTTTGGTATAAAATCCTAGCACGGCGTAGTGGTTAGGCTGTCTGTACGAAGGGTCCATCTTTTTGTCATTTATAACATTATTAGACTTTAATGCGATATGAGCGTTGGTGGTGTATATCAGCCAAGTTATTTTCTTAAAACATTAGTTTTAAACAAACAAGTGACTTCAAACATTGTCAGGATATTCAACTTGGCAAATGTGTTAGTGTTGTTTTCAAAGAACGAATCGTGGTCGAAAAGATGTAATGCGTTTGATTCAATCTGCCCATGCCTCCAGCTAGCACTAGACGCAGCAACTAGGGAAAATGCTGTACAAGCACGCACGCGAGGAATTCGAAAAAGAACAGGCCCCTTTTCCGTCCCAAGCAAATAACCAACTCTTTTTGGATCTCAGCCTCCTAGCTGGAAAGCAGCTAGGTTCCGCTGCTAGTAGAGAATATAACAGCCAAACGCGCAAAGAAAGAAACAAACCGCCAGCCTTGCAGACGTCACATAGCTGCGCGGTGTTGTGGACTATATAAGCCTTCCGGTAGCAAGTAGTTGAAGTACCCGATGAAGAAAGTAAAATGAATATAACAGAAAAAAAACGCAAGGGGCCAAGCCTCTCTCTTAATGGAGATACACATAGTAGACTCTGTCATCATAAAACCGTAAAAGAAAACGCCCTGCTGAATCAAATTCGAAAAAAAAAGCCGTCCTACCCAAAGTAAAAAATGTTCGCTCGCGGGGGTATCTTCCAGGGCCCCTAAATCTCAACAAGATTTACACTCGGCATCCACAAAAGCGTGTACGGGTAGACGCCGAGAGGAGGAATCCCCCAAGAATAAAAAGATAATAGCACATCTGGGTGAAATATAAAACGTGCAGTAAAGCAGTGCGTCTTAAGAGCGTTGAGTTTGGTCAACAATCTCGCCAGCCCGGAGCAGCGCACTCATGCCGTCCAAGTTGTTCTTTGGCTTAGGCGCAGGTTGTCGAGGGGGGTGGTCATCGGTGGCGGTCATGACTATGTCGCCATCCCCTTCTTGCTCAGCCCTCATCCTACCAAATGCAGACGATTCATTTTGGAAACCTATGTTCGTAGTTAGCGTGTCGTCTCTAGGGACATGTTTCATGTGTAAGCCGTACCGTATCCCGTTGGACCGCGGTATTGTTCATGGTTCGAGTGTTTTATATCACTCTCTTTGGTTGAGAGTAATGCATGAATAGGCAACGGCGCGTCGCCACCATATCGGATATGAGAAGAGCCGTTGGTAGGGGCCTTGCCACCGTTGGGCATGGAATGGATGTTAGTTCCAGGGAGGCCATCAGGCAGCGCCCGTCGTCCGTCAGATCTGTTGAAATGTGCCTCGCGACCATCTGCAAGCATATTGGAGAGTGGTGGAAGGTTTGCCTGGCCGTGCTCTCTACCAGTGTCCCTGTCAAGCCAGGGGCCGACTTGCGGCGCACGTAGATCTCTATTGCTAGTAATGTCGTACTGAATAGACCTCGGCGACATGTTAGGGTCATCCATAGAATTTCGATGCGATAGTGGCGTCAAGCCTGCCGATGATAGTGGAGAACCAGCCATGGATGCCACCGAATCAACACGGTGTTGTCGACTTAGAGGCGGTTCCAGGTCCTGCAGTCTCTCACTGCTACTGCCACTTCGGGTACCGCTCGACGCTGTCGTGCCACCTGGGGTAGCGCTGCTGCTGGTGCTTCCATGACGAAGTCTGGCAGGTTCATACTTTGTGCGCTTAGAGGTATCAAGAGCTTTGGCTAGTTCGAGAGTGTTAGTCCATGTAGTTGATTCCACGAGGTGATGCGCCTTACCTTGCGTGTGGCGTGCTTGCTTCTCTTTGAATTCGTGAAGATATTGTGAATATTTACGGTACTGTGGTGTTTTCTTATACTCTGCCATGTCTCGGCGATACTTGTCTTTAGCAGCATTTGCTTTGCGTTCAAAGACGTCCCTTTCGGAAGGTGAAAGACTCTGCCAGTTCTCGCCAACAAGCTTGGCGATCTCCGTAAAGGTTAGGTTCTGGCTCTTCAGATCATCGCGCATCTTGTTTGAAAAAAGAACATAGGCTGATGGTGGTCTCTCAGGTGCATTTTCGTCAGGCTTTGGATGACGTCGGTACTTTCGCTTGGTAACTCCGTTGGTCTCATGGTTGTTATCGGATCGGATGCCATCATATCGTGTGCCGTTTTGCTTTGCTTCTTCCAGACTCTGTTTTATCGACGCCAGAGACACTGAAGGGGCGATACCTTTTGCGTTGGCAATATGTCGTTGCAATTTCTAAAGATGAAGATGTCAGTGAGGGCACTTTGTGAGGCTTTGATGAGAGCCAAACTTACTCTGCGGTGTCCCAACTTGACGCCAAGTGCATCCCTAAGATATCTGGTTAGAATTACTACGGTCGCTCATGCCAAGGTGGGTAAACTCACAAGTCTGATTCCTGGATATCAAGAATAATTTCCCAACTGTCAAATCCTTGTTCCACAAAAACATCCAGGTACTGGGCTAAGCCCAGCTCCCTAAAGACGTTTTCCAAATCGTGCGGCATGCAGACGGTATTGTGTGCGGCTTGTATGGAAAGACAAATGTTGTTTTGTCGTTAAGTGATGAAATGGATTGAGTTAGAACATGAGTCCGATAATACCGTCCGGTATATAAAAACAGCAGTACAATAACTTGGCGAGGAGGTTTCTGATGTTGCAGAGATAGTAGTGGTTGAAGGCAATTATACAGCAATGATTCCAAGCTTGACGTATACGCAGCTATTGTGGTATTGTTGTTGGAAATATAGCAGCGCGTATATTGTGATGTAGTATGGCTGAACGCAATAATAAACGAGTGGCCGCGTTGACTTGCGTAGCGTGTATGGGCAAGAGAAACGGCTAGCAACTGTATTGCCTGAGATGTCGAGTGCGGGTAGCGATGTTCCAAGGCTGCGGGTTAGATAAACTCTCGACGGTCACGCAAATTTCCCGGATGAAAAGAGGTTAAACGGTTGTGAATCGAGATAGCTCAGGTGCAGCGCAAGGTACCCACGCATCTACAAAGTGGTGATGCAATCAACGTGGAACCTCAGCGAAGAAGGACTCGGCTATGACGTCGCTGGAGTCGAGTGTGGTGTAGAGCAAGTTGCAGATCCTCTGCCTTGAGGACAGCACAGCAACAATTATTTCGATAATTATGAAATGATGATACGCAGCATTAATAAATGGGTTGGCCTGTGGTTGAATAACGATGCGCAAAGAGACTGTATGATCCGGCGTTTACGTTTGCTGCTTCGCTGGTTTGTAGAGGCAGACAGATCGACGATGCCCACGACAAGAGAAGGAAAGCGCAGGCAGGTTTGGTAGTTTTCCTGGCTGGTGGTTGTAGTGGAGAAGAAGAGCAGCGATGGCGACTAGGGTGCAGAGGAGTGGAAATCGAAAGCGCAAAAAAGTGTGGGCGAAAGAAGGAAAATGAGCAACAAGAAAATACCAGAGGGGGAAACCTGGTTGCATGAAAAGAGAAGAACGAAAGGGGAATCCACCTAAAAAAAGACGAGCTGATGATGAGATTGACTCTGGTGTATGGCCAGCTGCTGGTCCCGGCGTGCAGCTCGCAGTGCAGCAAGAGGGTGCTCTCTGGTGGGCGGGCCACTGGGTTTGCTGTGTTTTTTTTCTTCAGTTGGGCTAGTGGTCCGCTAGAAGGGGAGTCTTCCCGCTGAGGAAACCCAAGGGGGGTGTCGCTAGCAAAGGTACAAGCCAGCGACGCAGCAAACGGCCACGGCACAATTTGCTGCTCATTACACGTGCAGTTTGTCCCAAACGTCCACAACTACCGCTAAGCGGGCGTTGTGGTCGGGCAAACCAATCCCAAGGATCACTGAAAGAAATAGAGAAAAGCTTCATTCCTGAGATGGCCAGGGTGCACAATCCAAGGCACCACTGCACATGGCACCATGCGCCTACACAGCATACTTAGCTTTAACTAACTCACTTTATGTAGAGATATGATACTATTACATACCAGTTGTTCCCTGCCAGAGCTATCCGAAGAATTGACTCAGTTAATTGGTCAGTTGCAACCTACACTGAGTTAGCACAGCACAGTGTCGCGTGTGATGGAGGCTTCGCTTATAGAAAGATAAACTAAACACAACCCAGCCAGCCAACTAAAGAAGTCCCCCTCGTTGAACTCATTCCGGCGCGCAAACATACAGCTTGATCCACGCCCAAGAAGAGAGGAAAAAGAAACCATAAACAAAGGGTGTCGGCGATGGCGGCGGCCGCCGCCACGTTGAAATGGGCGGGCCACGCTGGCCCACACAAGTTAGACCGTTGGAAGCATAGGCCCGTCAGAGCATATAACTTCTAGGGAACCCTATTTAGTGTTGGCAGTGGTTCAGATCGGCGACTGCGGATTCTTCCTCTATATTTCCATAAAAACGCAGTTGTTTAGCGAGTTGTCAACAAGGCTGTCGCTTAACCCGCCTCTCATTCAACAAACACTTGTTACGCTTCTGCACCTGTAACGGTCGCGCAGGGACAGTTTAGTGTCAACGGCGCCAGTAGCACCACCATCGCTCGTCACTGCCGGAAATCCGCCAATCAACGGAAGGCTACGCAGTAACACGATGGAGAGAAATAAAAAAACGTACGAAAAAAATTATAAGCGAGCAGCAGTTCCATCCAAGTTTCAGCCTAGTAAAAACTCAACTACTCCGTAAAATACGGGCATTTGATATGTCTCACCATGGCTCTAAGTTGTCCTTTTTGCGCCAAAACGCGGCTCGCCAGCACTGAGTCGGCTTCCCAAACGGGCAGCGATCTCGATCCCGCACAGTGGCCCAGCGAAAAGGTCTCAACTTCCGCCCACCCTCACAGCGGAAGCCCGCTGATGTGGCTCACCGGCGGACATCGAGCTTTTTGCCTGCGCATCGCTTTTTCCTCTTCACCACCGGTATTGAGCAAAATGAACCGGTCAGTCCCAGCCCCCCCTCCCTCCCAAAAGAAAAATCACCTAGCAACACAGTACGGATTGTATCTTTTGGTCAGGGAATTTGCTTGTTCGCTTTACTTTTTGTCGTCGTTCTAGACCGTGTGCGCGCCGTGGGCTGCTCCATGTCAAAGTCCATTCTCACCTGACGCACTTTTTGGCAAGCTCCGAAATTATATGCCCCGTATATCCTGACTTTTAGATTCGTCTAAACAGGCCATATTTAGTACGGCAAAAGAAAATATCGTCCGGGCACACCATGCAAGTCTCAACCTTTGCCTAAACGACATGATTCACGGTCCATGAATCCCATGTTTGGACAGGCGACAAGGCTGGGCTAGCCACCACCATGCTTGCAAGAACGGTGTGAATTGGCAAAGTACCATACCTTCAGGAGAATGTAGGATTATAATGCAGCTCGCCAGCCGAGGGGCTACATCAGTGACGCCCAGCCAGAGGCTTTCCGAGGTGCACACCCTTGACCAGGGGCTTGTTGGTACCTCGAGAGAACATCTGCCGCCTTCCGCCATGGAAATTCGTGGAAATCCGCATGTTTTTATCTCCCATTTGTTTACGCGCATTGCGTCACTGGTGTGCCTCCAAGCTTTTCGGCGTACTGCGTATTAATTAATACCTATCCCAGCACGATGCGTGGAGGTCGTCCGATGTAAAGCGTGACTTATACCTGGACAACCGGCCTCGCCCTTGGAAGCTACCACTACTACATATATCCCACGCATGCAGACAGACAGACCAAAGACGTAAGAGATTCTGTAGAAACCCGCCGCATAATGTCGGGGCACGCTTCGTCTTGTGCCGGCCGCTTGACTTACGGGCAGGCGGGAATGGCTCCCGCGACAAGACCACCGCCGTGGCTTGCGTTAGAGAGCTACCGTCCCGTGGCATGCCATCAGTCCACCTCTTCGTCGTTTTCCCGACCCTGCATGGACAGCCGTATACAGTTAGTAGGAAGACAAAAGAAAAAAGTAATATTAAGATATGACAAAAGGTAAAGGGCAGTGCAAAGGGGGACATGGGCCGGACCGGAGTGTCATTCTAGAACGGGTGTGCCTGCTTGTCTCGTTTCTGCATGTCTTTGCCTCGCACCCTCAGTCCTCCGAAGCGGTTTAGGAATATTAAATAACCAGGCACGAATCATACTTTGTGTTCTTGGCAATTTCTGCTCATAAAACAGGGTAAGTCGACGTTTTCTTCATTGTAAGTTGGCACTGTAATTGCATAGTGCTGTACTGTAGATGATGCATACAGCACTATAACAATAGCGGTTCCCAGCGCACCATTCGCACATGCTCACAGCACACCCCACAGCTTGGGGTGTGAATGGAAGAAAACAAGAAATGGTAAGCTGCGCTAAGCCCAGCTCTAGTGGAGGTTACACCTTGATTTTGCTGGACCAACCCCATCAAACGATCGCAACGCAATGCTCCGCGTTGGCGCGATCGGTTTTTAGGTGCAGAAGCCTGTTTCCCGATGACACTGGTGCCCTCCCACTGAGAACCCCAACCCTACACCCCCTACAGACTTGGAGCCTACACCAACTTGGCGCCATACACTTCGTTTTGGTCTTCTCATGTTTCTCATTTTTCCGACAACGTAGTTATATTCTCGAGAGTAGGTGAACTCTCTCCAACACCCCTCCCCCCTTTCCCCCTCCCTCCTCGAACTTGCTAGTGCGTGGTCGTTTCTCCATCCCATCCACCTGGGTATTGCGCGAAAACTCATGTTACCGCCCTGCTAGCGGCCCAGCCTAGGGGCGTTAGAATACCACCACAATTAGACTCTATGACGACGACAAGTTTATCTCTTCCAATAGAATGGTTGCATCATCAAACAAGCACTGGCCCAGATGCCGCACATGGCGCGACGGGCCTCAACGGCACCAGCCAGCGCCGCCTCGTTCTATCACCCATTAAAGCGAAACAGCACACCGCCGCTGGCTGGAGCACTGTGCCTCGTTCTTCTATACCTGGTTTGCAGACAGATAGCGTGTTTCGATTGTGGAAACCCACCAGGCTTAAGCACCCAGTCTCCTGGAACACTGGCGTCGTTAACATGGAATGCATCTTCATCCAACACCCAGCCTTGGCTACACAAGAGTTGGCTGTATATACCAAAGGGGCCAAGACAGACAAGTGCATGTCTCCACCATAGCCAAACGAAGCTTGGTGTAATCGTATATTCGTGCGTCTTGTCAGGAGCACCAAGGGCATACTCCTTTACACCATCTCCCATGCACCGCAGCGATCCGTAGACTAATCATATATCACACCATGCTGATCACAGTTCGACTTGGCGCTGTCCACGAGCCCAAGGCCCCAGCCTGTGCATGTGGCCAGCCATTTAGGTGAGGCAGCGCTAATATACAGGATTGGGTGTTGGTAGACCGCCGGTGTTGGTTAAACATTGTCTTAAAACCTAAGATGTTGTTTACGCATCATTCCATTGTTTGGGGGCGGCATCGTCGACTACAGTCGAGGAGTGCGGTCTTATACGAAAGGGAAGAATCCAACCACCATGCAGGCGACTTGTCATAAAATTCATGACGAATTTAAAAGGCCAAGATTAAATATTTTTCAACTACATTTAATAATTTTTTTAATCCAAAATACGTTATATAAGGCTTTAGCGAGTTCCAGAACAAGGGAGACGTCACACTGTATAAAATACACTGGTCTCGGGTAGGCTATAACAATAGTGCTAATATGCTTAAACGCCTAAGCCATAACTATAACCTTCCAATCCAGAACAAACTATATACATGAATAAATAAATAGAATTTAGCATAAAAATATGACATGTATGATATACACTCCGATACCCGAAGTCTGTTGTTGTGACCTGCGTATTCCCGAGATACCCCATACCCATCACGTGAGTTGCCCAACCGTCCGATTCGACGACAGCGCCCACCAAGCGTCAACATATAATCGATTCATACAGAGTAATACAATACGATTACCATCTAATATTCTACACCCCTCGATACACAGCCTATCAAAGAAGCAGACGACATCAAAATGCCTGAGGATAACCCTGTCGAAGGCAATGATCTTGCAGAGGTAAGCAACAAGCAGCAACGAAAGCTATCAGAACAGTAGACTCACGCGTATCACATCATCCAGGCCTACAAAGTAATCGCAAGGTAAGACTATAAAACTGCACGATCGACATATCGTCGATATGTTCGGTGTTTATCCAGATAATAACCAAATAAACAGGGGCGAGCAGACCGCAAGCGCCTTGGAAGCCAACTTAACCAACCTGGAATCAAAGCTTGATGCTATCCTCGCAGCATTTGAATCACAAACCGAGGCTGTTTCTAAAGCAGCGGAGTCTTCAAATGGTTCGGATAACAAATCAAGTGCAACCGACACTTCAAACGAAAAGGAAGATACTGAAGACGCTTCGAAAGGCATGGATACTGCACAATAGACCAGTTGTTTGCCGGCACCGAGTTGGCGCAGCGAAAAACTGACGAGTTCACGATGGCGTTCTACAGGAATTAGCAATACATGTACATATATAGAAATTGCACCAATAAACAGATAGACACAAACAAAGTCTATTTTGGGAGTCTTCGAACACTGTGTTGTGACGAACAGATGAACGTGATTCTACAGCACTCAATAGACTTGATACCAGATAAAGTGACAAATTTATTCTTTTAAATCAAAAAATATAGGAATTGCAAAAAAGAGAAAACTGTCTCTAACCAGACGCAAATGAAAACTAACCCCCAAGCTAAAAGACAAAAGTCAAGAACGACAAGCAACCAAACCAATATATGAACCATGCGGCAATGCTCCGAAACGTGGCCAGCTCCTGCGAGTAGAAAATGGAGAAAGACAGAGATAGAGATAGGTAGCAGCAGTAACAGACTCATCGCACATGCCGAGCGCTATCCCAATACCCAGCTATAAAACTAAAATACATGAGAAATGGTAAAGTCGAATGACGGGCTCATCCGGATGTATTCATTATTGTTTGCTCAGATATGTCAGGTCTTGCCGCGTTCTTGTTACGCTGTCAACCTGAGCCGCAGATGGAGGCGCTGGTCGGTCAACGACAGGAAGGCCAGACATGTCGTCACCCTTGTCACCATGTCTTGACGCCTTGGCCTCGGCGTGCATGGCGAGCTCTCTCTCGCGGTTCTTCTCCAGCAATGGTCCACCAAGGGTGGCACACTTGAGAATCGTTTGGATAAGCTGGTTCTGTTGCAGAGGCTTCGTGATGTACTCGTCCATCTGCGCCTGGATACACTTTTCGCGATCACCCATCATAGCGTGGGCTGTAAGGGCAATGATGGGTGTTCGGTGAGTGCCCATGCTGCGCTCGTAGTCACGGATCTCGCTAGTAGCGTCAAAACCACCCATGATGGGCATTTGCACATCCATGAGGATGACGTCAAATCTTTTCTCCTTGACAGCCTTGACGGCCTCCCAACCATTGCCAACAACGGTGACCACGTGGTGGTACTTCTCGAGAATCTTGACAGCGAGTCGTTGGTTGACCGTGTTGTCTTCCGCCAACAAAATCTGGTACGACTTCGTGTTATCTGCTAGCGAAGGAGTGGCGCGGTTCTCAAGAGCCGGCACCATACCGTTGGCCAAGTCGATCAGCTTGCAAGGGGTTGTCATGTATGAAGTGATACCCAGGTCCAAGCAGGACTTGAGGCTGACATGGACGACAGGAGCAAGGAGAACAATAGGGAGGTATTTGAAATCATCGACGGCGCGAAGTCTTCTGGCAGTATCGATAGAGTCGACAAGGATGGCATCATAGGGGAGAGCGCCGCCAGACTTTAGCTTAGAAAGGGCAGAGCTCTTCTCCGAATCCACCACCACAGAGTGTAGACCGATTTCTTCAAGCATAGACCGCATTTCGACACCAGACTGAGATTGGGCCTTATCCACAAACAGTACTTGGTGACCTCTATAGGGGCCGATTTGCTTCTCAACGCTGCCATCACCATCAGGGGCAAGTCTCACCTTGCAGGTAAAGTGGAATTGACTGCCCTTTCCGGCCTCACTGTTCACCCACAGGTCACCTCCCATCAAATTGACAAGGCGCTTGGAAATTGACAGTCCAAGGCCAGTGCCACCGAATTTGCGCGTCATGGAGCCGTCAGCTTGACGGAAGGTATCAAAGATGACGTTCAGTTTGTCTTTAGCAATACCGATGCCAGTATCTTCGACGACAAATTCAAAGATGTATTCACCCTCGTCAACCACAGCACCAATAGTACTCTCCTTAATGGTGAGGCTAACTTCACCATGTTCAGTAAACTTGATAGCGTTGCCGACCAAGTTCAAGATAATCTGTCTGAGACGGAAGCAGTCACCAATAACGTGGTCAGGCACAGAGCTGTCAACCTTGTAGGTAAGGTCGAGGAACTTCTCGTTTGCCTTAACAGCTAGCGTCTTGAGCGCATTGAAAACTGTGCCTCGGAGGGTGTAAGGGATCTCCTCCATAACCATTCGGCGAGCCTCAATTTTAGACAAATCGAGAATGTCGTCAATAATAGTCAATAGACTGTTGGCAAGGTTGTTGACAATGTTCAGCATTTCTCTCTGGTACTGAGTCAAGTCGGTGTCCAGTGTCAGCTGCGTCATGCCGATAATACCGTTCATGGGGGTTCGGATCTCGTGGGACATGTTGGCAAGGAATTCGGATTTAGTCTTGTTCGCCAACTCGGCAGCTTCTCTGGCTTGGGTGTTTCTCTGAATACTGTCTCGCAAGTTCGATATCATTTGGTTGATCTTGCGTTTCAGTTCGTCCATTTCACCAGAAGCCTCGACGTCGACCAGCTTACTGAAATCACCATCTGTAGCCAAGTTCGTAATATCCGAGAAGGCTCGAACTTGAGTTGTCTAAAGGTATGTTAGAATAACGATGATAGTTTCAAAAAGGAATATGGCACGTGAACTTACCAAGTTGCTGGCCATGGTGTTAACGTCAGCGGTAATTTCCTTCCAGCGTCCATTCAAACCAGCAATATCAGCTTGCGCACCCATTTTTCCGTCGACACCGACATCCTTGGCAACGCGTTGCACTTCGTAACAGAAACTCGACAATCGACCAACCATGTTGTTGATGGTTTCCTTCAACACCTTGATTTCTCCGTTTGCTTCGACATCAATAGTACGGCTCATATCACCGTTGGCAATGGCTTGAGTAACTGCAGAAATACTTCTGACCTGTACTGTAAGATTGGAAGCCATGGTGTTGACATTTTCTGTGAGGTCCTTCCACTTTCCTTCGACATTGGCGACCTGAGCCTGGCCACCCAAGGTACCTTCGGTACCGACTTCTCTCGCCACTTTACTGACTTCGACGGCAAATGTACCGAGACGGTCAACCATCTGGTTAATGGTGTTCTTTAATTCCAGAATTTCTCCCTTGACTTCAACACCAATCTTCTTTGTCAAGTCGCCTCTGGCGACAGCAGTTGTAACCTTTGCGATCTCTCGCACCTGTGTTGTCAAGTTCATGGCCATACCGTTGACATTTTCCGTCAAATCACGCCATGTACCCTCGACATCGTGGACAGTAGCTTGACCACCCAAACGGCCTTCTGTTCCGACCTCTCTGGCAATCTTTGTAACTTCCCTAGCAAACTGCTGCAGTTGGTCAACCATGGAGTTGATAGTAGACTTAAGCTCGAAGATTTCTCCTCTGCAGTCAGCTTGGACCTTTTGAGTAAGGTCACCCTTAGCGACAGCCGTCGTAACCTTGATAATGTCACGGACTTGCGTCGTCAAATTATTAGCCATGGCATTGACATTAACAGTCAAGTCATTCCACATGCCCTGTACTCCACCAACATCAGCTTGACCACCCAATATACCTTCTGTACCGACATCTCTAGCCACCCTGGTGACTTCGGAGGCAAAGGTTCGCAGCTGGTCCACCATGGTGTTGATAGTCTGTTGGAGCTGTAGAATTTCACCTCTGGCGGGACGTTCAATTTTCTTGGTCAAATCACCGTGTGCGACAGCCGTCGTAACGGAGGCGATTTCTCGCACCTGGTCAGTAAGATTCTGAGCCATGACGTTCACATTGTCTGTCAGCTCCTTCCATGTACCGGCAACGCCACCAATACGAGCCTGACCGCCGAGCAGACCCTCGGTACCGACTTCACGGGCGACACGAGATACTTCTGAGGCGAAGATTTGCAACTGGTCCATCATAGCGTTGATGGTGCGCTTGAAGGTGGTAATTTCTGGGTCCATTTCAACGGTATTCATGCGGACCTTCATGGTCAAATCACCACGGGCGACAGCGGTGACGATTTCACCAATTTCTCGTAGCGCCTTTTGGAAAGCCTCATTGGCCTTTTGATGCTTCCAGAGCTCTCTCTCCAGAGTTGCTACTCGTTCTTGTTCCAAGACTTCAAGTGCACGTTCTTGGAGCTGTTTCTGCTCTAGCAGCTGAGCGTTAACGCCAGCAAGCTCCTGGCGCTGGCTATCAAGCAGCTTGGACTGGTCATCAACATGCTTGTGAAGGCCTTCTAGAGCCTCCTTTGTTAGATGGCTAGGCACAATGCGTCCAGCAACTGTGGTACTGGGAGGCGCTCCAGCGGTTGGGTCGCCAAATACAGCATCGTTTAACTCATTGGGAGTCTCGGGCAGGGTGGCGTTGCCACCAGCCGACGCTCTCCTCTCGAGCTGGGCAATTCTGAGAGCAAGCTTCTGAAGCTCAATCTCAAGATATTGCTTTGCAGGAGAATCTTCGCCGGGTAATCTGATTTTCGAGTCGACCCCAACGCTCAGGGCGGTGGCGCTCTTGGGATCTGTCGCGAGTGAGGCCACGAGCTGGGCAGCCGTGGCGAGAACGGAATCGTCAACCATTTTTCGACGACACAGAGACTGCGATGGCCGCAGTTAGGCCCAAGGAATGACGTGATTTTGGCTCAAATGGCCAAGGGAGATAGAAATCGGGAGGGTGTGACGCGGCAGTGTTGGGTTGTTTTTGTCGAAAGCTATCGATAGTCGGGGATATTGAAGCGTAAGGGTTGATATAATACGGATTACTGCCAAAGCATTGTTGTTATTCTCGGGGAAAAGGCGTTGTAATAGTCGCGACAAAGGTTGGGCAATGGCGACTGGGTGCTCGAGATGATCTGTGATGCGAACGACGTGCCAACTTCTTCAGAGGTGTCTGGATCCGAAGGGCGAAAAGAATCCGGAGCCGCTGCTCGCAGAATTTTCTATCGTGAGGAGCAGAAAGACAGCTCTCTAGAGCCAAAAAAGAAGCCAGATCTAAGCCGGTGCACGCACAAAAGTGTGGCAGGTGGAACAAAAAGACAAGAGTTGTGAAGGAGATGAAGCGACTTCTGGGACGAGGGAGAGTAGGCTAGCGGAGATTTGGGAATGAGCAGGCGCAGGCAACTGGCTCGTGGGGGAGCGCCATAACGGCAATGTCGAAACAGTGCGAATAAGAAATGGTGAAAGATGCAGACCGCTCGCTATTTGGGCGGCGGCTCTAGCGTAGTGGACAGGTTCCGACCGTTTTAGGGGATGGTGCTTCTGTTGTGATCCAGCGGGTACGGCTTAGTGGGCGCTGGTGGCGGTTTGCGCATGCTAAAAAGTGGAGGCAGCCAAACGACCTGCCGGGCGGCAACAGACTGTGCACCGCACTGTGTCCATTCTGAAAAGGGCACATTTGGGCGGCGCCAGAGGCCTGGCGATCGCCCAAAACCAGCCACAAGTGGTAAGCGACCAGTGTCATATTCTGTTCTTAGCGGATGCCCAAGCTGCAAAAGGGGCTGCGACCTGCAAATCGTCTCAAATTACGGGAGAGATAGTCGTCGGTACGGTGGCATTTGGCCTGAATTGCCTACGTTGCGTACATGGCAAACCGTGCGCCGTGCCCTTTCGCCACGGGCAGTCACCTTTGATTCGGTGTCTTTTTATTTCTTTAACCGAACTGGGGCAAATTGGGTGGGCGGCGGACAGGCACTGACCAGAAGGCAGAGGGAATACGAACTGGATCGATCGACTTACCGGGATGGTACTAGCCTGGCTTATGGGAGGCGGTTTAGTTACGAAGTTTGTTGTTGAGTTTGCATAGCTGCAAGAGTAGCATAGTTGGGAGGAGCTCTATGCATGCATATGATACCGTCTGCTGCTACTGAAAAAGAAAAAGGTACAGATGGAATTGCCGCATTATAGAAACATGTCCACGTTGCTGGCCCAGCCTACTATTTGCCACGCTGGAATGGGCGTTTTATTTCCAGGGTCGCCATCTCAGACGGGCGGTCTCAAGATGAGGCGTGTTTTTGCTATCCAGGGAGGACACCTTTGCGTAGAAGTTGCATGATCTTCTCGGATCTTCGATTTCCAGCCTGTCCCTGCTTGCAATGTCACGATTCATTAGCTAGGAAACCCGAATAATATCTATTCGAATTTTCTTGGGTAGAGGCAGGGCAGCGAGCGACTCGATGAGCATGGACCCATTGAAGGCTCTGGCGCTGTGGATAACAGCTGGGGCTCAGGTGGGAAAAGACCCCTATTATGACGACACCGGCGAGGTATGGATAAGTTTTGGCACAGTGCAGACCTGGGCTCATGGTAAAGAAAAATCGCATGTTGATTCACAACGTGTAAACTAGTGCCACATGCCAACCATTCAACCACGCCTTTACTGCTTTTTAGGTTTTCACAAAACACTTTGACCTCTCTGCAGCTTGAAAATTTACGCCTCTACACGACAGGCTCCCGCCATTCCCCTCTACGGCGTTAGTGGGTAGTGGGGAGCCATTACGTCACCAACTCTTGCAATACGGGCGGTGGGATAGGCTACCAGTATGGCCACACAGGGCAGGCAAAGTGTGTAAGCAAGTCGCAACTTTGGGCTATTACGCCTAATTCGGCCCGAGCCTACCGGGCGTTTTTCCCTGGGAAGGATGCGGAAAGTTTGTATGCGAGGAAATTCGGCCGAGATGATAAATTTGTCGAAGAATATCGGCTGCTTATGACTCACGACCAACCAATAAGCGACTGTTGCATATTCGCTAGAGTCATGCGGCTTGAGATTTGCTCGACCCGACTCGTGAAGCGAGAAGTTCCCCTGGACGATATGCAAAGTCCGTGCACCAGCTCCTTTGTCATGTTCGGGCCGTCATCGCGTGCGCCAACTGATTCTGTGAAAGTTGACTACTAGCCATGCAATCTCTGAAGTGAGGCCACTAGGAGCTCTGAGGTGTTCGTCATGCAGTCGCGTATCTGGAACAACAAGAACATGATTTATAATGACTACAGGTTACTGGGTACTTTTGCATTCTGTATCATGTCAGTATGACAGAGCGAACCGGCAGATGTGTTCCGGCTTGGTATCATGACTGACCTGATGAACCTGTCGAAGAGACTCGTGAGCATTTCAACCCCACACAGGTAGAATTCTAAAAGTTAGGTTTTCAACGCTCTCACCCACACGGTAGCAGTCTACAGTAGAACTGCTGATGATAAGTACAGGTGAGCAGCAGAGCGTCAGCTGCCATCACATCTGTCGTTGGCGGAGTCCAAAATGTCAGTTGGACCATCATAAGCTCTCTACAGGGGCGACAATTCCCGATTTGTGGGATAATAGCCGGCTCCGAAATAATGGCAGCTGCAAAATGCAGGGGACTGCACGGTTGAGCACCGAGCAAATGCAATATAATATGAAAGCTAGACAATAATAGCCGTCGGGCAGAGCAAGACGGCGAAACGGCAGTTTGCATGCGCCACCTTGCTAACAATCCTATTGTCTCAACAGCTACCAAAACTACCAAAAAGAAAAGAATGGACGAGCCGCTGCAGCTATCCGGAGATATTTGGCGTGATTCTTCTTCTGTTGTATCAAACAAATATTTTACATCGTTTTTTTGCTTCTTCTCTGTAACGTTCTCCATGTCACCAGACACAACGCCCAGCAGACACACACATTAGCTTTGGCAGCTGGCACGCGACGCCCTAGTGGCAGGTACACGAGACGCGCCCGTTAAATTAGCTTCCCCGCATCCAAGCCCCTTGAGTCTTGGCCTCTTCCCCAATCCGCCACAGCGAGCAAAACCAACAGACCAGGCTTTCAGTGGAGAGGCGATGCTGCCTGTGGCTGCCCATTAGGCGAGATTGCCCTGCCGTTTCAAGATGGGCGCCCCCAGATGCTGGCCAGATTGTGCGATGTCTTTAGACTTTGAGGCGATGGAAAACGCGAAACTCGCTATGAGCACCGCTGTGACTCTGGAAAGTATCGCGCACACTATCGCTTTACTATTGTTCCTTTGTGCAATGAGAAAGCGCTAATCTGGAACATTTGTCAAACGAAGACGCGTTGCCGCTTGGATAAAAAAAAGACAGAGAAAAATCATCCCTAATATTAAGCCGAGCAGATGCAGAGTCGGCTGCGCCAATAGGAGCTGATCATTTCGATGCCCCTCCGTTAAATTGCCCATCATTGCCTGCAGCACACTAATACAAACTGGGCGCGCCATGTAACATCCGACCCCTTTCCCCAACAATGGTCTCATGAGAAGCTCTGCTTCTGGCAGTACGCGTGCGCCCTGACAGCGCCGCCCGAGACATGTCATGGGGAAAGGATTGCACCCGTCGCGTATCCCCAGATATCGCACAACAGGCTGTTCAAAGAAGAGAGGAAAGACAGAAAGACTAAAACGCGTGAATAGCGAGTGGCATCGTCATACAAAAGAGACACGCATAATGCAAAGCACTCGACTTCTAGCGCTTAGCCAAAGGATCTACACCAAACTACTGGCAAACGAGTGAGAATAATGTAACCACCCATCGGCGCAACCTAACTTGAATCTCGAATTTCTCTTCACCTGCAATAAGGAAACTAGCTCGTTCTTAGTGTTACATCCGGCCCCAGTTCATGCATGTTCAACTATCCATGTGCCCATACTTTCCACTCCTCTTCGTCCCCCCATGATGAGCTACAAGTACCTTTTGGGTCTTGTTCCCACCAAATGAGACCTTTTGTCCTCATCGGAGCTCAATTGTCCGGCGGGTGGCGCGTTGGAGCTTTCTCGGCCGCGACTTTGCACGCCCCGAAGGCCCGATTGTCTCGTCCCTGTCCATATAAGTCCCTGCCCTCCTCCTCCTCCCTTGAAGAATCGCTCGACCCGTTCTGAATCAAAGTCCACCGTTTGCAAAAGATTCTCTTGCATCCTAATACATCATGCATTTGCTGCAACTTGGGGCTCTGTCCTCTACACTATTCGCGCTCGGCGCGCACAGCCGTGTCTACAACACCACCGACAAACACTTCGATGTCCTCGATTACATTGACCCTTTGATCGGAACTGACAATGGAGGTTCGTCACCGTAATGCGTCACAATATCGTCACTGATTATCATCTTCTTGCGGCTAATGCGATAGTGCTTTAGGTCACGTCTTCCCTGGTGCTTCTCTTCCCTACTCTATGGCTAAGTCCGTCGCCGACGTCAGCTACGAGAACCAGGGTGGCTTTTCTTCCAACGATGCCGACAGTATGTTTGCTGAACTCGAATGTTATCGTACAATGTGTATCTAACACTAGTTTAGTTACTGGCTTTTCTCACATGCACGACAGTGGCACAGGTGGTGTAAGTTGAGACGCGTCAGGTCGAGGGGTCCTTGACGTTGCTAACAGACCAACAGGGTTCCTCCATGGGCAACTTCCCGCTTTTCCCCCAATCTGGCTGCCCAGGTGATGAGTTGAACAGATGCAAGTGGAACAAGCACGACCGATCGATCAAGCGAATCAATGGCACTGTTTTGGCCCGCCCAGGCTACTTTGCTGTCACCATGGCAAACCAGATCAATGCTGAAATGACAGTAACAAACCGTACTGCCCTATATCGATTCACCTTCCCCGACCAACGCGAGGCTGGTGTTCCCAACTCTCCGGTCATCTTGACTGATCTTACTGATCTTCCCGGATCGCGTATTGTAGGTGATATCAAAGTCGACCCCCACACCGGGAGAATTACCGCTAGCGGTGAATGGCGCCCATCGTTTGGTCTTGGAAGCTACAAGTCCTACATTTGTGCCGACTTCAAGGGCGCTACCATCCGTGATACAGGTGTCTGGATCAACAACCGCGCTGGCACCCAGCCCAAGAAGTTGAGCCTGCCCGATGACGGCAACAGAGTTCCCGGTGGTGCCTTTGTCCGCTTCAACGCCCCTCAGCACGATAACCAGATTTTGGCTCGTGTTGGTCTCTCTTTCATTAGCACCGAGCAGGCCTGCCAGAATGCCGAGCATGAGCTCAAGGACTTTGGCTTCGAACGCGTTCGCTCTGCCGCAGAGGACGCTTGGAGAGAGAAGCTTTCTACCATCAAGGTAGACAACACTGGTGTCGCTGTCGGCATCCAGCGATCCTTCTGGAGTGGCATTTACCGCGCCGTGCTCTCCCCCCAGGACTACACTGGTAAGCATCACCACGGCTTTGTGGTATACATGCAGTTTTGCTAACTATGTACAGGCGAGAACCCTCTCTGGAAGAGCGATGAGCCCTACTTCGACTCCTACTACTGCATGTGGGACAGCTTCCGCAGCACTCACCCACTCCTGACCCTTCTCGACCCCAAGGTCCAGACTCTCATGATCCGCAGTTTGATCGATGTTTACAGAAATGAAGGCAAGCTTCCTGACTGCAGAATGAGTCTGTGCAAGGGCTTCACCCAGGGTGGCAGTAACGCCGACAACGTCTTGGCCGATTCTTACCTCAAGGGTCTTCGCGACGGCATCGACTGGGAGACCGGCTACGAAGCTGTCGTCTCTGACGCCGAGGAGGAGCCCGCCATGTGGACAGTTGAGGGCCGTGGTGGTCTTACCAGCTGGAAGAGCCTCGGCTACATTCCTACTGATGACTTTGACCCGTACGGCGTTGGTATCTTCTCTCGCTCTGTTTCTCGTACTGTTGAATACTCCTACAACGATTTCTGTATTGCCGAGATGGCTCGCGAGATGGGCAAGTTTGATGACGCTGAGAAGTACCTCAAGCGCTCTGGCAACTGGAAGAACATGTTTGACCCCGAGTCCAAGTCTATCGTCACCGCCAACGGTAACTTCAAGGGTTTCCTTCAGCCCCGTTACCTCAACGGTACCTTTGGCTACCAAGACCCTGCTTTCTGCACCATGCTCGACAACTTCTACTCGTGCTACCTCAACCCCGATGGCCACGAGACATACGAAGGCGGTTCTTGGCTCTACACCTTCTACATCCCCCACGACCAGGCTACGTTGATCCCCACGCTCGGTGGCACTGACGAGTTCCTCCGCCGTCTGCGCTACTTCCACGACACCCCTGGCCTATTCTACATTGGCGACGAGCAGGCCTACATCCTTCTTTTCCTCTTCCACTACATTGCCCGCCCCGCGTTGTCTTCCTACTACGCCCACAAGTATGTTCCCGGCTCCTTCAACGATACCATTGGTGGCCTTCCCGGCAATGACGACTCTGGTGCCATGGGCAGCTTCAGCTCCCTCACCATGATGGGCATCTTCCCCATGAGTGGCCAGGACGTGTACCTCATCATCCCGCCCTTCTTCAAGGAGGTCTGCATCAAGAACGACCTCACTGGCAAGACTGCCACCATCCGCAACAAGAACTTCGATGCTAGTTACACCAACATCTACATCCAGAACGCCACGCTCAACGGCGAACCCTACAACAAGAACTGGATCACCCACAAGTTCTTCCAAGAAGGCGGCCTCCTGGAGCTCGAACTCGGCCCCAAGGAGTCGACATGGGGAACCAGCAAGGAGCTGGTACCTCCCAGTGCCTCCACAAGCTTCTGGAAGAAGTAGAGTTGTAAATATTCGGTGGTGACAAACACGCACACGCTCTTTGGCTTTCATTCTCTCTTGTTTTCTTACCCTTCTGTTTCCCGAACATACTTTTACATATATTCAGTTTATAACTTTTCTCAATACGAGGCATTTTCTTTTTTTCTTCAGTTACAATTTTTATTTCCGTTCCAGTTGTGTGTTTAATAGCAATTGATTATAAAATGCAGAGCAGTATGATATGGACGAAAATGCGCGCTTAACCGTAAAGAATAACTCCCACACAACCTCTAAGCGGATGAACAACGACACGCAATCCCGTAGAGCAAACTTAAAACGTCAACCGCTAAACAAACTTGTAATAAAAAACCCTGACTTCTTCTCGTTTTATCTCCTAGGAACGAGCCCTTTACCAAACTGCGCAGCGGAGCTTCCTGCCGAGTTACGGCCTGCAGCGACGCTGTTCCTCACTATAAGGGCGGCAGCCGCTGTGGCGGCTTGTCTTTCCTTTTGCCTGTGCCTCTCTTTCAGATACTGCGTGGCCTCGGGTCTCATACGCAGGATTCTCAGAATCATATCGTCACTGGGGTCGGCGTGTGTTTCACGTCTCTTTGCCTCCTTTGCTTTGCGCATGGTGCCTAGGTTGCGGCTCATCATAATGCTCTTACCACGTCGGATGGTGCCCATGCTGGCAAACCCGCCAGCGCTTCCTCCTAGAGCGGCCATGGGAGCCGTGACAGGTGTATGCTGGTTGTGCTGAAGGAGGGCTTCCTTGGCCCGTTGCGCGGTGGCCAGCGCCATTCTCTCAGATTCCCGAATCAGATGGTTGCTGTCTTCGAAGTAGAAGAAGTTGAGCGACGCCAGTTCGTGCCACTTAGGCGACTTGAGAACTTCGGCCGGAACGCCGAGTTGCTCGCCAGAGTCCTCATCGCGCGCGTTGAAGAAACCGAAAAGCAGATCAAGCCAGTAAAAGACAATGTCTAATTCCTGGCGGCTCAGAGGCTTCTGGATAGAAGGTTTGTCAGAGACAGGAGGAACCAACAGGTTTTCAACAGTCATAAGAACTTCTTTCCAGAGACGAGTCATAACTGCAATCATGGTGGCATCGGTTAACGTTTGCTTCATGATTGCAAAATTTTCGTCAAAGTATGTAAAGAGGTGTGTTAAAGCATTCTCAGCTTGCTGAGGAGTAGAAGCTGGTGCTGCAGTCTGCACTCTCTTTTTCCATAGATTTGTGACTTGCGATGCCATGCCGTTGGTCCCTAAGATTGAGCGTAGTGTCTGAATAGATAGCGTAGAGTTGATTTGCGTCGTCAGCTTGTCCGTGATTTTGCGAACCATGTCTCGTTCGGTTCTCTTGAGATGGCGGAAAGCTTTGCCAAAGTGGAACTGGATATCATCGCGTTCACCCTCCATGCTGACACGAATAAGTAGGCGACCCTGGGTGTCAAGGTCAAGCCAGAATTCGCGAGGGAGATAGTCACTGAAGTGGCCGGGGTCAAGCTTAATAGACGTACGGCCAACATAGTCGTGATCTCCGATTGTATCGTAGTCCCAAATTGTCGAGATCATGTGAACGGGGCCCTGGACTGTAATATCGAACGATTCATCCCATCGAGGGTTGAGGTTCTTGTGTATGATTCTCGTCTTGTGCAGTCGCTTCTGGTATTCATCACCAAACACCACGTACGGGTCACTAAAGCCGTTTGGATCGCAAGCTTTGAGGTCTTCAGCTTCGACCACCTTAATGGTAAAAGTGTACCTGCTCGGCTTTCGGATGTTCTTCTTATGTCCATCAATGCGTTCGATGGCAGCCGCGCAGCCGTCGACGTTCATCGACTTCTCTAGCTTATCCAGTTCCTGCATGGCATACTCTACGTTGTTAAGTTTGACGAATGACTAGAGAGTTGTTAGCTTGGTCTACCGTAGTGAACCCGAATGGGACTGACTTCAGCAAAAAATTGGAAAGGTTCTGCCTTTTCTTTCGTGTTCCACGCATCCTTGGCGTATTGCATCCATTTTTCTTGCGTGGTGCGACCTTGAGCGGCGAGTTCTTCTGCTGATGGTCGATCCATTTCTTTGCCAAATCGTTGTTCTAGAATCTCACAGTATCGGCCGATGCCAGCCGAGAAACTACGAGCAAGCGCATTCATAAATCGAGCATGGTGCTCGTGATTTGCCCACCCTAACTTATAGACTTGGTCAACTGTTTGGTTGAAAAGCATGAAAAGGTCGATAACCGATACACTGTGTCGTTGTGAATCTAAAGGAATGTCCTCTGGTGAATGCGTTCGCACTTGGAACTGATCCTGTTTGATAGCCTCTTCGACAAAGTCCGTCATTCGCTTTTCTGCGGCTCCAACCCAACGCCAAACAAAGTCAACTAACTGGTTCTCCAAGTTGAACGTGAATGGTCGACTTGGTAATGATTGCTCGTGGATGCGTCGAATCTCTACCATTTCTTTATATAACTCGAAGCCGTCCTCAATATCGATTTCCAGTTCGTTTTGATCGGCATGCGTCATGACGGAGCTTATGATAGCACCCGCGTCATTCTCAAAATTGGGGAACACCTCCTCCACGAGGATCAATAGCGGGTTAACACCGACAATCTCGGGGTTGCTCTTGTATCTCTTGCGAATTCGGTCGCACAGCTTAGTAACAGATTTCCCCAACTTGACGACGTGAGCAAATTCCCAATCTTCTTTGTACTGTGGGATCTCTTTCTGCATATACATTCGGTAAACTTCTGACGCCTTCTCACGAAGAGCCTGATGGAGATGTTCTGTAAAATCAGCCACAGCTTCAGGTTTAGATACGAAGTTGGCATTTTCTCGAATATGCGTTTCCAAGATGAACAAGACTGCGCCAATGTCGGGAGGCTTGCTATCATAGCATTTGTCCATAAGGCCGAATAACTCGCGAAGTAAAGAGTCATGTAGACTTGATAGGGTGTTTCTGTATACGGTAAAATCCTTAATAGTCCATCGGCTGGTAGGAATGTCAGGTAAAGGTGTCGCGTATTGTTGAATATGAGGTGGCTTTTTCTGCTCTGGTTGTGCCGTCTTAATAAAATCAAAGATGGTATCGAGCTCTTCTGGCACAATCTCCTGATCCATAAACTTTTTGGCTGCTACCTCTAGAAGAACGATCAGCCGAGTGCTTTGTGGGACACGCCAGCAAACACAGAGCTGTTCCATTAGTTCCATAGACGCCTTTGATAAAGGCTGATAGTCGGCCGAAGGATCTGCGTGAAGCTGGTCGTATGCCATAGCATGTTGGAGGATATATTTATAAAATAATCGAGGTTCCGGTGGTATAAATGTGTAAATACCCGTCTCTACGGTTCGAATGCTGGTCACGTCGCTGAGAGCCAAGGCGGATAAGCCAGATGCTGGGTCGAATTCAAAGGCACCGTCGTCAGCCGCGATAGCCCGACTAAGATCTGCATAGGCTTGATCCTCGCCGTATGTGGATTGCGGACGACTTGGTACTTTCTGCGTTGTGGAGGATTTGGCGAGCTCTGGTTTTGCCGTGAGGACTTCCATCAATAACTGCGATAGATGCGGTGCTTCGCCCTTTTTCCACTCCAAAAACGCTTCTTGAACATCGAAGCTCTCATTGCTCAGTGCTCCTGACAGATCCGAATTGAGTCTGTGCTGGTACGTTTTCAAGTCCTTCAGAGCAGCCTCTTCTGTCCATATACCCTTCTTTTCGTTTATTTCTGCCTGAACATCTGACAGACTCATGCCAAAGATTCCGGCAACGACTTGCACCATGCCCATATCCTTTACATCATAGCTCAGCGGAACCGTTACTTCAATGGTGGTTCCAGTAGAGTCAGTGCTGCCACCCACCAAATCCTGATCATTGGTCAGGAGTTTATTTTCCAATGTATTCAGTCTTGACATGAGTTCGGGTCGGTCGCGCTCATGGCCAGTCTCTTTCAACACATTGGCCGACAGCCTGACAAACATGGCAAGATGTCGATCTGGTAACGTCTTCCAGGAGTCGTCATCCGGAGCGCGACCCTTTTGGGCCGCCTTTGTGGCTGATGAGTAGAATATCAGAACTAGAGGCTCAAACTTTCGTTCTTTATCCATTGTCTTGCGAAAGTTCTTTTCCGAGAAGGCTGTGTATGCCTCTGCGAAGCTTCTCTTCACTGCAGCATCACTGAAGCCAGGAAGCGGTTCACTTCCCCTTAAAACTCCACCGACTCTGTCTAACAAAACAGACGCGAAGTTGCTAGGAAGCTTCAGTGAGGACGAGCTGCCAGACACGTATTCTTGGACTAGTACACCGACACTCGTATGCGTTCGCGTCGGGGCTTTTGGGGCAGCAGGGACGTATTGTTTTCTCTTTGCCTTGGGCTGGAGAATATAGTGGAGGAATGCCGTACGCAGGGCAAACGAGCGTGCCTCTTCATGATCGACAGTGCGTTGTGCTATAGATCGGGATCGCGAATGGTCTCGGGCTCGGGCAGAGCTTCTGCTGCTATTGTTCAGCCGCCTGCTGGGCTGGAACGACGATCTAGAGGCCGTCGACATTGTTGCTTGATCACTTTGCACGAGGCATGCTGCGAAAAACAGCTTTCCAAAGGATGTATGGGTGGAAGAGGGGTCGGGGATCGAAGATGCAACGATTTGGCGTGGCGGATGGTGTTGAGAGGAGGCAATGACGTGTGCCTTGTTGAAACGGGAAAAAATAAAAGAATGCTCCAAAATAAAAGAAAGAGGACGAAACAGAATCAACAAGGCTGGCAGAAAGATAGCAGAATCGTAGCAGACTAAAGTCGAAGAGAAGGGTCGGTGCGGTAGACGAAGACTAAGGCTGGCACGAGAGGGGAAACGGCTACCTGTATGTTGTTTCGGCACGCAACATGGTTCCTTGGAAAGGCTCATGACGTCTGGCGCCCAGTGCAGGTCTTTGTTTGGCGGCCGTAACCCCTGGAGCGCTAAGGGCCACAGCGGGCGGGGCAGCCGTGGTGGCTTGCCAGCGCGGTGATTACTTGGAGCCTGCACAGCGCATGGTCAGGCTGGGCGAATCGCATAGGGCTTTCGCATGGCGTTTAACTCTGTTGCCCTGCATGGTTACCAATATCGAAATGTATTTTTTTTTTGCTGTACGAAAATCGCATTTGCTAGACGCTTGCATGCAAAACTAAGCTGGCGCGAGACAAATACGAACAGGGCTTGCCTTTGTTGAACCATCCACTAGCCAACATGAACAAGGCTGGCATTCAATCTCGCCCCCCTGCTTGCTTCTGCTTAGTTTTAGTAGCTGCTCGCTTACGTTCCTATTTTGAGAGCCATTCTTTGGTTATCCTAACTCATGTGTTTTTAATAGTACAACGAATCATGCTTTTCGTCCCTACATGTGGTATTGTACTTTGTAAGTACACTATGTGGTTGAATCCCACTGCTGTGATGTAATGTGGTCCGATTTGATTTTGAATAAAAAGAAATAAACATTTGCTGCATGGTTCACTAAACACTGTACGTACATATCACATGGCATAAGCTCTGCTCCTGACTTCTCGTGATGGTCTTGATATTCAACCACCAGTGACGCAATGCAGGCCATGTGCCCAGATTTCCCATGCAGTGCAAGGCGCAACATCTCAGCAGGTCAATGGCCGCCTGTGGTGCAGCTTAGCCATATTACATTACGCCTCTTTTTGCCATTCACCTATTTTTATCTCCCCTTTTCCATCTTGCGACAGTGCATGCTTGGAGGGTGGAGCAGATGGGGCGAATTGCACAGGTCAGGTACCAAAGTATCCGCTGTGAACACAATCGACGGGTCGGAGGGATGAATGCGGGTTGATTGTTCCCATTTTGTTATGAAATTTCGCTTTTCTTTGTAAGCGATGGCTGCGTGCGGAGAGCAGTCGCGGATGTCCGATGGGAAACACAGCATCAAAAACAAAGAAAATTACTGATAAGAAATATGCGTCACCAGTATGCCACGGCGCGCAGAATATCCCATTTTCCATTCTTGGCTGGTCTAGCGCCCATGAACAGCGCTGTAATCGCCTTGGTATTGTAGTGCACCCGCTACGTTACGTTGTTACGCGCGCTGCAAAAGCCACCCACCAAATTTCCCAAATAGAGATCCTCGCTCCATTTTGGCCACTGAAAAAAAGTGGGTGCATCCACTGGCAAGGGAAAAAAGTTAGCCTCGCTTGCCTCCACATTGGTGCGACCGCTACCGTTTTCAAGCTTGCAGGGGACCAGCAGCCACTAAAGCTCTGTTGTGGTGCACACGTCCCCTCCACCTGCTACTGGCACAGGCACTGGCTTGCACAGGCACCACCGCCTTCTCTCCAAAACCGCCCCCCAGGCATCATCTCTTCTTCCCGCCGTCATCTCGTCCTAGCTGCCGGTTTCCACCAAGCAACATCCCCTTCCACCATCTAGCTACTGTATTCATCCAACCTTATATCCAAGACTGCTGCTTCTTGCTTCCATTCATCTTTTTTCTTTCTTGGCATATTCTCTTTTTGTTTTATCCCGCTGTTAACGCCCGAATCGCGCGCCAGATGACGGTCCCTGTCCCGCTCTGAGCCCCGCGTCGTCGTCTTCAGTCGTCCCTTTGCCTTTGCGCTCTCGAATGCGCACAGTATCGTTGCCCTACACCGACTCAATCCATACCATCGGCCGTCAACATGGGAAACGTTACCAGCAAGCCAAACGAGAGCTCCTCTCTCTTTATTCGAGACCCAAATCGGCGTACGTCCTGACGCGATCCCCTCTCCTCTCCTGCCACACCTATCGCCGTACCAAGTGCTAATTGCTCCCTGCTTTGCTACTCTACAGTTAACATATCTTCGCTCATCATTACAAACCCTCGAAAACGAAGCACCATAACTATTGTTCCCAACGAATTCCCAGCCACCAGAGTCACAGCATCCCGTCTAGCTGGAGATTACGCCCCAGTTGAATTTGTCCAGGTAGCCTCTGCAACTTTGCTTCTCTCTTTCTAGCTGCGCTAACCAAAGTCTTGCCCTACCATAGGATCCAGAAGGAGCTGCTGATTCTCCTGGCCTCCTGCTCAAACTCTCAGGCGACGACGAGCTAATATTTACATTCACCTTTGTCATTCGCCAAACCTCTTCAGCAGGGGATCCCAATCCAACAGATACCAGCATAGCTGGCCTCACATATGTTTACTCCTCAACGGCACGAGAAGTAGAAAACCTAGTTACTCGAGAATTTCATGCGGATCCCAACCTTCACAAAAACTCCAACGTAGCGTTGGTGGGCGACTACTCGACAGAAGGCAGTCCTTCTGTGGCCTTCGAATGGACATGGAAATGGAAGCCGCCCAAGCCTACTGAGGATCGAAGCGGTGGCTGGAGAAATTCTTGCAGCGTAAGTTGTCCATCTTGAACCATGAGATACGAAAGTTCTGACAATCCCAGTTTGTCGAGTATGACCCTCGAGCCCACCGCCTTGATACACTGGCAAGCTTCTCGTACTTCGTTGCTGGTATGTTCCCTCGCCTAGCTCTATATGGATAGGGCCAAGATTTGGTCCAAGCTCTAACTCACTGTAGGTCCTACAGCACTTCCTACACAACCAACATCGCCTCCACCCTTCCTTGTTCCGTCGCCTCCCAAGATTCGAGTAGCCTCCGCGCAATCTGTAGATTCGCGGTTAACAGAGGCAGAGGAGCTACCTCCTGTTTCGCCTTTGATAAGTTCGGGCGACATGCCAACCTTGCCAACACCGACACCTTCCAAAGAACCCGTCAAAGTCGACTTGGTCTGCCCTCGCCCAGGCGAAGACGTCACCGTCACCGACGACGGACCTGTTTTCCGAGCAACACTAAAGGCACTCGAACAAAAGACAGGCAATATGCGCATACAAATGAAGAAGGTCTTAAAAAGAGCTGAGCAAGCGCATCTCAGTCAAATCGAGGCAAACGACTCTCTCGTGGCATTCGTAGATGCTCTTCGCGAAGCGTCAACAACGAACGCAAATGCTATCCAACCAGCCCTTGAGCATTACTTTGACAAAATTGCCCGCGAAATCTTGCAGTATGACCGACAAAATACAGCCAATTTGCAGCGCGTCATCATTGATCCTATCCACAAGCTGTATCAGTTGGATATTAAGCAGGCGGAATCCAAAAAGAGGGACTTTGAGGAAGAAAGCAAAGACTACTACGCATATGTTTCTCGTTATCTGGGACAACGTCAGGATTCAGGTAAAGCTAAGAAGCTTGCCGAGAGTGACTCCAAGTACCAGAACAAGCGACGCAACTTTGAACTCAAACGATTCGATTATTCTAGCTTCATGCAAGATCTGCATGGTGGCCGAAAGGAGCAAGAGGTCCTGTCACATTTAACCAAGTATGCTGACTCGCAGACCAAGGGCTTTTTGGCGACGGCAAAGAAGATTGAAGCCTTATTACCCCAACTCGAGGCGCTCACTACAGAAGTCATGGAAGCTGATAAAGAGTATCAGTACCAGCGAAGAGAACGAGAAGAAAAACGACGCCTTCTCGAGAAGAGTAACGGAGCTTCTCAGGAGGCAGAACCAGAACAATCTGCTGCACTCAACTTAACGACATCTGGTCAGAATGTGGCCAGTGGCGGGAATACATCTGATACTGAGCTAGGCAGGGCAGACAGCACTGGCTCTCAGCTAAAGACAACATCCTCTGGTGGGCAAGCAAGTACTGCCGTGGGCTCCGAGCTCTCGCGTTCACCTGGCAGTTTGGCTGCTACCATCACTAGCAGCGCACAGGGGTCCAAGTTCAAAGGCTATCGCGATTTAGAAGAGCGCGACCAGACACAAAACACCGTCACGCAAAGAAAGGAGGGCTTGCTCTGGGCACTGAATCGACCAGGAGGGCATGTTGACCCTCTTAATCTAAACAAGCAAGGCTGGCACAAGTAAGCTGGGTTCTCCATATCCGCGATCCTTGTATACATGCTAACATTTTTGCCAGGTTTTGGATCGTATTGGACCAAGGAAAGCTTTCAGAATACAGCAATTGGAAACAAAGACTTGATCTACATATGGACCCAATTGATTTAAGAATGGCCTCTGTTCGAGAGGCGCGAAACGCAGAAAGACGGTTTTGCTTTGAAGTCATCACACCCAACTTTAAACGTGTCTATCAAGCGACTTCGGAGGAAGATATGAACAGCTGGATTCTCTCTATCAATAACGCCCTGCAGAGTGCGGTGGAGCGTGGAATGAGCGCTCGCCACGATTCGATCAAGCGTCCCAGCGAATCGTCATTCAAAAAGGATATTGGCTCGATTCTTACTGGCAAAATGAACTCTGTACATGGATCCCACCACTCTTACAGCTCATCTGGAAGTGGTATCCCGTTCCGAAGAATTACAGTTGGTGGGCGCCCAACACCAGTTCGCATCCCAAGCTCTGGTTATGAGGAAAATCCAGACCAGCTGCTGCAGACTCTGCGAGACAATGACCAAGGCAACTGCTGGTGTGCAGATTGCGGGTCGGGATCTAAAGTTGAATGGGCGTCTCTCAACTTGGGTATCATTGTCTGCATTGAATGTAGCGGCATTCATCGTTCCCTTGGCACTCATATTAGCAAAGTCCGCTCGTTAACACTGGATATCAAATCCTTCACCATCGATATTGTCGAACTCTTCATGCTTATTGGTAACCGAGTCTCCAACATGGTTTGGGAGGCTAAGCTGGATCCAACACAGAAATTAACTGCACAAGCCACCCGCGAGCAGCGTCTACGGTTCATCACCGACAAGTACGTTACGCGGTCGTTTGTTGAGCCAATCTCATCTACGCTCTCACACTATGGCACTCCCGACGATACCTTGCTAGCTGCGATCAAGAAGAACGAAATCCAACAAGTCTTGTATGCTCTGGCTCTAAAAGCCAATCCCAATACGCTGGATAGGATGAGAGGGACACACGCGGTGTGGCTGGCACTGGCAGCTGCTGATCCAGCAGCTCCGTCAGCAGCCGCTAGCCCAACAACAGCGCCCGATACTGACAGCAAGCCCACGCCATTCCCTATAGCGGAATTGCTGGTGCAAAATGGCGCCGATATCCCATCAACCTTGCCAGCCTTTCCTCTCGGACGATATGCACAGCTCTATGTGGAGCAGAAACAAGCCCGACTCAATGGGTTAGTAAATGACACTATAGCAGCGCCGCCTCCCATATCAAGCGGCACTGAAAAGCTGCAGCGCGAGAAAGAATCCCGGCTGCAAAAGCGAATCAGCGCAGGTGGACGTTTGGCAAAGTCACCAATCCCCGAGAAGTAGGAACGCAGCTTTTGGGATCGAGTGGCACAGTTGACCTTGTACTATCACTTGGCAGAGATTGATCGATTTGGTCGCTTTGCAATATTCAACAAGTCGCGAGCATGCTATTGAGACGAGCTAAGTGCAGGTTCTCGTATCACGGGCACGAGGCAAGCATTGTGGATAACTCTGTTTTCTTTTCTTCTTCTCGTTATCTGCTTTTCTTGATTTTGGCTTTACGGTATCGTGTCGCGCTGCTTCATATGATAGCATTAGCGGGCGTTTCTGGAAATTAGAAGAAAGTTGAGAGTGTTTTTGTTTAGTATAGCAGTGGACTGATGCAGGTCTCAGTGGCAAGCCCGACGACAGACTGGGCAGTAGCATGACATAGCCCTAATGATAATGAAACGAGTTTACTGAAAAAGCATTGGTGTGTTGTGTGGTGCGATTTTGTATCAATGAGAGTAAAAAAAAAGGGCTTGTGAGCCGATGGTGGAGGGGGACGTCCACCTTGTACATGAGACAAGTCTGCCTTGTGTGGTTCGCATGGCCTTAGCGGATGACTCTAGGCGGTTCCGGGGGAGTCACGATAGTGGCGATGCGAACTGCAAGGCGGATACAAGGTGCAGCAGTGCGGTTAGGTTAGCGTGCAGGTGCTGCAGTAGAGATGTGATATGTGCGTACAAGGAGATGGCTGCTGTTACTGTTTATTTAATACGGGCTTCTTATTTCTTGATATCCTTGTTCCTTTTCCTCTAGGGCTTCCATCGTAGCAAGGTGCTATCTTTTCTTTTTCTTGCAGGCAGATCCGTCCCTCGTGTATGCCGAGTAGCGCGTGTGCAAAGCCCCTGCAACGCATGCCCCAGAGCATCACGCCTGTGACTTCTCCAACGCTGCCAGGCCCCGGCCCAGTGACTGGCGCTCCCCCTCCACTGACCCACCGGCCTGTGGCTCAGCCGGCAAAAGGTGCGAAGCTTTTAGCGCGGGCTGCTGCTGTTGTGCTGCTCCCCAGGCGTGCTTGCTTGCTTGCTTACAGCTACTGGAGCAGCGCCAACGGAAGCCTGGATTAATTCACGGCCGTCCCTGGAGCCTCGCCATCGCACCTCTTTCTCTTTCCACTTCATTTCCCATCCCCAGCACAGCTTAATCCTTTGCTGTCGTCTTTCCCCTCTCCCCATCTCTCGTTTTTGCGCCTTTTCTGCCTTGGATCTTAGCTCGCGTCTCTGCCACCGGGCTACATCACCAACCAGATGCCGCCTCAGAACGAGAAGAGCCAATTGAAGCGTCCTCGCGTAAGTGCTACTTCATCGCCCAGTCCTGCAGAGTCATCTCGACCTCGACGCCAACGCTTGACGCCCGTCTTCGCTCCCTTCCGCGCTCTTGCTCACCTCTTCTTCCAGGGCTCCTTGCCAGAGGACGCAACCGAATCCAAAAAGGCTCGCAGGTCCGAACAGCCATCCGCAGACGCCGACGGCAAGACGCCCGTAGCTCATAATCAACAGCTACCGACCCCGGGCGTCAAGGGCGACTCAGTAAACGATAGTAATGACATAACAGCGACGCCTCCAGGCGCCAAGACAGATGAGGATACGCCGCGCAAGTCCGACGAGCACTGGTCTCAGTCCCAGGTCGTTGCCTTGTCGTCGCCTCCTCAAGATACGCAGCCCGTGAGCCAGTACACCAACATGGGTGATCTCCGCGATGACATCGAGGACGAGGCCGAAGAAGGTGTCTGGGGCTATCTGCAAGCTTGGGACGCCCAGTTCGGTGATAGACCCATCGTCTTGAAGAAGCGTTGCGCTTGCCCCGAGTCCGACTCCATTGCTGCGGCTGCCGCAAAGGAGCCTAACAACGCCAACAGCAGCGTCCCCAAGGCCATCCGAGATGAGGAGGCCTACGAGCGCACAAAAATCAAGGGCGTCGCCGCCGGCGGTTACCTGATCGGCCGTCATCCTGAATGCGGTAAGTTTGCCATGGCCGTAACATTTTACCACACACGACAGCTGCTAATAGTTTCTGCTTTTTAGATGTCATCGTAAACGATAGCGTTGTTTCAAACAGGCATTGTCTTATCTTTGCGGAAAGCAACGGAACCGATACCGTTGCTATGTTAGAAGACCTCTCAAGTAATGGCACGTTTGTCAACGAAGCCATCGTCGGTCGCAACCGCAGTCGCGAACTCGAAGATAACGATGAGATTGCCATCCACCGTGCCAGATTTATCTTCCGCTATCCCAAGAGCCGTCGCACAAATGGTTTCCTTCAGCAGTACACGCTGCTGCAGAAGCTCGGCAAGGGACACTTTGCCGAAGTGTACCTCTGCGTCGAAAAGTCCACCGGCAAGCGATACGCTGTCAAGATCTTCACAAGCCCCGGTCTTGAAGATAAGACTAAGAAGGACAATCTTCAGGCAGAAATTGGCATGCTCATGAGCGTTAGCCATCCCAACGTTCTCTGTTTAAAAGATACATTCAACGAACAAGACAAGGTCTACTTGGTTTTGGAGCTGGCACCAGAAGGTGAACTTTTTAACTTCATCGTTGCCAACCAAAAGCTCAAGGAGGATGAAACAAGAAAGCTCTTCAAGCAGCTCTTCCAAGGAATTAAGTATTTGGTATGCTACCCTTTGCCCTTGCCTTGAGCCAGACAGTTTTAACTAATATCCATTCAGCATGAGCGCAACATTGTTCACAGAGATATTAAGCCAGAAAATATTCTTCTGGTAGACAAGAATCTCCATGTCAAGCTGGCCGATTTCGGCTTGGCCAAGATCATTGGAGAGGAATCATTTACAACCACACTTTGCGGCACTCCCAGCTACGTGGCACCAGAAATCTTGGCCGACTCTAAGAACCGTCGGTATACCAAGGCAGTCGACGTTTGGTCACTGGGAGTTGTCCTCTATATTTGCTTGTGTGGCTTCCCGCCATTTTCAGACGAGCTTTATTCCCGAGACTTCCCCTATACGTTGTCGCAGCAGATTAGAACTGGGCGCTTTGACTACCCATCGCCATACTGGGACTCGATTGGTGACCCTGCTCGTGAGTATCCTCTATTTTCGATTATGTTTTCAAGTTTACCAAGCTGACCTTTCTTCTACAGTTGACCTAATCGACTCCATGCTTGTGGTTGATCCTGAGAAGAGATTTACTATTGACCAATGTTTGGCCCATCCTTGGCTCACGCAAGCGCCGGTGAATGTTAACGATAGCACCGGCCTCGTCGGTGTTTTGGCTGGCCTGGATGTTAACCGCCGTGCGCCAAAGCGCGAACGTACTCTGTTGGCTTCACTAAACGAGGTGGAAATTCCAACACATGTGGCTTCTAAGGAGGGCCAGGAATCCATTCAAATCTATACAAAAAGCCAAGGGCGCGTCACAAATGTCCCCAAAGAGCAGGGGCCCTCCCATAACAGAGCCCCAGAGGAATTCATGAACCTTGGTGGCAAGGGTGACCAGCAGTTATATGGCGATCCCGGCGTTGACCTCAAGGGCAAATCGCCTGCGAGAAAGCATTAATAGGGTCTAGGGACCGTAGCGATGGGTTCTGATACGTGGTTGTCCGGCAGACCCTTGTATCTTTAATTGGAAAGCATATGCTCTGTATAGGTTTGAAGGACTGCTCTTGGAACGGAAAAGGTGACGCACCAGGAAATGCCCATGTTTTGGAGTTTGCATCTTCTTTTTTTTCTCTTCTCAGCGTTTGAATTATATAAATAACATGAAACTAAATATTCATTATCTTTTATCTTGCTCAATGTCCTATTTTATTTCCTTCAATGCCGTGCCAGCTTGCTCAGTGTAAGTCGTCGGATTGCACGTGCTGGATCACATGACCTTGAATTGAGTCACCGCTCTCGCTTAGCGCCCACAGTTTGTAGCGGCAGAAAATTCGGCGGGGTGCCACAGCAGCAAAGCCCCACGCAAGGGCTTTTGTGTGCTAGCAAGGCCTAAACTTCACATTTTGCGGTACGACTGTGCTCCACGCCCCTCGCCCAAGTCGCCCTCGACCCGTTTTGTCCACGCCCAAACGCACCCCACCGCCCATCCATCCTCCTGAAGACTTTTGCCAGAGAACAATAAAAAGGACATTGTCTTCTTTTTGACGGCGACATCGACAACAGACTCTCGACGTCTCTCCTCCGGCTTCCTTCTTCCACCACCACCCACATCACATCTCCCCGCTTCGAGGCAACCATGCCCGCCGCAACCAACGATGCGCAGCCGCAGCTGCTCTTCGTCGACGGCTCTTTCCAGGAGCTCGCGACCGAAATGGCCGAATATCTCAAGTCTGAGGATGCCAAGCAGCTCCTGAGCAAGGACAATGCCAACAAGGAGGAGGTTCTCGCCAAGCTCATTGCCTCGTCTGGCGCCTTTAGCACCGTCCCCGAAAAGGAATTCACCGCCGCCTCCAACCTCATGATCTACCTCGTTCTCCAGTCCACCGACCCCAAGAAGTACCTCCCTGCTCTCTGCGGAAACCTCGCCAAGCCCATCAACGGCTCCCCCGTCCTCGGTGTTGGTCTGTCGTTAAACGCCCTCACCACCGTCTTCAACCTGCTCAAGCCTAGCGACCCGATCCGTGCGCGCGTCTTTATGGAGATTCTCAAGTTTCTTAAGGCTCACAGCATGTTTGACAACCTGCGTACATACCTTGACAAGCTCCCCGGCTGGCTCGACGCCTGGGGCACCGATGAGGAGGTTGAGCGCACCATATATGAGCAGGTCGCTGATTGCGCCCTTGAGTCTGGAGAGGAGCAGTAAGTAATAGTCATATATATGATATAGCATTGCCAAATGTGCAGATGAGCTAACAGTTCAATTACAGGGAATGCTACGAGTTCTTGCTCAGAGCTCTCCGCACCTTTGATGCTGACGACAAGGAGGACCTCACCTCTGACGATGCTCAGCGCCTTTCTCTCCGCGCCGTCAAGATGGCTCTTCTTTCCAACACATACTACCTCTTCCAGGACCTTCGTGCCATTCCTTGCGTTCAGGCTCTGAGCGAGACTCACGCCGTTTACTCTCAGCTTCTCGATATCTTTGCCGAGCAGGACCTCGAGGACTACAACGACTTCAACGACGAGCACAAGGGCTGGGTTGAGAAGGAGAACCTCGACCAGGAGAAGCTGCACCGCAAGATGCGTCTGTTGACCTTTGCCAGCCTTGCTGCTGCCACTCCCAGCCGCGAGATCGAGTACGCCAAGATCTGCAAGGCTCTTCAGATTTCGGCAGAGGATGTCGAGACATGGGCCATCGATGTTATCCGTGCCGGCCTTGTCGAGGGTAAGCTCTCTCAAAAGCGCGGCATGTTCCTCGTCCACAAGGTCACCTACCGTGTCTTCGGCCAGAAGCAGTACCGCGAGCTTGCCACCCGCGTCGACCACTGGCGCAACACCCTCCAGAACGTCCTCACTGTCCTGCACCAGGAGCAGGTCAACGCCAAGACTCAGCGCGAGCGTGAGACTCAGGAACTCGAGCGCAAGGTAGCCAACGCTAACAACGGTGGCCACGGCGGCCGACGAAACGAGCAGCGCCAGCAGCGCGAGCGCACTGACAATGACGACTAAATGACTCACAAGTACACCAACCAAACTTTTGTTCAGGTATCGATTTTTAGGGAAAGATTAAAGGAAAAGAAAGATTTACGGACGAAATGGGGTTTTTTTTAATGAGTCTACATTATTGTTCTAGACGAACCACTGTAGACAATCTTGCTCTCAATGTGAGAAAAAGCGTGGGATCTACGCCAAAGCAACCCCATCTCGACAGACTTTTCATGGCAACAAAGGGTGTTTGCCTGGGAAGCTCGGGACACTTTGCATCTTTGGACATGGGAAAAAATGGAATAGAGGGCATTCTCGGCAGCAAGGGGGCGAAATAGAAGACGAGAAGCGCTGGGAGTTTGTCTCATTGTTTATTCAGCATTGCTTTCCGCGTTTCTCTTTTTCACCTTCTCCCAGCCCATTGTCGGCTTTTATTCCTCTTGTTGCCGTCTCTCTTTGTTGGTTTACTCCGTTTTGAGGTGTTTCTGTGGATGTTGGTCGCTGAAAAGTACATCGCGAAAAGAAAGAGGGAAACACATATAGCATGGAAGGACAGACAGGTCTAGCGTATTTGCAAAAAATTCAAAAAGTTTATACATACAGTGATTATCTACACAGTGATTGGGAACAAGACAAACCAGGGGATGTGGAATTCATGCTTGTATTATACAGAGTTCTAGTGCGAATGCTGGTTCAGAAGTTGAACCACGCCTGCGTCTATAAAGGAAAGGTGCCGTTGTCTCGGCGGTTGTCTATTTGAAGCAGAAGCGGAGCTTCATTCAAAGTTTGCGTCTTGTGCCAAAATCGTACAAGAGAGGCAGTAAGAAAAAAAGAGAGAGAACAGTAGGAGACGACGTATCGATTGTCCTGCAAAAGTACCATCACCGCCCATCATTTCAGCGCGCTGCTCCCCCGTCTATAAAAACGGTACAACATTTAAGGAGAGCTGCCAAGGCGCTCCTTGAGAAGCTTATCGGTCTTCTCAAAGACCTTGTCGGGTGTAGGGGTAGCATCGACCTTGACGGCCTTGCCAACCTGCTCGTAGTAGTCTACGACAGGCATGCTGGTCTCGATGAAGACACGGAAGCGCTTGCGGATGCTCTCGGCATTGTCGTCGGCACGGCCGCTGGTCTTGCCACGCTCCATCAGGCGCTTCTCCATGACCTTCTCGGGGCAGTCGTAGAAGAGAACAAGCTTGGCGGGGCACACGGAGTCCTCAAACTTGTGAGCCTGGTCCATCTTACGGGGGAAGCCGTCAATCAGGAAGCGGCCCTTGGTGGTCTTCTTGGCGTCGAGCGTCTCCTTCATGGCGTTCTCGAGCAACTGAATCGTCACTTCCATGGGCACAATGAGGCCATTCTTAATGTAGTCGCGGATCAGGTCGCCAAACTGCGAGCCGGGACGGGTCTGCTCAGCGCGGAGCAAGTCGCCCGCAGACAAGTGGGTGAAGCCGTGCTCGGCAACAAGGCGCTCGCACTGCGTGCCCTTGCCGGCGCCGGGGCCACCGAGGACAAACACCACTGTAACATCGTCGGGAGAGAAGGTCGGGGAGGCCTTGGTCGCAGCGGCGACCTGGCTAGCAGCTTCGGTGGGGTTGGTAGGCATGTCTGCGAGAGGAGACGAAATATGTTAGATCTCGGTCGGTTAGTAGTCGGTTGCATGTGCTTTTTGCGTACCTTTACGTCTGTTGACAAGGGAGATGTAGCCAGCAGTTCCGAGACCAATGATGACAGCGAAAGGCCAGAACTTGATCTTATCCTGCTTGGGGCGAGGGGGCTCGGACGAGTATTGACGGCGTTGGCGGAAGACGCGAGACATGCGTAGGGGAGTCGAGGACGAGCAGCTGGGAGCTTTAGGAAGGCTGCGCGCAAGGCGAGCGGCGGGCATGCGGAAGGCCATTGTGACTTGAGCTTGTGTTTCGGTGGCGTGAACGACTGCAAAGGGACAATTTGGCTGTGGGCGGGAGAGGTGACAAGAGAAGGTGAAGAGAAGAAAAGCGATTAAAAGATGATTAATTGGAAGGCGAAGAAAAAGAAAAGAAAATTACAGCCCAGCAAATCGGTAGCGTGGTTTGCAATTGGCAGCGGTGCGTGGTTGTTGTCAAAGGAGAAATGCAAGCTCAGGAACGTGAAAGCTTGATGCAGGCTGCCCTTATTGCCTGGCACGTTGTTAGGCCCTCGGCCCCTGAAGCATGCCGCTGTTATCGCTCGGTAAAGCCCCTGTAATCACAGGGGTGGGTTCACTGGCCACGGGATACTGACAACTGCGTCAACAGAGGTCATTTGCCTACATTGTGACCGAAAAGAATTGTAGAAAAATATGTAGAAAAAAGATATTTTATTTCATTATTAAAAAATGCGGGATTCTGTAGAAAAGAAAAAGAGCAAAAAAGAAATAGCAATTGCACGTTTCGATCGTGCGACCTCCGGGTTATGAGCCCGGCGCGCTTCCACTGCGCCAAATTGCTTGTGTGGTTGTTGAGACTTGGTGTCTAATTATTCTATATAGAGCCATCAAATGTTTAATAAAAAAAGTGTAGCCCCACCACAAGTGTACTATGCTGAATGTAGTTTTTCTACTAAGTTATATTTACCAATTTAAAACAATAGTACCAACGAAGTCATCATTCGACAACATTCTTGACGATGAAGCTTCGTGAGTGTTACGATCGATTATCATTTTAATAACATTTATAATAATATCTGTAACGTAAATAGCAGTCAACTAAATGCTAAGCAACCTCGCCATAGCCTTAACCTAACATCTGACGGCAATGATCGTTCAGAGAATAATGGAGCACGCACTCCATCTTATAATGAGGTATATATGATCTTTATTTATATATATATAACTATTTCACTTATATATACATATATCTAGAGTAGCAGTATTGTCGAAGATCACGGCAAGAAATACGGAGAGAATTTACCGAAAACGATTCGTGATATCGGGCCACGACCAGTTGAATGGAAAGATGTACCGGACGATGCGATGTTGAACCTTATGTACACACAATTGTCGAATAAGGTCCTCAACAGTCTTTTCCCATCTGTATGGACACCAAATGGGGCATTTAAAGCAACATACAAGCATTTGCAAGAGATGCCGAGTCGAGCTGTCAAAAAGGATAAGACTATACCGAATAAGGGATATTTGGAATGGTGTATCATCTTCGGCAAAGTCTTTCAGTGCCATCCTGCTGTTGTCACTCCTGATTGGAGTCGAATAATTGTTCGTCTTAGTCGGTCAAGTCATGAAGTGCCAGTTTTTGGTCGAGATGGGATGGTGAGACGCACCATTACTGCTGCAAAAGCATGGAATGAGCTCCATGTAGATCAAAAGTTTTTGATCATATATCATATACGCACTCGAAATAGCAGTTGCGCCGACCTCTCATCGAAGGAGGGGGATATCCAAGAAGTTCTCAGACTCCTTGAAGGTGCCAACAATCGTCCTGGTACATCAGTCGAGCTTCTCTCCATCGGTATTGATAGATTCAGTACCAATGTTGAACGCTTAGCGTGGTTAACCAACAAGTTTTTGAGCCTGGATTTGCGACTAGTAATAGTTGTTCCGGAAAAGTTTCCTGGCCCAGAATACATCTTTCGCCATAACTCTAATGGCATTAGATATGGAAATTTTCGCATGTCTGGCATTGCAGCGGTGGTCAACAATGAGCATCCTGAGAATCGTGAAGCAGCCAAGGATTTGGTACAGATACTACGATTTATTAACGCTGGGAAACAAGGAACTGATGGCAATGGGGTGGCTTATAAGAAGTGGACTGAAAATCGAAATGGATTTCGAATTTGTCCAGATGCAGAACATGTTACTGGTATAGATCCATTAGCACCAGTCATGTCACGAAAGCTTCAGCATATTTAAACTATAATTTTACAAGTTTTTTTTATCATTTATAACCTGCTAGCAAGATATACCGAGGCGAATATCGAGTGGGCTATTACTGAACAGCTACAAAAGGGTTCTTCCGAGGTTGTTGACAGCCTTCGCACTGTCCAAATCAGAAGAGCCCACGGATGGGTTAACGATGATGACTAGTACAAACTCTTTCTATTCAATAATATAGCAATATGGGTTGTATACTACCCTGACCGCCAATCTCTATATCCAACCTCCACACCCTGTTTACTAGTGGAAGCGCACCAGGCTCAAAACCCCCCTTCTGCCCAGTTTCGCCACTCCGTTATGTACTGTAAAGCCCCCCCTGTAATTAACCACTTTTTTCTGCGCCGCTACTGCGCGCCGTTTCATTGCTACTGTACGAGCCGCCTGCAACAGGGGAACTGGTGGTGGGACCTCTGCCGTCGCCGCCACCACCCATCCCCAGCCTTCCTCTTTTTTGGCAGCCCTTTTTCCCTCTTAGCGTGCTTTGTCCACTGAGACAACCACTAACAGCTCCCCCGACCGACCTGCATCATCAACTCTGCATCTGCATGCATTTGCACGAACCCATACCGATATTTTTTTTTCTCATTGACCAGGGAATCAAGTCCACCGATTAAGCGAGACCCAGCACCACAGAAAAATCCCGATAAAATAAACCCTGCGACCCATCCGACCTTGCTGTAAACCTGGTTTCTCTATCAGTACGAAGGGCCAGCAGCAGTAACAGAGAGAGCGGTTCGATTCGATTCGCCAGCTTCGTCATTCACCTGCGAGGCAAAATACCGATTCCGAGCCTACACGAAGCTTAGACAGCGCCGTATCCCATCATGAGCAGCTTCCTCGGCGCCTTTGGTGACGGGCTCTCTGTCCAATCCAGCAGCCATCGCCGCGCAAGCTCCCGATCTCGACCCAAGAGACGCCGCTCCCGTTCCCGCTCCCGCTCTAGCTCCCGAAACCGCGGCGGCTCGTTCGTCGGCGGCCTGTTTGGCGCCGATAGCAACTACACACGACACAATTCGTCAAAGTCCAACTTCTTCGGCATGGGCAACTCGAGCCGCTCCAGCTTCTTCCCTTTTGGTGGTGAGTTACCCAGCGCCACGCCAACTCCCAATCTTTACTAATCGCAGACTGTCTCTCTAGGCCGCTCTTCTTACTACAAGCGCTCTCCTCGTTCTGGATTCATGCAGCGCTCCTACAAGCAGCTCAAGCGCCTGATTCGCGATCTTATTCACTGGGCCAAGCGACACCCCGTCAAAGTCTTCATGCTCGTCATTATGCCGTTGATCACTGGTGGCGCCTTGACTGCGCTGCTCGCACGCTTTGGCCTGAGACTTCCTCCCTCTCTGGAAAGAATGCTCGGCATGGCCGCTCGTGCTAGCGGTGGTGGTTCGTTCGGTGCCATGAGCGGTGCTGCACGTATGGCTGGTGACTATGCCAGTGGCCACCGTGGTAGTTACGGTGGTGGTTACGGAGGCGGCTATGGCCACTCCTCGTACGGCGGTGGTGGCAGCCGCGGCGGTCAGGGATGGGAGCAGAGCATCATGGGCGTGGCCAAGATGTTCCTGTGATGCGGCCGAAGGCAACGATTCTGGGATTATTGGGTAGGCGTTTGTTTCCTTATACAACAGCAGTCAGTGGCGAGTCTTCGGTGTCGCATCGCTTTGCAGGACTGTTATCCTTTGGTTTAGAAACCTGTATTGGATATCGCTGGTGTTAAATAGCTAGCTTCACAAATTACTGAATATATATACATGTCATGAATTAGATTCATCTTAAGAAATAAATAGTGGTGAATGTTGCCTCTCTTTTTGGAAAATATCTATCCTAGACCACGCCGTATGCTCGTCTAGATGTGTTACATTGAATCCTCCTTTCTTCATCAAGGTCCGCTACCTCAATGTCAATTTCCTCCATGTGCATATGTAATGATCGTGGCCACGCAGAGCAAAGAATAAAAAAATACATCAAAAATTGTTTATGCAAATGACCCGACGCCTGGTCCTAACAAAGCATTTGTACGGTTTGCCGCAAACACGGCTGCTTTAGAAGAGACTGAAAATAAAATAAAAGGTGATCATATCACCAAAGGCAAAGACTCCACCTCCATTTCTTTGACCTCATAAAGAATGCGTTGTAATGTTATTCAGCTCCGTTTCGAATGCGGGAAGACTTCTTGACATAACAGGATCTGCCATGAGCATTTCCGACGGCAAGGTGACCTGGCGTTCATTCGTAAAGGTTTTTTTTTATAAAAAAAAAGGATATAGTGCGCGGGTAAGGCTCATGATCAGGTTCGTGCGTGACCAGTCGCAGAGTCCGATTTGTTTGGCTTCCAGAACTGCATCATCTTCCCTAAACGTGTTTTCTTGGGTTTCTTCGTCAAGCGTGGCTCTACATCACCGTCAGCCGTGAGCTCTGTAGAGAGCTTGCTGCGCTCTCCATGAGAGCTACTAATGAGCCGGGACAGGCTAATAAGGCTTGATCGTCGACGGCCAAACGCAGCAGATGACATGGAAGCAGGACGCTGCTCTCGGAGAGCTGCCTGATACGGCCTCGCAGTAGGTACGAAAGCACTTTCACGTGTCATAGTTGTTGTACTAGAGCTGAGCGACGGGATGTCGTAATCCATGGAGATTCGCACCTCTGGCCCAGGCTCGCCCATGAGTAACGACTGAAAGCTAGTTTCATCAGCAACCGAAGATGGTGCAGTCGAGATTCGCTGTGCATCAATAGACATGGGTGATCGTGGTGAAGGATGAGAAGAGGCGTGACTCATAGAATACGGGCTCATGGGCATTGTCGAGACCGATGCGACAGTAGGGCTGTTGGAAGTTGACATTCTCCCGTCGCTTCCCTCAAATGACGCAAGCAACTTCTTGGGCGATGGCATAGACGAGTCAAAAGAGCTGCGGCCCTGGGCAAGGCTAGGACTGCGGGCACTAGGGTTGCCCCAAATTGGCTCTTCCATGATGACGTTCTCGTGCAATGAAGTGCGCGAGCACTCGGTACGTACCGAGCGTGCGACATTGAGATCCTTTTCGCTAAGACCAGATCCAGTTCGGCGGACTTGGCGAGAAGTGCTCTCTGCTAGGGAGGTGCGGCTAGACAACGAAGGCAGCGAAGGAGACGTCTCTGGGTCCGAGTCTGACTTGGAACCAGGGCTCTTATCATGTTGCGTATCGTGGCGGCCTTCATCTTCTTCATCTTCTTCAAACACGTCAGCCATTGTAGAGCTGCTGCCGAAGCGGTGGATACCAGCTCGACCAGCATCGAATGGTGGCAAGTCTGGTGCGGACTCGGCACGTCTATGATAGTGCATTCCGGGGCCGTTGAATCCCTTGAGGCCTTGGGCACTGTGCAATCGTCGCTTACCGACATTACCGGCGGCGCGTTGAGCAGCCTCCCATTCAGGATTGTGAGGCAAAGGCGTGTTGAAAGGACCAAGAGCGGCATCCAAATCAATCATCGGCGACGCAATATCCTCGCGAGCTTTCTTTGGTGGTTCTGCAGGGGGCAGAACAATAGTTGGTGTCAGAAGCACAGGCGTGGTAGCAGTCTCTTCATCTTCATCTTCATCCATTACCATTGCAGGAGCTGGCGGGGTGGGTGGCCGAACGTCGCCGGGTTTCGCACGCTTCTTATCATGTCTCGGCTTGATTGGCAAAATTGAGCCGGCCCATCCCTTCATACCCTTCTTGACTTTAGATTTGCGGCTTCTCTTCTTTGGCTTGGAACGAGATCCATCAATGGCATCCGCTTCAGAGTCATCTTCCGAAGAGTTGCCTGAATCGGTCGAACTTGAGCTTGTTGGTCGAACTTTCGATGCGGTGCTTGAGTTAAGGAAAGGTTCTAAACCAAAGAATGACCATCGCTTAGATGGCTTCGTTTGGTTTGCAGAGCCGGCGGCGGCCTCTTGTGCTTCGGCCAGTCCAATCAAAGCGGGGATTGAGTTACGTCGCCGGGGCGAGGTATCGGCTGTCTCCGCAATAGATGAAGTTCGATCGAGAATCGCACCAGCGGTACCAGGTCTATGGTCGTTAAAGTCTCTGGTAGGACTACGCGTAACAGTTGGAATTGCGTCTCGGTCAGTAGGAGAGGTTGGCGAAACCACAGAAGAAATGCTGCCAGAGACAGAATGCATGGGCCGTGCCGTCATTGTGCTGGACGTGTCGCTAGAGACCAAAGACAAGGGTCGCGGGATAAATTCGAGGGTATCGGAAAATCCAACACGTCCCTTGTTTGATGACTTCTTCTTCAATACGGTCTTCTCCTCATCGCTTGGATTGTCTAGAAGCTCAGGCGATGGTTCCAGTTGTCCAACAGAATCATTCAGCGAAATCATATTGGCTCCGTCGAGCATTGGTATGGTGGCCATTACTCCCTGGTCAAAGTTTGTTGGGCTGTTGGGGGCGCTGTTGCCTTTAGGCATTGACCAAGATGACAGAGGCGGCTGCAAGATGGGTAAGTCGTTGGTGGAAATGGCACCCGAGACGCCACGGCGGTGACCACGGCGAGGGGGCTGAAGGCCAGCTGACGCGAAACCGTTCTCCTTTGTCGGGCTAGTACTCATGACAGCAATAGAATTGCCATCACGAATGCTACCACCAACAAATTCACTTCCTCCGCGTCGGTGGCCGTGTCGTGGGGGTTTCGAAGACGACGGGCTGGGCTTGGAAGAAAATGGCGACGTTGGAGGGCTAAGCATTGGCGATTCGTCAGGGTTGGGAGGCAGCATCGCTCCTGGGTTGAAACTAAAGACTGGGAGAGCTGCTCGTCCTTGGGAGTCGTCATCGGGCGATTTGCTTTCGTCACCAACCTGAATTGGAGACAGGGCTCGACGGCGACCAGGCGACCTTGGCGATGTGGGTGAGAGAGCGTGTAACTGTGCTGGGAATACGAAATCATGGTTCATCTTTGGCGTAGCAGGCTGTGAAGTGTCGGGTGCATCGAATCGTGATTCTGCTGGAGGCGAAACACCACCAGCAGAATCCGGGTTGACGGCGGCAGCCATGGTCTCCCCAGCCACTGGACGGTAGATTATACTTTATAAAGGTGCTAGAAGATGAAGCAGATCATAAGGGATACAGTGTAGTGTTAAACTCGGGTCGCTCAAAGGTCGTGAGTTGTCTGCGTATGTGTCGAGGAAGTCTTATCGCGAATGGCTTGGTAATGAGTGTGCGAGATCATAAGGCTTCGCAAATATTAGAATCCAGTATTCGTTTCTTGTTTATAAAGACCAGTCCTCAAAAAATATGGCTCGATAGTGCCTATACACACCTAATGAAGAGAAAAGCAATAACAAAAATACTCGCAAAAGGCTGGGCTGAATAAATACAGGCAAAAATGAGGCAAAGAAAGGAGTGGACGGGCAGGACCAGGGGACTACTCAAAAAAAAAATTATTTTTTTGAGCAGTACGACTGGAATCGCACCAAAAAAGAAGAAAAAGAAAGACTCAAAGTGCGCGCGGCGGCGTTTGCAAATGTGCAAAAGTGGTGAGAATGAAGACAGGAAAAGAAGAGGAGGAGAAGGGCCTTAGGTTGGGGCGAAGGGGCAGAAAAGACACTTGCGTGTTGTTTGTTGGTGGCCGACCGGGGGAGCGACCAGAAGGCAGGCCAGGGGATGAGTGAGCGAGCAAAGCCTGGCGCCGCAGCAGTGCAGGCACAACAGTGGGCTCAGCACGTCGCTGCACTCGCCAAAACGAGTAAAAAGAACAGGCTAGCGTGGATGCGCCAGGCCCAACAGCGGCCGCTTGTGGTGGGTTTTTTTTTTTTGGCTGCGCGAGACAGGCAGTTGATCCCAAGACGCTAGTGGGTGGGAGGGGGAGTGGAGCCCAAGGTTTACAAAGTAACGCCCTCGACCCGGAAACTTGCGGTAGGCTGCTGTCCAGCGCACTCGTGGTGGCTAAATTAGCAATTTACAGCGCCCTTTCCAGCGCCTTTTCAGCTTCGGACAGCGGCACTGCGCTTCGGCTTGGCCGCCCCTCCACGATCGCAACAGCGCCCTTTTTAGCGCAGCGGCCTGCAGCCACTCGCGCTGTACAGCGGACGGATTGTCGGTGAAGGGACGCCGTAATGTCAGACACGGACCAACGCCGTTTTCCATTACAAGATTGGTCCGCCATGTGAATAACTATTGAATATTAATATTAGCTTTCTATTTCCCAATGCCCTTATTTCCCTTTGATTCACTTGCGTCTCCCGCCTTAATTTTCTTTTGGCCTTTGTTTCCTGGGAATTGCGCTCCGTTGAACATTCCCAGCCTTTTGCTGCCAAAATGGCCACGCGCCCCCTGGCCACCAGCATTACTTGCTCTGTTGTGCCTGGACAGCCTCTGCGCAAAAAGGTAATTGAACGACACATTCATATCCTCGCCTGCCATTGGCCGTCAGATCTTCGTGTCCAGGTTCCCTGTACTTCTGGGGTTATTCTCCATGTTGAGATGATGTCCGCATGACAGCTTTCTTCCCTGTTCAGGCTGGCGTGAACGTTTCTCACAAGCCCCTTGTGTCGAGGCTGCCAGGGGGACGAACGCCAGCCCTTCTCCGCCGTGCAATTCATGAACATGTTCTTGTGATCATGACGTTCGCTTCTGTTTCTTGTTATTTTAATTATTTTGTATTTGCTTTTTCCTCAACATGTTTGGCCCCATGGAACCCATCTAATCCAGAATCGAAGAGCTATCAGCTCTCCACGCCCCCTGCGCTTCAACCACTAGCCTTTGCCGCATCTGGCTGAGAATGTACCCCCTGGTCAATTTAGCGACTCATGCACCTGCTTTGGTACCTGCGCCAGCGCTGTCTGGTGCAACGCTGGCCCAGACCAATCACTTTTCACTGTATTACGACTGAACCAGGACTTTGCATCAATCTGGCTGCAAGAAACGAACCAGTTTGCTTTTTTACTTCTCTTTTGGTTCTTTCGCCCTAATAAGGAGGTTTGCTTTCTTTAATCAGGCACGCCACATGCCATCAGCCCTGTGGTGGCAGCCAGGGCTGTCTCTCTACAGCTCGTTACGACCAAAGCCCTCCACCTCGTAATACGTGGTCACCGTACGATTTGCCATTAGTCGAACCACAATGGCCGCCGCTATTAGTGCAGCACGCCTCGTGCGAGGCCAGTGAAGGAAGGATCCCGAAAAGGCGCCATTCTACTTTTAGTGCTGCAACGCTAGCTACGGTTGAGCCACTGCCTGGGTCCGAGCATTGCTGACAGTGTTTGTCTAGCCGTTAGTCCTAGCTTGAGATTCACGTCGCGCGCCGTGGTCGGCCTCGGCCTGGCGCGTTTAGACGCAACCCTGAGTTACGCTTTCTCTCGGGAGCGATGCAGCCAGATGAGCGCCCGTCTAGCAAACGGGAAATAATCGCGTGGTGTCTAATTACGTGGACGGCACTGTCACGGACAGCATTGGCTTCTCCATATTTTAGCCCAGAGCTAATCTCTGCAGCTTTCCCGCTCCCAAGAAGGCGGGGCAGACCTATGAAGTCGAGACCTACACATGTAAAACACATTAGCAGTAAATGCGCATGAGCTTAACGTATTGCAAACGGGAGGGCTATTGCTAGCTCTGTTGGCAGCAGCGTGCATGCATCGCTTTATGAGCTACTGTAGCGCTAACCCAGCGCTATGCAACCTGCCGCTCTATCTGGTACCGCCAAGTCACTGTAGTTTGGCCATAATGGCACCTGAATTAAAGAACCAATGCCGCTAAATAACACGGCCCGCCTGTGTCTGATTCGCAAACGTAGGTCTCGTGCCCTACTATAGGCTCGCAAGAGTAATAAGGCAGTTCTTATCAGCCCATTCCTGTATCTTACATGGTGCGGGTACATATTTAATTACTTTCGCAGCAAAAGGTCAGATTCCAACGGCTGGACGATAGCCCCGGTTGCGGCTCCTAGGCCAGATCCAGTCGCGCCGCGACCAGCCAAAAGAAGGATAGACCAACTCCGAGTCACAGCGAACCCTGTTCATGCATCCCTGCAGGCGACTCGTCAGCGACAACACGTAAAGCCCACTGTTGTGCTTCGTGCGCAACTAGAGGCGTCTATGCCGGAGGATTTTTACCTGGCTCGGACCTGCCGGGGTAGGAGATCATGCGTACGGGCATTTACACAATCAAGGAACGCCACCAATAATCCTGCCAGGGCACCCAATCCGTCGCGTACTGTATTGTCTGTGGGGGTCTACTGGCCATAGTGCTGTACCTGAGGCTGCCTCTCACGCGTATAGCAGCTGAGGCCAGCACAAGGTACCATTTTAGCCATTTCTAATTACTTGCTCGGCAAAATAGTCTATTTACCCTATAATTGATGACATTACTTGGTTCCTACCCATTGATACAGCCACAAGAATACTGTATCGACAGATACTCTTCATTTGACTTGGTCACCAACCTTAAACTCTGTCTCGCGCCGACCCGTCATGGCTTACCCGCACCCTCCACCAGTCACTGAACTGCGACAATGTATCATAAGCCATTACTGTATATCTTTATTACTTGTAGGCTACTGAATATTCGGGCATTTTGTGACTGTCCCATGAAGTATCATGATCTATATACATGACGCTTTGCAATGGTGACTTGACACAACGGACGCGTTGGTGACGCTACCCTATAGATCGTTTTGTAAATTTTGTTTTACACTATCCGTGATATGTAGTCATATATAATGAAATATGGCGTACTGTGAACACTGTATTGGTTATCTAAGCTGTTTCTTTAGGTATAGTAGTAGATATAAGTAACATTATCAGTTATACTCTAACACGCTACACTCGGTACAAGTAGCCTGGCTGATTTGGTTAGAAGACGAAGGCAATCTCCATTTTAACGAATAGGGGCCGATGATATCATCTAGACGCTGTTAATCAATCTGCAAGGGCATTAAACATTCCACGACCGGACTAATATGACCGTCACGCGAATTTGGGCAAGAAATCCACCGATGCGCGGCTGGCACGTAGTAAAATACAGCTGGTAGCTCCCAAAAATGAATCTAAGCAAAAGGGACTCCACGATCCGCAAGTGGGGTCCAGTCTGGTAGCGCCTGTGCCTGTACACCGCCCTCGTCGCCAGCTCTGGACCAGAGCCGGCAGAAAAAAAAAATATGGCTACAACGCCTGGGTTTTCTGAGCAGCCGAACCACTACGTAGAGGCTGGTAAGATATTCACAGAACCAGACGGATACCATGGCAGACACAACAGAAAAAGCGCCTGCTGCCAAAACAGTGTCTACGAAGCCACTGGGCATGCGAAAGAATGGTGCGTTCCCCAGCTGACCAAAGCGCTGCTCGCCACTAACCTTCAACACCAGGCAAGCAATGGCACCCTACGAAGAAGGCCTTCAGACCGACGGCTGGATTGACATCGTATGAAAAGAGAGCTCAAGAGCGTATCCAGATGGCCCAGATGAAGGCCAAGGAAAAGCAAATGAAGGAGGAGAAGGAGGAGGAGCGTCAGGTAAGATACCGTCATCTGGAAGGCAGGCAAGAACAGCAACGACTGACTGTAGGACGCACAGCGCCGTGTACAAGCTATCAAGGACAAGCGAGCGAGAAAGGAAGAAAAGGAGCGATACGACAAATTGGCCGAGAAGATGCACCGTAAACGTGTTGAACGATTGAAGCGCAAGGAGAAGCGAAACAAACTGATCAACTCATAAGCAACTGTACATAACGGAGTAAAGGAGCAGCGACGTCATTAACCAGAGTATGAAAAGCGAAGGAAGCGCCGAGTTAGCAGTATGTACATATATGATTTAACGACAAATACAAAACTAGCATCTGTTCCGTGCACGGTAAAACTGGGTGCGCAATGGCGGCTCCGTGATGGCATCTCGCACGATCAACACTCGACACAAGTGTCATCTCATAGTTGATGGGCGGACGGCCTTACGAGTGGGCGACCCAATCAAGAAAGTAAAGAAAACCAAAATATTTGAATACTGATATCAAATTTAGCATATGGAGTAAAATAATACAGAGTTGGAGCTATTTTCTTTAACCCTCTTCATATATAGAGTAAACAATGCTTTTTGTAAATTTTATATAAATCTAAAAAAACCCTCCTATACTCTAAAAGACACCAATCTAATTATTCCTTTATGTTTAAAAATCCACGCAAAATTAAACTGGAATGTATAACAAAAATACGATAGTTTGGACATAGGCGTAGGAAGTTCTGCTGGACTGTTTGGACCTTCCGCCCGTGAATTATATTATAAAGTTATATCCATTTCTTCAACTGGCTTAACTACAGGTCTAACCAGGTTCTACACAAAGGAAACGGAAGAGTCGTCTCTAAACCATATTTTTGGCACGTTTTGTTGGCTGCTCAAGTCAGTGGTAATAGCCTTGGAATCGCAGATCATCTTTAAAATTGCCCGGACTGCCACATGCCCATACGACAGGAAGGCTGCCCAAAGCTTTAACATGTGAACCTTCTCCCCCAGGGAGCACCGCGTGCTGTGGCTGGCGGCCACCAAACAGGTGGGGCGGCAGGCGATGACCAACCGCCCTATTGTCTCGAGTGCTTTTTGTCTCTCTCAGACCACCAGATCCTTACAATCATAGCGTCAACCTCCGTACGATGGGCTGAGAGTTCAATAATGTCAAGATTAGAAGCGCCATCATCCCCTACTGGGCTGTCGCCCACGAGGTCGGGCAAACGGCATCAGATTAAGCGCTCATTGTCGGAGCTAGCTTCACCTACGAGAGGTAGTCGAGCTCAGTCTCGACGAGAGCCTCCGCAAGACGACAGGCACTTGCATCTCGTGCACTCGACGCCAATAACTCGACGATCTCTCGATACTCCCCGGTTTGACGGCTCTAACATGGCACAGAGCCCGGAGGACAGCCGCCGCCCAAGCATATTTGTTGCAAGGGATGAGGCCGCAGAGCGAGCTGCATCCCGCGAAGCTCGTCAAAAGAGTCTCCGCATCGAAGAAGCAAGGGTTATTGAGAGCTCAGAGTTTGTCCTTCCAATGATAAATCAACGAGACTTAGATTTCTAATATGCAGTGTGATAGGAACTTAACGCAAACGTTGATCGAGCTCAACGGGTTCTCAGCAAACGCATCACAACGACTCGATGAGGCATACTATGCTGTCCTAGAAAAGATGACAACATTACAAGGGACGATTACAATGCTCAAGGATCTAGCAGGAACATCTCATGAGATTTGCAACCACTTTGATAAAGAGTCTCGGAGCCTCGAAAACGACGTGGTCACGCAACTGGGCTCCCTAGGCCACTTTCAAGGGCGACAGAACCAAATATCAGCGCTGCAGGAGAGGGTTGATTCGGGTCGCAAAAACATGGTAACTTTGGAAGCAAGACTTCAGAAAGTTCAAAAGCGAATCGAAAAATGGGAGCAGGCGGACAGACAGTGGCAAGAGAAAACGAGAAAGCGACTCAAGATTATCTGGAGCGCTATGTCTGCCGTCATCATCGTGCTCTTGATCCTAGTTTGGGGCATACATCACGCCACCGACAGCTCCAATATAAATCCTGGCTCAGACAACACCGAAAGCACGGATAATCTCATCTCCATCTTGGAGCCTTTGAACAAATCAAACTATGCACAAGCGCCTGGCAAGCCCGACAGTGCTGCTGAAACAAAACTACGATGGCAGACCACACAACCCAACGATGATGGACTCCGCGCATTGGACGAATTATAATGCCCCGTTTACCGCTGCAAATTTGCAACGCTGCCGTTAGCACGGTATGATCCGGGTACAGCCACAGTCCTATGCGGGGGCTGCTTATCGGTCGAGCGAATAGAGAAAAGAGATGACAGTGGTAGAGCGTTGAGATGGGGCTGTATTGATGAACGAGTGGACATCGTCACCTGCCGCACTTTTTTTTGCCTTTTTTTTTGCATTTTCACTGGCGTTGTTATACCCTATTGATATCTTATTTGCATAGCCGCCCGGCATACATACTCTTCTAGATGTACTGTACCATATCACTCATTGTTGAACTTATTGTTTTCTCTAGAATATATTTCGATTGCTGGATTATTGTCTATAGCGGTATACAGTTCATACTTGTGCACATTTACATGCAACTCTTGCGTAGCACTGGAAGCGTGACCGTAAGTGGTCTCGGCTTGGTCATGATGCTGCACCACGACACAGCCATTGCCAAGCGTCATGGCCCATGCGTGCGTCTTGAAATTGGACGGTTTGCCAGCGGACGGTGGGCAGCGCTTAATTTATGGATGGATGACTATTATTGAAACAACAGAGCAAACATGGTGCTTCGAACTGGCAGTAGCAACAAAGCAACCGCGGCAGCAATATCGTACGAAGTACGCTCAGCTCGTCTCACGCATCGCTCTAGTGGCCCAGCGTGAGATGGCTGGGCGTCGCGAGTCTAACTTGTTGAGGCAAAACAAGCTGCACAACATGAGAGGCGCAGCGGTACCACACGTCATCGGCATCTGCCCCCGTTTTGCCAGCGGCGGGTATCTCCACTGTAGGTACTGTGCTCCAGGGCGCTGTCAGCACCACGGCTGGCGTGCTGTAGCGGGTGTCTCTACCGACATCGTCATTGGCTTCAGCGCAGGGCTGTAGCTTAGCAAATCACTTTCCCCCGTTGGATTTTTATTGATGCCTTGCATGCCCTCTCTTTTGCCAATCATTCTGCGCTGACATTTATTGTAAAGTCCCCCCCTACTTTACTTTTCTTCACTTTAATAAACTACACTGTTTCTTCTTTGTATTCTGTTCTTGGCGCTTCGCACAGGCTCGCTCGTCGCTTAGCTCCGAACAAAGCTACCTAGGGACGCAAACAATTGCCCCGCAGCAACTGCTGTTTCCGAGCTCAGCAATTACTTTCCCCAGCCCCAAAGACCGCTCTCCTGTTTTCTTTCCTCCTTTCATCGCCGTGGCCTGGCCAGAGAGGTACATAAAATCGAAAAGACGCTGCTATTAAAACATCAATCTCGGCCAACCATGACGACTGGTGACCTCGCCGGCACCGTCCAACCGGTTGCGGTGCCCCAACCAAGTACGATGACGCTGCCTATTCGCAACGGCAACGGTGACGACAAGCCAGCAGACGGACAGACTCTGACAGGCAAACAAGAGCATTGTATGATTCATAGCCAGACTTCTATACGCAGGCATATCGGGGCTATATGGCTAACACATATTTCCTACAGATTTGAAGCGCGAACTAATGTCCGAGCAGGTCTACTATGAAGTGGACGAGCTCAACTCCCCCACGGCGCTTCAGCGATTCGGTGCGCCGTTTCGGTCTGAGAGAGGCGAAGTCTCGCCGCGAGAGTCGGAACTTCCGATTTTAAGATATATTTTTGTGCACCATGTTCGAGACTTCCCGTTCCTTGACAAGGCGCGCGAGAAGGAGTTTTGGCAGGATAAACTGCAGGTGGTATGTGGATCTTGGACGGAGAGTTACATGCGTCATAACGGCTAACATGCAATCACAGTTCCTTGAGTCCTTTGCAACGAGACACATTTCCTCCTCGGAAGACCGACTAGAAGAAACCAAGCGCAAAAAGTTGGCCATCAAGGCGAAGAAAATGGTCGAACTCATGATGGTGTCCGGTATTGGAACGTCATCTGGCTTCGAAGAACGCATCCGCTTTTCTGAAATCGAAATTGTCGATAGCCATGCTATTGATTCTGGTGTTATGAATACTATGCCAGAGGGCAACTACATCAACGGCTGGGATGTAAATGTCTCCGCCGTTAGGATTGTGTCGGTTAAACGAAACGTTCGATACCATAAACATGCCGAGTTTATCTTGCGAATCAAGAAAAAGGGCGAGCTTGAACACTTTGTGGCTAGGCGCTATGGAGATTTTGCAAGACTTCATAAACGACTAAAGACAGAGCTACCTGGACGCATCTTGCCTGCCATGCCGAGAAAGAACAAAACCAGCTCTACAGCATCTGGAATATTTTCATCATTTGGCGGCGATGGTTCCGATGGTTCTAGTGTGTCTTCAATCTCAACACGGGTTACTGGTCTAGTACCCGATTCTCCTGGCGGCGCAGGTTTGCTAGATCCTCAGAAGCATCAACGTTCTCCTTCAGCGCGATCAATCAGATCTACCCTATCTGGTCGACCATCTACAGAAAGCCGGTTGAACCGTATTAAATCTGCTGGATCTACAAATGGTGAAGGATCTGTTGTGCTACCTCGAGAAGCTCAACGCATTTCCCTTCGTGCTTTCATTCGATCATTGTTACATAACCCACAGGTCGCCAACACGAAAGCTATGCAAGAGTTTCTGGAAGGTGAACCTATTACTTTGACGGACGAAGATGTTGACGACGTGGTTCGACGTAAGGCTATTGACGAAAAACGAATTGAGGAGCAGAAGAACTTTTATGAGATTGCAAGAAAGCGTGCCGCAGAACTCGACGAATATATGGAACAGTTCCGTCGTGATATCGTCGAGCGCAACGGCCTGACAATGCTCTTCCAAGAGATCAAAGAAAAGAAGACCATTGGCGATCTGAGCATTCAGTACCGAAAGTTTGCTGAGTGGTTACGCATCGAGGTGGCTGCGGTAATCTATCACTTGTTCCTTGCCGAGGACAACTCACCAGAGGTCTTTGCTCAAGCACGCCGCATTCATTCCCTCATCCCATACACAGTAATCAAGAACGTCATCAGGATAGCGAATCCTGCAGCCGTCATGTCTGGAATTTTGGACATTTTCTTGGCACAGCCTTTTGGCACGAGATCGCTTATGCAGCGCATCTTCTCGTTAACACTCAACGACGGAATTAGGAGCTTCCAGAAGTCGATTGATGTGTTAACCGCCAAGATTGGAGAACCCGTTTACTCTGAAAAGCTACTTGCATACACAAACGCCGATGAGAATATCAAGGCTAGCATTCGACTTGAAGCCCAAGAGGAAGACATGGATCTGGTGGTGACGATTCTTCGCTCTGAGCAGCTGGAGCCAGAGCTTACTGGACCACAAATCCAAAAGTTGTTTAATGCGTATGTTGCGTTTAACAATGCCGTGGAGAACATCGATGATGAGCTCAAACAAGGAGCTGAGCTATTCTCATATTTGAAACAGCTCTTGAAGCTCTGCACTCGACAGCGAGACAAGGCGATGATGCTCGAGCTTATCGAAGAGCCTGTGACATTGAAGCTGTTCCGTGATCTTTTCACGATTTTCTATGAGCCTCTTGTGCGAGTCTATAAATCGGCCAATGTATACAACAGTGTTACTGACTTTGCTGTGTTCATTGACGATATTATCCAGGTGGTGGACAAGTGCAGAGAACAAGATGCCTCTGCAGATCCTAATCAGACCGTTCAGGCCTTCATCGACCTCTGCGCCCGTCACGAGCACAACTTTTACAAGTTTGTGCATGAGGTGCACACACACGACAATGGCCTCTTTACACAACTCATGGGCTGGGTTGAAGGTATTCTAGAATTCCTACGCAAGGGTCCTACCAACGGCAAGCTCAACGTCAATGCGCTGTTTGAGGGTGGCGTAGGAAGTGGAGCGCTTGACAAGGAGAAGGCTATTGAAGAGATCAATGCGCTTATCTCGTGGCAGGAAGCAAGGAAGAAGTGGCACAATGACAAGACACGGCAGAAGATGGCGGCCGAGGGCCAACCTGGAAGCGCGCTCGCTACAGGTGGTCTGCACTTTGACTCTTCAGACTTTGGATTGGACGGTGGCGACTTGGAGGAGATGAATTTTGATGACGGTTCAGAGTCTGAGGCAGAGATTGAAGACGATTTGGATCCCATCGAAGAGGAGCGCCGCCGCCGAGCTAAGATGCAGAAGACGCTGCGCCGTACTGCCGGTGAGCCCGTGAAGCCTACGATTTCGGAGGTACATAAGCTGAAGGATAACTTTTTGGTTATGCTGCGCGATGTTCTGGCTGATTAATTGGGTTGTTGAAGAGTAGGAGACGACGGTGGGCTAGCTGTTTGAACTTGATGCAAGCGAGCTGTAGGTAGAGCATGTTGATTTCTAGAGATGATTTTGTATAGACACATGCACGAGGCTATGAAATGCACTTGGTGTTTTTTTTTATTTATTTCATTGCTATTTTCCATAACAACCAAGTACACCAATCCGAAGTATAAAACAATATGATACTTACGCTGAAGAATCAACAGCCTGAATTCGTTATTTTATTTTATTTCTACGGCAGTCGGCTTTGTGGCTCCCTGCGGATCTTCCCCCCGTTGGGGCTGGCGCCACGCCACTGGTTGTAGGCGATGTGGAGGGTAGGTATCCTTTTTTATTTGGCGCTAACGAGAATTGGGTGAGCTGGCATCAGGAACCGCCCGCGCTCTTCTTCTCCTTAGCAGCGTGCGAGCGACAAACTCGATTGTGCCCTGATCGACTCACATTGCCAATTAATCCCAATCAGGCTCTGCCAAAATGAAGGTTTCCTATTTGACAATAGGACTTCTGTCCCTCCTGACGCCCTTGTCGGCGGCATGGAGCAAGGAAGGTAAGCAATTGATGAATGACTGAGGAGAAAGAAGATGAAGAAGAAGCACCATCGGCACAGACACTTTTTATTTTCTATTCGCAATGGTATCTACTGCTCCTGAAACCATTCACTAATCTTCATCTGCGACTAGACCGCGAAATCTTCCGAATCCGCGATGAAATCTCTGCTCACGAGGCCGATCCTGGCGCTACCTTTTACGACATCCTCGAAATCAAGTCCAGTGCTTCGCTCGACGATGTCAACAAGGCGTACCGCGCAAAGACCCGTGCCCTTCACCCCGACAAGGTCAAGCAACAACTGCGTGCTGCTCGCGCTAAGGAGGCCGCCGCCAGCGGCAAGAAAGAAGCCAAGCCCTTGTCCAAGGCCGAGGTCAAGGCTGCTGTCAAGGCTGCTGATGAGCGCTATGCTCGTTTGACGCTGATTGTCGGCATTCTTCGTGGCCCCTCGAGAGACCGATACAACCACTTTGTTACCAATGGCTTCCCTCTATGGAAGGGCACCGATTACTACTACAACCGCTATCGTCCTGGTCTGGGTACGGTCATGTTTGGCCTGTTCCTCGTTGTGGGCGGCGGCGTCCACTACATCGTCCTCTACATGGGCTGGAAGCGCCAGAAGGAGTTTATCGGTCGCTATGTCAAGTTTGCCCGAGATACTGCATGGGGCCCTGGCATGGCGATCCCTGGTGTGGACGAGATTGAGGAGACCACTGTCGATGCTGAGGAGGACCCTTCCATGCAGGCCCTGAACCGCAAGCAGCGCCGCCAGATGGAGAAGGAGAAGAAGAGTGGTGTTACGGCCAAGAAGGCCCGCAGACTCCCGGCTACCAAGACTACTGCTCCTGACGGCACCGAGGTTACCAAGAAGCGGGTTGTTGCTGAGAACGGCAAGGTCCTTGTCGTTGATGCCGACGGCAATGTGTTCCTTGAGGAGCAGGATGAGGATGGCATTGTGAACGAGTACCTCTTGGATGTAAGTTGACAGTGACGGTGGTTGAAAAAATATGCCAATGCTAACAACACCATAGCCCGAGCAGCTTCCTCTGCCCAGCTTCAAGGACACTGCTGTGTTCCGCGCCCCTGCGCTGCTCTTCTCGTCGACTGTCGGCCGATTCGTCCCCAGTGGCAGCAGCAACGAGGCTGCTGCTGACGATGCCCAGGATGGCCATGATACGCCTAGCTCGGACTCTGTGGGCGGCGACTTTGAGTTCCTGGACAAGAGCACCGACTCGCTCAAGAGCGCCAAGACGTCTGGCTCGCAGCAAGGTGGCAAGACTAAGAAGAGAAAGGGCAGCAAGAAATAAGACACTATATCGGGACGAAAATTAAAGACGGGCAACGGGGTGGGGGGGATGTAAGAAGGGCTTGTTTGTGCTCGCCTCTTGTCAACTTAAGCTATTCCCTATTTCATGTTGCGGTAATGGCGCGCAATCAGCCGAACCTGCCCATGCTACTATTATTTCAGACTATCTAGACTCTCTGGCCGGCCAAAAGTTGGATGCAATGCTATTTTTTAGTCTTCTATTCTTTCCGATATCTGCTTTTGCTGTCTACCAACCCACTAACCTTTTACTTGCATGAATTCAGTAGCAATTTTTTTAACTTCTACACGAGCTAAACTCTATTGTGAATTTTGACCATTAATTGATGGTTGTTATTTTAGATGTAGACCATCCACGGGTCGACTATACTAATAACGCGAGCTGAGCAATTCGGGACAGCTGATTGGCCGCCCCCCAAGATGCCGTTCGGTTGTCCCCAGTTTCATCTGCGTTCTTTTGTCGCAAAAGGCCGAATGACCCTCACGTGAAAGGCCACAAGCTCGCCCAGCTGAGAGCCCTTCACGAGCCCCTTGTGACCGGACATTAGGGATTCTTTGGTTCTCCTGGAATTGCAAAAAGAAAATTGGAGAGTCTACCGTTAGGGTTATATAATGAGCAGCCTATTAAACCTATAGTACAATACTCCAACTTCAGTTAAGGGCTGCAAGTCGCTGCAGTTTGGTAGTACGGACATTTGAACGCCAAGGATGTCACCCAGTCCTCTTAAAGTATAAAAAGAGCAGACTGCTTCTTGAGGGAAAGAAAAATACAGGAAATTATATTTTCTTAAATATAAATTACGCATAATATTAGCCCTCTAGACAAGCAGACTGCATTGCACCTCGTCTCCAGAACACTACACCTCGGCCATAGAAAAAGTGGGCCTCACATAATCCGGGCCCATCACGAGAAGACCACATAGTTCCCCCGTTTCTCCCCGGCCCGAAAACCTGCCAACCATCACAATATTTGTGCTGCCATTCCGAAACCATCGCCTTTTGCTGCCTAGTATCGCCCACTGTGATAACAATGGCTTCCTCAATGGCTTTCAGGAGACTCGCCTCCTCCAACTCGGTCGCTGTATGTTGCCACTCGACTCTTTTCGCCTTGGGTCTTGTGTTCCTTTTTTTGCTGGGTCAGCTCGGGTACTCAACCTCGTCATGGTCACCCAATTGCCTGACCCAGCGCTTCAATTCATTGAGCTTCGTCGAATTGCTAACGGATTCTCTTCCAGTCGTCCCTCCGACAGGCCCGAGCCTTCTCCACGACGCGACCTGCTGGTAAGTTTGCCTGGCATGCTCTCCGACTTGAAAACCATAGCCGAGATTCCCCAGTTTAGCCTCCAATGCTAACTAAACGTGCCTTAAACCAGCTCGAATTATCACAAATGCTCCTCTCCGCGCCAAGGAGGCTTCTCCTTTTGTCAGCAGCAAGTACCCCGTCATTGTACGTTTCTCTTTCAGCTCGACTCGCCTCGAGCCCGTTTCCCTCGACGCGCCATTGCAACGGTCTAACCATGTAAAAATAGGATCACGAGTACGATGCCCTCGTCATTGGTGCCGGTGGTGCTGGTCTCCGTGCCGCTTTCGGTCTCGCTGAGGCCGGCTTCAACACCGCGTGTATCTCTAAGCTCTTCCCGACCCGATCGCACACCGTCGCTGCGCAGGGCGGCATCAACGCTGCTCTCGGCAACATGCACGAGGATGACTGGAGATGGCACATGTACGATACCGTCAAGGGTTCCGATTGGCTTGGCGACCAGGATGCCATTCACTACATGACCCGTGAGGCTCCCGCTTCTATTGTCGAACTCGAGAACTATGGCTGCCCCTTCTCCCGTACCGAGGAAGGCAAGATGTAAGTATCTAAGAATTGCGGCCAATGGCAGCAGCTACTTGGCTGTATGTTTTGTAAGATATACTAACGCAGAGATCTCTACAGTTACCAGCGTGCCTTTGGTGGTCAGTCCCGCGACTACGGCAAGGGTGGCCAGGCTTACCGCTGCTGCGCTGCCGCTGACAGAACCGGCCACGCCCTTCTGCACACCCTGTACGGCCAGTCTCTGCGCCACAACACCAACTACTTCATTGAGTTCTTCGCTCTCGACCTTATCATGGAGGATGGTGAGTGCCGTGGTGTGCTCGCCTACAACCAGGAAGATGGTACCCTCCACAGATTCCTTGCCAACAACACCGTCCTTGCTACCGGTGGTTACGGACGTGCCTACTTCAGCTGCACGTCTGCTCACACTTGCACTGGTGACGGTATGGCCATGGTTGCTCGCGCTGGTCTCCCCAACCAGGATCTCGAGTTCGTCCAGTTCCACCCTACCGGTATCTACGGCGCTGGCTGCTTGATTACTGAGGGTGCCCGTGGTGAGGGTGGTTACCTCCTTAACTCCGAGGGTGAGCGTTTCATGGAGCGTTATGCTCCTACCGCCAAGGATCTTGCCTCTCGTGACGTCGTTTCCCGATCCATGACTATGGAGATCCGCGACGGCCGTGGTGTTGGTGAGGAGAAGGACCACATCTACCTCCAGCTTAGCCACTTGCCCGCCGAGGTTTTGGCTGAGCGTCTCCCCGGTATCTCTGAGACTGCTGGTATTTTCGCTGGTGTTGATGTCCGCACCCAGCCCATCCCTGTCCTTCCTACCGTCCACTACAACATGGGTGGTATCCCCACCCGTTACACTGGTGAGGTCCTCACTGTTGACGAGGCCGGCAACGACAAGGTCGTCCCTGGTCTGTTCGCTTGCGGTGAAGCCGCCTGCGTGTCCGTCCACGGTGCTAACCGTCTTGGTGCTAACTCCCTGCTCGATCTTGTCGTCTTCGGCCGTGCTGTCTCGCACACCATCCGCGACAACTTCACCCCCGGCGCCAAGCTCAAGCCTCTCTCTGCTGATGCTGGTGCTGAGCACATTGAGGTCCTCGACAAGGTCCGCACTGCTGATGGCCCCAAGACCACTGCTGAGATCCGCCTTGCCATGCAGAAGGCCATGCAGACTGATGTCTCTGTCTTCCGTACTCAGGAAAGCTTGGACGAGGGTGTCCGTAAGATGGTTGAGATTGACGCCACCTACACCGATGTCGGTATCAAGGACCGCAGCATGATCTGGAACTCGGATCTTGTTGAGACCCTCGAGCTCCGCAACTTGCTCACTTGCGCGTAAGTCTAAATTGAATCCCTTGTTCAATAAAGGAAAAAAAAAAGCCTTGATTGCTAACTGGAAACGACACATAGTACCCAAACCGCCACTGCCGCCGCCGCCCGCAAGGAGTCCCGTGGTGCCCACGCCCGTGAGGATTACCCCGACCGTGATGACGAGAACTGGATGAAGCACACTCTGAGCTTCCAGAAGACACCTCATGGCAAGGTCGACCTGTCATACCGCAGAGTCATTGGCACCACCCTGGATGAGGCTGAGTGCAAGCCCGTTCCTCCTTTCAAGCGTGTATACTAAGCTTCAAAACAATCATCATTTTTGTGTGCGGAGAACTGGGTAGATGGGCATGCTTTTTTTTGAGGGTTATCGGCGATTCGAAGGCTAGTAATGGCTTGTACAGCCAGCAAAACGGACCAAAAACATTTTTTTTTTTTTTAGAAAAGACTCTTCCGTTTCCTTTGTGTAGAAGCTGGTTCAAAATGTATAGTTGAGCTAGGTGTATGTTTCAAAGAATTGATTATAATTTTACATGAACCTGTTTGTAGTGCTGCTTGTGCAAGATAACCATGATATAGATGTGTGTGCATTCTGCTACTTGCACCAAATCACCTCTCAACTACCTGCTAGCGTCGTGCCTTGTAAGGAATGCTGCCGTGTACTTGGCAAAGTTTATAAACACAAACGTACAATAATTCAAGCCGGAATAAAACAAAAATGAGAACGCCTGAGAGATGCAAAAAAATAAAATAAAATAAAATAAAAATGTCTAGAAAATTGGTAGAGGTTTTGGTCATACAGCAATTCGGCACATTTCTTTATTAGACTTTCGGGTTTATTATGACGTCGTCGATGCCCAAGTATAGGCTCAGCGCAGCCACCGACTTATGATAATCTTTAGTATTGTATACACCCCGTATATCTGGCTTGTGACAAGCACGATAAATACTATAGTACCTGTGCTACTCTTTATTATTTTGTATAAATAAAACAGAAAGCCCTCTGACATGCACCTGCCCAGCAACGTGCGGTTTTCCCTCTCTTGGGCTGAGATTCCCGGCCCATACATATTGCTGCTCACATTTCCGGCGGGTGGCCCCCAACAAATGCGACACTAACTAACTAAACCACGCCGCTCACGTTAGCTCCGAACTCGACATTTTTGCCCGCACCCGTGACACCCGCGTGACATACTTCCCTTTTCTTTTCCTTTCTTCTTCTTTGTGTCAAGTAAGTGCATTTTGTAATCCAAGTGTACGAATCGATTCAATTCTGCAACCTCTTTTTGGCATCCCGCGATGTCTGTCGAAATGTTGCGTCGCCGCACCACCACCGCGGGGGCCGCATCCGATGCAGCCACCACTACAACCACCACCACCACCATAAACAACAAAGCCGAGGCTCAACCTGTCACAGCAGCCGCCGCCGCAGCGGCAAAGACAGCATCGACTTGGGCACGCGAGCTGCTCTCCATCGACCTCGTGCCCGAATGGTACGGCGAAAACCCATACATCATCACCGGGTACCGGCCTGTGTTTGCGGCAGCACTGCCTTGCTTCAAGAGCTGGCTGTACCTCCACAACCAGACGGGCAACATCTACACGCATCTAGTGCCGGGTGTCGCTGCTGTTGCGGGCAATGCGGTGCTCGCGGCATACTTTGAGGCGAATTATCCTGGCGCAACGCTGACTGATCGCCTTGTCTTCCATGTGTACCTGACGGCGGTCGCTACGTGCTTTGGCGTCTCGGCGGCCTACCACACGCTGCTGTGCCATTCGGAGCAGTGGGCGGATCTCTGGATTCGCTTAGACTATGTGTGCATCTCGGCGCTGATTATGGCCTCGTTTGTGCCGGGGTTGTACATGGGCTTTTACTGCGAGCCCATGCTGCTGCGGTCGTACCTTGGCTTGGTAAGTCTTATGAGTGAAGGAGTTTCTGGTGCTGAGCTGGCTAACGATGACGGGTGTGATTTAGATCTTTTGCATGGGCGTCTACAACTCGTACTTGTCCATGACGGACCGCTGCGGATCAAAGGACTGGCTCAAGTCGCGGCTGCTGCCTTTCCTTGCACTCGGCCTGTCTGCGTTTATCCCGATTATCCATGCGGCGCTGCTGTTCCCGTACCATGAGTTCCAGAAGCAGGCTGGCCTCAACTACTATTACATTGAGGGCGCATTCATGGTCACCGGTGTTATCTTTCTAATTGTAAGGAGCCCGTTCGCTTACACGCAATTGTTGCTAACTGTACTGCTGTAGACAAAGTTCCCAGAGTGCTGGCTGCCAGGCCGCTTCGACTATCTCGGGTGCTCGCACCAGATATTTCATTGCTTTGTTGTCTTGGGAACCATCAGCCACTTCATCGGCATCTTGTCTGGCTACGACTACAACTACAATAATCCCCGCTGTGGTCTGCGACAGGTTGCCACGCAGCTGTAAATCACATCTTCGCACATCGCATGGTGCATGGCGCACTACCACGCCGCATGCGTCATATACACGCTCTTATATACTGCCATTTGTTTTCTTTATTTAATTCATAGATGATTCATAGACTTCATATACATTATAGTCATACCTATATTAAACGTTTAGTCGTGATCCTCCTCTGTGACTCCAGGACACCCCTCCATCACCTTATCCGGATACTTCATCTTACACCAGAAGCAGTACGTGTGCTCCTGGCGCAGATAGGCCAGTAATTTGGAGAGCCTCTCTGCTGGTTCCAGCGCATTGAATTCGTTCAACTCAGGGTCCTCTTCATCCAGGTCTTCGGCTGTCACATACGTAGTTTTGTTCTTGCCCATGGCCTTCTTGTAGTCGGCGTCTTCAGCATCGTCTTCATATGTGGGCAAACGCGACAATGACTGCTCAAGATCATATCGCATACGCCTATCACGCTCCTTTTCTTCCTTGTGCCGTACTAATCCACGATATAAAACATTGATAGACTTGAGTGGACGCGACGAAAGCGGTTTGGGCTTCTCCTCTGCGTCGGCCTTTTCGTCGGCCACGTCATCATCGCTGTCGTCGAGCTGCTGAGCCATGCGCTGCGCTGCATGAAACTGCTTCTCTAGTCTTTCGTCTTCGCGTTCTTTTCTCACACGTTCCCGATATTCATCTGGATCCAGCTTGACTGCTTTGATGCCCCTCTCCTCAGCAGCCTCTCGAAGCTTCCGCTTCTTCTCGCTGTCCATACCGATACCGCCTCTATCATCCTTCATAGCAAGGCGAATTGGCTCTACCCTTCCTTGTGATGTGCCCTTGTCGTCCTTTTTGCCTAGTCCTCCTCCTGTGAAACCCATCTTGGCCATCATCGACAGACCTTTGCTCTTGTTGGCGCGCGGGTCGTCCAGCATGGAGGTCGATAGGGCCTTTTCGCGGGCCATCTTTTCCTCTTCTGCCAGCTGTACTTTTGATTTGATAATTCCTCGCGCCCTCGACTCTTGCTTGAGACGCTGGGTGCGCTGTAGTGAGGTTTCTTTGATGGGTGCCGTGTCCTCAAACGTCATGTTCATGTAGTCGTCATCCTCGTCGTCATTGGCGGCCGAGGAGGCCATGTTTGCGTTAATTGGATGAATTAGAGGCCAGTATTTTCAGCCTTTGTCAAAGATAGTTTCTGATATGATGTGTAAAAGGCTGATATGTGGCGAGTGATGGCGAAGGGATGAATATCTTTTGTTTGTGATTCCTGGAGGGCGACTGCCAATAGCCACTGATGATGGAGTCTTTTTCCTTCTTCTGTAGAACTTTTACTCCATAAATCTGTTTTTAATAGAATATTTTGTCGTATTGTTGTCGACCAATCATAAAATAAGATGGTGTTTCTGCTATAATTCTAATTTACAGAGCCTTGTTAGGCAGGCGACTTGCCTAGCGCCAGCGCAAAATGCGATCCACCCAATGAAAAGCCACTTCTCGCAGTCTAAGCCTCGTCCGTCATCACCTGATGACGATGCGCTCAACCCTCCTTTCCCAGCTTTGACTTCCAGTCAGCCGTGACTTTTTGTCCTTCTTTTCCCACGCGCTCTATTTTAACATCAGTGCTGAATAACTGGCACACAGCAACATCATCGCCAATCCCGTTCTCCCTCATTTGCCAGGCCCTGTGGCCCGACTTCTCCCTTTTCCGAGCGCACCAGAAACCAGGGGTTCCGGCTCCTCCATCACAAGTTTTAAGAGGCACCCATTCGCGTTTGAGGTGAAGCCCGACTTACACATAACCTTTCTCGACCGTATAAAACATCCCGTTGGCATGGCTCTGTAGCCGCACGTCTCTACCCAGCACATAATTCACATCCTCTCCCGCCCAACTTAATCACGACAAAAACGAACGAACCCCTCGCTTCTCGACATGTCTAATTCACAACCTACTCCGAAATGGAGCACCGCGCCTGCAAACGACGCCTCTTCCTCATCCTCGCCCCTCGAATCTCCCTCCGCCGAAGATGCGCCATGGTCCAGAACCCGCCAGTCGTCGATCCGCCGTCTGTCCGAGCCGAGAGTCCGCGTCGATCCGTCCCTCACTGGACAGGCACAGCGCCTCTGGAACCAGTACTACAACATGGCCCTTGGCCTTGTCGAGCAATACTTTGAATTGGAATTCAAGTTCCAGCTCGCCATTGGAGCCTTCCTCGCGCTTCTCTTCGTCCTCGGCATCTTGACCATTCTCTACCACAAGGCCTTCTTTGCCTGGCTGGGTCCAGTGTCCGAGACATGGTACAACCTGCCCGGCGGTTGGCTCATCGCCTTTGCTTTCATCTTTATTACCGCTTTTCCCCCCGTTGTACTATACTCGGTGGCCAACACTGTTGCTGGCTTCGTCTATGGCTTTCCCGGCGGCTGGCCGATTGCCGCCTCGGCTTGCGTTATTGGCAGCCTGTGCGCCTTCATCGCCAGTAGAACTATCCTGGGATCATACGTCAATCGTCTCGTTGGAAAGGATGCTCGGTTCATTGCTCTGGGTCAGGTGCTCCGAAAGGAAGGGCTCCTTTACCTTACGGCTATCCGTTTCTGCCCTCTACCCTTCAGCCTGAGCAACGGCTTCCTGGCCACTATCCCCAGTATTACGCCTCTTGCGTTTGCTCTCTCAACACTCTTCTCCACGTAAGTATTCACTCCGAGTCTCTGTTCAAGTATCTCGTATTAACTTTTCACCTAGTCCCAAGCTTCTTGTCCACATCTTCATCGGCAGCCGCATCGCCCTCCTTGTCAAAAAAGGCGACGAGCTCACTTTTGGCGACAAGGCCATCAACATCTTCAGCATGGCATTTGGCGGTGCTGTCGGTCTCATTGTCGGATACGCCATCTATGGTCGAACCATGGCTCGCGCAGCTGCCATTTCCAGAGAGCAGGGCGATGTCGATGCTGAAGAGGGCCACGGTGGCTACTCTAGCAGCGGCAACGGCTATGCCGATGCTGGAAGTGGTCTCATGGATCCTGAAGATGCTGCTGCAATCATGTCCGACGATGATCTCTCCATGTGGGGTGAAGAAGATGCTTTTGGAGACACCGACGATGAAGCACACAAAAGTAGTGGGCGCTAGTGTCGGGCATGGCCCATGTATTAAATGTAAAATGATTTCCAGTTTTATAGTCTGGGGTTTGTATCACGCTGGTTTTGATTTGGCATACTTTTTACGATAGACACGGCATAGACTTTGTTTTCTTCGCTTTTCTGGATAGGCGTTCTTCTTCTTTCTGCTTTATTAGATGCGCAAGTCAAGACTAGAGTAATAATGTGAACGTGGTTTCATTTCTTCGGCATCAGTTTACTTCCTTAAAAAAATGGTTTCAATGTTATCGGGCTGCTAAAGCTAAAGGCCACAGATGTGCGTAAATGTATAGGTAAAGATAATGTAACTCCTAGGTATCTCCGTCCTAGTCAAAGTAGGCTCCAAACGCCAACGCTAAAAACTGCAAGAAATACATGAATACAATGGATGGGTAAGCTTTACAAAAGTCTCAAAGAGGCGGTACAGTTTACTGGTTGCGCTGAAATTGATTCATAAACCGAATCGCTTCTTCCATGGGATATCCGATAAAGACAGGTCCATTGAAGACCATGCCAGACGTGCCAGGCTTTGCCGCTTCAGCACTCATAAACACTGGCTGGCTCGGCATCTTGTTCAGTCTTGGGCCAGACTCTTTCATGGGAGTAACTGGCGGTGCTTCACGGAGCCCAGCCCGGCCTGCTGCTTCAGGCTTCGGTGTTTGGTCCACCTCTGTCTTTGCGTTTGCCATGGTCGCAAGTTTGGTATGATCAAAGGGGCATTTTCGTCCTTCCATGCCAGGACCAATAGGGTGAGGAGGTTCGGGCATGCGTACGGGGGGTGCTGGAGGAGGTGATAGAATCTCTGCTGGGCCATCTGTGTCGTATACTGGAACCGAAATACCCCACGGGCGACTAGGGGACTCGCCGACTCTGACCTCCTTTAGAGGTCGGTCAAAGTGGCTTTGTCGCTCAGCATCAGCCTCTAGAGAGTCAGTACCGTGTGGATCACCAGCGTCGCTGGATGTGCTAATGGCGTGTGCCCAATTCTCTACTCTCTCGTTGGATGCCCCATCTGTCTCCTCGACGTAGTGCTCATCTTCGGGTAGCATGGGTTGATGGAGTTGGCCGAGGTCTTCAATCATACTGATCATGTTGCCATACTTGGAATCAAGTTTTCTGATCTGATCTTCGTTGCCTTGATAACGGCGTAGACACACCTCATGGCTTCGAGGAAGATCATGCTTATGCATTTCGACATATCGTGCCACTTCCTCAGGCGAGTGTTTGTCCAGGAAGCGGATAGGGCATTTGCCTGGACCCGTCGCAGACCCGTCACCGTTGAGGGCGGCACAAATGGGATCTTCAGACTCGGCAACGCCACTTCGGCTACCTTCTACAGCACTACCATTGATGGTATGAGCGGTGGCATTTTTAGAAAAGGGGCATTGCAAGTTTCCTCGCTTGCCTTGTACGGTAAAGTCCTGTTCAAGAGCTGTAGACATGGAGGAATCATCAAGATCCGAGGTTCTGGCAAAGGTGTCTCGGCTCGAGCTGGTGGTCTTGCTTGCATCCCCTAGGGAAGCCAGTCTACTCGCAGCTCGGCGTCCGTCACGAATGACGAGAGCGATTTCGTGTTGTGATGGGGGCGATGCACGTAGTGGGAGAGGAACGGAAGCGGTGCTATCGACAGAAGTATGGGGAGGAAGTTGCAGCTTGACAAGAGTGTCGGCTATTTCAGGGGCTGCGGGTGCATATTTATCGGCAAGGTATTGAAACTATGAATCCGAAGAGGAAATGGTTAGCTCCGACGAATTCCGAGGCATTGAAGCACGAAGTTTGGTGGTTTGTCTTTGGAGGGATAAAGTGCACAGTCAGACGTTAAATATATGTCAATCTCGGCAGTTTAACTGCTCTTGATCTAGAGCTAAGATAACTCATCATAAAAAGTGCGTGGAAGGGAAGATGAGGGTATGCAAGTGGTGCAAGAAAGACAAAAGGACGGGAGATGCTCACCTGTTCATGTGCAAAGCGCAGTTTGTGTTCCAGAACAGTTTTGCGGTCGGTCAGGCTCTGAACTTCGTCGGCCAAGGCTGTAAAGGAGTCTGCCAGTGTCTGTGAGAGCTGAAGATGAGCCATGGCCCTTAGAGGCGACGTTGGTGATGAAATAGCATGCGGTTATGTGATGATGATGATGGAGGAGGCAGAGGAGGTACTATCAGTTGTGACGGACCGGTGACTCGGCCATGTCGGGGTGGGCGGCGTTTTGATTCGTCAGCAAACCGGGCGCAAACGGACAGGCTATGTTAGCATCAATAGGGCCAGGCACACAACACACGACAGAATAGTGCCAATGGAGAGTAGACGAGGAAAAAAAATATGGCTTTCTAGTAAGTGAATAGAAATAACAAATTAATGCATTTCCAATTCCTCCCAATCCCTTTCTTCTTCACAAACAAAAAAGCAGAACAAACGCAGTTATAATGAAGAATCAGAGAGAAACGGAGCATGGGCAGAAATTTTACAAGAATTTATAGCCCGGAACAATCGCTGTAGTGTTTTCCCGGTAGGCGGTCCACTCAACGATGGCAGCGGGCGGTAGGCTGCAGGGGGGAGGGGGCTTACAGTACAGTAGGTACTGACTGCATCGGGGCGTCGGTAGTGGTGCAGCATAGTGCAGTACCGAACAATGGAGGGGTTGATGACGACGGACACATGCGCTGTACAGAGTAAGCTGCATAATGAAAGACGATTATTCGTAAAATCCAAATACAATCCAAAGAGCCATACGTGTGTAAAAACGAATTCTCAATTTTAATTCAATTTTTTTACCTAATCACATCCTTATAACAACACGCATACCCCAATACAGCACCCATCAAAAAATGCCACTTGCTTAAACAGGAAACGCCCTACAGCGTCTCTCACCCCACCAAAGAACGTCCACCACGGCCAGCTTCGGCTCCAAAGAGGTTACAGCTGACGTGACCATTCGCTGACTGACCTCTTTTCCCCAGACTTCTTCCCCATGTTTCGCATCGTAGCTTTCTTCTCTCTTCATCCCCATTACCGTCGACACATCAAACCGCAATCATGATCGCAAAGCTACCAATTCCCCCCGCCACGCTCCTCAGCACCTACAGCTACCTCTCCCCGCAGGCCCTCTCCGTCACAGAGTACACCTTCCAGGTGCCTCTCGACTACGCCAATCCCGATGCCGGCACCATCACCATCTTTGCCCGCTCGGCTACCAAGTCCGAGCGGCCGCTTGTTCCCTCAGACTCGCCTGCTCCTCCTAGACCGTACATGGTCTACCTGCAAGGCGGTCCTGGCTTTGGCTGCGAAACCCCTTCCGAAGCTCCCCCAACTCACGAGGTCCTGAAGCGTGGGTACCAAATCATATATATTGACCACCGTGGAACTGGCATGAGTACGCCAGTGACTGCCGAGACCCTCGACAAGATCGCCAGCGACGTTGACGGCAAGGTCAAGTACCTCAAGCTCCTTCGCCAGGACAACACTGTCCGCGACTGCGAGGCTATCCGCAAGTACTTGAACAAGGACCTCGAGGGTGACAAGGCCCAGTGGTCCCTCCTCGGCCAGTCCTACGGTGGCTTCATAGGTCTCTCGTACCTGTCGATGCACCCCGAAGGCCTTCGCGAGTGCTACTTCACTGGTGGCATGGCCCCCATTGGCAAGACAGCCGAGGAGCTTTACAGCGTCACCTTTGGTCATGTTGAAAAGCGCACCGACGAATATTATGCCAAGTTCCCTCAAGATATCGACAGCGTTAAGCAGATTGCTGCCTTCATTGAGAGCCAGGGTGGCAGCATCGCCTTGCCCAATGGCGGCAAGATGACCGTGCCTCGATTCATGACATTTGGTATCATCTTTGGCAAGCACGGAGGTTTTGACATGCTCCACGAAGTTGTCCTTCGTCTCAAGAACTCCCTCGACCAATTCGGTTTCTTCGTTCGCCCTGCGCTCCAGGCTTTCGCCGACTTCAGCGAATTCGATCAGTGCATCATCTACGCCATCCTCCACGAGGCCATCTACTGCGACGGCCCCATTGCCACCAACTGGTCTGCCCAGCGCGTCGGCGAGAAGCTCGACAAGTACTTCTGGCTCAAGCCTGGAGCTGTCACGGCCAACACCGAGGGTCCTTTGTACTTCTCTGGTGAGATGATCTTCCCCTCACATTTCGATAACTTCTCGGGACTCCAGCCCCTCAAGGAAGTGGCTCAAAAGCTGGCCGAATCTACAGAATGGGACTACCTCTACGACCAGGAGCAGCTCAAGAAGAATGAGGTCCCAGTCTATGCCGCTTCCTACGTCAGCGACATGTTTGTCGACTTTGGCTTCGCCACCAACACTGCCAACATGACCAAGAACACGCAGGTCTTTGCTACCAACATCTTATATCACAATGCTATTCGCCCCAAGACTGCCGATGTTTTAGTACAATTATTCAAGCTCCGTGACGATGTCATGGACTAAGAGTTCCCCTATATATAACGCCGATACAAGACAGACCCCGAAAAATAAAAGTTTTTGATATCCATTTTCTTCCCAAAGTAACCATATTTTATTCTGGACCCATTTCAGCTTGCATTTGAACATCTTGAAAGTTCGTTAGTAGAGCTTTTGAAGCAGCATAAAGTCGACGTCAACTTACTCCATAATCTGTTTGCAGCGTTGGAAATAATCTGCGCCTTCATGAAGAGCTTCTCTTCAAACTTTTCACTATCCCAATCATTGAGTCGCAGTTTATTCGGTTGGGCCTGTCATCAAATCATTAGCCAAGTTTGCGTCGGCGTCCATTATAAGCTGTACCTGAATTAGAATCGGAACAAGCTCTTTTGGGTCGGTGTTGGCAATAGATGCAATTGATCTAAACCCATTGTCCCAAAAGACTCGCCTATTGTAATCATTAGTATAATCTCTAATTTGTTCGAATAGCATGTTCAGTGTAATCATACGCAGTTCTGCTCTTGATAAATGGAATCTGCGCCAGTGCTAGAAGCTCTGTTCTTGCACCGGCAAGCAATCGGTCTGAATAATGGTCCAGAGCTGCAGACATGACTCTGTGCAGCAGATTAGTAGCCACATTAGTCAGTCATAAACTTTGCATCTTACCCCCAATCCATATGTTCGCAGAATTTCACCATGCCCGCTGCAAATCCCTGACATGTCTGTGACAGTGACTGTACAACACCTCGCGGAGTATCAAATCTCCGAGCAACTACGTGGACGGGCACTTCGTTGCAAAGGCTCTTCAGCTGCAGAGCCAGATAGAATCGTCGATATACTCTCGCTAGATCTTTTTCTTCTTTTGTCTTTTCTGGCAACGTGGCTCCCTGGGCACTATGACACAGTTAGTATGCTAATGGTAGTGACGCTTAGAGGACTCACAGCCTCTCAATCACCGTAGGCTTCATGCCTAGGAAATTTAAAACTCGCATGCCACTATCATCTAGGGATAAGACCTCATTCCTGAAAACTTGCCAGTTGACTGTGATACCAAAGTCCTGGACTGGTGTGAAGACGTAGAGAATATGCATCTCGCCGTCCATGACAAACGCTCGAAGCGTCTTTACCATTTCTTGGTGGACAAACATACCATCATCAGGGTCAATAGCTGACGCAACGATGGCCTTCCCCAGCTGTGTTGGAGAATAATCGCCGTCTGCATCCTGTTCAACAAGACCCATCGTATCTATTTCTTTCAGACCATCCTTTAAGAACAAGGTTACCTGCTCCGGTTCGTGCGTGAATGCAAGCAAAGATTTTGAAAAGTAAAATCTTATAGAGTCAGTGTTGGTAGCAAGTCGAACCGTAATAATTTCCAGAACAGCTCTGGTGGACAGTTAGCAGATAGGTCATAATCTTGTCAGAATAACAATATTACCTTTGTATTCGTCGATTCTCAGCATTCAAGCAACTGAATACCTGTGGTAGCTCAGATTCAATGAGACTAACCACTTGCTCCAAATCATCCTGTCTACAGCAGACATACGTCTCACCAATCGGTGATTTTCCTTGTCTGCCAGCGCGACCTCTCATCTGCCGAAGCATGGCAGGGGCAACATAGTCTCTGCCCATTTTTGCATTGTGTAGAATCACCCGCCGAGCAGGTCTCCAAATTCATTAGCGCGACGTATTCCTGGGTGCTGCTAAGCACTTACAAATTGATTCCAGCTGCCAGACTGCATGTTGCCACGCAGACAAGAAGGGTACCACTGTCAAACCCTTCAGCGATAATTTCTCGCTCTTCACTCGTAAGTCCAGCCTGTAACGTTAGTATACCTCACTTCATGCCGTTTTACCCGTACTCACATCTATTTGTGGATTAGTACAACGCGTGGTATTATTCAACAGTTACTTACGATGAAAAGCAACACCAAAGAGAATTGTTTCCTCTAGCACATGATCTAAACCAGTGCTGAGGCTTCGTAATTCGTCAAGAATTTCGAGCCTCTTGGTACGAATGGTCTCATCAAGCTCATTCAACGGCGGCATAACTCGGCTGATAATCCGAGCGTCTGCCTCACACATTCCACGACTACCAGCAAACACAAGGACACCATATCCATTCATGGCAGTTTCGTGAGTGAGTGAGACAACAGCATTGAGTACAGGGTCAGCGAGCTCCTTCAATGTTGAAGGCAATACTTTTCGGCACGCCCTTGCCTTCTGTTCACAAGATCCTTTTTTGTTCAGCTGCGCCGTTGTATCCAGCAAGGTGTGCGCATCTTTCACATCGTATATACTTCCATTGCAAACGATGTGTTCTTCAATGGGTATAGGTCTATAACGAGTTTCGTATGAATGTGCATTAAGCCATTGCGCCATAAGAGATATGTTCTAAAACCCCGTTAGTAGGTGATGTTGACAGAAGTACGATCATCATTATTACCGAAATTGTAGCGCTCATTCCAATAATTTGAACAGAGTGGTCCACGCTTAGGAGCTTTGCGCCAATCAGCTCAATAATATAACCACGGTGCTCGTCATCAATCATATGTAATTCATCCAGAACTACAGCTCGTAAGTTCTTAATTGAGCAATCCTCCACTGCAGTGTTGATCAGTGAGTTCGCCTAAGCTGCCGTTAGCTCTAGCTTCCATCATGAGAAGCCACTGCTATTCAACATACCTTTTCTAACGTGCAGACTCCAATATCGAAATCGTCCCAAGTAGACTTAATTTTCCCACCGCCGAAAAAGCCAATCACTCTTATATCATTCTTATCCAATCGTCGCTTCCAAGCAGGTATAGAATCTCGCTCAGAGGCATTCTCTGGATAGCGAAAGCCTTCTACTACTTGCCTCAGCCAGCGAACCTTTTCTTGTACAAGAGCAACATATGGAAGAATAAGGAGGGCTTTACCACCCGGTGTCTCGATAATTCGTTTAATCATAAGCACTAGGATAAACAAATGGATCAGCTTACATTTCCCCAAGGATAATAGGTTGTGAATCTACAGCTTACAGTCTGCTACGAGGGACTTTCCTCCGCCCGTAGGGGCAGAATAGACAAGATTTTTGGTACCATCAAGTAGCCCAGGCCCTTTGAGACAGTTTTTCTGCCATGGGTAAATGGACTGGATACCGAGTGCTGCAAAATTCGCGACAAACTTGGGAGGCAGAGCGTATAGCGGATGTTTTAGGTCCAACTCTACATCCCTGGTAGAGGACGGTGTCGCTGAAAACTCTTTTCTCTGAGAGTACTCTGAGATCCCTAGTGAGCCACGAAAATCGGCAATTTTGCTAGGAGAGAGCCGTGATGGTGCATTAGGTAAATACACGGCACGTTGGAATAGAACTGGTGCTGGTCCTAGAGGCTTGGGTCGAGCAAAGTCGCCATCTTCAGGTTGATGACTTCTCTTTTGGCCTGTAATCGAGTAAGAATGCTCTGTATCATGGACACCCTGTGTGCTCGTCTGATGCATAAGCCCTTGCATGCGCTGCATGGTGAACAGATGTAGACAGCACAGGCCGGTGCAATTAGCAGTAAGTCATTGGGCTTATTATCTTTGGAAAGGTAAGCAATGAATCGAAGGCCGTTACTTGCCAATCTTCATCGTGCAAATAGCAAGTGCTCTCCAAAATGATATAGACCAATAGAAGTCGGCTCCAGAGAATGGTCTATCACGGACCCTGCTGTGCCGCTGGCGCGGACGCGTGCTGCTTAAACGCGTAATCACGTGTCCTGATATTGCACGCCCGGGGCAATTTAACATCGAGGAGCCATCGACGCCGTCGCCCCGCCGCCCGGGATTATTGAACCAGGTGATTTCAATTACAGACCATTAATCTGTTGGGATACAGTTTGAGACTGGCTAGATAATGTCACAGTCGTCTGTTGCAGTTTCATAGCCCGCAGAGTGGGCTCCCTAGCCAAACTTCCATGTACGACGAGGCAAGAGCGTGTGCGTTAGTGGTGCGATGCGCGTCTTTGTATTGATGTAAATGCTTAATCATTGAAGTATCCAGAAAATTTGTGATGAACGCCCCCCAAATCCCTTGTTTGGTGTATTTTTTAAAGTCCTCAAGTGCATGTTTCATAAACTCCCAACCATTTTGTCTACGTTCCGCATGGTATTCCATATCTAGATTGCAAAATCATATAATCTCTTTAGATGAACCCCATCCACTTTAGAAATCGGCAGGCTTGCCAACTCCGTTGATCTGCTCCTTGTTTTCCTGAGCCTCCTTGATGACTTCATCAAGGATGCCAACGCTGGACGCGATGAGGCCCAAAAAAGGGGGCGAGCACTGAGTAACCTTACTCGTGAACTCAGGGTGGGCTTGCAGGCTACAAAATCATTAGTATATCAAGTATCAATGGCGAGTCGGAAGTATAACTTACCCAACATAGTACGGGTGGCCACGGAGCTCGAAAGCTTCCATGCGTTGGCCAGTCTCATCCTTGCCAATGAAAGACATGCCAGCCTTCTCAAACTCGCCAATGAGGTCAGGGTTGACTTCATAACGGTGTCTGTGGCGCTCATGCACTTCGGCAGCTCCACCATACAAAGCACGTAGTTTGCTCCATTCGCTACCGGCTTGGAACAGCGTAGCACGGCTGCCCAGTCTCATGGTACCACCAAGCTGCCTACGTAGAGTTAGCATTCTGTTACAATCGGAAACAATGACTTCGGATAAACATACTCCTTAGAGCCCTCGGGCATGAATACAATGGCGTGGTTGGGCTGAGTTCCGTTTGCCTTCTCATCGAATTCTTCGGAAGTTGCGTTGCCAATGCTGCAGAGATTGCGAGCAACTTCAATGGTTGCAACCTGCATGCCCAGGCAGATACCAAGGAAGGGTTTCTGGTTCTCACGAGCCCAGTTCGCGCAGATAACCATACCCTCAGTGCCTCGGGAACCAAAGCCACCAGGGATGATGATACCCTGAGCTTTCTTAACAGCAGCCCATGCAGCGTCGAATTTCTCGGGTTCGGCGGCCTGAGCCTTGGGCTCAAGATGTTCCGAGTCAACAGCGATCAACTTCAGCTTGCGGTCGCAGTGCATAGCCGCGTGTTCCAGAGCCTTCTGAACTGACAGATAAGAGTCCATGAAGTTTGTGTATTTTCCAACAAGGGCAATCTCCACAGCACCGTGCTCCTTAGGAAGGTTGACAGTCTTCTTCCATTGGTTCCAGAGGGTGTTGCCCTTTGTTGCGAGGTCGTCAGAGATGGATACGCGGTCGAGCTCGATGCCGCGGCGGAGTAGGTCGAGAAGGCCTTGCTCATGAAGGAGCATAGGAACCTGGTAGATGGTTTCCATGTCATGGACACAGATAACCTGATCGTAGTCAACTTGGCAGCTGGAAGCAATCTTTCTAACAGTGCTATCAGCGAGCGAGTTGTCACATCGGCAGGCAATCTATAATATAGTGAGTAAAGTGTATTAAATTATAGTCACGAGCCCACTTACCAAGTCAGGCACCATACCAACACTACGCATCTGTTTAATGGCATGTTGAGTAGGCTTAGTCTTTTCTTCTCCGTTGATCCTAATACATATGTTAATATTTGGAACAGAGTCATTATGGTAGTTTTTTTTGTTGCCTACAAAGGAACGTATGAAACGTGAATGTTGAAGAACGAAGAGTCGGGCTCGCGAGCAAGTCTGTGTCGGAGCTGAACGAGAGCCTCGACGAAAGGGGCAGACTCGATATCACTGGATAATTTGTTAGTACAAAGCTATCATATCGTCGTCACGCGTAGCATACCCAACAGTTCCACCCAGTTCAACTAAAAGGTGTGAGTGTTAGCTTGTTCAACTATATTTTCTAATTCGATGGTATAACGTACTAATGCAAACATCAGGCTCCTGGCCAGAGTTATCGACAGGGATCTTGGCAACTCGGGTGATCCATTCTTGGATGGCATCGGTGATGTGAGGCACTACCTGAACGGTTTTTCCGAGGTAATCGCCACGGCGTTCGCGCTCAATCACGGACTGGTAGATCTTTCCAGTTGTGATGTTGTTATCGCGGGTCAGTTGGATTCCGAGGTATCTATAGTCAAGGAATTAGCAAATTGTTAGAGCATATGTAATCCTTAGAGATAGCCATACCGCTCGTAGTTGCCCAGATCCAAGTCAGACTCGCCACCATCAGCAAGAACGAAGCATTCGCCGTGTCTAAAGTCGCATCGGTCAGTAAGTGTTGCTTTAATGATTTAAAATTCGGGTTATCATTACTCGAGAGGGCCTAGAGTTCCAGCGTCGACATTGAGGTAAGGATCGATCTTGATGGCCTAGAGTGGTGTTAGTTCGGCGTGATGCTTGTTCGACAACGGTGGTCAATTATTGCATACGGTAACCTTCAGACCGGCAGTCTTGAGCAAGAGACCAGCAGAAGAGGCTTTATATCGAGAATTAGGTTAGTTACGGGCAAGCAATGACATGAACCGAGGTCAAAGTAGAGGTTTTTCGTACCGATGATACCTGTCACGCAGTAGGTTAGCACTCGTCCTACACACCGGAGCTGCTCGCCGGCATAGAGACAAAATTATAAAATTAATAAACATACCCTTTCCGATGCCGGAAATGACACCACCAGAAACAAGAACGACGCGCATTTTCAAAGTTGGTTGGAGTGTGAGAGGTCGCGTTCGATTTGGGCGGTGGAAGAAGAAAAGTTCACGGTGAAGAAAAATTGCACGGCACGGCGCCCTTGCCTTGAACGGCGGGGCAGCACCGGCAGCTTACTGCGCGACAGCGGCGGGGTCGTGTCGCAGTGAGCAACAAAACGTTTGTTTGGGCGACGAGGAGGGAGCGGTTGACAATGGAGGCCAAATTTACTAAGAAAAAAATTGGTTGCAAAAAAAAAATTGAACACAATTAAAACTCCATTGTAGCAGCTATGCAATATAATATAAATTTTAATACATTTATTTGGGCGTTTATTTTTACCATCTGTTTTGGACTGCAGAGGGAACCCCTCTACCAGAAAAAGTAAAAATAAAAAACTTTGGCTACTCACTCTAACCTCACCACTCTAAAGTCACTGAAATGGGTGGCCTGTCTTGTCAAAATCTGGGCGCGTCATGTGTTTGGCCGTTCTAGGTCTGGCCTTTTTAGGGACGGCGTCATGCAGGTTCGGCTGCTGGTGGCATCGCCTTGCCTACCCTACGCCTGGCCTTGTCCAGTATTAGCAGGACGAGGCGCGTTGCTAGCGGGCTTCTGCAAACGCCCAAAAAGGGATGCATGGTGGGTGTGGCTGCAATTGGCTCTACTGGGCTGCCCAACGCAGAGAGAGGCAGGCCCAGGACCCACGATTTCGGGAGCCCCATCCGACTCAATTTGGGGCATTTTGGACGACAACCCTCAGACGCCATGTACTCTGCTTGGCCAAGCGCTGTGGCAGCGACGCTGAGTCGGGGAGCGTCATTGGGCCAGCTTTATCGCGCGAGCTGATTTATACTGTTTGCACTGTTAATTTTTCCCATTAATGCTCCCCTAGCTGTATGTATGTGTACCACAGCCGGGCATAAGGGCCACCCTCCGCGACGTGTCAGCGCCTTTGGCTGCTCGTTTGGCAACCAAATCGGCATCGGGGCTGATTTTCAATGTCGCATCCAGACAGACACAGACCAGATGCGACATATCAAATTGTTGAAAGAATGCGGCAACTTGGGTAGTCCCTTCTCTTAGCTAAGACATGCCGTACCACCAAAGTATGCGTCGCATACTACATCAGGATGCCAACGCCGCGCCATCTACCACGGCTCTGGCGGAGCATGCGCCGAGAAGGAAAAAAAATTATGATCGATCTGGAATCCCCTAACTTTTAGTATCTGTCTACGTACGATAAGATGGCTATTTTTTTTTTGGCTTTCTTATTCCGTCTCTTTTTTTGCGCCCTGGCGCTCAATGCCAAATAACAGCCTCACACACTCTAGGTGTCCCAAATTGGTCGAGGCGCTCTCTTGGACCTGGGCGTGCCAGCGTACTGGTTTTTTCCTCGTGTGGGCGGGCGGGTCTGCGCCTTCATTTTCGTGGCATTCCCCGCGGAACAGACTGATGGAAGGCCCCCCGAAAAAAAAAACCTACCACACACAGCCCAGCCTCAGTCAGCCCAGTTGCTCGAATCATGTTGGCGACTATTGGATATGGGTTTCTTCAACGTAGATTGCGAAATTTGTGAACCTTTTTTTTTTCGTTTTGATTGACAGCCATAGTCATCTTGCATGGCCAGTCGCGGCAGCCAACGTCATGCCCGGCACTTGTGACTGTGATATATCCCTTAAATTTGACGGATACGGTAACCCAATTAGCGTCTAAACCCAGAGTATAGAGGCCCATTTTGCCAACAACTTTGCACTAAATTAGCATAGTACAGCAGCGACATGACCCGGTCATGCCGCATTGTGTCCTTATCACGCCGTACATCGGTTCGGACCTATCTTCTCGGATAGCCATGGTAATTCTATCGCGCCGATGCAGGCCACTGGAAAAAATTCCCGAGCGACTACCAAGTCGACATGCCCGGTGCTAGATGACTTAATAGGCTTTCATCAACAAATGTACCCCAGTACTGGGGGTGTTGAGGTCTTGGATTTGTTGCGGATATATATGTAGGGTAACGCGTGGTCCATTACTAACCAATCTGCTATATGACCAATGGCGACGGCCTGGTTATTTCACATGCAGTGGCATCGCTGTGCGACAGTCGTAGATAGTTGGCCGACCAAGAAAATTGATGAGCGAAACCCAGCGCGAGGGCCAGTTGGTTTCAGCTTGGGCGTTTTGGCAAGTTTTTGGCTGCCGGCTTGTTTGCGACCAGGCGAAGGGGAAGGGAGGGGCGGATATCTGCACTACGATCGCCTACTTATTTCCCATGCAACAAGGGCAAACCGCGCCTGGAATAATGCAAGGTCAGCGCAAAAGTTACCATACGAGCGCTGCAGGTAACGCCATATACCGTGGCAAATTCCACAGTGAAGGAGGCGGGCTGGAAGGATGAAGTCGTCCCATGGTGCGAGCGAGGCTAAATGAAAAGCTTTGAAGGGGGGCGTGTGCCCGGGAGGTGCTTAACGGGCGGGCTGTCAAAGCCTTTCACGGACTAAATCTGGCCGGTTCGTGACAAATAGCACCGGCGTAGGCAAAAAGTCAGCAGCCAGCCGGCGATATGTGAGGAGTGCGCATTGCTGCTGCTGATCAGAGAGCATCCCAAACGTGATGCATGGCCGCCCGTCTAATGGAAACGTAGGCAGGCGAGCGAGTTCCAAGGTTGGGTTACGATCCGTTCGCTCATCAATGGTGTGAGACCAGCGGGACCGTGTGGGGACGTAGCAACTCTTTTGGCTAAGGGTGCACTATGTCGATATAAAGTGTCTATCAACAGCAGCCCCGCAGGAAACACAGCCCTAGCTGTTAGCAGCTACACAACTGTGACATGCCTACTCTAGTGCCGCCACACACGCCCCCCCATGCAAGTCCCAAGCGTGCAAGTCCCAGGCGTATCGACCAGGTCCAGGGCCACCGCCGCCTCGGGGGCCTCTGTCTGGCGCTTCAGCACGTAGCGCAGAACGTTTCTCTTGCTTTCCCCGGCGCCTGGGAATCACAACCTCTTTTCTTCCCGCTTCTTTTGCACACACACCACACTCTCTTCTTCATACATCACCGCAGCGTCATCCTCTGCCATTCCCCCAACCGGGATATTACACGCTCGCGCTCCTTTCATCGCCTATACCCTTCCCTTAGCCCATCCTTCTCGTCTGCCCTGCTTAATATAGCCCATCGGCCACGCTCCTCTCCTTTTCCCACACGCCAAACACATCCCATCTCGTTGTAACACGTCTCGGGGCATGCAATTCTCATATTACCGGCTTCCCCTCGCCACCTTGCAACGTATCTGACGCTGCCAGAATGGCCCAGCAACATGTGAGTTTTTTCTTTTCGCGCGATTCACTGCCGTTTACACGCTTTTTCTCGTCTTTATACCGTGCCTCACTTCACCAATCTGCCCTTATACCTTTGAGTCGCCACAGCCACATGCCCTCACCTCATTTTTTACTCACTCCCCCAAACGCTCTCTCTTGCTCGCTCATCCATCGCTAACCATAAATGATGCAGGATTCGCGGGCGCCTGAGCCAGATGATCCTATATCCGCCGAGGCCGCTGCTGCCAACGGCGTAGAAAAGGATGCTGGTGCCGACGGCGCTGCGCCGTATGGTACGCGCTCCCGCAACAGGTCGGGAAACCCGCGGCCAAACTATGCGGAGGACAAGGATATTGAAATGGACAACTATGACTACTATGACAAAAAAGAAAATGACGGCACCAAAAAATCATCACGTCTTGCTGCTTCCGCCACGGCAAATGGCGACTCAGCTCGCGGCGCTGGATCGCGCAAGCCAGCCTCGGAGGACTCCAAGGCTGCGCCGTCACAAAATGGCACCAAGGATGCCAACTCAACCACAGCCCCAATTTCGCAGAGCGCACCGCCGGCTGCTGCTGCTGTGTCGCGGAAGCGCAAAGCGGCATCTGGCCAGTCGTCTGCGACATCAACAGCAGCGCCATCTCGTCGCGCCGGCAATGCGACGCCGACTGGGGCGACGAATTGGCCTGACTCCAATATGCTGACGTTTGACAACTGCAAGGGCATGCCCAAAAATGGACAGCTGATTGCAGACGACGGCACAACGCTTGAGCCCAATGGTAAGTCAATGTCCTGATTTTCCGCCTTGGGGCAGATTCCCCTGGTGCGAAAAATAACAGCACCAGCAATCAGTCCCACTGTGCGTCATGACAATTTTAGTACGCTGCTAACCTTGTGCCCAAACACAGATCATGTTTACCTGGTGTGCGAACCGCCCGGCGAACCTTATTATTTGGGACGCATTATGGAATTCCTGCACTCTAAAAATGATACCACCAAGCCTGTGGACGCGCTGCGAATGAACTGGTACTATCGCCCCAAGGAAATTGGGCGTAAGTCTACCGACACGCGGCTGCTTTACGCTACAATGCATTCCGACATTAGCCCACTAACGGCGCTACGGGGCAAGTGCCAGATCCAGCACCGCGTTGAAATCCCCAATCTGGAAGAGTACCGAAAGACGCCCGACAGCTTTTGGTACGAAAAACTCTACGATCGCTACATCCAGAAGAGCTACGACTTAATTCCCACGTCCACCATTGTCAACGTCCCCGAGAGAGTCAAGAAGGTACTTGACGAGCGATGGAAGTTTGTCTTGGTTGAGCAGGGGCGTAGCAAGGAGCTCACTAGCGCCGTTAAGCTCTGCAAGAGATGTTCTGCCTATTGTGCAAGGTACGTACCCGCCCCGCCCCACTTGTCCCCCTTGCCTCCACGTCCACTTACATGGGCTTTGATTTGCTAACGATGTACTAATTGGGTTGAACAGCAACGAGTCTGTGGATTGCGCAGTATGTAAAAATACATATCACATGAACTGCGTTAGCCCGCCGCTCCTCAAGAAACCCTCGCGTGGTTTTGCCTGGTCGTGCGCTGCCTGCAGCAGAGCGCAAGAACGCAAGTTGGAGGCAAGGCATACAGCAGATGGCGTCGACGGTGAAGAAGACGATGTCATGGATGAGGATGACGACGAACTTGGTGCCGATACGAACAGGACGACGCCTGCACAAGAGGTTCACCACGCGGAAGGAACGCCGGAGCAGATCTATCAAGCTAGCCTCTGGCCATACCGATATCTCGGCGTGCATTGCTCTCCTGAAGATGCTCTCGACTATGATGATCGAATTTATCCCCGCGCCAGCACTCGCATTGGCCCTAGACACCAAGCCAACGTGTTGCCGTATCCTGGACAGCCCGTCGAGTACGTCAAGCCATTGGACGTCCGACGTGGAAAGAAGGGAGGTCAGCTCAACAAAGACCAGCTTGCCGCTCTCGAAGCAGAAAAAGCAAAGCGTAGTAGTCGACCAAAGTGGGTGCAGGATGAACCCCCAGGTTATACTGTACGAGGAGAAGACCATGACTTTGACGACCCGGACTGCACATCGATCCCCATGTGGGTTCGCCCACCGGAGGATAAGCCACCCATGGAGGAGGTGATTGCATACATGGATGAGGCAAGACCGATGGCAAAGAAGTTGGATTTGCCAAATAATTCGACAAATTTGCAAGACGTCGCTCTCACATCCTATCTCCGCCACGATTACGACGCTGAAAAAGCCTTGGAATCTCTTCCAACACTTCCACGGGCCGAATTCGACGAGCCCAAGCTGACAAGCACAGATGAAAAGAAGTTTGATGAAGCCGTTTCCAAATACGGCTCCGAGCTCCATCTAGTAATGAAGCATGTCAAGACCATGACACCTGGTCAAGTCGTTCGATACTACTACACGTGGAAAAAGAGCGAGCGTGGATCCAAGGTCTGGAGCAGCTACTCTGGTCGCAAGGGCAAGAAGCAAGCCAAGTTGGCTGTAGCAGCGGCTTCCAAGATTGCCGACGACGTAGCCGACAAGGACGACGATTCTGCATTCGATTCAAACAAGGCAGCGGAGAAGAAACGTACCTTTATTTGTCAATTCTGCTCAACAACGACATCGAGGCAATGGCGCCGAGCCCCGAATGCCACGCAAACGTTTTTCGAAGACCCTACCGGCAAGGGAGGCAAGTCAGACAAGGCGAACCAAGCTGTTGTGGCTCTGTGCCGAAGGTGCGCGGAGCTTTGGAGACGCTATGCCATCCGCTGGGAAGATGTCGAAGAGGTTGCCAGGAAGGTTGCTCAAGCAGGCGGCAAGGCCTGGAAGAAGAAGCAAGACGAAGAGCTCCTCAAAGAGATTCAAGCTGTGCAGGACCTGGGTCTCACCCCCGATAGAGACTCAACTCCTCTCAGTGGCATCATTAGTGCAGCAGGTCTTGAGCCACCGCGGAAGAAGCTCAAGGGTGGCCTGGACAAGGAATTTGATGCTTCCCTGTCGGATGCTGGGAGTGTTTCTACGTCGACAAAGCGCAAAGACCGAACCAGCGAAAGCACGCCTGTACCAGACTTGCCCAAACCGCGCGTCTTGCCATGTGCTATATGCGACCAGCTCGAACCCCAGGGCGATCAGCACGTTTCTTGCCGCGAATGCAGACTCACTGTTCACCGCAGCTGCTACGGCATAATGAACAACAGGGTTCAAGGCAAGTGGCTGTGTGACATGTGCGCCAATGACAAGAATCCTCAAGTTTCAGTCGACTACCGATGCATTTTGTGCCCTGTTGAACATACCGAACAGGACTTTATCGACCAGCCCAAGCTTACACACCACAAGAAGAAAATGTCGGACAAGGACCGTGAACGCGAAAAGGTTGAAGTACAGCAAGCACGACGAGCTGCCGAATTGTACCGTAAGCGCCAGGAAGAGCTCAACAGACCAGTCAACCCAAGAGAGCCTCTTAAACGCACTGCAGACAACAATTGGGTCCATGTTACCTGCGCGGTCTGGATGCCTGAAGTCAAGTTTGGCAGCTCAAAGGCGCTACAACCAGCGGAAGGCATCTCCTCTATTCCTCGATCTAGGTACGAAGAAACCTGCAAGGCTTGCAACCAGGTCAATGGAGCGTGCATTTCTTGCCACCACTGTCGGGCAAGTTATCACGTTGAGTGCGCAAAACAGCAGGGTCACCTCCTCGGCTTCGACATTACACCTATCAAAAGCTCTCGCCGGGACCAGTTTAGCATTGTTGCCATCAACGGCGAAAGTGGTACAATGGCGGCTACGCTCTGGTGCAAAGATCATGTGCCAGCGAAAACGATTGCCCATCCCATCCACGAGGTTGTTGATGAAACCGGTCTCACGGCGTTGCAGTTGTTTGTCCGAAACTACAAGCAGGCTGATATCTTGCTAACCGGCGGCGTGCGCAGGGCACACCTGATGTCCAGCTTTGCCAAGGTTGCTCCAATCAGCTCCTCTGTGGGCAGCAGGCGTACATCGGGAACCACTGGTGCGAATGGAACCTGGGCAAATGGAACAAATGGTGATGCCCATGATGGCAAGACAGAACAAGCTAGTTCCAAAGTTTGCATCAGCTGTGGTGTGGACGTCACACCAAAGTGGTGGCCTATTGAGAACAACGGAACCGCCAATGGCCATCAAGAGGCGATTGGATCGGAGGCGCAGAAGTTTGTGGAACAGCGTATGCACCAGTGCCATAAATGCAAGAAGATGGCACGCACTCCACGACCACCTCAACCTCCGCCAGCACCAGCGGCCCCTCCAGCCCAAGAGATGATGGATGCTCCTCGAGTCTATCCGAAGGATACATCACCACACTCAACCCATTTGCCAATGCTGCGTAGCCCACCGACACAAACCGACTATCGTGAATCTTCCAACCCGCGATCGGCATGGCCAAGGACTTCGCCTTCTCCTTCTGACTGGCCCAAGCACCACGTGAATCCACCACCTGTCGCACCTCCTCTGGGCGGGCGTTATGCTGCACCACCTCCTCAGGCATACCCTCCTGCGCCGCCACCCAGAGCTAGTCCTTATAATGATTGGAACCAACGACCAACTAGCCAGCATGGCTCACCCCCTCGTCGATATGAGATGAGTGCTTGGCCGCCCGGCCCGCCTGCTGCACCACCACCACCACCAATGTCTACATATGGTATGCTGCGTATGCCTCCCAACCCGCCTCCTTCGCAAGGCCCACCACCACCTATGCATAGCAACGGCCTGCCTCCATCCCCAAGACGATTGGGAGGACCAGCACCGCCGTCGCCGTACACGTCGCCATATCACGACTCACACAACCACCGACAGCCATTGTCTGGCCCAGTCAAGCCAGGGCTACCACCTGCGCGAGACTCGTTTACACATGGTTTGCATCCTCGGGGAGCGCCCCCATATGTGACGGGAGCACATGGCAGTCCACCACCAGTGCATAACGGACTTCACCCGGCGCGCGAGCCGCTGCCACTACCACGGGCACCCGAAACCAGACCTCCAAGCGGAGCGAGTGCGAGCCCATCGCTTCGCAACTTACTCTCTTGAGAGGCTGGACCCGATGATACAGACTTGTTCCTTTTCAAGGTTTCTGTTTCCTATTTTATTAACATGGCTATGAAATATAGTCGTTCCCTTTCTAGCGACGACTTGTACTTTTATACACAGAGCCTTGAAAGAGTTTTGGTGTTCGGGGACGAGAGTTAATTTTTCTGATCTTGGGGTTATCTCCCCGTTTCTTTTTATGTTTGTTTATGGATGGAGTTTAGGACGACGAGACAAGTTTCATATACACCACGGGCTTTGCTGTTTTATTTACTGCGACTTTTGTTTCTTTTATGTTTTTTTTGGATGGCTGAGAGAGAGAGAGCGGCTGTTTAGGTGTCGCCCAAGAGGGTTGATTTTGGATGGCAAAAGGGGCACTTGGCGCAGGGAGTTTTAGAGCCCATTAGAGATCGGTATACTTGTTGTTTCTGTAACACTAGGCAAACTAGCTATTTTTTATTCAATTTTTTTCCTTGGAAATATTCCGCCTCTATTGTCTGTTAGTTGATCTGTAACTATGCTAAACAAAGGTACACTGTACCTATGGCTCCGCTTTGGGAGAGGCTGAGCCTGGTTGTACCCTCAGCCTCCTTTCCCCCCCAGTTTTGCGCAAACAGCTGTCACCGTCCAAGCGTCACTGTGGCCAACGCTTCTTCTCTTTGTCATCTTTTGCATTTCGCCCAGCGCATCCAACCCATCAACAAAACGTTGCGATTGCACGACCTGCACGACCTGCACCGACCCATCCGCTTCACCTTTCCAATTGTTGCGGATCTGCACCTCTCCCGAGTGCCTGCTAGCTCGGCCGCGCGTCTAGCAACTTAGCTACAACCACCGCCGTAGTCCCCAATTCCCCTGCATCGGCAAAATATCTACACAGAGCATTCGCTCCATCAAAATGGCGCAGATACTTCTAGACCTCGTCTACTCCTTTGGCAATTGCCTCAATTGCTTCCCCGGCTCGCCGACGCTCAAAGTCAACAGCCGAAGCTTCAAGATTCAGCGCCTGCTCGGCGAGGTAAGCAGGCCCGCATTCTCTTTCTATCGACTTGCCGTGATGTTATATACTAATTGGTACTCCAGGGCGGCTTCTCCTACGTCTACCTTGTTGAAGACACATCGACGAGCGAGCTCTTCGCCCTCAAGAAGATCCGATGCCCCTTTGGCGCCGAGTCCGTCCAGCAGGCCATGCGCGAAGTTGACGCCTACCGCCTCTTCTCGCACGTCCCCAACATCATTGCCGCCTTTGACCATGCCGTTGCCACCGAACGCGGAGCCGACGAAGCCACAAAGACGGTCTACATCCTGCTGCCGTATTACCGCCGCGGCAACCTCCAGGACATGATCAACGCCAACCTCGTCAACCACGCGCAGTTCCCCGAGAAGCGCCTCATGATGCTCTTCCTCGGTGTCTGCAAGGCCCTCCGATCCATGCACAACTATAGCGCCCCGCCGGCTGAGAGGATGCAGATGGGCCGCGAGGACGACAATGATGGCCCGATACGAGGCGGAACCCGCGGCAAGCGCACCGAGCACGAGGAAGAAGGAGAGCAAGAGAGACCGCTCATGGAGTCTGAGAATCAAGTTGCCCAGGGCGGCAGAGTACAGTCTTATGTCCACCGCGATATCAAGCCAGGTAAGAAACTCAATTCCCGGCGATAGCTCTGTCTGGTGTAAGAGTAGCAAGCTAACATCTGGTAGGCAACATCATGATTGACGACACCGGCTCCAACCCCATCCTCATGGATCTCGGTAGTGTCGCCCCATCGCCCATCCCAGTTACATCACAAACGATTGCGCTTCAGATCCAAGACACCGCAGCCGAACACTCCACCATGCCCTACCGTGCCCCCGAGCTCTTTGACGTGCAGACCGGCACCGTTGTCGATACCAAGACGGATATCTGGTCCATGGGATGTACGCTGTTCGCCTGTCTTGTCGGCAAGTCTCCCTTTGAGATGCGTTCTGACGAGACTGGTGGCACTCTTAGCATGTGTGTCCAGGGTGGCGACTGGCGCTTCCCTGATGAAACACCTGCTGGAGCCAAGCGTGTCAACAGCATCCAAGTCGCAAAAGCCAAGGCTGCTGCTGGAGGTGCTGCTGGCCCTAGTGCTTCTGGTGGCAGTGATGAAGTTACCATTAGCGAGCCTATCCGTAAGGTCGTCCGCCAGTGCCTCAAGGTAGAGCCTGCCGAACGTCCCGATATTGACGAGCTAATTGCCATGGTTGAAGGTGTCATTGAAGAACTGCCAGAGACTGGAGAATAGTCTGGTTACGTTTTGTATCTTGTGGCTACCAATCTTCTCCATCCTTTGTTGACGACATTTGTTTCACTTTCATGGTTACAGGAGTTTAGGGGTTTTCTCTTTGTATTTTTCACGAAGCATAGACGTTTATAGGGACATAAAAATGAAATGTTTATACAACACGGCTATAGTAACATAGCATCACTCTGCTCTCAATTGCAAATACTTTCACTCCATTTCCTCAGGTGGGCAAGTACAATCTACTTCATTATCACCCTACAGGTGAAGCTTGAACGTGGCCACCTCAAAGGGACGGAGCTCAATGTTGAACTGACCGCCGCTAACAGCAATCTCGTCCAAGTCGTCTTCCAAAATGTTGGACTTGGTAACCTTCTTGATATCAAAAGCGGTCTTGATAGTGCCTCGGCTGTGGCCTCCAAGCGACTCGTATACGCGAATGATGATGGATTTTCCAGGGTTGACAGCGAGGCCGTCGCGGCGGCTGACATCCTCATCGTCATGACCACGCTTGATAGTATCCAAAATCAAAGATGCTGAATCGTCGGTGTTAACAAGCTTGATAGGAGTTTCGCAAATGGACGCAATGGTAGCCTTGGGAGCAGTCAACACCTTCAATGGGCTGTTGAAAGCATAGGCAGCCCGGACAGTACTGGCAGACAAGGCGCCCTTGTGAGGAAGAATGCCCCAGCGGATAGTGTGGCGACCCATGTCAGCATGCTCATCAGGAGACTTGGGAGCACGGAGGAGGGACAGACGCATTGTCTTGCCAGCAGTCGCAAAGCCGTACTTGCTATCGTTGAGAATAGAAACACCATAGTTGTGCTCAGACAAGTCAGCAAATTTGTGGCAGCAGACTTCAAACTTGGCCATGTCCCAGCTGGTGTTGTAGTGAGTAGGACGTTTGGTGATGCTGTAGGCAGTCTCGTATGAGGCCTCGTTGCTAACGACATTGACAGGGAATTCGACCTTGAGGAACTTGGAATCTTCGTGCCAGTCAACCTCGGCAGAGCATTCAATCCACGAGTTCTGGCCCTTGAGCGCAGCGGAGACAGTAATGTACGACTTCATGGAGCTGTTCTCACTGATCTTGATGTCGGTAACCAACGTTACGCGGTGAGGCTTCTGCTCATGGACGCTAGTGGAACCATACTTAAGATCCCTCTTGGTTTCGAGGTGGTAGACTTCGACATCCCAAGCCTCCCAGTAGAGAGGAATATCGTCGAACATAACGAATTTGTTAGCCTTGCCACCCTTTTCAATAACCTCGCGGTTGTTGATCTGGTCAAAGATCGATACGATGCAGCCGTCCTCAACAACAACTTGGTAATGCTCATTCTCAATGATGAATTGACCGTCGCGTTCCTCCAAGGTGACTGCCGGAGTAGCATCTTCAGTCTTGAACGTGCGAACCGAGAGGAACTGGCCATCACCACAAGCAACGCCGGCTTGACCACCAGCGATTTCGACAAGCTCTTTGCGGTGCCAGGGGAGCGTGTTGACAGCAACAGACTCGGAGAGCTGCGAAGGGCGAATGTCAGAAGCGTGAGAGAGCTCGTAGAGCTCCTTCAGAAGTCTATGACCAGTCTTGAAAGCCTCGGCATATAGCTTATCAGAGTCATCGTAGCACATCTCAATGGAGCTTCCAGGCAAGCAGTCATGGAACTGGCACAGGAGGACAGTTTCCCACATGTTATCAATATCCTCGGTAGGATACTTGTAGTTTTTGTGCTTGATAGAAGCAAAAGTAGCCAACTGTTCAATATCACGGAGCATAAACTCAGCCTTGCGGTTGTAGTACTTGTTATTGGCTTGGGTGGTGTATGTGCCGCGGTGAAGCTCAAAGTAGAGCTCACCGTACCACGTAGGGAAATCATTTGCCTTGGGAGCCAGGCGATCAAAGAAGTCATCGACAGTAAGACCAAGCTTGAGCTTGGGGATACCACCAATGGTGTTGCTGATGCCAGCACATCTTCTCAGCTTTTCAAAGTGTTCCCAAGTGGGACCACCACCACCATCACCTTTGCCAAACACAAGGAGCGAACTGCTGTCAGTGCGAAGAGTCTTGTGCTGGGAGATGCTGCGTCGGAGATCACCAAAATTGGCTTCGGCGGTGTAGGTCTCTGATGGAGGCATGTGGCAGATTACTTGACTACCATCTGGACTCACCCACATAAATGTTGTGTGGGGAAAGTTGTTGATGTTGTTCCAGCTGAGTTTCTGCGTCATGAAACGATCCATGCCTGCCAAGCGACAGAGCTGAGGCAGCTGGCTAGAGTAACCGAATGTATCAGGCAGCCAGAAGGTTCGGCAACGGAAGCCAAACTCGGTTTCAAAGAATCGTTGACCGTAAAAGAATTGACGAACCAAGGATTCACCACTAGGCATGTTTGTGTCGTGCTCGACCCAGCTACCACCGATAGGGTGGAACTGGCCTTCACGAACCTTGCCCTTGACACGTTCATATGCCTTGGGGTAGAGTGTCTTGAGCCACTTGAATTGCTGAGCTTGGGAACAAGCAAAGTGAGCCTCAGGGTAGCGATCCATTAGATCACACTGGCTGGACCACGAACGTGCAACCTTGCGTTTGGTTTCATCAAATGGCCAGAGCCAGCAGCTATCAATGTGGCAGTGCCCAATACCAAAAACGATGGGATCACTGCCTACTTCGTAGACACGGTGAGAGTCGACATCCGGACCAACGATTTCCTGAGCAATTTCACGGCACTTGAGAATGGATTCCTGGTTATCGACCTTGAAGTTGTCAATGATTCGCATAGCAACAGCAAGAGCCTTGTTTTGTTCGGCAGAATCCTCTGGAAGCTCACGAGCAGCATCTCCAATCTCCCAGATATCAAAAAGAAGCCCGCGAGCCTGTACATTGACGGCGGCGATAGAGGCGCGGCTCAGACTAAAGTATCGGTTGGGGTCAGGGGGGTGGTTTGCGTTGGTGCCATCGGGAGCATTGCCAAACATGCCGTTGCAGGCCATTTCGACGTAGATCATGTGCTGTTTGCCATCACGCATGGTCTTTGGGATAATCCACTCGATGCGCTCGCCGCCACCTGTCAAACCCTGGAGAGGCATACCGTCCTCAGCCCACACGAGGCCCTCGTTGTTCGCATCCCACTCGAGGATAACAAGCTCCTCGTCAGCAAGCTCCTTGGGTACAGTCAACAGGACACGGAACCAGTGAGTGGACCAGGAAGGACCGAAAGAAGCGCCAAGGTGGGTTTCCTTGAAAGAATGTGAGGTGGCTTCCTCAAAGCTGGGTCGGTCCTGTCCAGGAGCGCTCCAAACTGAGAGCTTAATATGAGGCTCACCGGAGACGCGGCCATTGTACATGTTGCTGTAGCCTGTGTTAGTCGAAGAAGCAGCCTAAGGCATGTTGCAATGGGAACAAACTACTTACGCCAATAAATTGACCTTATCATATTGTCCAGACTTATAAAAAGGTTCGATTCTACCCTTGAGGATGCTTGTCTTAGCAACACCCACAGGTCTGTCGGCGAAGACTGGGTAGGAGCCAAAGGAGGCTCTGCCCTTGCCTTGGCATCCACCACCCATACTGTCTGGGTCGTAGCTTGTAGCGGGAGGAGCTGATTTGTTGGAGTGATGTCGGCTAATGCCAGTCAATGGGTGCAATAGACCGGGCGACGGAGTGTGTCGGACACAAGCGGAGGGCACCGCGGGTGGCTGATCGTTGACGAAGCTGTGGGGGCAGACCTGTGGTCAGCTAGAGTTGCAACAAAGCTTGATTGCGACAAGCTTTTAGATGTAGCGGGCAACGTGAAGTATGCGGATGCTTGAATGTCGCACTCTTAAATAGAGGGGGGCAAACAAGGCAATGCTTAATGAAAAGCTGACAGGAAGGATGAGGAGGGGAAGAAGAAGAAAAAGAAGAAGAGGAAGAAGAGGAGAAGGCAAAATGTGGATGGTGGCTTTTGTGTGGGGGAACCTTTAGCGTAGCTTCAGCCAAATGCGGAGGAAGCTGGGGACCTACTGCAGCACTTGCTGGTGGTTGGTTGCAGCGGGGGGCTGGCTTCGGGGGACCACAGCCGAAGCTACGCTGCGGCTTTAAGGTCACGTTGCGGCGGTGGGGAAGGCCTTTGCGTCGGTACAAGCCAGAAGCTCCGTTAAAAATATAAGCGAAGCAAGTGAAGGATAGTTTGAGTCTGAGTGGGGGTTGTAGACGGACTATCGGTAATAGGCAGGTCGAAGTTCGCATTGTGTACATGTAAGGGCCGGCCCTCGGCTAGGAATAACTGTTCAAGAAGGACATAAAGAAATGTGTCATACCTGAGCATGGTGCTGTGACTAACTGGTTGTGTTGTCCTCTTTGTTTGTTCACTCGGTGTGTGTCTAGTTACGGATGAATCTCTGTTGCTTCGCGTATAGGTGTATGCACGGATGAAATGCTGAAAAAGTATACCGTCGTTCGTATTGCTGATTGGTTCGTACTTTGAAGGCACTGAGGCAGAAGAAGATAGCTCTGGAGGATGAAGTAGGGTGATGCTGGTGAACAAACTTTGATATAGGTTCTTGATGGACAATTAAACGAGGCGAGCCGAGATAATGTTCGAGGTCATGAACTATTGTGTCGACACGCCCAGCAGACACAGGCAGTAGAGCAGCGGCAATGAAGTTTGTAGACGGTGGCTAGATATGCTTCAGAAGTACAAAGTGTTTAACTGTTGTTAATTGAAAAATCACAAATTCATCTGGAGGAAAGATCCCACCAAGGCCAGCGTGGATAGCTCTACACTGTTGTGGCCAGAAGCGGGATACTATAGCAACAAAGCGTGGCGGCAGGAGCCAAGTTTAAGGCCAATCCGGTGCAATTATTCTGTTGTATCCTGTTTTCGAGAAAACACTATACGATAAGTAGTTAAATATATCACAGAACTCGAGATGATTTAAAATGAAATGTACAGTTTTTATGTTGGCAGCTGTCAACACTGTCAGGCTGCGTGGCCGCCGCTGCTTGCCATCTGGCACTGTCGCTTAGTGTGTGCTTGTCCCGCGCCGGCTAAACCAAGTTGCCCCTGACATCTACGCGACGAGCAAGCGCCCTTCAGCGGCCTCCAAATGCCATTGAACAGCATCACTCTAGGCTCAAATTGCTCTCTTCATTGATTCGGTTAAAGTTACCATTGACGCCTGATGCAGTCCATCCTCTGCACTCATGATATCGTCTCGCGTCGCTCATGGGCTAGGGCGACGCTGCCCAAGAAGAGCATGCAATGTCGTCTTCCGACAAGTTATCACTGCCTATTATGAAGAACGAAATGGCACATTGTTATACAGTGCCGCCATGGCACAACGGCGAGGCAAAAAGACGAAGACTAATATAGACCTAGCGGATTTGCCTCAAGGGCCACTTAAAGGCGAACCTGCTCTCCCCGCTGAGGAGGACGAAGTAGGCCCGGCATATCCGACCGTTGTTCTTCAAGCAAAGAAGAATATGGCCAAATTTGACAATTGTGTTTTAATTACCCGTGTAGGGGGCTTTTATGAGCTCTATTTTGAACACGCTTCTGAATATGGGCCGTTACTGAATCTCAAAGTAGCCTCTAAGAAGACCAGCGCTGGCCCAGTCCCAATGGTATGTTTTTACCTGCTTGCTAGGTCTTAAGGGCCAATATGAACTAACTTGTAACTAGGCCGGATTCCCGTTCTTTCAGTTGGATCGATTTCTGAAGATATTGGTCCAAGACCTCAATCGTTATGTCGCCATTGCAGAAGAATTTCCCAACTCACCAGCGGATAAGATTCGCTCTGGAGGGTTGATGCATGACCGTAGAGTTGCCCGAATCATTACACCTGGTACATTGATCGATGAAAACTTTATTGATCCCTATGCCAATAACTATGTCTTGGCCATCCACGTCCAGCCGCGAGATGCCTCTACGACAGCGATGGAAGGCATCAAAGAGACAGAGACAGCTGAAACGCTCGGCCTAGCTTGGCTGGATCTTTCTACAGGCAATTTCTTAACACAAGCTACCGATGTAGGATCGCTCTCTTCGATAATATCTCGGATTAGCCCGCGAGAGATAGTGCTCGACGAAGACTTTGAAACACAAAAGGACCACGATCTGTTTGCCATCTTAGCCGAAGATAAGCATCTTGTTACATATGCACAACCTGGACCAATATCTAGTATGGCTGACTGGACAGCAATGTTGGAATCTGAGATATCCAAAAGCGTCACGGATACCTTCACCCCGAACGAGGTCCTAGCCGGTTCACTACTTTTAAACTACGTTTCCGATCGACTGCAAGGCTTGAGTATGAAGCTGCAGCCTCCACTCCGACATGAAACAATGGAAATTATGAGCATAGACAAAAACAGTCTACGGGCTCTAGAGATTAAGCAAACAATGCGTGATGGGTATTTCAAAGGAAGTCTACTTCACGCCATCCGCCGGACTGTTACGAAGAGCGGTGCAAGGCTCCTTAATGAGTGGCTGAGTGCACCCTCAACCTCCATTGATGTCATTACAAAACGACAAGACATCGTAGCACACTTTATTGAACAGGAGGATCTGAGAGATGCTGTGGTAACACTACTGCGTAGATGCCATGATTCCCAGCGACTGGTGCAGAAATTTGCCATGGGGCGAGGAGATGCCGATGATCTGCTAGGATTAGCCAGTACAGTCACGGCAACTGAAGACATAGTGAAGCTTCTGAGCAAGAGTTCAGATGTCAGCACAGACAAAGAGTCAAATTTCCTGGACACCTTGTTGTCTCGCATTGAGCTCTTAGAGCCACTTCGGCTTGCAAAGAGAATTCGGGACGCCATTGATGAAGATGGTCTCACACAACAGCATGAGAATGAGGATACCGAAGCGTCTCAAATGTTGGAGCTGGCACAAACCGTAGTCTCTTCCGAAGGAAACGAAGGAGATTCCTCAGCATTACCAAAAGGAAAGAAGAAGAGACCAGCAAGTATCAAGGAACACTATGCGGAGGACAATGAGGCTTGGATTATGAAGCCAGGTGCCAGCCCAACACTCCGAAAACTCCACTCCAAGCTTGACGAATTGGTCACTGAGAAGGAGATCCTGAACGAGACCCTGAAGAGCCAATTAGGAGCGTCTAGTCTTACTCTCAAATGGACACCGGGTCTTGGCCACATCGCCCACATCAAAGGCAAGGACGTTAAAAACCTGACCGAGATCAGAGCCTTGTCTGCAAGTCGTTCTACTCGCTCATTCCATCTACCAGAGTGGACAACACTTGGCCAACGGTTGGATCAGGCCAGATTTCACATCCGTCGTGAAGAACAGCGCGTATTCCAAGCACTGCGAGAGCATGTAGTCCACAACCTGGTTAAGCTGCGACGGAACGCAGTCGTATTGGATGAAATTGACGTTGCAATCTCTTTTGCGAGCCTGGCCACGCAACAGCAATTAGTCCGACCACTTCTGAACGACTCTACAGCACACACAATTCTGGGCGGTAGACATCCCACGGTTGAAGGCGGATTGGTAGATCAAGGCCGAAGCTTTGTTCGAAACGACTGCCTCGTCGGTAACAAAGACGCCGGACTGCTATGGCTCATCACTGGACCAAACATGGCAGGAAAGAGTACATTCTTGCGTCAAAATGCCCTGATTACTATTCTTGCTCAAATTGGCTGCTATGTACCGGCAACGTATGCGGAGATGGGCATTGTCGATGCTATATACAGCCGTGTGGGATCTGCAGACAACTTATACCGTGACCAGAGCACATTTATGGTGGAAATGTTGGAGACTGCACATATTCTCCGGCAGGCGACAGCCAAGTCATTCGTGGTAATGGATGAAATTGGCAGGGGAACTACCCCAGAAGACGGCACTGCCGTCTCCTTCGCCTGCTTGCAACATCTCGTAACAGTGAACAAGTGCCGAACGCTATTTGCAACGCACTTCCACAATGTTGCCGAGCTTGCGGCGAAGGAAGGATTATGTGACGGCGACACTGCAGACGTACAGATGTATTGCACAGATGTCGAAGAGGACCAGGAAGGCGGTTTTGCCTATGTACACAAATTACAAAAGGGGATTAATAGGAAAAGCCACGCCCTTAAAGTCGCTAAGCTTGCAGGACTACCAGAGAGAGTATTGCGGACGGCACAGAGGGTGTTGGGTGATACCCAGATTTAGAATACTACGAGGAATTAGATATATGGATGAATTGGCATTTGGTGTATGAATAGCCTGAAACACTTGGTTAGCCTCGAGTCCATTGTATAAAAGAATTCAAAGTCCCATTGAGCAAAACGAATAACAGTGTTTTAATGTCGGTCATAGGGTGGTGTGTGTAAATTGTCTTCAGGAGAAATCAGGGTTAAAAAGCTCTTGATTACATGTTTCATAATCTTCCCGACAGCACAGTATTCGATTTTGCAAGCCATGGATAGTGGAACAGAAAGGAAAATCTGGAACGAACCTTTTGATGTTGGGAAGGCGAATCTCTCTTCCTGTAGCATTCACAGTTAGGTTGACACACATTTGGCGACTCAATATGGAAAACAACGTGAGACTGAAGGTGTAGATCTGGGCTGCTTTTTTTTTTTGAGTCGAACTCGCAATTGTTGATTGAATTTTTTTCGTGTTCTCATGAACTCGTTCACTAGCAGGCCTTTTGTAGCCGCTAGTGATTCTATGTAACAGAAGATCTAGATCTTCTAGTCGCACTCTCAACCAATGTCCTGTAAGTCCATTAGACGTCCTCGCGTGGGAGAGACTTCGTTTAGTCGCTGGATACAATGTTAGCAAGTCTGGAAGCGTTGAAAAATAGGAACAGAGAACATACAAGAGACCACCGAAGCCACCCTCATCGGACTCCTCCTCCTCCTCTTCCTTAGCGTCGTCAGCGGCGGCGGCGCCAGAGGTCTCGGCAGCGGCAGCAGCAACGGGAGCGGCAGAAGCGTAAGCATCAGGGTTGGCAATGCGGTCCTTGAGCTCCTCAATCTCGGGCCAGCTGATCTCAGTCTCGACAGCGACGGCAAGGAGGTTCTTGTAACCGTTGACGAGGGAGTGCATGATGGAGGGAAGAGTGGGGTAGTTGACGGCCAGGGAGATGGCAGTGATGGTGGCGATAGCAGAGCCGAAGGTCTTGAGGAGCTGCTCCTCACCAACATCGAGAACCTTGGCCTCGAAGGTCTGACCCGCGTCGTAGACCTGGGAGATACCCATACCGTAGGTGAAGGGAGAGATGTTCAACAAGTTGAGAAGGGTGGCCTCGGAAGGACCAACCTTGTTGCCGGCCTCAATGAGCTTAAGATCGGTGGTAATTTCAATGGTACCACGGGCAATCTTGGTAGGGACACCGAGGGCCTGGAAGAAAGAGGTCTTACCGGGCTCCATGCCGGTGTTTCCAGCGGGAACCCAGACATCGACGGGAGCGACGGCACCGGCACGAGCGGGAGCAGCGACACGGTTGGCGAGGATGAGATCACGGATCTCCTTGAGGTCCTCGTTGGTGAAGACGAAGCCGACGTTGCCCTTGACGAAGGGGAGAAGGCGTTCGTACTCGGGGGTGTCAAGAATGAAGCCACGGAGAGCACGGCGAACCATGGTGTTCTTGCCCATCAACACGACACCCTTGCCACGGAGAGAGTGACGGATCTCGTGCATCTGCTGAGAGCTGACATTGTCAATCTCAACGATGAAGATGGACTTGTACTCCTCCAACAAGCCCTTGAGCTTGTCGAAGTATCCGGCCTTGTTGCTAGTTTTGCCCCCCATTTCTTCTTATTTTCGTTCGAAGGAAGGTTGTTTAAGGGCAAGACGATTCTTGCGAAGTAAATTTGGTGATTGGGGTTGAAAGTGGTTGTTGCAGGAAGCGAGTTCCAGAGCACAGTGGGCTAAGCCTTTGGGAAATTTCGACCGAATTTTTTCTCGCTTGCCTGCAATTGCGCTGCTTTGTGTGGTCGCCCAGCATAGAAAATGTAGGGCTTGTGTGGGCCGATTCCCAATCCGGACTAGCGTAGCTGGTCGACGACCGGTACGTACCTTTGGCGTTGTGACGGCTTCTGATTGGTCCGGTTTTTTTCTGCGACAAAACTGCAAGCAAGCTTTCAGACATACTCGCCAGACGGCTTCCCTCCAGTTTGATATATGCCTGTAGTGTAAACTGGGAATAAATTCACAAGCTGCCAATTGGATACAGGACAAACGGCACATCGATATTAGTACCCTCGCCATGAATATCCCTTACAATTGCCTCCACGCCAGAGGCGGCATTCTGTTCGCATCTCGCGGCGGCCGCCTTCACTCATTCAAGCTCTCAGACATGTCCTTTATCTCAACATGGATACATCCTGCTGTGGAGTCCATCGCCGAAAGTGCTCAAGAAGCTCAAAAGTTGGCTGAGCAATCAGAACAAGTTTCACAGACTGCTACTGATGCTACTGCTGTTGCCGTTGAAGAGGTGCCTGCTCAGGAAGATGGCGATGAACCACCAGCTAAGCGTGCCAAGGTTGAACCCGAAGCTGCAGACAAGTCAGATGCAAAGCAAGAGGACAAGCAAAAGGGTAAAAAGAAGAAGGGCGGCAAAGACGGACAAAAAGACAACATGCGATTGGCCCATGTCCCAGACCGGCCCATCATCATTCAGCTTACAAGCACCGACGACGGCAAGCATGTCGTCGCTGTTACTGGTCACGACAAGGCCGTCTGGGTGTTTGAGCACGACGGAAACGGTAACCTGAAAGAACTCAGCAAACGGTGAGTATATTTATGAAGCAATTCCGAGTTACATGGCGCATACTAACACTACGACAGAGTAATGCCCAAGCGCCCCAGCTCCATTGTCGTCACACCAGAGGCAAACATCCTCTCCGCCGACAAGTTTGGCGACGTCTATCAACTACCTCTTATCCCCTCTGCCGACTTCACTCCCAAGCCCTCCACCCTCGCAGCCCTCTCCAAACAGCCCTTCACGAAGCCCGCCGCCACACCACTGACCGTGCACTCCAAGGGTAATCTGCAGGCTCTTGCAAACCAGCAGCGCCAGATTGAGCTCGAAGGCAGCGGAAAAGAGATTTCTGTCCGCGCTGAGGAGCCCAACTTCGAGCTTCTGCTACTTCTGGGACATGTGTCTATGCTGACATCTCTCTGCATTGGCCAAGTAGATGGCCGCAAGTACATCCTCACAAGCGATCGCGATGAACACATTCGCGTATCAAGATTCACGCCACAGGCCCATATTATCCAGTCCTTCTGTCTAGGACACAAGCATTTCATTAACGACATGACTATTCCTGAATTGCGCCCGGAGATCCTCGTCTCTGGCGGCGGTGATGACGACCTGTTTGTTTGGGACTGGGTCAACGGTAAACTCCTTTCTACGGTTAGCATGTTGGACGTGGTAAAGACTATTGCCCCCGATGCTGCGGCCGTTGCCGTTTCCAATCTATGCTCTCTCACCTGCCCTGACGAGTCTGGACCACTACCATACGTCCTTGCCATTTGCGAAGGGTGAGTACTCGCAGTTCGATAGCTGTCGATGAAATGCGTACTAACTACATTATAGAAGCAGCGGCATCTTCACATGGAAGGTGACTGAAGACGGTAGCCTCAAGTGCCCTGGCATCATCCAGCTGCCTGGCAAACCGCTAGACCTCATTGTTGTTCCCGGTGACAAGCCCACGATTGCTGTGGCTCTGCATACACCAGAGGCCTCGGAAGCTAAGAGCGTGCACATCTTTGAGCTGGGAATTAACGACGATCGTCTCTGTGTTAACACTGACTCTGTTTTACAAGACAATGAGCTGGACCAACCCGGCCTCGAAGCCACAGATGCCGAAATCAAGGGCTTGTTCTACACCATTGAACAGCTGCGTAAGCAGAGCGGTGGTAACGAAGAAGAGGGAGGTCAGGATGACAACTAAAAGGAGCCCAAGGGTACGGAATTTAATACCAATAGTATATCACTTGAAACTTATTTGCAATAAAAGTAGCGTGTATCATGAAACAGAAATGCATTTCTCTAGAGTAGAACAAAAGAAAACAAAATAGCCTTATTAAGAAAAAACACATCATGATCGTTGTCTATCCACAACCGCCTTTCGCTCACAATCCTCGAATGCCCTCTAAACGCCCCATGCAATGCCGTCCCCTAATTCTTGCAATGCCCCATCAAAAGATGGAACAGTAATCTCATCTGCAGTGCACGAGTACTTTTCAACGGCAAATCAACACCCATTGCGCATCCAACGCCTTGATTTCTGGAACAAAAGTGTAAACCACCTATTGTAGAGGCAAGCCCAGTAGGCGTAAGCAGCTCCAAATAAGAGTCCTTTGCCCTGATACCATGGCGTAGATCCGTTTGAATGATTGCTACGGCAGATCCTTTTCCGTATGGCGTTATTTCGTTTGCTCGTCCGTTTTTTAAAATTCGTAGCTAATGTTTGGTATCTTGTCGTATTTTACTGCGAAGCGCACTGAACGCGCTCGCCTCCAGGGTGACCATCCTCATCATCCTCGTCCATCATTCCGCCATGGCCGAAGGCGCGGTTCTGAGAAGAGGCATCCATGTCCTCAAGATCGGCAGGCTCAGTCATAGCTTCCGTGGGAGGGACGTTCTGGAGTTGAGGAGAGGGAAGGAATTTGCGCAGAGCCTCGAAAGCCTCGGCGTTATCCGTCCAGTTCTTCTCGGGGAATGTGACGTTGAACTGAATGAACATGTTGCCAAACTCGTGGTGTCGTGGGGAAGGCATACCCTGGCCGCGGATCATCTTGATGGTTTCTGTCAAAGAGTTAGCTAAAGGGGTTGTTGCCAAGTTGTATATAGGAGAGTGCTGCTGCTTACCAGGAGCGATAGCCTCGCCAGGGAGGATCTCAACACTGAGCCAGCGGTCGTCAAGGTGCTCAATGTAAATGGTGCCACCGGCAAGGGCAGTAACCAAATCAATATCGCACTTGTAGAGGAGGTCGTCGTCACGGCGGGTGAAGCGAGCGTGGGGCTTCTGCTCAATCTCGAAAACGACGTCACCAGCCTGAACGTTAGGAGACTGGTCACCTTCGCCGCGGAATTCGACCTTGGTACCACTGCGAACACCACGGTCGACATGGACGTGGAGAACCTTGCGATCGACAATAGTCTTCTTACCATTGCAGCCCTTGCAACGGTCCTTCTCCTTGATGAGCTCACCTTCACCGTTACAGTCGGGGCAGACGGTCTGGAAACGCTGAATCATGGGGCCCATCTGGCGCATCATGGTCTTCATACCCATACCATCACAGCCAACACACTTCTTGACAGCACCTTCCTTGCCACCGAGACCGGTACACTTGGGGCAGATGACGGAGCGCTGGAGAGCAAGCTTGGAGATCTTGCCTCTGTAAACGTCCTCGAGAGAAACCTTGTGAGTGTGGTGAATGGTACGGGCCTTGGGAGGACCACGGCTCTGGCCACCGCCGCCGAACATGCCACCCATGCCGCCGAAGCCACCACCGCCGAAGAACTGAGCAAAGAGGTCTTCGGCAGCCATGCCACCACCGCCGCCGGCGCCGCCCTCGAGGCCGGCTTCACCGTATTGGTCGTAGATTTGTCGCTTCTGGGAGTCGGAGAGGATTTCGTAGGCGTGTGAGATTTCCTTGAACTTTTCCTCAGCTTCGGGGTTGCCAGTGTTCTTGTCTGCAGGGTTAAAAGTTAGTCGTAATGCTCTCACTAAGCGGCGAGGGCTGACATGTTGGACGAACCAGGATGGAATTTCAAAGCGCCCATCTTGTAGGCCTTCTTGAGTTCGGCCTCAGTGGCCGTAGGAGCGACCTAAACTTGTTAGCATTTGTGCGCAGGCCGAATAGGGCGGCTGCTGAGGGACACTTACTCCGAGAGTCTCATAGTACTTGGTTTCCTTGACCATGGTGACTGTGTTTGCGTCTATGCACGGGTCGGTCTAGTTGTATTGAGGAATTTGAGGGAGAAGAAGAAAGAGAGTGAAGAGCTGGAGAAGAGCTCTGTATTTGCGTGGAGAGACCGGAGTGAACTGTTGTTGAGGCAAAGATTAGTCAGGTTCGGGAAGGCAAAATGCAGCCGAGGCGAAATGGAACCGACGTCGAAGATTCTAGTATGGGAGGACGAGAGGAGGGCACTAGAACTACAAAAGATGGAAGGAGACGAAGCAAAAGCAACGATATCTAGTGTCGATGCAAAAGCAGCCAGAATGAGGATGAGTATGCAAAAGGGAAGAAAAGCAAGGAGCCGAGTCGGAGAGTGGCGGAGCGAAGGTGGTAGGCGCAATGACGGCGCAGGAAGGGCAAGTTTGCTTTCGGGGATAGCGTACCTGAAAGTTTCGTCACTGAGTCGCCAGGGCAAAGAAAAAGTTTGCACGAAGTTAACAACGTCTTTGTTAGTGTTGGGGGAGAGCTGTACGCCAGACGCTGGTGATGTTGGAACGACAGTAGGCAGAAAGGGTTAGCAAACAGCAGTAAGTAAAAGAAAGGCAGGAAGGAAGCGTTCTTTTTTTCTCCCACTGAGATTTTCAGCGGACAAAGAAAAAAAATAACCTGTGATGCCAGCGACAGCGGCCTGTAGGTGAGACCTGCGCCCGCTGGCGGCCACTGTAACAGCGCCGTAGCCTCTTTTGCGAGTGGGGTGGGTGGCCGACCCCACCGCGCAGGGGCGTCAGACAAGTTCCGATGCGCCTCATGGAATTTCATCGAAGACTGTCGACGCCTGTGACCGAAGGGGGGGGGGGGGGGGGGGGGCGAGGCTCGCTCTTAGGCAGCCTGGCAGCCTGGTGATGTACAACGCACTTGGAGTGGTGCTGTAGTATAACTACGAAAAATAAAACTTGGAAAAATTATGATTAATTTGTGACAGTAAATAAATACCCTTGTCACCGATCATATGGGCTGTGCTTGGGCACAAACACTGCCCCCGGCTATCAGCCTTGGGCAACGCCCATCACACTATCCATTCTGTAAATAACATCACATAGTTACAAGTAACTGAGAGCTTAATGTTAAACTTGCAAGAAATAGCAAACACGCATTTTGTCCTTCTAATTCATACATAAACATCACTTCTTTTCGTCTATCAATACCAAACGTCATTACATGAATACAAGAGTCATAAACGTCAAACACCGGCCAACACCGGCAACAGAACGAGGGTATAAGTAAACCAGTGACGAGAGCCTCTCCCAAATACAACCAAAAAGGCAAATAAAACACAAAAAAGGCGCAGGTCAGAGGGTTAAAAAAGAGCCCCTATATAGGGGTCTGCATGTACATTCCACCAAAAGAAAAGCCCCCAAACATAGCGTAGAACGCCTTCCAACTATACCTTCTAAAGGGCATCCTCAAAGGGGCAGTCAACGCTGTCGTGGCCATCTCTCTCGCAAATAGCACACCACTTCTCTGGGTCCATAACTCCACTCTCCTTGCCCGCAACTGGGCCCGACTCCATGGGGTTGGGCATGATCTTGACAGGCCCAGGTGACGGCGTGGTTGACTTGGCTCTAACAGAGGCCAACGGAGCCGGGAGGGCATCGTCACCAGGTTTGAATGGTGAGAGCTGTTGGTGAAGGCCAGGGCGCATCATGTCAGAGCTGATGCTGACGTTGTTAGAGTCCTTAGCATTGTCCGACGGGAACATGTTTGTGCAAGACAGGATATCATGGCCGCTGGTTTCGCAAATCTCACACCAGAGTGCGCTCATCTCAGTTGCCGCGTTGGAGTGCCCATCGTTCTCATGCATAGTGTCCATGACGTTGGGTCGCTTGTGCGCGCCATCAGGAGACCGTGAATCTAGGTTTCGAACAGGAATGACGGTGTCACGAGAATCTCGAAGCGATGAACGATGGTTCTTGGTGCCGTTCGTCTCTGGTCCGTGCTGGCTGCGACGAAGTGACTCCAGCTCCTGCTCCATTTCTTCTTCGTGAGTGTTCTTTTTATCCAATAGCGACTGTAGCTCCGCCACTTGGCGCTCAAGGTTGCTTCGAGCGATGGTATCCTCTGCGTTGCTGATTCTGGATCCAGTCAGCTGAGAGGATCGCGGATCATCACTGCCAGGAATAGAGTCGCGGCTCAACGAGTGGATGATAGCCTTGAGGCCACGAATTTCATCTTCCTTTTGCTCAAGCTCCTTGGAGGGTGTCATGTCGGTACTGGTATCGCCAATGCTCGACGAGCGTGTTCCCGTCTTGTCACGTTCTCGACGGAGCTCTGTGCGAGTGCGTTCTACTTCGCCGCGAAGGAACTCGGCCTCACCACGGGCCTCGGCTTCACCGCGACGAGCATCCTCAAGACCTTCCTCCAACTCCAGAACGAGCTCTTCAAGCTGCTTCAGTTGGCTGGCGACAGAGTCTACATCTAGATTGCGTGATTCCAGTTCGCGAATATCAGCGGAAAGCTCTTCAATGCGCTTCTCATATACACGTTCCGTTTCTGTGCTTGCTAATTCCAAGGTGTCAATCGTGCTGCGGAAGTCGGCACGGTGGGCGTCAAATTCCGAGATTAGCATTGCGATTTTGTCGTTTCTCTCACGCAATAGACCCCGCAATTGCGAAGAATCCTTGTCATCGAAACTATTTCTGTCGGGTTTTGGCCCGTCTGGGTTGCTTTCAATGATGGTTTGCAGCTCAACGAGACTGCTCTCCATTTCAGCAAGTGTGGACGACTGCTCTTTGAGCTGTCTATCACGATCCTCTAGCTGCGCTCGGAGTCGCTCAATCTCCTCATGGCTCGAGTTGGTTGTACGAGATGGCGGCCGCATCATGTTGTAATCAGACACGGAGCCAGTTAGTCCATTGCTCTTTGGTGGTTGAGAAGCTGGGCTGGAATCTTCGTCAAAGTCCATCACTGGGCCCATGGCGGACGTGCTCCGTTGACTCGACATGGACCTGAGGTCAATCTTTGATGGCTTCTTGTTGGGATCTCCCGACACACCCCGCATACTCTGGGCAAGGCGATTCGTAGGGCTGCCATATCGTGGGGCTTTCGTAGGTGATCCCGTTAAGGAGGGTCGCGGGGCAGGAGTCATCTGTGTTCTGCGCACTGGGGATTCAGGTCGAGGCAGCGACATTCTTGGGCGCTGCTTCTGCTGGGGGCTTGGTGCTCGTGCTCCTGGTCCAACCGAGACGCTGAACTTAGGCAACGCCGGCGTTGGCGGAGTGTAGCTCGAACTAGATGGGGCTCGGAGACCCGCGCTGGGTGTCATGGGATAGTTGCTTCTGGCGGAAGTGCGTCGTAAGACTTTGGAGAGAGGCACGAAAATGCCGGCCCCAGGGATATCTGTGTAGAAATAGTTGACACTAGAGAAGCAGTTAGAAATGACTCTAGATATAGAGGAGCGAACGTCATAACATACCCGTCAACATCGCCGCTGTTTTTACCTCGGGGGGCGAACTCGTGGTTTAGCTCGACACCCGCATAAATACCCCCCTTTCCCTGAACAGAGCCAACAAAGCGTACGGTGCCGTACATGCCACCAGGGACATCAACGATATCGCCGATGGTGGCATCTGAGGAGGGCCGGCCGGGCGTGGTGGGAACCATGGCGTGGTGGTCAGGATCGGCGAAGACGGAGTTCAGGACGTAATTTTCGCTGACATCTGGGATGCTAGCCAGGGACGAGTATGTTAAAGCGGCAAGAGAAGCCTTGCGAGGAATAGAAGGAACCGGCGGGCGCGACTGGGAGACGTATGCAGAGCCAAGATCGGGGTTGGAGGCGGAAGACGATGGTTTGCGAAGGGCGCGAGAAAAGGAGGGACGGCTTCGAAGTTTGGTTGTGGTGCGGGTGGTAGTTGTAGTGGACGCCATTCTGAGTTAGCGACAAGCGGTTGCCCTGTAAATTTTCCGGGCCCCCCTGTGGCGCGTGGCGTTCGGGGCTTCTGGTAGGCTGGCGCCCCAGAATATCGAATCGCGAAGACGACCAAGCCGCTATCAGGCAGCGTTAGGTCGCTGTAAATTGCTGAAGAGAGGGGCAAACTTGGTCCCTGACAGCTTCTGCTCTGCTACTAAACCTAATTCAGGCAACGGTTGCGCAGCGCTCGTCCTCTTTTTTTTTTTTTGCCACTTGCACTGGTACTAGCAGGATGCGCTAAAGGATGCTAGTTAGGGCTCGTAGATGCGCTAGAATATCCCGTGGTGAAGAAACTGGTGGGAATGCGCCTTGTGTTAGTCGACGGCCTAGCGTGGTGAATGACCAGGGAGCGTGATCTGCCGACGCTGATTGATGGTGTACTGGGTTGAGATGTATAAAATTGCCACTTGTGTTATTTCAGCCGTAGTTGTAGTTTGTTGATTATAAATTTCGGACAGATGCGGCGTGTTTCCGTTTTTGTCTGCTTTTTTTCTTTTTTGGTATAGTTGGTGTTGATCGAGTCGGTGTGTAAAGAGAGAGAGCTCGGCAAGGGTATAGACAATAAGGAGACGGAGTAGGACGATAGTAATGAAGTCTCGGCAATTCAAGTTGTTGGAAGCTCGAGACGAAGGAAGTGACCAAAGAAAACAATAAGCAAATGAGAGAGAAGAGATATTGCTGGTTGGGCGTTAGCGCATGAAGACCACAACCCAACTACTGTAGCGGCAAGCAAACCAATAGTAGTGCGTTTTGTCGAGTTGGAGTACTAGAGAAAATAGCCCTAATGAAATATACGTACAGAATAAGAACAAAGACACTGGTTAAGTCAAATTGTGAAAAAGACCCTTCTCTTTGTATCTTTTTGTATTCCGTTGTTGTGTTATGCAGGCGTCGAAAGTTCCGTTGGGCTGGTTGCTGCAGCACTGGGGACGTCCTTGCAGCTGCCCTGCATGCAACCCCAAGCTGCGACGGTTGTTTATTTCGACACAGTTACACAGCCTTGGCTGTGAAGTACAAAGGGTGACTGGCGGTGAGGGATTCGGAATCCGGTACTGAGCGATTGTTGAGGCAAAAGAAGGAGGGTTAAGAGAAATCAAGTGCTATGTAGCCAGACGAGTGGGAGAAGAGGTGAGAGTGAAGGGGGCCACCACAAGTATGCGACAAGACGGGGAAAGAATAGCTGCAAACAAGAAGCGACCAATTAATCTCAGATCGGTTCTCCCGGCCGTCCAGTAGCAGGCCAAGAAATAGAAAAAGAGGGACTCGATTTTTGATTAATTATTCCAAGCCTGAACACCCTCCTGTTGACCCGCTGAATTCCCCAAACGCGACTCCCCGGTGTTGTTGTCTCGCTTTTTCACCATTATTACAAGACTGCCCTCCCTCTTTGCACCCCCTTCCAGAGACTCTTTAGAGTCCGTCTCAGTCAAATACAGGCCAGTCCACCCTTCTTCAAGTCAAAATTCGTATGGGCGGTTTCAATTCGCAGATCTCTAATAGGTCTCCGGAGTGACGGGCTCAACACCACAGGCAGCGCTTCCAGTAGCCTACGAATTTATCACTTCGCACCCCAAGTTAATATTTTTGACAAGATATTTTGCCAAGGAGGGGTAAATGCCAATTACGCGATAATTCATGGGCCCTATATCCACACGACCGCGTAACAGGAGTCTCCGGCGGTTGCTTAAAGTGTTTGGACGTGCTGGAATGCAATTTGTTCCATGTCGTGACATACCCATGGGCTATTTTGAGGATGCCATTGCACATGACGTAGCCAACCTAGTTACGCCATTTCTGCCTAAGCCCTGTTCGCTACCGGATTTGGCATACTCTTCATTGCAGTTGCTTCATTATCATGCTTGGTGTATTAATGTTACTGACGCTCGCTTATGGCTAATATACAATGCCGTTCCTTGTTCTCGCCACATCCCCCATGCCATAGTGGCGGATGTATCATCCTTGAAACTTCAATCGTCATATGATACAAAACGGTGTTATCTATCACCTCCCAAGGTATTTCCTTGTAAACATTAGGCCGGGGAGTTATGACCCCTTTCAATTATATCTTCCCGTGCCAGTGGACGGGTTCCATCGTTCAAGACCATCGCCTCACGATGCTGGCGACGCAGCCGTCGCTCCTCTGCTGAATGTTCTCTGTCTCGCCTCGGCTGCCGCTCCAGGGGTACATCCCCTATGAAGTCATCAACCATTAGGTCGGGTATGTCATGAGTCGTTGCTGTATTGGCTTTGTTCACCAGCCCGCATCTTTCCAGTGCCTTTAGCCCACGCCGGCTGTTTTGTATTCGGCGTATAAGGTACGAGATCTTGTTGTCTTTTGTTTCCGAGTAGCTTTTGAAGTTTTCAAAAATATCCTCCGGTGTATCACCCCAATCTTGTTTAGAGAGCCACTTTTCAATGAATTTGGCCTGGATCAGGAGGTGAGCATTATGTTTGAATACAAGCTCTTGAAGGAACTTGAGGCACAACTTCTCGGCACTGTCTCGTAAATAATATTCGTCCCAGAATCCGTCTCTAAGAGGTCGTCGATCAGCGTCTCCAAGACTAAGCTCTAGAGATCTGACGATAGCAGCGTAGGCGTTAGGTTTGTGAAGCTTTTCGATTCCGTCGTAGCCTAAAATCGATTAGCACAAAAGTTGATGAGCAACCTGGTAGTATCAGCTTACCTGCTGTTTGCTGTGTGAGTAACGATAACGCTCGTAAACATTTTAAGCGAAACGCGTATTCCGGGCAAGTAATACCTCGCAGCAGATAGTCGATTGTTTCTGTGTCGTTGGCAGCTCGGTCGCATACAATACGCAATGCCACGCGCCGTATCGAGTAGTTGGGATGGTCGACAAGCTTATCCAACGTATCAAGCTGCAGTGAATCTTCCGTTTCTTGTGTAATGTATTCCGTCTTGGGCTCCGACTGCGGAATTTCGTTGTCGTCCCGAATGAGTGTGAGTGCCGTCATCATGGTGCTCACCACGCCGAAGGTGGCAAGGCCGATGCACACAAGCAGGACACGCTCATCCCGCCCAAAGGCGAGGAGCTTATCAGTCCAGGTCATGAAGATGTGTATTCTGATGATTTCATATTATTTATCGAATTTATATCGTCCTAGTTCGACTAAGCGTCGTAATGCTGCATGAATGATGACGAGGTTGTTTGGGGGAGACCAGAAGCACTGTTGCTTCTTCGGTGGGTCCCTCCCTGGGCGGACGTCCCGCCCGCGCTTCCGCTACAAAAAAGTTAGTTATCGATAGCGCAGCAGGCCAAAAATTTCCATGCTGCCTCTTTGAAGTTTTGTTTTCCGACAGATTGATTCAAGCACCAGCAACCACGGCAAGGCCAAGGCTGCTGCAAGAATAATTAAGCCATGGCTGGATCACAGCTCAAACGCCTCAAGGCGTCGCTTAAGGAGCAAGGCATAATCGGCCCTCAACAATCGAAAAAGCAGAAACGCAAGAATGCTCAAGACGAGCGAGGACGAAACGAAAAGAGACTGCAACGAGGTGTTGTACTCTCCGGAATCCGTGAACAATTCAATCCATTCGACTTGAAGCATGCCAAGGGTCCCAAATTTGAAGTAACAAGCAATGTTTCTGCAACCAAGAGGATCCACGGCCGTCCTGGTGAGGCCAAGGCTTTAAGTGAGGAAAAGGTGCGTAAACTATGGTGCCATCGCCCATCTCCCAGCGTATACTAACATATAACACAGAGAAGAAATACGCTCCTTGTTGATATGCAACGAAGAAATAAAGTCGGTGGCATTCTTGATCGTCGATTCGGTGAAAACGATCCTACTATGGCTCCAGAGGACAAGATGCTGGAGCGTTTTGCCCTTGAAAAGCAACGAACGCACAAGAAGAACTCCCTATTCGACTTGGAGGATGACGATGGTATAGATGGTCTTACCCACGGAGGTAAATCATTGACATTTGAGGACGACGAAGACGTAGCGGATGATTTCCAAGAGGACGATCTGGACTACGACAGCGACATGTCTGAACGCCAAATGCAGAGATTGAAGCGTCTTCGCTCTCTTGCCGCCCAAGGCGATGACGAAGAAGATGATGGCCAACCTGAGCGTAAGAAGACCAAAAAGGAAGTCATGGAAGAAATTATTGCCAAATCGAAAATGCACAAGTACGAACGACAAGCTGCCAAGGAGGACGATGAAGAGCTCCGTCACCAGATCGACCAAGAGCTGCCTAACATCGCCATGCTGCTCTCTAAATCAAAAGGAAGCAATCGCGCGGATGTTACAGCAAGCACAATTACTGGACTTGACCGTGAAGCTTTTGACAAGAACTTTGATCTGCAAATCAAGAAACTTGCGCAGGACACACGAGCCAAGCCTGCCGATCGCACAAAGACTGAAGAAGAAATTGTCGAAGAAGAATCCAAACGACTCAAGGAACTGGAAAACAAGCGACAGAGACGCATGCGCGGAGAAGTAGTGTCTGACAGCGACGAGAGCGACTCTGGAGCCAAGAAGGGTGGCAAGCAGGAGGAAGAGGAAGATGAGGACGAGGATGACGAAGACTTTGGTCTGGGAAGTGGTATCAAGGCTCGAACAAAGCCCACTGCTACGGAGCTTGGCTTTGATGACGAAGACGACTTTGTTATCGATGATGATTTGGTGGCTAGTGGCTCCGATCTGGAACTGATTGAAAGCGACGACGATATGGAAGATGATGAGGACGAAGACGATGAGTCTGGTGACGAGGAAGAAGACGAAGACGAAGATGACGACTTCACCAAGGGTCTTTTGAATGAAGAAGAAGCACGAAATCCTGCCTTCAAGCAAGCACCGGGGTCAACAGACGTCGCTGGCGGTGACGAACACGGCCTGCCCTTCACATTCCCTTGCCCTGAATCGCTCGAAGACTTTACTGCCCTTGTCGCCAAGTACGACTCTAACAACATCCCCAAGATCGTGCAACGTATCCGTGCACTTTACCACCCCAAGCTCAACGCCGAATACAAGGAGCGCCTCGGCAACTTCGCCACCACCCTGGTCGACTTCATCTCGTCCGACTGGGACGCCGAAACATCGCCATCGTTCCTCGTCCTCGAGAGTATCGTCAGACACATCCACTCCCTGTCCAAGATGTTCCCCATTGAAATCGCCAAGCAGTTCCGCCAGCACATCGAGGACATTGGTGAATCAAGACCATTGGCTCTCGAGCCCGCCGACCTCACCATGCTGACTGCTGTTAGCACCATCTTCCCTACCTCCGATCATTTCCACCAAGTAGTCACCCCCTCCATGCTCACCATTGGCCGATACCTTGGCCAGCGTGTACCCCAGGACCTATCCGACTACGCCATTGGTAGCTACCTCTCCATCCTCGCCCTCCAGTACCAGCAGCTCGCGAAGCGCTACGTGCCCGAGGTCGTCAACTTCACTCTCAACACGCTCCATGCGCTCGCCCCCGTAGCTTCCAAGCCCAAGGGCGGTTTCCCCATTCACACACCTCCCACCGGCTGCCGAGTATCCAAGGCGGCATCGGAGAAACTCCGCCGCCTCACCTTTGCCGACTGCGTCCCCGCCGAAGAGATCGACTCCGAGCTTCAAGTCGCTATCCTAAGCACCGCCATTGACACAATCGATGCCGCAGCAGACACATGGACCGGCAAGCCCGCGTTCCTGGAGACACTAGGCCAGGGTCTCGACGCAATCAAGCACCTGACGAGCAAAGCTTGCCGCTCGCATCTTCCCGTAGCTCTGCTCAGCAAGGCCGAGAAGGCAGAGACCAAGCTCACTCGCATGCTGAAGCTTGCTGAGCTGTCCCGCCGTCCGCTGGAGCTTCACCACCACCGCCCGCTCGCCATCAAGACCTTTATTCCCAAGTTCGAGGAGACATTCGACCCGGACAAGCACTACGATCCGGACCGCGAGAGAGCAGAGCTTGCCAAGCTCAAGAAGGAGCACAAGCGCGAGAGAAAGGGTGCTATGCGCGAGCTACGCAAGGATGCAAACTTCATGGCCAGAGAGAAGCTGCGCGTCAAGAAGGCCAAGGACGAGGCGTACGAGAAGAAGTTCAAGAGACTGGTGGCAGAGATTCAGAGCGAAGAAGGCCGTGAGTCGAACAACTACGAGAGAGAAAAGGAGGCGCGCAAAAGGTCAAGAAACAGGTAAATATCAGGTGTTGTGGTTTGATGTTAGCATTAGTCAAAAGATTTATACAGCAATGTTCAATTCGGTTTCAATCAAAGGTGTGCCTGTCAAATGACATATAAAAGTACGGCGAGAGCCAACATCACACACGGCATTAGCATCAGTGGCCCTTGTTTAATGATTAATTTTACTTCTTTGGATTATGATTCTGAGTGAGACACAAAGGGTCATCTTTTGCCGCTTGGCCCCTTGGGGGTTTCGCGCACAAGTAGACGAACGTTTCCATCGCCAATTTCTACTCCTTGGCTCAAAATGTCCACGTCTTTATCCTCCTGCGCTGGCTCCTCTCGTGCTAGGCTCTTGTCCCAGCTCCGAGCGTCTATGCCTAATATCCCGCCCATGTTGTTCCGGTCCCCAGGGACAGAGAACTCTCTGTATGCGTACCTCCATTCGTTGAGAAAGTTTCTAATTGCGCGGCCAACCTTGTCTTTACCATTCTTACTGTGATGGCCAGTGCCAGTAATGGCATATATGGCACCAGTCTCGCGACTGTTTTCAAGCAAAACCTTTTCAAGATACTCGACTGCTTCTTCTGGGTGTAAGCCGTGGAGGTCAACGTATATCTCCGACGTGCCAGAAGGATTTCGGTTGCGTTCTTCGTAAAGCTCTTTTGCTGCCTCGCGGTGGGCTTTGCGCATCAAGTCGTTTTCACTCTGACCCCGCAAACTTAAAGCCTTTGCAGCTCGGGCATCGTTACGGTTCCAAGCTTGAGCGGCACTACAACTGTGTCAGCAAGCGTCAAAGGCGAGCGGGCAGTCCGATGGTATACAAACCTCTGGAGAAACTTGTTACGCAGGCCACCGTGCTTTATAGCTTCTTGTCGCGCCTTTAGATAAGCTTTATTGGCGCGATCACCAGTTTCAAGCCACGGGATCTGCTGAGGGCTTGGGATAGCTTGGCTGGCGGCACTGTTCTCTCCGTTCCTCGATGCGCCGTTCGTACCTGGTCGTTTAGCAGCTAAGCGAGGTGAAGCAGGGCTGGGGGATGGCGACATCTTGACAATATCCGCAAGCGAATTTGGAACCACATTTTCTTTATGACCATGACCGCCTCGCTTACCGCCGTGCTTTTTACCCTGCTTGAGAGATGCGGAGCCTAAGGACGGAAAGGCTTCGTTGTCGTCCAATGATGGAGCCGGGACTGCGACTTCCTTCACCTGCTGCTGTCGACTGCTGGGACGAGATCTAGAGAGTGGGCTCTCAGCTGGGTGGAACGTTCGCAGACCCGGAGGGGGCGTCATAGCGCCGGTGTAGATGTGATGGCCCCCGAAGCCATCTGGCCCTCCAGATTGAAGAGAGGGAAACGAATTCAGGTCTTGTAGTTGAAGGTTTGCGTTAATTGGAGGAGTAGAGCTTCCATCAATGGACATTTCTTTCATGAGCTTTGCCGGATCATGAGAGAAGACGCAGGTTTCACCAGCAAGGCAGTTACCCATGACCCAATACTTGCAAATATGATTGCTGAGGTCGTGGCTAAATCGGCAATCTGCTCGTAAACACTGGCCGGTAGACATGTAAAACTTGCAGATGATGCTGCTCTTGGATTGGCTATGCGGGGTTGAAGGGCGGCTCTCGTTTGAAATGGACTTGCCAATGAGGACGCTCTTCGGCTCCTCAGGAGGGGAAGCAGCAGCGAAAGAGGCTTGCTGGGCCTTGCTTTCCATTATCGCAGCAATGGTTGCACTGAGATCGTAGCCATGACTTGCCAAGGCCGTCTCGATTTCCTCATCAGTCCTAGTTTGACCCAAGATGGAGCGGAGCATATCATACGGAGACATGTCCAGCTGCTGGGTTGTAGTAAAGGAAAACTCCGGTGCGGCGGCGTTTAAGGCACTACTGGTAGTACCAACCGATGAGACACTAGCTGCATCGTCGTTGACAAGCCATTCTACATTTTCTGCCTGATAATCGCCCAGGATTTCGGTGGCAGGTGTTGGGTCGCTGGCAAACTCGTACGCGTTCAGGCTGGGACTGTGAGGGATCACGGGGGTCGCAAATGCAAGACGAGGAGAGGCCCGGGGCGAAGAAAAGGGCGATGGCGCAGAAGATTTGGTTCTGTTGAAAGAAGCCGGAACATATCCAGGTGGTGCTAGGGGACTAACAGCAAGTCGGGGTGAGCCAGATAGGGGTGTTCCGGGACCACGCCATGATGCAGGAGAAGGTCGTCGCAATATTGACTGTCGAATGGGAGGAGGGGATGCAGAGCCGCCTGCACCTTCACGAAACCTCCAGAGTGCGTCCAGGATGACATGCTCAAGGGATGAGCCTGTGAGATTTGTTTCCTTTTTGAGGAGTTCCTCCATTCTATCTGTTTTGTCCTCATCCTCCAAGGTGGAGTCCTGCAGGATGGGCAGGCAGATCTCATAATGTTCGTCTGAAATCATGGTATTAAGGTGTGTGCTCTGCGCAGCTTCGATACGAATGTAACACGATGACTAGCAGTAGGGGCGGTGATTATTCGGGGGTCTAGCTTGGGCTAGAGATATCAGTATCGGCTTGCCGGAGCGCGGGTGACGTGTAGAAACAAAAAGTGTAATAAAAAAATCGATTTACAAATGAAGAAAATGGGCGGTAACTGGGTATAACAGAGTGTTAGCAGCCGGATAGATGTCTTCGATGGATGTCATTGCAGCGCGGGGAGGGGGTCGACTCACGGAAGGGGAAGAGCTCAACTTTGCCGCAATAACAAGGCGAACGGCACCCCGAGTGTTGGCTACAGCTGAGCTATAGTTGGAACGACAATGCGACAAGGATAGCTCGAGATACAGGGCAGATCCGGCTCAGACAGCATCGTGTACCCCTCTCGGCTGGATTTAGGGTGCTGCTAAAGACGCGAGTAGGCGGCGTACGTCAGGCTGCAGTGACGCGTGGGTTTGTTGAAGCAGGGAAACAAGCGCTAGAAAACAACGCAAGAAGACCAGAGACTGGTGGTAACAGAGAGTTTGCCGAAGCAAAACGAAACAAAAGAGCAGAAGTCAAGCTCGTTGCGAGCAATGTTGGAGATGGCGTTCGGTTGTGTTTCGGGGTGCAGGGGTGGAGTCGTGACTCTGCGGGCTGCGGGCGGCGGTCGAAACGAGGCAAGCGCCGTGCAGCTGGGATTCGACAGCGCTGCGAAAACTTGCCACCGACGCAGTAGTTGAGTTACGCAAAATTATAAAGAATAAAAGTATTCTATAAGTTAAATGGATTAAATAGTGTAAGATGGCAAAAAGAAATAATACACGATCCTTTATTGCTCAACGCATACAACTTGTTAAAAATGGACTTTTGTCTATATTGCCTCTAGGCTGTAAAGCTGCTTATTTAAATGGACAACTTTATCCGGCCCCAGTCTAGCTTGTCCCATATATAAAAAGCGTACAAAATCATTATTTAGGGTATCTCGTCTTCATCCAAATCGCCACCTCCAAACCCAAAGCTGAACCCCCCAGTCCCTTCTTCAGCTGTGTCATCCTTTGCTAGCACATCATCCCATTTGCGTTTCTTGCCAGCGGCCTTATCAAGAATCTCCAGTGCCCTCTCCAGCATCTCTGGATTGCTCTGTTTCAATCTATCAGCGAAGAGCTTGTATGGGTTTTCGATGCCGTCTTCGAAGCCAGATACTTGATCCGGCTTATCGCGCAGGAAGCCTATCGCTTCACTAAGTAGCTTCAAGTTTGGTGATTTAGGAACAAAGTTCTGTGTGAGGGCAATTCCGTTTTCAAGGTTCACAACCAAATGCCACCAGCCGCTTGGCACATGCAAAATCTCGCCAGTTTCACAAATACCCTCGATACACCCAGGGGTGTTTCTAGCCTCGTCGTGAAACGTAAGCAGCCATTCTGCGATGCTGAGAGGGCTTGTAACCTCGCTGCTGTCTTTCGACACGTACACTCCGGGGACATCAGCGTTTGGTGGGAACATGATCCAATACTTTGATCCCTGGATTACAGCATTCCATGCGCTTGTGCCATTAGGATCCTTATGAAAGGTAGAGCCGCTTCGTTGAGGTCCAATAATCATCCATCTGTGTGCAGGACGCTCTGCACCAAGTAATTCAAACATGTCGGGGCCGAAGCAATCTGGTCTCCAGTATGCGGCACCCTCTTCGTGACCGACCTTGAGCTCCATTTTCTCAGCGAATTTGCGGTCAAAGAGATACAAGGGACTTTCATCTCTTGTATTGTTCATGTAATCGCAGTATCTTGAAAACGTCCAGTCTACCGCTTCCGCGCGAAAAGCAACATCAGCGTACTGCTCCAGAAGAGTTGGTATCGACCACTTCGAAAACACTGGCCACTCTTGGATGCATTCGGTAAGGATGAATGGTGTCTCTGTCCAGGAATCTGCGTATTCTTCATAAGCGAGATTTTTTAGGCGGCGAATTTGATTTGCTTTGGGGATTTTGTCCGCGTAGGTTGAGAGATGTATGTTGCTGCAGGCGAATGGACGGTGAAGTACATCGGAGTAGACATTGTCACAAGAAACCCGTGATTCAATATCTTTTGTAAGGCCCAGAACTGTCGATCTCCATGAGCCTAGCCATTTTAGCTTTTTCTCTTGACAAGGCTGTAGCCTAACATAACGGTGTTAGTGAATGGATGTGGTGAAACCAGTATTCAGTGCTGCTCACTTTAGAAACAATGCCTTCCACAATTCATCAGCATTAGCAAACGCATAAAGCAGCTTGCATGTGGAGCCTATTCTTAATAGGACAGAGTCATCGAATTGCTCAAAGATGGTCATCAACACCTCGTCAGGCAGAATAGCCCAAGAGCCAGCATTGGCACGGGCATCCCGGCCAGTGGCAAGAAATCTGTTTCCGAGGGGCTTCACATTGAGAGGATGAGTAGGAATCGAGTCATCCTGGTTGTCTGTCAGTTGGACTACTGCTGAAGGCATGACGGCCGTCCCGTGACAAGGACAGGCAGACGGATGGATTGATTGATTGATATTGAGCCCGTTTGCAGGCGGCAGGCTTTTGCACCAGTGCTTTAGTTAGTGAAGTGAGTGGGCTTCTTTGGTGTGTGGGTGTTGGTATTATTAGGTGGCCGCCCCCCACCTGCTGCTATCACTTGGGGGTACCTTTACCGTAAGAGGACGTACTGTGTTTGGCACCGAGGCGGTAACCGTGCTCTAGCGCGTCAGCTACAGGGGGTACCAGGCGCTGTACAGATACAGTACATGCTGGGGGAACACAAGCGCATGCCAATTACCCATAGTGTACTGTACAGTACTGCTGTTGTCCACTCACTTACGCACGGGAGTCAGAACCCCCCTGAAGGAAAACCAAGATACTACTACATGTTGAGTCACCCGCCCCAGAGTCAACGCAGTCATGCACCAGAAATGCAGGCTACGATGCTGGCTGAGCACAGCCTGGCCATACACACCCAGTCACACATTTTTCTCACCATGCAGGCAGCACAGCGCAGTCACTCCCCCCCCCCCCCCCCCCCTCCTCCACCTTGTTTACGCCTTAGCGTCTGTGAGAAAATTTGATTCCCAGCGAAAATGCACCTGGCCGTCTGCCCCTCCGCCCTCCCTAGCTCCAGCCAATAGAGGCTACCCTAACCATGGCCCCACCCGCCACATCCGCCACTATGATTCGTCGCGCACCAAGTGGGTGGGAGAAAAAAAAATTACAAGTGCGCCGAACCTAAACCGCCCCTCTGCCTCTGAACTTTTTCCCTTCTTCTCTTTTCTCCTCTCCAACCAAACGTATCCAACCACGATATATACCACGCTTTCTCCTAGGTTCAGGAACAGTTCTCGTTGATATCGAGAACTCTGAAATCTAGACGTATACCTTTTTTCTTTCTACGCCGCCGCAGTCTTCCCTTCGAAGCCTGCGATTTTTTTGACCGCCGCACCACCCCGCGACATTATCATTTCTAGGTCGAGCTGCGCTTGATCTAGATCTTTTTTTTTTTCACCAACCGTAATCATGGCTACCGACAAGGGACTCGAGGATGTTCCCGAGGGTAAGTTTGCTACAATGCCCTTCCCTGTGCTCGCCCAACCCGACATGTACGACAAGAAGACGCGAGCTATTCAGGCTGTCTAGCGAGGGGATAAAATCTCTGCCCTCCATTTTGGCTCAGCAGAATGGCGGGGTGAGGATCGCTACCGACGTGCCTCTTGTACCCATATCTCCTGTCTTGCAAAATACCTGACATCTCAATTCTTCTTTTTGGCATTTCTGGTTATTATTTTTATTCTTATTTCTTCCACCCAGCGCGCACAGGGATCGGGCATATCTCGCAAAATGCCCACAATTTACTAACATGCTGTTCGCTCTGCAGGACAGATCGAGTCCAACTACGATGAGACCGTCGACTCCTTCGATGACATGAACCTCAAGTCGGAGCTCCTCCGTGGTAGTAAGTGAAAAATCCCGAGTCTTTTCTGAGAATTCCTTCGAGCAACACACTAACATGGCTCACTCAGTCTACGCCTACGGTTTTGAGCGTCCCTCTGCCATTCAGTCGCGTGCTATCATGCCCGTCATCAAGAACCACGATGTGATTGCCCAGGCCCAGTCTGGTACTGGCAAGACGGCTACTTTCTCCATCTCCGTTCTCCAGAAGATCGACGCCAACGTCAAGCAGTGCCAGGCTCTTATCCTTGCCCCCACTCGTGAGTTGGCCCAGCAGATCCAGAAGGTCGTTGTCGCCATTGGTGACTTCATGAACGTTGAGTGCCACGCCTGCATTGGTGGTACCAGCGTCCGTGAGGACATGAAGGCCCTTCAGGACGGCCCCCAGGTCGTTGTCGGTACTCCTGGCCGAGTCCAAGACATGATCCAGCGCCGCTTCCTCAAGACCGACGCCATGAAGATGTTCGTCCTTGACGAAGCCGATGAAATGCTTTCTGTAAGTTTGCCATACTCATATTCTCTCACAACTTGAATTATAGAACATATAAACTAACACTGCATTTCAGCGCGGTTTCACCGACCAGATCTACGACATCTTCCAGCTCCTTCCCCAGTCTACCCAGGTTGTCCTCCTTTCCGCTACCATGCCCCAGGATGTCCTCGAGGTCACCACCCGCTTCATGCGCGACCCCGTCCGTATCCTGGTTAAGAAGGATGAACTTACCCTCGAAGGTATTAAGCAGTTCTACATTGCTGTTGAGAAGGAAGAGTGGAAGCTCGACACTCTCTCCGATTTGTACGAGACTGTCACCATCACACAGGCCGTCATCTTCTGCAACACCCGCAGAAAGGTCGACTGGCTCACTGACAAGCTCACTGCCCGTGACTTCACCGTCTCTGCCATGCACGGTGACATGGACCAGGCTCAGCGTGACCTGATCATGAAGGAGTTCCGTTCCGGTTCTTCTCGTGTCCTGATCGCCACCGATCTTTTGGCCCGTGGTATCGATGTCCAGCAGGTTTCCCTGGTCATCAACTACGATCTCCCCGCCAACCGTGAGAACTACATTCACCGTATCGGTCGTGGTGGTCGTTTCGGTCGTAAGGGTGTTGCCATCAACTTCGTCACCGCTGACGATGTCCGCATGATGCGCGAGATTGAGCAGTTCTACAGCACTCAGATCGAGGAGATGCCCATGAACGTTGCCGACCTCATCTAAGCACCTTTTCATACCAAACCACCCCCCACATCTTTTCCCGCTTAAATTCTTCAAGCTGCCCACTTCGTCCCCAGTGGGCTGCATGCGCTCTCACGACAGATTGGTATCTTGTGGAGCGTGCTCGGTGAATTGTTTTGGTTCTGGCAACTGTTGATAGATTCGCATTTTTCAGGAGGGCCCGATCTGGAACCGTGACGACGCCGGTCTCGAGATTTACTGTTTTTTTCCGAAGGGAGGAATCGGAAGTGGCTTCGTGGCGAAAAAAAGGCTCCGGTAGTCGTCTGCATCTTTAATTGACGATGAGGTGCGACGGATAACCAAAAAGTTTTAATGCAACGACTGTTTTTCTACTAGTTGAAGTCCGATTTTCTTTACCTCTGTTTTCGCTTTTTAAATTACCTTTCCTTTGTCTTTAAGAAAAAGAGAAGTTTGTTCACACCTATTCTGCCTTGCTCAACTGTGGTACAATGATTGCGATGTCGTGAAAGTACTTGAACGCTACTTGCTCTATGCCTTACTTATATAAGAGGCCATACGATAAGAAGCTTCACCTATATTAAAGCAAGCAAATAATCACACCAGCAATTTGTATGAGATGTAAGATTTAAAGTGAATGTACAAGTAAATTAATGTAATGAAAGATAAGAAGAGAAAATTGTCTGGTACAGCAAGCGCGTGTGCTCTGACAAAAGAAATAAACACAGGTCTCACAAATAAAACCGTATAAAAAAAGAAGCCCCCCCCCAAAAAACGCCGTGATGTGGTATATAAGTCTCCGTTTCCATGCAGGGTTCCAAACACCATCTTTGTCTGATACGTGTCTCTTGACTACTAACCTGCCCAGCAGACCAGAATATGTTCATGTCACCATTTTAATCCCAAAATAAAAGAATATACTTCGTAGCCCCGTCAGTAACCATAGCCTAACTTAAAACGTAGTCTTGGTGGCTGGCGGGCTGGCTACAGCGTAGGCACCAGGAATAGGCACGGCGTCATATGTGGGCTCATCTGCTGCAGAAGGGCCGTGAGACTGAACAGTCTGGTCTGTCGGAGAAGGAGCCCGAGCAGAGGTGGGTGTGAAGGCGCCTTGCGACATCTTGGGGGTGGCAGAAGGAGCCTTGCTGGGAGGAGCCTGGAGCTTGAATGTAGGCGACGGCTTGCTGAACTGGGATTCAGGGACAGGGATGCGTCCGCCAGGAGTGTATGGGCTGGTAGCCTCATCAATGTGGCCGAGGGTACCGTAGGCAGCGGGAGGGTGGCGCGGCGACATGGCGTAAGTGCTGAGAGTGGGAGACTTGGGTCCGGCGCCGGCAAACATGGGCGACTTGGGGCCGAATCCGGGAGTGTTGGGAGCGGACTGGAGACGGAGCTGAGCGAGGTAGAGATCGGAGCGAGCACGGTCACGCATGTTCATGGACTTGTGGAGCTTGCGCTTGCTGTAGTAGCGGTAGAAGACGATGCTGTACAGGGCGATGCAGATGACCTCGACGACGACCTCAATGATGATGCAGATCAAGCTCCAGTTTTGGAGGCGGCAGACGAGAGCGTAGTCGACCTTCTGGGAGAACACCTCGGCACGGGTGTTGTCGACGCAAGACCATCCCCACATGTCCTTGTTGCCAGTGTTGACCTTGGAGTTCTGGAAGACACCGGCGGTAATCACCCACATGATACCGCTGAAGATGAACCAGCCAATGGCAAACATGGTGTAGTAAGTGCCGACCTTCTCCGCACGCTTGTGGCCACCACGGCAATAGGCGATGAAGACAACAACGCAGGCAAAGAGAGAGACGCAGGCCATCGAAAGAACCAGCTTTTGAGGCCAAGTGTCTGTTCCCGAGGCCCAAGAAGGCATCTTGTTCTGTGCGGGGAGAGCCTTGGTAGCGTTGAAGATTGCGAAAGACGAAGACATCATGGCAAGAATAATCAGAGAGCAGCTGAAGTTGACACCACGCAGAGCAAACTTGGCCATGCGGACACGGGTCTTGACCTTGAGATCGCGAGCCTGCTCCTTGTCGGTGCCCAGCTCTCGCTTCTCGAGAACGTCTTCTTCGCGGAAGGTCGGGCTGAGAGGGTTTGTGAAGGTTCTGGCAGGTGTTCCGGGGACCTTCATGGCGCTCTTGAGAGGCGACTTAGGAGGCATAGCGACCTCTTGGGGCTTGCTGATGTAGCCAAAGCCAACAACACCAGGCTCGGGGTCAGCGAATGGCGAGCGAGAGTCTACTGGAGAGTGTATCGCAGTAGCCTCAGCAAATCGAGGTGTTCTGGGACCCTTGAGCGAAGCTTCCGAGGAAGTCAGGGAATCTGCGGTTCCTGTACGAGCGGGTGTCAGGTTGAGAGCGGCGGGCCGCTTCTTCTCGTCTGTAAGATGCGTGTGTTAGTGGGCTGCGAGATGGAGAGCATTGCTTTTTGTTGCTTACCTGATCCGGCCATTTTGTATTTTGTATTTTATATGTTGTATACTTGAACGAAAAAAAGGAAAACGGGAGTGAAGAAACCGTCAGCGAGCAACAAGCCGAGAAATGGTGTTGATCACTGTGAGGCAGGCCCAGTAGCAAAAGAGTCAAGCGAAAGAATCCTTTGCTTTGTTGTTGGTAGGGCGAGATAAGTAGAAGAGAAGGGGAAGATTTTTGAATAGAGACCAGCTATCAACCAGAGAAGAAGAGGGAAAAAAGAGGAGGCTCTGGGCGTGAGGGGGTGGGAGGGTGGTTATGAAGAGCCTCTGTGTGGGCGGCAACGTGCGATGCAACGAGGGCGAATTATTCGACGAGCTGCAGCCGCCGAGGATCTGGAGGCGGGTGGGGCGGCGGCAAAGAGAGAGTTTTAAGAGGATGGGAAGAATATTGGAGAGGGGGGTGAAACGGTGGGAAGAAAGTGGTCGGGAGATGAGAATTTTTGGGGGTGGTGGTATTTGGAACGGAGAAGGATGACGATGTTCCTGGATTTTGTCTTGGTTGTGTTAAATGGGCTGGTGGTGATGTGCTGCTGTGTTGTATAAGTAGGCTGTTGTGGCGAGCGATGGCTGCTGTGTTGGTTTCTCGGAGCCGTTGAAAGCCCGAACTCAGAGCCAGATCGGACAATAGTCTCAGAATGGAGAAACCGAGAAAACAATAAACAACTAGAAGCAAAAAATCGTGGGAAATGGATTTCTTTTTTCGTCTTGTTTCTCGTTGCCGAAAGTTTAAAAAGCGCGCAGAGAAGAACCAAGTGCCGCTGTAAGCCAGCTGGGTGCTGGTAGTGGTGGCCCTGGAAGCGGGGGACAAGAGTGCAGCTGACTCTCTCTCCCAGTTGAGCTGCTGCATTTGTTCCCTGCTCACAAAAAAAAAGATAAACCAAACAGCAGCTCGGAACAGAAGCGGCGGAAAGCTTGCAGTGCCAATTGTACCGTTTTGCCCTCGTTGGCTACCACCTGCAGCCCACGGGCCAATGAAACAAGAGCTCTTGCCGCCCAGGTCCATGCTATCGAAGCAGGGGTGCCAGGTCCATCACTGGTTTGCGGGCTCTGATTGGCTGCTCAGCACAAAAAGACGGCAGCAACCCGGCGCCAATATTCGATCCAATCATGGCCCTGTAAACCATCAATGGCCCCGCTTTATTCAGCGCCGGCTGGACAGAAATGCCACCTAAAACGGTTTAAGCGGGTGGAGTCGGCAGCAAGGGTTTTGAAAACGATGGACCAATGAGAACTCTCCGCGACAGCTTGTATCACGCTGGCTAATGCAGACGACGGTTTGGTAACACAAGCCCAGAGTAGAGCTGTGTAATGAGTGGCAGCTACAAAGACCGGCCGGCGCGTCCACAGTGAACGGTATATCGCGATCTTCCACGCAGAGGCACCATCATTGGACCGCCCCTTTTTTTATACAGGTATCCATCGTTAATCTGACAGGTTCGATGACCAATCACATACACTGTTGAATCACCCTACACGGGCTTGCATCATTGCCACGGCTAGAGTGGATGAACGCCTTGTGTTGAATTGCCACCAGTTCCTGTACTATACGCGGCGTCTCAGATTCTTGGTCTATTAGACAGATCACATATTCGGATCACGGAAGAAAGATTCCCGCCATGTGCCAAGACATTACGAAAGACGCCCGTAGGGCCTTGCATATTGTCGAGCCAGTGTCAGCGCATACGCATACCGCCATCATACTTCACGGATGAGGTAGGAATGGCCCCGAGTTTGAAGAGGCGGCAGCTCCCTGTTGACCAATTTCCCTGGGTGGCGCTGGGTATTTCCATCATCAAATGAGTTTTGGAACGAAACAGTTCAGGAACACATGCCGGAGTGGTTCGAGGCGCCATCATTGGCAGACCCTACAATAAGAAAGGAGGCTCAAATTCCAGGTATTATAGAATCATACAACTACATTGAAGGGTTGATAGCCGATGAGATCAACTTGCTTGGCTGCAAGTCGGAGAACCTCCTCTTTGGTGGTATCAGCCAAGGCGGTGCAGCTGCACTCTGGATGCTTCTCTGTCGCCATGCAACGTCTCAGATAGGAGTCTTCTTCGCAGCTAGCACATGGCTGCCATTTGTCGACACTATCGAGAAAATACTGTCAATATCTAATAGCGGTATGACTGACGGCGCCGGTCAAGATCCAGCGTCGACAGACACTGACAGTTTTCTACACCAACATATGCAATGCTTGCTCGGGGGAGAACACAAGGCTTCTGAAATCAAGGTATTTCTTGGCCATGGCCTAGATGATGCCTATGTCGATGCTTCCCTCGGACGCCAGGCTAGACATGTCCTTACTGCAGCTGGCTTCGAAGTGGAGTGGAAAGAATACTCTGGCGCAGACCAAGAGGGCCATTGGCTTCAGGAACCGACTGAAATGGACGACATCCGCCAGTTTATAATCAAATATATGAAGTAATCAGCGTCTCGCGCTCTTCCAGACTATACTCTAGCACGATGAAGACAACGACAGCCTATCCGCACAGTCATGAATGTGGTGTATGCCATTTCAAATAATGTCCATATTAACCTGAACAAGCAGTAGCTTACACACTCGTCCAATCAAATTGACAAATGGGAGACTTTCATGCTTTGATTAATTTACAAGCGCCCAGTAGCGTCCACATCCACTTATGCAAGCCATCCCGCTGGCGTCCTGCCTGACGTTGGCACCCGACCCCATTCGCTGTACAGGGGCAACCACTAGAGTAACACTGTGCCGAAAACCGGTGAATATCTATGCTGAAGGAATGGAACCTATTTTATAAGAACGAGTCGTTCTATACCATGGCTTAACCCGCATCAGCTTTATGCAAGCAGAGCGTGTTACTAACAACTGAGATCCATTATTATGTCCTTTATACCACGACTTCGGTAGCAGAGATTTGTCAGGGCCAACAAAAAGTAATGAAATTTGACCGTTGTATACGGATTCAGTATTGGGTGTTATCGTGCCACGATCAAGTCACACAATAGCCCATGTGCCCTTTGCGCGGTACGCTCCATCCATGAATCGCGGGGTTCCGATAAATACGCATACACGCCGCCGGGCACCCTAGATTGAGAACCTCCCAGATGCTGCTACTCAAAGCGTAGCAGTGTTTGGTGTTAGGGTCTAGTTGTGACATCGTGATGGCGAACAGCCATGATACACTCTCGTTGAGGCCGATTTAAATGTCATGAAGCAGCCCGACGGCAACGAGTTGTGCAAATGTTGCCCCCAGCGAAAACCCGCCTCTCTCGACGAGACAAAGCCATCACCAATATCATTCATGGAAAAGGTAGCGTTTATTGTCAATAGTAATTACAAAAGATAGACTGACGTGGTCCAGGTTGGCAAAGCAGCAAAGCGTGGCGAGGTCGAGTACATTGAAGATGACCACTACTTCAGCCCTAGGGACTATGCCCGTTATATATATTTTCACGGCTTAACCCTCATTATAACGGAACCTCCAAGGAGCAAGTATGTGGATTTTGCTCATTTTCCAAATGGCTGCCCTGGTTGGCGGTCTCACTATGTTCAAAGCGGACAGTCAGTTTACGTCCAGCGGGCACATGTATTCTTTCGAGACGCAATAACATCATCAGAGCCTCCAGAGGTTACAACAAAGGCGAAAGATAAAGGCAAGGGAAAGGTGGTAGAGTGAGATGTAGTGAATGGTAGCTATGTAATAGTATAGGAGCTTACGCTAGGAAATACAATGGTAGCTTTTATGTATCTGCTATGGTCGCTTTCCACCAACATCAATAAAGAGCTGTTCAAAGACTTCCCCGCTCAACACAGTATCGTGGTCAGTGTCTTCAACAATAGTAGTCTTGAAATCAAAAGCACTAGCTTCTCGCTGCCAACAGCCTTCCATGTATTCTCGACCTGTCTCGCCAATCATAAGATCTGACTTGGCGAAGTAGAGCCGGACTCGTAGCTTGGTAGCCCCATCTGATGGATTGGTGTCCTTTTCCATTGCAGCCAGCTCCTTTACATATGTGTCGTAGTTGTCGCAACGTCCCCAGCTGCCATCAGGGCCCTTTCGGGTACAGAGAAGTGCCTCTCTATTTGCGCCAACTGTTGATTCTGCAAATACAGCTTCAGTGGTCTTGGTGTTGATTGCCAAAAGAAGATCCTGTGGTAACCCGTATTCTTCGTAGAGTTTCTGTCTTGTTGCGGACATGACAGCGTTGTCGCTCTCCCCTCCACTGGTCTGTAAGGACGTGGGAAGCATTTTGGTGATGGATGACATGACCGATCCGCTTGCTTCAAATGCCGGGGCAGCATCGACCATGAAGAACTTGGGAATCTTATTCCAGATAGAATAGGCACCCGTAGGAATGTACCTTAACACTTGCATAGTCGCCAACTTTGAATAGGTCGGATCAACCCATGGTGCTACGCCACGGTTAGCTTGGGAGCTCACATGTAGCAATATGATACCTACCAAATAAAGCTACAAGTGGTTGCTTTGGATCCAGGATGTGTCTTAGTCGCATTAGCGTGTTGAGGAGATATAGGGTGCCAGCGCTGTGCGATGCAAGAGCAACATGCTTGATGTGCAGGTGGTCAAGCAGCTTTGGTACAATTTCGATCCAAATATCTATGCGTTTCTCGACACCTATATCCGTCGAGCTGCCCATGCCGGGACTATACGGCGGTGTTAGTACAATATGTTGGAGTCCAGGAAACAACATTCGTACCGGTCAGCGGTGATAATACGGACACCGAGCTTTTCAGCCATGGTGTGTTTTAATACCAGGGCAAGCCTCGAAGCAAACATTCCGGGATGGAAGAGAATAGTTGGGATATTGACGGCATCCTCGTCGTTTTTGGGTTGGCGGCCAAGATCGGCATAGCTGATTGTGAGCTCCTCGTGGTCCTCAGTCTTGGGTATCGTGAAGCTTTTGCAAAAGTTCGGGTTGGCAAGAAACTGTTTTGCCTGTGCTTCTACCGTTTCTGGGGCGGTGGGAGTTTCAGCACTCATCTTTATGGCCTGGTGAATGATGTATGAGTGCGGATGGTTTTGTAGAAGCTGAGAAGCCTCGCAGAGAGAGAGGGCTGAGATGTGGTTAGTGGCGTATGGAGCTTGGCCGGGATATTACGTTGCCAGTTACGTTGACTAGGGAGTGCCAGTTATATGCCGAATAATTCTGTAATTATAATTTTAGGGTGTACTTTCTTAATTTTTAGATAACCATTTTTAGTTATCTGTTGTATCTGTTGTATCAGTTTTATTTCATTCTTTTGCTTTAGCTTATAATGTTTGCTCTGTGGTGAACGTACTGGAATAGCACTAATAAGCCCAGATCGTGGGCATCTTATATACCAAGCATGCAAGCGAGAAGAAAAATCCTAAAATATTAATATGCTTTAGTTCTGCGTAAAATGAAAGAATCATCTGTATTGCATGATATCACTACTTATTCAACCCTCGCTCTCGTCCTATGAATCTTACTACATTGAAGCTCATCACCATCAACCCGTCCGACCTTCAGCCGACTGAAACCAGGAGGAGGGGCAAGCACCTCCTTATCCAGCTTATCAGGCCCCTTTAGGCTTAGCGCCACAGTCACACTGGCTTGCACACGAAAATTGCCAAACCACCAGAGATTAGCCCCGAAATAGCAGAAAACCCAGCAAGTGTTTTTGCGCCTTACGACGTGACTCAGCCATCAACACCACAGCATCAGCGTCCGGATTTTTAAATTTCAGCGACACAACCCCCGCCGAATCCATCCCCCTCTCGCTGCATCCGAACTCGATTTAACCTCTCCGACCTTTCAAGCTTTTTTTTAGTTTCTCGACAAACCACCCCTCCTCCTAGTGCGCAGCCCGTCAACCTGCCCCGCCTCGCCAACATGGATGCCAACGGCGAACGCAAGTACGACATCGACTCCGACTCCGACTCGGGCGAGTCCATCGACGTCCCTACCGACAAGGGCCTCAAGTCGGCCCTCAAGAAGAACGACGGCGTCCGCGAAGAGACCAACGTCAAGCCCCCGCTGCCCCCGCAAACTGATCCCAAGGATCTCGACGTCAAGACTCTCACCCCTCTCACTCCTGAAATTATCGCCCGCCAGGCCACAATCAACATCGGCACCATCGGCCACGTCGCTCACGGAAAATCTACCGTCGTAAAAGCCATTTCCGGCGTCCAGACTGTCCGTTTCAAGAACGAGCTTATCCGTAACATTACCATCAAGCTTGGTTACGCCAACGCAAAGATTTACAAGTGCGACAATGAGCAGTGCCCCCGCCCTACCTGCTTCAGAAGCTACAAGAGTGACAAGGAGGTCGACCCTGCTTGCGAACGCGATGGCTGCAGCGGTACCTACAGACTCCTCCGCCACGTCTCGTTTGTCGATTGCCCTGGTCACGATATTCTCATGAGCACCATGTTGTCAGGTGCCGCCGTCATGGACGCCGCCCTGCTGCTCATTGCCGGCAACGAATCTTGCCCCCAGCCCCAGACTTCGGAGCACTTGGCTGCTATCGAAATCATGAAGCTCGACAAGATCATTATCCTGCAGAACAAGGTCGACTTGATGAGAGAGGAAGCTGCCCAGCAGCACTATGACTCCATCCTCAAGTTCATCCGTGGTACCGTTGCCGGAAAGTCTCCCGTCATCCCCATCTCTGCCCAGCTCAAGTTCAACATTGACGCCGTCAACGAGGCCATTGTTAACACCATCCCTGTCCCTCTGAGAGACTTCACCATGGACCCCCACATGATTGTCATCCGATCCTTTGACGTCAACAAGCCCGGTGCTGAGATTGACGACCTCAAAGGTGGTGTTGCTGGTGGTTCTATCCTCCACGGTGTCGTCAAGCTCGGTGACGAGGTCGAGATCCGTCCCGGTATTGTCTCGCGTGACGACGGCGGTGCCATCAAGTGCACTCCAATCTTCTCGCGCGTTGTGTCGCTCAACTCCGAGTCCAACGACCTCAAGTACGCCGTTCCCGGTGGCTTGATTGGTGTTGGTACCCGCATTGACCCTACCCTCTGCCGTGCCGATCGTCTTGTCGGTTTCGTCCTAGGTCTCAAGGGCAAGCTCCCCGAGATCTACAGCGAGATCGAAATCAACTTCTACCTCCTCCGCCGTCTTCTCGGTGTCCGCACCGCCGATGGCAAACAGGCCAAGGTTGCCAAGCTGGCCAAGAACGAAGTCATCATGGTCAACATTGGTTCCACCTCTACTGGTGCCAAGGTTGTTGCCATCAAGAACGATGCCGCCAAGTTGGTCCTCACCAGCCCTGCCTGCACAAGCATCGGCGAGAAGGTCGCTCTCTCGCGCCGTATCGAGAAGCACTGGCGTCTCATTGGTTGGGCCACTATTGCTGCGTAAGTCTTTTTTCTTTTCCCTGCGCAATCCTCAAATGACTTGTACAAGTCCGTGCTAACATTTCTTCTTCTTTTTTAGTGGTGTCACTCTTCAGCCTAGCACTTCTTCTTAAATTCAAAACAAAACATAATGAAACGAGCATGAAGAGAAGGCCTCAGCCATCTGCACACACCATATATACCAAGGTGCAGTCCCTAGCGTGATTGACGTTATGGCGACGGCGGCTAAGTGACATGATTGATGATGAGGTGCTATCAAACGACAACGATCGGAAAAAAAGAGATCGAACAGAAGCGAAGCTCCTGGAAAGAAAAGCTTGGTTGAATTTTTCGGAGTGTGGGCTGTCATGTAGGTGTAGACGTTTTATCTTTAGAGCAATGAGAAAAAAATCAGTATATCTTTGTCAAAATACTCCATCCAAAATGGGGGACTAGGCTTGCAATGTATCTCATGTGTATGTGATGATGTATTATTTACACCAGCTATCGGTGTCGTGGTGGTTTTTAAATAATTAAGACGTAGCGCTTTTGGCTACTTTCGTACTTTACGCGCATGCTTGACCAGATTCTCAATAACGCCTTCAAATGCTTCTCGATCGCCAATTTTTTCATCTGTCTTCTTTTGCCAATACTCTAGGGCTTCTTTTGCCACTCCCTCCAAAGCTTCCAGCTTCACGATGTGAGCCATGAGCTCCTCGTCCGTCATGCCATCGAGCGCCTCGTCTGTCGTGCTGCATAGATACTTGGCCGCCACAAGGTCCAACTCCGGTTCCGGCGCAGGGCCCTTTTTACGCTTAGATGTAGATGATGCTGATGGCTTGCCCTGTGCATCAAGTGATGTAGTGGAGGCGTTGCCGTCGCCTTGGCGGAGGTTGCTGACGGACCGCGAGTCTGATGAGGTGCGCGGTGATGTTGCAGAGAGGTTGAGTGATGGGAGGACGAGTTTCTTCTGTTTCGACGCTGGGAGGATTTCATCAAGATCGACAGGTACGCCGAGCGAGACTAGGAATAGCCGTCGTGTGCGGGATCGGATCCAGTCTGGAGGCGCCAGCGGAGGCGGTGCGACTAGCTGCGACCAGAGCGAGGCTGATCGAGGAGTCAGGAATACGGATGAGTCTTTCGAAAGAGGAGGTAGTGTGGGAATATCGAGAGTTTCGGGAGGAAAGAGTGCCGTGAGGAGGGGATCGCTTGTCGACATGACTTCGTCTGGACCCAGTCCGTCAAAATCGGGGATAGCCTTGCGCCTTGTTAGCTCGGGTATCAACATAGGTTATAGTGTGGTATCTTACAAATGGCAGGGCCTTAATTTGAGGTGCTTGTGGTTGTGGTGCAGGCGCCGGCGCTTGCGGCTGCTGAAAACCATCTTCAAAGTCGTCAAAATCGTCGTCTTGAGCGCCCTCTTCAAAATCATCGAAATCGTCACCGAAATCCTCATCCTCCTCCTCGTCTTCTGCATCTTCCACTGCAGCGGGTGGCTTGTCGTCATCATTTTCATCTTCTTCATCTGCAGCATCTTCTTTACTAGGTTCTATACTTGTGTGTTGCTTTGCGTCGGCTGCTGGTGTTGTGTCGTGTGTATCATCATCGTCGTCATCGGCGTTGTCTGCCGACGAATGCATGGCGGAGAAGCCGTCTATTCCTTTTGGCATGGCGGGACTGCGGAATGGTGTCATTGGTGCTGAACGTGCATCGGTGAATTGATCATCAGAGTCGGATGATACATCTGGTTGTCTGCTGTTAGCTTTGCAACGGGCCGTCGGAAAGGACCTGCTCACCTTGGTCGTGCGTGCCCTCTCTGGTTGGGACAATATCTGGCGGCGGGTCCAGTTCGGCCGGGGATGCCATAATTTACAGCTAAAGGAATATGTTCAGAGCTGTATATGGGCTATAGTTGGCGTGTATGCTGCGGAATTCTCATCCAACGAGCAGGCAAGTCTGCTGGCAAATAGGAGATGCGCGTGGGGACGAGAGTTATGCAGGAGGGCGAATGCGGCGTCTTGGCGATCTATCGGGTCCGTTTAACAAGTTTCGATCGATGCACTATCTCCAATGCTGCATGAATATGCACAAACTCGAGCTTGTTGGTGTTTGATGCCGATATCCGTAGGGGCATGCGGCTGCGACATCCAGGTACGCCAGCAGGGAAGCCGTCGTCGCCAAAGCTATCACGTGGGGTTATTCAACCTGTGGTGGGGGAAGGTCCCCACGCTGCACAGGTGGCCATTCACCGACACACGGCGTGGAACCCACTGTAAATACGCTGTAGCTCGCTGCCCAAAGGTGGCCCCCAAGCCACCAACAAGAGCGCCAGCAGAGCCTTCCCCCACTGTAAGCACAAGCAGCCGCCTGTTGCCACAAAATTCCAGATTTCGATGGAGGCGTTCGGGATATGTAGCCTTCCTCACGATGCAAGCAAGTTCTGTTTTCAAACGCAGTAGAATCACATCATTGGCATTTAACGGTTATTTGATTACCCCGGTATATTGCTAACACACCTGCTCCTGCTATCCGTTTCGTTTCTCCGCCAGCATGCAATTCAAACCTAGCCTCAGTAAGGCGCTGATCCCTTACTCACAACGCACCCACTCCAATAAGCGCAAGTGAGCGGCCAATTGGGGCAACAAAATCTTTGGTGGGCTTTAAGGGGATCACTTGCTACGTATTGTTATTCTATTTCTCCGTGACGTTAGTAAGCGCCCTGAAGCTAATTCGTTTTTGCTTCGAGCCCATGATGTTTTATATACGCGCATCTCCACCGCGTCTATGAAAACCACTGTCTATCAAGCACCATCAATCGTTGAGTGACCAGTCTATTATCCAGCATGGTTTCCTAAGACGCAGAGAAGGCTGTAGATGAACCAGCTAAGCCCAATCAGCCTTTCCCGAATACAGCAGAATCAGACTCACAGATTGACGAATCTGACCTCGATGATGCTTGGAAGTTTTTGCGTAGCGCAAGAGCCGTTGATGACAATGCCGTCGAAGCTGTGAACTTGAGCTCGCTTCGACGAAAGATCGATCGGCGAATTCTACCGTTGATCTTTTGCTGCTACGTCACGCAGCTTCTAGACAAGGTCGTCCTGAACTATGCGGCTGTCATGGGTCTTCCCAAGGAATTTAACTTTGACCCGAAGCGCAACCAATTCTCGGATCTAGTGACGTTTCTTGCTGTTGGCACACTTCTGTTTAAGATACCCAACATTTACTTTTTACAAAAGTTTCCTGCCGCCAAGTGGCCCGCTGCCAATGTGGTATGCTGGGGCATTGCCACGGCTTGCGGTCCTGCGGCACACAACTTCCAGACCATCCTCGTCGCCAGAGTCTTTCTTGGAATCTTCGAAGCGACTGTCGGCCCTTCGCTTGCTATCATCAGTAGCCAGTGGTACACCAAGTCTGAACAAGCCCCAAGATATTCATTTTGGTATCTTGGTGTTGGCATGGGTCAAATCATTGGCGGCGCCATCTCCTACGGATTTCAGCATGTCGCACCGGATGCCAATCCCTCTGGCTGGCGCATCATGTTTATTACGCTAGGTGTATTCACTGTTTTGGTCGGAATATGCGTTTGCATCTTCATCCCAGATACCCCGATGCAGGCAGCTTGGCTCTCGACCGTGGAAAAGGCAGCGCTTCTCAAACATGTTGCGGCAAATCAAACTGGCATCTCCAACCACAAATTCCACCCAAGAGAACTGCTGGAGGCTTTCCTTGACCCGCAAATGTATTGTTTCTTTATTGCCAATCTCGGTGTAAGTACCCTTGTTGATATGTTTCTGCCGCCAAGTTAACCTGTTTTGCTCTAGACTTCCATCTCTAGTGGTGTTGTGACGACCTATTCAGCCACCTTGATCAGAGGCCTTCTTTACGACTCGAAACAAGCAGCGCTGATGAACATGCCCTCTGGAGCTGTTGGCTGTTTCTTTACACTACTTGTTGGATTTGGTATTCGAAAGGGTTCAAATAGATGGGCATGGGTTCTGCTATGTGCAGGTGCAGCGCTTATTGGCAGCGGACTGATGTCCTTTTTGCCCTCCACCAACAAAGCCGGCGTTCTTGCAGGTATCTACCTAGTCAACGCCACTATTCCTGCCCTCTTTGTGTTCTACTCCTGGGCATTGAGCAATGTCGCGGGAGCAACAAAACGCGCTTTTGCGGCAGCAACCGTCTCGGCCTCGTTTTCTCTAGGCAACATCATCGGACCACAAACATTCCGAGCGCAAGACGCAGCTTCTAGTTACCGATCTGCCAAGATATTTTCTATGGGAGGGCAAGCCGTCTGTATAGTATTCACTTTCATCTTGGTGTCATACTACTAGTTCATGATCCGTAGGCGAACTGACCGCAGCAAGGAAACTGAGAAAGCTTACAAGTCTGCTGAGGTCTGGCACACAGTCACAGATGCTAAAATAAGCACTTCATATATAGCTACTAAGAACAACATATTCACTTAATATAAAAGGCTGTCCATTACAACTTCGCTGGCTGCAAGTTCCAGATGCCTTCGTTTTCAGATGGTCTTCCTAGTCTGACACGCGCCGTTCCGGCTCTCAAATCAGCAACAATGCTGAACAAGGTCTCGCTGGTTTCTTTTCCAGTAGCCTTTCTGTTAATGCTAGTTGGGAAGCCTTGGTCATCCTCCAATATGTGTTCGATAATTGAAACGCCCGTGTCAGAGCCTGCTGGAGCCTGTGCCGCCCTCAGAAGTTTGGTAACCCGCTCCATTCTTTGCGTAGTATCTGCAAAAAGATGCACCCCAACGACACCATCTGCATGTTCTGTAAGAAAGTGGTTGGTATGTGCAATCCGGCCGTCTACCATCTCAAGAAGCACTGTGTCGAGATGGCTACCTTCGATCGAGGTTGCCCCAGTAGCGTCCGCCACCATGACGTGCACAGCTGTACCCAAACCGAGGGACTTCAGAGTTGAGACAGCTTGGGCACGATCTGTGCTTTCCAGGACGAGTCTCAAAGCAAAATGAACAGGTAGCGCCTCAAAGTTCACCCCGCGAGCCCATATGGCATTGATAAAAACAGCTACGCCAGCCGAGTTGATGCCGGATTTCGCAAGGAGGCCGGCTTCTGTGACAACACTAATATTTGGCTTCTGTGGTGTATCCGCGGCTGATTTAATGTGAAGCAAGACTAGTCGTGCCTTTTGTGCACATTCCCACTATAGGATGTTAGTGAACTACAACGAAGCACAGGGAAAACCCTTTGCATACATCCCAATTCTGGCCGGCCACAGAGACGTCGGCTGTCTTAAAAGCCAAAGTTGTGCAGCCATCGGCCAGCATGCCCATAGATACCTCAGTTCGTGTGTTGAGTGCCAAAATGGAGCCAAAGGGAACCCCGGATCCCTCTGATATCCCTATAACAGAGTTAGTCAAGGATACGTTACTGTAAATAAGATCGTCTCTTTACCCTTCAATTCCTCAATAAGATGTGGCGCATGCTTTTCCAAGAAGGGCAAAATTTTGTTAGCTATCTCAACAACTTTGCTCCAGTTCAGTTTTGTGCTGCGGAATATATAATCATCGTAAAATTCGACGCTGCCTTTGATGAGTTTAGCTGCCTGCGAGCCATAGTGAAGGCCAATCTGCGAACAGCCAGTGTTAGCAAGTAGTCATCGTTGCTGTACATTATGATATTGTTATTACTTCATAAGGCGTTCCAGTACAAGCTATTTCCAACATATTAAGAGATTTTTTTAATGCTGCTAAAGTCGCATGGCTCCGTACAAAGTGCGGGGGAACATTGATGGTGATGCTAACCTAGAGGGCATACGCGCACGGAACCCCGAGTGGCGTGCAAGCCACCCGCATCCTCCAATCGGAATTATCGTCGGAAACATCGACTGGGGATATTCCCCTTTACATAGTGCGGAAAGCATGCCGCAGTTGATTTTGGAAGATGCAGCATTCGGACTGCCAGTCGGCATTTGATTCAAGACATGCGCGGAAGATGTCTTTGCCGAGTCTGGGGCACTTGCCGATCACGCTCTGTAAATCGGCAGCGTACAGTGCTAGGCAAAAGTTACAAGTACTCCAGCTTTCAACAAACATATTCTAAATATGTATTTACACAAACTTTATATGCAACAGTCATCTAAAAACTCGATACATATAAAGTATTTATATCACACATGATATTCTACAAAGATTGATAGAAAAGTTAATTTAATAATATATATTAAAGAATACTTGAAACATTGGCCAAAAACGAGTTTACTTGTAACTCTTGCTTACCTACTGTACCGTACGGTATATCGGTTACGGCAACTTTACCACAAACACGCAAACACTGCAGTAGCTATATCATCTCCTCACCTTGTTTTCTCCTGCAGTCCAACTATACTTTCCAAACGTGGCAATTGCGGGGTAAAACCTGTCCCAACGGAAATGAACGCTGGGATTTAGCCCTCTTGAACTGAACGCCTCTCTCCGCATTTTTAGCTTGATAGTGGGGTGACATCGCACGCTAAGACGTCAATCGAACCAGGCTACTGAGAGCTAGCCTGGGTTAAAACATACTATGAGGTTGCAGTCACCGGGCCAAAGGAGAATTCCGGATTGAGTTTATGGGTTGATGCTGACGCCTTGAAACAGGATGTCTGGGACGATGAAGCGCATGCAGCTTCCCCGCATAGATTGGCCATGACAGACAAGGTGTAGTAGCTCCAAAGCAGCTTAAATACTGGTGAACAACCCATTTCTTGGCTAGAAGACAACCCTACATTCCATTTATCGCAACCATTACAACTTGAAATCGATTTAATCTCATTATGTCTGGAGAAGCCTATACCAACGGCAATGGTGTCAATGGCCTTGCGCCGCTCCATAGCATCTCTAGCGTCACCATCTCAAACGAAATGTTTGAGAAGCTCTATCTCAACCCTGCCAACAAGGTCAAGGGAGAGCTAAGGCGAACTTTTGCCAATCCGACTCCGCTGTAAGAAACCAACATCGTACGCGATCCTTATATAATCGAAACACTAACCTGACCACATTAGTCCATTGCTCGGCTTCCTCATCGCCTCGACCCCTCTAGCTGCAGCTCTGATGGGCTGGCGCGGTGCTGGAGGAGGAGGTGCCGCAACAATTGGCACGTTTTACTTCTTTGGTGGCATGCTTCAAATCATCGGCTCGATCCTCGAATGGATTATTGGCAATACCTTCATTTACATTGTCTTTGGATCCTTTGGTATGTTAACACCATACACTTGCACACGAGACAGCCATTAACAAGAGCCTCCAGGCGCATTCTGGCTTGCCTTTGCTGCCACCCTTACACCAATGTACAATGCGGAGGCGGCTTTCACTGCTGGTGCAACGACCGCTGCCGAGAAGGCCAAGGGTGTAGCGTCGTTCCAGTCGAGTCTTGGTAAGTTGAGAATGTCAGCAGAGAAGCGGAACTCGCAACTAACTGAAAACTGTAGCCTTCTTCCTGCTCTTTATGGGACTTGTGGTTTTCATGTATCTCATCTGCTCCCTCCGAACCAATTTTGTTTTCTTTTGCATCTTTCTGTTCCTCGACATTGCACTGTTCGTGCTTGCAGGAGCATACTGGAAAGCGGCCGAAGGCGACGTACAGGCGTTCCATCGCCTTGAGATCGTAAGTCTTGCCTTCTTGCAACGATATGGGTTGAAGCTAATAGGTGTCGTCACAGACAAGTGGTGCCTTCGTCTTCGTCTTTTGCGTCTTTGGCTGGTATCTTCTCTTCGCACAGCTTCTAGAAACTGTCGACTTCCCTCTCGACCTTCCCGTCGGTGACCTCAGTGGTCGAATTCTCACGAGCCGCGCCAAGAAGCCCGATATTGAGAGTAAGCATCACACCGAGTAGAGATGTCTGGTATTTAGATGGCAGAACTGGCGAGACACAATATTTTCTACGATTATTTCCGACGAAAGGATGGTGGCTTTTGCCGATTGGAGTTGAATAGGGTGAGGCGTTTGGCTCTAATTTCCACAAATAGTAAGCAGTGCGAAATAGCGTCCCGTAATTAAATTTACACTATTAGCCGTTAGATATTCGGTGAGGCCTTATAAGACCACATCGTTGCCTCTCGATGTACTTCTCTATGGTATAGGTTGTCAGGTAGTCATGCTACCCCTTCTAGCCTTTGAAACCACATTGCCTTATTTATGAGAACTCGTATTCAACACACATCTCTCATGACTTGGTCAAGCCTGCGATAACGGGGATCAACATAAGGGCATACTGTTTGAGTAAGAGGGCTTGCGAGGGTTGGGCTCAGCTGAACCTTTAGCGCGGCAGGGCTGTCCCACTGCCACAGCACCATCACCACTGTATTTACCGCGGTTTAGTGGACTGCGCCCCCCATAGGGGTCTGCTAGCGCCGCGTAAAATAGCTATTCCGTGCCGAGATGAGACGCAGTGGGCCCTACGGCAACTACAAATTGAAAAATTTGGTGCTCAAAAACAGAGCTCCTAGTCAGCCTCACCAACGCCATGTTGCTTTTTTGCCTCGTCTGATGCGGCCCAATCCGTTGCGGCTGAAAATGCCGGCGACCATTTGCTCCGTTTCTGACACGCCAAGTCATTGATGTGTTTTTATCGGCATGGATGATCCCAACAGCTAGCCGGGGCTAAGGTGTTCGAGGTCGTGGATATAATGCACGCCTTCTCCACGCCCTGCGATTGTGTCCGTCTGCGTAAAGTGGACATGCATTTATCGTACCTGCTTGAGATCTTTGCATCATGAGATTCCATTGCCCACTCTTCATTGCGGCAGCCTTCACTGGCGTGCTTGCAGACGACATCATCCTTTCCTATGACAAGAAGCTCGATGGGCTCGTCGAGTCCAACGAAGTTGTCACCACCATGATGGGCCAAGTTGACAGCTATGCCATCATCATGGCAAAGGACGAGGCTGAAAAGGGAGACGGAGCCGTAAAGGCACAGCGATCTGTCGGCATGTCCCCTCGCGCAGCTCTTGATTTGCTGCGCGGCCGTGCTTACTCTTGCGACCCTGGCTACGGCTACTGCAACTACGCGGGCGGCTGCTGCCCAAGCGCAGACCGTTGCTGCTCGTACGGATACTGTCTCCGTCCGGAACAAGCATGCTGTCCCAATGCTCCTTGCGGCGCGGGCAAAACATGCTGCGGCACGCAAAACTGCATGCCAATTGGCGCTCAGTGCTGCCAAGATGGAGGCTATTGCCCAGCTGGAAACAGCTGCTACCTTAAGAACGGAGATGTTGTCTGCTGCACAAACTCCCGTTGCACGGCCTACGTCTCCGCGAATGGTGTCACGTCGACGGCCCCGAGCCGCACGTCTACGACGACATACTACACCACCCGCACCCAGTATTACTACTGGACGATTACTTGGTAAGTTTCATGCAAATCTTTCAAACGATGCCTTACCCATTTCCCTTCCAAGCCCTCGGCCCACTCTGAGCTATACCAATTCTCTCCCATGGTATATTTCTATTTTTGTTCGAGGAAGATTGACTGGACGATTACTCACCGATGCTTCCTTTACACCGTGGAAGTATTGGTCCATATTTACAGCCCTACACATCAACATCGTTTGCAACTTTTTGTTATTTGCAACGTCAGCTAACATTATATGTTACTAGGTACTACTACTACTATTACTGGACGTATATTGCCGCGTCGACAGTTACCTCATCTAGACGCACAACCTACACTACACTCAGTATCTACACCACCGATGCGTCAGCCGCGAGCCGCTACTTCAGCTCTGTGTCTAGCACAATATCGTTTAGCACTCCTGCAAGTGCCACCTCGCTTGCATCACTCGCCGGCAAGACAGCATCGCCTACCAGTGACTCTGGCAGCGACGGAAACCTTGGTGGCAGCATCGGCGGCTCCAGCGGCGGCTCCAGTGGCGGCTCCAGTGGCGGCTCCAGTGGTGGTGGTGGCGCGGCCTCGTCTGCACCACGGGCCCTACTGACCTCGGCTGACCGTGGACTACTTTACGTTTTGCTGTTGGGAGCGAGTGTCGGTGTCATCGCCATTGCGCTGTAAGAAGCTCTTTGGTGTGTCCCGCATAGATCCTATTGTGTAATGATGAGTTTCAAAGATAGAATGACAACCCTTAATGGTGCCGTAATGAAAGCTGCCCTTTGCCGTCTCTGGCCAAGTAATCACATCAAGTCTCCCTCGTTTCTTACAATGTTATAAATGTTTCGTATGTGCTGCTCTACTCTTGCTGGCTACTTTGCTTTACGACCTTTTTAATCTTGACAAGCAAAGTTTTCAAGTCCCAACGTATTAATTTCTATATCTAAGATTTTTGTATTATTTTATTCATGGTGCAACTTGATTCTCTATCAGAAAGTCTATGCGTAGTTGTGGTTGTGAAGGGGGCTAGCTACGGTATGCATTAAAGCGGCACCATGCACGTAGCCCGATTGGGATGTTGGTGCCTTGCGCGGTCGCGCCAACCTCAAGCTCACGAAAAAAGCTGTGTCGCCTGCACCAGCAACCTCAGCAACGCCAATTCGCCATCACCCCATTCCGGCTTTGCGAGATTGCCGCTGCCTGCATCTCGAATTTAGCTAGAGAGGCCTGATAAATCCAATTTGCAACATTTGCGAGGATCCAATTGCGTCGATACACGTCACGAACTTCCCTGCGAGCTTTCGACACCAATAAACATGTCCTTCACCTTTGGCACGTCGAGCGGGCAGGCCAGCACGCCGACTTCGACCGCGCCGGCTACTGGCGGCCTTTTCGGAGGAGCAGCAGGTTCATCGACTCCATCTTCCGGCACACCGTCGTTCTCCTTTGGCAACGCGGGCGCTGCTGCTAAGCCTGCAACTGGTGGCCTGTTCGGCGGAGCTGCTTCATCAACGACTCCTACAACGACTGGAGGCGGTCTATTCGGAGGAGCCAGCACAACGCCATCTACGGGCGGTCTCTTTGGCGCCAAACCAGCTTCTACAACTCCCGCCACAACAGCTGCTACACCCGCTGCCGCTGCTCCTTCAGACAGCAAGCCGGCTAGTTTGTGTGGCAGCGGTGCTTCCACGCCGGCTTTAGCCTCTGGCAGTGGCCTCTTTGGACAGAACAAGCCTGCTGCACAAGCATCTACACCCACAACAACCGCTGCACCTGCTGCAGGCGGCCTATTTGGTGGTGCCGCCGCTGGTGCTGGCGCTACATCCCTTTTCGGCGTCAAACCTGCTGCTGCTGCTGCTCCTGGAGCTGCCCCTGCAGCAACACCAGCAAAGCCCATGTTCTCGCTGACATCAACAACACCCGCTGGAGTCCCAGCTGCTGCAGGTGGCCTATTCGGAGCAAAGCCAGCCGCCCCTGCGGCCGGAGGACTCTTTGGAGCCAAGCTAGCAGAGACTTCTTCAGCGCCAGCTGCAGCACCAGCAACAACTGCAGCTGCTGCCCCTGCTGGAGAACTATTCGGTGCTAAGCCTGCTGCTCCTGCTGCTGCTCCTGCCGCAGGCGGTCTATTTGGAGGCGCAGCAGCCAGTCAACCTGCTGCCGACGCTACTACCACAGCTTCCGCCCCTGGTACTGCTTCTTCTCTCTTCGGTGGTGCAAAGCCTGCCACAAGCGCCGCCCCTGCTGCAGGCGGTCTATTTGGAGGTGCCGCTGCTACATCTGCTTCTGCTGCCCCTACGACTCCTGCAGCTGCGCCCGCCGCTGGTGGACTCTTTGGAGCGAAGCCCGCAGCCGCCACAACCACTGCCGCGCCCGCTGCCACCACGACTACTGTTGCTCCTTCTGGTGGCCTATTTGGGGCCGCTGCTCCCGCTGCTGCTGCGGCCAAACCTGCTGGTGGTCTCTTCGGTGCCCAGCCTGAGGCAGCATCTACAACTGCTGCCACCACCACATCTACCACAACTGCTGCTACTCCTGCGGCTGCTCCTGCAGCTGGCGGCTTATTCGGCGCGAAGCCTGCTACCCCCGCTGCTACTGCTACAATGGGCAAGACTGACGCCGCGGCAACGACAACAACTGCCCCAGCCGCCACTGGTAGTGCCTTGGGAGCCTCTACAACTGGCCCTCCCTCTCAGATGGCTAGATTGAAGAACAAGACCATGGAGGATATCGTCACTCGCTGGGCCTCGGATCTGACCAAGTACCAGAAGGAATTTAAGGAACAAGCTACTATCGTCTCTAGATGGGATAGCAATCTCGTTGAGAACGGTGAGAAGATCCAGAAGCTCTATCTTGACACATTTGAAGCCGAGCGCGCCAGCCATGAGATCGAGCGTCAATTGGCTGCGGTTGAAAGCCAGCAAGAGGAACTTGAAGCATGGCTCAGCCGATACGAGGGCGAAGTACAAGACATGTTTGCCAAGCAGCTTGGACCTGGCGAACAGCTCACCGGCCCTGACCAGGAGCGTGAGAGAACTTACAAGCTGGCTGAGAAGCTGACCCAGCAGCTTGATGAGAAATCGAGGGACCTTTCCAAGATGGTCAAGGAGATCAACGACATTTCCGGCACTCTCAACAAGGGAACCAAGGCAGAGGACCCTGTAAGTGAATCACTACTACTCACATGCACCTTTACTAACATCAATCAGCTGAGCCAAATCGTCCGCGTTCTCAACGGCCACTTGACGCAGCTCCAGTGGATCGATGCCAACGCCTCTGCCCTCCAGGCAAAGGTTTCTGCGGCGCAAAAATCTAACAGCAGCCTCAGTGGCAACTATGGCGGTGCTGAGAACGATGCTGCGGATAACCTCTTCCGCTCATACATTGGACACAGGTAAGGGGCTGTACGGGTTAATTGTTTCTGGTTATTAGTTACATATCTGTTTGATCTTGGAGTTTGGGGCAGAAAGGCACGAGTAATATACTATCTTGCTACATCATTTCTCACTTCACATTGTACGACAAAATTAATGGACTCGTGGAACGGATGTATAAGCACAAATATTGTAGTTGTACACTAGACGATGCTATGCTTCGCGCCGCATGTGTGGCAGCAATGGGGTAGTCGATGGTATGATAGTGCCGATGCAATGTATCGACTGATGACATTGAGCCATCTGGGGTTCGTAAGCGGCGTTCGCTGTCCGAGATATGTCGGCTGGTAACAGCAAGCTTATTTCTCCTTGGTGATCTCGTCACTGTGTGCACCGTCGGTTAGTTCGGTCCCAAGGGCAACAAGTTTGAGACTATGAGTACTCACATGTGCTGAGAGAGGCGGTTAAGGTGCTCTTGCTGCTCGGCAAGCTTCTTCTTTAGCTCAAGGAGCTTCTCCTTCTCACGCTGACGGATGGCGTAGTCCTCGGAGGCCTTCTCGCGGCGCTGGAAAGCGTCACTACATTACAGGAGTTGTTAGCCAATGGTACATAATTCAGACCACCCTGTTTGATAGGAAAGATCCTTATCAAAACTGAGGCATCCGAATTGCTCAAATAGTCTTACCCTTGGCCACCAGTGGCGGGAGGAGCGCCAGTGTCGCCAGCAGCCATGGCTCGGGTGGTGGTGCTGAAAGCGGCGGCACGGAGGGGACGGAAAGCAGCCGTCTTGGCAAAGGTGGTGCGAAGCATTATGACAGAAGTGTTGAAGATGGTAGCGACGGGGTGTCGATGGGTTTATAAAAGGTCAATGGATGCGGGGAGACGTCGAAAGATGCGGATCGGTGGTGGTGGTGGAGGTCGCCCAGTAATTGGGGGAGAGCTGCCTTAGCTCTGGATCTTCGTTTTTGCGTGGTTTACGTGAGCCGTGCTAGCCTGGTACGTGATTGGCTGCGGGCGCACCACAGTAACCGGGGTACCGCCGTAGCAGAAGCTGCTGTTCCTCAGGCCAACCCGTAAACTGGTAGAACTTGATTTCATAGTGGGGCGCTCCGGCCATGGCTACTGGGCCTGGCGTGGCCGGTTACAGCGCATGCTTTTTAGGTTGGGTGCTGCACTGTAACGGGATGCTGCATGACGAAGGATAGAAAAATTATTGAGAATTTTTTTATTTGCAATATAGGCACAGACATCAAGAGTCCGCTAATCTGTAAGAAAAGTGTCTCTTTCCTGAGCATAATCAGCTCAGAGCGGTATGCATTAATAGCAGATATGGCATTTTATCGAAACACAATGACGTTGAGGCCTGGCGCCGCTGTGAAAGGCGCTGTAGTGTACCCCCAAGCTCTGTTGACGTAGAACCGTGCCAAGTTGAGACACGCTGCCTCCAGCGTCATTTTACAGGGCAGCGTGCCTGACAGCCGCGATGGCGACGCATGTGGGAATACTTAGAAACAGCCTCACAGACAGCTGAGGAATCCCGTGATGGCGCAAAACAAACCTGCTACGTAGATATTGATCCGGTGAATAGCGGAGGAGGCCCCGAGACTTGTGACGCGTCAGTGAAGCTCGGGACCGACCTGGCAGGCAGCTTCCAGCGGTAAACAAACAGATTGCTTCAACACTGCTGTAGAAGTTAGTAAAGCAATGCGTAGCGCAATGCGATTAGCAGATTAAAAGAAAAATACACAGAAAATACGGGCGAACTGGTGCAAATGAAATTGATAGACTAATCTCAAAACAAAGGGTCGGATGAAGACCCTGGAGGGACTCAATTAAACGCTTCCATGTCTTTCCTGTTCCCTTAGGCTCACCTCGCCCTTGTGACGTGACGAGGTTCTGAGCACCAGTTGATCGTTGAGAGCGAGCAGTACCAGAAAGTTACATGCTCGTACAGTGCGCTGCGACGCCGCCAACGTGGGAACTTCACCAAAATTAGCTGCGACCCAGTTGGTCCCGGTAACACGGTGGCTCGGATTACGAGGTGAAACACATGCTAAAAAGGGTCCGCGCGTACAGTGCGCAGAACAGCTAGTCCAAGGCGGACAACGGGTACTGCGCACGTACCACCCCGCCTGCTTTTTGCCTGTCTTCAGTGGCCTCCAGCGGGTGCCAGGCCCAGGGAAATTGGAGGGGAACCGCTGCTCCCCCAGGCTGGTTGGTGGCCGCCTCTTGGGACTCTGGAAGCATCTTTCCTCTCCCACCGCCCGCCCGCCTTCTTCCTTCTCTCTCTCCCCTACAAAACAACAACTCACACACTTTTCCCGCAACCCGTCACTTCCTTGTTTGCACGCATTCTGTGAATAGCTGCATATCAACCTTTTGAAAACAAAGCCGTATTCGTTTTTTATTCCCCTTCTTTCAAACACACCCTCTCCTACTTCTTTGGTATGTGCCTTGCACCCTGAAATTGCTCCCAGCACCCCTCCTCTTGCCCCCCAAACCAACTGTCGTCATAACCGTATTCGGCCGCTGCCTCGATCTCCGATTGCCAGGCTCGCCGCAGAGCCAATTTCTTCTTTGCCGCGCCTTACTCTTGCCGATGATGCCCCTGTGTCCTCGAAATTCCGCGATGCGCGCCGCCTCGTCCTCTGCCAATCTAAGCTCGAACTGTTGGTCCTGACAAGCACCGAACGGCTAAGAAAACCCCACTACGCTGGGCGAGCGGGGGAGGGCGGCAAGCACCGCGCTCGCCGCCAGGACGATGCGTATCTGCGATATGCTGCCTGGGCTTGTCAATTTCAAATGAATGCGTCTACAGAGAAGAATTTTTGGCTCTTGCAGATTCGGAGTGGCTCTGGCGCGGCCGTCGTGCGAAACCGCCGCTACGTGTGGACGAATTCGCGCGCCGCAGCACCACACCTACAGCACCCGCAAACCGCGCGTTGTACATGTTGCTAACCATGCTCTTGCAATTATTAGACAAATTTCCATCAAAATGGGTAACGAAGATGCTGTCTACCTTGCCAAGCTTGCTGAGCAGGCCGAGCGCTACGAGGGTACGTAATATTTGTCCTTTTCTCTTTTCACCGCTTGCTTGGGCTAACACAGGTTTTGCGCAGAAATGGTTGAGAACATGAAGATTGTCGCCTCTGAGGACCGCGATTTGACTGTTGAGGAGCGCAACCTTCTCTCCGTCGCCTACAAGAACGTTATCGGCGCTCGCCGTGCCTCTTGGAGAATAGTCACCTCCATCGAGCAGAAGGAGGAGTCCAAGGGCAACTCTAGCCAGGTTACTCTCATCAAGGAGTACCGCCAGAAGATTGAGGATGAGCTCGCCAAGATCTGCGAGGACATCCTCGACGTCCTTGACAAGCACCTGATCCCCTCCGCCAAGTCTGGCGAGTCTAAGGTCTTCTACCACAAGATGTAAGCTATAATTCCGCCCACCGCTCCATCTTGGTTTGCATATACAGCTTTGCTAACGACAGTCTGCTTATAGGAAGGGTGATTACCACCGCTACCTCGCCGAGTTCGCTACTGGCGACAAGCGCAAGGACTCTGCCGACAAGTCTCTCGAGGCTTACAAGGCTGCCACCGAGGTTGCCCAGACTGAGCTTCCTCCCACTCACCCCATCCGTCTTGGCCTTGCCTTGAACTTCTCCGTCTTCTACTACGAGATCCTCAACGCCCCCGACCAGGCTTGCCACCTCGCTAAGCAGGCCTTCGACGATGCCATTGCTGGTAAGAATTGCGCGACCGACATATCAAGGACAATTCACTAACGTGATACACAGAGCTCGACACCCTCTCTGAGGAGAGCTACAAGGACTCTACCCTCATCATGCAGCTCCTCCGTGACAACCTCGTAAGTACCTTGGCTGTATGCAAGCCACTGTTCTAGGCGCTAACCGTATTAAACAGACTCTCTGGACCTCTTCTGAGGCCGAGACCTCCGGCGCCGCCGATGCCTCTAAGCCTGAGGAGTCCGCCGCCGCTGAGCCCGCCACCACCGCCGCGGCCGAGGAGCCCAAGGCCGAGTAAAGTGCCAAAAGTTCGATGGACAACACGACCAGACTTCAACCACCTCTCGGTTTGTCGACTTGTCTAATGTCTCCGGAATAAAGGTAGACGTTTCTGTTTTTTATCAAGAGCTACGGCATTTTTAACGGTAAAACACCAAAGAAATCAACCAAGGGGCTTGTGCGTATGTTTTTTGTTTTTACCTTGTCTTTTATCAGCAACCCGACGGATCGGTAATGCTTGCAAGGGCAATCCTTTGGAGGAGCTCTATGCAGCATGTCAAGATACGACCGCATGGGTAAATAAAACTACGAAAATTGCTTTCAATATACCGAACACCACGTTCATCCGGTAATGAAGATTATACCCAAAGCTCTCTGTGGCCCTTTGTGCTTCTGTGTGATGATGTAATGCAGTGAAAGTGTAATGTTAAAACATTTTGTTCAAATGTATTGTTAATTCTTGATTCGTATTATTCATTAATGCTATTTGTCATCATCATCCAGTACCGCAAAATGTACTTTGAGCCAAAGGCTGCAATCGTGGCAACCAACCATGAGTTCACCGAGCTCTTGCGCCTCTTCAAGATCCTGTTCTTGAAACGTATACCCTTTATCATTGCCACATCGACACGAGCGAAACCAGCGCTCTCCATCTTCATCAAACTCCAAATCGTCCAAGTCGACATTCTCGATACCCGTCTGGAAACGGGATAATTCGCCATCGTTGCCCGCATTTCTGGCCAGCCGAAGAGCCACATCATACTCGGCCCGCTTAGCTGGAGAAGAAATGATGGCAAACGCCTGGCTAATCTGATCCACCGTGTATAGGGATTCTTCTTTTACCGACGAATCCCGCGCTTTGTCAGGATGGTTGAGTAGCAGGGCGCGGTGGTATGCCCGCTTTATAAGAGTGGCGGCAGCATCTGAGTTTTCAATGGCCGATGCCGTCAGGTTGAGCACTTGGTAGTGAGTGGCATCGGTGGCAGGACGGCCCAAAGAGGGGCCATCCATCTGGCCTTGTGGTTTTAAAGAAGTTGCGAGAGTTGAGATTTGGAAGAAATTGAACACAGTGGTCAGTGGTCGACGTCCAGAACTGGTGTAAGAAAGTCTGCAAGTGGCGTCACGTGACGGTGGTGATGTCCAAAATTGGTAGCAGATGCCAGTCGTATCAACCTGTTCTGGATAGATGGCAGGCGTAATTGGAAGAAGATATTTGATACAGAGATTGGCTTGTTTACTAGTACTTATAATTATGCTCGAATAGCTAGGGGGTTATCAATCACATCTGCGAAAGGCATGGTGCCGCATAAGCTCCTGAGACTATAGCGACACAACTGTTGGCAATGAAAGGCTGTTGTATAAAATTACAGGTGTATATATGTACATATTCGTCGTTTTGATACAGTTTGGGCGAGGCTCTGCCGGTCTCGAGAGGTTTATTTTGGGAACTTGGTCCAGTTCTTCTTGCCGACCTAGAAGTGTATTTGTTAGTTTGTCTCCATTGGGATAGTGTCGTTTGATATGCGTACCTTTTTCCAGGCCTTGATGAGCTGAGGCATCTCCAGCATGGCTTTTCTTCTTTGTTCCATTCTATAGGGCAACCGTTAGTATAGATGCGACGAATCCTTGTGCGCGTGCAGCGTACCTGGCAATCATGTGTCGTTCGTGGACGCGGCCCTTGACCTTTTGGCCAACACCAGTACCCTTTACTCTCAGACCATGCTCAATGCGATGGGCGAGGCGAGCCTCCTTACTCTTGGGCGTCTCGGGCAGCAAGTCCTGAACACCGTGCTCGTGTGCCATCTTGGCGAGCTCGGCCTGGCGGCGCTGTGAGAAGACGGGATCCTGCCACTTGCCGGTGACGGGATGCTTGTAGAATTGGAATGGATTCGGTCGCTCTTGTTGGTAGATAGTGGGAGGCGTGCCGTTGGGGACAATGGCTGCGGGAGGCCATCTGGCGAAGAAGCGCTGAAGGGGTGCAGGCAGCGACTTTGCCAGCTGGATGAAGTTGGCGGCCGACGACATTTTGACGGGCAGTCTGCTGACCAATTATTCTTTAACTGAGGAGTTAGAGAATCGGGCCCGATGGCGATGTCGATTGGGGGGAATAATGGAAGTGAATCTGGCGATGCTTGTTTTGCTCCTGACGAGTTGGACGTTGGAAATAATTTGGTGTCTCGCGACACCGGCGCCCCACTCATTTTTAAGGCTTCGGGTCGACGTCTATAAGTCTGTCTACACCACAACCACTGTCATGCTATTATGGATAAATAAATAAAATAGAAATTATGAAAATAAAGTTAAAAGTTATTCTTTTCTACTCCAAGCTTTCTACCGAACTAGCTATCCCCTGTCACTCACTTTTGGGTACAAAATGATGACCTATTATTTGGTAAGAGAATGTGTAAAGCCTCCATTGCCATACTTTTTCAGTGCATTTTGATACCAAATATCCCAATCGAATGTTTCTTCTCCTGTAGCAGCCTTCCACCATCCACTAAAGACTTTAGTAAAGTTTTCTCTGTCCTCCGGGCTCGTCTCTATCACTTGGTCGATTCTAAAGTGCAGCTTCTGCGCTGCTAACGCAGAGAGCTCACCGGACTGGGTCTCTTCTTGAAGGATCTTGGAAAACCGTTTTTCATCCTCGCTTAGTGTGGAGATTCCTTCATTGTATAGTTCCCCGAGATTGTACAGCAGCAGACGCGATTGGAAAGCCGCTTCTTTGGCTGTGACAATGGCCAGTTCCCAATCTATAATGCCTGTGATGTTGTATTCGGAATCCACTAAGAAACTAGCATCTCTAGAGTCGATATGGCGCAAGAAGTAAGACCCGTCATCTTTTCGAGGGAGGTTGTCAAGGAGACTTTTGTAGACAAGGTATTGATCGATAGGCGCAGATGGTGCAATCTCCCCCGTCCTGATGAGACCAACTTGGTGCTCGATCAAGGCCCTGTAGTAGTCGTTGCTATTGTCAAATGGACTAACTGGCACTGCAGGCCAACTTGAGTCGTAATCGAAAAATGCTGGACCGGCTTCTGGCTGGCCTGTTGACGACGATGATGGCTGTAGGCGCCCAATGTTTTCAACTGGATGCTTCTCCAACTGGGCATAAATGCCGGCTAATTGGCGCAGGAACTTTTCCTTCTATGCTTGGTCCGCTTCGTGCCAGGCCAACGGCTTTCCCGGAAGCATTTCGACTAAAATATATCCAACCCCAACAGCGTTGGATGGATCCTCGTCATCGGCATAGTCGTAGACGTGTGGAACTGGGACAGCAGCTTCGACTAGGAAGCGATATGTAGCGAATTCACTGCGACGGTCAAAGTTCCTTTCCTCCACTAGAGGTGAGTTGTGGTTTGGCAGGCGGAATCGTGATAGCCATACTTTTCCATCGTCAAACAGAATTGAGCCATGGTAATTGCGCCCCCCAACGATATCGGCATTGGCTGATGGAAGATTGACAGTACATTTCATTCCGTGACGTAAAGTCTCGGCACGCTTGCAGAGGGCATCGCTGTCGATGCTGTCTATTAGGGCAGAGATGATCTCCTCGCCTGCCTTTCGTCGGGATGCGTTGAGCTGTTGGAGCTTAGTCTTGTCACCAGACTCGTAGATGGTTTGGATTTCCTATTATAAATGGCAGCATTGTCAGCTTTATCTCAACCCTATTTCACTCAGTCATGGTCTATATACAAACTTCTGTTGTCAGACAAGTGTGCAAAGTTGAAACGGCGTGGTCTCCGCAAAAGTGCTGGTAGCATTGCTCACTGCCCAAGAAGCGTCCACAAGGCGGGACGGCGACATGCCTGAGCTGCGCACGGCCACCTCATAATGTACTATGTTGTTGATTGTTTTGGTAATGCCGATGGATGTGTGGCTAAAGGAGCAGGTGATGCAAACGAATAGTATGTTGTTGGTTACTGGCATCCGGTTCACACACCAGATGTAAAAGGCAACTCAGAATGCAGCGCGCGCCTGATGCAGACCTGACAAAACTGTGATGTGAAGACCTAAACGCCACCAGACCTGTGAGAGAGCTCATGCATGTTCCGAGGATGTGATTGGTTAAAGTCTCATTTACTTTACCGATGGAGTGTTTGTTGCATGGGGGAGAAGACCAATAAACGGCACCCACGCGACTGAGGCCAGGGTATTTCGTGGTGATGGCCAAATGATATCACACTGGATATCAATTCGAGCAAAAGGAGGATCTAAATGAATATATATCGCTGACTCTTTCTTCTTCGTGAATGAGCTGTCAGGATTTTAGTACACCTCTTCTAGCTCATCTTCCAAAATTGTCTAACGCTCAATTAAATTATTACTGAAGCAGCCATGGCCACCAACTGTAACTCCAAGGGCTGCAACAGCTGGGCAGTTTCTGGCTCAGCCTATTGTTCCCAGCGTGAGCAATTATTTCTTCGTTTGTCTACAATATTATTAAACTAATTCCAAATCTCAGAAGGTGGAACAACAGGATAGAGGCGTTAAGCTGTGCCGCTGTGTTGAACTGGTTGTATTGATATCATCGATAGGTTGTTGCCTATGAAAGTCGCCTCTATATTAACCTTCATTCCCAATTTGTAAACTTCTGACTTGCGGACGAACTTTGTCGCACTATTTATTTTACAACAAAACAAGCTAATTTCAATCCTACTGTAAAGCTGATGCTTGGACATCTAACAATTGACAACAATTAAGTCAACCAGTGTTAGACAGGGCTAAACACTAACAAAATGCGATTATCAAGATGCTTGATGATACTTTGAGAAATAACAAAACGAGGCTGTGGAGTTGATATTATTTTTAATAAATAATACTAATGATAAATTGCAATATCGTTTGTATAACTAACATTTATTTACCGGTGTTCTTGTTCTGGCAGCTAAAATAGACGTGAATCTATAGTGGACTCAACGGGACCCGATTTTCGCTCCAACCGCGCGCAGGTGCCTGATTGGCTCGACGCCACCACCTCCAACTCCATCGCTCTTGTCGACATCTTCAACCTCTCTTTTTTCTTTTCCTTCGTTCCTCGGGCTGGCAGCTGGCGTTTTGTTTTGAATTTAGATATCCCGAGGCGCGCACGATATACATCAGCAGAAGGACCAGTATCCACGATCGCCATGCCTCTCGACATCGAAGAGATTCTTCGACAAAAGAAGGCGGCCGCTGCTGCGGCTGCAAAGCCTCGATTCATTCCCAAAGCCCAACGAGAGAAGCTTGCCGCAGAAAAGGCAGCAAAGGATAAAGAAGACGAGAAGAAGAAGCTTGCCAGCGACGCGGCGCGCAGAAAGGAAGAAGAGAAGAAGTGGGAGGCGAGATCAAACGGGGCGCCCAATAAGAACGGCTCTACAGCAATCACACCATACGCCAACGAGATTGTTCCGACAGGGCCGCGGACGTCAAACGGCACAGATGATCGATCTCGAGATGGAAGGGACGGTAAAGGCCGCAGAGATGGCGCCAAAAAGGCCGAAAAGTCTTCAAAGAACAAGCAGTCTGCCGAAACGATCGAAGCCGACCTGTTACGAACGCGATATCTCGGCCCCGAAGTAAACCAGCACTCGAATTTCTCTGCCAAGAAGAAGCGCATGCGAACAACAGAAAAGAAATTCAACTTTGAATGGGATTTGGATGACGATACATCACGACTCAGCGAATCACAAGGCGCCGGTGCCGGTGGCGGCGCGATGGGCTTTTCGTTCTCTGGTATCGGCGGCGAGTTCGATGAAGGTGCCGAGGAACGCGCACGAAAGCGAGCCCGACTGGTCGAAGAGCGTGACGCCGAAAACGGAAAAGAGCGAGCCAAGGGTATTATGGAAGACTTCTTCAGAGCAAGAGACCGGGCACGAGACAGAGCCGAACGAACTGGCCTTGGCCGTCACTGGTCCGAGAAGAAGCTCGACGAGATGCGCGAGCGCGATTGGAGAATCTTCAAGGAAGACTTTGGTATTTCTACAAAGGGTGGCACGCTGCCGAATCCCATGCGCAGTTGGCAGGAATCCGGACTACCGCCCAGAATATTGGACATTGTCGACAAAGTTGGATACAAGGAGCCGTCTGCTATTCAGCGTGCCGCTATCCCCATTGCTCTACAGGCCCGTGATCTTATCGGTGTTGCCGTGACCGGTTCCGGTAAAACGGCTGCTTTCCTTCTTCCCCTCCTCGTCTATATTTCTGATCTCCCTCCACTGACCGAAGTCAACAAGAACGACGGTCCTTATGCCCTCATTCTCGCCCCTACTCGTGAACTTGTCCAGCAGATTGAGACAGAAGCGCGCAAGTTTGCAGAGCCTCTTGGATTCAGATGTGTCAGCATCGTCGGTGGTCACTCTCTGGAAGAGCAGGCATTTGCTCTCCGCAATGGTGCCGAAATCGTTGTCGCCACGCCTGGTCGTCTGGTCGATTGTATCGAGAGACGCCTTCTCGTGCTCTCGCAATGTTGCTACGTCATCATGGATGAAGCCGACAGAATGATTGACCTCGGTTTTGAGGAGTCTGTCAACAAAATCCTCGACGCTCTACCTGTATCCAACGAGAAGCCAGACACTGACGATGCCGAAAATGCACAGCTCATGAAGCGCTACCTCGGAGGCAGAGACAAATACCGCCAAACCATGATGTACACAGCCACTATGCCACCGCTCGTGGAAAAGATTGCCAAGAAGTACCTGCGTCGCCCTGCCATTGCTACGATTGGTAACGCTGGTGAAGCCGTCGACACTGTCGAGCAGCAGGTCGAGTTCGTCGCTGGCGAAGATGCCCGCAAGAAGAGACTGCAGAAGATCCTGGCAAGCAACATGTTTGCGCCGCCCATCATCGTCTTTGTCAACATCAAACGAAACTGTGACGCTGTCGCTCGCGATATCAAGTCCATGGGCTGGTCTGCCGTCACACTACACGGTTCCAAAACACAGGAGCAGCGTGAAGCAGCGCTGGCGTCGGTGCGCTCTGGTCAGACACAAGTCCTGGTTGCTACCGATCTCGCTGGTCGTGGTATCGATGTCGCTGACGTCTCTCTCGTCGTCAACTTCAACATGGCCACCAGTATCGAGAGCTACACCCATCGTGTTGGTCGTACCGGTCGTGCGGGCAAGAGCGGAACAGCCATTACGTTCCTGGGCAGCGAGGATGCAGACGTCATGTACGATTTGAAACAGATGCTGAGCAAGAGCACACTATCCAAGGTCCCAGAAGAGCTGCGCAAGCACGAGGCCGCACAGTCCAAGCCTACGCGCGGTAGCAGGACACACAAGGATAGAGATGAGAATCCTGGAGAAGCACGTGGCGGTGGTGGTGCAGGAAGAGGCGACCCATCTGGCGGTGGTTGGCAGTAATGACCATATATCTGGCGTTTGTAATTGTAAAGGGAATATGAAAAGGTATATTAACTCTTTTAATATGAATAATACGACGCCTGTGCGACTTCATGTAGCTTTGTTTAGCTTTGATGTTGTTGTCGTTCCTTGACGCTCTTGTTATAATCGGCCCACTGGTCTGGCTTTATATTCCCAAATATATCTTTAAACTGCCGAAGCAAGTCATCATGGCCAGCCAGTAGTGTTTCTGCTCCTTCCAAGGCCTCCTTCACGACGTCGGGCTGGAATTTGCTGTCGACGGCCTTCTTCGCAAGAGCATTAAGCTTATCATTGGTATCTTTGTCTAGACCCTCCTAGCGACAAGAACGATAAACTAGCCATGCTACTCGATATCTTGCTTCAGAAAAAGAGACGGCCTATTCTGACATCATAAGAATGCTTGAACCGGTTCATAGCAGCCTTTGGATCAATCTCAGGGTGGTCCGCCTGCAGCTGCTGTACAACCTTCTCCTGGCGCTCTAGCGCCTCTTCACGAGAAGGCTATATAGCTTCCCTTATATTCTCAGCCATATCTTCACAATGCTTAGAAGATAGATTCTGAATGGACGTTTGCTTCTGGGTTATTTGACGGTTGTTCTGTCGAACTGTTCCTGCGCCGTTGCCTGGAGTTTGTGGCTTCATCTACGGAATCGCGGGGTGACTCACATGACTTGAAATCCAAAAAGAGGCATTTGGACCACTTTCGTGAAAGTGAGGCTTCTGTCGGTATGTTCACAGACTGATGCTAGCCTTATTTCCGCTAGTGCGATGGAGGGACCTTCGTGCTGAATCCTTCGAGTGACCGCTGTTCGAAGCTCGAGCATGACAGTAATCCATGGTGGCCTAGTGGTTAAGGCGCCCATTCACTTGTGTCTGGGAAACGCGGGTTCGAGTCCCGTCAGAGGAGCTCTTTTTTAAATTACTCTATTCTTTTTTTAACCTTCATTTCGTAGTATACAATATAGAGTTGGCCAAAACAATGGTTCTGTTGCGAAGGTGGACGGCGGGCCGACGACGAGGATCCCGCCCACCCCACCAACCCAGCACAGGCCGGTATATTGTAGCTTGAATAAAAAGACAGTTAATCGATGTAGCTCCTTGGAAGTGTATAGAGCATAGTGTAATATGCTGAGTTAAGAGCACTGACAAGAAAATAAATAGTTAACCTGAACGAGTTGTATTTTAAATATATAAATGGGAATATCCTTTAGTGGAACCCTGCATAATTTCTCATTACTTTTCTTTTCTTTTTCGTTTTCCATCTTACTCAAGCTTGATCTGCTCAAACTGCTTGATAGTCTCCTCAAAGTTGCGGACTTCTTGGTGAGCCTCAGCAAGCTTCTTCTCGTCAGCCTCACGGACGGCCTCGGAGGCTCTGTCCTTGTATGTGGCATCGCCAAGAATCTTCTCCTGCTTCTGAATGGTAGCCTGGGCCTTCTGAAGCTTCTTTTGAGCCTTGGCAATCTCGGCATCCATGTCGACGCGGCCCTTGACGTGCAAGAAGACAGAGGCGACGGTCGAGACGGGGTACGCAACAGATCCCGAAGGGCGAGTGGCATCAGCACCAATAACCTGGATCTTGCTGACAGTCTTGCCAGCAAGAGAGGTGATGGAGGCAATCTGCTCGGTGCAGGTGGCGAGAGTCGTGCTGTCGTAAGCCTGGATGATAACTTTGGGTCCTGGTTAGCAATGTTGTCCGTCCGGATTGGGATTATTATGTAGATTTACCTTCGGCGTTTTCCTTGATTGCGTATTCAGAGGTCAGGGATCGGGCGCCCTTGCTGCAGTCCATGACAAGCTCATAGGCAGCAGCAGAGGCGGGGTCGTCCAGAGTAGCAGTGTAAGTAGGGTATTTGGCCAACATGATGGATTCAGTCTTGTCCTCGGGGCGTCTGGGCATGCGCTGCCACATTTCCTCGGTGATAAAGGGCATGAAGGGGTGGATCATGGTCAGGGCAGCCTCAAGAGCAGTGTAGAGAGTCTGGATGGCAGACTGGCGCTCCTCCTCGGTGCCATCGCGGATAATGGCCTTGGAGTTCTCAATGTAAACGTCGCAAAGCTCGTTGTACCAGTACTTGTAAACAATGTTAGTGGCCTTGGAAAACTCGCGCTCAGCCAGGGCCTCGTTAATATCACGAGCTGCCTGGTTCATCTTGTGAAGAATCCATCTCTCAGCAAGGGTCTTGCCTTGAACGCTGCCGTTCTTGGAGGGAACAAAGTCAGCGGGCAGACTGCCGAGGACATATTTCGTAGCCTGGAAGATCTTGTTGCAGAACTTGCGGTATCCGTGGATGATCTTGACATCAAGGTTAATATCACCACCAACAGCAGCGTTGATCATAGTAAATCGCAGAGCGTCGGTACCGCACTGAGGAATACCATCAGGGAAGGCTGTCTTTTGGTACTTGGTGGCCTTGGCAACCTCATCAGGATGCAAGTTGCCCTGGAGGAGCTTGTCATGGAGCTTCTGGAGCTCAGTACCGGAAATAACGTCGAGAGGATCAACGACGTTACCAAGACTCTTACTCATCTTGCGACCTTCGGAGTCTCTGACAAGACTGTGGCAGTAGACCTCGGTGAATGGGACCTTGTCGGTCAGTCTCAGACTAAGCATGACCATTCTGGCAATCCAGAAGAAGAGAATATCCCAACCAGTCTCGAGGATGGAGGTAGGGAAGAGCTTGTCGAGATCAGCAGTCTTGTTAGGCCAGCCCAGAGTGCTGAAGGGCCAGAGGCCGGAAGAGAACCACGCTGCGATAGGTTAGCATCTAAATAAAGCGTTCTAGTGATACGAGAGTACTTACTGTCCAGAACATCCTCGTCCTGCTCGAGGGTAAAGGTCTTGCCTGGGAGAGCAGCCTTGGCCTTGGCCTCAGCGTCTTCCTTGGTGCGGCCAGAGAACCATAGCTTATCCTCAGGGATGTCACCAGCGCCGCCTTCAATGTTGGCAAAGTAGACAGGGCAGCGGTGACCCCACCAAAGCTGTCTGCTAATGCACCAATCCTGGATGCCCTCCATCCAGCGGTAGTAGCTTCTCTCGGCAGATTCGGGCTTGATCTTGATATCGCCATTCTTGACGGCGGCAATGGCAGGCTCAGCAAGGTCCTTGGTGCGGACCCACCACTGAGGCTTCAGAATAGGCTCGATGACATCCTTGGACTTTTCGCACAGAGGGACCTTCATGGCGTTGTCCTTCTTGTCAACGTACAGGCCCTTGGCCTTGAGGTCGTCCTGGATGGTGTAACGGACATCAAAGCGCTTCTGGCCCTTGTAGGCGCCAGCATTCTCGTTCAACAGACCATCGTCGGTGAAAATGTTGATAAACTCAAGATTGTGCTTCTGGCCGAGGTTGAAATCGTTGGGGTCGTGGGCAGGGGTAAGCTTGACGGCACCAGTACCGAAATCCATCTCAACGTACTCGTCAGCAACAATGGGCATCTTGCGTCCCTCAATGAAGGGGTGGATGGCGTTCTTGCCAACAAGGTGCTTGTAGCGCTCATCCTTAGGGTGGACAGCAATACCAGTATCACCAAGCATGGTCTCAATACGTGTGGTGGCGACCTCCAGCATCTCGTCGGTGCCTTCGATGGCATACTTGAAGTGAATAATGACACCGAATTCAACCTTCTTGTCGTAGCCAGGAACGGAGAGCAGAGTTCTTCCGGTCAGCTCCTTGTTGTCGACTTCGAGGTTGGAAAGAGCAGTGTTGAGCTTGGTGCACCAGTTAACGAGTCTGTTGGCTCTGTAGATAATGCCATCTTCGTGCAGCTTGACAAAGTTTTCAACGACAGCAGCACTTCTGGTTTCATCCATGGTAAAGGCCTCGCGGCTCCAGTCAAACGAGCCACCAAGCTTGCGCAGAGCGTTGTTGATGCGCTTGTGGTAGTCCTCCTTCCATTCCCAGACAGTCTCGACAAACTTTTCACGGCCGAGATCGTGTCTGGTCTGCTGGTTGCGTCGCCAAAGCATGTTCTCGACGACAGACTGTGTAGAAATACCAGCGTGGTCGCAGCCGGGAACCCAAAGGGTGGTCTTGCCCTGCATACGGCTCCATCGGATCATGAGATCCTGCAGAGAGTCACCGAGAGCGTGACCCATGTGCAGAGCACCAGTGACGTTGGGGGGAGGATGGACAATGACAAACTTGCCCTCGTCACGGATGCTTCCATCCTCCTTGAACTGGGGCTTGAAGAAGCCAGACTTCTCCCACCAGCTGTACCATGCCGACTCGACGGCAATGGGGTCGTATGCCTTGAAGTTGGGGTCTTCAAACGATCGAATTCTCTTCTTTTCGCCTTCGGGGGTATCTTCGACGTATTCGGGGATCTGTTCCTCGACCTTCTTCTCCTTGACCTTCTTCTCTTTGGTCGGGGCGGTGGCGACGGCAGCGGCCTTGGCCTTCTTTGCTTCAAGCTTGGCGGCCTTCTCGGCCTTCTTTCGCTCCTTTTCTACTACAGAAGGGGTTAGATGGCGTTTTTGTGTGATGTAATTGAAGCTATAGAGCAAAAGAACATACACTCTTTTTCTGTCTTTTGTTTGGGGGCGCCATCACCGGCGGGGGCGTCAGGTTGGGCCAGGTTGGCGCCAGCTACAAAAAGGTGAAGCTGTTAGCAATAGCTCAGAAGACAATTCAAATCTGCTGCCAGACATACTAGGCGGTGTTTGTCCAGGGTTGGCAGCCATCATGGCACGTGTAGCGGTCGTCAAGGGTCTTCGTGGGGAAACTGAGCGCACTCGAAGTGCTCGTACTGCTAGTCTTAGAGACGTTCTGAAGGATTATGGATTGAAGCCCGTCGAGAAATGGGCTTCAAAATCGTGCCTTTTTATGGTATTACTTGCAATTATGCAGGTGACTCAAAAGGCTTTCAGAGTCCTGAGGTTTGAAGAAGCGACGTCGCAGGTGATTTTGAGTCACGGCAAGACAAGCGGTTTGAGCCTGGTTGTGCAAAGTGGGGGGAGGGGCAAATTTTTGTGGCTAGTGTTAAGCGCACTAGCCACTGTGTTCGGGGGTGGGCCACAGCGGTTGTTGTCCACTGAGCAACGCCTGAAAGAGCTTCTGTGGCTTCTGTGGGTGCCGCCAGACAAACTACGTCGATCTTGCATCGTCAACAAGGCTGTCACGTTTGAGTCACCCGCTCCGATCAGTTTATTTTGGGAAAATGTTCTGTTATTAGCTCCTCGGCATGCTTACCCATAGATTATGCGCCCGTGGGGTTCCCCTGCGACGTTTGCCCCGATCTACCGCGCTTGCCCCTGTTTTCATGAGCAAGCGCTTCTCGAGCAACGTCTCATCAGTTCCCATTCAATTCTCATATGCCTTGTCCAAGTTTGCTAAAGTAAGGCTAGCTACGTCATTGCCTCGTACTTTATATTCATTGACTAACTTTCCCTCCGCAGGATCCCGTTCAACGGATGTTCGATGACTTGGGCTCTATCCCATTACTACGCTATACCTCGCAGCATGACGCAGCGCTCGTGCTTGCGACTCCGGAATTCGCAAAGATGGTCTATGACAAAGATTTCGTCCAGTCTCTTACTAAGACCCTCGCTGGCTCTGGGAACGTAGAATCGTTCAGCCTCCTTTGCGGAGTTGTTGATCATATTGCCCCGACCGTCGGATCTTACTCACCCACACCCGGCATCTCCGTCCTACGCAGTCACCAGAACCACATCCTGCCTTACATGTGGCAGCCAGAATCACAGCTCTCAGAGTCAGATGCGGATACAGTTTCTGCACTGTCGTTTAGTCTCGGCAACCGCTTGCTATCACTGCCTCTGGCGCGCACAACGTTTCACAATAGCAGAGCATCAACATTGGTTGCATCGAAGCTTGGTTGCAGTGGCAGCACTCCGTCTCTAGACCAGCAAGTCGACAGGCGCTCTCAACATGCATTCCTTCCTATCCAAGCGGATCAATTTGATACTACAAGGCTCTGGGCTCCTCTTGTCCCCTTGACAGCGCGACGAGCCCTAAAGGAGAGCTTTGGCAACATTATTCGAACCATCGACGTCGATGGACAGACTATCCCAGCTTCTATAGAGCTTGAAAGCGTAGTCAATACACTATATAGCCAAGGAAACTCCGCCAAACTGTCTCCTGGGGGTGAAGGCGTCTGGGCTTTGGTTGTGCCACCAGCGGACTCAAATACCCTGGAAGCGGCAACTAGCCCGGGTTCCATCCTAGAGGATAACAGCGATATGCAGATGCTGGCTCTTGCAACTATGGAATATGTTCAGGATGCCTATACATCTGGTGGACGACTATACAAGATTTGTAAGTGAATCAAGAGATGCATTCGGAGTTCGCAATACTAACATAAGATATATAGTAAGTGGCGGCGGTGGCTGGGGTGCGAAGAAGGGCCTACTCTCACTAGATCCTCAAATATCACACTTTGCCTTTACTGAAGAGGAGGAATTGCAGAGATTCATGCGAACGATGGAGAACAGTGGCTTTGCCGCCCCGGGTTCCACAATCCAGTTTCTCATGTCTATGGCGCATCCGCCGCCAATGGCCGAGGGCTCTCTCCCGAGCTTCGTTTTTGGCGTCCCTGGACAGGATGTCGAGTCGCCTGAAGTATCTGAACCGGGTGAGGAGAGGTGCTTCATTGGCGGACACTTTGGCGCGTTGTCCAGCGAGGGCGTGTTCATTGCTCCGTTGGAAAAAGCTGAAACGCTACCTGATGGCCTACCGGAGGAAATGAAGCTCAGTGTGCCTAATTCCCGTGTATATATTGCAAACGAGAAAGAAGGAATGAGCACACTGGGCAAAGTGGCTGCTGGCAGCGTGGCAGACGCTGGATTTTTGGCCATGTTGTTGTAAAATCCGTCACATCACTCCTATACATGTACCACCATAACTGTATAAATAGTCATCTATTTTGTTTAATATCATCAAAAAGTTAATCAGTCTTCTTCTTCTTTCGCTGCAGTCCTTCTGCCAAGCAAACAGCCACGTCATCGAGGGTAGTTCCTCTGCTTCGTTTGCCAATTTTTTCCTTACCCAAGACCATATCGTCCGCTACGGCCTTGTAAACGCCTGCGGCTCCCTTAAATATAGGTGCATCCCAACCTCCTTCCTCTTCCATTGTCTTTCCAATCTCTTCCATCTCCTTGACCCAGCGGTAAGCCTTGGGCGGCATGCCGGGTACCCTTCGTTCCGCCATGCTCAGGTTTATGGGCATGACTTCTTTTAGTTGAATTTTGAGCTCATCCAGAACGCCCATATTTTGCGCCGTAGCAAAAGATTGGGTAGCTATAGCGGTGAAGCCCTTGGCCATAGATGCAAAACACATCTTTAGTCCACTGGCAGCGCCAACATCTTCGGAGAATATCTTCAAACCCAGAAACTTGCCAAGTTTGTCCCCGTCAGGCAGCTTAGATAGAAATTCGGGTCCAGAGAGGGGAAGGTTTGGAATCTCCCATTCTGAGTCGGACGAAAAGCTATCAATTTCGCTTTTGGTTGCTTCAGTGTCGTTTTTGCGCTTGGGCGGTCCTCCAATGATGCAGCCGTCGACAAAGGTGACAGGAACCCGAGCCTTTTCGAAAAGAATGCCAATGTCCCGACATGTTGATGGGGCCACAGCATTCATATCTATAAATACAACATTATCCTTGGCGGAACCTCCCGACAGCGCATCTGCAACACGTTGAGCAGTGGCGACGGCATCTTTGGGTGGGACAATGGACAAGATGACCTGGCACTGCTGTACCAATTCGAGGTCCGAGGGAAGCATTTCAACATCTGCCTTCTTTGTTCGTTCAATTGTATCTTCGCTAATTGCCATGTAAGCCTTCGTGTCGTTTACCCGGATGTATTCGTACCTTCTGCCCTGGCAGTTTGTCGCTACCTGGATGTCCTTGGATCTTAGGAAACGGGCAATGCCGGCGCCCATGTCCCCCATAGAAAGAACTCCAACTTTTAACGTCGACATTTTGAAGTGATTTTTGTTAAAGAAGTATGAGATAGCTAGGGATTCAAGTCTCGTTTTTACTGTCGTTGTAGGTCCGAAGATCGGATTACAAACTAGGCGTTCCACTGTGGATGAGGGGTCCGTTAAGTAGTCCAGATTTCAACAAACGTATTCTAAATATATAGTTACACAAACTTTACATGTAATAGTCATCTAAAACTCTACACATATAAAGTATTTATATCACACATCATATTCTACAAAGATTGTATATAGTTGATTTTACTTTAAAGAATAACTTATTTGAAAGATTGACGATAAATGAGTTTACCTGTGACTTTTGCTTACCCACTGTAGACGACATTCTCGTGGACTTGTCCAACTTGGCATTCTTCTCGGACACAATAGCAACGAATACAATTTATATTTTAAATTTAGTAAGACTAATAGTTTTATAAAACATACGTAAGAACCTTAAAACTGAGCGGCTGGTGCGCTGCCAGTCTGGCGTTGTCGTTCCCGGGTAGGACGCAGGCTCAACATCACTGTCACGTACAAGGGAACCACTACAAGTAGAGTACATGTGCTTCTTATTTTAGACACTAATTTATAAGGGCAGAAAGTAAAACGCCTATACAGAACAACCTATAGCCCGTACTCATACCGATCTGAGTGCGGAATTTCTACACTAATCACCAATCCCACTGACAGCGACTCTTCGACATGCGTTGGGTTTATTCAATCATGTCGACATCGTCACCAGTAGGAGCAGGGGCAGGGGCAGCAGCAGCCTCAGCAGCGGGAGCAGCAGAAGCATTCTCAGTTCCGTTGTTGGCGCCGCCGGTGAAGTAGTCGGCCATGTCGTCATCGAGCTCCTGAGCACTCTTCTTGGTACGAGGGTTGCCACGACCACCGCGGCCACTGTCATTGCCCTCACGGCGAGGAGCGTCACGGCGAGCACCAGGGCGGCGTCCTCCACGGCGATGACCACCACCACCAGGGCTGCGAGATCTATCACGGCCACCACCGGGGATGTAGCGGTCAATGCCCTTGCGAGCAGCATCGTCAGCATCGTAACGGCGACGAGGCGAGTTGGATCGGTTTCTGTCGCCAGGAGCAGAGATACGTTCGGCCAAGGGGCGGCCAGGCATGAAGGCGTTGTCAAAAGGGTTGCGCGAGGGCAGGATGGTCAGGCGGATGGGCTGGCCGTTAGCATTGGCACCATCAAACTGCTTGACAGCCTCTTCAGCGTCATGCTTCTCCTTGTATGTAACATATGCCGTGCCGAGGGATCGGCCGGCGCGGTCGTATCGCAGCTGGAGTCTAACGATGGGACCGATGCGCTTGAAAAGCTCCTGTTGTGATGTTAGCTATCGGTTGACTACTTGCTGACAGAATACTCGTCTACGTACGTCGAGATCGTCCTCGGTCAGGTCGTAGTGGATGTTTTCGACCTTGATCTTGGTTCCGGCGGGCTCCCTGGATAGCTTGTTAACGACATTGTCCGGAGGTGCAGGTCCATCTGATACATACGAGGGAGCATCTTCGCGTCGTCGTCGGGGAGCGGGGGCTTTGCGGGAATCTTGTTGTATATTAGTATGCGATTGTCGCCGGTGTGATAACGCAAGCTCTCGTCGTACCGTTGTCTTCGAATCGGTCGTGAACCCATTCGCTGTATCTCAAATTAGCAAGATAGTCAAGTGATGATTCGGGAGAGATCTCTTATTTACCTGTCAATGCCTCGGTTGTCGCTTCGATAAGACTGTTATAGGGGAGGATATGCGCATTAGCAAAGAGACTGAACACCAAAGACTCGTCCTCATTTTGTTATTGGCTCGGCTCCGTCATCGCAAGATGTGGGAGAGATTTGAGAATAGTTGAGAGATGGTCTGTGTATCAGGGAGGGTTAAGCAACCTGGAAGAAGCGCCGATAAGTTAGCATCACGGATGGTAGAAGCGCTGGCGCGTGTAGCCGACGGGCTTGTTGTCAACACCGAACGTACCTTTCTTACTCCGTCACGAGGCTGGTCCTGACGATCGCGACCACGGCGGTCGCCACCACGGCGATCACCGCGTCGGTTGTTTCGGGGGCCATTGGTGCGCTGATTGGATGTTAGCCGTGGTGATTTGGTTAGAGAAGTCGGGGTTGCTGCTGACTGACCTTATCGGCAATGATCTCGTCGAGACCGCGGTCCATGTTGGTGGCGGCAGGGGCGGCAGTCTCGTCAGCCATGATGATTATGTTGCAACGCTAAATGTAAAAGAATATGCAATATATTAATAAAAGGCGAGCAATTGATAACGTCGATGGTTGGCAGTTGCTGACGGGGACAGAGTGCGTGTATCACAGCCTCGTGCAGCGAACGGCAAGCAGAAGATGCGCCAGGAATCAACCAGTGGGGGTGAAATGGGTCTAGCGTGGTAGACAGTGTCAATTGTACAAAGCTGAACTGTAGTTCGTAGGATTTGGCTACTAGCGGCAGCTAATTAAATACGAGTTGGATAAGGCTATGATGCGATAAGAAAAAAAACTCAGAATGGAAAATTACATTGTACTAGGCCAATGGCAATGTTTCCAAAATCAAGAAAACTGTAGTATTTATTTTAAAATTATTCTTTTAATCGTGTTCACAAGGCACAGCAGCGATCTGTAGGAGGGACAAATCCTGTCATACAAGCTGAGTATTACGGGTGCACTACACAGGGTTGCATCACTGTGGCTCCTCTCCCCCTTCCCCTGTTGCGACGAAGGTGTCCTCTGCAGCGCTCGATGCTAGCGTCTGGATGCGCAAACAGTGCGGCGCACGTTGGCCCCATCAGCGAATGAGAAGCCGCCAAAGGCCACTGGTTAACTGCACCCTTTTTTCACGTACCGTGTCCCTGAGCCCCTTGCCAGCGCGCAGACTAGCAACTCCATCCATCCGCAACGACTCTCTTTTCCTTTTTTTCTTGGCTTGTGGGCTGATTTTGTCCTTTTCGCAATCTTTCTCTTCTGAAAACACTGCCACGGATTCTGTGCGCGTGTCTAATTTTCTTCTTTTTTTTCTTTATTACCACGCTGGCCTAGCTTCTACGCTGGTTGGCCCGTTTAATACTTGCGTCACGCCCGAAATCCCCCCTTCGAACTCGACATCGCCATTGCTCCCGCACACAACAGCAACCGCCTTCGACTCCAATAATAATTCGCCATGGCTCGTCCGTTAGGGCCTGTTCGCCTCAAGAAGGCTAGCCCTATCACACTTATCGTGGGCGCAGTGCTGTGCATCTTCATCTTCGTCTTCCTGATTGCCCCCTCGGGCACTTCTGTTTCGCAGAGCATATCCAACATGGCTGCGCAGCACCACCTTTCGCCGCCGACGTCCCCTTACCGAAAGTCGGCCTCCAAGTCGGGATTTAAGCCCCCTCCCGTTGTTCGCTACAACCTCAACAACGTTACAGTCACCTCCAACCCCATGGAGAACGAAGAACACATCCTCATCCTGACTCCCATGTCGAGATTCTACCAGGGCTACTGGGACAACTTGCTTCAACTGACCTACCCCCACGAGCTCATTACTCTTGGCTTCATCCTGCCCAAGACCAAGGAGGGCAATGCGGCCACTGCTGCGCTGCAAAAGGCAGTCCACAAGACACAAAAGCACGGCTCCGAAAAGGACCGATTTAAGAGCGTTATTATCCTTCGCCAGGACTTTGAGTCTGTCCTTTCGTCCCAGGATGAGGCTGAACGCCATAAGATGTCTAACCAGAAGGCCAGACGTGAGGTCATGGCAAAGGCTCGCAACTCCCTCATGTTCACTACTCTCGGCCCTTCAACCTCTTGGGTGCTTTGGCTTGATGCCGACGTTGTCGAGTCGCCGCCAACACTCATCCAGGATCTCGCATCACACGGCAAAGACATTGTAGCCGCCAACTGCTTCCAGCGATACTACGACACCGAGAAGAAGGCCATGTCCGAGCGCCCGTACGACTTCAACAACTGGCAAGACAGCGAGGAGGCGCAGGCTCTGGGAGCCAAGATGGGCCCTGACGACATCTTGCTTGAGGGCTATGGCGAAATGCCTACCTGGCGTACGCTGATGGCTAAGAAGTTTGAACCTATGGGCGACATTCGCGCCTCGATGCCTCTTGACGGCGTTGGCGGCACTGCTCTCTTGGTTAAGGCTGAGGTACATCGTGATGGTGCCATGTTCCCGCCATTCGCCTTCTACAACCTCATTGAGACAGAAGGCTTCGCCAAGATGGCTAAGCGATTGCACTGGCAGCCTTATGGGCTTCCCAACTACAAGGTGCGTAAAGACGACAGCCCCAGATTTGCAAAGACACAATAGCTAACAAATGTTTTCCATATTTAGGTCTATCATTATAATGAATAAATTTGGGTCACTAGGCGCACAGGTCGATTAGTACATGAGGCTGTCCTCAATTGTTCGCTATATTTGGACAAGGCGAACAGGAGACACCGAAAGAAGGCAGAAAAAAAAGTAGTGCTTTGATGAGATGGGGTTCGTGCATTTTTTTTCCTGGGAATCGCATTCATGGTTGTCTTCATTTCTTGTCACTGTATTTAACACATTTATTTGTCTTTGTTTTTACACTTAACAACTTTTTCTAGAATAGAATGCGCCGAGACGGCTCAATCGAAACCAAGTTTAACACGACCAGAAAAGATAGAGTGAAGGTGAATAGCTCAAATCACGCGAGCAGTGGCAGGATTCTATTACTAGCAGGTATCAAAGGTGTACTTTTTGGTTTCATGTTGCAATGCTGCTTTAAGGCAGCTCGGCAACTCTATCTCTATAGGTCTTCTCGGCTCTGGTCCAGACACCCTCGGTGTCGCGACGGTTCAAGGTCAAGAGACTGGGCAGAAGCAGACCCGAGTACTCGTCACTAGCCTCGCGAGCAATCAGAGTAGGGAGATGGTCAATGGCAATGATGCGCAGCTCAGGGCCGTCAAGCTTGCCCTCGGCAAGAGTGGTAGGGTTCTCGAACGAGGTGTGAGTCGAGTAGATGCGGATGGGGTTGTTCTCGCTGTTGGGGTCGCAGGAGACATCGGAGATGACGCGGAGGCGTCTGTTGGGGCCAGAGAGCGACTCGAAGGTGACGAAAGGAGGGGCGGGGTTAGCGCCCAAGTAGACGGCATTGACAAAGATGTCCGAGTTGGCAATCTCCTCAAAGGGTCCGCCGCGGCTGGTCTCGGCCATATCCCACTTGGTAACAAGGTCCTGGGAGATGCCCACGGCGTTGAGGCAGTCAATGGCGCCAGTGCCGCAGCGGCCAAGGGCACCGACAATGATTACCTTGGGGTACTCGCCATTGTTGGCGGCCACGGCCTCCTTGACCTCCTTCTTGATCAGATCGATGAGCTCCTGTGTAGAGTCGACAACGGGGGCAGGGCCGAGAGGCACGCCGGGACGCAGGATCTGCTGGGCCCATGAGAGAAGGGCGAGGGCAGTACCAGCGAAGCCGGCAGACTTGCCAAAGGCGGCGACACGGCGGCCGCCCTCTTCAAGGAATTCGAGATCGTAGAGCAGGCCGCCGGCGTTGGAGAAGCGCGAGAGCTCGGTAGCCCAGCCGGTCTGCTTCTTGAAGACGTGTGCGAAGTGGATATAAGTGTTGGGCAGGGGAGCTAGAAAAAAGACGTTCATGTTAGCTGGTGATAGTCCTCTCCGAAGACCGGACTGAGTACATACTGCCATCAGCATCGAGCTCCTTGAGACCAAGGATAATATCCTCCTTGGGGGCCTTGGTCCACGAGCCAGTTTCGACAATCTCGGCACCAGCAGCGGCAAACTCTTCTGTCTTGTAGATGCGGTTGGGGCACTTTTCGACACGGACAATGTAGCCGGCGTCAAGCAGGGCCTTGGCTCCCTCGGGAGACACTGTTCAATTAACGGTGATTATTCAGTGCAATTGGATCAAGTGTATACTTACGAGGCGAGCGGCGCTCGAGAGGCTTAGTCTCGGATCTAAGGTGAATTACAGTAGGCGACATTTTGGGTGTGTTTGATGGTGTTGAAAAAGAAAAATGTCAGAGGTCGAATGCGGCTTTGGCGGGGCAGTTTGACAGTGGAGGGGACCTGAAATCTGACGGCTTAAAAATAACTCTGAGCGTGCTGCTGCTTGCGCTGCCATGACGTGACTCAGATCACGTGTGCGGCAGTTGGGCAGCGATATCGCTCTACCGGCAGCATGGATCTGGCATTCGATCTGTATATGGGCGCGGGTGAAGAAACCGTGAGTTGGGGTTTTTTAATTACCCGGTTAAATATAATAATGAATACTGACACCGAATGACATCAATTGACCGGGTTAACGGCGTGGGCGCGGCTTAGCTGCCAGCTCCAATAACTATGCACAAGTATGCTATAAGCGACAATAGCTTGAAGAAAGTATTACATCAAATTTACATTCTGTACTATAACAAATAGGTTTCATGAATATGTGTCAAACAATGCAAATAACAGCCTAGTTTCCACCCAAAAATAACAATATCCACGTCAACAAGTCGGCCTAGGCACCGTTGTAGTAGCCCTCCGGCTCTGAGCAGTAGTACTCGACCAGCTTTCTCGTGCCCAGGACATCGCCGCCACGCAGCAGCGCAGCAACGTCGACATTCAACGGGCTATCTGTGGCCGGGTACGAAAGCAGCATGCGCACAGCCCTGACGCACTCCAGCACGCTGTACGTGGGCGTCCAGGCATCCTTGAGCAGATCGAGGCAGATCTCGCCCGTGTCGAGCGCAATGTTCGGGTGCACAATGGACGTAACAAAGCGCATCTTGGGCGCAGCGAGCGGGTATGTGTCGGGGATATCGATATGAATTAGCCAGCGACCAGCTGCACGTCCTTTAGCCACTTTTTGCCCTTGATCTGTACAGGGGATCTGCTTACCGTCGTAACCGTGGCCAATCTCTCGGCCATTAATTACAGCCTCCCAGACCATGAGGTCTTCATCGTTCACGGGACCGAGGCGCTCGATTCCGCGCTCGTCCTTTTGCTCTTCGTTCCAGGTGCTGAGCTCCTTGACTAGACGCTTGGCAGCGCTGCGCGACGAGCCGCCGCCGCCGCTGCTAGATTTCGAAACATTTGATGATGACGAGGTCTTGGAGCGCTGAGGCATTGTGACGTGTGCGATTAATTGGTTTGTGGTGAGGGAGAGAGGGGAAGATTGTGGCAACGGTCGGGTTGTCGGTATACGCGACGACGGACAATTGCTGCTGTCGGAGAGATGGAGAAAACAAAACGGAAATGCTTGGCGCTAGATTATGGGTATCGGCGATTGACGTTATGCGATACAGAAACAAACAGAGAAATGGGAGAGCGTTGGTTGAAGATGCAAAGCTGCAACAGCGACGTGAGGTTTTGGGGAAGCTTTGGGTCTGGGGGACGGCCCGCCGACCGAGTGGGCCTTCTCCAAGCCGAGGCTGGGGGCTGCCAGCGACTTGCTGCAACTAGTTTCCGATTTTGCATAGAAACTTGTAATTAGATTGGAGTGGCTTGCATTTTGTTTTATAAATAGCATAAAATACAACAGATGCTTCATATTATAGTAGAAAAATAAATAAAGGACAACTAAAACAGTCATGCATGTATACATGCGCAAGAGGTATCGTTAACGCATGTGAGACGCAGGCGGGCCATTTCTATAAAACCGATGCTTTTCCGTCCTCCTTGTTTTCCCCTTCCATTCTTTCCCGATGCTGCAATTACTTCTCTACTTCTTTTTTCTCCTCCCGCTGATTGTAGGGACTGGTTTCCGCTTTGTTGGTGAGGACGACTTCTTTTTTGTTGGAACTGGGGAACGACGCTCTGGCGACACCTCGACGATAATCTCTCGATCTCTGCCTCGGACTGGCTCCCGTATTTGGGCTCCGTTGCCAAGATCATCGCTGCTTGTCTGCTCATCGCTGGTATCGCTGGGCTCTGGCTCACGGTGCTGGCTCTGGCGCCGTGAGCCGCGGCGACTCTTGGAGGGTATAATGGTTGTGCCTCCGCGGACGTACGCCACTTCAGACGGGCCAGATGCGTGCCTTCTTGAACTCACCGAGCCAACCTCGGAGTACTGAGCTCCCGAGGTTTGGTACTTGAATGGGTTCAGTTGAGCAGGGTGCTGCATCCACTGTTCCTGTGGCGGCAGCCCAGCAGTGTGAGGGTCTGACGCGTGCCGTTGAGCTGTTGGCCGCCGCTCTTGATAATGGAACGACACCGGAGGCGCATCACCATGCTGTCGGCCCGATGTCCGTTGGCCGGTGGTGCCCGATCTTGGTCTTCCCGTTGTTGACGGCGGCGGGAAGTAGCCCATTGGCGGGTACACCAGCTCGTTGGGCGAGTCCTCTCGAGAGCGCCCGGATCCCCGCGCATTAAGCGATTGTCTACGCGAGTGCGAAGACGACTTCTTTTTGCGCGACGACGGCTCCAATTGTGAAAGAGGGACTGCAACCCTCTCGTCCTTGGGCGACTTCTTCTTCTTCTTTTTATGTTCACTGCTGCTTCCCGAGTTGCGTCGCAGCTGTCGCTCCATCTCCTCTCGTTTGCGTTGCCGTTCCAGCGCCGCCAGCTCTTCCTTATTAAGCTTCACGTCTATCTTTCCCTTGGCTTGAGCACGCTTTATGCGCTTCATGGCCGAGTCGATAAGAGCCTGCTCTTTACTGCTGACCACCAATTGCACTGATTCTCCAGAATCGGCGTCCTCGTCATCATCCTCCGTCGCACTCGCCGATAAATCATCTTCCGAATCTCCGTATCTATAAGAGCTTCGAACGTATGAGTTTGATCGATCGCCTAGGTCAACGCCTGTGAAACGCAAACTGTCGCTCACAACGCGGTTCGGACGGCGTGCAGGCGCGGCCAGGCCGACACCTTGGGTATCCGAATCTTCGTCCTCCGTTTCCACCTCCTCCACCCGTGCATCCCCCGACATCATCCCAAATAATGCAGCATCCCCATCGGTCTTCCTCCGCCCACGCCTCGATGGTCTTCCCCAAAAGGGCGCAAATTTGGGAGCTCGCGGCCGACCACCTAGACCGCCTCCCCGGAAAAAGCCTCATCGATGGGCTTTTCCAAGAATGCGGCGTGACCGAGAATGGTCACGCCTGAAGCACCAATGAGCCAGAGGAGCGTCGCAAAGGGCGACGCGAACAGGCCCACTGGCACAGCAATAATGATGAGACCGCTGTAGAGCTGGGAAGTGGTAGCACGGAAGGTACCAATTTCCAGGTCAGCTCCGTTAAGACGGCCAATGATGAACATGCCAGCTACGACAAAGATGATGTCGAAGAGAAGCACCCAGTTGGTGAGGAGGGAGTAGATGCTGAGCATGGCGAAGACGACGGCATAGTTGCTCGAGTAGTAACCAAGGTTGTAGTTGATGCGCGACTGCATCTCGGCAAAGTTGGCAGGCTTAGAGAGGCGCTTAAAGTCGAAGAACTCGCCGAGAGGACGCAAGTTGGAGAAGCGGCCGCTGAGGGTGCCGGAGCGCAGGCCCTGCAGGCGGTCGCCCAAGTTGAGGCGCGACGTCAAAGCGTCCAAAGGAATCTGAATGCCGGACATTGTCAATGTGTGCGGGTGTTGTGATTAATTGCTACGAGCAGCGGTTAGGTCGGGACTGGTGTTGTCGTCGTGTTTCGGTGAAGGAAAACCGGTTGTTGTTTCGAAAGGGTCAAGTTTGCGCAGGGAACAATGCACAAGCTGCGAGTCCACATTAACGGTCGATTCCGACTGGGGCACAAGGCGGCACGGCGGAAGGCAAAAGCGGCCCTTTGGACTCCTCTCCCCTGAGCGCGCAACACCAAAATGAGTGATGGTGTAGCAAACGGCAGGGAATCACAGCATCCAAGGTGGGACAGGCAGGTGAAGCGGAAGAGGGAGTCAAAATATATGGGAGGGACCAGCGGCGGGCTTATGAAGGGCTGCAGCAGCGGCAAAACTAAACGGACGAGATGGCACTAGGCGGATTGGATGCAGGGACAAGCCCGTCATTGAGCGTCGCGGGGTGCGGCCGGCTAAGCTGAGCAGTAGTTCATCAAGGCATGCCAACAATGGGCAAACGATGGCTTCTTACTGGCCGCGCTGGGCTGTGAAAGGGGCAACGGGAAAGGGTGTGTGGGCTAGGGGAGCAAAGGCGGACAAGCGCACGGTGGCGTACATACCAGAAGATGGATGGGATGGGAGTTGATAGCGCGAGTGGTGGTTACGAGTATTGGCGGCGGCGGTGGTGGTGGTAGTGTGGCGATGGGCTAGGTCGGGCTAGATTTTGCTGTTGGAATGCAGGGCAAGCTTGTTGCAAGGGCAAGTCAATCTAATTGGTGCTTTGAGTGGTGTCTCGGGCAAACTTGGCTGAAAAAGCTGGGCTGTTGCGATGCGTTGCCTATTTGGGCGTAGGTTGGTCAAACTCGTGATGCTGTAAGGGAGAGAAAAATAGATGAGGCAGCAAAGCAAAGCAAGAAATTTGCGATGGGAGGCAAGCTGGCCACAGGGGTTGGTTCGTAGAGCAGTCCTTTCTGCGGTGCGTGGGTTGGGCGACTCTTTTTTTTTAATTGCTGGTAAAGGAGGCTGGTTCGGTGGGTGGTAGCGTAGCTGTAGCGTGTTGCAAGCGCTATGGCATCTGGCCGAGTTTTGTAACTGTGGTCTGTCTGGAGTCGTAGCGTTTGAAGCCCAAGAGGCCAGATGGCTGTTTCCGGTGCCTGGTGCCTGGAGATGAGGATTCGTATTGAGCGTCGTCAGCGAATGCGTAAATTCAATACGCTGAATTGTGCAATATCGACGGTATATCTGTCTGCTGCTGGAGGAAGCCTAGCTTGGAGCGAAGCTCGCAGCGCCGCTCCAGAGCACAGCACTCGCCTGGAAAGCCGCCTAGAGAGGGGGTGCTTCAGTGGGTGCTGTGGGCTTCTTCCCCAGAAAAGAAAGAAAAAGTGCCGTAGCCGCTAGAGGGAGGCACAGAAGAAAAGGAAATCCGATAACGCCCCCTCAATTGTTTCACTCTCCAACGAGGAAAGGGTGAATGGAAGAAGGGTAAAAAAAGCTAAAGAAGCGATAGACGGGTAATATTTCTATTTTATTTTTCCTTCTCGTCTCCCATCAGTCGAAAAGTGGACTGCTACCCCGACGCTGACACTGAGTTGCAGCCGCAGTCGCCTACCATCCATCATTGCCTTGTAGCCATGTACACGCCCGGAAGTACCAAACCACCATGTTGTCATAGATAGCTACTTTGCGCGGTAGTCATTACTTAGCAAAAGTCACCGCCGTTTCGGACAGCGACCCCAGAGCCAGCCTGGCGCTGTGTGTCTTGTTTCTGTCTCTTTTCTCAGACTTTTACCCCATGTACGGTACAGAAACACTGCTGCCGTGGCTTTTCTTCCCTCTTCTCCGCTGCATCGGCCTGCTGCAGCAGCTGCTGCTTCAGGGCATATGCTTGGTCTGTCTAGCTGCTTCTGCCGCGATGCCCAAGCCAAGACAGCAGCCAGCCGAGCATCCATCGCCATGCATGCTTTGGCCCACTGCAGCAAATCAATCCATGCCTTGTCTATTTTTTTTTGCTCCTAATATCTCGTGTCCCAGCTTTACCAAGCAACTGATACTGTCCATTATTATGCTTCCGATAGGCTCAGCTCCGCACTTGGGAGAAAGCTGCCGGCCAGCTCCCGCTGATGATAATAGCCCGATGATGACTGCATTAACGACTCAGACACATATATCGCCACGTCTCAGTATGTTTGGGTTGGGACTAAGCGAGCCAGCCGTTTTCAAGACATTGGATTTTTTGCACATCAGTCTACTTTTACTATCCAAAGTGAAAAAAAAGAATAGAGAAAATTGTGCGCTGGCATAGCCCATCTCTGGTGGCTAGCCTATCCATATCCCATGCTTGTTCACCACGGATTACTATCAGAATTCACACTGGCATGGGTTCACGGCCGTGTTCCTTGTAACAAAAACAGTAGACTACCCGACTTTCACAAGCCAATAACAAGGATACATCCCAGAACAACTTTTTTCCTTCCTTGCTCGGCAAAATGGTCTTTTCTCTTTGCAGCCGCCTAACCCAGCCTCACAAGTGTCGGTCAAGACGCCAACCCACAGCAGCGCGGGCCCTCCTCCCCACCCCCAGGCATTCTTGCGGCAACGCTGCCCGAAGCCAAACGACACTCACTCCACCACCGATGCACTACTGCAGCCACATAAATCCACTCTCCTGCTGCTTCTACAGGTGCTGCATGTTGTCTGATACCATAGCGGAGAGATACTATTTTCCGGACGTTCAAAGACAAAACAACGTTTGTTTGTATAGACAAAAACATTATTATATTTTGGAATGTTTGAGATAATCACACGTACTCTACAACATTATACGTTGTTTTTGTAACACTGAACGTATCTTAATAAATAAATAAATACGTTTTTTACGAGTCTGTTTGGACTGCATTTGGAGCGTCGGGAAAATCAGATACCTTCCGCTAAGGCATGCCATGCATCAAACTTGATATCAACATTTAGCGCTGCTTCCGACAAGAAAATATACACTGTACCAAACACATCACACGACCATGCAGCTAGCTGTCAAAAAATTGAAACATAATATGCGGCTTATTGAATATATACCAATGGAAAAGGAAGGCATCAGCGGCCTAAACCAACCGAGCCTGATATTCTACATATACGGGGGTGTCCTTGCTGCTATATCTCGAAAAAGTAGTCCTCATCCAATCCCTCACGGCTGGGCACCACTCCAGCACCTTCTGGGGGTCCCTTGAGCGCCGTGTCCATACGTACATTGAGCAGTCGAATCTTGAGTCCGTAATAGTCCACCAGCTGCACCAGCTTCTTCGTTTCTGCCGTAATGGGCGTCTGGTTCAGCAGCATCAACAGACCATCCAGCCATTCAGATGCCAGACTATGCGTGGTTGGCCACAGAGTCAAGATTGGGTACTCGGCCCCATCGCCGCCTGGCCTGCCAACCTCTGTAGCGTCGACGTAACTGTATATGGTAATCTTGGTTGAACCCTTGCTGCTACTGTTATTGTTGGCAACGTTTTGTACCGTGGAGTCACTCCTTGTGCTGGCCGCGTCACTGTTGGCCGAGACGTTGGACATGACAGAGCTAATCGTGCTCAGATCGATTCGCTCCTTTAGGGTGTTAAGCCCGGGATCCGGTGTTATCTTGCTCCCAAAGTCGGCGTAATGCAAGTATCGTCGGTTAGACGACAACTTTGCAAACCGCCACACAGAGGCCTCTTGTTTGGAACCGACGCCATTCTCTGTCGGTCGTGTAAACCATGATCCTTGCAACAGGCATCTTACACGCTGCTCCTTAACAAATTGTATTGCTTCCTGTTTTTGTACCTCACGGGCTTGGTGTAAGTGTTCGTTCCAAGTGTCGTCAAAAGCCATTTCCAAGAGTTCCATCTGCACCTCCCGCAGTCGTGCAACGTCGTATTCTTGCATGTCCTCCTCTATCTCCGAAACGTCTTTTGTGCGCGTAGCCTGTCCTACTACCTCCTCAACCAAAATGCGAAGCAGCTCGGCAACCTTGGTAAAGTCTCCCACTTGTGCACCAGTGGCTTTCCACAAGCGGAAGAAGGCTTGCAGCCCAGCGACGTGTAACCGGGACCACTGCAACAGAAACGGCTGGAAAATGATATCATAGCGGCTCGGGTCCAGGTCGTGATACCCTTTGGCTTCTTCCAGATCAGCCTTATCAATCTCGAAGTGATCGCACAGCACCAGGGTGACGGTCATGCTCGCTCTAGCAATGGGGCATCGCTCCAGCGGCGGCCTACTGGCTTGCTCCAGCAACAGCTTTTGGTACCCGTCCTCATTCTTCTTCACATAGTCTGATAGATCCATCATTCCCAAGCAGCCACTAATCTCAAAGTCATGTGCCGGGCTTTCTGACGTGAAGCCTAATCGGCGCCATTTCTCGGGGTTGTGCTTTTTCGGGCTCTTCTTATCCGGGCTCTTCTTATCCGGGCTTCCTGGGTCATCTCGCTCTGGCTCACTCTCTTTTCGTTCCGGCGCGCTAGCTAGATGTAAGCTCTTTAGTGACCGTCTGTGTTCGGGGTGGTCAACATCGACGGGGATATCGCGCCATCGCTTTAGCAGCAGCTTGCTGAGCGTTTGAAACTCGAGGACAGGGTGAGCAAAGTCTTGTAACGCCGAGCTTTGCATTAGCTTATACACGGCCTTTACAATGCCCAGCTCTTGCAGACGTTTGATGAGTTTGGACCATTCGTCACCCGACGGATTCGACAGTGCGTCGCGAATGAGTGCATTTACCAGCATCAGAGCATTGGCGCACAGTGAATGGTCAGCGCTCGAGAGCTCTCGCACAACCAATTCAAAGAATTGAGGGTACACAGCCACTGCAGGCTTGAGTGCTCTAAAGCCAAAGCTACCTGGTGTTGTTGGTGAAGCATCACCTTGCGGTGACTGTGAGTGGCCGACGAGAGCCACCAAGATGGACATGGCACCGCGCAGGATATTGACGAGCGGGTTTGTCACAATTAGCTGTACAATTCGTTCTACCAGGTCGCTGGCCGTTGGCCCTTCAAAGACATCCCATCCCATATCGACCTCGAGTAGCCGTGTTAAGCTCTGTAGTGAGTATGCTAATGTGTTACCGCTGGATTCCATGATGAGGCGGCGCAGGATGACCAGACCACCAGAGGATATGAAGACGTCGGCAAAGGAAGGATCGTTGATGGAGGTTTGGAGCTTAAATACAGCCATCTTACGGGCGGCATCTTCGTCGCTCGAAAGACGCGCTAACAGCGCTGGAATATCTGCTTGGTCCATGGTGAATGTGAGCCCGAGCTATGCTCAGGGGCGGGTGAGGTGGTGGTCGATGTAGTGTAGCGTGAATAGTCGATGCCGGTTTAGAGAGGTCGAAATAGTGGTCTTGTCGCTATAATATCATGTACAATGGCATAGCAGGCAGACGAGCCCTCAGCCGACTCGTTATAATTGGTGGGTGAAGCTTCGCGGGGAAAAAAGTCGAGGTTGGCCGTTGCTCAGTCAGGCGCTGAGATGACCCTGACGCATGGCAACGCTGCAGCTGCCGCGTGGAGATGCAATTAGCGCCTCTGAACCCCTGGAGGGGGGCCCCAGCGTGCAGCGAGCACTGCCAATATTGCGCCACGTTGGGTGAAAACGACAGAGATTGAAAATTGAAGCTATTTACAGTATTGAAGATGGTGTATGTAGTTTTAACCGCAATTAAGAATTACAAGCAGTTCAGCCGTAGAGACTAATTGGCGGCCAGCAGGCTACCTCGCCATCTAAGTGCTGTTACTGCGCTGCCCCTAACTGCTTTGGCCCCCACGCTGGAAGCTTAGCATGACCCGCCCGCCGGAAGCCGCCTGTTGCGCTATATCGGGCAGTGGATTAGTTGATGGAGTGGTACCAGGAGCAAGTACAATATTAGACAGTGCTATGGTTGACAGATTGTGTAAAATATGGAACTTACATGATGGATACAATCATAATTGAAAAATTTTCTAATTGATAACTTTTCAAGAGATATGCACCAACTAATTTGCTAGTCTAAGTGAGTAGACAAGACTGTCTATTCGCCACTGGGGCATTATTATATATCAGTGAATCCTCACGCATATCGGACACTACGCACCCAACACACAAAACAGAAAGCAAAATAAGGCATAATTAATTAAATAAGAGATTTAACAATACACCAATTACTTAAAATTCGCCTTTTCACCCATCTTCAATCACCATTTACCGCCGACCGCTGTAGAATCACCCAGAACAAACGCTTGACAAATCAAGCCACACCGACACGTGACTCAGCCTCACGCTTTCCAACACCGCAACGTCAAGTGTGGCGCAAAGCTAGAGCAAAGTGCAATCGCAATGCTCACGATCAAAGTATTTCGACACCCGCTTCGTCCCCCTCGCAACATCCTCCCCATCTCACCTCAAAAAGACTCTGTGCATCATGGCGAACTTTTTGGCTTCAATTTTCGGTACCGAGCTTGACAAGGTCAACTGCTCATTCTACTTTGTAAGTTTCCCTCTTCCTGTCCGGCGACCGGCGCGCGACAGTCCTCCTTCGACACACTCGCTACCATCAACCGCCCAATCCAATGCAATCCATAAAAGAACACCAAATGCTAACCTGTCTTGTTCTCTTCTCTAGAAAATCGGTGCCTGCCGTCACGGAGACCGATGCTCGCGCAAACACGTCAAGCCCTCGTACAGCCAGACGATCCTCATGCCCAACCTCTACCAGAATCCCGCCCACGACCCCAAGAACCGCATGAACCCGTCGCAGCTCCAGAACCACTTTGAAGCCTTTTACGAGGACATTTGGTGCGAGCTCTGCAAGTACGGCGAGCTCGAGGAACTCGTTGTCTGCGACAACAACAACGATCGTAAGTCCTAACCTACCAAGCAAACATCCTTTTTTACTAACCAACGCTTGCAAAATACAGACCTTATCGGCAACGTCTACGCGCGATTCAAATACGAAGATTCGGCCCAAAAGGCCTGCGACGAACTCAACAGCCGCTGGTACGCCGCGCGCCCAATCTACTGCGAACTCAGCCCCGTCACCGACTTCCGCGAAGCCTGCTGCCGTCTTAACTCGGGCGAGGGCTGCGTGCGCGGCGGCTTCTGCAACTTCATTCACCGCAAGAAGCCCTCGGATGAACTCGATCGCGAAATCACCCTCAGCACCAAGAAGTGGCTGCGTACGCGGGGTCGCGACGAGCGCAGCGTCAGCAGATCGCCGACACCTGAGCCTACACGACGCCGCTTCTAAGCAAGAGATTGAGTATGATGCTACTGCAATAATTGGAGGGGGGTTAACCCCGTGTATAATGGCCTAGATATGCAGCAGAGCTGCGTTTCGACGATATGGCGACAAAAAGAAGAGGAAGGAAAGAAAAAGAATGAAACTGGGGTGCAACAACAGGCAAGGAGCCTCAAAATATTTCGTGTTTTTTTTGGTACTGTCATTTGGCTGGCGTTTATCTTCTTCACTGTTTACTTGTTTGGGCATTGCTTTTCTGAACGGGTTCATATTTTCTGTACCGCATAAACTCTTCTGCCTCGGATCAAGAAATTAAACATGTATTCACTACGTCTATGATTGTTTACCGTTGACACGTGCAAATGTGAAACTATAATGATGATGTGATATTAATCCTAAAAAGAACGGGTAAAAGCGGCAAAAATTAACACTAAAATGTGGCTTGCTACATGAAAAGTTTATGTACAGTTGTAGCAGAGGCTTCTAAGACGTGCCATGTATACGCCTCGGGAGGAACTGGAGAATCATCAAAGAGTAGCGGCGGTGAAGAGTGTACGACTAGAGGTCAATCAGCGAGCCTTCAGCAGGCTTGCCAGTATCCTGTAGCATTTGTTCCACATCGTTGGCTGGATGGATCTGCTGCTTCACCTCGGATTCGCCACCAAAGTCTATCAAGCTATCCTCACCCTTGGACGCTGACTGTTCCGCAGGCTGTGCAGGCGCCTTGGGAGGGGTTCCGAGGTTGGCCACGGTCTGTCCGTCGATAATGGGGTAAATGGCCAAGACTTGGTCTCGCTGAACATCGGGTGCGGCGGTCGAATCGCTGGTATCTGTTAGCAAACTTCAGTGCACCCCAAGAGGATAAGCAGAAACAACTTACATGTGAGCATCAATGATCCATTCCAAGTCACCCTCGCCCTCTTCCACATCGCCAGGAACTGCGTGGACCGCACGGAAAAGCTTTGGCTTCCACTCAGCGCCCTCTTGGGCTCTAGCAGCAGCTTCCTCGCGCTGACGGTCCTCAATTTTGGTCTTTTCGTCTGTCGCAAGTTCGTGGTTTCTGTCAATCACCGCCTTGGCTGTCGGGGCCCATAGCTTTTGTGATTCACGCTCCTCTTGCTCATCGAGTGGGCGGGTGGATGGAGCGCTAGGCTGGGCGGTTCGGGCATCGAAGAACATCTCGCGGTGGCCAGTCTATTTTCCAAAGTTAGCATCGTGAAAGTCATAGACGTGTCAAAACCAGCTTACGGCCATGTCCTTGATGAACATCTCCTCGTTCCACATTCCCGATAGTTCGTAGAGAATTTCGCCAGTGCTCTCCTTCTTGATGGAGCCGCCAATAGCGTTGTAAGTGCCGCCTACCCAACCCTTGGTTTTAAAGTCGACGTCTGCAACAAGATCTAGCTCGGGGCAACGAACAAAGCTGTGGTCTCCGAGCTCATATTTCATCTTGCCGAAAAGAATACCGCGGGCGTACATGTTGGGCTGTGTGATGATGCTGTGGTAGGTGTTAGCATAGGTCAATCCTTTTGGGCAGATCAAGTCTACGTACTATCTCTCTCCCTTGGACTTATTTTCGCCACGGTTCAGGAGCGTCAGATATGCAATTCCTTCCATCATACTGGCAGCCGAGTTGCCTAGAAACTTGCTTCTGGGCTTGAGCGTGCCGTCGATTCGGATGTGGTGATCGGGCGCCAGGTAAAAGTAGCTAGACTTGGGTGGGTGGTGAGATGTTTGTTCGGAAATGTAGTAGGCTCGCTTGTTGTCTTCGAGCTGCCAGTAGCAGGTGTAGATTTCTCCAAGAATAGGGTTCAATGGCTTCTTGACACCTGGTGGGCGAATGTGCCAGCCGCTGAGGTAAAACTTGACGACGGACAGGAAGCGCTCGGTAGGATCATCGATGTTGGGGATGTGAAGCAGCATTTCGGGATGGCACATGAAGTTAGTTATTCTCTCCAGCATGCTTCGAGGCTCCAGGATGAAAGTAGGAAGGACGACACGGCTGAGATCGGCGCCAGGACGAAGCTGGGAGATGATATGGGAGAGAACTGCACCTTGTTAGCTCCGGAAGCTCGGCCGTTGTGTGCTGCTGCTAAGCAGCATCTTGAAGACCTACCGTTGCCCTGCTCGGGCTCGACTACCTGAGTGTCATCTTCGCCATCGGAGCGGTTATTCTCGTCGGCAGACGTTCGGCTGGCTTCCGGTTGGGCAAACCAACCCGTTAGCATGGACATTTCGCTGACGATGGCGCGGGGCTGTGCAGGTGGTTTCGGTGCTTTGTGCTGTCAAACAGAAAGACGGGCGGGAAAGGGATACGATGCGAATAGCAACGCTGCTGAAATGGAAGACAATAGAAAATGGTCCCCAAGTCAAGAATCGCAAAGAATGGAGTGGTGAGGCCAAAGAGGTCAAACAAAAAAAACGTTGGAAAAAACTCACCCCGCCGAAGATGCGTTAAACCCATGACCATGGCGCTAGAGTTCAGTTGGGTCGGTGCCTGCGGGGGGCGCCGAGGGGTGGACTCTGAGGCCGCGCACTCAGGGAGGGGGAGGGGCGTCTTTTTTTGGTCTGCGTGTGAAGCTGGGCACGAGGGATTGCTAGGTGGCGAGAGTTCTTTTTGGGTGTAATTCCGATTCAGACTGAGATGAATCAGAGGAGGTGATTTTTTAATCGAAGAGTTCTTGTATGATAGCTGTTTAGAGAGTTGTGTTAGAGAACGGTCGGCGTGGGATGGACGGATTGATGACGCAACTACTCGCTAGTGGACCAGTACAGTACACTACGGCGATGTCGTGTACAGGGCGTTTGCGCTTGCTTTTGTTGAGGGGCCGGGGGGAGCAACTGACAGCTACAGCTACAGCTTTCAGCTACAGTAGCAACGCGATGGGAGTTGTAGATTGATGGTGATGATGCGGGAAAAGTAAAACAATAAGAACAGAAAACAAAAGGAAAGAAAATGGCGACAAACCTCAAAAGTCTAGTAAAAGACGCGCTAAATCAAGGAATGCCTGACAGAACAACCTTCTGCCCAAGAATCGTTGCAACGGACACAGGGAACCTCAAAAACAAATGGCCGACGTCACAGAAGATGATCCCCTGTAGTTGGTGCTGTCCGGTACCGCTGGCTCCACTGTAAAGTTCAAGGCACTTGCTGGGCGATCAGGGAAACTGATGATGTGCGATGGCCTGTAGAGTTTTAGTTGTAAGTAGGCAAAGACGTATAGATAAAGTTAAAAGGCACGGAACAAAAGGAAGATCACAAGAAAAAATATGGCGTCAATTCCAGGCCTCGGTGAGAACGGAAGGAAAATAAAAAACCAGAAAAGAGGAGGTGCTGCATAATCGGGCGTCACCACCATTTTTCCATTATAGGGCGCCTGGCTGGTGACTCCTCACCAATAGATCGCCCACAAGCACGCCTACCGAGGGAAGTCTTTTGTCGCTTGTACACAAGCAGAGCCCGTGCAGTGGTCCATCGAATCTACAGTACCTTGTGCCCTCTGTGGCACAGCACATGAAATGTAGTAGTACACGACAGCAGACTATGAAGGGCTGCTGAATTTCCCAGTCACTAGTTTTCAGCCAACTTACTCCCACCTTTTCCATTTCCTTTCCCTCTTCCAACTTTGGCTGCCTTTCTGGACGCGCGTTACTTTGCCTGTGCACCTCGCTTCGCCTCTGCCTTGGACATATACAACGGACCATCATCGGGCGTCATGCGCAAATGATAGGCTCTGAATCATTCTCACGCCACGCAGGCAAGAAAAAAACGGCTGCTGACGCCTGGGCCGCTGGACGCAACACTAACCGCCAAAGCGCGAGGCTGTGTGCTGTGTAGAGACAGGGCGGGGTATCCCCACCTGTTTGTTGGACGGTGGTAATGTTGTATGACAGACTGGATCGACGGGAGCTGCATCTGTCTTGGCAGCTATATACGATACTAACGAATCAAACAAGTCTACAGGGCGCCCATCCTCAACCATGGCTCATCCGGAGACAAATAACACGCTAGGGACGCTCCCGACAGAAGTATTGCTGTTTATCGTAAACAACCTGTCCCAACATGACATATGCTCTCTATGCCGGACATCACAGAAAATTCAATATCGTGTTCAACCGAGCCTGTACACAAAGATCCACTTCAATCCCCTCAGAGAATTAATATTGCTTCCTCTTATAAAACTCCTCAAAATCCTCATCAAGCGACCTCATCTAGGTCTTCTAGTTCAGGACATCACCTTAACGCATGGCAGTAAGGCATCGATGTTTCGCCGTCCTAATTACAATACAAAAGCTCTTCAACACTTTATCAAGGAGCTTCGCCTTCCATTCCAAGACACCTGGCTTAGGGATGTCGAGAACCAAACAACGGACTCCATCGTTGCGATGCTCCTTGTGCTGTGCCCAAACCTTTCCTCCTTGGCAGCCGATCACCTCTACATCGATGAGCCGCGAATTTTTGGTATGCTAGTACGCCATCTAGTTCAACCACAGACAGACAATCCGAAATCGCTGCTTAGAAATCTACGCAGTCTTGCTCTAACGCCACATCTCGATCAATTTCCTGAGGACGAACCCAACACAGATGCAATGCTCCCGCTATTCTACATATCTACTCTTCGTCATATAAAATTCACAGTTGATAGTCCACCTCAGTTTACATGGCCCCTCTCCTCACCCCCTACTCTTGAAAATCTTACGTCCATGCATCTCTCTAGACTGCGCGAAGTCCAGCTTGGGGAGGTTCTTGCATGTACCAAGAATCTTCAATCATTGACCTGGAACTGGGTGTTCGATGGCGGCGAGGAACATGTTTGGATGGTAAATAACGGCATATTTGATCTAGACAGGCTTGGGCTTGCACTAGAACATGTCCGTGATTCTCTAGTCGACCTGAAGCTGACAGCAGACGAGGCAAATTTCTTTTCCTCCTACGCTGATATAGAGATCCAAGGCAGTCTAAAGGCCCTAGCTCGCTTCCCAAAGCTGCGGAGCTTGCATGCATTGTACCACTTCCTCTTGAACCAGTCTCCAGAGCGTTATACTGATGAGCTACATTCCATCTTACCTCAGTCGCTCCATCACTTAACCATGTCAGACGAGTTTTCCTATGGAGAAGGCTGGGAAGAACAAGCACAATCTGATGTGATTCAGAAGTGGTGGAGTCACCATCTTGACTGTACCCCAGAGTTGCGTTCCCTTACCATACATGCCACGGACAAGACCTATAAGTGGATTATACCGGGATATGCATTATTTCAACTCGGTAGCCAACATGGTATTGATGTGCAGATAGATAGAAAAAGAGAGAAGAAGGAACGATATGAGTGAAGATGAGTAAAGCAAGTAATCCACACTTTCTAGCGTTCTCTACCGACTGTGGCGGCCGACTCAGCACACTAATTAACATGTAGAACCAATCTTTGTTTCTTATAAATTATGCACTTCTTGGATTCTCTTTCTATCAAAATGCTATTTTTCCATATTTTTAATCAACGCTCGTGATATCCCATGCCATTGTAGTTGTTTGTTATATGTCTGTTAAATACGATCCTGCTACATCCCACTATAATGGATAGCCTCTTATTCCCCCATGATATGGCACACACAGGCTTGCCTCTGCTGAACATTCTTTTCAGCAAATCAAAAGGCGCCGTGTCTAACCCGAGTTGTTCTTCAGTAATCGTGCTCCAAGGCGAGACGCTCCCTTGACATCTGCTGGGAGACAACCGCAAAGCATATCGCGTTCTAAAAAGATAACGTTAGTATAGATCCCTTGACAAGATAGTCACGGCCACACTTACCAGCCTCTGTGTCGAAAAAAATAGAAATATCGTCGTGCTCTCCAGGCAAATCCGGCAAATCAAGGCAAACAAACGCCATATCGTCAAAATCGGCATTCTTGTCCTCTGGTAGTCGCGGCAGTGGAAATTTGGCGTCCACGATTTTGATACCTGCTTTACTGCTCTTGCTAAACGACTCATACACGTCCGTGCCCTTGAGCTGGAAGCCCATACAGTGGCCGTACTGAAAATCTTCAAAGAATGCGAGGAGCTGTACATGACCGTCTCCGTTGCGCACGATCTGTATCCTAGTCTTCTCCGCCTCCCATTTCTTGTGAATGGGTACGACGCTCCGTCGACGCGCAATGGCGAAAAGCGACGCTACGCCGTCAAAGACGACTCGGTATCCGGTAATAGCAAACTGGAAATCGTGAAGGTCTTTAATAGTGTTAAACTCGAGTGTACGAATTGTTTGGCTGGTGTTAATTAGACGCAAAGCTTCCGCCATCTGCGATGGATGGTCGTTGGGAGATGGCATTTCTAAGCATGCCATGGTAATGTCGTGCTGTGGTTGGCGCAACAGTCGCAACATGCAAGGATAGGCCGCATCCACTCGCATACGTAGCTCGCCAGTATCGACGTTGACGCGGTCAGTAATTGTGCCGCTCTGATATTCGAGAACAATCTTTAGCTTGTCTGCCAGGACTGTAGATGGCTGGTCGCCAGAAGGTCCAAGCTGATCGTTGACAACACGCGCTGCGTTCCAGGGGAGACCAGCAAATGGCATCATGCCTCGTGGCTCGCGTAGACTCTGTGAGATCATATGGCTCTTTAAGAAAACGTTGCAAAAGATTCGTTCGTCGGCGTCGAGATCAGTACCCGTCAGTAGCGAGTGGAATCGCACTCTCTCCTTCTCGTCGCCAAACACCAACACCATACGCCCACGTTGACGGCCATTGTCGAAGCGAACGGATAGTGCAGGGCATTGGTCTTCGCCGCGGAAGAAGCCAAACTGAATGGGCATGTCGGGATTATAGCTATGGTGCACGCTGCTCAAAGTTCTGGTTCTCGGACCAGTTACAGCAGCAATACGGCAACCAGCATGGAACGTGCGCATTCCTGAGGGGCCGTTCACCTTGCGTACACGCTCAAACAACGCAACATCGCAAAATTGAACTGGCTCTTTGGGGAAGATGCGGGATTGAGGGTCGGCATCGATGTACTGGAAGGAGCGGATAGTGTTTTGGAAGACCATGACCTCGTCTGGTCGTGGCTGCAAAGTAGATCGTACCTTGGCTCCAAAGTCGTACATGTTCCATAGCATTCGGTAGTCTTGTTGACTCATCTGGATGTTGAGAATGAACCCACGAGGCAACCTCATTTCCAAACAACATGCTTCATTACGCCATCGGATATCTTTCCAGGTAGGTCCACTTCCACGGCTGTCTTGGATGGCCATCTGAACGATTCCATTCTGGCTTGCAAGAACAAAAATAAGTCCCATATCACGCTGGGGACGGACCATGGAGAGCATGCAAGGGAAGTAGAGCTGCTGAGATTCTCTTCCTTGCTCCATAAGGTATGCGTCGACCATGACTCGGCCGTAACTAAAGTGGTCAACGGTATCACCCAGTGGCAGCGCGTCCATAAGTTGCAATGAAACTAGAGGCTGCTGCATGGCAGACATTCCCGAACCCCAGTTACCAGACAACAGGCCGAGCATGTCTTGACTGACTGCAGGATACTCTACCCATATAAATTTGTCGACGGTTTGCGGCAAAAATGTTTCTTCGGGGGGCAAAAAGCCATTTCGCTTCATGGACATGGAAAGCTTTGTTAGGGCCGAGACAACTTGTTGGCGAACGACATCGACTTCAGGCTCAGCCACCGCGCCGTGGATCTGCAAGATCTCTGGAATCATTTCTTCCGCCAGCCAATAGCTCTTGGATAGGTTCGTATACGCCTGTTGGCGATCCATTTCGTTTTGCATCTGCGACTGGGGAGTCGTGGGTCGCTCTCGAACGGCAATCTCAAGTCCCATCCTACCGCGAAGGAACCACCAGAGCGATGCACGGGACGCATCCTTAGGCGATGAGCTCGGGATTGACCGAACGGTCTCGGCATGGAGTCGGAATAATTCATAAAGGTGTGTTGTTCTGGTTACAAATAATGAAAGAGCGTCTCCGCCGGCAGCATTCATGGAGTCTTGCAGTCTTACCGAGGCCATCCGCGTGTGAAGCTGCCCAGCATCAGCCCTATCAACTCGCGACATTGTGCTAATGGTGCTAGTCTGTCGTGAGATAGGATTACTGCTGTATGGTGCAGGCTGAGGAGCCAAGGCAGAAACGTTGGAGTGGATTGAAGCGGACGGGCTTCCGTCACCATGTGCTTGGTGGGACATGGACTCTGGCGATTCGCGCAGTGGACGTTTAGGGTCTGGTGATATGGGCATAGTTCCCATACCAGGCGGAGCTCCATCCTCCCAGTTGCCGGTGTAAGCGACGCTATTAACACGGACAGCTTTCGCAAAGGCCAAGCCTTCGTCCTGGCGCATCTGGGCTGACTGCATTTCGATAAATGATCTGCGGTTGTCATCCTTGCTACCTTTGGGGACAAAAAGCGTATCGTTGTCCCTGGCTGGCATCAAATTCATAGAAATGGGAGATAGAGGCGAGACCTCTGGCGCTGAATCATCACTGCCAATCGGTGGAGAGACTGGCGAGAAGACGCCTCCATTGCCAGTCGCGGCTCGTCGCAACGGCGGCTGGGTAAATGGTTCTGAGCTGAGGGGTGCTGGACGGCGTTTTGTTGGCGATGGTTTGAATGGGCCGGCTGGAGCTGAAGGTGATCTTTTTGGCTTCGATTTGGCTATTTCCATTACAGGGAACTCGCATTCGTCACCTCCCACGCCTATAACGGCTGGAGGCCCGTTCATGAAGGTGACATGCTGCCCTTTTCTGTTTGGTCGAGGTTTGCGTGGTGAAGGTGGTTGCTGCTCTTGCCTGCTTGACGAAGAAGGGCGACTGGTTTGCTGCACAGGCATGGACTGGTTAACGGCGAGAGCTTGGGGATATCGTGAAATGGTGGTGTCGAGCTTCGGCAGGGCTGATGGAGGCGGGGGCGGCACGGGATGGGCAACGCTCAAGTCGTCGGATGTGTTGCGTAGAAAGTCGTCGACATTGGCAGCAGCTTCAATCTGTGTTTCTTTCTTCTCCTTGCCACCAAAGAGCCTGCCCATGAGGCGGTCCCGCTTGGAACGGCCGTCTGAGAAGTCCATTATGTTGGGCCGTGCCCCTCCGCGCGGCACGAGGGTGATGGCGATGAGGAAAGCGTCGCAGCAGGGCAGGCGCCGTTGCAAAGCCAGTTACGGCTGCTGGAAGCTGATATAAACAGCAGAGAGGCCGGGTGCGTGTAGGACCGTGGTGAAAACGGAGAGTTGATCAATGTCTGATTGCGAAACACGACGTGGAATGTCTCGAGGCGAGGGAGGCTGAGGCTCAATACAAGGGCAATGTCGTTGGGCTTTTATGGGCGTTTGGCTTGTGACGCTAGGAGGAGAGTTTGGGAAACGAATAAAAAAAAGTAAAAAAAGAGAGGAAAAGCAAGAGATGAAGAAGTTAAAAAGCAGCAAAGAACGAAAACAGGCAAAAGTAGGAGGGAAAAAGCAGGCAAGGGACAGAAAATGGAGAAAGCAGGCTGGCAATGGAGAAGAGGAGCAACAGCTGCCAACCAAGATCCCTGATTCTTTCTTAGGCCGACGGAGCAGCGCAGCACAGCGCACCGCAGGAGCAGCAGCACGAGCTTGTGCTGTCGGCAAGCCCTGGGGCGGGTTCCTTTAGCGGCGCAACAGCGGGCTCGGGCAGTGCGGGTGGGTGGCCTAGTTGGGTTGCTCTAGCGTGCTTTAGTGAGCAAGGGCCCCCCCTCCACTCCCCGAAAGAGGGGAAAACTGCGTGGGGTCCATCCGCGCAGGCGGGGCGCTCTTTACTTGTGCGGCGATTTTCCATCGCTGCCACGAGACTGAAAAGGCACTGTTGTTGCAGGCGTTCCAGCGGATTGGCCGGCGCTTCAAAACCGCAACCCGTTGCGCTGTAAGCGCCCACCGGAGAGAACGTTACAGGGGGCCAGGGTTTGATTTCGCGTTGACAGGCAGCAGCATCGACGAAGAGAAAGTTATAATCGACTTAAATCCATAAAAAAACAGATTATTGCAATTGCCATTCTGCTGAGACCATCACACTTGACTTGGTGTAGTCCGCTCTCGCTTTGATGCTAATAAAAATCACAGAGCGCACATTGACACGCACGGTCCGTGCCCGCGCCTCTTTGCAATTTCGCTAGTCGTGCACCACCACCACCACCGCGGCCAACCACTGCGGCCAGCCTCGTTTCTGCTAAGCTTTGAACGTCCCATTCTATTTTCAGTACGAGAACTTTCTGTGGCGCCACGCCATCCCGTACTGCGTTCTGCGCCGTAGGTGTTTGACTTGCGGTTAAATAAATCCTTTACGACGAGATCAGTTGATGGTTCAGGCTGTGCACTGTCGGGTAGTCTGATCCATGATCTATTGCAGATGTCTAGCAGCATGTCAAAAAATTGCAGAATTCAAGCGGCAAAAAATATCAGGTTTTGTGGTAAGATGAGACACCTGACTATTTACTTCAATTTAAAGTTTTTACCAATAAGGCTCTCATTTCCGTTACTCATCCTGCTCGCCAGCTCTACGGTAGCCTCGTCCAATGTGGTTGGCTGCTTGACATGGTGGCAGTGGACTGTAAATTTATCGGTGTATTGTAAATTAGTGGTAACGTTAGCCACTAACCAGGCACACTCAGTGCACCCACGGAGCTCGGCAGTGTGACTCTTATCTAATCGCCACTCATAGAAAAAAAAGAGGCACCACAAGTGGGTGCATGCAACGGGCGACTCCGAGTTGACTCCGTCTATTTTTCGATTCATCGCCAGCGTCATCGCCAACGAGGCATGTTTCTCAGAAGAATCATGACGGCCGCAGCAGAAACTAAGAAAGTGCCCATCCCGGCAAGGGGCGTCGACCACCGTGGCAAGATTGTCCTTGCGCCCATGGTTCGATCAGGCGAACTGCCCTCTCGACTCCTTGCGCTCAAGTATGGTGCTGATCTCGTATGGGGTATGTCAGGGGGGATAGCTAAAAAAAGAAAACTGCCTTGGGCTGTGAAGATCGTATCTAACGCATGTGACACATGTTTCTAGGCCCCGAGATTGTTGACCGAGCCATCATCGGCACCACGAAGCGCATCAACGAAACGACAAAGGTTGTCGAATGGTTCCGCCTCGCCAACCACGGCAAAAAGGACCCTCCACCAGGCGCGAAGGAGAATGTCGTCTTCGCTACTCTCCCCGACAAAGAATCCAAGAGGCTCATCTTCCAGATGGGCACATCCGACCCCGACCGCGCCGTCGAGGCCGCGAGGGTGGTTGCTACCGACGTTGACGGCATCGATGTGAATGCTGGCTGCCCCAAGCCCTTCAGCACAAGTGGCGGCATGGGTGCCGCTCTGCTTCGTACACCAGACAAGCTGTGCGCCATTCTCGAAGCGCTTGTAAAGAACATTCTGCCCGAGTACCAGATTGGTATCACTGTCAAGATCCGAATCCTGGAGACCGCCGCCGAGACGGAGACGCTCGTAAGGCGATTGGTCGCAACTGGTATCACTGGTCTTACAGTGCACTGCCGCACGACCCCAATGCGCCCCCGCGAGAGAGCTATTCGTGGCCAGCTGCGCATGATTGCTGACATATGCCGCGAGGCAGGTGTTGCCTGTCTCATGAACGGTGACGTCGAAAGCCGGGAGGAGGGCAAAAAGCTGGCCGAAGAGTTTGGTGCTAATGGTGCCATGATTGCGACGGCTGCTGAGAAGAACCCGAGCTGCTTCCAGACGACGGAACAGGGCGGCCTGCTACCCTGGAAAGAGGTTGTCACAGAATATATCAAGACGGCCATGGCTGTTGAAAACCGATTCAGCAACACCAAGTACCTCCTGACCCAGATGGTTCCGGGCAAGGAAGCTGCATACCGACTGGTAACGCAGTGCAAGTCTTACAGCGATCTGGTCAAGGCCCTCGAGTTGGATGACCTGGTTGAGGCAGCGAAGGTCTGCGATGTTGCTCGTGGTCTCGACCAACCACCACCTCCCAAGCATGGTAAGAAAGGCCACAACAACCCCAGTGCCATGGCAGCTGGTGGTAAGATGCGATCAAAGTCTGAGAAGAAGCAGAAGCCCCTCTCGGAACGTGGCTCGACCAAGACTGAGGTCAAGCCAGAGGCAGTTGCCGCCTAGGTCGTCGACCTCTAGGCGTACATAAAACTTGGAATTTATTGGTTCATTTTATCGGGGCATGGTCAAGACAGGCGTTTATAGAATTTTGAGTTTACAGGAAAATTGGGGGGAAGATAGCTGTCTCAGTTAGAACAGAGCATGGCACCATCACTGGTCACTGCGGGAGGCAAGCAAGAAAGTTCTCTACTTTTTGGTGTTTCGTTGAACATATAGATATGTCATAAGATGAGACAAAATAAAATAAAGTAAAAAAGTGTAAAGACTCTATGTTTTTGATCGTACAGCTCCCACCGCTATTTCACCACCGCTACCTCTCTCTTCAACAGTCTATTTTCCTTGTTGTACCCAACCCTCCACGGTTTCTCTGGCATCTGTGACCTTTTCATCGACGTAGCGTACGCCGAGCTGAGTGTGGACCTTGGCGAAGCTGACGCCCTTGAGCAATCCATCGCGGATCTTAAGATGCGTATCAGCAACAGCAGGGAAGCGCTGCTCGTACTTCCATGTGAGGTCCGAGACATTGCGCATCGTGACGGGGAGGACAGTCCAGCCAGCACCGACACCGAGGGCGAGCGGCGCCGTGGCACGCAGCAGGATGTTGCTCCTGCGAGTGATGATGCTGCCGGCCATGGCGGCAACCAAGACGTAGATGGCGCCGGGCATGAGCTTCTCGCCCGACTCGCGAGCAGGGGCTAGCGACGCGAGCGTCGACGTAAACGACTGCTCGAGGTTAAAGGCGCAGTCCATGGTCTCGTTGACCTTGTCCTCGGCAGACACGGCGCAGCGGTACAAGAACATGCGGGCCTTGCCAATCTCGACGGCCAGGCGGTCGGTGGGTGTCGGGCCTCTGTTCTTCTTGACCTTTTCGACCTTGTCGACGATCTCGTGCGCGGCCTTTTCGACGGCGCCGCTCGAAGGGGTAGGCGGCTGCAGCGTGGCGACGGTAGGATCGGCCTCGAACTCGTCGTAGATGGGCTTCCTCTGTAGTGTGTGTGTGTGGTTAGCAATTGGCCTTGTCATGGCAATAAAAGGTTGGGGCGTACGAGGTTGACGGGCTCTTCAGCCATGACGGTGGCCGGGACCAGAGCCATGCCGCCGAGGGCGAGGGAGGCCAATGGCGCGAGAGTGCGCTGTTTTTTCTGGAGTTAGCGGGATCAATTCGTTTGTAGGGACGGGTGGGAGGCTCGTACGCGTTGGAAAAGCACTCGGGAAGCCATTGCGAGGGAAACGGATGCTGTCTGGTAGCTGCAGTATGAGGTTCGACCAAGCGTGGTTAAATCAGGATTGGTCCCGTTCTCGTCCGAGCCGTGGCCGGATTTTTGGATTCTCCGGCCCGGTTGTATGAATAGTTAAGAGTAAGGTAGGGAGGCACAGGTTTGAAGCTTGGGACGGGGGGTTAAAAAGTATGTGAATATAGACTTGGATAGACGGAATGATGAAGAATTACAATTTTTATAATTTTAATTATGGTATGTTTGTTGGTGATGTTTGGATTGTCGATCGGCTACCCGCACCGGCACATGCGATCTCGATAGTCGTTGTATGAGAGGGTACAGACACCTGAGTAGATATATACAACTAAAGATATGGTCAATTTTTCTTTCGTATTTATTATTGTGCAATATTTGCTAGTTTATGCGGTTTAGAAAATTCAAATCACTGGTAACAATAGCTCTTGGTGCCCTCAACCAAACCACAGAAAGACAAAGCCGAGGCTGGCTGCTAGTGCCTTGTATTGTATTGCCGCCCGCCTAGTATCATGTAGCCTCTGCTCATATGAATTTCAGTTGATTCAAGTCATTTACAGTAACAATATTCCATTTCGTATTCAACTAGCAATATACGTACACCTCTCTATCCTCTACTGCATGGCCACTGTAACCAGCTCTTCTCGTGCCGCCTCCTCCTGTAATGACAGTTACAGTGGGGTTTATCGCCTGTCTACAGTGCATTGGAGGCGCAAAGTGGGCGTTCACACAGCATGCGGAGTGGCCCGCTGGTGACGGGGAAAATACGGCATGCCACAGCGCAAGGGCCACTCTGACGGGCGCTAGCCACAGGCGATGTCGTCAGGGGCGTTTGGTGGATGCTACGCTAGAGTACCCGCTGTGGCCTGTCCACTGCCGTCTAAATTTACAGGTAGTGTGGCAGACGACGGCCTGCGAAAGTGAAAACCCGTTCTGCCTTGTCGCCTTCCCGCCAAGCTTTGCCTCCCTCCTCCTTCTTTACCTTTCCACCATCAACCTTTGACATTTCTGCACGATTTATGCTTTGCTCGATTTCAATGGCATGCAATTCGATACATACTTCCCTCTCTACCTTCCTTAAGCTCGATTTCTAGCTGCTCATCCAAAAAAAACACAACCCAGGTCTCGTCACCATGCTGGCCTCGTCGCGGAGCCGCCTCTGGGTCTGCGCGCGATGCGTCCACAGCAGCAGTGCCCGGCCTTTGCAGCGACGATGCGAATCGACTACTGCTGCATCTGCCCGAGCAGTCTTTGATACGAATCCCCTACCCTCTATCGACGCTGCTAGCAACAAGCATGACGATGCGGTCCTGCGCGATCTCTTCGATGCGCCATCGGGTTTCTCCTTTCCCCAGATTACATTTCAGAAGAACCAGGGCCTCTTCAAGAACCGCTACCTCACCAATCCAGATGGCTTCCTCCTCTTTGCCCAGAAGAACCTGGAAAAGGCTACCAAAATCGTTAAGCGCGTTTTAGCAGCATCTACAGTCGAGGAATACCGACGCCTCGTCCGCGATCTCGATCGACTTAGCGATTTGCTCTGTCGCGTGCTCGACCTGTCCGACTTTGTCCGCATGACACACCCCGATCTTCGATTCCAACAAGCTGCTACCGATGCTTGGTCCATGGTCTACCAGTACATGAACCAGCTCAACACAATGACCGGGTTGAGCGATCAGCTCAATGAGGCACTATCGAGACAGACCGTCACCCAGGCCTGGACCGAGGAAGAGAAGAGCGTGGCTGAACTTCTAAAGCTTGACTTTATGAAGTCGGCTGTCAATCTTCCCAAGAGAGCTAGAGACAAGTTTGTCGAGCTGTCATCCAACATTAGCGATGTTGGATCTGCTTTCGTCCAACGCATGGAGCCCGAGAAGAAGAAGGTCACTTTGCCGTCTCACAGATTCTACGGTCTCTATCCCAGTTTGGCATCTTCCCTGAAAACTCGATCCCAAATTTCGATTCCGATAATGGGCTCCGAAGCTGCAGCGGCCCTTCAGAGCGTCTACGACGAAGAAACGCGCAAGGAGATTTACCTGGCGCAAAGAAAAGCCTCACCCAGAACGATTAAATACCTCGAAATCATGCTCAAGTTGCGCTCCGAGCTTGCTGAACTGGCTGGCTTCGAAAGCCACGCGCACATGGCCCTGAAGGACCGTATGATGGCCACATCTCCGGCCTCAGTAATGCAGTTTCTGCTGGCACTGAGGGAGCATAATACCCCCACCATCCAACGAGAACTCCAGGAGCTTGCAGCACGCAAGAGCGAACGCTTGGCTATGCCCAACGCTGAGCTCTTCCCCTGGGACCGCGACTTCTACATGGAAAAGATCCGAACCGGAATGCGCTCACGTACCCGTCACGAGGATCAGCTCACAGCATTCTTTTCAGTCGGCACTGTGATGCAAGGCCTGTCCCGTTTGTTTGACAGGCTCTATGGCATCCGGTTTGTTCCCCGCGAAACGTTGCCAGGAGAGGTCTGGCATGATGATGTGAAGCGCCTCGATGTCATTTCAGACAATGGTGAACAGGTTGCAGTACTATACTGTGATCTCTTCTTCCGCGAGCAAAAGTCTCCCAACCCTGCCCATTTCACCGTCAGATGCTCCCGTGAGATCCTACCGGATGAAGTAGAAGAGTCAGTCCAGGATATGTACGGCGAGGGCATGCCTACCTTTGACACTCCCGAGGAAGCAGCCAATGACGGTATGGAACTTGGTCGCCAGGACGGTGTGCTCAAACAGCTGCCGACTATTGCGCTTGTCTGCGATTTCCCTAAGAATGATAACTCGCGTGAACCAGCTTTCTTGTCGTACTACTCTGTCGAGACGCTCTTCCACGAAATGGGCCACGCCATCCACTCTATCCTCGCACGCACAAACTTTCAGAATGTGTCGGGCACGCGCTGCGCCACGGATTTCGCGGAGCTTCCTTCCACTCTGATGGAACACTTTGCCGCCGACCAGAGTGTTCTATCGCTCTTTGCGCGTCACTGGAAGACGGATCGACCGCTCCCCTACGACTTGGTCGAGGAACGCATCAAGGTATCCAAACGCTTTGAAGGCATTGACACGGAGCACCAGATCTTGCTCGCCATGGTTGACCAAGCGTATCACGCCCCTGTTGCCGCTGATGCTTCTTTCAATTCGACAGAAATCTTCCACCAGATCCACCAGCGCTACGCCCACGGCCCGCTCGATCCTCCAGAGACATGCTGGCAGGGCTTCTTTGGCCACCTCCACAGCTATGGCAGCACTTACTACAGTTATCTGTTTGATCGTGTGCTTGCTGAGCGCGTGTGGCGCGTCGTCTTCAAGGCCGGCGAGGACGGCCAGGCTATTTCGCGAAAGAATGGCGAACGCCTCAAAGAGAACCTGCTAAAGTGGGGTGGTGGACGTGACCCGTGGCAATGTCTTGCTGATACTCTTGAGGATGACCGCCTCGCTGCAGGTGACGAGAAGTCTATGGCTCTCGTCGGTAGCTGGGGCATCAAAGACAGGCGAAACCAATAAACAAGTAAACACATCTTGGGAATGTGGCATCAATTCATACAATCATGTACTGTTTAACTAGGGATTTCATATTCATTTTTTCACATGGGGAGGTTTAAATAGCATTGGTGGGAATTGGTGTAAAAACAGATAACGGCACATATATAACAGGCGCAATTGTATTTTTGAATAAACAACCATATGGTATCCAGCGCAGCTCGCTAACATAGGAAATCAAATGACAAAGGAAATAAATGTGTGAATATACAAAAAGAATGACCTCATAACCCATAAATACCCAGTACCGCCTACCCGTCTATATCTTTAGATCATGGCAGGTATGCCGTTCATGCTGACATGTGAAAACGACACGACCCTCGCTTCACTTACAGCGTGAGGTTCATGCTCGTCGTAGACAATGTAGCGCTCAGGCCCGTCGTGAGTAGCGACGTAGACCTCCGATGCAGCATCGTCCTCCTTCCCAAAGACGTTTGTGACAGGAGCCAGCCCGCTTCTTGGTGGAGGGGAGTACGGGAGGAGATATTCTTCCATCTCGTCGCTGTCCATGCCATCGTCGTCATCGTCATCGTCGTCAAACGCCGACGTGTGACCAGGAGATGGCTCGCTGGGGACAGGGACGTATGCCATGCCGGGGGCAGGGGTACCGCTTGTCAGGAGATAGGTAACTTGGTGGGCTAGGTAAGAGACTTGTGTCTCGAGGTCGATTCTGGCGGCGCGCTCAGTCTCGAGAAGATCAAGGAGGGAGTTGATGTGGTCAACTGTGAGACCAGGGGGTGTGCGGGAGCGAAGAGAGGAGTCTTCGCTGTCGGGGATGACAGCGATTTCGAGTCTGCTGAGACGGTCTTCCATGGTGAGGACGCGTTCGCTCAGGCTGGGTGCCTGGATGGCTTCAAGTTCGGCGGTGACAGCAGGCTTGTCAGCAGCCGCAGGTGTCTCATCGGCAGGCTCAGCTTCGGTGGACGAGGGTTCAACGGTTTCCGTCTCTGTTGGGATGGGTGCTTCGACAACCTCGGCGTAGACTGGTTCGTCTTCAAGAGGCAGTTCATCGACAAGGGACTCGTCAGAGGTCACATCTTTGGAGATTGGTTCGGGAGCCACTGCTTCAACAGGCGCTGGGGTGGGCTTGGTCTCTGGCAGTTCGAGGCTAAATGCCTTGAGCTCCTCCTCGGTAGGGTATGTGCCGGACATGGGAGACTTGAGTTCTTGGTCGATGCCAAGATGGTCGCGGCGAGCAATGGTATCTTCACTTCGGCGTCTGGACTCGGTCTGAGCAGAGCTAAGGTTTGGCAAAACAGAGAGGCTGCGAGATCTTCTCTTCAAAGTATGGAAGTCGTTGGAAATGGCCATGCCAATATCCTCTGGCTCATCAATGGTATCATAGAAAGAGGCTTCTGACTCGGATCTGACAGGTGATAGAGGCACGGGAAGCTCTGGCTCTGGCTCGACTGTGGCCTCTCTCAAGGCGTGTGCATGGGGGCTACGGACTGAGAAGCGCGAGGAGAGACGAGGAAGAATGTCAGTGTTAGCGGTCTTGGGCCTCTCAGCAGCCTGAAGCTCTGCAATGATGTGCTGGGACTGGGTCTCTGTGTAGTTCTGGTACGCAAAGTGAGCAGACGCAGAGTGGTTCAAGGTCCGGGGCTGGCTCGCCTCGTTGGACTCGTAATACCGGTTCCTGGAAGGGCTGGTCTGTATATCGATTAGAGTCTGCTTGGAGAAGGTTGCATCAGATATGCTTACCACATAGTTGCGGTCACTGTCCTCGTAGAGGGCCTCAAGATTAGTCTCGCGCTTCTTGCCTCCGAATAGTTTACCAAAAGCTCCTCGAATCGTCGACTTTTTGCGTTGGGGGATGTTCTTGCTCGAGAATCCCATGGAAGAATCTCTCTTGGTCCTGTTGTTGTGAGCAGCGATGAACTGCTCGGCCTCGTTGACCTCTACAGCAGGAAGCTCGTGAGAATATTGGCGAGAAACACTCTGCCAATGGTCGTTGGTATTGTCGACAAGGTGCTCCTGGAAGCGGGGGATAGAGGCATTGGAGTGGTAGCCGGAGTCCTGCGAATGGAAATGCATTCCCGGATCTTCGTAAATGGGAGGCTCGACGGGAGCTTTGGCGATGGGAACCGGGGCGGAGATTTGGCCACGGATAGACTTGGAGCGCTGCATGCTCGAGCCCTCCTGCCCATTCTTTCCTTTCCAGAGTTTGCCCATGTTGAAGGATATGTATGTGCTGGGTAGTTGAATTTGGAGTAGCAGTGAGCGCCTCGGTAGTAGCTTTTATAGTTGGGTTCGTGTTAGACAGCCGCAACAGGGCTTGGCTTATACGGGAGTACTAGCGTAGCCTATGTCTCAGCATGTCGTGTAAGTGGCGTGTTTGGCGTACTGAAGAAGCGTTGCAAAAACTTAGTCTAGGAAAAACCATGGCAATGGGATTGCAAGGGCCATGGGTATTATAAAGAATGCAGCCAGACACCCGAACAAAGCGGCGTTGAGGGCTACGTGCGCGCGGGCGGGTTGTGCGCCGCAGCATCGGCCGCATGGCCTTGAAACGCGGGCCAACACCACTAAGCGGGCGTCCTGAATTGGAGGCACAGCGCTGGTCCCTGCCACAGCCAAAAGACCAATATTGGCTTTCGATAGGCCAGCGCCCAGGACACCAGTCATGCAGGCTCTTGGAATTGTGGGCTGACATCCATGGCAAAGAGGCAAAAATAACCCCAGCTAGCGGATAGGGCGAGCAGCCAGAGGCTCTGTGCGTATTTGGCTTTCGCAGTTTACTTCCCAAGATCTATCCAGCGCCCCGAAGCCCCAGTTTTCGGGCGAGTTCATAGCGTGCATACAGGCCTAGCGCAGGTGGGAAGCCAAAAAGCTGCCGCATGAAACTCGATAGTAAGCGGGCTTGCACACACGAAACGAACCAGGAGGCGCGGCTTTGCAGCATTATTGATGCGAGTGAGGAAACAAAGCAATTGGGCGGAGAAAACCTGGCTCTGCCGGTTTGTTTGCGTCTTGTCTCATTGATTCAAAGAGAACAGCCGACGATACTCGACGGAGCGTGGCTACCAAATGCTAGGTCTTTGGGCCTAATGCGGCCAAAAAGAGCAACACGAGTCTAAAAATAAATGCGAGTTAGGCTGAGAGGGTCCGTGGCGGAGAACAAAAAAAAGAGGCTAGCCTGCGATTGTGTTGGTGCAAGGTCAAAGCCTGGCCTGTGGAGGGGCCATGAACCACCTACGAACGCCTTTGGTGTTTGCTTACTGCCACCTGGCGGACGGTCGACAGCTGCCCGGCACTGCCAGCACCGGTCACAGCTGTAAATATATTACAAAGATCTCTTCTATCTTACAAGTTTCACTCTGGCATCTTCATATCGACAGTATTGTTTTGTATTTTTCGTCGAATATTGACAAAATCTCTGTCGGGACACAGTCCTCGGCGGTTCCCAATCAGGCAAGTCTGTGCACAAGAGGTGGCCGGGGAGTAGTCTCGCTCAGATGCAGAACAAGGCCAGTCTACTACCAATGCAGTGCAAATCTGGGCCTAGTGACCAAGACGCTGGGTCTTGATGATCGCTGTTCACGGATAAAACTTGTATTTTTAGGAACCAGCTATAGCGCCACCCGGAGACTTCATGCATGCGCGGTCACAGTGGCGACGTCGGCGTAGCGCAAATCGGCATGTTCTTCCAGAAATTCCATCCACTTTTTCAAGAATGCGCTTCCTCTAGGATCTGGTTAGCTCGGTAGTTGGAGTGAAATGTCTCGGTGCCTTCTACTCGCCTTCGCACAGTTTCGGAGTCGCCAATAACCGTAAGTGATCGCTTCGGCCGAGTCATGGCCACTATATCAAGTAAATCAGTCGTGTTCCATACCAAAGGCAAGATGTTTTCCCTACCGTTTAGGCGTCGCTTTTCACCTAAAAAGCCTACTTCTCCTTCACTATTACTTCGAACAAGGCTGACTATTACGGCTTCCTTCTCGCGGCCTTGGAATCCGTCCACACTACCAAGTTCTATTCCGGGAAACGTCTCCTTGAGAGGCGCGAGCACAGCGAGCTAGTGGAAATGTCAGTCTGTGTTGTTCTAATTTCTCTCATGTAGAGCTTACCTGAGCGTTGTATGGTGTAACAACTGCAATATCCTCTGGACGTACCCCAGCGTCAACGAGTTGCGACACGTGCTGTTTGACCAACGCCGCTTCCATTTCGTTGCTTTTACTGTCGCTATGTAGAGCCGCTCTCCCTTTCTTTGGATTGTCTTTATCGTCATCTTCATTCTTTTCTGGGAAATCACCGCCTTGTGTATCTATGAAAATAACAGGCTCATTTGTATCTTCAGTATCCGCAACCTCATACTTGAGGTCCTTGAGTAGTCGGTCCTTGACAGACTCCGCCGCTATAAGTTTGGATTCGTACAACTCGTCAGACGGGAATCTCATAATCTTTTCATTCATGCGGTATTGCGTAGTCAGCATTCGTTTGATAGAGGGGCCATGGAGAGCCAACAGTCTGTCAAACAACGTCGTTTCAAGCGTTGCTGACTTGCTGAGTTTGTTGGTGCCAACCGGCTTTGCTGCAGTTTTCGAATTAAGTGATTTGATCGTTGGCGGCAACTGGAGATGGTCACCAGCGCATACCACCTTCTTGGCAGACAACAGAGGAACCCAGCATTGAGCCTCTAGCGCTTGACTGGCTTCATCTATAATAACAACGTCGAATGTTTCGTTTCGAAGCTGATGACCACCTGCACCATGAAGAGTTGCCAGCACCACCTTGCTGCCACTAACCAAGTTGCTAACGCATTTCCTCTCACGTTCACGATATTCTTTTCGTAGCTCTTTCAAGTCGTTATAAATTTCGCGTCTCTCTCTGCCGCTTCGAGTCTTTTTAATGGACGCTTGCTTTGCATCCATCTCAGCGCGTACGTCTTTGACAATGGCACCGGCTTCAGATGTTTGTGTCAATACATCCAAGGAATGGTTCACAACTGACGGCAGCAGCCTAGCCGGATGGCCGAGTCGTAAAATAGGAATTTTATGGGTTGATAGTCGTTCGACAATATTATCCACAGATATATTTGACGGCCCGCAAACCAATATTCGTTTATTTTGCTTAATAAGTTGCAGGATGAGCTCGATCAGCGTATGAGTTTTGCCAGTCTATAAAGTATTAGCATTCGGAATCGAAACTGGGGGACAAAAGCGTACGCCTGGAGGGCCATGGACTAATGCCACTTCGCTAGACGCTAAAGCAAATCCAATAGCGTCTTTCTGTGACTCGTTGAGCGTATCATCAAACCATTGGATTCCTTTTGTGGAAGCGTCACTAGGGATGGATGGACTCGAGAGCCCAAAGAGGACTCGTATAAAGGTGGAATACTCTGCCTCTGCCATCTTCTGGAGCTTTTCCATTACTTGGTTCATCCTAGACGGACTGTCAGTGCTACTCCTCTTTAAGTTGCCGTGGCGCAACTAACCGTCGATATGTGACCTCATCCGCCAACTTGACCAGCCAAACTTTACCAGAAAAGGCAACTTCATCTTTGCCCTCATCAATGGCAACATAGACCGCTGTTCTTTGAATTCTTGTCACCACGCCGCGGGAGCCTTTGCTCTCCAGATCCTTGACCTCCCGCTTCTTAGCGCTGCCTGCTGGCTGTTCCGATACCAAGACGATATCTCCCGTGCGAATACCATGCTCCGGTAATTCGTCCGAGCTTGAAGTTGCCGGATCTTGACCCAATTCCATGACAGTTCGTCCACCAAGACCAGTCCTCTGGGACGCCACCACCAAGTTGGTAAGGGCAAGGCCAGCACGCTGCAATCCGGCGGGGCTGTGGTTGGAGATGAGAGCGCTGGTTTCGTCAATCTCGCTCTGCAACTCGCGCTGTAACAGCGATAGCTGCGTCTCCGCAAATTCTTGCACATTTACGGCTTCCCTTGGCGCCATGGCGAATCGTTAGCTGCGATGTTGAAGTTGTCAAGGTGGGACAGATGATGGTGAAGTTAGCTCAAAGCCGAACGAACCCCACCAAAGACCCCTCCAACGGTCAACTGGCGATCCTGGGATGGTTTCGGCCACTAAATTATTTTTACTTTGCAAGTTTGCAAGAAATATCATTTTAGTTAAAATAGGGGTATAAGTTTTCTCTAGATATCTGTACAAGTTTCCAAACTCAAAAATAGCCAAAATCAAACAAAACGTGAACTACAGGTCTTCATCCGACGGATGGATGACAATGACGACAACCAAGGATACTAACATAATGGCCATTCCAAGCAGCGCAACCAAGATAATGGTGCCTCGACTGGCAGGGAATTTGCCTTCGATAATCCACTTCTGCCCATGAAAGTACCGCTTGAACCCAAGGAGCAGAATCAGAATGCTAATTCCTAAGAAGCCCGCACCAAGAGGCTTTCCCAACCTGCGCAGTGTGCCATTATTCGTGTCGTCGCCGCCCTCTTGAAGTGACTTGTTGAGACGGAAGAGTTGAGTAACTGCAATTCCAATTGAAGCAAACGCCAAAGACGTTCGCAGCCAGGCAAGGAATGTTCGCTCTTGACAAGACAACAATGTTAGCAAAATGTTCAACATCTTTCCAGGTAGCTAGTAGACAAACCTAGCGCAAGATGGTCTCTTGCCACACTGCCCTTATTCTCCAGCTCAATGGACCGGAATTGGGTCCACCAAGCCTTGTTGGTGGCTCTGTTCGCAGCGCTGTCATCAGCTACCGCAGTAGATCCCGCTCGTCCGCCGCTATGTACAGACTGCGCTGCGGCACCAGTTCGACGGGCATTCATGGACATGTAGTTTTGCCCAGAGCTTCGACCAGCCAGACCCGTTGTTTCATCGTCCTCTTCATCGAGAGCCTTCCGGCTCGCCTGGCGTTTTAGAATCGATGCGGGATCGGAACCCATGCCTTCAGCGCGATCTCGACCTGTCTATTTTGGCAACCGTCAGTGTCTAGCCGCATCTAAGAAGAGCCGCCCCTGGTCCGGGGAGGGCATAGCATCCAAACTCACCTCTAGAATCTCATTTATCCGTTCGTTTGTCGACAGGCGTCGAACCCGCAAGCCAATTCTGGAGGAGGTGGTTCGTGCTGGTGCAAGAGGGATGTCGCCAGCAGTCGAGCCAGTGGCTGCAGAAGCGGACGGGGCAGCAGCTCTTGCGTCGTTATCAGCATCCATTTATCATGAGGGTCCGTGTCGTGAGGGGCCGACTAGGGGCACTGGTAGTTCCGCGTTGTTCAAAAGTCCGTACCAATCGTTTGGACGGATCGCCTGCGTGCGCCGCAACAAGACGGCGTCTTAGTGGTGCTGATGGCTGCCTGCAGCTGTGCGTCACGAATCCGATTGGCTCAAGATGCAGTCGAACTGCTGGCTGTCTACCAAGGCGAAAGCTATGAGCATTGCCGGAGGCTGGATCGCGTCATTCACCGGCTCTACGATGGGGGACCACCCGCGACACGGCCCCACACGTGCCAAAAGCAAATCTTATCTTGATCAAGCATGAACAGTTGGGAAAGATGCAAATCTACAGACATGAGACTAACTAGCATATTTGAGAGAAATGTCATGTGCTATGTCATTCGTAATATATGCCAAATGTATTTATGCCTTGGTAGAGCTGTGATACGCACACCCCATGCCCAGTACCAACTCTATCTGCATGAAACGGACTCCCCTGCATGCAGGGCATGATCTGTTAATGCTCGTTATTGTTTCAAGTACGAGCGTTTGAACAATGCAACGGCCGCTATTTCATTCTCTCCTGCACTCCATATAGAGTGGCATGGTATCGTCGGTATCTCCGGCGAAGTCGGCCCAGTCTTGGCTATATTCGCATAAACGAGGTAAGGCTGTATACAAGTTGCGGATGCTTCAAAGTTCAGTTCTAAACATCTTGACGACTGTGCATACGCCTCAATAAATGTGGTACCAATATCCTGCATTTCTTGGGCTTGGCTGAGAACAGCAACTGAATGGATAAAAACGAGGGTATCAGTGCGGACAATTTGATGCCAGAACTGGATGCCACTTGCCAATGCTTCGTGAATAAACTCGGTTGAGCCCTCCTCAAGCTCCGAAAGTCCTATATGAGCGTGCCATTCTACAGCAGACTGGCGAGGAAGCTCTTCAACCTCGACGGCAAACACTGGTGGAATGCAGGACTGTAGCTCGTTTTGCTGGCTAAGGGAAAAAATATCGAAATCTGGCAGATGTTTGTTGCTGGCTTGCTGCCCTGTGTTTGCCAGCGATATATATTCAGGGTTGTATTTGAGGTCCCACAAATCTGGACCTCCCTCGTCTTCTTCTTCGTCTTCCTGCAGCTCATGTATAGTTTGCCAAGCTCGTCTGGCTAATTTTGCTTTTGACTTCATTTCATCCTTCGATGCTGATCTTGCAAAGTACGCAACCGCGCTTGTCCATGTCTGAATGCGACGGTCCAAGCCTATGCGCCACAGATGCTGAAGCGAAAGTGTGATTTGCAGCTCCAACGAGGTGGCCGTTTGTGTTGGCAGTTGCATGCTGGCTGGGAGCAACGGGATCTGTCCAGCAACATAGGTAGCCTTGAGGCCAGAGGATCCCGAGGCTGACGAGATACCAATAGATTGACTGTACGGGCCAATGTTGGCCGGAGCCCAGTGAGACCTGGACTGGACATGTAACCCATCTCTAGCCGAGTCGCCCGGCTTACGAGGGATAGTAATATGTATCATAATATTTCGTCTCTCGGGCAGCAAGTCACCACAGGAGATCGTAACGCGCGATGGTGGGTTTGGTTGGCTAAACAGCTCTCCATACTTGGCATTTATAGCGGGAAAGTCTGACATGCGACGTAGTACAATTATAACAGTTGTCATTTGATTCGGGTTCAGTTCGCCATTCATGAGCTGTGCTCGGATCTGGTCCACGAGAAGGGATGTCTCCTCATCGATAGTCTGTACCACATCTGCTTCGCCCGCGAAGAAAGACATGTGGCGTATATCGTCCAGTTCCGTGACCTGAACAGATGATCGTAATTTGGCAGTATATGAACCCGCTCGTGCATTAGAGTCTTTCCCACTAACAAGGTCATTCTGAATCTGTTCGAACTTGGCGTCAAGAAGCTTGGGCTGTCGGACACACGATTGATTGCTTGCAGAAGGCTCCTTATCTGATAGATGAGCGCCGTCTAGCATCACCCAGGTAGATCCCCCTCCTTCGTGGATAATCTTTCGACCAGTCTCTGGTACTACAATATGTTTTTTGAACAGTGGCACCGGGCCTTTCACAACCAGGGTTTCAAATTCCCCGCCTTCGCCCAATGCAGCTCCTTCGACGGCTCCAAACTTCCGAAGAGCACTTTTAATCTTCTCTGAACCTTCCTGGCTTGAGGCAGTCTGCCAGAGGTAGCTTTCATCTAATCCAGCGCTGGCGACTTTGATGATCCGAGCTTCCAGGCCGGCGTCAGCCATGTCAACCAATAGCTGTGCTTCATTGCTCTTGCTAACATCGAAAGGAAGTGCCGTATATTTCCAGAGATAAGCCAGTGGTGTAAGGCCTAACCTCTGTGCTATAGATTCCACTCTGGTACGCTGATATGTCGACAGGATGGCTCCAGAGCAGAGAGCATTTGCTTCTGGATGGCGTTTCATAATAGTTTGCAACAGCGGTATCATAGATTCCGTCTCATCGGCATTCTCGATATGTGGGTTGTATGAATAGTCACGTTCGTGCTGGGCTGCTCCCCCGCGAATACATTGTCGATATAATGGTAGACCCGTAGCCTGGGCATAGAGCGGAATGATTTCGTGGCCGACGGTCTGATACATGAAGCTATTCAAGTCATGCTCCTCTCCGCGGCCATCGTCTTTGCCGGTAACATTGCTGCGGGTGAGTTCAACCCCCGGCTCAATCACTTCGGTCTCATAGGACTCTGATTCAGATCTCGGCGGGAAGAGATTGGCGAGGGCCACGACACGATGCCCGTTCTCTAGACAGTGCAGTAAGCTATAGAAGCTATCCTTGCCGCCTGATATAAGTGCAATAACATTTAATGATTCGCCAGACATGATTCTGATATAGCCCGGGATAATTGCTGGACCGCCGTTGCGGGCTTTGATATCAGCATGTCAAGCTTTGCCATCTGCAGCGCTAACAGCTGTTTGGTGGATCGTGCGGCTGCACCACTCACGTGCTGAGGCCGTCAGTCTGCAGCCACCCGCATTACCGCATCTACAAACTACAAACATCACCAACCATTTGTGCTGTACTTTCCGATTATTCCCCAAAAAACAACGCCAAATTCAAATCCACACCCCGAAATGGAAGCATATACACAGTGTTTGATGAAGAGCGGCAGCGCAATAATCACAAGCCGATCGGAGCTCTCAGGGCTTGATCCAGCGCCACGGGCATCAAGCTAGCGCCCCTCAGCTCTTCCACAAGAGGAATCACAGCTCCGAAGCTACGAAATTAGGCCGCCCAGTCGTCCAATTAAGCTGCTGGTCCGCGCCGCTCCACTGGACGCCTGAAGCACCGACCGAAAAGCTGGGTTCCAGCTTGGCACCCTTGTCGTTGGCGACATCTGGACTTCCCGCAGCTAAGAGCGTCTCTAGCTTGCCGGCAGCCATCGCCCGACACCCGGCCGAAAATTTTCGTGGACCGTGCTAAGACGTTCGAGCCTGGGCAAAAGCGAGGTGGAAATTGCTCCCTATGCTCTCTCATGCTTCATGCAAGTCGGCTCGCCGGTCCTTACTAGAACGAAACTTAGCGAGCATCCGCAGTCGGGGCACCTAACCCACCATCAACTATTCCCCCAATCGCACGGACCGAACCAACATCGCTAACATTCATTTGGTTGGTTGGTTGGTTGGTTGGTTCGTGGCAAACCACCACACCCCCGACAAGCTAGGAAACCAAGCCAACGCCCGGCTAGGCCGTCAGTCGCCTCACGCTACTAGCTAGAGCTGGGCAAACAATGCAGCAGCATGCATCAAACTTACCAGGAAGAAGCAAAAGATTACTAACTTGTTACTCTGCAACAGTACATCCATACTAGCTGCAGTCATCTCATCCACTTGTCGGGCCTACAAACTCCAGGGTCAATCGCCAATCAGCTTGGGATGCTCGGCATAGACGGCGCAAACCCGATCATGTAACGCAGTTCGTCCTGTCCCCCTGCAGCACCAGGATATCTGACTCTTGTGGCATATCCGTAGTAAACGATGCGGGCGACCAGGACAAGGCTGCCTGGCCCAGCTTAGGCTCTCGCTATCCATTATTCTAAAAAGCGCCGTCCGTGCACACGACAGGCCATTGTCGAGAGAGCGGACCCTTACTGTACGAAGAAAAGGTCCTATGGAGTCTTCATGGGTGCTACGTAAATCGCCTGCCGCGGAGAAGGCAATTGTGAAAATGCTGTGATGCAACAACAGGGCTGGCCGGCTTGTCCTTTTCTCCCACCAACCGGGGGCGTGCGATTTCCATTGAACTTCGCGCTTTTTTGGTTTTGCGCCCCTGCCCTGCTCAACCATCCATGTCTTGGCTGCCCTTGGGTTCGTTTTCTAGCAACATGGTGGAAGCAGCGCCGTGTCTCTGCAGCGGGTCTCAGAGACAAGGCGGACGACGCGCGAAAATGCCAAAGGCTCCGAGAGGGCAAAGCTGTCAAGTATCCCCGGCATGCTTTGCGCGCTTAACACCTAAAACACAGGCCCTTTGCAGGTTCGGGCAATTCCAGCAGATCGTGCGTGCGTGCTTGCGCTGCAGGAACGTGCATATGAGGCGCAGTGCTTGCACAAACAAACTTTTTGCCTTGACTCAGCCACCTGGACAAACTACTTCACGTATTCATGAAGTTGTCCCTTTGGGGTTGATATTCCGCCGTGGATCAACATCCAATTGTCACAGGACGCGTTCCGCAAAGACCACCACCACTAGTCAACAGCGGCCCGCGACGACAAGAAAAAACGCTTTCTCATACCGCGGATGCTCCCGGCGCCCCATGCCGCCCCGTTCCGTGTAGCAGGCCAATGGTGGCAACTCCACCAAGACGGTGACCCTCCTCAGAGCTTGACTCCCGTGCTGGGCCTCATTTCGCTAGGCCAAGTAAGTTAACAAAGGCCGCCCTTCGGTGCGGGCGCCTCTCCAAATCCCGGGGAGCAGGGATCAGGATAGCCCGGTCGTCCAGTGCCTGAGCACCCCGGTCGCTCTGTAGAAGAAATGAATGGAGCCAATGGAAAATTCGACAAGCCACGTAACTTTACAAGCCAGCCTCAAGAGCGACCGTCGCATCCAACAGAGATACCAAGAGGCCGCCCGACGTTGTAGTGTCAAGATCGTGTTGCTGTTGCTAAGTCCCTAGAGTTGCTTTTGGTTCAATGGCACGCGTCACCTTGTAGAAGATTGAGAAGCACAAAAGAGAGAGTACAAGAGATGGAACAACGTAGTGGTGGTGAGAAGATAAATTGATTCTAAATAGGTATTCCAGAGCATTCAGATGTCCAGCTGTTTGCACGAAAGAATTACAAAGAGGGTAACGAAGAAGAGTTGCAGGGAAGAGCGCGTGCTGGTCCGGCGCGGCCAACTTCACACGATCCCTTACACCCGCAACCAATAAAAAAATGCTGACAAGAGGCCAACATGCGACTAGTTCCAAGCCCACCAATACACGCCGGTATTTCCGAATTCCAAAAATGACTCTTTCCAAAACTTTTTTTGTATGTCGTGATAAAAAAAGTGATAAGCTCAAGGACCAAAGACAAAAAAAGAGTCAATGGCACAGTGAGTAAATATGTTGTACAAGATGAAGTGAAGAATAAAAAGAAGTGCTCGCAATGCAGTCGTAACCATAGAAGCTCAGCGCTCCATAATGAGCCAGGCCAGAGAGGCAAGGCAAATTGAAAGAGATAAAGAATATTGTCGTATAATCGTGTCAGGCGGCAAGCCCGAGTGCGTTTTGATGATCATTCTATAATTGCTGACACATATACTTAGTCAGATCGCTTGCGCTTCTTGCGGCCCTGCTCGCTGTCTTCTGAAGACTGCTCGCTGGCGGAAGCTTCGGCGCCAATGTGGAAGAGAACCTTGCCATAGGCATTATAATCCTCACCCATCATGGAAGCATCGTAAGGGCGGGTCTCGCCCTCCTCAAGGACACCCATGACCACAGCACCAGAGGTGTGGGTACGGGCGTGCTGAGCAAGGTTGTCGCTGCGAGAGAACTTCTTGCCGCAGTCAGTGCACTCAAAGGGCTTCTCCTGGGTGTGGAGAGAGCGGTAGTGGCGCTTGAGATGTTCCTGGCGACGGAAGCGACGGTTGCAAAGATCGCAGACAAAGGTCTTGGAAGGGTCCTCAGTAAGAGATTGCTTGCGGCCGCGGCGGCTGGTAGGGGCAGGAGCGGGAGTGGAAGCATCCTCGGAGCAGCAGACAGACTCGTTGTCGGCAATCTCCTCGGGCTGGGCAGCGCGGGCATCCTTCTTGTGGCTTCTCTTCTGCTTCTTGTTCTTGTGCTCATCATCGGGAGAACCGGTGGAGCTAGGAGGGCTGGGCAGAGAAGAGAAGGCAAAGGCATCCTCACCAAAGGTAAGCTCGTCGTCGGCACCAATGAAGCTACCGTGACCAAGAGAGACAACGGAAGAGCCGGTGCAGGCACGAGGGCGGGTAACATCGTTGCTGATCTCGCTCAAGTTGACGAGGTTGCTGAAGTCAGCCTCAGAGTCGAGGTCGGAGATCTCCTCAAAGGAAGGCATGCCAGACATGGCAGCAAACTCAAACGTAGGCTGAGCCATGGGCTGCTGCTCCTTAATCTCCTCCTCACCAAGTCCAGAGAGGGTGAGCTCGGTGGACAGGGTGGAGCTGGGAGTGCCAGAGACGGTCAAGTTGCGGGGATCGCAGAAGTCAACAGGCTGGTCGACGCTGAGGGAGCGAGCGTAAGGCGCAGGAGAGGGAGACAGCGAAGGGCACGAAGTGACGGAGAGAATGTCACCGGCAGCGGCGTTCATGGCAGCGTTGTGCATGTAGACAGGAGTCATGGGAGGAGAAGCAGCGCTAGACCAATCGAGGATGGAGTTCTCGACAGAGTCGAAGACATCCTTACCCATGGCAAGACCATCAAAGCCAGAGAACATGGGGTTGATGGGAGTCTGCATGGCATCAATGGACTTGGGGCTACCGACAGTGCTGCTAGAGGTCGACAGAGGAGGAGTCGAAGGGAACTGGGCGATGTCGTAGAGTTCGGTCTCGAGCAGGATGGTGGCCTTGTGGGCGGGAGGGGAGCCAGCAGGTGTCATGATGGCAGGGCCGTTGCTGAAGAGCGTAGGAGGCTGCGAGCAGGAAGAGCCAGGTCTCGAGTAGACGGGCGTGGCAGGCTGGTACTGGACTTTGCGGGAGTCGATGGCGACTTCGCGGTTGTACATGTAGGCGAGTGATTGAGACATTGTAGCCTTGTGATTGTGCGTTTTGGAGTATTAAGAGTGGGTTGCAAAATATTGGATCGTGGATGAATCGTAGTATACACTAGTCTGGGCTGGAAAAGGCGCGAGCAACAGACTGAGAATTTCGAATATGCAAGAGTTGATGTCGAACGAGTGGTTGAGCGGTTGTACGAGGAAAACAAGTAGTACCGAGTAGTTGGGAAAGAGCAGAGCGAGTTATTGAAACAGAGAGCAAGAAGCAGAAGGTTTCAAAAACGAGAACCCAACAGAGAGAGGCAACAACAACAACAAGATGTGCGAGTATAATGTGCAAAAGGAAGGGCAGGAAACTCTTAATAGGATGTCAAAGTGGTGATATGATATCCAGGCGAGAGAGATCCGAGAGAAGGGACAAGGTTGGTTGAATGAAGAAGAAAGAGAAGTGAAGGGAAGAAAAGAAGGTGGAAGGAGCTTGTATAATAAATTAAAAAGAGGAAGAAAGAAAGAAGATGGTTGACCGGGATGTCGATCCTGTGTATTTGCAATGAAGTCTCTAGAGGACTGGGATTTGGGAGGGGGGTATGGAGGGGATAAGTACCCTTTGGCTTTGTGCGAGGCGTGCCTTGGGTCTGTGTGGTGTGTGAAGAAGCCGGCGTGGTGTGTTCGCAAGCCGATGATCGAAAGCGCAGAACGTCCGATAGGCCCAGTACGTACCTGTCTCACGCTGCAGCAGCGCGGTGCCGTGGACAAAGTACGACGCTTTGCAGTGGCCCGGGGGGGAGGGGTGGTTGTGGGATGGGTGTGCGGCGAGGGGGTATGGGGAGCAATCCCAAGAGCGGGTCCTCTCTGGCCTGGCTTGGGATCCATGTCCTGATCCTTGCTCTGGTAGCGCCGGCGAGGCGGGCAGAGGACCGGGGAGGGGGGCTGGCCCTTGCAAAGAAGAAAAGAGGCAGACTCCACCAAAGAGGCCATACCCCGGTCGCCAGAAGAAAGCACAAGCAGCAGCCAACAGCAACAGTACTGTACTGTAGTGTACGTACCCAAGAGGGAAAAGGAAAAAAGCGACAGAGTGCGAGATGTGGGTTTAGCGCCGTGTGGACCGCGGTGCTGCACAAAAATATGTACACGTCTTGTGCAAGTTCAGCCAGAGTTGTGTGTGTGGGTGGCGATTCCTCGGGGCGGGTATCTGGTACGCGTTTGGTTGGCTGTCAGTGCTCCTCTGGGCTCTTTAGCACTCGTAACTAACTAACTCGTGGGGCGCCCCTCCAGCGGCCGCCCAGCACAGCACCGCGAAGGACCCTAACAGTGCTTCATCCAACAGGAATGCTGGAGATCGAAACACCACCGCGCGATTGAGATATCGGACAATTTTGAACAACCCGGTGTCTAGCTCGCATTCCTATTTAATGGGGAGTTGTCTTCTTTTCTCCTACCTTGTACAAGACAGCGACGTCAACCACAGGATACAAAGAGAGAGCCGCCCAACATACTGTACACCACCAAAAAGGGCAACAAGCGCTAAAAGTACAAATAGGATTGGTGCGCTGGTGCTAGTTTGCCCACCATGTAAGCTAGCCGTCGCCGTCAGGTACCAAACGACGACTGTGCAGTGCACTAAGCCTGCTAGAGCAGCCACCTGAACAGACTTTCTAAATCTGGCGCGGCGCCGTCCCGGACCTACCGTCCACCCAGTGGGCACTGGCAAGCTCTCCACTTTGGCTGGAGTTAAACGGGGCGAGTGCTATTGCTGGGTGCTCGTCATCACAAGCAAACCCAGCTAAGCACCACACACAGCATCAGGTTAATTAAGAGGAAATTTGGCTGGCTACCCACGCAATTACCACTGTCATGGCAGTGACTAGCAGAGCAGAGCAAAAGCGACAACAAGCGGGCTACGTGGAAATTTGTATGGGCTTGTGCTCTCGGCGTAATTCCCATCTACTTGGTAAATGAAATGGGTTTTATGTTCGTTTGCTATTGTTTTGATTCTCGTCTAGACCCAGGTTTTTTTTTTTTTTTTTTACTTTCTTATTGTCCATGACGCGCAGCCTATGCAGCGAGGTGATCCGTCCCGCTGGGAAACCGCAGCGTCTCCGCCGCCGTATGCACTGCCTGGGGACTCGATGACATGGCGGTGCATATCGCCATAAGACACCAAACGAGGCTCAGCAAACACAATACGAAGTGACAATGAGTAAGAAGCAAAACCGGTATTTGCGAAAAGAAACTGTTTGCGTATGTCACATTATGTTTCTTTTGATGCCTCTTTTCTCTCTGCGTGTACTGTACAACAAACTGGCCATTTTCCTTTTTTTTGGCGCTGCCGCTGGGCCTTTTTCCTTTTTGGGGGTGGGAATTTCCTTTCTTTTCGTTAGATGCACAGACTGTTCCTACTACTGTGCTGTGCGCTGCTGCTCTCTCTCTCTCTCTCTACCCACAGCGCACAGCCGAACGGGCGGCGGCGGCGGCGCCCATACTTTGGGTACGTAGTAGGTCTACTGTAAGTACAGTGTAGCCGCTGGGGCGCATGAGTTGTGGTTGCATCAGACCATCCACCCATTTGCATTTGTAGGCCAGGTGGTATAAAAAAGAAAGCACAATTCACCCAGAAAGAGGACCTCGGCGGCAGTCACAATTGTTCCACAATCCGGCCCTCTGATAGGACCGCCAGCTCCAGGCGCCCGTACACTTTGGTTGGCTAGCTTATCCGCTGCGGCGTCCCTCACACCACACCCTACAGCACCCAATGATACCTTTTACCACCCACTTGCAGCACCTGCGGCTGGCCAACCAGAAGCCGGCATCTGTGCCAATGCGTGCACAACTTGGCGCCCGTCTCAAAAAGTAAAAAACCACCAAAGGCGATCCAAGGGCAGAAAACCAGTGGGAAAAGAAATAACTGTGCACCGTCACCTGGCCCAGCGTGACACGTCTGCAATGCACGCTCCGACCAATGCAAGGCACAAGACCGCTGACTCGGGTTTCTCTGTGAATGTTGCTGCCCAGCCAGCTGACCTCCATTGCGCGCGCAAGCACCACCTCCAAGACAAGAAACATGCTGTATACTTGCTGGTGCTGGTGCCGCCGGGCTTATTGTGGCGGGTTACAGTGGGAGACTATCAGACAACCCAACGCTGACGGCAGCAGTTTTGTGCAGCGAAGCAGCGAGTGGGCTTTAGCGCTTTGACTTGTGCGCCCCGCACAAAAACTGCAGCGAGGGCCGCAAGCACGGCGGCTTTGGTGGTCATTGTTCCCCATATGGCTTGCGGCCGCTGTGTCAAAAGAATTGGGCACATGGCCGAATTGTGCAAGAAGCGCCGAGCACACTATGCTTGTGGCGGCGGGTTCCCTTTGGTTTGGCAAGCCATCGCCGGCGCATGCAACAATGGAAGAGGGCCCTGCGTCAGTGGTTTCTGTTTGAGGCTTGCGTGTATTTCCCCACGCTCTCTTCTTATTGTGGCAGCTGCTTTTTAGTATCGGCTGCAGCACACTGGCTGCACATGCGGCGATGGCTGGGTGGCCTGTTCGCCTTCCACAACCGTTCGAATGTGGCGATCTCTCAAACAGGTGTGTGTATGTGCACTGCTTCTCAAACCGCGCTATTCAACGTCCGAATATGCCTCAACTGGCGTGATGGTGCTACGGATGAATGCCACAAAAAATGGCTCTTGATGGTCTTTGTCTATCAGTGTCACTAAGAAACCAGCCGAGCCCACAGTTACGAGCATCCAGCCTGGTGGCTTGGGTTGAATACGTGTTGTGTTGGTTGTGCTGGCAAGGCTTGAGAGCACCTTCGCTCAAGTTTGAGCCGCTTCCTCAGTCCATCAATATTCTTGGATATGAGCCGGAAAACACATTAGCAAACAAAATACCCCATAACGGATCCCTTCTCTCGGTAGCCATCACGGAGCGATAGACCCAAAAACGTAAAGATGCCCGTTGCGTGGCTTGCTTGTTAGTCAAGAAACAGCCCCAGCCGTAGGCAGATATATCTCGCAGCTTTCACCATTGGCGGCGAGATCCTCCCAGCAAGACAGACCACTAAAAAACGGCCTGGCGTGGGTAGCCCACGACCACTGATGATCAGTGGGCTTGCGCCGCTCTACTGCCTGTTTTGGTGCAAGCGAGCCCGTTTCTGGGCCGTTCATCGCCAGTTTTATGCACTCGTGGATGGCGCTGCTTTCTTCATTCCTCGTTTTATGCAGCCACCAAATGGGCTGGGGTGTGGTTTGTGCACAACCAGTAGGACGACCAGTACGACAACGCCATCGCCACACACTAAAAAAAACACCACTCAGAATAAAAATTAATATATTCTCTATATTGATGCAGAAGGCTCGTGTCGCATGTGCTGCGCCCAGCCGAGGCCCCGGGAACGAGAGACACACGACAGAAAACCCAAGAGTAATGCTATATGGGCCCTTGTTTATTGTGCCTGTACAGTTCAAAGCAAGCAAAGCATACGTGTTCACTCGTTTGGGGCTGTTGATTTGCTCAACTCACCCATTCATTTGGTAGACGCGAGGGTTGAGGCCTCTCTAGCAGTGTAGTCGGGTTTGCCTTTGCCTTAGCTGCGTTGCTTTGCATAGAGGCTATGGCAAGATGCTTGCTCGTACGTCGCCCACTGGTCCAAAGCACTGTGGGTTGTGCACAGCGTGCCTGTCTAGCGCTTCCACCGAGACGCCCAATGGCGAGAGCAAATCGCCTTCTGGGCGTGCCGTTGGCTCAGCGCGAGATCACGCCCGACCCATCTAGCATGGGCACCACTGCACTGGTTAGCTTCCCCGGGCGCAGGACAGAGCCAATGGAGTTGACAGCCCGCGGCGGCGGCGGGCCTCGCCGAACAACGCACAACTTTTGTACAGAGACATGCTTCTTATTTTTTGTGGTGCAACGCGCGAATCGCTTGTTTCACTGCTCTGCTACTCCAGACCCATGTCGCTGGCAGCACCAGCCAAACAGGCGCTCTACTGAAAGCCAGTCCACCTAACGAGTCAGCCAGCCAGCCAGCGACGGCCGGCGATGTCATTCAGCTGCGCCGGGCCAGAAACGCTGATCATCTTGCTTTGCGGCTGCATGTGCTGGCCGTACGCCGCCGTGGTTCTGTTAGTGGAGCGAGATGCTGCCCATGCCACCTTTACTTGCATCGTAGGACGTGCATTTCCGCCAAACGATATCGACGACGACTCGTAGCACACCCGACGCCGTTTGCCACGAGTCAACAGTACTATTTTCTGCTTTCAGGTGTGTTGTTTCGCCTGGATCCAGCCACCGGCTGCCCTTCCCGGCCAGACCATTAACATTCTCGGTCATCTTACCATGCAACTGTATGGAGTCTGCCAGGCCTGGTCGGCCCAAAACAGCCAGCTTTAACCAAACCTGCGGGCTGGCGAAGAGGGCCCGCTAGTATCAATAGTCGTCGTGGATAGCCTTCCCCGCTGAATAGTGGCAAATCCGCTACCATGGCTGCCCACATAGCCTGATGCTACCGTAATGGTGGACGAGGGCTAACATCGCCGAGAACGTGGGAAAACTTGATCTATTGGGCAACACAAGCGGCCTAGATGTTGCAATTGTGCC